ATCATCCTTGTACTGCTGTAGTAGCTTCTTCTTCTCCGAATCGACCGTAGCTCCTTTGGTGGTGGGCGCCATGTTGGGAAATTGGCCCGGAAGCCGTGTTTGAGAACAGGCAGGGAAGTTGAGGTGTTCAGATGAGCTGCTCAATCGATGTGTCAGCCGTGTGGATTCCAATGTCAATAGGTGTTCAATATGTGATCCAGCGAACGAGGTGAATACCAAGCGAATATCCATTGGATCAACGATGTCATAGCTCAACGTGTGTAAACGGCGGGATCAATTAAACTCTGACCTGGGCGTGTCTGACTTTTGACTTTTCCAACGTGTAAACACATCCTTTTCAACGCTCATTTACTCATTTTGACAACACTTGGATGGTGACATTAGAAGCAGGCGACATCACAACATTCATCTCAAGTGACACGATTGACTATTCGAGCTCAACACAGGACTGTGGCCAACTGCTCGTTACCGGCCAGGCAATTGATGGTTTGACACAATGGCCGCCTATCTCGCCGAACATGTGCAGCATCTTCAATCACTTCACACCTTGCTAGGTCTTCCACCTGACGCTCTGAAATCAGATGAAGCGCATATAGAATCAGCGATCAGAGAGGCTGTGTCGACACTGATAAGCAACAGAGAGGAGGAAGTTGAAAGCTGGAAAGCCAAGATTGAGCAAGCTGGCGTTGACCTACAAGGCGTACAAGTGGCAATCGGAGAAAGGGCCGTCAAGCATCATGCTGTAGATTCCGGAGTGGTATGTCGACACTCATCTTCCTGTTAGCTGCTGGGGCTAAATCTGTTAGGCCCTCCCAACACAATGGGACGAGATGATACGACGGCGAGGACAGTTCGAGCAGAGCTATCAAGAGCGAATGAGGCGTATCGATGGTGCGTTGATCTGAACTTCGATTACACGTCACTCAACCTTCGTTCTTTTAGGACTACGAAGTCAGATAGACGCCCTGGCCAGCTTGCTCGGTCCCCCGGTCGAACCTGCCTTACCCCCTCAGCCCATTGCCAGCTCGTCAAAAGGCGGACCTTCTCCCACTTGGCTAGCTGTTGGTGACGATGTCTTGCGGTCATACGAAGCCTTGCTGCAGAGGGCTATTGAGGAGCGCGTAAGATACCTCCTGGCTCGAGTATGTCCCGTCAAGCTCACGCATGTTGCAGGAATCACGGACGCAACAACTGTATGATCATTTTCGAGATTTGCTCTTCTTCCATGTCGAGCTGGCTTTACCGTCATTACCTTCATCCTCATCTTCCAGCAACGATTTTCCACCCTCATTGATGAGCAAAAGCGGTTCGAATGTCGAGACATATCGAGACACTCTATCCGAGTATATTCGTATCAATGCTCCAGCGATGAATGCGGGAAACGAGGACGAGGATGAGGATTGGACCAAAGGCCTGGAAGGAATCGAGCCGGATCGTAGCCTCATACAATGGCTGGAGGAGATGGTAGCGATGGTGAGCAGGATCTTGTGCTCTTAATCGCTGCTTGAAATTCGCATCAGTGGACTGCCGAGCGTGATGCGCGAATCTCCCGCATACAAGAGCTGTACGACAGACTCGAGCCAATGTGGTCGAGATTGGAAATAGACCAAGAGACTCAAGACCTTTTCATCGAGATGAATAGAGGATGCGGCATGACAGTCATCAGTGCAGTGAGTGCGGCGGAGCCTGATGAAGTGCTTTGCTCATTTGCTCGACAGTACGAGGACGAGCTGGAGCGTTGTATGGATCTCAGGAGATCTAGTCTTTCAGCGTTCATGGTTGCGGCTCGCCAAGAACTGGAAGAGCTTTGGAATGCTCTGCTTTACAGTGAAGAGGAGCGTAGGGAGTTCGGTCCCTTCATTGATGGTGAGCGCGTCATCTCCTGGGCTTTTTATCCGCGAGCTGACCTCGCGACTCAGATGACTACACGGAGGAGCTATTGCTGTTGCACGAAGAAGAAACCGAAAGGCTCAAGATGGAGATGGAAAGCAAAGTGACCCTTCTGCCCAAGGTCAAAGAATGGCATGGACTTAAGCTGGAAGAGGAGGAGCTCGAAGTGTTGGCGAACGATCCTCAGCGATTCTCCAGACGAGGAGGCGCGATGTTGAGGGAGGAAAAGCTGAGGAAGAGGGTCGGGAACCTCCTCCCCAAGGTGAGTCGTCGTCGCGATTTGGGTACAGCTTGCTGATTAGGCGTGCCGTGCAGGTTGAGAATGACCTGCTTGTCTTGCTACCGCAATGGGAGTCGGAGCATCAACGACCATTTACTGTCAACGGTATCAGCATCGTAGAGCAGATTTACGAAGCGCGGGAAGCGAAAGAGGCGGCAAAAGAGGCCAAGAAAGTGCGTAATGAGACGCGGAAAGGCTTCCATGGGCTAATGCGTGGGCCCTTTAGCGCGCAAAGCAAGGACTCGCACCGACGGCCGCCCTGGCTCCCGCCAGATCTGTGAAAGCTACACCTGCGGTCAAGATCGCACGAGGTATGCCTGGCTCTGTGATGGCCAGCGCTGTATCCAGAAAACGCGAAGCTCCGACCCCGACACCTTTTGGACGTATGGGCACAGTGATGAAAAAGCAAAAAACAGGTCTCAACATGACAAGCATGAAACCTGCAGCATCTGCTGGCGGTACACGTATACCATCAGGAAAATCTCGAATGGCCGACCCTACGTCTAGTCCAACACCTCTCCCGAGGGCTGATCCGGGTTATGAGAGCTCGAGGATACCGTCATTTTCTCTGAAAGCACCTGCTGGTAGAAGGCAGAGCTTTAAACCTCGTCAAAGTCAATCCAGGGGATTGTTTCAAAAGTTGAGACAGAGCATGGAGTTGGCAGAAGAGGTGGATGAGGTGGAGATATTCTGAGAGGGTCAATGCGACCAAATCTGATTTTATAGTTGTATACTTGTGTACATGCAAATGCTTGAGTGCTAATGAAAAATCTAGCCCACTGCTTTGACCAGAGGTCCGAAAATCCCGCTGTTGATATTTACGAGAGCTGGTAGCTCTTTCTATGAACAATATCGTTAGGCTGATTCGCAGCTGTGACACGGAGAATCCTCACCTCCCTGATCGCAGGATGTTGCTCAATAAGCTCCCCAAAGACCTCAACGATCAAGCTACTGAGCTTTTGTATCTCTGTCTCGTGTAAGCATGTATATCTGGCGCTGAACCACACATACCTCGTGGGGTCAGGGCTTCATCAAGACCGCTCCGTTCTTGTACCTGAACCCAAAGCCTGCAAATGAAGTCTATGATTTGACCTCTCCATCGTGGTATCCTTCCAGTCTCTTTACACGTCCTCATGACGCATAGCAATGCCCGGAGATTGGAGGCGTAGTGCTCTACCACGGCAGCGCTCGGAGTGTATTGTAGGGGATCGACAAGATGAGGTATGATAGACTGGCTCAAGCGTTAGCGGAACCATGCTCAGAAGAAGCGAGATTGGACCGGCTCACCTTTAGCCATCTGACCATCCCTGACCCGACCTCTTCACACAATGTTTCGAGCTGCTTGGCGATATGTATAACGCTAGCTCTCCCTTTCTGACCTGCTGGAGCGTATATCCAACCTTTGATGATTGCTTTGTCCATGATCTCTTCGATCCTCTCGGCTTTGACCTTATCTCGACCTTTTGTCGTTCTGTTGATAAGTTTCAGTGCGGTCTCCAACACGCCGGACAGAGGTTGATCGGGATGTATGGATAGGGTGTGTATCAAGGTGTCCGATAACAGTTTGTCCATGCCCATTCTTCTCAATGTCTCCGCGGACACTTTGTCAATCCATCTGTCGAGGACTTTGACCCCTCGGCCACGCCAAGGAGATTCCCAATCGTCCATGAGGACAAGCGTTGGAGGGAGAATTAAACCTATATGCTGTTCGATATCTGACGAGGGCAACTGATCACAGCTCCAGCCGAGAATATTGTATGATCCCCAGTGTTCGGGCAGTTTGAAGGTCTGAGCAGACTCATCGTGAAAGTCAGATTTCGCTTCTGTACCGCCTGCTGGTCTTGAGAGAGCACGAGAGGTGAATGGATTGATCATTGGGTGAGCCGTGGAGGAGAAAATAGGACGGAGGGATTGCAAGAGGTGGACAGCGAGGGTGGGCCGGGGAAGACCCTCCGTGATTTCTGTGGCGGTGCGAATGAGTCAGATTGCGAGGACGCTTGATGAGCGAGAACTCACGATCAATTTCAGAGATGATCCCTGGCGAGCACCATGGATCTGAGCCATACAGTCTGGACATCTCTCCGACTACACGTCCCTGCTCATCTAAGTCGAGCCTCTCAAACGCTGGAGATCGGATGAGAGGGCTCGCGCGCCTCAGTGCTTCAAGCACTTCATTCTGATAGGCTCTCAAAGCATGGAGCGCTGAGCAATTCATCAATACATGATCGACCTCATCGAATGAGAACGGCCAGCTCACGCTGATCCTCTTGCATGAAAGCTGGAACCATGTCTGGAGGTAGTCTGAACTTGGCGCACAAGGCAAGCAGGGTGCTGAGCAGGTCCTCCGAGACCAATGAGTCACCCTGACTGACTCGAGTGCCATCTGAGTCCTCAGCCACGTCCTCCACGATAGCCATACTGCGCCAATTTGTGCTCGAGTAGGCAGCGTTACAGTCGTTAGGACAATGGAAACAGCGCCGACGACTCAACGCCGCTACACGGACCAAAATCCGCCAACATTGGTCAACTTTCCCACGGTTGGGAGGCTGGTTCATGACGCGACCTCCTTCTCGGTTGCTACATTGTTGTTGTTTTGACATTGCACCCCCTCCTGCTTTGGCATCACAATTGGGCGACAGAGCCCGTGAAGTTGATTCCACAGTTGTGATCAACATTCCAACAAGGCCTCGAGGGTGCGCTTCAACATCCAATCCAGGATCCCAGTTTGAAATCAGGGAGACTGGCCTCCAGTCCAGCCTTTGGCGCCACGAATGGCGTTGGAACCCCCTAATTCTGTGCGAATTCCCAGCGGATCTAGTTCACAGTCCGGCAGGCAAGAATCAAGATGGAGGGCAACAAGGTTCCCAGACGCGCAAGCCTTTTCTCCAGCTTGGTCGAAGAGGACCGCCAGAGGCGAGCTCAATCAACACCTCGTCAACGCGGTACCGACAAGATGCCTCGGTTGTCCAGTGCGAGCGACAGAGACGTCAACTCCATCGTCTCGCCATTCATAGGCAAGAGGCAACGACAGGGTCTTCCAGGTCACTCTTCGCCTCATGCTAGACGGCGAATGGTCCTACGACCCTCACTCCTCGGCTCGCCACAGATCCGAGAGATGGACTTGCAGAAAAAGGCTGATCTGTTGAGTGACATTGCTGGAGATTTCATCTTGCGCATCACCGGTGGGATCTCGAGGCCTGAGTCAGCGAAAGAGTGGAGAAACTCCTGGAATACACTTCAAAGTGAGCAGGTCTCCTTCAGTGATTACAAACAGCTGACTTAACCTCTCAAAGCTCTACGACATTCAGATATTTTCCCGCCCAACAACTTACTCTTTCCGATGGTCCAGAATGTCCTGTACCAATTGCCGGCGGGCGAGATATACAGCCAAAGTCATCTGGAGCGTGCGGTTCGCCTGACGAACCTCGCCACATTCTGCTTCGTCATCTTTCGACCTGACGAAGCGAGCTCGTTGCTGGAGTACATGTCGCTCGAGAATGATACCGCATCTGCTCTCCGTATTAAAGCGGCTCAAGATGCGATGGCTCTGCATGGCAAGGTCGAATGCAGAAACAAGGCCTTGTTGACAGCATGGAAATGCTTCTGGAGGGTTTTGGTATCGCCGGACAGGCCAATAGATCCCAAGGTGTTCGATCTCTGGGTCGACTTTTCGACACAGGTGAGTCTGCACTTTCCGCATGTATCGATCGAGCCTGACGAGGTTCACAGTTCTGCCTGACCTACCAGTCGCCCACCGTCCACCCTCCGAGCGATGCTATCGCCGAATTGCCACCTCTACCGGATCATCTAGCCGAGATGCTATTCCATCAGCAATCCATCGCCCTGTATAAACAGGAGGATCCGGACCAATCACTCGTAGAAGACAGTGACCCGGAAGTTCTGAAGGCTCTGGATAAGAAGTACGTCCATGAGCGATGGTCAGAGGTCGCAAATGCGAGGCGTGATGAGGTGCGTTGCACTTGATGGACAAAGGCTGACTTATCTGAGATTCAAGACACGCATTGGTCGGATCTTTGCGAACGATATCCTTACAGCGATTTTGCTGCCAATGTGGCCGTCTATGTGCAGAGTCAAATATCGGGCTCTGGTGTCGGTCTCGTCCATTGGGTTAGTACATATCCTCTGACCATCCGCTAACAATACCCAGGGCTCTCCCTCATCTGACATGACTCTATCTCCTGGAAGGCTGCCTGCCATTTTGCATCCCATTCATTCCCCCAGCAAATTGCGAGACTCATCTGTGTCCCGACTCGAGCCGCCGTCTGAGCATCCGGGTTTATTTCACCTAGATGCCGATGAGCGAACAGAGATTTCTGAAGATGCAAACAGTCTCGTGCCTAGGGGTGACATTCATCGGTCATCATCACCAGCCCTCGGCAATATGGTCAGAGATCTCCCGATCGACATGGATCTCATGAAGGAGATGGCCATGGAACTCGATGCGGACTTTGTGGCATCACAGGCTGACCAAGGCGCTGAGTCGGGCAACGATCTTTCCGTCAACGCCGACGGAGAGCTGGGTATCAGGAGTTCCGCAACGCCTAGGCGGGTTGTCGCGCACTCTACATCCATATTCGGGAAATTCAACTTTGCTTCAAAGCAAAAAGATGCCAAGCAGGTTGGATGGGAAGAATCTCCCATGGTGACTTCTCGCATTGGTCAGACCTTGCATACTCACAGAGGCACTGCAGTGACTCCGAGACAGACACGACAGTCGACTGACCTCCGAACGAGACAACAAGCCTCTCTGACCTCTCAGACGTTGGGATCTCAGACTCGACAATCGCACCTCAACCCTGGGGCTGGTGCGCTAGGCCTGCTAGCGGACGGTGCTCCGTACCAAAATCGACAGGACTCTCCCGCGGAATTCCTCGCCGAGGATGTTCTGCCCGGGGAAAGTCAGTTTGACGATGCAGAAGACGGTCCCGGGGGCGAAATGGATGACGCGGGAGAATACCTCGTCGAGGACATTTTGCCTGTGGCGAGCCAGACGCAAGTGAGGATGGTGGACGCCACCCTGGAAGATGCCAGCGACCTGGATGACGATCAAGCAGATGACTTGGCGGACATCATGCCGTCAGCCAGTCAATTCGAAACGAATCCACGGAGGATTCACCGGAATGGTCGAAATCGGCCAGCGGAGGAAATTGTGGATCGAGGCGTAGTGGACGTGGCAGCACCGACAGAAGCCGCTGGCGACCGCGCATCGCGTAACGAACTTGCCATGCCGACGTCTCAGCGTAAACTGCATTCACGGAGAGTAAATCATCCTGAAGATGGAGTGGAATTTGCAGAAGTGGATTCGAATGAGGACGAAGTGGACCGCCAGGATCTACAAGGGGATGCTCTTGAACAGGCGAGTGGGTTCGGCGCAAACGACCAGGGCAATGCCGCCGATATTGGTCAAGAGATGGATTTGGAGGAGCCTTACTCCGGAATCCAACCTCAGCGGGGTCAATCGACCGCTGTCCACAGTGACTATCGTCGGTCTGCCTCTCAGACACATCCGATCCGGCAAGACCAAAGAGTGATTGTGGAGGTGCCCCACCCCCAGGCGGTGGCCCCTACCCCGCACCCTGGTCGTCGACCGCCTGTACGCTCATCTCAAGCTGGCAACGAGTGGCCTGATCCGTTCCTGATGGACGAGGACGGGGGTCCGCTCGAAGAAGATCATTCTTTGATCATGCACGACGATTATGGTCTCAAGTCAGATCTCCACGGTCGAAAAGACAATCGAGTATCTCAGTACAGTCGGATGCTCGGCGGTATTCGTTGGACAAGGGACCAAGAATTACTCCTCTATCGAACGGTACAGAAAGTGCCAATGTACGAATACTACCCGCTTAGAGTCGTCTGGCAGATGCACGGAGACAAAGGAGTATTATCGGAGGAATTGCAACAATTCAACCCTCAGCATATGAAAGATAAGATGAGGACTATCGTCGAGACCCGAGTCAGGAATGAGCGAGAGGTTGTGGGGCGTGCAAGATTCTGGTTGAAAACGAATCACCCGGATAAGATCGCGTACGAGGCGGAGGTCAAGGCCTATTGGAATCAAAGGAAAGCTGAGGAGGCAGCTGCGGCAGCATCTGCTGCTGATGAAGAGGCTGCTGAGGTGGAGAAGGCTGCCAGTACGCGGAAGGGCAAAGCCAAGAGAGCCAAAGGAACGGGTAGAGGGCAAGGGAAGAGAAGGGCTGCAGGCAACGGCAGAGAACGGCAAGAAGAGGACAACGAAGACGAGGAGGACGCTGGGGACCATGGCGAAGAGAAAGGAGAAGAGGAGGGCGATGAAGAAGGGGATGATCAGGGCGAGGCAAGAACTCAGCAGCCTGACAGTCGAAGTCGACGGACTCGTCAAATGCCCAACGCATCAAGTACTGCCAGTGGACCTAGCGGCTCGGCGAGGATTGCGTCCGCCCGGACCAAGAAGGGTCGGGCGGCTGCGGCAGTACAAGAATCTGAGGCTGAACCCAATTCTCGGCCTTCTCCACGATCGACTCGTCAACTTAGGTCGCGTGCCTCCCAAATCGCAGCACCACCGGCCACTCAAAGGGCCTCGAGAGATCGGCGCAGTCTACGCCCAACACAGGAAAAGCCGGACGCTCAAGACGAGTCCGATGATGAGTATACGCCACAGAACACCCCTGCGAAGCCTGCCCGAGGTAGGAAGAGGCCGGATACACGATCGCGAAAAGAGGCACAAGCTCTAGCTGCTGACCGAAAGGCACGACCTGTTCGGCGAGTGAGGAGACAGCCTGAGGCTATTCAGGAGGAGGACCATGCGGAGGCTGAGCAAGCGTCGGACTCGGAGGAAGGTGATCATGACGATCACGAAGAACAGGATGATCAGATACAAACCCAGGAAGCGTTTGAAAATGTCCGAAGAGCTGTCATTCGGCGGAAGGTCGTGGAAGGTTAGATACGAAGGGTATGGCTGAGATTTGGTGAGAGTTCTTGGATCTTGTAGATAGATGGTTTCATGGGGTATTCCGCTAGGGAAACTGGGGCCTGAGCCTATGTATGATCATATGATATTTGTCAAATGCAACGCGCAGTCTGGCCATGAGCCGCATGACCAGGGCTTTATTGGTCCGAATGTTAGTCATCTTCTCATGTGATCAAACGCGTGGGTCTCTGCAACGATTACAGCCTGTCTGATCAGTGTATGTTTGCTCATGAATGAGAAGGTGAACCGACCCGTTGTTACCACGACATTGTCGTGTGCATGTCCACGCCCACAAAAAGGAGGTCAATTGTTCCTCTTGGCAACGGTCACATTCTAAGCGAGTTCGAGGCAGATTTGACCATAAAGCCGCACCGAAGGTGACCTTGGAGACCTTTCTGCATCACTCCCTCGAGTCTACAGTAGCGACGACAGACAATATGTCGTCCAATGAAAAGATATCTGCGGGGTTCCAACCCAGTAGGCCAGTCACCAATCGACAAGACAGAGGCAGCACAGTGGTCATCATGGAGTCGTTCAAGCAGAGTCTCGCTTGGACAGCTTACAAGTTTACATCGACAGTCTTAGAGTAAGTTCATTTGACATGTTGGGGGTAGACTTGCTCACCGGGTTCTCAGTGAGATCTGGCCTCAGGCTCTGTTGTTCACTGGTATCGCTACGAGTAAGCCCGGCATCTGAGAAACGGTCATCGTGGGCTCATGGGCTCATGTGCCACCTCTCTTAGTGGTCACTTGTATATCTGAATTCACGAGTGTTCAACTGCAGTGCAACAGTATCACTTTGACAGTATTAGGAGTCGTTGTGTGAGGCGTAGCGAAGATACACTACCGTACAGGGAGGAATACTGAAGCTTGACTCCAGCTCCCTGGTCGTCTCATTCCATACCAATAACTCGTACCTGAAATGGTGGGAGGGCAGGAATGTGTGGACCAATATCACTTCCGTCAGCCGTCAACTTGCGATGCTTATTTGGCTTCAGGTGAGAGTTCACACAAGTAAAGCAGGATGACTGACCAGATATACAGCTCCCCAACAACATGAAGAAGAAGAAGGAAGACGGCAAAGAGAAGGACAAGGGCAAAGGGAACGACGAGAAATCGAAGGATAAATTTGAGCCACCTCGAGCCCACGAAGATGATGATGATTCCGACTCGAAGCACTCACCAGAACATCGCACAAAGGCAGTCGCAGAGAAGGAGATGGAGGAGCAGAGATCCCAGATCGAAGGAATCCTGATCAAGAAGTCTTACATTGGTTTGGTGAGCGTCATTGTCTGAATCTGCTGAAGACACCCCATCAGATCCACGCCTTCTCGGTGGCTATGAAGCACAGTCTGCGAGGTGAAAAGGGCCCATTCTACTCTGATCTATACAATCTGATCGCCTGGCTCCCAAAGTGAGCATAATCCACGCAAAGTCAAGTACTGTACTCACTCACTCCTCCCCACAGGTACAATCCCTCTGCGTATCCACCCATCACACGCGATCATCTCCTGGTCCTGTGGCAGAATGGCATCCCCAGACAAAAGTGGCACCGGGCAGACGACGTCGCCGCTGTACCTCTGTCTCAACAAGCAGCCTTTGACGGCTACACATTCGACATCATGCCCGGAGCAGATATGCCGAATCCCGGACCAACAGACCACGAAGCAAATCCCGGAGGTTTGACGACTCGCTCTGAAAAGTTCAAATCGCAAGCTGTGAACGAGGCTAAGAAGTACGTCCAAGATGGTCAAGCGAAAATCATGGGATTCTGCCATCTGGATCAGAAGCATCGTATCCGCCGTGGCGATACCCCAGTTCGCTTGTCTCAAGATGACACTATCATCATCACGACCGTCGAATTGATGCCCCCTCGACACCCTCCGCCAGCTACTGTATGGGACTTTGTACCTCCCCTTAGGATTTTCAAGATCGTCTTCGACTGGTTCAAAACGCAGAAAAGGCTGGAACAACAGGAACGTACGCGAGGCGGAAAGAGGCGACGATCAGCCGTCAAATCGGAGATAGCCCAAGAGATGCTGTAAGCTCGCTTAGTCTCCCGTAAAAGCAGTGTTGATTGAGGACTCAGGCTTTACCTCCATGCCTTTGCGGCGGACATGGTGGACATGTCTGTCGGAAATAGCTTCTTCACCAGTCAATTCATGACGGGTATCAATGAGCTTCAAAAGGCCATATCCGACTTGGATAAGATTGCCACTACGCCTCTTCCCTCTGCTTATCGATCGCAGCTGCGCTTGACAGTCTGGGCGTACTTGTTCTTCCTCCCTGTCCAGCTGTACCAGTATCTCCACTGGGTGACCATTCCGGCGGTAGCCATCGCTTCAGTCATCTATCTTGGCTTTCTGGTGAGTCAATACCTCATGAGTGTGCGATTCTCCATATAGCTGATATGTTGTCGACTTGACATGCAGGAAATCGGCAGCCAGATCGAAATGCCATTTGGCTACGAGCAGAGTGATCTCGATTTGGACAAATTCTGCGCCAACATCGGCCGCCAGTTGGCAGAAGTCACAGCCGTGAGTCACCTCAAACACCTATCCGGGAATCTTCTCATGAGCCTCAGTTTCCGACCAGGGTGCCAACCAAGAAGATTGTTCGATCCCACTTGAATCAACCACTTTTGCCTTCTCTCTCGCTATCGATGCCAGACCTGCTGGGTGTACCGGAAGTCGATCCTAAACCGACTTCCAGGGGGTTCAATGACTCCTATCAGCCTAGATTGGACGAGCAAGACAAGTCTGACCGAACGCAAATGTCTCAGACTCACGAGACAACGCCGCCAAAATCCATCAGTGAGGTCGAAGCTGCTCTCAATGCCAATTGGCGGGACGTGGAAAATGCTTGGCAGGAATTCAAAAGCCGAAAACGCCATCAGCTAGAGAATAAGACGGGGATGGAGGTGGCTGTCTTGGCGTTGCGAGACTGAGTTGAGCAAGAGGACGGAGAGTATTGATACTAAGGACATTATGTACACACGAGAGCTGGAAGTCGATATGTTCAAAGTGCATACAGGAATGATATTTTATTGTAGGATCGAATTGCTTCTCCGGTTTGTGGTTAGTGATACAGCGCAGTGCGATCCCATGGCTTAAGACTTCCGCTATCTATGCTCTCGGCTTTCTCGCTTAGGGATTATATCCATAGATCTGACCTCTAATCGCACCAGCTGGGAAGTCAGCGGTATGCGTGTCAGCGAAGAATTCCCAAGGTGTGTCCTCGAGATCCTTGACGGTGAACCCCGCGCCAGTATCGGCTGAAGCGAGGATCAGGATGCTTCGCATAATCATGATCAGTGTTGTCGGACTCACTCCCGTTGTTTACTATCCCAGTTTTAAATGGACCTTGGAGACAACCAAGACTGTATCGCCAAGCGTATTCATCGAGACTTGTATTTCCATGTGGCTGAGGATTGGGAAAGGCTATGCGAGGAGGACCAGCACGTCCCTTGGGTGCTTGGTGAATGTGTGTCGCGGTGACTGCTGGCGATGAGTAGTTGCCCTTGATGTAAACTGAAATGTTCTGAAATTCATCTTTTGTCAGAAGGCAGGATTCTGACAGAGGGGTAACTCACGTAACAGATGACATCTTCGTGTGAGTTGAGCCCGAATTGGAACATGCCGAATCCTTTTTCAAGACCCGGTACGGCCACTTGACTGTTGTTGACTACCTGGTCAGGTCCGGCATAGGCTTTGAGTATCGATGTGAATTCGAACGGGAAAGCAGCATGAATGTCCTTATGCTCGCTCTTATGGTCGCCCGTCCAGTCTGCGTGATCATCGTTCCACTCTTTGTGCTTCTCTTCCCAATGATGGCGGGATTCATCCTTCCACGACTGCTTATCGTTCCAAGTCGGTGCAGCCACGACGAGTGTTGAGCAAACTACAAGCACTAGAGCGAACTTCATTCTAGTCGTCTTAGTGAATGTTGCCTCTGGTGCCCCTTCTTCAGACGGTGTGATCGCAAGCTCAAAGGGTTTTATATCGTCATACGGAGACACGCTCCGGACTCTTCTGCACCTTTGCCTGCACAGCTGCTGACGCGTCCAAGAAAGCCATACTTCCTTGGCCCGACGTCCTATCCGAGCTTGACTTGCTCCTCACGTTCACTTGTATCCCACCTCTGCCAAGGTCCTCGGTGTGTATAGCAATGTCGCAATCATCTCTGAACGTGTTATTCAAGTCACAGGACGTGACCATCGTTCGACCCTTGGCGCCGCAAACGACAAACATGAGCTCGAAGAGGCTTGGACTCTTGATCCGGGACTCCATCATAAAGTGATCGAAGCCGGAGCGCGACTTGCAATGCAGCTCAGCAGAGCAAGCAGTGGATGGAATAAGGGGAGAACCCAGATCAATAGCCAGTGCCACGAGCGGTACCGCAGGTTGATCGCCACAACTCCCGATGACGACTCCTTCTCCAATCGAAATGCCAAGCCAAAATTCCTCGATGAAATTCTTCTCATCGTCCCTCGCACCCAGCAGCCGTCATTAGGGAGCGTCTCTCCACCTGGCGCTGATTTCTCCATCGTCGTGAGCTGAGTATGAGTCATTCAGCCCCCATGACTCGTGATGTTGGAATGACATGGCATCGAATGCTACTGCGGGTGACTAACGCAGTTGGAAAATAAAAGCATCGTGGAAAGATTTCCAACGTGATCGGCAGCATTCCACGAGCATGACACGGCCTTTAAACGGGGCCAAAAGTCGATGAAAGAAGCTTCTCAGGATTAGTCATGACAAGCTAACGGCCGAGTGACACACATACAGGCACAGACAGTGTCTGGCTCACAGAGCGAAGGTGACAGGCGAGATTGTCAGCCAAGGTTCGGTTATGACGATGTGTAGGAAAATTTTATGGCACAATCTGTATACAGAGTCACAATTCGCACGAACTATTCGACCAGATAACAACGGTGAAGAGGGAGTTGTATGAGCACTACTGATTGCGCTGCGTAACACAATGACCTCCTCCTCTTCCTCCTCGCATAATTGGCCTGGTGCCTCGCCTTTCCCAGTACCCAATCCAGAAGGATTCCGGGCCACCGCTGTGCAGTACCGTGACAGTGTGAAAGACGTTTGGAACAAAGGTCAAGAGACGACTTCTGATGCCGCCATGCGGTTTATAGCTTGGGCATTTGGGAGTATCTCTCCGTCTGTCTTGGAGTGAGTGCTGCATGGGACATCAACTGTCTTCTGGATATTAACTTGCTCTAGTGAAGTATGGCCACATGTCATCTTCTTCACTACTATCGGGACAGGTTAGTCTGGTACAGTATACAGCGTCAAGCAATGCCAGCTGACCCCAGCCAGCCGTCACTTGTATCAACGAGTTCACCAGCGCGAGTCTGGGAGTCAACTACTACCCGTTCACCATGGTCGCTACGGTAGTGTGAGCGAGTGAGGAAAGCACCATACTAATGTCACATCTTACATAGTGCCTTCGTCACTTCGTTCCACGTCAACAACTGCTATAACCACTGGTGGGAAGGCAGGGTTATCTGGTCGAATATCACCTCTAATTGTCGTTCGCTTGCGTCCCTGATCTGGCTGCATGTGAGTCGAATCACTGTCTTTGTTTGGTCGCTGAGCATACGGTCCAAGGTACCGAATGAGCCTTCAGTACCTCGATCCGCCCATCCGAAGGCCAGGACTTCGAGATCCAGACAATACACGACTCGTCCGGTACGCAAGAGCAGCACAGCAAGGAAATGTAGGGATATGAAGAGCATAGTCTCAAGTCCAGGAGACGAGACGGACTCGACTTGGTGGTCCGAGAAATGGAAAGACACCCAAGGAAGAAGGCGGGAACACGATGGGTCGGAGAGTCCGAAAACCCCAGCGGCAGTCGCCCTCCCTTCGACTGAATCGTATTTCGACATCAATCCGAGGGCAGAAGAGCGGGGCAGTGTCAAGTTTGCAGAGGAACCAGAGACGATGTACGAAAGCGGCTCAGACGAAGAGCCTTTAAGAGGTGACGAAGAGGACGAGACGTTGAGTGAACACGTTGAGCACGAACAGGATGAGGTAGATCCTGCTATTGCGGGAATCGTCGAGAAGAAGACTTTCATTGGATTGGTCGGTCGCCTTAGGCTTTTGAATGAAGTTGAACAGACAAGCTGACAACTCCTTACAGATTCAGGCATATGCTATTGCGCTCAAGCACAGTCTGCGGGGTGAACGAGGGCCATTCTACACGGATCTGTATCCCCTCATATCGTTCTTGCCAAAGTGAGCCGAGCTCCTCGCTGAGGTCAGGAGTGCTGAAACCGACCATGCAGATACAACCCGTCCATTGGCCAACCCATCTCGAGAGACTCCCTCTTCCTCATGTGGCAGAATGGCCTGCCCCAAGAGAAATGGCATCGCCCAAACGACTTCGCAGCGATCCCTCTGACGCAGGTCGCAACCTACAATGGATACACTGTAGATATTGATACCGGCCTACCTGTCTCATCACCGTCATCTGATCCCAAAACCAAGGATAAAGAAGCAGGTCACACGGGTCTCACTACCAACACGTCGGAATTCACAGATCAAGCGTTCGAAGCGGCATCCTGGTACGTACCCGAAGGTCGAGATACGATCACTTTCACCAAACCCATCCATCACCGACTAGGACATGACATTCGGTTTGTCCATCCTGAGCCTAAAGGCAGGATGCACCGGGGTGAACGTATTGGAAGTTATGGTCAGCGAGTCAATATGACTACTGCTGAATTGATGCCTCCTCGACATCCTCCTCCGCCCAAAATCTGGGATTACCTGAGACCATTGAGGATCTTCAAGGTCATTGCGGATAAAATAAAGAGTCGAGAATCGCTCGATAAACAGCTGAGAGTCAAAGGAGGGAAGAGGAATAGGAGACAAGTTGGAGTCAAAGCGGAGATCGCGCACGAATTACTGTGGGTTGTGTTGCCCTTGCTCTCAACAAGTATTGCTGACCTCGGCCTCAGGCTCTACCTTGGATCCTACGCTGCGGATCTCGATAAACGTGGTCTGTCCAACGCTTTCCTCTCCAACACTTTTCTCGTCCATATCCATGAATTGCAGAAAGCCATTGCGGACCTCGAGAAGATTGTCAACACTCCTATTCCCTCTGCTTATAGATCACATCTACGTCTAGTAATCTGGGCATACCTCACGTTCTTACCCTTTCAACTATATCCACTGGTGGGTTGGGTCACCATCCCCGCCATCGCTTGCATCGCCATTGTTTATCTTGGCTATATGGAAGTTGGAGCACAGCTAGAGAGGCCCTTCGGATACGAGCGGAGTGATCTGGATCTCGATTGGTTCTGTCTCAATATCTGTACTCAGATCGCAGAGATCACAGCGGTGAGTGATGACACCAGCGCAGACGTCTCGTTCATGACAGAGGCACAATGAGACGCTGATATCTGCTTCTCAGTTCCCAACCTCAGTCCCGTGTAGCGAGATCATCCGACATCACTGTAATCAACCTTTTACACCTGCCCTCTCTCGCTCAGCAGTGGAGATCATCGGTTCGCCAGAAGCCCATCCTACACCGAATTCTAAAGGATTCGCAGCTTCGTATCGCGATGCAGTAGCGCCACACTCGACAGTAGAGTCCCACACGGGAGGGATTGGCAAATCTCAACGAAAAACTAAGGCACCATGTACAATGCGAGATCTCGAACTTGCCGCGAATCAGAATGCTCGAGAGTCGGAGATTGTGGCAAGTCTTCAGAGAGCTCGACCCTGGACAGACCTGGAAAGAAAGACGAATCAAGAGGTGGCTGTCCTTGCCATCTGAAAGCTTGAGACATCTTTCGTAGCATGTCTTTCGGCATGTCCGACCGAACGAAGACTTGATGCCTTCACTTTGTACATACTTACACATATCACGAAAACGCATTACACACACGCATAACGCATTTGCACCTCTGCATCACACACGATCTCAAGGACAGTTGCACGATATCATGACCATGCATATGCATATGAAGCAGATCACAGCTGCTCAGGAACCATCTCTAGTTACGCGAGGGTAGCGACAGTACTTGTCCGTCACAGATACGACTTCGTAGTCTCCAGGTGAAGTCGACGAGATGGTGTACGAGAATTTCATGATGTCAGAGACAGTCTGAGGGAAATTGTCAGCGGAGTGGCCAGAATCTGACTGTGAAAAGATCGCACCTGCGTCTCGACAATCTTTGATCTCGACCCGACCATCTCGCTACGAGTGTAAGTGAAGCTAAAAGGCGGCGTGCCTTCGAACGTGACGCTAAACGATGCTGGGTCGTCACCTGAAACCATTATGAGCGTTTAATGGAGAGTCTGAGCAAATCCCACTTACCTTCCCTCAAGTGTGCCACGCCTTCCTGGACTTTAACCGACGGGAGAGGATGTACCCGTCTCTTCAAATCTGAAATCTCTCGCTTACACTGCACCGCGGTCAGCCACGGTCGGTGAATTCTGCTTAGCAACTGACCTGGTTGTCCTTGAGAGCCACGGATTTGACGATAAATGTGCCTGGCTCTTCTGCATATCGAGAAAATTGAGAAGAAGAGCTGGTGACTTTGTGCTTTTTCCCTAGCCATTCGTATCTACCAAGAAGCCGAGTCAGTGGGCCTTTCTGTCTCTAGAAATACACTCACTCCACGGTCCATGGCGCTTTGCCTTGTAACAAGAAATCAAGAGTATCTCCTGCGCAGAGATCCTGAACCTGGGTGACAGGGACGATGCGAGCCGATTCCACCACGTCCATTGTTGTGCTCCTTACGTCGGAATCTTTGACATCTTGCTCGCAGCCAGAAGCATCAGAAACGGACAAGATGTGAATCTCGTGTCGCCCGGCGTCCTTAACGGTCAACGGGAGGTCCATGGTCCATTCGTTGGACGTCAGAGGCAAGGTGAATGTTTCAAGCCTGGAACTGGCTGGTCGTCTGACTCCGAGCTCCAAAGTGAAAGGTGCTTTACCTAGCAGGCGAATCTTGGCGTCTCCCTGTAAAAGGCCATCTAGACACATGGGCCGAGAGTTGGGTTTGGTGAAAGATGCTGAAGGCCGTCCATAGACATCGTGTTCGAGGACAAGTGAAAGCCTTGTCGAAGGGTAGTTGAGATCCTTAGCCTCCAGGAAATCGTACCGGTGATGACCAGGTTCGGAAGAGAGCTGGAGAGAGGCCCGGGATGGAGCGCTTTTGAGGGAATGCCGAGAAGTCTTGCCTTCTGAAGTGTACCGATAAGCCAGCTCGAACGGGGCTTGGCCTGTACGGGTTGTCAGCCTATGCATCCAAGTCGAGCTGACAACTCACCGGAGAAGAGCAGCGGTACATCTTCTTCCTCTCCTGCGCAAGTGCCGGGGTGACGCCAGATCTGTCCATCCAATATGACGTTGGCAGATGGCTGGAAGCTAAAGCTGGGACGAGGCTTGAAGTCGATATTAAACGAGCTCGCCGTCTGCGAAATGTCGCCCTGACAGTTCTCGTCTCGGACTTCGAGCAGTCGATATCTTCCTTTGCGAGCCAGGTTCAGAAACCCGTTGGGATCATGGACGGATACCCGCTGTGGTGATCCGCCATCTGTGTCGTATAGTATTGACCATGGAGCCATACCGGTCAATCGCAAGGCAGCCCTGTGAGATTCGCCCTCCGTCATGATGACATCGTCAATGTTTGCAAATCTGGCTGTGGGCTACAGTCTCGTAAGCAAAGAATCCATCAGACAGAGAGCAATCAGACAGAGAGCATTTTCAAAGCTCACCTTTTGACGATCGATGTCTACATCGACGGTCGGCACCGAAAGCTTTCGCGAACATCCATTGCCATCCGTGATCGACAAGAGGGAAACGGAATAACGACCAGAGCCTCCGCGTTCAGCGGAGAGCTCCGGTGGTAGAGTGACCATGATCTTTTGTCTGCGTGCAGGAATATGGATCGTCGTGTTCCTCGACTTGCCAGCCCAGGATTCGAGATAGGTAAGATGGAGTGGATCGGCGCCCTAAAATTATGAGTCTTTATAGGCATCAACAACTCGCCTTTGCCTCAAACTCCAGTTCCACCTCGTTCCCAGAACAAGCAAAAAGTTTGCGCTTTTTCGGCCCTAAGAGCTCCACATTGGCAAGGGGATGCACAGTCTGCTCGATTGGGGGCTTGTCAAGCTTGACTTGCTTGTATTTTGCATCTGTCAGGTGATTGAATGTCTGCAATCATTGGTGAGCTCGATTAATCAGACTAGCGCTCACATAGGTATATTGACCCTCTTGATCTGGCTGGAGTACGATTTCGCCAGTATGGCCGTTGAATCGCGCAGACTTGTTGATAGACTTGCCATTTTGGCGCTTCTCTGTATACTCCACCATGAAAGGTGCTGAACCTGTGAACTCGAAACCAACAGTCACGCCGACGTCCATCGCACTGGTGAGATATCAATAACATCCTTCCTGGCTTAGAGCTACGCACCACTCATGTAGAGTTGTCATTGACAGCTCAACCGCTGGCGGAGGAATTAGTTGAACTCTGCATGATGACGGCTCCATGATGTCGCCTTTACACGGGCCACTAATACTTTGCAAGACATAGGATCCAGGCTGTGACACCACTATCACTTCGCCTCGTCTAGCCACTTTGATAGACTTCTCCTCAGGGCTTCCATCGACAGGATGAAATGTGTAGAGAAGGTCTGATGGCTGCTCCCCGATACCCGCCAGCAAGAGAGGTAACGTGGTCGTCTGCCCAACTAAGAGCTCCCGGCTCTGCTTGCAGTCGAATTTGGCCATGGGTCTAGGCAGAACGTTGAATATTCGTTCCGATGCGGGACCAGGAACATAATTGTTGTGTAGCGAGTCGGTAATACTGGTCAGAGATACAGCGAACTGGCCAGGTCGATCATGTACGACGCGGATGGGCACCGAGTGGGTCTTGGTGATGCGCTCTCTGGGAATGAGGGACATTTCGTCCGATGCTATTGAGTCGTCTTGGATCCCTTCGATAGTGCCTGAGATCATTTGACCTTCGCCTGATCGCTTTCTCCAATTCGCCTTCAATGTCCCCGCGCCTCGAGCGTTGAAGTAAATGATCTCGTCTTCCCCAACACAACGTTGTTCCGGTGAAGGTGTCTTGGATTTACCAATCTTGATTAGCCGACCGCTTTGATCAGTTTCGTCTGCGCTTGGGCACTCCACGATGACGGCTTCTTTCTGTGGTGTAATGTGAAACCTATCGCCTAACTTGTCGATCGCATGTTTCAGATGAATGATACTGGGCTTGTCGACCGGTAGATACAAGACTGATTGGGTGGAGAGGAGATCTGGAGGTATAAGAGTGAGGGAATCTGCGGGTTTGACGGAAGGAAGTTTGGCGATCTCATTATTTGCCTTAGCGCGTAAGACAACGGCGGAAAGAGGATCGACGACCGGATCTTCGTCATCCTCTACAGGACTGCCGGCGGGGGAGTTTGCTATGCGCAGATGTGGTCTATGGCTCGACGAGCGCTTGAGCGAGGAACCAGCGACGGTCTTGGTGCTATGTGTTCCATCTGAGAGTGATCGACTGTAGTAGGAGATTTCGTCAGGGACGGAGTTGTTGAAGACTATGGGGACGTAGAGCGGCTGCGTAGAGTCCGGAGGGATACAATAAGATAAGGATAGTGGATTGAGGGTCGCGGTGCTGCGGGTGTCAGAGTAGGGCAGTTAGAGTGGCAGCTCACCTGAATGGGCGTAATCTAATCATATGTCTTCCTTCGAGGTGAGGTGGTTCTCGCCATCTACGCAGAGAGTACCACCAGCTCCAGTACCACTCCCCACCCAGCGCTGCTGGGCCTAAGGCGTTTCAGCAGATGGTCTTCAAGTTTTGTTCCTGACTCACCGATCAGATGTATACTGGTGAAGAACGAGCCGGGCTGGGAGGAGATTAGTTCGTCTGCACCCATTGTCTTGCATGATCTCACTCACCTCTGCTACAAACCAGCAGACCGTATTCCACAGCAAGATTAATCCAGAAAGCTGAACCAACTGCTTTGGACTCGGTGACAGCATAGGAATTCTTAGTAGTGAGACGGCGGCGAATATGAGCACTTCAGATACCGTCCAACCACCTGCGGTCCACCATCCTCGAACGCGGAAGGCAGAGGACCATGTCGGCTCAATATTGGATGTGAGATATGGAGCGATGATATCCCAGATTTTGATTACCTGCACCGAGTGAGATCGGCGGGGATGATGGCGAGAGGACACAGCTCACCTCTATCAACCCGAAGATGGCGAAGAACAATCGACGTTGTTCATACGGCGCAAGCCATGATGTCGGTATCAGCGTCGGTGCCTGGGCTGGATTATGTGAGCTGCTCGAAGGAGGAGCCACGGCTCTTGGAGTCGATGACGGTCGCTTGAAAGGCGAGTCCGACTTGAACGTCACACTGGACCCGGCGGCTGATGACATTATGGTTCGACTCTATCGGACTGTATCATTTGCTCATTTTCGGCGTCGGACAGCGGATGCTCCAGTTCACTACACGATCCGTTTGAATGCCAGAGTTCAGCTGGAGGGAGGAGGAGGGTTTGGTTTATGGTCGGCAATGGGTACCCAATGAAGTTGAACCAGCGACTGCTCGTAAAATGCCATCATCAAGACGGAGATCACGCGTATCTCCGTCTTTACAACAAGCTTAAACCACGCGACCTTCTATCATATGATCCACCATCAAATGTCATTCTAGCAACTACCGCGACGACGAGGCGATGAGGGTGCAGGGATGGGATCCAGTCTTGTGAGAGAGGAATCTGCGCCATTCTACAATGATGCTGACGACCCGCAGGCTTATATGCCAGGTGTGTGTGGCTGCACCGCGATGGCCTCCTTATGGCTGAGCTTACTATATGCAGATCATCTCACTTCAGGCCATACATTACCTATCACTGTCCATTCTCGTCCCACCGCTGCTTCAATCACTCACATCTCCCTCCGTCCTAGCTTACTCAGGGGGCCCATCGACAATAAGCCATGTCCTAGATTGGCGGGAAATGGCAGCTAGACCGACAGTTACTTCCAAGTCCTTCTCTGGCTTAGACCTGGCATCCGCCGCTAATGGATGGAGAAAGCTTCGAGGAGCGTGGTCAGGGGGAAAACAAGTGGGACAAGTGATCGAAGGTGATGGCATTGGCGGCGGTGATAAGCCTAGTCAGAGCGCAGAGGAAGAAGATGAAGTATGGGATTTCGGAGTAGACGATCGTCGAGGATGGTTATTGGGTCTGAGTTGGCTCATAGCATCGGCAATAGAGTGAGTACGATGTGCTATTCGAAGTTATGGAGGCCTGTTGACGCATCGCGGTCGCAGCATCGCTCCTCTGTATTATCTCATTCGAAGACCGACTCATATCTTGGATTTCTCCCTCACCCTCGTCTTTCTCCATCTCGTCCTGACGACCTATTACGCCAAATCCTTCCCAACATCCCTTTTCTTCTGGGTTGTTCAAGCTTTAGGAGCTCTTCTGATGATTGTGATAGGGGAACAAGTCTGTGTCAAGAGAGAAATGCGGACAGAGCTCAGTATGGGTTGGGATACGAGTCTGGAATCGGCGAGATTAGAAGAACAGATAGAGCTGGTGGATCGGTGATCATGCACTGCGTGTCTACAGAGCGGCGTCCATATGTCTGTAGAGGAGTTCGGCGATCTTCAGAGGCACGTTGGTCGTGCCGGGACCGAGAGGAGACTGAGTGCCTTCTTCGCGTTCTCGCTCGAGAAAGCGAGGCACAATGTACCTCGCCAGCGGTCGATGCATCACGCTCAGCATCGTGGTACCTGCCATGTCAATTGATGCATCTTCCTGCCCTGCCGCTGCTTGATCGAGCTTATGAAATAAGGCTCCGTCACAACGGACCTGAACCAAGGATTGCATACACGGAAATGTGTTTCGGCTCAAAGTTCGGGCAACACAGGCTACTCTTCTTCTTCTTCTCCTTCTTTCATCTGTCGTCCACACTGTCCAAAGATCCACGTCCTTGTGTAAGAGCTACTGTATTCTACACACACACCAATCTGTACTCATTGGCCTCTCAACAATGCGAGGCACACTATAAACGATACTTGACACTGATGACAGGTCTTTGTCCGACCCCTCTAACCCAAACTCCCTCCCCCTTTGGCTCCTCTGTATTGTCTACAATCTTTTTGTTCTCACAAGTTTCAAGGTATGCTGCCTAAGCAAAGCATTGGCACGATGAATGCAGGACAATTGGATCCATTGAGCCATGCTTCATGCTCTCGTGGACTCGAGTCTCGCTGTGCCTCTCTGAACTCATATATAAAAGTAACTGACTCAATCCATCGCCCGCCGCCCACACATCACACAGATCACTCGTCCCATCACTTCCCCTTCCCTACTTGTGTATTTTCCACATCGCGTCCTTCTTGCATCTTGACTCAATCTCCTGCATCCCATACTGTCCTTCCTTCTCTTGGTAGTTGACGGCCCCTTTCTACTAACTCACCAACAGTGTGCTCCTCCGTCAACCTCATCTTCGCGCAATCCTTTTCCCACCCCCTTCCTCTCGCCAAAGGTCACGCCCTTTAAAGGCTAAGAGCCATGGTTCTCGCTGCGATGACTCCTTCCTCTTCAACACCTAGCTCCTGTTCATCGTCGACACCTTCCCGCACCCCTTCTCATCGCTCTCGATCAACATCAGCATCATTGTCACAGTCTAGCGCGTCCTCTATCTCATTGTCTCGATTATACAATAGAGCAAATTTGTCCTCAATCTCAGCTTGTCCCATCGTGTCTGCACCATCCCCTTGTCGACTCTCGCGTATCGCCGTAGCTCGAGCCCAGCCCGCCCTTTCCCTATCCCCATCCGACCTCTTCACCAGGCGCGTTTCCAGGAAGGTCAACACGCCTACTACGCCTAGACAGTCGAAGAACTCGGCCGCCACCTTCCCTCATTCCAAGCAACGATCATCACCTCGGACGCCCAAATTTGCAGGTATTAAAGTGTGTGAAAGGCCCATTGACAGTGCCAACATGGCGTCCCTCTTTGCCGCTCATCTCGACTATCTTCATGCCAAAATCCATATCGAGTTCTGCAATGACGCGCAAGTTGACATGATTGGTGGATACAATACTGGGTGAGTCAGCTCGTTTCGGCTCACAGCCTTGCTATCCTTTGGCTAACTTGCGCTACAGCTCGAGCTATTCCTTACCTGATCATATAATGTTGTCACTCCCAGCCTTGCCAGAGAATCTTCGAGGTCGACTTCGAGAGATTCAGCAGCTTGAGATCCTTGTCGAAGGGAAAGCAGAGTACTTTGACCAAGAAGGCAAGTGTATTGAGCAGTGTTTTATTAAACATAGCTGATCTCTTACTCCTTAACAGGTCGATACACCCCGTTCAGACTTTTCCGAGAGACCATCGACCTCAGTGGTGAGACCACAAGGCACCAGATCCCATCCGAAGATCCGAACAACGCCCAGTCTCGCCAGATCACCGTCGCTATTCCTTTCGACCTTCGTCTTCCGGGATGGCTTCCTGCTTCTCAGGCCCTAGACCTTACCGCCACGAGCTACGGAGTCATGGCGAAGGCGAGGCTCGGGTGGACCTCGCCGTTCATGATGGTGCCTCGAAAGAGTTCCAGTAATCGGTCACTCGCATCGTATCACACAACCTACCTCTCGAGCGAGTTCACTCGCTTCTCCATCCAAAGACACCGACGTCTTGGCCCCGTGGCCGGGCTCGCGCCCGAGCGACAGGAGCGCCACTTCGCGCTCAAACCCGAGACGAAGGATTTCGACTCACCTGTGGAGTGCGTGGTAACTGTACCAGATTGGGTCGATGTAAACGGCGAAGAAAAGTCTCTCAAAGTAAGCCTGAGGTTGCGTGCTAAGCGACCGGCGGCGATACCGGAGACTTCGACACCTCGTCAGAGATCCACAACACCCTCAGAAGGCTCGGACGAGATCGACATGTTGGGTTCTGTAACTGAACTTGACCCGCCAGAGTCAGACGAGCCTACCAGGGATCGGTCTGATTCGATCGATAAGGCTGCTCTGGAGGATCCCATCTACACCAAGGTCGTTGAATTGGGCATGGAGGTGGAGGAATCTGAGAGATACAGGTGAGCTCAAATTCACTACTATGCTGACCACTACAAATTAGTTCTGCGATCGCCCCGACCTTTCTCACTGCTTTCCCAATCCCTGTGGCCCAGCCTTCGCAAGACGGTTCAGAACACCCGTTAATCGAACCTGCACCTCAGGCATATCTGGCGCGGACAGGAGAAAATCCAGACCTTGAACGATTTCGAGGTGAACGGTTGAGACCATGCCTTCTAGCGGACGATGGTAGTCAACGCAATTTCTGGTTTGCTGGTGAAGGCCTGGAGCTTGGTGACAAGTGGCGAAAAATCAACATTGTTTTGCCAATGCCTGCTGAGAGCAGATCTTCGAAGAGCACAAGACCCAAAGCAGACCACGATGGACCATTCATGAGGATCAAGCACAGCCTCAAGATTCGAGTGGTGTGCAAAAATGTTGATTCGGATGGGAAGGCTGTAGTGAGTTATTTCTACTTGTATGTGATAGCGCTGACCTTCTTAACAGTCTGTGATACTCTCAACTCCCATTCGATTCGGAACATCGTTGCTTACTCTTCCCCGGGCATCGTCTACCACCCAGCCGTCTCTGCCCGCATACGTCCAGCTCTTCCACGAAAACGGGGATCTTCGTCAATGCGACCCCCTGCCACTCTACTCTGGTCCTATCCAGGTGGCAGCTCCAGTGATCTCAAGCCACGCACCTCCCTCGCCATCTTCAACGCCTCACCGTATATCTTCATCCAAGGAATGCCTCTCGTCTTCGCCATTCCCCATACCTTCGTACGACTCCCTCTTCCCCCGTTCGCGTGCCCAATCGCCTCTCACATCAGACTTTGGCTCGAGTCTTGCCGATGCAGGACAAAGTCATCGACGCGTCCGAGCCGACTCGCCCTCGGGATCTTCGGGCTATCGCGAGGATGTCGAATCCAAGTACTCATCATCTGCACCCACACTGCCCAATACCGTGTCATCCTTTTCTTCTGGCCTTCATTAGCTCCTGCAAACACTGTCACGACCTCATACAAGCGTATTGCCCACGCCTAGGCACATCACGCCTCAGGACAAATGTGTTCACCACTGATAATACTGTCTCTTGGAACGAACCCTGTACATGATAGAGCATTGCGTTTGTCTGCACACGACCTGTGTATCACCACATACCCATAGCCATCTGATCACATCTGTTATGCATTCGTGTCGCTCTTGATCAGCGGGAATCCAATATCGAAGCTCATGCGCATCATGATACCGCTGTCGCCACGGAGACTCATGCAACAAATATCGGTTTGGTCCGAAGATCCAGGATCCGAGTTATCGGGCCTGAATTCAAACATCGTGGTCCACTGTTATTACTTGGGGCATTCATGGTTTTGACGACATAACACACCTGTCTTGAAGGATCAGGGAGTCATCTAGTCTTCATCATAGACAATGAGTGGCTCATCATCCGGCGGCAACCGAGCGCCTGATTTACCGTCGAATCTGGGTTCAAGCAGCTCATCCACTATATCGTCCTTGAGGAATACGGCCCTGACGACTCGACAGCAAGAGAGCTATCACTCTTCAGACGAACGGACCAGTCTGTTAGGTCCGAATCGAGCGGAAAGCTCGACAGCAAACGGCGACACATATCACACTGGAAGGTTCCTGAAAGATCATTCTGGGGAACGGAATCCCGAACACAGCTCTTCGGGAAACGAGCTGAATGCTAGGGAAGAAGGGCATGAGAGTGGAGGAAGCAAGGACGCGTCAATACGTAACTATGGTGCTGCGACTCCGGAAGATCCTGAAATCAGACGTTGGTCTTTCACGTTAGGCGGATTCAACCGAGGGCTGACGGTAGAGCTTCAGCGAGACGTAAACGAGACGCTACTTTGGCTGTGGCCAGAAAGATTAAGCAGAGGTCTAAATACTATGTGCCTGTGAGTGTCATATAGGAGCAGTCGTGATGGATACGTTTGACGCTTGTAGGTCACGGAATGGCTGCCAAATTACAACTGGTCATTGTGAGTTGAGGCAATTGGACAAGCTAGTCTCAAATTGAACCTCCAAACCAGATTCTCTGGAGACTTTGTCGCCGGTATCTCGGTGCGTCTGGCTGACCAACTTATCATCATCATAAGGATGTGCTGACACCTGACATAGATAGCATGCCTTCTTATCCCGCAATCTATGTCCTACGCCAGTGGTCTGGCCAAATTGAACCCCGTTGCCGGTCTTTGGTCTGCCTCTGTTCCAGCACTAGTCTACGGTATACTCGGGACATGCCGGTACGTCCCGCTCACAGGATTCTTATCAGACAAACGCTCACCAATCCCATCATTCAGGCAAATGTCCTTAGGACCCGAGTCGGCGTTGTGTCTCATCATTGGTCAACTCATCCAACGAAAAATATACGGCGACCCACATATCATCCCTGAGCATCCTGAATTGGAAGCTGCCGCGATATCACTCATGACGACAGCTCAATGCTGTATCATCACCCTGGCCTTAGGCTTATTGAGACTCGGTTTTCTTGATGTCGTCCTGTCTAGAGCTCTGCTGCGAGGCTTTGTCACGGCCGTGGCTTGTGTGAGTTCGTGGCAGTCTTCACAGACTCATACATCGCTGACGAGTCGACTCCGGCAGATCCTGGTCATCGAGCAGGTGGTCCCGATGCTTGGCTTGGAATCCGTTGTTGCCAACGATGCGCCTCATCAACCTCTACCAAAACTCATCTTCCTCCTTGAACGCTTAAAACACGCTAATCCAATCACCGCCGGCATAGCATTCAGCTCGCTCCTGATTCTCATCGTCGTGCGCGTCAGTAAGGGTTATATCGTACAGAAGCAGGGAGGAAGGTGGGTCAGGTACGTCCCTGAGATTCTCATTGTCGTTGGCGCGGCAACTAGTGAGTTGAGGCATACGCTTCAGGTAAGACAAGACTGAGGAACAAACCTGTAGTTCTCACCGGCGCTTTTCGGTGGGACGAAGATGGCGTCGCTGTACTGGGCAAAGTCAATGCTGGGATCGGCGTTCCATTCGGACTGCCTCTGCGGAAGAGACAATGGAAGTATTTCAACTACACTGTGCGCATCATCGCCGACAGGCATGGTAGCCGACATTGCTGATTTCACTCAGTTTCCCACTGCTTTTGTCAGTGCTGTCGTTGGCATAGTCGACTCTGTAGTTGCGGCAAGGGAGAATGGATCAAAGTACGGCTATGCAGTCAGTGCGAATCGAGATCTCGTAGCAATTGGTGGGCCCGAATCTGCTGACCCAGCGGCGATGCTAAACGAACCCGAACGTAGGTGCCGCCAATCTCGTTGCTAGCAGTCTCACTGCCACTGGTGGTGTACCTGTTTTCGGCTCGATCACTCGTGAGCAATATCTCGTGCCAATTCTTGGATGGCGCTCATCATTTGTCCAGGGTCTCGACTTAATGGCCTAATTGGGGCCAGGTCTCAAATGGCCAGTATCATCACATCTATTTGCATGATCTTGTCCATCTTCTTCTTACTGCCGTATCTGTATTTCTTGCCAAGAGTGAGTTGCAGCAGTCGAAAGAGCTTGATTGACCACTGCTACAGGCTGTGCTGGCCGCTATCATTTGTCTCGTTGTCTATGCCTGTGAGCTAGAAAATCGATCTTCTTGGTGAGGGGCTCACCTGAAACCAGTACTCGCCGATGCACCAGAAGAGATTGTCACGCTCTGGCGCTTGAAAGCTTGGAGAGACTTTGCTCAAATGACGGGAACCTTCATCCTCACATTGATTTTCTCCATCGAGGTGGGAACTGGCCATCATTGAGATTCGTATTATCTTTCTAAACTGCTCAGACTGGCCTAGTCGCCAGTGTCGTCTTTTCTCTTATCCTTGTGGTTCAGCAATCTACCCAAACTCGAATCAAGATCCTGGGCCGACTACCGAACTCCGACGAGTGGGTCCCCATTGACGAGGACGAGTCGGCTCAGGAGGAATTTGAGGGAGTGGTGCGTCTGTCAGCTGGCACGAGGATGAGCTTACGGTCTGCAGCTGGTTGTGCGCATTAGGGAGAGCTTGAACTTTGCCAATACAAATCAACTCAAAGAGCGTCTCAGGAGGGTGAGTTGACGATAGTGATTTACATGAAATGGCTAATCGTCCATAGCTCGAGTTGTATGGTCCACAAAAATCACACCCATCTGATGTGCCACGGCGGGAGTCTGCCAAAGCCATCATCATACACATGGGAGATGTGAGTAACTCCTGGGATAAAATGGCACTCCTGACATTCGGCGGCAGGTGGATGACATGGACGCTTCGTGGGCCGACCTTTCCTGATTGTCAGCTGACTTTCAGAGCCGTACAGATTCTACATGAATTCGCGGCCGCGTATACTGATCGAGGCGTTGGGATCCATTTTGCTCACTTGAGACAGAGTCAAGTGGACAAATTTAAGATTGTAGGAATCACGACGATGGTGAGTCACTTTGAAGGCTCATTTTGGCACCTTACTGACGAGCTTGTGTAGTGCGGGCCTAGCCACTTCCATGCCACTCTTAGGGATGCCATGAAGGAGATTGAGAGCTTGGGTTATGGGCAGAGTCTCGGATCTAGATATACCTAGATGAGGTTGCATACTTTGTAGCATGATGCCACATTCTGGCTCGCCATCCCTCAAAGCATTTTTGAATACTCGAATTTGCTGAATTGCGTTGACCTGTTGAACCCCCTTGCTCACCATGGAGACTTATAGACTGTCCAACTTTCCTCCTGGCTATTCGACGGTCCACATAGCTCTCTTTCGGAATGTGGTCAATGCTCCAGACATCCGAAAAAAGCTCATCCTCGCATCGACAATGGGAGGTGATGATGGAGAGAGAGCGAGACAAGCTGTAGATTTTGGGTTCATCGAAGCTCGCTTAGTGAGTCTGAAGTGCGGTTTCCCTTGAAAGAAGATGGACGCTCTGGTATCCATCCATATACACGGTGTAGTTTGTTTGCTCATATCCCCTTTCTCAGCTCGTCTCGAGAATGCACCTTCTCATTGGGATCATGACGACTCTTCAGACCTGTCTTCAACCCTCGAACCCGTCCATCTCGTCCTCGAAAGATACGACAACACCCACCCCTGAGTCCACGAATGCAACGCCAGTCCCAAACGAGAACGCTCGTCTCTCGACACGTCCCATCACACGAACCCACAACTTGCACTCTGAGATCCTCCTCACCCTCAGTTCCAACAACAATATTTCGGAATCATTACGTCGTCACGGAATGAGCGATACGACTGATGAACTCGTCGTTGTCCGAATCGCCGATGCGGACTCATCAGAGGAAGCCGTGTGGAAGGAGATGGAGCTATTGGTAGATGGACAATTGGTGAATCTTGGAGAGTTGGACAGTGATGAATTGGTCGACTGGCCAAGGGTCAGCAAGGTGAGTCGATCCCTGCGCTCAGAGCTTTCCCTATGACTGAAGCTTGTGGACAGATCTTCAAACTTTCTGAATTGGATAGACTGCCTCTCACACCGTTAGAGATCAGGGACACGAAGATCGCAACCGTCATCAATACTGTAGCTATCAAACACGTCACATAACACGCTGGGCCTGGAACCGCACAAGACCGAGAACGATGCTGTGCATGATGGCCCATGCTTACAGACAATGCTAAAATATGCCGGAAGGCCCTTGTCAAGCCGCGATGGAGAGTAATGGGAATCGTTTGCCGGGCGTAGCGAGAGCTATAGGGCCCTTGAATTCGGTCCCAGCCCCAGCTGAAGCGGACTTTGGAGCGCCAAAGCGTAACAGTCCGTTTCTTGTATCCAATGGTTTCGCGTCCGAGATAATGGTAGAAGGTTGGATGTGTGCGAGTAGAGGGCTGAGGAGAAGTTGGACCCGGCGCAGATGATCGACGAGGAGATCCGGTAGATCTGAGGCGAATGAGGAAGGGACGGTCGATGGGATCTATTAGGCTACTATTAGCAGCGTTCTATTTCAAAGGCGCAGGAGGCCTCACCCTCGCTAAATGTCTTTTGATAGTCTCGCTGGATGCCACGTTGTCCCCTTTGATCAAAATCAAGAAACCCAGATCGAAGACTGCCTGAGCGGCACTCTCCCTCTCCATCCCCATCCACTGCTGGAGACCTATCGCTGTCGGAAGGAACTCGTCCATGAGTTGTACGACGACTCGAGTGTCGACCCCGTTAGGTATGCCTAGTCTGCGAGTCGCCTTGACGAGAGCGGAAAGCGCCGACATGATACCTGCGGATGGAGACGTGGGATGCGGTCCTGATTCATATTGAGTACGGATACTTCCTTTATCTCTCACCTTGCCACATTGCTTGGATCTCCGATGGGCCAATTTGGGGATCGAAAATCGTCTTGATCTGCCTGATCGCCTCTTCGATCGCTTCCTTTCTCCAAGTCTGCACAGAGGTGATGTGCAATTTCACAAGCTCATCGACTGCAGGTCCTGTGCGGGTCAATAGTGAGTCTATCTGAGGGACGCACCTGAGTCAACGGTGTTCATGTATAGATCAGGCAGGAAAGAGGAGGATTTCGCGAGAAACAGTGCCACCCGACCGATCAACAACTCCGCATCGACCTTGGCAATAGCTTCGGAATCTGACGAGCTCTCCAAGGCAGCGCTGAGTGTGCCGACGAGCTTCCTTTGGGTCTGTTGAACTTGCTCGGCGTAAGAGCTAAAGATAGCATCTGGTAGACCCTGCGAATCGTCATGCAAGGTCTTGGCGGCGGACTCGAGTGATGAAACGACCGAGTCGAGAAGTGGTGTCCTACCCAACTTGCGTTTTCGAACAGCAGACAGGAATCCGTTCAAGCTATTGGCAGACGAGAGAGCCATAGAGGTGGCAGCAGGGAAAGGGAGATCTACAAAGGTGAAGTCGTCTGGTATCCGGTCTGCACAACACGTCAGCGAGATCCTCACGTTGGAGTGCATACCTGGCTGTGGTCCGCCGGAGCGCAACTGCTCGAGTGCCAATCTCACTTGTGTCTCCGCTAATGTAACGAGTTCCCGAAGGTTGTTGGTCCAGACAGCCTGGATCCGCTTGTCACTTTCAAGTTCGAGAACATTCTTGATCTGTGTCTCCAATTCGCTCTCCTTCAGTAGCGCACAGATGGCACAACGTGTCTTCCAGATCTCAGCTATTGACGACAAGCCGTCGAACCAGACAGGTAACGATTCCTGAAGCAATTGCGTCGTCTCTTTGATCCACGAACTCAGGCTAGTTTTCAGGTCAGGGGTCGACGACGGCGCTATGAAAGGCGTGTAGCTGACGATTGACGACGGCAGATGCCTTAGTAAGATCTGATGAGATGGAAGATCTTGGAGGACCCTGGCACTTGACATTGGCGGCCCATCGGCAGAGATGTTGACTTTCTGTATCGGTGTTGAGAATGACGCTAGACGTGATGCTCTGCGATGTGAGACAGTCGATTGAGCGGCAGGGTTCGGAGTCCGCGCAGGTTGCGATGGTTCGCCGTGCTGCACCAGTCGAATCATTTTACCTAGCAGACTCTCCATTGCATCGCCCTCCAAACCAAAACATTCTTGAGCAAGGCGCTCCGTAGCGATCATGACGGAGACTGATTCGGACAATGTTTTGTCGATATTCTGGCCCGCAGGTACCGAAGAGGCAGACGTGGCAGCAGTGAGGGAGAGCTGCTTTGATGGGTGCCTGAATTTGGAGTGGTTCGATGATTTCGCGAGAATATCGTGGCAGTGCTTTGAGCGTTGAGACAGGAATAGGGAAAGAGCTTCTGGCATGGGGAGGTTATCGAGAAGTATGATGGCCAAGATAGTCTCTGACAGGGTCTGCAAGGGGAAAGTCAGCCCTCGCAGCAGAGGAGAGGGCGGCTCACTTGTGAATTCAACGAAGAGGTTTGCCTCAGATCCGCCGCAGCTCGTTGAGATATTTGCGATCGAAATGGTAGTAAAAGGTCCCACTGTTTCTCCAGCAGAGGCGTGTACGCCTGTCAAAAGTCAGAGACATGACACACAGACCGGCCCACCTGGTGTGAGTCATTTATCGACGACAGACCCTCTTTAGTAGCTCGAGCAACGAGCCACAGAAAAGCAGCTTTGAGATAATCCCGGCGGGCGAGGTGAGCATACAGAGCTAACTTTCAGTTTCGTCCATGCGTGAGATCACTCACCCTCCGGAGCGTCCAGGAGCAGCTTCATATGGGCAGCTATAGGTAGCAAGCTCATGATCTCCTCTGTCTCATTCTGATCACCAGCGTCACTTGTCCTTCCTCCATTTTCAAGATCTGTTGGGTCCAGACATGCCTGCGCAACAGACTTCAGAGACGAAGAGAGATGCAGGGAGGATTCGCGCAGCGACGTGATCTGCGTGGCTGAAGTGAGTAGATCACGATACCGTGTGCTGAAGCTCAAACGTCAGACCGACCTCTCGCTCATCCCTTGTCTGTTTCCAGTCCACTCACCCGACCATTGACCTCAATTCGCTCTGCTTGTTTGCGGCGTCTGCCCTCATAGTCGCCTCTACTCTCCTGACGTCCGCTACACCAAGCCTTCGGAATACCTCATCAGGATCCATAGCCGCCCAATCATTCTCCGCTACATTCTCCAAAAGCTTGGACGTGGTCCCTAGCCCGTTATTCCTCCGTGAACGCGGGGTGGCAGTCCCAGAAGCGCTGTGGCTCGACACCCGACGAGCCATAGACGGTGCAGTCGCCCCAACGGTACTGGTGCCAGATGCCTTCCTGGACACAGCAGGAACGGTGTTCCCTGAAGCTCTTCTACTTGATTGACCGAGGGATGGAAATCCATAGGAACCTCTTGTTTTTGGTTTGGGTATGCTCGAATCGGTCATGCTGGATCCGGTTGGTGAGAATAGGGAGGTCGAGCTGGTCCTCGCCGCTGTGGGCGTCGACCTTGCGGACATTTTATCACAAGGCCTTTTCTTCTGATCCCCTAATGCCCAGCTCCCCCTCTTCCCCTATGCTCTATAGATCCGACTGAACTCCCAAATCATATCCCAACGCGCATTCCCATCTCCGTCACTTTAATACCACGTCATGCTTTCTATCCCCACCTACTACCCGGTTTATCGTGGCGCGTTGGCACCCAAAATTTCCGAAAGATCACCGCAGACTTGAAGGAAGACTACTGTCCCCCAAGGGTTTCCGGGTGACCTCTTACATTCCACCACCAGTCAAGATGGCAGAGACACAAGCTTCCAACGGAGAGGCAAACGGAATGACCAAGCAATAGTGAGTCAACGTCATGTTCGAGCCACACCAACCATACCTGACGTGCTATCGATCAGCAATGTTGCTGCTCTCCCTATGCCCCCTCTTCCCGCTGAAGGCTCCGCCTCATTTTCCAATGTCCACCTCGCGATCGTCCTCTTCGCCGGGCCTTATGTCTTCCAGAAGATCCTGCCGTTCCGGACTGGCTGGACAGTCTACTGGATCTTCTTCTCGCTCATGGGTATCCCATTGGCAGTAGGTTACTGGGCCTTGATCTCTAGGATCGGCAAGCGGATCAATGAAAAGGTTGCTTTGCCCGGTAAACCCCTGGACCACTACGTCGACTTGAAGAACTCGACATTGAAGCAATACGAGGGCCGAAAAGTCCCTATGCAAAAGTTTCACGATGCGTACTTTGATGCTAAGGTAGACTTCAAGGGAGATGTTCTGGATGTGATGGAGTACAGGCATGATTGGGCTTCGTTCGAATTCACCCCAGAAGTAAGCAGTCTCTCTCTCTCTCTCTCTCTCTCTCTCTCTTTCTCTCTCTCTCTCTCTCTTTCTCTCTCTCTCTCTCTCTCTCTCTCTTGCTCTTGTGGCTTCGCACAGGTCCTGATATAGCCTCTCTTAGCTCTTCAAATACGTCTTCACCAACTTGATCCCCGAAGTCGTCATCCATTCCAAGACTCAAGATGAAGAGCAAGTTAGAGATCACTACGACCGAGGTAATGACTTTTACGCCTGGTTCCTTGGTCCCCGAATGGTCTACACGTCCGGTGTCGTCAAGGATATCACAAAGATGGAAACATTGGAAGAACTTCAGGACAACAAGATGACCATGGTGTGTGAAAAGTTGGATCTGCAAAAGGGAGATAAAATGTTGGATATCGGTTGCGGATGGGGCACTTTGGTCACTCATGCCGCCAAGAATTACGGAGCAGACGTCACTGGAGGTGAGAGCTCCAAATCGTTTCATCGCTGATCTCTACCAGTCACGCTTGCCCGGAATCAAGCTGCTTTCGGAACTGAACGATTGAGAGAAAATGGTATCCCCGAATCTCAGGGCCGGATCCTCTGTATGGACTTTAGAGATGTCCCTCATGACAAAGGCTACTTCAACAAGATCTCATGTCTTGAAATGGCCGAACACGTTGGAATCAGGCGATACGGTACATTCTTGAAGGAAGTTTACGACTTGCTTGCGGACGACGGAGTCATGGTTTTCCAGGTCGCCGGTCTTAGAACCTGTTGGCAATTCGAGGATTTGGTTTGGGGCTTGTTGTGAGGGGTTCCTGGACACTTCTTTGAAACGATGCTGATTCAGCTAGCATGAACAAGTACGTTTTCCCTGGTGCCGATGCATCCCTTCCCCTTGGTTGGGTCATCAAGCAGGCAAGTCACATCTATTTCATTATTGTTCCGCGAGAAAGCTCACGCTCCCCAGCTTGAATCCGCCAACTTTGAGATTAAATCCGTGGACGTCCTCGGAGTCCACTATGGAGCTACGATTCACAGATGGTACTTGAACTGGAAGTCCAACGAGGACAAGGTCGTTGCCAAATACGGTATCAGATGGTACAGGATCTGGCTCTACTTCTTGGCTTATTCCGTCATGTGAGAATCCTGACGAGGACATCTTGATCAGATGGACCTCTCTCTCTGACAGCGCTTCTTAGTGTCGCCCGTCAAGGATCGTCTTCCGTGTTCCAGATCACATGCCACAAGAACTTGAACGGTTTCCACAGGGTAGGTGGAACATTGATGAACCGAGTCGTTGGCTGATATCCCTCCCTCCGCAGATCCTCCAACAACCCTCTCATCAGGCTATTCACGCGCCCATCTCCAGAAAGATTGAGTGAGCCTCGTTTGTCAACCTGATATGATCTATGCTGACCCACCCACCTCAGGTCTATCTCTTGCAACGGTGGATTCTGGGAACAGAAGGCTTAGATCACCGATGTGGACAATGGTTCAAAGACTGGCGCTTGCCATAAAAGATCATACTTGGATCTCTCATGCCATAGATGAAAAGGCGAATGTGGAAGGAGGAATGCATGATGGTGGAGTGATGACCTTCCCGATCTTATGGGGAGTGTTTTCGGCCAAGCAACCTGAGACGTGTTGCAAGGGAACAATAATTGGCGAGAATCTTCATCCACTGGCACTGTGCGATGTGTCTTAGTTGAGTGTCTACAGAATTACCCTACTTGTATCAACATGAGTCGGAGTGAATTATCAGCCAGCTCATTCACCGCCTCCAGATCCAGCTTGTGCGGAGGCAGAGACCATACTCCAGTCAGAGACTCGCATCGACTGTTGCTGGCGCTGGTGCTCCCGTTTCGCCTACTTCACCTTCGGTTGCTGAGCCAGTCACATTGTTAGCAACTGTCGTAGCGTTGGCAACTCCTGGTCCAGTAGTATTGACAGCTCCGGATTGAGCCACTCCGTCATTATCGTCGGTGGAAGCTCCACCTCGGGTGCCAACAGACGCTGCCTCCGTACCGACCGCCTCCAACAGCTCCCCCGCCTGCACCGGCAGCTCCAACTGCCGCGATCTCATCGCCTGCACGACCATTTTGAGCAGATTGACCGCCCCGTAGTAGAGCTACAACGGTGGAAGCTGTGAGCGCTTGAGGATCTTTGGCAGCCTGAGTGTGGCATCACCTCTACTGCCACAATTGGGATCCCGATCCCTAGTCCAGGTCGGAGATTCTGCCTTTAGGCTCACTATGTCTCGGTCGGTTGCGCCAGTCGTACCTGGGAGTGGATTCGCAGGGATCCATATTCCATTCACCAGGAACGGGACGGAGAAAAGAGCCAGGAGGGTGAACGGATGGCATGGTGGAAGTGTGTGATAATTCGATGTTCATGACAGACGGGAAAGCAGACACATAATTATGTCCATAGTATAGCCGTTGTCGCTTAGCGACTCTCCTGAACAACCTCTAGACCGTACTATACAAGGGCATGCATACGTAGTGCTGTGGCCTCGTTCGCTTGAACGGCCTCACTCTACCCTCGAGGTCTGGCTACGCCATAAAAGCAATGTATTAATCAAGTCACAAGTATGTCTCTCTAAAATAAAAATGAAAGAAGACTGAGATCAGAGGTCTAGACAATGTACAGTGGTTTGTCAGCCTTCTCGACATTGAAGAGAGGCCAGAGAGTATACGGATGAACGCTGGTAAGGGTTCGAAGCGATCTGACTGTTTTCCATCGACGCGGATTTATACTTTTTTATCTTTGCGAGCTTGGGCGTTCCCAAACGGCGACCGGACCCCATTGTATTGCTCGCTTAAACATGAGTCGACGCGACGAGTTCCTCAGCTGATGCGATGACTTGCTCGACTGTCATGGTCTGCTTGGCGAGCTTGAGGTCCAACAAGGTTCCAATCTCCTCACAGGCCCTGAGGAGCATATCCATGTCATGCTTCGTGTGAGACGAAGAGAGGCAGAATCGGATCCGAGAAGTGATCAGTGGGGTAGCAGGGTAGGCTACGACGACGATGACGATGGGTGTCTTGTCGGCTCCGAATCGATTGAGCATCATTTGACTGAAGAGGAGCATTTTGGCAGGGTTGTAGATCAACAGAGGAATAATGGGTGAATCCCGATGTCCATAAACGACGAAACCAAGTTTCCGAAGCGCTGATGAGAGGTATCTAGAATTGAAAGCGATTCGTCTGAGACGATCTCGACCGTCTAATCCGTTGAGGACGACCTGAGGCAGCTTCATGAACGATGGCAACATATGACTGGGAACAGGTCCATAGTTGAAAGTCCGGGAGGCCCGCGAGACGATAGAGCTTGCATCGTTGGGCTCCTCGAGGGCCGGTGGTGAAGCAAGAGGAGGAGCCACGCCCATGATGGCAGACATGGTCGCGATAATTTGAGTGCAAACGGCAGGCGACATGGCTTCGGCGTAGGTCATGTGGTGGGAAGTCACTCGGAGGCGGTCGATCAAATGTTTGGTTCCAGCAATGTATCCACCGGCTGCTCCGAAGGATTTTGTAAATGTTCCCATGAGAACATCGACCTCTCGAGGGTCAATTCCAAAATAGTCACAGACACCGCGACCGTTAGGTCCCAAGGCACCGACAGAGTGCGCCTCGTCGAGATAAAGGTAGAACTAATGTCATCAGCAAGAGAGTTGATCTGGGCTGTCGACAGTCGGCTCACCTTGTACTTGTTTCTCAATTCGAGAAGCTGTGGTAACGGGACCAGAGTACCTTCCATCGAATACAATCCCTCGACGATGACCATGATCTTCTTCCAGGGTCGGTGGGTGCGTGGCTGTCCCTGAGAGATGGATTCTCTGAGCAACGATTCGAGATGTTTGAGGTTGTTGTGCTTGAAAGCACGGACATTGGCACCACTGATCCGAACACCAAAGCGGACCGAGGCGTGAATCAACTCGTCCGAGATGACTAGACATCCTTTGCTGACCAAGGCAGGAATCGTCGTTGCATTCGTTGCGAAGCCCATAGAGCAGACATAGGCTGATTCGACTCCCAAGAATCGGGCCACGAGTTTTTCAGTCTGTTCGTGCAAATCGGTCGTCCCGGTGTCGTGTCGTAATCCGCCAGACGAAACTCCATACTTGTGCAACGAGGCTTCGACTACATCCGCACAAGGTCCAGAAGAGGATGCGAAACCGAGGTAGTTGTAGGAGGAGACATTGAGGGCTCGAGTAGTGGTCCCGGTGAGTTGGAATGTGTTGTTCTCATCATGTGAGACTCGATCATAGCAAACGACTGTGCGACCTGCCACACCGGTGGTCGGACGGGAGAAGCAGTCGTCCAATCGCATTTTTAAGCGCCGAGTGTAGAACGAGTCAAAGTCAGAGTTTAGTGCAGCATAGCCCTGGAGCATGTCAGCGAGGGGGACCCATATGACTGACTCACGTCGTGAGGTACTAAATGTGCATACGCTTTGGGCAAGAACCTCTTCCCAAAAAAGTCACGAATATGCCCCAGGACGATGAGTAAAAGGTAGCTGATGGTCAGCAGGGAGTCGAATCAGCAGAAGCTCACCTCAGGTATGTCGACAGGAGGATATAGTAGGGTGGTTGAGGCTCCTCCTCGGGATGAACGGGCTCTGCTGGATCCCACTGCGAAGGTGGATCGCTGTCAGCTTCTCGTGACCCCAGGCATTTCACGTCAACAATGACGAGAAAAAAAAAAAGGACATACGTGACTGGTCCACCTCCAATTCGGGTTTGTGCACACGCCATACTCTGAATGCTTGATGGTAGTAGTCGTATTGACAAAAGGTGTCTCGAGATAGTTCTCGTATCGCTTGGCGATATCTTCCGAGCTTGAGGATCTGGAAGACCAGCTACTTCTGATAGAGCTGGCATAGCTGCTCGCGACGGTGCTGCCATGATCCGAGTAATCATCCTCGTTGAACGAGTCGAACGACTGACCATGCTTTGACGAAGCGTTGGTCGAAGTCACCGAAGTGATCGCATGAGAGCTTTTGGGTCGACGGAGGACGTTGAGCAACGAGGTTCGTGCAGAGACGGGGGATTCGCTCGTGCCCGAGTTTCCGGCGCCGGAAGCAGACGCTTTGGGGGATGATTTGGAGAATAGGGATCGAGAGGCTGTGGACAGCTTGGAGGATGCTTGACTCGACGTCGAACGACGCGAGTTGGCCTTGCCCATCATGAAGTGCTGCAAAGAATGAGAGAAAGGCCTCCAAGGGGTGATGTGGTCGAATGGGTGGGTAAATAGTCCAAAACTGCCTATCCTATGACCGATGGGGATTGGTCGGCTAGAAGATCGGGCACGGGCAAATTTGGAGGTCTGCCCAGCGTCCCGACAACGATCCTAGGTCAACTGATGGCGATGGCTTGTGAGAATGGAATGAATGTGAACGAGTTGACTGCTGCTGCTGCTGCTGCTGCTGCTGCTTGCTGATGTGGATGATGGTTGGATGAATGAATGAATGAGATCAGCCAGCCCGATAATGTCGCGAATCGACCACGAAGTTCCCTTTGAGGTCACTCTTTTTTTTTCTGTTTTTTTGACGTGATAGTCACTGTGTCAACAATTCAAAAGAAGAAGAGGGGAAAAAACTAGCGAGAGGGAGGGCAGCGGCAGAGACACGCGCGCACGCCGCCCTTGTGTCCCCCAAGAAATGCATACTGATTAGAACACGGCCACCACCTTTTTTCCTTGATTAGTAATTTACTAATAAAAAACGATCTGATGAGCCCATTAGCGGGATCAAAAATGGACTCACTTTCTCTCACCTTGCCGAGCCGTGTGGCCGTAAAGCATGCATCTGGCCCATCGATCTAATAAGATACTCGCCGAGGAATGGGTAGATCTGATTGATCTGTATGGCGCTTTCGGCCTGAGATCTTTGGCTTGGTGGCATGTATAGCTCGAGATCAGCCGAGAATTGCAGTGAAGCTGGGCTCACAGGTCTCTGATCATCATGTGCTGTCGTGCCGGTGGAGTGAGGAACTCCGTCGGTCCCAGATACGAGGAGGATACGTGGTTCAGCTTGATCGATTAGATGATCGACATGTAGCTACGACGCTCGATATCAGTCAATTTCAGCGGGGAATCGGAGAAGATGGGTGCGATGATGCTGCAGAGCAGGGATAGAGATGGCCTGCGGTTATCACAGGCTTCCATCTCTCCATCGTCTCTTTCAATGGGGGACCTCCTATATCTCACAAGCCACGCTGGGAGGATCATCGTGTGACTGCCCGCGATCGCGGACTTTGACCAATATACATGATACAACATGATGACTGGGATCACAAACCCCCTTCTCTACCTGTGTCTATTGGTGGCGACGCCTGCTCGTCCTCCTTCGTACCCTCCCAACTGAGTAAGACGAATGCTCCCAAGACCATGCTCGCGCCTATCAGACTGAGAAAAGTGACTGTGCCGACTGAGAGAGCAGGATCGACAATGGAGATGGCGAGAGTCAGCGGGATGGTCATGGATAGACCCAGTGTGACGACTGAGGCAGTCAGCGAAAAGTCAGTCACAGGAAACGCGCGCATTGGACTGGTTTTCAGCAAGGCTGAAGCCAGTAGTAGTCAGCCATTGCGACGACCAGGACTCATAAACCAAGCGTACCTAAGATATACAAGTAGTCACTCGCAAATGTGATGCTCATATTTGCAAGACATAATAGCCAAGCCCGTCTGGTCGGCGGGAGTTGAAACCTCTCCAATCCCGTCCAGTGAAGAATGGGGAACACAGGAATCAAAGCCACCGTCTGATAGAGACCGGCAAAGCTGTAGGTCTCGTGAGCTGAATAGTTTTGTGATCCCGCTCACCCCAACATCAGCATCGAATCCGCCCTGTCCTCGTCCACCAGCTTGACTTTGAGCAGAACAACGTAGCCGCCATAGCACAGTGCACTGATGATGGCTGCAAGATCTCCCCAGATGGGATGTGAGGGAAGAGGGACCGAGATTTCCTCGGTCTGAGATGAATCGGATCGAGCGACAAGGACGACACCGAGAAAACTAGCCAGAAGGTGAGCATGGTCTGCAACGGAAAGACAAGGTACCATACCTCAAAAGGACGGACGAGATGTTGGTTCGGGTCGGTTTCTCTACACCAAATACGCTGCCCAGTGCGAGAGTGAAAAATCCTAACCTTATCAGGACGATGACAAGGTTTTTGGTATATGAACCTCTCTCACCACTTGTAGCACTGAGGATGACTGCACTCGACACACTTGTCATGGCGAGAGACAAGGTGATCATGAAATTGGCTAAGAACCATCCGATAGACCACCAAGCGGAGACAATGGCCGTCTCACGTACTGTCAGCTTTGCCAGTGATTGCGATTCGACTGATTGAGAACAAGCATGAGGATCAATGTCCGCGTGGGAGATCGCTTCGTAGTGTCCACGAGAGGATGCTTTGCGATGTTTGAGCAGACTCGGTAAGAGATAAAGGGTGAAAGTCGAGGTGTTGAGGTAAGTGATACTGGAGGGATCGATCAGATCAGGAGCATCAGCTTGCCTAGACTCACAGGAAAGGCTTGTTATATGTATCGGATCCAGCTTCCAAAGCAGCAGTGATGAAATTGCTGACTGTCCAAAGCTAAGCTCATTCCCGTCGTCAGCATGGTATATCGAGGAGCTCTTCGAAAGAAACTCGCCACGACAACGATCAACAGGTAAATGAGTCCTGTAATGTATCGGGTAGGATCCTTTCGCCAAGCGGAGAGGGAGGCTTTCGGTACCTCCCCGACTGCTACTGCCTCCATGACCGATCAACTCCACTGCATCGAGAGATCGAGCGAGGATCAACTGATGAATTGACTAAACGAACAACATTGCGCTCTTTCTCTTTTCGCAAACGGGACTCGATCGATTTAGTGGAGCCCCGCAATCATTCCGGGTCCGAAGTCCACCATGATGGATGAGATACTGACACTTTCCGAGCGTACTGCAGGTTCCACAAGACTGCTAGCGTCCCGCAAGGATGGGCATCCAAGGTCTTCATATCTGGATCAGGCAGGCGCAGTGAGCACGAATTCCGATGGCTCAGACGAGCGCTGCCTGACCTCTCTACTCAGACCTCAGCTCCTGAATGTGATGAAGAGGCGTTGGGCTGATCCTGGGATATCAGGCAAGCGAGTGGCGATGTGAGTGATAGTGTTCGATCTGGGGTAGTCTGACAGAGATTGACAGAGACGGAACGCTCCTGACCAATGCCTTTCACTTGAGTCCGAAGAACGAGACACCAGGACTAGAAGGCAAAGGAGCCATCATCGGATGGTACAAGTGAGTTGAGGCGAAAGGAGGAGTCTGGAGCAGTCGCTGACATATTCTCAGCTTAGTGAAAGCTATGCGTTCGCACGGCGTCAAGCCCGTAGCTGTGTGGGACGAGCGAGGCTCTAGAGCGTGGAAAGCGGTCGAGGTGAGAAACAGCGATGCTCCATGAAGCTCCGCATCTGATCCGATCTAAAAGGCTCGTAAACGGCTAGCTGCTCGACAGTCTCATCTCGTGCGAAGTCACAAAGAAGACGATCGAGCGAGCCGGCTGAAATCGATGCAAGGTCTCTTCGAAGAGTTTTCCAGTATGACAGAAACGGAGAGGAATATCTTTCATCGACATTGGGCAGATATGCTACTTCAAACGCTGAACGTGTCGCTGAATCAGGGGAAGAAGAAGGTGGTGGTGGTGGTGGAGGAGGAGGAGGACGTTCCTGGGGACGCGGTGATGATGCCGCCCGCTGGGAATGACTTGCCCAACAAATCACCCGTTGATCAAGTTCAGACCGACTACAAAACGAGTTCCGAGCCTTTGACCCCGAGTCAAGCACAAGAATCCCTCGACAAGGTCATTTCATTTGTCGACTCGTTCAATGAGGTCTTGGAGGAGTTCACCGCGCATTATCGACCGTACTCGAGATCGTCAAGGGGCAAGAAACTGAGGGACAAGGAGGATGAAATGGTCATTGAACATGCTGCGACCCTGGAAACGATCGCAGGGGAGAGCCTGTCGGGAGGTCAGGTGTCAGAGGTCGGTCCGAGGTCAGGGAGAAGATCGACCGACCCGATCGATCAAACCCTACGCGATCTGGCTCCAGAGGTCGGTGAGACGTCGGCCCAGACAGACTTGACAAGGCGTGAAGGAGAGCTTTTGCAGACTTTTCTCGTCACGCCTCCCGACTACGCTCCGGAGAAGGCGTTCGATATATTGGATACGCCGACCGAAGGCACGATCGAATTGTTATCGGAGACGGAGAGACAGAGTCGACTGAATGAACTCACTCTCGATTCGGAACGTATGCAGGACATGATGAAGAAGCGCTTGGCGGTCCCCACAGCTCAGGATCATGCACAGTGTCGAGAATTATTGATCAAGATGGGTGTCCCGATCCTGACCGCGGAGATACCGTACGAGGCGGAGGGCTTGGCGAGTGCACTTGCCAAAGCGAATCTGGTCGACTTTGTCGGTACAGAGGATTCGGACGTATTGGCGTACGAGGTGGGTCCAAGGGGGGCGGGTGGAAAAACTCAAAGGGTGTTCGTTCTCTGACGCGTGTGACCCAGGCACCACTGCTTCGAGGTGTATCCGGTGGTCCCATCACCGCCGTCTCCGGGTCTGAGCTGCGAGAAGCTGTCGACATGACTTCATCTACTTTTCTCGACTTTTGCATCTTACTCGGAACGGACGCGTCTGATCGTATACCCGGTGTCGGCCCTGCACGAGCGTTCAAACTCATAAGAGAACACGGATCGATCGAAAACATCTTGGCCTCGAGCAACAAGTATACGACGAAAATGACCGCAGCCGCCAAGAAGGAGTTTATGAGACAAGTCGAATTGGCTCGAAAGGTCTTTACAGACCTCCCGGCGATCCCAGAGGGAGTGGTATTGGAGCAAGGGGTGTGCGACGAAGCTGCTTTGGACAGGTGGCTGGAGGATGTTCACGGGCTGAGATTTGAGCGGGGGCTGGGGTACGTTCTGGAACAAGTACGTCCATTGCCCAATGCCCCGCATCATGAGTCGTTCATGGAGGACATTGTGGATGAGGACGAGGACGATAATGATAGCATTTCATGGGACGATATTTTGGCGACGGAGTCGACGGCATCATCTGTATCATCATCATCACCACCACCTGTATCATCTTGAGACATAGTGAAAACATGCATAAAGTGTTGTACAACACAGCTTGTCAACGCAACAGTGACCCCCATGGGAGACTTGCATAGACCGCTTCGTATCTAGTCTCCATGATTCGACTGACTTTACCCGTATCCCTGGCGATACGGACCAGACCGATGCCTACGACTCCAAGGACGACGCCGAGTATGCCCCTCAGTCCAAGTTTTCGTCCTCCAGAGATCTTGCGTCGAGGCGCTGGGTCTGTGCCGCCTGTGACTCTTGGACCTCGCAGCCAAGAGACGATCTTCATCATGCCTACGCCTGCGTGCCAGCACGCAATGAGGACGAGGCCCCCGTAGGAGATCACACTCCATCCTGGCCATTTCCTCAGACTCCAACCTACGAACTCAAAGTCCAATTCGGAGGGACTGAGACGTGAGATGGGAGGATGAGGAGACGAAGGATGTATACGATGAGAGAGGATGTGAGGGATCAGAAAGAATGGCAGTGCGTATCCAGTAAGGATATGAGGCGTGAGAGGTGGGAGTCGACGAGTTTGAGACGAGATGATGATTCGGCGGAGGAGAGATGAGCTCAAGTGAACAGCGATAGGCGCAAAGACGAGCAAGGGCTCATAAGGTAGGTAGTAGTCCCTCGCAATCATCTTGAAGAAAACGTGGTTCAGCGCCCGTCAAGGTCAGTCAGACTCAGACTCTCACCATTGTCTTGTCAGCCAATGAGGATCCACCAATTGCAGCACTGAGCGGAGACGCCAGATGGACGCCGAGGAAGACAGAAAACACCAGAGCCGAGGAATTCTGGGTGAACGTCAGCACTCGGAGCACCTGTCCGCGCAGGTTGCGTCGGGGCGAGGGTGGGTCGTCCATCGTGTATGGTATGTCGAGAGCGAATAGGTTCTCTGAACCAAATCGCGTCTAAGCAAAGAAAAAAGGATATTATGCCAGACGCGGCCGGAAATTTCGGCCATTTCGGCAATTCGGCAATTCGGCAATTCCCGAACCTCTCCACCAAAAACATCCAGTTTTCGTTCCCGTTCGCTCAAATTGAGTCTTTCGAGCTCAAACTTGCGGACGAAGTTGAGGACAACAAAAAAAGGTGCAAAAAGCTGGCGTGAGTCGGGATCGAACCAACGACCTTTCGATACTCAAAGTCCGCCTTTCGAAGAGCGATCTTCAGTCGAATGCTCTCCCAATTGAGCTATCTCGCCTTGGAAAAGGGGGTATTGAATATGTTATATAAACTACTAAAAATCAGGGTGTCTTTCGAGTGGGTCTCCTCATACTCTGTAGATGGGTACACTTCCAGCAGGAGACAAGGAAGTGAGAGGTAAAGAAGAGAAGAAAAATTTGAAAGCTCCTCAAGGCCCCTCTTCGACTTGCGGAGTTTCGTGGCGGACGAAACCGCCACAAGAAAGTGCCACCAACACTTTGTGAGAAAATCCCGATGTGCTTCCTATGCGGCTCTATCCTCGGTACCATGCAGAAAAAGCTTCACATAAGCCTTGGACATACACAGACTCTGTCAGACCCACGATATGCATTGCAGTGTGAAGTCTCGTCGGACAAAGGTGTGCTAATCGTCGGTCTGGAACTCCGATAAGCCGCCGCCACTACTTTACACAATGCCGTGCTCGAGCGAATGTGGCGGGCCCGAGCCCGACAAGATGTTTTACAGTTAGAGGGAAAGAAATGCATCTATTCACAGTCTCTGTCATCAAATATGGTGCTTATTGTTCTCTCGACCTTGACAAGACAGTCCACGGCCGGGACAGAGCTCTCTTCCGTCCCTCGTAAGAGGATCCACCAGAGATAGTATGCTTTCCTCATCATTATGTATATTCGTTGTCTTTGAGCTACCCAGCTTGACATCCTTATTCAGGGAGTCACTATCCAAGTGGGAACCTCGAGCCGGATAGGTCTGTTCTTGACAACCACACGGTACGTGGAGGATGAATGCGTTACGGTATATCTGTTACAGACAGAGGGAAAGAAATGCATCGATCTCGCTTGACACGAATACCTCTATATGTATACCATTTTGGACAGTTCCACAGTGTCTGTCACTGGATATGGTCTTTATCGTTCTGTCGACCATGCCAGAAACGTCCACAGCCGGGAAGGCGGTCTCATCAAAATCTCGTTATCCCTTCTCTGGGTGCAGAGAGGTCATGATCACCACATTATATCATCAGATTTCCATTATACTCATAACTCGTCATTATTGTTTCACCCTGATCCACCTCCATCACCCCTACGTGTCACCACCACCACCTTCTCCTCCTCCTCCACCAACCTTTTCAAAGGCAGTCGCCGCCAGACCTGCAACGTGGGACACCGTCGCAGCGACGGAAGGAACGCCTGTAGCGTGATTTGCAAAGTTCATATTCACATGAATGAACACCTGTCACAGTCAGACGACGATGACAGGCTCCCCCGAAGAGATCGACTCACGCCCCATGGCTTTCCAGCGAGTTGAACAGGGTAAGCGTACAGCATCTGTGGCGATTGACCGTGGAAAAAAGAGTCCATCGGTCCATTTTCTAAGCTCTTCGCATTGGATACGACCTGATAGATTCAGATCGGGTCTCTGGGCCCTTTCTCTCGACCGACGCGCGCTCACCTCTGACGTCTGCCCGACTCGCAGAGCGATGGAGACTGGGCCTAAAGCCGCGGCTCGAGGCTGTAAGAAATCCAATTCTTCCCAATGAAGCTGATCGTGCCGGCCCGTGACTCGCCAAGCCATTTGCCTCGATTCCAGATCGACAATCTTGGCAAACGCAAAGAAATCTGCTCGAAGGAACTAAAGACTGAGTCAGCGTGAGACGAGTGGCACCTGATCTTTACCTGACAAAGTAACGAAATCAACCCAGAAAAAGTTGCTTTCGGATCTCTACTCGAATCCATGACGCTATTCACCCGCGACATGAGAAGCCAATCCAACGTTGCCGAGGCCTGTCGGGCCGAGTTGGTGTGCTCCGTCGCCTGGTTCGACATGTCGAGATCTGGTTCAGACTCTCCATCATGCTTCCGCCACATCGAGACGTGTTCAGGCGGTGCAGGTAAGAAATTCCATCGATCATGAAGCATCCGGACAACTCGATGATACCCAGCGGTAGTGAACGATGCTGTCGCACCGATGAGAAAACCCTGAGCCAATCGAGGGCTGCTGCTGATTTCAATGACTCGCTTGGCGACGAACAAGTTGAGCATTCCAGACAGCGCAAATTGGTTCTCTCGTTCCAGCTTGATGACGAGTGCCTCAGCTCTCGCCGCAGTGTCGAGATTCTCGCTCTCAGTCACCAGGAGCATGACCTCCAACATCTCCTTGCGTAGTTGGTAGTCGGGACCTAACTTTCAGCTTCAGTACCTCGACATGCTACACTCACATCCACGGCACTGCCGCAGAGCTTGAAAATATCGCTCGAGAAGACTGTCGTCCTCCTTGCGGAGCCGTATCCTCACGATTGCGGCTAAAAAAGCCCACTCTGGGTGAATAGGCAGAGATCTCATATGGATTGCAAACTCTTCAGACTGCTCGACAATGTCCAACAGGTCTTCGAGATTGATGTCGAGCAAAACACCTAGACGGAGTTTGTAGAGTCCGTTGATGACCTTGCAAAAAGTAACCCTTGGGACAATGTCCAAGTCGCCAGCTCTGATGAAAGCCCCTTCCATTGACGCGGGATCGTCTGAAGGCGGTCCGTGTAGAGCGTACGAGTATTCAAGGTCTGGAGCTATCAGCTCGCTGTCGACGACGACCCGATGCACTCACGTAGTTTCATCAGCACCTGCTGTCTCCTTGACAAAAAAGGTCGCAACGTGCGATATCGCATCAAGTCCAACGACGACGGATCGCCGAAGGGGCTGATTGCTCGCAGGGCAATTTCCAGAGCGTGGATGTCTGCAGTCAGTTACAAAACCGTCGGTCGAATGAACTCACATGCCGCAAGGTCGTAATTCACAGTCTGAACAGCCAGGTCGTAGGTCCGACCTAGTGAGTCGGCCAGATGCGACAGAGGCGAAAAGTGCTAGGCCCCATTTAGAATCGCACCAGCTGCTCCACTCACGTGCTCTTGAGTCGTGATGGTAGATAAAGCTTGACAGCTCCAGCGGTCTGGCACAGAAGAACTGTTGATACACAATGCTGCGTCAAGATATCCACGCTTCAGATCCAGGTCGTCTGCCTTTTAAAATGTCAGCGAACGATGTGATGGCCCCACACCCACGGCGTGCGCGCCACTCGCGATCATTTGCGCCGCCCAACTGGTCCGACGACCAAATGTGACAGCGATGGAAGGCGCGAATCCGAAAATCTGGCTCGATCTTTCTGTTCCGAATACCGAGGGACTACATGTCAGTGAGGATGTACACGTTGACCCACATCATGATACCTGGCTCAAGTCAGAAATGACTGGGGGATATAACCACTCACAGTAAAGCACGCCGATCTGAGCCAAAATGGCATCGCACTCAGAAATCGACTCCCTCTCGTCCCCCAGCGGGACGGTCTGCCTTGCCCACTTCATGATCTCATCGTACGAGCCAGGCATCCATCTCTGCAATTTCTTTGGATCGTCCGGGTTCAACTCAAATTCTTCCAGAGTATTGTAAAACAAATCGAGTGTCTCTTGAATCCTGTCGCTCCGAATCAACAGTTCCGCCTTGTTACAAATGATTCCCAACCGATCCTTCCTTGACTCGAGCATTGTCAGCGCCTCATCGAGCTGACTTTGACACTCCTCAAAGAGAGACAAGGTTCCACACGTGTAGACTAGGTTTTGAAGATACCTCGAGATAATGTCGTATTTTCCTCTTTGGATCCATGCGCGCATCCCGCCAGTCTCGTCAAACACTTGTTTCAAGCCATCAAGGATCGTTTTAGCAAACGTGAATGAAGCCGACTTGACGACCAGGTCAATGGACTCTAGCAACAGTATCGCAGCGGATTCCTCCGGTTCCTTTCTCGAGCCCAAATGCCGTGCTTTTAAGAGATGAGATGCCGCCTCGCAAGGATGAGCTTCGAAATAACCAGGACGCCGAAGAAATTCGGAGACTCGCTGATGGATATCGGCGAGATGGGCCTGTGGCAAAAGACGATAAGCTGCGGATCGCTGACGATCATGTGTGAAACTGGCGACGCGCTTCTCAATCTTGATGATGCCCGTGATTGTCGCTGCAGCAAGTTTATTCGCCACCTCTTGAGGCGCTTGACGGAGGTATTCTGCAAGTACTGAGATTTTGATGCCAGATGCTGGAAACAGGCAGAGCGCACCTACACAATCCCGCGCGTCTGGCGATAGAGTCGATTGGACCCATTCAAAATAAGAGTCCAGACCGCGAGATGTGAGACGGGATTGAAGGCCTTCGAGATCGACCGTCCAGTTGAGGGAATCGAATTGAAATGAGAGGACGCGTTCTCGAACAAGCGTGGTGATCAGGGATACCAGATGGAGAGGAAGTCCTCCCGTGTCTTCGAATAGCAGCTTTGATAGCACATCGATGTCCTCTACTGGACTCTTGAAGCAGCTCAGAACGAAAGTCCTCACTTCGTACTCGGTGAAAGGCGATAAAACGATTCCCGGATGTTCAGTAAAGATGCCAAGCAACAAGTTCGGTTGGATCATCGAGACGCAAACGAGGAAGACGTGGTGGATCTGAGCGGAGGTAGAATTGAGGACGACGCGCCACCTAGACACAAGGTCAAAATTGCGTTTTTGCCAAAACACTCACGTTTCCTTTTCTGAGTCCGTGACCCACTGTAGGTCATCGATCACGATGACCAGGGGCGTGTCTTCGCTCGCGAAGAGTTGTAAAAAATCCCTCGCCTTGCTCTCAAATACCATGGACATGCTCGTTGATTCGAGCGCTGTCGTTGTCGGCATTCCATCTCCATCTAGAACCAATAAACGCGACGTATCAGGGAGAAGGTTGAGCAAGATGGGCAGAGCTGAACCCCAGATATCCCGTATGCGTTGTGGCCAAACATGAGGTTCTGCCTGTGCGTCCGTCATGACTTGGGTGACGAGAGTGTCGAAAATTTGAGTGAATGTGGTAGCTGGAGGTTGGATCTGTTCATCCACCTTGGCATAAGCGATTCTAGCTTGTCCATCGTGACGGAGACGTTTAACCCAATGCGAGACCAGTCGAGTCTTGCCACTGCCGCTGGCACCCAGCACATTGACAGAGAGCGTCGAGTCTCTTTGCTGGAAACAGGTTGCTAACGCTTCGAGATGGTGAGCGAATCCAACGGGCTCTCGAGGCAATGAAAATCTGCTTTGAGCATCGGCAGCGGCGACATGGATATCTCGCCAATTCTCCAACATGCACGTCCGAGCCAGTGTACCGAGATCGTGCGCCACCGAATCGAGCGAGGCATAGCGCTCGGAGAAAGTCCGTGAAAGACAACGGGAGATGATAGCATACAACGTCCGAATGGCAGGTTCGGCTTTGTTTCGGGCGGATGAGTCGGGTGGCGATGATGACGATGGTGGTGGTGGCGATAATGATGACGAAGATGGTGATGACGACGACGACGAGGGCAAATCTTCACCCAATGACGACGGATGACTTGGCAGTCGTTGTCCCTCCCACGTCAGATGAGCATGAACATCTTGGAGCAAATCGACATCATTGTCATCGTACTGATGACCGAATGGATGCCCGGCAAGTAATTCGTATGCGACAGCACCGAATGTGAACACGTCATTGGAGGCGAGTGCGAGTTTCTGGCTGACAGCTTCCGGACTCAAGTAGCGTAGGTTACGATGGACGTACTCGGCGCCTAGCGGACGATTGGAGATGTAGTCACGTCGAAAGAGTGGATGATCGCTGACTGGGGTATTGGCTAGGGCCTTGATTGGGTCGAAACCTGCCAGAGGATAGACGTTTGAGAGGTCAAGGACGACCACAGAGTGCTGAGGTGCTGGACGGACGGCGAAATCCCGCGGTCGACGGGCCATAAGCGATAGATTGAGATCATTGAATGCCTAGAGGATGGTCGGGAGATGGCACATTTGGTCGGATCAACATTGCTCACCTTGAACGATAGAGCCAGCTGGGCCAACAACAAGGTCGCTTTACTGTAACTCAACAGTGGATCCCTGTCATGCAACGTGAATATCCCTTCCCAATACTGCAACAAAGTATCTACAGGTTCTTGTCGCTTGTCTTCCTCTGTCACGAGCCACAATGCATCGATATCTTCCCAAAAGGCCAGAACGGCGGTGTCCAATCCGACTATATGAGGGAGTTTCAGACAAAGGTCAAAATCTGTATCGGTGGTTGTCGCATCGTTGGAGGAGGCCATTTCAGTGCCTTGACTTGAATTCGAGACATTGTCCCCGCTTCGAGCAAGCGTTTGACAATCTATAGCGGTTGTCTGAGCGAGTCTCCGAAATTGTCGTTCAACGATGGCCGCTTGAACCCATTCACTCCTTTGTAACCATCTGACTCTGACATTTCGACCATGGATGCTTTCGGGCGTGATAGACGTCGGGGGCGAAGTGACAAAGCTCGCCAAGGGAAAAGCTCGAGTCGGTCTGAATATAGCTCGACCAGAGATCAGACTTGGTCCATCGTAATAGTCGGGAGGGGCATCAATTTCAAAATCAAACAATCCTCTCGCTGTGAGATCATCTTGAGAAGGGACAGCCAGTGGCATACCGATCTGTCGTCGTCGTCGTCGTCGTCGTCGTTGGTAATGCTCCTCCTATCCTTTTCGACTGGCATCACCACTTTTCTAGTCTGTCTGGTCTAGGTGTACAAGAGCGTTGCTGGGATGGAAAGTGGTATCAGCCACACCACGACTTTTGGACAAAAGCCGTCGGCAGTTGGAAAGCTCTTCGGACAATCCGAAAAAAAAAGAAACCACTGGCGGATTAACTGGAATTCCAGAGAGCCAGAGGAGCAGAGTCAGCTGTTGCTGCTGCTGGAAGGAGGAGAGCGAGAGCCAAGAGGAGCCAGTGGTCCCAGGTTGACTCCCAGAAAATCTCAGGTCAACAGAATGTTGACAGAGTAAAAAATAGGATGACAACGGGATGACCGGTGGGGTGGTCGAACCCGTTGGCTTCTATCATGTGATGTGATGTCAATCCAAAATCATTATGATGTTCCAACGGGGGAATTGAATGAATTATTATTAATCATCCCAAAAGCCAAAACGACGGCTATCACCGGGAAATAACTAAATTAGCCAAAGAGACAACGAGCGACGCAGGTCAGGAGCGGGAACAGGGATCCACCGGCCAATCTCTACCGGTTATGTGAAATATCGTGAAGCTGGTTGGTCACGCCCCACGCCCCCGAGGGCCATGGCCACTTCGACTTTCCCGTTTAAATGAAGGATCAGCCGTTAAAGTTAAAACAAGGGAAAAATCCATCCACGGGCTGGCAGCACTGTCGTGACGTTATACGGCCGGGTTTTCGTAAGGTATATATGATGCAGCAAGAGAGACCAACAACTTGTCTCTCTATGGTCATAAATACCATATATACATATCTCTCCCTTTCTCCTACCCGCCCCTACCCTCTGTCCAGACTCACCCGAAGCTTTCCCCTGCGATATGGAATGTGGCGTGTGGCGCCACATTTGCAACGCTCTCTCACATTCCATCCAAACTTTTTCTCGCTTTTACTCTCGGATGTTGGCTCGGTCAAATGATGACTATGGTGGAGATTCGGCCGGTGGATCAGAATCGTACGACTCATGGGGGTGCTAATCAATGCAAGTCAGATCTCATATCATCCGCGGTCACAATGGCCAGGTCCAGCCGCTCATCCTCGTCCGGCAAGAAACAAATACACATGCAAAGCCTTCGCCCATGAAAGTCAATCCAGTTGACGGTTCGGACGTGAGATAATGTATATATCTACAGTGGGGCTTTTCTCCGAGGGCGGCGGAGCAGCGAGACAAAACCCACCATCCAGGTCTACGGAAGAGTGTCGTCCGCGTGCCTTATCCTCTCCCCGCTAATCCGTCTTTTCCCCTTGCTTCCTCCTAGACAAGTCATATCGATACAAGATCATCCACAAGAAGCCCACAATATGTCACACAATACAGCACACACAGATTCCCCTCGGGTTGACCACCTTCTCACCAATTGTCCACACTGTGTGTCCGTTTTCGAACAAGTCACGACAGCCTATTCGCAGGGCAAAATGAACCGTCGTGATACTCGGCCCCCCAACAGCACACCCTCTCTAAGACGATTGCCACTGCCGCTTCAAACTCTTATTCTCTTGTTCAAGCTGGTCGACCATACGATGTAGTCGCTCCAACTCGGACTGCTGACTGGCATTCCTCTCTTCCACGTCGGCCAGATGACTTGCGGCCTACAGCGAAGCGAGTATTCAGCACTGATCACTCGTAGGATACTAGACCACTCACATCCTTCCTCAACACCCGCGACCTAGCTCTGAAAGCTCGCTGAGCAAGACGGTTCTGCAATTTGCGTCTTTCCTTCCGCATGGGTCGGCCACCCCTCTCCAACCTCGCAAGTTCTGCCAGTTCTTCCGGACTCGCCATATCGGCAAAGTCTGTAGGGGATACCATGGCATCGGATCCCGATACAGCCGGTACCATCTGAGCACTCGATGGACCAGCTAGAGACGTCAAATCGAGCATGCTCCTGTGTCTCGCCGCGGCATGCTCGTCTTCAGCGGATGAATTGAGAGAGTACGTCCCGGATCGCGTTCGGCGATACGTCCTGTCACCTGCGTCAGAGAATCCTGGCACGTTACTGGGGCCGGCGACTGCAAATGCCGGATTCTGCAGGCGTCAGTAAAGGCTTTCTGGAGGCTCGCAGATGCTCACTATCTCCGGGGCGAGGTCTGATCCTGAGCCCGTTATCGATGTCGAATCGTCGTCCATGGTCGAAGACACTCGCGTGGTGGGTATGACTCCCGGCACGACAGGCATGGCATTGTTCCAACCTGACCCAGGAACGAGTCCCGCAGAAGGGATGCTACTGATAGGCGAGGAGAGAGATCCACCCGGAGTGAACATTGGCGACTGAGAAGAACCAGGTCCAGTGCCCCATCTGTCTGTCAAGCATCGGCCATGCAACCTATCAAGACACATCTCATTCTCACTCACCCCATGTATTGGCAAGATGTGGCACATAAGCATTGGCATACGGAAACGAGACCATGGTGGTATCCGAGGCGGTGGATCCGGCCCCTGTCCAGGCCTGATGTGCTGATGGATGTTTGACCACTGATCCAGCCCCGGATGGTTCATGCGAGCGGTCCATGGGATGATGAAAAGCGAACGGGGAATGGGCTGATCCTGGATGCGACGGATGAGGTGGAGGGAAGTGAGGAGGATGCGATTGAAGCTGTGGCGGGATGAATTGAGATGGAGGTGATCTGGATTCTGGTCGTGTGGGATGAGACAGCTGATGTCTTACAGAATGAGGCGAATGAGGCTGTTGGGACGATAGAAAAGGTTGAAGGCGAGGTGAGTGAGGATCACCCTCAGGCCGAGATACGTGTGGTGGAGGTAGAGGAAGAGGGTTGGCTGATCGTTGACGACCAGGGAGCCGAGAGCCAGTGTCAGATTCACCTGGGGGATTTGGCTTGAACGAGTTGGATACATCTACACCAGCTGGTCCAAGCCCTGCGCTTGTTGGTCCTGACGTCGTCGAGAACTCTCCAGGTACGGTTGAGGTCGCTGGGGCTCCAGTCGCAGCAGCGTGATTGAATGGGAAGGCTGGTCCAACTTGAAGCGGAAAGCCCTTTACAGAAGATTCTTGGGTCGCCTGTAGGAATTCCTGAGGTGGAGATAGTGGAGGGCGGAAAGTGTGTGGTGGGTACGGGAACTGACTGGCAAGATGAGGAGAAGGATACTGCGTTGGAGGTGGGTGCGGTTGAAATGGAAGCAAGTTGTGAGATGGGTTACCGTACCAAGGTGGTGAGAAGGCTGATGACGAGGACGACATGTTCATGGACCCAGTTTCTACTCCTCCCGTTGGCCCTGGACCACCCTGGAAAAGAAGAGACGACGGCTGATGACGATGTGATTCCTGAGGAGATGTATGGTGTTGTTGTTGTTGTTCCTGCTGCTGCTGTTCCAAACCATAAATGTTGGTTGGTAAAGGTGTAGAGGGGACTGGTAGAGCTTGCTGATGTTGTCGTGGTAGCGGTCGTTGCTGTTGCTGTTGTTGTTGTCTTGGAATGATATCAGGCTTGGCATCAACAGTCATACTTGAAGTGGTTCCCACATGTTCTTCCATCTTCGCGCTCTTTTTTGGGCTATATACCTTCGAGTACGAGAAAAGTAAACCTCGGTCACCATGTGCCTGTCCACTTGCACTAGCATCGGCTTTGGCATTCCCAGCAGCAGCAGTACCACCACGTTTGCTTGATCCACCACTACCCCTTTTGGATATTCCAGCACCTGATACTGCTGTCGTTATCGAACCACCTCGACCTCCTTTTCCTCCGCCTCGCCTCCATTTCTCACTTGACATGCCTCGTCTCGTATGCTTATCATCCGTCGTGCTGACGAGCCAAAGGAAGAGGGCAGGGAAAGAGAGAGAGGGGGGGTGGGGGGGGGGGGGGGGTGAGGAGGTAATCTATTTAGTCCGGTCCAGGTTAATGGTTGGATGAATGGATGGATGATGTGATGATAATGATTGATGATGATGATGTCGTCCTTATGGTCCAGGTGTCATGGTGAGAAAAAAAGATGTATATTCCTTTTAAGAACGGGTCGCCCCCCTTTCTTTCGCCGTGGCCAGTCTTTGCCCCCCCGTCTCTCTCTCTCTGTCTGTGTTGGCAACCACTTGTGGGTTCAGTCGAACAATTACAAATCAACAGTGAAAGAGAGAGCGAGTGAGAGGTCTACTATTCGATATTCCTTCCACCACCTTATTGGGCGCCCGAATTCAGGGGCACACCGTCCCAAAGGGGGTGGCGGTTTACTTGGTATTATTTTAAGATTTCACACCATTTTGACCCGATACGTACATGCGCATCGCCGAGATATCACGTGACTCGACTGTCCGGGCCGCCGAAGCTCGACTCTGTCATCGCCGTCTTCGCCTGATACTCATCCTCAGGTCCCAAGCCTCAGAGTCAGTGTTGTCCCATGGTGGTGGTGGTGGTGGCGGATAATAATAGCCACACGGCTTCGTGCCTATTTTATCAGATATGGCGGGGGGCAAAGAAAAACGGGAATAAAAATTGGCATCGAGGGAAAAAAGCTACCTCATCCCTCCTCTCATCTTGGACAGAGTGAGAGCGAATGAGTCTTTGCAGTGGAGATGAGTCACCTCGCCCCTGGACAACGGGATCATTGGACCAGGCACCAGTTCACAGTAAAAACAGAAACGTAGCGACGGAAAACACACGTCAGCATCTATAGCTTGAGACTGGGAATTCAAACTCTCTCTCACCTCGGAGCATGGACGGCAATGGCAGATTGACCAAGTCGCTTATGACATTGAGGACATCTAGAGTAAAGGGCATTGGTTAGGTTTGACCTTTCTTCTTGCACGTGGCTCGGTCTCTGTGCCGGGCTGTGCTGTGTGCTGTGCTGCGCTGTGCCTCGCTCGCCACTCACAATCTCTGATCTGTGATTCTGACCCTGTGGACCTGCAGATCCAGAAGGATCCTGTCCATCTGATCTCGCCTAGCCATCAACAACTCTTTGACGATTTGCCCATTGTTCTTCCTGGCAAATCCGTCACGGAGCGTCTTGAACATGAACGCCTCAACTTGCTTCATCGTCACAAGAGGAGGTAGTAGACCCAACACTTGCTCTGCATCGAGTCGCGTGCCATGTGTGCCTATGAGACTCAAGGCAGGCTCCAGTAAGACCGGATCAGAAGATGATGGCCGGAGATATAGGGTTAGCAAGAGTAAAAAGATACCCTTCGGGTCCGGGTCTTTGGCGTAAACCTGCGCGCAGTAGCTAACACACCTCGGCGTTAGAGAAATGGCGAGGACCGAATGACGATGACTTTTATTGCTCACCTCTCGGCTGCGGAATAATCTTTCAGCCGGTACAAGTATATCTTGAGAGCTTCCTCATGTCGTCCCTGTCGCCCCAGAAGGACAGCCTGGACCTCAGGGATATCTTCGGGGGATCAACACGTCAGCTTTAAAAAAAGAAAACGCAGGTCTTTCCTCTCGCGCGTCAAACTTACCTCTGGTAAGCTTTTGCGATATGCGGTAAGGTCTGTAACTATGTGACCGTGCCAAGAAATCAAGCAATCGTGCCAGGCCATCTGTCATTAGCGGTTTGGTCATCTCGATATCCGACATACTCTGCTCGTCCACTCGAGCCAAGTACAACTCGGCAAGTCTATCGTGAAACTCGGACCGGGTTTCCCCGAGGTCATCAATTATGTGTTCGAGGTACTTGCTGCAACATGTCTCGTCGGTTTCGTCAAGGAATCGCATGACCTCCATTCGAGGGAGAGCTTCAACACCAGCCTTGTCCGCAGTGAAGATCTGAGCCATTTCAGCCTCATCCACTCTACCCTCGCACTCACCTTTAGAGCCATCCCTGGGTCTCCCTTGAATATCCATTTGGATGTCTCCAATATCAAGGGCAATTCAGACGGACCGAGTTTCTGAAGATACTCGATGGTAGGAGGGTATCGATCCAACTTGTCCTCTTCCTCCATGGCGAGACTGGACCCCTCGTCAGCGGGATTCACTCCTTGCGCGACAGTATTTACTCGTGTAGCATTGCTAGCGCCTTCTTGTGCATCTTCTTTCCCTGGTAGAGGTCGACGAGGTCGCTGAATTTCTAGAATCCTCTATCAGTACCTCGACACTTGGCAAAGACCCTGGTCCCACCTTTTGATCCTTCAGAAGCCCCTCTACCTCCTCTACATCACACCAATTCTCTATCCGGCACAGACTGCCGACCAGAATTGGTCTGGCGACTAGATATACCTTGATCAGAGCTGTATAGACGACTTGCGCCATCCGCAGCAAAGTTTCGGGGTTCAAGTCAGAGAACGGTGTGGAAGGTAGAGCGTAGAGCGTCTCTGCTGCTAAGGAGGACAAAGGTGCGAGGGATGATTCAGACGGCACTTCCGTCGTCGCCATTGGCGCATTGAGCTTTTGACGACGATCTGTCAGAAAGTAGACCAGAGCTTCGTATGCTGCACGGGGGAGAACGACTGGGTCGTGAGTGAAATCAACTTGTCCGATACCTACCATCGTTTACTGTTGAGGAAAGGTCCTTATCCCCGTTCTTGCTTTTCAACGTCTCCACACTGCTCTTCTTGTGGACATGCGCGACTCGGCTGAGCAATCCTTTTGACGTTTCCTGAGGTTGAGTCTCAAATCTAGGCTCAAGTAAAGCGCCATCGACCGCTCCGAAGAGGGACATCCAGGCTTCCCTATTATTGTGAAGGCGACCTGAGATCGTCTCGGCCGGGAACAGTGAGATAACAAGCGCGGGATTGACATTGTAAGTGACAAACGTCTCCATGGCGGTCTGATATTGACCCTGTGCAAATCGCTGGACGGCCATGAGAGTTTTGAGATGCGGCAAGCGACGAGACTGGATCTTTGTCAGCTAGAAGAGTAGCTTGCGGAGCTCACAGGTGCAAAGCCCGATTCTCCGACGGCCTCAACGAGACCAATGGCATCTGCGACTCGGCCTTCTTGGACTAACGAGTCCACACATTCGCCAAGATCACCACTTTCGATGGACCAGATGGAGCTTCCCTCACTCGTCGCTAGAGTCTTGTCTAGCGGTGTGGAAATGAATAGGAATTTGATAGATGAGGATACAGATGATGCCAGGGTCGAATTTGAGCTTGATCGAATGGGACATAGATGCTGCGCTGTGAGTCCACCGGCAGATGGTAAAGGCAAGATGAGAGTGGTGTACAGGTGCAGAGTGGGTGACAGATGTACTTGAATAGCTGATGTTGGTGGTGAGACGGAAGACGATGCTGAGGAGGATGCCGTGGGAGGGACGAAGGGGACGATAGAGTAGATGAAGGGATTGGAATATGCCAGGCTTTCAGGAGGAGCAGACCAAGTGAGGGATGACGAACGGGTTGAGCTACCTTCAGATGAGAGAAAGATACCATTGTCTGTAAATTCAAGAATGAGTCTCAAAGCATCTGGGAGCGCCAAAAATGACTCACCCTCTCTCGCGATACATGCTTCTCCCTTGACAGTCCGTGTTCCCACGGGATTGGCAGCTTTTCCACCTAGACCGACGTAACCTCCGAGACCAGACAATGCACTGACACCCATTCCCTTCGATAGACCGCTCCCACTCGTTGAGGGTCCGCCGGATCCTTCAGCGGAGGACGAAGCGGACTTTTCTTGTGAATACTGAGGGCCGGTCAAAGTGATATCCGTGACAGATAGGTGGGTCGATGATTCTGGATCAATGGAAAGGAGAGTTGAAGAGGTCGTAGAGTAAAGGAGGTGAGCCGTACGTGGAGAAAGGCTCGAGGAGAGGACAACATGTCGTGGTGAGTGGGGGAGTGAGAGATCCTGACAAAGTGGGTGGATGCATTCAGCTGCACATCAAGGTCGTGGTGTGGGAATCCCCCTCTCACCCATGCTTCCTTGAAGCCTCCTCTCCCTGCGCCAAATACGACAATCTTTTTCCGACACCCGACGAACAGCACATCCCCTGTCCCAGTCGCGTTCGAGGCAATCGCAAAGCAATGAGCGTAACGAGCCAGCGTCAGAACTTTGATCTGCCGAAGCTCGTCGAGAGAGTACAGCGTGACGGTGGAGTCTGAATATGTGTCAACAGGTGACATCTTGAAAGTTTGGGGGGGGATAGTACTGAGAGCCTGTCTCACCTGATATGACCACAATTTTACGCTCGTTTGGTAACACGCCGATCTGGTCTATCGCTTTTCTCGAGACAGGATACGCCTTGATATGCTTGACTGTGGGTTTGGTCTCCCCTGTATCCAACTCCCAAGAATAGACTCGAATATGACCTGTCGAGGTCCCGAGGTAGAGTCGATCATCTGACCCTCAAAGCTCAGCACAAACAGCCCCACACTGGAACCGATCTGCAAATGCAAGTCGACCCACCATGATGATGAATCGCCGTGATCCTCGTCTTTAGAGCCGGGAGCAAGGGGTGGAGAGAAAACTCCCCAGAGGGCGTCATGATGTCCACCTTGGGCCTCTCATCGGTCTACAAGGGCGTCTAGAGGGACGAGACAGTGGCTGTCAACACAGAAAGAGAGAGGGAAGAACAGGAGACGAGGACATGGCTGAATTCGTCATGTATGCCATCTGCCATTCGTCGCAGGAAATATTACGAAAAATCGGGGACGGCTCGGCTGTAGCGTTCAGGACGAGCCAATTTTCTACATCTTCACCTCTGCGGTACTTGAGATCGATCACAAGGTGTACAACGCGTGCCAGGCGGTCAATTTATAAGGGTGCTTCCATTGTCTGTGAGCCGTTTGAGAGATCGCTCAGTAAGTGCAAATTCACCACAGCGAGCTCCCACAGGGAGACTGACTCTTTTCTTATTTCACCAGTTCCATCCACCATGATATCCGATACGACATTGACCAACCTGTCCAACGGCCTCGGTGTGGCTGCCATGGCATTCATCGTCTTGTATCACTTTGTCGCTGTCAATGGAAAGCGGATGGAGCGGTGAAGAGCGGGGAATAAGACCGGTTGAGAGAGGGAAGACCCCAAGAGGTAGGTTTTCTAGATTTTACAGGTTTTGGTTACTTGTCAGACTGACTTGCTGTTCGTGTTAGGATACTTGATCGATCGAGAGGTTGGCGAGCATGGAGACCAGGGGGAAAGGCTCGGGCAATTCGAAAAGTGTTGGGAAGGTCATTGCTCTTCTTGGATCAAATCCATCCAGTCTGAGCAATAAAAAAATCTGACAGGGTTGTATTTTCTTACGCACATGGACGCATGCATTACGGGTCTGACTAAAGGTTGGAGAGGGACACATCCTGCCAACGCATTGATGCTGATGCCAAAGCCCCCCCTGCAGCTTCGCCGCCAAGGATGAGCATCAATTATCCTCGAAGAGCGTCTCCCACCAATATGTGAACGGCAAAGCTGAAACGTGGAGCCGTGGCAGGCGCGATGTGCCAAACTCGTGTATCTTTTCGAGCAGCCGTTCCTTTTGGCAACTATGCTCCGTCTGCATCATCGTCTTGTTCCTCTCCTCTCCTCTTCCTTGAGCTCAACTTCCTCCTATTCTCTTCAGAGGCCTATCCTGTCCTGCACACCTCTTGATCAAGGTCACCCCTTGTCTACTCGCAATATGTCATCTCGCTCATCGGCGGAGAACACCTCGGCCAAAGATATTCCGACGCTGCATGACCTATACGCTAAAGATGAGCTCCAAAACTCAGAGGAGGAAGATCCCGTCAACTCTGCGGATGAAAAGTTGAACAGCCGTATCAGTATCTGGAGAGGTGAGCGGGGTCTGCAGGGGGACACGATCCGAGCAGATCGGGCTGAATGTCCCATCTTCGTCATCTCAAGGCAACATTGTCCATCTACAAGTGCGTGACTCGAGCGTTTGGCCGACATTGTCTGACTATTTGTCAGGCCGATATGGTCGTCAATGCCGCTAACAAATCACTTCTTGGTGGAGGCGGAGTAGATGGAGCGATTCATCGTGCAGCAGGTCCAGAATTACTCAAGGAATGTGAGGGTTTAGGAAGAGCCGAGACAGGAGAGACGAAAGTGACACAGGGGTACAGAGTGAGTCTACTCAATGGCAAAAGGCTCCGATGCTACCTTGTTCTCGTATCGATGTTGACGAGCAACCACCGTTCCGCTTCGCTTCGCTTCGCTTCGCTCTCGCAGCTCCCTGCCAAACGAGTCGCTCATACCGTTGGACCCGTCTATGCCAAGACAAAAGTTGATGAGAAAGCTGCTCAGCTCGAAAGCTGTTATAGGACATCCTTAGAATTGTGTGCCGAACATGGAGGTGGAGTCATAGGCTTCTCAAGTATCTCTACTGGAATATGTAAGTCATCCTCATGATCTCTCCACCGAAGGCAGAGAAAGAGAAGGAGGAAAATATAAGCTGACGGCAGCGTTATAATTGTGGTAGATGGTTATCCTATAGTCGACGCTACGAGGATAGCATTGCAAACCACCAGAAAATTTCTCGAGACGAATGAGAATGCGAGTCTAGCCTTAATCATTGGACAAAGCTCATGAGCTGACTTTCAGACCCAGGTCACCAGAGTCATCTATGTCACTTTCTCCGAACGGGACAAAGGAGTGTACGAAAGTCTCGCTCCGATCTACTTCCCAAAGCCCTGATACCTATTTCTCATGGTTCAATCGCTCTTCTGCTCCAACCATGTCTGTCCTGTCCACGTGTAGCGTATCTCATGTCACTTGTACACCTCTGTATATCTTCCCTCAAGGGTGGCTATTGCGCCGATAGATTCACCTCCCGTCTCATTCGACGTAATGTTTTACATCTCAGTCTGTCTCGTGATATCATGGCGTACAAAGTGCAAGTACAATCTAAGCAAGTGACAGGTAGAATACAGAGTGACAGAGGTGGCTGTCTTCACAAGCCTTCGTGAATGGGTCATAAACGGTCATCAGTATCCTCTAATTACAAGACGTTCAAACGCTGGAGCTGCGCCGCCCGGCTTTAGGCATCAATAATCGGCTCAAGATCCATCTCCCGAGCATTTTGACGAGTCCAGATCCCGGCGTCACTTCACCTATGCTTGCCAGTATTGGTGATATCCCCGCGTGATGTCTGTATCGAGGGTGTCGATCTTCAATCGCTCGCCTCACGGCGGAGAAAAGAAGCGCGTCGTCGACTGCCCAGAAACGAGAGATAAGCGCCAGACGGGAGTTGTAGATTGCCTCGGGGCCTGAATATCACATCAGCTACGAGTGAGGAGATGACTTGATGACTCACTCTGCCCGTCCATGCCCTGAGCGGCCGTACCAACATCACTATGTACGCTAACCAGGATGAGCCTCACCACAAGTACGAAGGATTATCATGCTTACCCATCTTTCTCGATCCACTGTAATTTCTGGCCACCCGCGCTCTCAGTCGATTCATCACTCGAGTGGCGGAGATGATATCCCCCTTTGGTCTTGAGTCGCGGTGCAAGGGGTCCTTGTGAGGCATGAGATCATTTCTTTCCCTCGAGCTAATTAACTCACCCGTCTTCACTTCGCAGACATCAATGCCTTCAAATCGCATTTGCTCCCGTAGCCATCGGGCAGCTTCTGACCTGGCTGCGTCAATTACTCGATTGACCAGGCCGCAACCTTTATAAGATCCAGCATGACCTTCGTTGATGAATATGACTCGGCCGTTACTTCTGGAAAGATCACCAGTACTGGAAAGTTGATCCCTTAGCTCCCGGACGACTGCGAGGGGCTCGAGAACTGTTGAGCGGTAAAACGTGAACAGGTGATGCTCGTCATCTGGATGAAACGATGGATGGGGCCTGTTATCGGCATGCAGATCCTGCTGGTACAATTGCTGAAGACTAGGCTTGTCTTCGGGCAACAAGCGAGGTGAAAGGTAGGGCGGACTGGTGAAAACGTCTGAAAGATTGGGTGAGCCTTCGTTGCCGAATGCCTGGACTTGAGCCACATGACGGGATCTGTCATAGCTGTTTGTCGCAGGAGCAGAGGACGCTGCACAGACTACAGCGACCAGGATCAACCTGTTCTCGCGACAGTACGCTCGGATAGTCTCGCCGGCATGCACATATCGTCCTTCACTATGCTGTCGGAGTGCATCGCTGTCCGACAAAGGATCCATGATCAGCGGTACAACAGCACCGGGATGATTTGGATCCTTTACTTTGAGGCGTTTCTGAACACTTGACCATTTGAGCAGTAGGGAGGAAAGAGGCGTAGAAGTGGGAGGTGAATCGGGGGACGGAAGTGGCACAAGGGGGAAGACGGTGTATCCAGATTTGGCAAGCATCAGAGTGAGCGTTTGTCCGGCTGTGCTCATGATTTCAGCGCGAATGTAGCAGCCATCATGATGGATGCACCTCACCGTGACTTGACCCGAGGACTACTACTGCCAATCCTCGTGCCCCCTCAGGTTGAGTCTTGGACCTTGGGATTTCCTCGCACTTGACCAAAGCTTGACTCAGTCCAATGCGAGACAACAGCCTCTGATATATGTCATGCGCTAATGAAGCGGTTGCCTCGTATGACAAAGCAGCGAGCGCAGTGACATCCTGTGATAAAGCCAGCAGATTCCGAGTGATACTTGCGTAGTCCGGTCGACCGCAGAGAGGTTGAACTTTGGCCTTTGAGTGCTCAGACAAGACATTTGTAGCGATAGGCATCTTGATGCTTTACTTCAGGGTCTCAGTCAATGCAGGAAGTGCTTTCTTTCACTTGTCGGTTGTCCGCCTTCGTTTCTCCTCGTTACGCACTCATCCTTTGATAACCTTTACACCGAATCGTGCTCCACAGTGAGCTCGCGGGATAGTGTTCAGCCGTTACAGGTGGAGGGGGTGGGTATGCTCAGAGCTATGAATCCTCGCTCAGGAGAGTTGCAAGCAATTCGCGGTTCGCCTTGAGCTCTCGAACCTGATGGGAACTGGAGAAAGCGTGAGAACTCTTGTGATAAACCAAGGGAAAGTCAACCACGATCCTGGTCGTTGAGGGGCACCACGCGACTGCAGCACGTGATGAGGTCCCCTTTCACTTTTCCACGGTTGTGGCGACGCAGCCAAGACCATGCGAGTCGATCGAGTCGAGAGTGACAGAGAGGTATGCAACTATCTCTAGGCGTACGAGGACAAAAAGGTGAAACTGCAACAGCATCACTGCTCGTCATAACTCGCAACATGGCCGGGGCAAGAGCAAAGACACATAATTTTGCGGCTGGTCCATCGCCGTTGCCCACACCTGTTCTGGAGGAAGCTGCTAAAGGTCTCCTCAATTATGGCAATACTGGTATGGGTATTTGCGAGTTGTCACATAGAGGGAAAGAGTTCAAGCCAATAGTTGAAGGCGCAGAGGGTGAGTACATGCCGTTCTGGCTCTAAGTTTCCTCGTTGAACTTCTAGCTTCTTTAGCCAACCTGCGCAAGCTACTCAATGTACCTGAATCCCATGCTATCCTCTTTACGCAAGCTGGAGGAACTGGACAGTTTTCCGGCGTAGTCTTGAACGTTTTGGCGTATCTCCGCTCGAAGAGAGCTTCCACGTCCTATGAAGAGTACAGACCGCCAGTCCTCGACTACGTTGTCACCGGCGCTTGGTCTTCGAAAGCGCACGCTGAAGCTCAACGATTGTCCATCCCAGCTGTTCCGGGTGGTAAACCATTTGCGGAGCCTCGCATAGCGGCGACGACAAAGCCTTCCAAGTACACCACTTTGCCAAAGAAGGAAGATTACGATATCTCTTCCGATGCTGATATGGTCTACTATTGCGAGAACGAGACTATCAATGGGATCGAATTCCCCCTAGATCCCAATTCACCTTTTGCCTTTCCATTCGACTCTGTACCGAAAGATGCTCTCATCGTCGCGGATCACTCGTCTTCATTCCTCTCTAGACCTATCGTGCACCTCGAACGTCATGCCATTATCTATGCTGGTGCACAGAAGAACCTCGGTCCTTCAGGCGTTACTGTCCTCATCGTTCGGAAAGACTTGCTGGTCGATACGACAGAGGCTTGCAAGCTTGGTGGATGCCCCGTCGTACCTATCATGATGGAATACAAGGTCTTAGCGGACAACTCAAGCTTGTACAACACACCGCCAACATTTGCGATCTACGTTTCTGCTCTGGTCCTCACCTACCTCTTGAAAGAAAAAGGCGGTATCGAAGGGTTAGAAAAGACGAACAGAGAAAAAGCAGATATGCTGTATTCGACTTTGGATGAAGCGCAATCAAAAGGCGTGCTCACTTGCGTAGTCAAGGACAAGCAGGCCAGGAGCTGGATGAATGTGACATTTGAGATCGTCGGTCAAGAGAAGGAGAAGGAGTTCTTAGCTGGAGCTGAAAAGCTCGGTTTGTATCAGTTGAAGGGGCATCGTTCGGTGGGCGGTGAGTGAAGACGCTGGGACTTGTCGAGTTGGGCTGATCCAATTGATTTCAGGAGTTCGAGCATCATTATACAACGCTGTTGAGATCGACTCTGTACGCATATTGTGCGACTACATACGTACTCTTTACCAGTGATTCTTCGACATTCATAGATATTATTGCATAGAGCGATTCCGACGGAGCGATCGCAATCTCCGAGCAATTGAGACGTATGATGAGCAGCGACAATCTTGAGCGATGTTGTCACCTTTTGTGCTTTTGTTGCCCAGTCTTCTTACACTGAATCCAAGCATGACCATCGCTCAGTCTCCTCAGAATGTCCAAGCGGTTGGAGAAATTCCCCTCGAAGCGAGCCTGTCGCCATCCTCCCTTCCACCAGAAGCCATCGAACTTGCATCCCGGATATTCAATTACGCCAGAACAGGGTCACCTCTACTGGCACAGTACCTCTCAGCAGGTATCCCACCTAACATGACAAACTCGGCAGGTGATACGTTGCTCATGCTCGCTGCATATCATGGTCAAATCGAAAGCGTGAGATGCGTCTTAACTCACGGAGCCGATATCAATCTGGTCAATGGTCGTGGGCAGACACCCCTGGCAGGAGCCGTCTTCAAAGACTATCATGGTGTCGTGACGATACTTGTGGAGGCGGGTGCCGACTCAAAAGCTGGACGACCGAACGCTATGGAGACGGCTGGCATGTTTGGTCGAAGGGAATGTGCGAGGATCATGGGATTGGATTGGGACGAATGCGTCAGGAGCGTGCCTGAGGGTATCGTCCTTGGTCCACATGGAGATTCATGAGTCCCGCGAGATCCGCAAGCAAACCCTCTTCTCACTTCACTCACCGTCGTCAGCGACCCAGTGGGTACCGAGTGAAGCGGCGTCTCATGGAGGACTTCTGAATGGGTGCTGCTCAATCCAGCTTCAGACTCCTCCCAGCAGCACCCCCCTCTACGAGCAGTCTGTCAAACGACCTACCTATCATCATACTTTGCCATCGCCACCTCTGTCCTCACAGTCGTCAAGCTGTTCGACCCCTCTTTAAAGTGTTGACATTGCGTCATTCTGGTCTGAAAGGAAACGATCAGTGCGCGACAACGCTCACCCACTGACTCCCTTTGGACCTTGGCCACCAAACAAATTCTTTGTTCTTCTCAACGTTCGTCTCTCAACACTATCCCCTCTGTACCCTCTACCATCTCCTAGTACTCTACTTCTCACCCACTCTGCACACTCCACCATGCTCGCCCGCGCAGCCTTCCCCGCATTCTTCCTCGTCCGTAAGTTATGGTTACCCCACATGTCTTGGCACGTCCGCTCACACCCCTCTCTGGCTCTCCAGTCGGAGGGTTCATCATGTTCCTCCTTGTGACTCTCTCTGTGCCCATCATCAAAACAATTTACCTTCTCAAGATCGAGTATCCAGGTGGAAGCACAGCTGCCAATATTGGTGTCCTTGGGACATGCTTTAAAGGCGGTAATGCAGAGTCAGTTTCTTCTTGATCGTTGTGCAGTGGAAAAGACAGAACGCTGGCTCATTTCCCTCGCTTACAGATTCCTCGGATTCGATTACTCTGGTACTGCCTACTGTACCGATCCAAAAGTGGGATACAGGATCGACCCTTCTCTCCTGGGATACGATGGGTCTCGTAACACCAGCAGCATCATCGTGCGAGCTCTCTCCGGAAGTCTAATCATAAACGCCTTGGCAGCTGGCTTCGCGGGCTTCAGTCTCTTCTTCGCCTTCTTCGCCTGGCTGTGTGCTTCGAGAGTCATGGAGATTGTGAGCGAGACCACTGAATCTTCTTGCTGACAGCCTAGATCCTCTTCATCACCATGTTCTTCACTGCGTTCGTAGCTTGGATCGCGTGGGCAGTGAGTCCGCTTCGTGAAGTACTTGTGTGAGACATTCGATGACCTGCGCAGCTCGACTGCGCTCTTACACTAGTCGCTAGACGTAGAGTTGATAACTACACGTCTGGTACTTTCTCAGGGCATATAGGAAATGCCTTCTGGCTGGCTCTCGCTGGAGCAGTGCGTCTTGACCCATGTGGTAAAAACTTTGCTGATAGCCCTTTGTCAGTTTGCTCTCTCCTTCGGTCTCTGCTTTGCTGGCTGCGGCATGTTTGGACGATACTCCAGACCTAGAGAAAACTATGTCGGCAACAATGTCGCACCCTCTGGAGCCCCAGCTATGGCTGAAAAGCCAGCAGGACGAAGACGATGGCCGTGAGCTCGAGTCTGTGAAGTGTGACGACAAGCTGAGGCGAATTAGCTGGCAACGAAACACTGCGTACCGAGGCACGTACTGAGCCCTTCCTCGACGACTGGCACGACTTTGACCTTTAGTTACGGCCTTTCACGACATTGCAATTTTAACTTACGATCCATACACGAGTACACTTTACAAGCTTATCATTCGTTAATGTCTCGATACGTCCCTGTCTCTTCTTTGCAGTTCATTGTCTGGATGCAGATGTGTTTCCTACAAATGGCTTACTCTACAAATGGCATCATTCATTTCCGCCATATGAGCGAGACTTCTCACGCCAAACATCTGCAAAGTCTGCTGGTCTGCCCATTGCTTCCCATCGAGAAACGACAACCTCCTTGTAGATGCTCCCGTAGATGGCTTTGCCGATATTCACATCGACCATGTTACCCAGCTGACGATCCTGCTGCGACATGCTTCTCAGTGGATGCTACGAAGATCACGGAAAAGCGAAGAGCTCACCTCGAAGACCGTCCCTGCAAGCTTGTATCCATCAGGAACACCTTGCGCTCTTTTCCTCTCCGCTATTGTAAACGTCCGATGTTGCTATGACATCTTCAGAGATATGCTGTCAGATGTACCCTCACGGAATAGTGGATCGGTCCTGTGTTCTTGTGGCCTGGCGCAGAACTCGTCATCAGGGTATAAAAGCCACCATTGGGATCCACTCTTCGAGCGTTTCCTACATGATCAGCTCGGAGTGTTGTCGGTCAACTATACCTTCTACGACGACAGCTTGAGGCGCTTCGAATGCTTGTCTGATACTGAGCACAAACGTGAGCCCCTGCGAATCGAGTTGAATCTAGACTCACAGCTGTAGTTCAGAAGCGCTTCTTGGTGGTGTGAAATGGTCGACAATGACTCGATTGTCACCCCGCAATTCCCTTTGGTACCGTGTTAAAGGATCCGAGGCATATGCTGTGTGTCCGAAGCCGGCCTTCATCTCTCCCCGATGACCATGGCGCATAGCGTCGAATGTTGGAACCCGTGAATGGGGCATGCCACTTCTGTGACACGATGAGAAGCAGCAGAAGGGCACGGACTCACATTCTAAAATGGAACGCTAAGCTTGGCGTGAGTATAGGCGTATGTAAGGCGAATCGTGAGACGACTCACGCGGCAAGTCACCAATTGCGTCTCGCACCGTGACAGCTGGGTATGGACCAGTTCCCGGTGTGCCACGGCCAATGTGATATTTGGTCTCTCGCGACTCGCCCGCCATCATCATTGAGCTGGATAACTTGGTTGATCTGACTCCTGGATTGGCATGCGTGGGTTGTGGAAAGGACGGTAGAGTCACGCCAGATCTAGCTGCAAGGATGAAGCAACGTCTTCGGTTCTGGGGTGATCCATAACTTCGACTATCCAACACTGCCAATCTGAACTGGTATCTGCCACGACACGTTAGCAGCCGCTATCCATCCTAGAGGTATGCCACTTTTACCCGCTCTCGATCAGGAGCTCAATGGCCATTTGAGCGAAGCTGCGCTTTCCAGAAGATTTGATACCGTCCACCACAAACGTCCCATCGTCACGGTGGCTCAGGAAACCCGGCACATTCTCAAATACGAAAATGTCCGGTCGCAATCTGGCGCATTCTGAGAAAGTCACAAAGAGTTCATTGGGTCCATAGTCTGTCGCAGACTTGTGGAGATTGGCACCGGAGTGACTTTGACTAGGCATCTCTATCTTTAGCAATTGGTCTCGGTCGCACGGTCCGGGTGAGAATGGTGTAAAGCGTTCACTCACCATGGAGGACAAGCAGTGAGCATGAAGATGGAGCCTTTCTTGGGTAAAGGTCCCCGCTTATATTGTGCTTCATGATGCAAGTCGGCCACCTTTGCGCCCTCGACCTTCATCTCCGGAAAGTTCTGGCTGGTATGGCAGTCAGAGGAAGGTGCAACGGATGGATGACATACCTGAGGGTCTGACAAGATGTTTCATCATTATCGATGGCCGTGATCGGGTTGAAATACGGACGAGCTCCTAGTATCGTCCCTCCTCCACCGGTATATAGATCCATGCAGGGCAACCTTGGAGCTGCTCCTGGAGCTACTGGCTTGATCTTGCAGCTTCGGCAGTGTGAAATAGCCTTGTCGCACTGGATACCGAAAGGATCCAGGTGAGGGTCGAAGTCTGTCTCCGGTGAGATGATGCGGCATTTTCCGACCACGGTCTCAAGACGGACATCCCGTATCTCGTTCGTGGACAGTACTTGAGGCTATTGAGAGTTCAGCTGGGGACCAGTGTATGGGCTTACTTCGTCCTTCTTCCGCCTCGAAAAGATTTTCACTCGAAGAATGACATTCACTGCCTCGGTCTCTCCTCTAAGATCAGGACAGTTGAGGATCTGCCCGATGGTCCATTCTTGTCCGGCTGCTCCCGAATCCAAGAAGACGAAATCATGCCGATGAAGATCGAATGCCCTGTAAGACAAGCCTTGTGTCTGAGTAGGTGCTTCTGACAATGAAAGGTCCACTGTCAAGGGTTTCGCGTGGGTTTGCTCTCGGAGCTGAACTTTCGCAGAGCAGGCATCGCATCTTACATCGGTGCGAGGATCGCGAATGACCAAGGGAGATGTAGACAGGACGAAACTGACCTGGGCTATAAGAGGTGATACATGCCTCAAGGTGAGACTGACTCACCGGTAAAACCGTTCGTTGACCCTCCCCGCTTTCGCTTTATGTCGCCCAAATGTGTATGGAATCGATTCTGAAACCAGCCGAGCAGGCACGTCTGCACATTGTCCTTCCAGTAGAAAGAGCTCGTTCCTGAGGCCGAGTGGAGATTCGCTCATCCAATGGACATGGAGGTATTGACGGATGGAGACTGAAGTCGGCGATGGTTTCTGGAACAGCCTCCGTACCAAAGCCAGCCTACACGCCCAAGTTCAGCGGTGACTCGGGCTTGGTCTACCTTAGAAGTCCTTACCTGGTGCGACGACTTGTGTCACTACCCCGGATGATCACCACGTCTCTGACCTGGAAGTTTTTCAGTATCCATCAATCGCTGAATCTGCTTCTCGACCTACACGGACTCGAGTGTTCCTGCAGCCCTGTTCCGCCGTCATCTGCAAAGCCGGGCATAAGTCTGGAAGCCTTGGTGAAGTCTGCATAGCTGGTTGTTCTTACCCGAGCGTCCGAGTTCTCTTGAGCAATATCAGGGGATTCTGTCGGTACCATCTTCCCATTGTGGAACATGCTCATTTCCGACCTCATCTTCTGGACAATGAACTTCTGCAAGTGCCGTCTGCAGCTGCGTCTGCTGCCATCTTCGGGGCTCTTGAATGGTTTGACGGCTACCATATTTTTGAAGCCTGTTGGTCAGTAGTTGAGGTAAAGGAAGAGTTGGGAATGGAGAAAGCTTCGCCTTTCCTGGTCAGGTTCTACGGTCGTCAAGTCAACAGGGCGACCTGGCCTGACGACCAATATAGCCCTGGGCACGGCACAGGTTGACACACTGATGCACAGGCTCACGTCCACTTCCCTTTTGTGCGTGGTGGCGCACAAGGAGGATTGCATGAGGCTCCGAGATGGACGCTTGATCGACATGCCTTCTTCATCGCTGAATGGTCCCTTGAGGCTGAAGCCTTGCCCCATTGCTGCCATCTGCAACGACAGCACCGCACCACCAAGTTTCCAACCAAAGGACCCCTCCTTTGCTCCTGGCCCTGTTGCTGGTGGGGATGCCTGTGACGCACGATCTCCTATCGTTGAACACTATACCCTCACACCACTCACCTGTCCCTCACTGGAGCATCGCCTCTCAAACGTAACCTGTTCCTCTGCTCAGTTGATAGGTGCAGACCACAATGGCTGGACGTGCAACCAAGGCGACGATGCAAGAGCTGAAGCTTCGTCGTATCCAGGAGCACAACCACAGACTCCGGGAAGAATTGGCCAGGCCTCGAGTCATGGTCAGCAGTGCCAGCGTGAAGTGAGTTCTTCAGCTTCCTCCCCAGCTCTGCAAGAGTAGGATGTGAAGCGTGCTAGAGGCTGACACGTTGCACAGTCTGATCAATTACTGCCGAGCCAATAAGGATCCTTTGGTAATTCCAAACGTAGCTGATACTTGAGGGAATGCTCATCGCTATCCCAGGTGCCGTCGATCTGGGGACCATTGCCCAAGGCGGAGGACCCTTACGCACCTGTGGACAACGCGGGGTGTTGTTCAGGTGAGTTGGAATCCCTTGTAGGATCGCTGACTGATCTTCCGCGAACCTATTCTTTCAATACTCCTTGTCTTGTGCTCCTGCTATGCCTTCGACGCCTCAGTCATGTAAGGGATCCTACCCGAGGACGGCTCGCAGTTGGGGGAATAGTCGGGCAGATAACAAGGCTTGCACCGGAATGGGTTTTTGAGATGTCATCCATGCGTGTCCTTTCTTTCTCGGACTCCAGCTCGTTCGAAGGCTTCGAGAATGTTCATACCTGCGATTGCACAGTCCTGGCTCTAGACATAGCCATCCAATTGTCTCTTCATCATAGGTTCTGAAGCATGAGCATTGAGTTCTCAACCGGACTGTCAGCCAATTCCCATTTCCGAACCGGAATTGTCGTCCGCTTCAAGTACATCATCTGATCCGCTGCTATTCATCCAACCTGTGACCCGTATATAAAAAAGCACACTGGGCAGAGCTCTTCTCCTCTCTTTCCATCAATCGTCGCACTGGCGTACCAGGATGCCTCGCGATGCTCTCGAATACGAGGAGGCAGACGAGGAGGAGCAAGCCGATCTCTTCGGATCAGAAAATGAAAGGGCGGAAAGTGACGTTGAGGACGATACCAATCCTGAGTTCAGCGAATACAACACTGCTGTGCCTATCGGTACCTCAGTCGATGGACCATGTTTCACATCCTCAGCACATGCTGGTCCCTCCAAACTATCTAAAAAGCGGGAACAGGCTCCAGTAGCCATTCAATGGCCCGATGCCCAGACCCGCTTGGCCGACTTGAGGGATATGAAGAGGTACAATATTCCATTGGGCTCAGCAAATGGTGTCAAGAGCTTGAAGGAGGCCTGCATGTTCGGTGAGCACAATTCGTGACTGTGAGCTCAGACTCTGCTCGCAGTGATCAGAAGCAACGGGAAGAATATCTGGCATATTGGCGACGTCCCCTATACATTACTCAAACCGTTTTTGGATTATCTGCCCGCGAGCCAGCTCGCAGAGGTGGAAGACAATTCCCCCGTGAGTGGCTACTTTTGCGAGGTGCAGTCCACTGATCAAACACTCCACTTCGTAGAGTCTGAAGAAGGATACCGACTGGTTGTGGGAGATTTTCCTCCTTCAAGAATTCCCCTTGTATCATGAGAAGGTACGCGAGCGCAAAGGCGAGCCCAGGACGCATGGCTGGAGACGGATGTACAGAGTCAGTAGACATCAATCGTCTGGTGCTACATCAATACTGAACTCTATAGGACGCCCACGAAGACGCAGAGGAGAGAAAAGCAGCAGCTACTGCTCGTGCAACTGCTCTATACAAGCGTTTAGAGGAGGAGAAGAAGGCAAAGAAAATTGTCAGAATGGATCATCCACCGCCAGAGACGAACAAGAGGCGAAAGCATATTGTAGGATCAGTACCGGGTGAGCTCGACTCGTCGCACCGCTCCAGCTCATCCGTTCAGCATCGAATCGTCCCTCAGCTATCGCAGCCTCTGCAGCGATGATGAAAGCCCGCTCCGAGATAAATCGGGCTCGAATCTCTGTAGCTCACGCCTCTGGGAAAGTCACTGCGCCGCCTCGAACTACCGGACAGGGTAGCAATCAGCTCTTTGTCAACCCCTATCTTGCCAAATCTGGTCCATCTGGTCCAGTTGCTCAACCGTTTCCAAGTTCTGTAAAGCCGCTCAACAATCGTATACCTATGCCAAAGGTCAAACTCCCTCCAAATGGTGGGATGAGACCCGGCGGTCACTCAAAGACTGGACCTAATCCCGCCCTCGTAAACAAAACATACGATACTCCTCCACTGGCCACCAAGAAACCGGACAAGAGCGCGCTGAACGACTTCTTCGATTCGTCACCTCGAGCGGTGCACTCAAAACCATCTACCAGTTCGGACAAGCTCGACCGAATTGAAGCCAAAGATGCATCAGGCCGAGCTTCGAAGCGCACTTCATCAGTCGTAGACCCGTCAAAGGGGCTCTTCATGGCCAAAAAGCCCCGATTGTCTGGCCGCTAGAACCAGTATACCACGCGAATGTCCGGTTGTACCAGATCCTCGCCGGTTTGTCCCTCAACATCGGCTCAGTTTCATCATCTCTCGCAGCCCTCTTCCCGTCCATTGTCCATGACATTTCCATCCTCTCGATAATTGTAGTGATCAGTCGAAACACTTTAGCAGCTTAGACAATACTCTTCACTTGTTTATCCTTGCATAGATCGATCAGGTTGCGGGACTGCGGCAATGTGAATGCGGCATATCGTTACGGTCTTCGCCGCTATCTCCACATCGGGTCCTCCGAAGCTGGTTCGGCTCAAATAGATCTGACCCCTTGTCCTGTTTCTTTTGTACCCTGACCTTCGTCGACTGAGATTAACGCATCTCTGAGTCTTCGTCTGAGAAAGCATTGATGAGAGTGAGATCCCAATCAGAGACCTCTTCCTCCGACGCAAATTCTCTAGTCAGCATGGCGCCGGACACGCATTCCAAAATCCCCCACCTACCGGGACCTCCACCTAATTCGACCAATCATCCTGTCGCAGCCAAGGGAGCTCAGTTGATCTTCCCCAAAGTCCGATTGACCTTTTTGACACCCTCTTTGGTACGCATAGAGTCGTCTGCAGATGGAACCTTTGAAGACCGAGCCTCAACTTTCGCTTTGAATAGGAATCTGCCTGTACCAAAGCTGAACGTGGAGAAGCAAGACGATGGCGGCGTCGTCATAACGACCGAGCAGTTGAGAATCATCTACGACGGGAAAGACCTCACTGAACAAGGCTTTCATGTCGTGACTGTCCACAAAAGTAGGTCTTGGTGGAACATTGCTATACCGACTGATCTGACGGAATTTCTTCTTAGTCCCGCCCAACAACAACCAGCAAGATTGGCGATGGGGCCATAACACCAGAGGGAACCTCGGCGGAACTGCGAGAACCCTGGACGGCGTGAATGGAAGAGTGGATATGGGCGATGGAATCCTGTCCAGGGTGAGCCATATGTTCCAACGGAGTGGCAGTCACTGACTTCTCTCTCAGAACGCATTTGCACTAATCGACGACTCCACCACGATGCTGTTCACACCAGAAGGCTGGGTTGATGCACGAATCCCAGGCCGATCTGACCATTATCTCTTCGGATATGGCGCAGACTACCAGGCTGCTTTGAAAGACTTCTACAGAGTCAGCGGTGATATGCCGGTGGTTCCTCGATGGGCCTTGGGAAACTGGTGGTCCAGATACCACCGATACACTGACGAAGAGTATCTTGGGGTCATTGACAGATTCAACGAGGAGAAGATTCCATTGAGTGTCGGAGTCCTCGATATGGATTGGCATCTGGTCGACGAGGTCCCCGAGGAATACGGAGGCGGCTGGACCGGATACACTTGGAATAAGAAATATTTCCCCGATCCAAAGGGTTTCCTTAAAAGGTTGCACGATCGAAACGTACGGATCACTCCCAACACCCATCCAGCGGATGGCTTCAGAGCCTACGAAGACGTTTACAAGAAGGCGTGCGAAATCCTCGGACGGGATCCCTCAACCAAGGAGCCGATCGAATTCGATTGCACCTCCGCCGAATTCATGTCTGCCTATTTTGACATTCACCACGTCATTGAAGAGGACGGCATCGATTTCTGGTGGCTCGATTGGCAACAGGGGTCCATCAGTAAGAAGCCTGGTATCGACCCCCTCTGGGTCCTGAACCACTACCATTTCTGGGACAGTGGACGAAAGGGGCTCCGACCCGTCACTTTCACCCGGTATGGAGGTCCCGGTGGTCACAGATACCCCATTGGTTTCTCTGGAGTGAGTGACTTTACCTTAGAAAGCGATTTGCCGCTGATCTAGCTCGTAGGACACTGTCTCAACGTGGGAATCTCTGGAGTTCCAGGCCGAATTCACCAGCACCGCTGCCAATGTTGGCTTTGGTTGGTGGAGTCACGATATCGGCGGTCACTACGGAGGCTACAAGGTGAGTTCCCCTGTCAGATTTCGGGCCTGACAGCTTCTCTATAGGACCCCGAAATGTACACGCGATGGGTGCATCTCGGATTGTGGTCGCCTGTGCTCCGACTTCACAGTACAGCTGGTGAATTCAACTCTCGAGAACCATGGGTGTATAATGAAGAAGCTCGGCGCATCGCGACTGAGTCATTGCGATACAGACATCGACTCATTCCTTACCTATACACGATGTCAGTTAGAGCTGCGCGAGACGGTCGATGTCTCGTTGAGCCGATGTATCACCGCCACCCTCTCGAGTCGGACGCCTACGCCAACAAGACCCAATTCTTCTTCGGTACAGAGCTCATCGTGGCGCCCATTCTCAAGCAGAGAGATCACGTCACCCAGATGGGCAAGACCGAGGCATGGCTGCCCAAGGGTGAATGGGTAGACATTTTCACCAACACTGTCTACGACGGAGGACGAATCGTCAAGCTGTATCGTCTTTTGGAACAGACGCCCGTCTTGGCAAAAGCAGGCGCCATTTTGCCCCTCGATCTCGCAGGTACCAAAGGTTTCGACGAAAAGACCGTCAACGACACGCCAATTCCCACAGCTATTGAAGTTGTACTCGTTGTAGGAGCTGACGGCCATTTCGAGCTCCTCGAAGATGATGGATCAGGAGCAGATCTCGCCGCGATCACCTTCTCAAAGACGCCAATCACCTACGACCAAGCAAAGGGGCGTTTGACCATTGGTCCGACCTCAAACCCGTTGGTCAAGGACAGAAAATACCACGTCCGACTTCCTGCGTTTGAACAGGGTCAAAGTTTCAAGCCCACCGTAGCGGGCTCGGCTAATCTGGCATATGTCGGTGAGGAGCAAGGGCAGACAGTTTTGCATATCGATTCTGTGCCCTCAGGAGAGAAGGTAGAGATTGACCTTGGGCCCGAGCCTCAATTGCGTGAGAACGATCTCAAGTCGCCTCGATCGGTGATGCACTCCATTTTCCAACGGGCCGTCTTTGGACCGGAGGAGAAGGACGCGGCGTGGAATCTCATCCAGGCAGCTGGTACCAAGGAGAAACGACACATTCTAATCAGCCAGCTTGAGGCTAGAAATCTTGATCCTAATGTGAAAGATGCCCTGCTGGAGCAAATCATGGCATCCTAGTTACTTAGAGGAAATCTTTCTGTCATCGAGCATGCAATCGTGAAAGGAGAAACCACTACCTCTTCCCCTTTTCTGCCGCTGCTCCAAAACTCTCCTCCTTCAACTCCTTCTTGAAGTTGGAACCTTGTTCCTCTATTGCTTTGCCCTCGCTCTTCAAAACGAGGAAATCGAACATTTCCTTGTAGTAATTCTGAATGAACTTGGGCAGGTCAACACAGCTTGACAGCATGTCGATTATCGCTTACTTCACTGAATTCGGGCTTGATCGCCTGCAATTTACTGCGACGCCGGATAGTTAGCCAACAAGAGAAGCTGAGACCACGACTTACGTTATGTCCTCCGACATGCACACGAACAAGGTCGAGACTCCCACGCCCATTGCCGTTGAAAAAACTAGTCCGAGGCACAGACCAAGGATGTAAGCGTAAAGGACGACCGCCCTGTAAAAAGATGTCAGGTCTGAAGAGGAAAAAGCGTGCGTGCGACTTCACCAGTCGTACCAGTGGTCGTTGACTGCATTGCCCATGGCTGAAATGTCAAACCGGAAGACCATAATGACCTCACCATAGACGCAAGCTAATGCAATTGCAGCGCTGATAGCGCCGCTTGCCAAGCAAGCGAGGGATAAAGCTGAGACAACGATCAGCCGCAGCCACGGCGAGAGAGAACATACCAGTTGCTGATAGGTCGTCATTTACGAGGACAGCGATGCCTGAGTGATTAGCCATATGGCCACTATCAATGGCAGAGGCACGCACCGTGACACTGCGCGTATCGTTTTAGCTTTTGCGTCGCTGATTCCCCCTTGCCATCTTGCAGCTCATTTTTCGTAGGTCTCCGGCAGACCATCTGGACAGTGTGTTTGGCGCCCTCCCACTGAAGTCTCAGTCGATTGCCACGGCTATCGACTCACAAAGGTCATCTGAAAGGCGAGGACGAGGTGCCTACCCTTGTTCTTCTTCTCCATCTGGTAGCGCTTCGAATACTGCTCACCGATTGCTGCGAGGATGAGCTTCATATAAAGTTGTCTCTGTGCAGCTTACCTACGTAGATTTTGTACCGATGCTCGGTCAGGCATTGAAAACCAACCATATCTAGAAGAGCCAGCTCACTAGACATCTTATGGGCATCAGTAAGCACGTTTCGTTTGCCTCTCTCACATTTGTTAAACATTGACACCAGCCAATCTAGAATGGCCAAGAGCCATCCAAGCTGACCGTTCATCAGACGCATGTGTCGTCTTGTGATACAGAAGGCTCACTATGATCCGACAGCAGCAGGCTAGGCACTCGGCGCCAATGTTTCCGTGCATATGACATAAGCCATTGACGACGCTGTGAACGAAATGAATGAAGCCAACGAGGAAGGCGCCAAAGGCAGCTGCACCGGTAGAGTGCTTGACTGCTTGACTGAATGCATCCCAGGATCCCAGTCTGAGGCCAGTGCCAGTTTCTTGGCTCCGGGGATGGAAATAATCCGCTGTAATCAGATGAGCCCTGTGTGATTCATCACTATGCCCATGCTCACAGCTGAAAGGCCCACCCGCCAGAGCTACGATCATCAGGTTCGAAATGACCTATAAAAATCAGCTGATTGAGAGTTTTCCTCTGAGTGGACGCACAGATGAGAGCCATATTTGGGCGAAGATCGTGAAGACGCACCCTGCCACTGTCACAGCCGCGGAGCAGTATACACCTTCACCGCACTCTAAGCCAAGATTTAGTGGGGATCAGGACATTGCCTCTGCTAAACATACCCTGATGCGCCGGCTGAAAACGGAGGAACACGCCGAGTGTTGCAAAGATATTTAGGATGACCAGGGCAAGCTGTATGATCAGAACTGAGCCGCGTCAGCCTCCGCACTTTATCCTTTTGTAGGGATGCTGACCGGTGAATGTGACCATAATGATGGAGAAGTTGTGCTTGATGATCTCTGCAGCGGTCATGAGACACATCTTGGCTAGCTCGAAGCGGTGTCGAAGAAGATACACCACAAGCACCAAGACCGCAGCTGATCCAAGATTCACGCAACCGCCCAAGTAGACTGACGATCAGTGGCGTCGCCCCATCTGACACATTGCTCACTGGTCTGGGAGAAAAAGACTGTACCGTCAGTACAAGGCCCTCACCCAATATCCTCACGGGCTGCTTCTGCCAACATGCCGACCACGAGCAGGGCCGGTCCAAGATAGACAAACATGCCGGCGATTGTGGGTCTCATCATACCCAAGATCAAAAGGAAGTTGATGGCAAACGCCCCGACAGTGGCAATCACGAAAACTGTCTTGGTTTTCCTGTGCGCGAGGTCAGCCAATGATCGATTTAGACGCTGCGTACGCAGTGACCGGCTCAAGCTTGATGTCTCCTGACGGAAGAGTCCCGCCGTCCTGACCAAAATTCTCGAGGCTTCCAGTAAACTCTGTTTGGTCATCCCAATCAGTGACGAGCTCATAGATCGCATAGCTAGCGAGGGCCAAATAGGACGCCTGAGTGCCGAGGAAGGCCCAAAAAGCGACTCGGTCGAGGGTCAGACCAGATCGCTCGAAACCCTTGAGGTTTTCCGGGTTCTCCCCGGTTCTCTGCTTGTCTCCTGATGTCATATTTTGGTCATTGAAATCGTGTGTACAGCGTCAGCATCCAGTAGCCGAGGACAATCTCAGTCAAGATCAAGGTCAGATCATGAAACTCTATCAGCGAGGTAATTCGCGCAACATCCATAGGGGTGGGCGACCTCCTTTCAGCATCATCCCTTATAAACACTCCCGAGAGGCGATCCGGACAGATGGTGTGCATTCCATTAGTGCATGACTCCGTCTCTTGAACTCTGACGCGTCTTGACACCAGCCCGTGAGAAAGCCCGCAAACGACACAGGAAATCCGGGTCGTAAGTCCGGCAGGGGGGGGGGGGGGGGGGGGGGTTGGAGTTATGATGAGGTAGCTCAAGTGGCCATATGAGACGGAGGTGATATTGCAGACGATAGCTTCATCGACAAAAGTCGATTATAGAGCTCGTGAACATGCTCCGGATGATGTGAGAGCCTTGGCTAGTAGTAAGATATGCGGGGCCGAAGAATGAACGAAGTCGCTGGACCTTTCATGTCATTTCGGCGCGTCTGGACGCGGTCGGAAACGAAATGCCGTTCAAGCGGTAATCTTCAATCTTGCACTCACTCCTTTCCGCCAGCTCGCGCTGAGAAGACTCATCGTGCTTCGTAGCCGTCTTCCGGCTACTCGGCCTGATGCCTCCTGCCCTAGAGTCCGTACAGCGCCGGAAATCAGCATTGTCGATCAGACCGTCTCCCAAGGTACCGACCGCGGCGCTACTCCTCTGCGCATTGGCATGCTGCATTTGTTTGCCGGTCAGCGAGACCAGAGTAGAGGGCCACGGTCATGAGATCTTGACCGTTCTAGCTTATTGGAGCTGGAGGCTCAGTGAAACGATTAGACGAGGGCGAAAGACTGCCGGCGAGAAGAAAAGTGTCAAGTCGACTCACCGTGTAAGTCTAAGCAAAGTTGAGAGGAGCTCAATTTGACAGCATGCGCTGTCAACTATCTGTCTTGGGCTAGGCGCTGTCGCCTTGGTGCTATCGCTGGCACATGCTGGACCGCTGAGGTGAGTCTTGTGTGCCTGGCGATTGCTGAGATCTGTCAGGACCTTGGTCTTTGTTGGAAGTCTAACCTTTATACCGATAGCTTCTCCTACAGTTAATAATGTACGCAAAGTGCTACTCGTCCCGATGGATTTAGCTGATCGTTGCTTTCAGTGGACTCGATCCATACCTGGCCTCGCAGCATTGGTTGCTATAGTGGTACAACAATTCCTTGAGGATCGTGCGTTCAAGGCGCAGATGCCTCGCTGAACCTCAGCTTTCTCCCTCTTCCCCTTGCTAGCTCTGGGATTCACCACGCTTGTGGTCAGATGGGGCCAGATTGGGCGAGGTTCGAAGCTGGACTCTCGCTCCCGCAGAATAATCCTCTTACAATCGGCGGGTGTATCTGCGGTATCCCTTGCCGTGCTTTATGTTCTGGTGAGCAACCACGAATCATCCTTGGCGCAAACTAACGCCAACTCTCTAGGGATGGGTTTCATTACCTTCTACGGAGCACTTGAGCGGTCGAAGCACAATAACTCATATGCTGCTCGCGTGCTTCCTGGCCCGCTACCTTCCTATCGGCCGGCTCTCCCTCGATGGTTCCATCGAATCGCCATTTACGAGCCCACAGCAAGGACCAGTCGTCCTCGTCGCTGTCACCGCGATTCAAAGCCTGGCTCTACCTCCAACTCCTTCCTATCTCGATTTCTTTGCGGTGATTCCTCTGTATCTGATCGGTGCGTGGCTGGCCTCAGGTGTCGCGCGTCGCCCATCGCTTGGATCTGTACGTACCTAAAGTCTCTCCCTGTCGTACTCACTTCCTTAAGCGATCGTATACCCCTACGCAGCTTGCTACAAAAGCACGGTGGACGATCACCGGAATCTTGCCAGCTTCTTGGCGACCGCACTTTGAGACTATTCTACGGACGCCCACATCTTCTAAAATCTTCTACTTCCTTCTACTGAATCTGGCATACATGGCCGTTCAGATGGTATACGGCGTCTTGACTAATTCGCTCGGTCTCATCTCTGATGGTGAGCCTTTGCAGCGTTCGCGTGAGGCTGATATGAAACAGCTATTCATATGCTGTTCGACTGCCTAGGCCTCGCCGTTGGCTTATGGGCATCAGTCGCTGCCACCTGGAAGCCTGATGGCAGGTATACCTATGGCTACTCTCGTGTAGAAACGTTGAGCGGCTTTGCGAATGGTGCGTGCGGTACGAAATACTCCAAGGCTGATACGCTTCCTCACAGGATCGTTCTTGATCCTGATATCCATCTTCATCATTTTCGAAGCTATCCAGCGAATGTGAGGCGGCGAAGTAGCGTCGACGGCTCACCCATCCCAGTATGAATCCGCCGGAGATCAGCACCCACCAGCTCCTGCTTGTTTCCACTATCGGTCTACTCATTAATTTGTGGGGAATGTATGCCACTGGAGGTCATCATCATCATGGGCATAGTCACGGTCATTCGCACGAACATGTCCCATTGCCCGTTAACGAGAAGAAGGTAGGTCGTCCATTCGCGGGTTTCGTCAGCTTACACATATAGGTCGACCATCGACACGAGAGTCATCAAAGTCATGCCACGCGCGAGCACGTAGGTTGGCAGGAGATTTAGAGACAATCTGCGATGTTTCTGACATCACTTGACAGTCGCTGGCGCACGCTCACTCTCATGGAACGGGTGATTCACGCCATGATCACTCGAAGGACCGTGCCCATAGTCGACGACATGATCATCACGATCACGATCACGAAAACCACGACCACGACCCACACGATCTCCAGTCTTGCCATCACTCGCATGATGCCCACACTCACGATCACAGTCATTCGCACGATCACGACCACCACGGCCACGGTTCACATGGCCACTCTCACAGCCACAACATGCGTGGTGTTTTTTTACATGTACTGGCCGTGAGTATGACTCGCTTCTCAACGAGACTCAGCTGACTAGATGAAAGGATACACTGGGCTCTGTTGGCGTTATAGTCTCCACTATCCTCATCCGGTTCACAGGCTGGACAATCTTCGACCCTTTGGCGAGCTTGTTCATCGCTGGGCTAATCATGGCAAGCGTGATCCCCCTCGTTATTGATTCTGCCAAAGTTTTGTGCTTAGACGTGGGAGCCGATGTGGAGCGCGATGTCAGGGCAGCGTTGAGCGAGGTGAGTCGGAAGCAATGAAGCGAAAACTTTTCCCTGAGACTCGACATGCAGTTGGCCTCGGTGGAGGGACTGTCCAATTACTCGACACCGCGATTCTGGCCTACCTGCGAAGGGGAGGTAAACGGGTCGATCCATATTCAACTTGCCCCATCCGCATCATCTCACGATCCATCAAAAGGCCTCAGTTTCACTCCTCGAATGGCCCGTCCTGGTGACACCATTTACGCGAATTCCGACAAGGTGGTCCACAGGATTGAACGCGTTCTGAGAAACAAGATAAAGGGTCTCAGAGAGCTTGTCGTCCAGATCGAAGGCTCTGAAGAGCGCACCTTTTGTAGCTGTATGACGGGTGGTACATAGGTGACGGAGAGGATGCATTCCGTACCGGAATCTGTACAAACATGTCATCTGACAGCATAGCAGGCTGCCCAGCTCGTGTGCTGTTGAATCGTAACCAGGTGAAAAAAGGCACAGAGTAAGCGTCACCTGTCTATCGATACGAGGGAAAAGCCTGACCACCAGTAGAATCGGGCAAGACAGACGGCGCCCGCGGGGTGTGTGCGAAGCGAGCAAGGATGCTGGCCGTTGAAGGCGGTTTACGGGGAGTCGCAAGGGCTGACCGCGGGGTAAAACGAGGGATTCCGAGGCTCACAACGTCATGGTTGGCGAATCCGGAGTGTCGACGATCAGTGTCCTCTGTGCCATGCTGCGGTATATACAGAGACGCATCGCGGAGCGTCGATGCTTGATTGGCTGATGATCTTGCGAAAGGTGGCGCAAAAGACTGCTCTATGTCTGTCTCCGCAAAAGACGCTCCCTGCTTGTGCGTGGGGACTTCACGCAAGTCTGAACGATGTTCATGCGAACGGCGTTGATTCCAGGCAATTTCGTCGAGAATGGCTGCTTTCTTGAACCCAGGGAAGGTATTCGCCTTCATGAAGATAGGCTGTCCACCCGGGTACTGTGGCGATGTGTGACTATGAGCCGGATGAGGAGAATGGCGTTCTTGCCCCTTAGTCTGGGGTGGAGAAGGCTTGAATAGCGCCGAGAGATTTCCTCTGACGTTGTCTTGATGAGGTGAGGTGTATAATATAGGAGCTTGACGCGGCCTGTACTTCGTGATAATGGGGATGGACACGTTCGGAGGCCACTTGTCAATCTTGACATGGGAACCGTAGTATTCCTTCATCGTTCGTGGTGTAGTGGACCATTCCGTGTCCCGTGAAGAGTCTTCCATCTTCGTCGAGGTCGTGGACCGTTGAGTAGAATGTGCGGACTTGGCGGGTGGAGTGAAGGTCCGTGAGGATTTGCGATCTGACAATTGATGGATCAGCAATCTTGAGTACGGCTTGAGAACGATTTCTCACTTCTGCTTGCGCTCGTTTGCGACGTCAGCTCTCGATCAAGTCTATCAGCATGTGATTCTTCTTGGTGAGCTCGTAGAGGCCGAGGTGCATGTAGATCCGGATTCCCCTTGATTCGCCCCAACGGTGAGCTGTAAGGCACATCACTTGAAGACCTCATGGAGATGTCTTGATAGCGACTTGAGGCGATCGATGCGTGAGTCATGGTGGGAGGGTCATCGTACTGTCTGTCATCGCGGTCATTCATGGGCGATACAAAAATCACTTCGATCGTGTTGCTGTCCGCAGGTCGTGGTTTGGCAGTCTCCTTCATCTCAGGACTTTGGTCGCACTTTTTCGCGGTTTTGCTCTCTTCTCTCTTCGCCGCTGAACCATGTACGAGCTCCCAAATATCGGGAATACGGGACGCCTCCGATTCGGTGTCGGGAGAGAGCAATGGAAATGGAGCAGCTGCTTTCTTGGCAGGTTTGACGGGAAGAGATCGCTGGCGTTCAAACCCCTGCAGCAGTGGACTGTCTTTGGGCAGCTCAGCAGCTGTACGTGATTAGCTTGGCCGTAACCGAGCGGATTGCAATCTCACGAAGCCGGTGGTAAGTGATTTCGTTTGTTTCTTTCTTCGCTCTAGGCTTTCTTGGCTTGCTCGGGCCCGTCTTCGTTTTTGCTTTCTTCCTTGTTGGTCCATTATCGCCTTCTTCATCCTCGGATCCAGCTTTTTTCTTCCTGCCTTGAGCTGATTCGTTCCTGGAATCAGAAGAGACCTTGCTGAGTATCGGGATGCCCGTCCCAGTCGTCCATCCGGTAGGCTTTCGATAAGGCTGGTCAGGATGAGAAGGTTCCTTAAAAGGCGGAGGAGTAGGGGGCTTTTGGTCCGGATCGACGAGAGAACATGCGAGATTACCTTTGCGTCTCGGCGGACCTGGCATACTTTGTCCAGGGTCGTTCGGAGCGATAGATTTAGACGCCACCTTGTTGGCTCTCTCGAGTGCTGCTTGCTTTGCTTGCTCCCACGGATTTGACTTGAAGGTTGTGATGCCCCTTCTCAATGACTGACCAGATTGTAGAGCACAACGTTCTTGACTGATCTGGATAGCTGACTTTGACGCAGCTCTCGCTGTAGTCCTGGTATCAATGACATAGTCGTGTTCTTTGTGATCAATATCATCTTCACCACCACCCTCTTCACTTTCCGAGTCAGATTCACTGGAGAAATCCAGTTCATCGCAACCTCGACGCCACGCATCATTGCCCGAGCCAGGCATAACAACGACCCTGAAAGATTTCAGCTTCTCAGTCCCTAGGATGACGGAGTGAGTGAAGTGTACAAAGTTGAATGCATGATGATGAAGTTGAACCGACAGAGATCAAAGCGTAGATCGGTGCGTGAGGGCCAAAGAAAGTCGCGGTCACGTGGTAAAATCGTCTTCCGGATCCGAAGCTCTCACCGTACGTCCATTGGAAGACTCTATCTTCTCTGGACTCACCTCTTTGACGTGCTTGCATCCGCGTTTGAGGAGACAGCAAGTGCTCATAAAGGCTCATCAGTCACCAATGCAGGACTCAGGAGACCCTGTCGCGGGTCCCAGCAACCATGCAGGCGCTTCGCGAGCCGACGCCACGCTTCTTCGCCAATTCGTTATGGAATACCTTCAACAACATGGATTTGACAAGGCTTTGACAATGTTTCAACAGGGTATAGCGAATCAGGAAGATGAGAAGGATGCGGACGGAGAAGACGAAGGTGGAGCGACAGCCGGCGGAACCGCAGGGGCGGCAGGAGGTGCCAATGCAAATGCATCAGCTGCGGGAGGAAGAGAAGCCATCTTTCGAGCGCCTGGACCTATCCCTATCGATTCAACGTTGAAACGGAATATCCCTCAGGCTCAAGCTCTCTCTGCCTCGACGCTCTCAGGACGCATCACTCCTGAATTCGAGGCTCAAGCGAAATACATCATTGATTTGATTCAGAAACGAGCCGAGTTGAAAGATGGCGATGGGGATGGGGCCGAGGACAAAGTACAGGCTGGCGGTGCGAAGGGGGACCCAATATTGGATCCTTCAGACAGAGTGCTAGGGTACAGAAAGTTTAGGAGATGGGTCGATGATGGATTGGAGCTGTGGAGGGTGAGATGGCTCGTGAAGGAGAGCGCAATAAAGAGCTGACGTGCTCCATTGATCAGCCTGAATTAGACGCAATTTCGTTCCCCCTCTTCGCGCATACTTTTCTCGATCTCATGGCCTTTGGCTTCACAGAGGCTGCTCGGAAATTCTTTGAAGCGAATAAATCACATCATATACAAGCCCATTCGCAGGAGATCTCATCCCTTTCAGGCGTCGTGAACAGGTTCCATTTGACCACCAGCTCGTGCTGTCAGCAGTTAAGGTGAGTACCTCCCGGATCCTACCGTACATAATGAGTTGAGCCTGTATCAGATCACATCGATATACCATCATGTTGTCTCGTAACGCATACGATCTCCTCTTACAGTGGCTGAGTGGAGGTGGTCTGGACGAAGAATGGGAGTCTGGTCTGCATACAAGTGCTGGGAGGGCGAAAGACGCTGTCAAGGCCATTATCAATGACCATGTCAAAGTCTCTGGTGAGTCTCTTGTATGCTTCATGTTGGAACGAGGACTTGACGTACTTCTAGTCTCCGCATCCAGTATTGCCTTGGACGAAGTGGTCATCGCCTCTACTAATGGTCTCCTTCCTTCCACTGTCACTCGTTCTGCATCCCTTGATACTTTCAACACTCAAGCTCGACTCAAGCTCGGCCCTATACCTATGACTGAAAAGCTTAAAGAGCAAGTATCAAGAACTCTACAGGACGAAGAGGATGAGGCACGAAATGAAGGTGTCAATGGCGATTCCGAAGCGGAGCCTAACGGCCACTTGAATGGTGATGGAGATGTCGATATGGATCGAGAAGTGGAGAAAGAGCCGGTTGTAAGGGAGGTCAAGCTCGAGCCGGATCTAGTCGACACGTCGGACCTGGTCAGTCCCGGGGAAAATGACACGCTACCTCCTGTTCCGCCAGTATTTCGAATTTCAGATCTCAAACGAGAAGTGGAAGCTATTCGAGATCGACGGAAAATGATTCGACTAGGTCCTGGGGTCGATGAATCAGCGAGTGCTATGACGCCGGCAGTCTTGCCCAGCGTAGTCGCGTTCACGCTGTTCGACAGTGCTCAGACGTGAGCGAGCGAGCCAGGCTAAGAGAAGCGTTGACACTTTTCTTACAGGGCTACATCTGTAGAATTTTCTCGAGACTCGAGCCTCATGGCCGTAGGATCTCCTGAGAGTTGTATAAGGCTTTGGAGTCTCAAGGGCGAGAAATTAAAGGCCAAGTCGATAGGTGAGCGAGGCGGCGCCTTCAGTTCGACTCACCGCTGACCCTCGTTTCAGACCCGCTGGATGGACTCTTGGTCGAAGATGACGGCCTGCCTATGCGCAAACTGATAGGTCACTCTGGACCCGTCTACTCAGTCTCGTTCGACCCAATTCACGGTTCCTCTGCCCCGCCTCAATCCCTCTTGTCCTCCTCACAAGATGGCACAGTCCGCTTGTGGTCTCTCGATACCTACTCCAACCTAGTCGTCTACCGAGGACACAGTAAAGATCCCGTGTGGGATGTCGAATGGGGTCCGATGGGAGTTTACTTTGCAACTGCGAGTAGGGATCGGACGGCCAGATTGTGGAGCTCGGATAGGGTCAATCCACTTCGAATGTACACTGGGCACCTGTCTGATGTCAATGTGAGTGACCACCTCATCCAGAAGCCCAGAAGAAGCAAACGCCTGATCGCGACGGTGAATAGTGCGTAAAATTCCATCCGAATTCGTTATACCTCGCGTCTGGCTCCAATGACAATTCTTGTCGGTTATGGGATGTTCAGCGAGGAGCTTGTGTTAGACTTTTCCTTGGCCATACAGATGCAGTGACTACCATTGCCATTTCACCAGATGGGAGGACATTGGCTAGTGCGGGTAAGTCTCTATCGTCTCAGTCCTGGTGTGGAGCTGACCTCGTTTTTAAGGCCTCGACAGTAATATTTGGCTCTGGGACCTAGGATCCTCACGACCGATCAAGAAGATGTCGGGTCATCGTGGACCTGTCCAATCATTATCCTTCTCAGCCGAATCCTCTGTCCTCGTTTCCGGTGGTTTAGACTCCACAGTCAGATGTTGGGACGTCAAGTCGGCGGGGGGCGACAGGACTAAAATGGGATCAAGTGAGGAAAACAGAGTAATCGATGCGGGACGAGCGACTGGTGAACTGCCGATGAGTAGGACAAGTATCAAGGTCGAGACGGTGGATTCGACGTGAGTTGAAATGGGATCTACTGTGCCTGTGCCTGGTTGAACTCATTCCGTGATCAGATCCGACCTGCTCGCTACTTTTCACACGAAACGGACGCCTGTACTCAAGACGCACTACACGCCGAGGAATCTGTGTATGGTAGCTGGGACGTTTGTGCCTCCGAGTTCGAGCACGGCTACCGAGCTAGTCAACGGCAAGGCATAGGTTTAGCATTCGTCACACACATGCATCTTGCTATCCTGGTGGTGACAGTTACACATGTGCCATGTCGGACAGATGTCCAGAACTCTTAAACACAGTCAAGCTCTTTTCTTCTTGCGCGGCTGCAGCATGGTGACGACTAGTTCTTCTTCTTCTTTCCGCTTGACTGTCAATCCCGTATCGAGCCCCTCTTTCTTGCTGATACTGGCTATGCACGTCTCCCAGCCGGACTCTCCAATCTCACCTATAACGATCCCCTTTGCTCCTCTGGACCATATCTTGGTACTTTCAATAGCCAGTGATTGAGAGGCGAAATCGCAATTGAGCAAAGAAGTGAGGATACGGTCCACTAATTCGTTGGGAAGGTCCATTGACGAAGATAAGAGCACATTTGGTGATGGTCTAGATCCAGAGGTAGGCGGCGCGATGGCGAGCCCATCAGGACCATCTTCATCCGTCAATATCGGACTAGAACTCTTCCTATCAAGCTCTCGAGAAGTTGACTGCTTCTCCTTCGTCGGACTGGACGAGGTGACTGACGATTCGAGCGTGAAGAAACCCGTGACATCTCCACTTGCACATTCCTGTCTGAAACCCATCCGTTCCCAGAATTCATCTGGAGATATACGGGACAAAGCCCCTTCTGCGGCTTTTCGATCCGCTTCGTCCATCTGTCGCTCTTTCTCTCGCTGAGCTAGAGTCGTGGCACCAAGATGCTTGGTCTGCTTCTTCTTGGGTGAACCATTCAGCGACTCAACCAACGTGACGCCAGACGAAGTTAGACCAGGGCCTTCAGCACTAGTGCAGAGGGCGTTGGAAGAAAGTTCAGCATGGGATGAGGCTGTGTCGGCCGTTGCAAGATCCGCCATTGGAAGTGCGCCAACTTCTAGAGGGGCACGATCGCCTTTTGACCGTCCATGGTCACCGTTGACTTTAGTCTCTGATCTGCTAGCTCGATCGTGCGGAACTGTTGGCGTTAGTTCCGAGACCAATTCGTCTAGGAATCTGGTTTTCGGGTCGTCGGGCAACGATGGAATCACCATGGCCAATGTAGGACTCTGTCCGTTCGGTGTTGAAGCGAAAGGGGGCCCATACATCCACCCTAGGCCGTCCGGCAGAGTCATCTTTGACGCGCCCAGCATTCCTTTCGCTTCTTCTGCCGAGTAGCTGGGCAAGAGGTACCGCAGGGTTATCGGTTGTTTTGAGGATTCAACGCGCATCCCATTCGGATCATGTGTCGACCCATTCTGAGCCGTCCCAGTCTCCTCGTTGACCGAGAGGTCTTTGACTCTGTCGCCTTTTGATCCATCTACCACCACACGCGCCGCTACGGACTCATAGACTCCTTTCCACCATGCGCACAATCGCAGCCCCCCAGCAACTCTCTTCCCAGGTGCCAAGCTGCTGTTCGGGAATAAGTATTGTCCTTGACTCCGAGCGAACAATTGAATCTGAACACTTGCCTCCCGGCGAACGTCCGTTCTAAGATGGTAAGTCATGAAAGAAGTGATGAGCGATTTGGTGATGCTTCCTCCGTTTGTAGGGAGATAGCCTGAGGAATCGAGTTTGGAAATGTACAGTATATGTCGAGGACGAGGAGAGGGTAAGATGTAAAGGTACGCATGGAGCGCAGAGACGAGGACTTTGACAGGGCCGGGAGATGGTGCTGCTGCAGTAGTAGTAGCTGAGCTAGGTAGTGGTTGTTGGTGTTGTTGGTGGTGGTGGTGGTGGTGGTGGTGGTGGTGGTGGTGGTGGTGGTCAGGTTCTCTCCCATTAGAGGTGATCGGAGGATCGGTTGAAGCCGATTGTGATGATTCGCCTTGCTCTGCAGATGAAGGTAGAGCCACGGCTATCGTAATGACATACTGCTTTTCATAGCATTTCGGCGGGTGCCTAGCGTGCTGAAAGATTGCATTGGTCCGTTTGGGCACAGAAGAAATGACTGTCAATTCGAGGTCGAAGGGGTTGGACAAGGATGAGATTGATTGAACGAGATGATCGCGTAGAGAAGGTGCCGACAAGCATGAGTCGGATGCGGATGTCATGTCGAGTGTAGATCCATGGACTATGGCCGAAAGACAAGGCAGGCAGACACTAGGCGGAACAGGACAAGGATGTGTCCAGAATGCTACTCGGGAAGTGATTCTATCAGATCTTTACTCTTGATCTTTTTGATTTCCATTCGGACTTTTTATTACGCGACGCGGTGACACAGTTCGGACCGGCGGTCGTCGACCTTTCCATGCAGATATCTATCTCGACTGTCATTGACAGACTGTGTACATGAGCACAGTGTACATGATCGTTCTTCATCCAGTTTTCGATACAAGTACAAAGAAAGAGATCCGTAGAGGTCTCGAGGACAAATATGTATACCTTGGTCCGTAAGACACAGAGGTAACTTCGATAGAAAAAACGAAAAGCTGCTGAAAGGCCAGATCATACTCCGTACGCTTCCTTCCTTCCTCCCTTTGCCCCTTTCGATCTATGCAGCGATGTCATGAATACCCAACCGTTTCGATGTCTCGGTCGGTGTCAAATCACCATCTTCCTCGTCATCGACCTCGTCGGGCTCACGACTGTACCCGTCCAGTGGTTCAGTTTTGATCCGAATGGGGTCCGGGCGACCCCTGCCCTCGCGAGGCTCATGCTCGTCTTCCTCCTCATCGTCCTCGTCATCCGTCTGAGCCCGCTCCTCAAGCTGTGATCTCAACTTTCGAGACCTAAAATCGAGGTTGACGGCGAGGATCCAAGATCGAATCATGAGGGCGTGCCGTCTCCTGGTGATTTTTTCCATCCTCAACTTGGCTTCAACATCATCGAGATCATCGATTTTGGGTGATGGACGTCCAGGCTCGCCAATCTCAAGTCGCTTCACTCCACGAACAATCTCATCCTCTGTATGACGCTTGACAGGGACGTGAGGGTATCGGATTGGTGATCCAGATTTGATAGCTGCAACTCCGGGCAAGTGTGGTGACTCGTCACGCTCTTTCGAAATGACACGGTGAATGCGAGGCAGTCTCAGACTCGGGTCGGCATTGTCGTCAGACAATAAGAGATCGGCAACGGACAATCGACGGGTGGGTTCATTCTCCTCCCCGCTCAACTCCTCTGGCTCATCGTACTGAGTTCCCCGTTCGGCAGACTCTACATGGCGTGATGAGACGGCTGCACCGAGTGGCGCCACATGTCGATACGTCTTCTTGTTGAAGTCTCGTGGGGCGAGCGTGGGAACAGGTCCAGGTGCTTTGCTGGGCGCTAATGAGTCAAATGAAGCAAAATTGTTAAAGTCCAACGAGTGAACGTCGGGTATGCCATAATTTGGCAAGGATGGGTACGCGTTCATGTTGGTGTTGATCGCGTCAAATGGATACGATCGATGCGCTTCCATGTGCGGCGGGTGAGCGTTGGACGTGCTTCGAGGAAGACCAGCAATGACCCTCTTGGACTGCTCGAGCTGACTGTAGAGATGACCGTAGAGCGAGCTGTTGTTGGAAGCAGGTTGAGGAGCGTTGAAGTTGTTGGACGGGATACCAGGCATGCCAGACAGGCCGAGCGAAGCAAGCTCCTCAGGATTGAACAAGTCTTCGACGGGCGAGTGCTCTGACAGTACGGGACTGGCGCCGAGACCCGAGCTGCCTGATGTGGTCGATGAGCTGAACGATGATCCACCCGAATGAGTCATTGGTGGAGCAAGATTGAAACCGTGTGATCGGTGCTGAGGTTGATCCATTCGAGCGGCATCGCGACCAAGTGAGATCATGAATTGGTTGAAGAGAGCCAAGTCGGCCTCGGTCCTGATCTCCGGAATGTTCATCGGCGCCGCACCACCCTGTGCCGAGAGCTGAGCAGACGGCCGTCCGGCAGGGATGGTAAAGTCAGTATTGAAGCCAGTGTTGACGCCGGGAGCAAAGCCTCCAGATCCGAGGGATGAAAGAGCAGGGAAACCAGCTGGCATGCCTCCGGCATTGAGAGCGTCAAGTCGGTTCATCATATCTGGGTCCATTATCAGCAAAGCCATCCAAGGACGGAAGATGAAATGCTCACCGTTGTCATACACTGGCTCGACCTTTCTCTTCTTCATGTCCGATAGGAAGTCTCCAAAGTTGTTCTCCTCCCCTTGCCAGTCTCTCTTCTGTCCACCATTGAGCCCATAGTCATCCGTCAGGAGCTGAGCGGCGTACACTCTGTTCTGCTGTTGTTGGAAAGCAAGTTGCTGAAGGACAAGCATCTCACGTTGTTGGTAGGCCGCCAACTCTTCATGTTGCTTTCGATGTAGAGCAGCAAGGGCGGAGGGAGTGGGAGAGACCGAGTGATGATCGTGACCTCGAGGAGGCATCATGTGGTCATAAGGTGATGACGAGTGATCGTTTGATCGGCCAGAGGATGAAGTGGGGGACATGGATCCAGTGTTGGGCGAAGGGAATTCATCCGAATCAGTCGATGCTCGTCGCTCAATCTTGATGTTGGCAGCGTTGCCTGATCCAGGTGCTACTCGTTTATTGAATGCTGGGTCCTGAGATGTGGCCGCCTTGGACAATTTGTGTAGTTGGTGGTGCTCTTGGGTGTGGATCCTTTCGTGCTTCTTCAAGTCTTGTGGACGTTTAAATGTCTTGCCACAGACCGCACAAGGATGAGGTTTTAGAGGTGTATGAACTAGTGGATGCAATGAGTGACAAGATCCAAACTCGCTGACATGCCCGCTCACCTCTGAGATGACTCGTAATGTGATCCCTCTTGACACACTTGACACCGCATCCTTCCCACCCACAGGTGAGACAGAGGTTGTTGGTACTCTTCCTCCCAACATGGACATTACACAAATGATCGTATAGTCCATCTGGCGAGGAGGCGACATGATCACAATTCTTCCATTTGCATGAGATTCCAGCTTCTGGGCTATCGTTTGCAGAGACGGTATCATGTCGAGTAGATTCAGGCGTCACTGGCTCGACGGACGAAGCTGATTCAGAGGTGGATACGGCAGAAGAGTGATGATGATGATGGTGATACATGGAATGACCCATGGGTGGAGATGGGTCAAGGTAGGTAGCTGAGGGGAGTGATGGGTAAGCCATCGTGCGAGAGGACTGTGAACGATTCAAAGAGGGCCTATAGAACGTGGTTGATCCACAACCGGGTCTGGTCCTCAGAAAGGAGCAGCACAGGGGGGAACGAGGGGACGACGTCGGGGCGGGATTTGCGCCTCTTTTTTCCCTCCCTCTCGATGTACTCTCGGTCGATTGACCCAGTGAGATACTAGGTGGTACGCTGCCAGACGAGATGGGTTGAGTGCTCGACTGTCCGGACTGTAGTGTCGAGCGTGTAGGTGTCAATGAATTGGGACTGTGAAGAGATGAAATGTACAGATGAGAGATGAGAGATTGCAACTCGGAGGGGGGGGGGATGAGATGGGATGAGCAGACGAGGTTTCTCTTGGTAACAGCGAGGTCCGGCGGCGGGGAGGGGAAGAGGGGAGGAAGAAGGGAAGAAGAAAAAAAAGGCTTGGGTTTTCTTGAAATCCCTTCACTCCCTCTGCTCCCACGCCTTGACTCTACTCTTCTTGGCAAAACCCATTGGCAGTCTCTTGGCGGTCTGGGCAAAAGGGAGGAAAAAGGATCTGAGTAACGTAAGCGGGGGGGATTCCATAAGGAAGGGGCAGGAAGGGGCAAGAGCAGAGCAGGGTGATGATGGGCCATGTGGACGCCGTGGTCCGAGTTATCGGTGTTTCCCGGGATTATGATCATTGTGGCAGAGATCTACCACAGCGGTGACCATGACATGTGGCACCAAGAGAATATGAAATGGGGGGCTCGGCGTAATTTAGTGGAGGGAAGGGGCATACTAAATCAGGACTTTGCATAGCTATATCCAGATATATTGTCGATGACGACAACAACAACAACAGTCTGACTACCTCACAGCTCCGCTTTGCGCAACAGCTTCTTCTTTGCCCTGAACATGCTGAAACGAGCATTGGTAGATAAATCCTTCCACTGTCGACGGAACTGCTCTTTGGTACTGGGTCTGTTGACCTCGCGCGTCAGCTTTGTTGCTCCCCTTCGTATGATAAATGCCACAGCGGTGACTCACCTCCACTCCTCTGGCTGTCCATGAGCATCACCATGCTTACCGCCCCATTCTCTGGGCCGGTACTTTTCCTTTTCATCCTCTGTCGTTCTCAACGCACGATCACCACCAGCCCATCTGGAAGGTAGATAACCACCATTCTCATCTAGGATGGTGCTTCCCGCTTTGCTGCCACCAGCTACACCACCAGCACCCAGCGTCACTTGATCAATACTACTTGGCCGACCCAGTGCCGATCCTCCACTACCGCCAAGACCAAGTCCAGCCGGACCATTTCCACCGCCTTGTTGAGATTGAGCGTTGATAGCGTGGGAAAAGGGGCCTCGAATGACGTGATCATGTTTCGTTTGAACCCGAGTCGTCTTTCCATCTTGAGGAAACACGATCCGAGGATCATCATCCTCTACGATTTCAATCTCGGGTAAAAGCCGTCCTCCGCCCCGTGCCGTCAAGGCAGTGTCAATGGCCAAGCTACCGACCCTAGAGTGAATATTGCCGGTCGATCGGGCCGCCCGGCGTTGCTTCTCTTCTCTCCTCTTGGCTTGAGCTGGGGTCTCCGGGAAGATGTCTTCCCGTGCCAATTCTTCCAGACGAGGTCGAGCTGATTCGTTGGAATGTCGAGACGAAGCTGCGGACATTCGACCAGAGTCAGGGACACGTAATGTATCCCCTTGAGGTGCAGAGAAGCCTCGAGTGATCTTGCGGGTCTCTCGAGCGACGGAGGGAGCAGGTTCAGGCGAAACAGGCGTCGGCGTCACTGGCGCATCGAATCCAGTCACTGTAATTTTCTTATCGTGAACCGAGACTGACATTGGCGTCTTCTCCTTTTGTCGAGGTGCCTCACCAAAGTGTGTTGTCGAATAACTGGATCCAAACACCTGCGTCGTCTTCTGCGGAGAAGACTCGTCGATGGTGATGTCAGGTTGATATCTGTTTCCACCGTTGAAAAACGATGTTGTACTCGTCGCAGTGCCAGCTTGACCAAAGGTCGGCGAGAGCGGACTAGGAGTATAGCCACCACTCTTCGATCCAGACCTTAAACCGAGTCTATCCATCGCGAGAGATTGAGCAGTCGTCATCGCTTCGTCACTTGAACGAAGAGATGGTGTATATCGCCCTCCGCCGAGTGATCCACGTTCAGAGACTAGACTCCTCCGTTTCGCAGCTGCCAACGACGAGGCTTCCTCCTGTCGCCGTCTCTCCATCTCCATTTTGATCCGCACTTCTTCTTCTCCCTTCGCATCCGGTGTCCTGGCAGCAGATCCATTCACACTCGCTCCTTGCGAGTCTGCTCCAACTTCGCTGCCCGAGGTCGAGCTGGAAGATTCACTCGTCTTCCTCGTCGTCGTTCCAAAAGCACTGCGCCGGCGTTGAGATTTCCTCCTCGACATTTCAGACACCCCGGCAAACGGATCAAACTCGGTATCATGGATCTTGCCACTGGCATCGAGATAGACACCAGATCGACCAGCTGTGGTATCTGTCCGGGGCCCTCGTAATTTGTTCAGACTTGTCGAAGCTCGGACTCCCGCAGGACGTTTCTCGCCTCCTGCCAAACCACCCGCGGTTCGAGGTGCGTGGTGTCGAGATGGGCCTGCAAGAGAGCCTGCTTCTCCATCCGGTTCAGTCCCTGTGTTTTGAAATGCGGGATCCAAAAATTGATCCACCTCGGCCCGTTGAATCGCCCTCTCTTTCTCCTTGCGGTGTTTGTGAAACGGTGCGTTGTGGAAGGATGAATCGGCCAACGGGTCATACAGTCCAGCGCGGCGCAAGTGACCTTCAGTCAGAGCTAAGATGAATGTCAATGAGATTCCAACATGTTGCCAACAACGCGAAACCCCCACTCACATGGCCGGTACGTCTTGAATCCATTCCGGGCCGGATGGGACACGCTCGAGACACCATTGGAGTCATATCGTGCGCCTGTAGAGTAGGATCGAGAGGTGTTGGAGAGCATGATGACTGCGGCAAATCGGATACAGGTGTTGCGCTGGATTGATGACCGGCTTTTGATTCGTACGCAAGGGGGAGGCCTTACTGCTTCAGCCGAAGCGATCAATAATCGATTGACAATGAGATTCTTGATATGCGAGGTTGAATAATATGGGGAAAGACGGGGAAGACGGTGACGAGCGGCGGGATGCGAAAGGTCCACGATCTCAGGACCGATCGATGACCATGAAGGGATCTGAGAGGGACTGACTATGATGCGGGGTACGTGTTGTCAAGTGAATGATTGAAACCCAAGTGATTGACCGGGATAAAAAAAAGGTGATGCGATAAAGCGAGATTGTGATTGAATTGTGAAATGCCGACCGGGGGCCGAGGCTACTCAAAGTTGACCGAAGAGTCTCTCCTGCTGATCCACAGCTTCTGCAGCAGAGTCCAAGCGAGTCCCTCAACAGAGCGAGTTGAAGGTGTAAGTGTAAAGATGAACACTCTGATGAGCCAAATGTCCCCCTTCCCTCTCCGTAGCCAGCAAGCATCCCAAAAATCGTAAATCGCCGTTGATCATCCCAAGTTACCAGATTCGGTCAAGTCCAAAGACCGGATAAAACCCGCGGAATCAAATTTTTCACCATTATCCTGTTGTGATCTGCGTCATTAGACATTTCAAGTAGTGCCACTTTGAGGAAAGAGGCCGCGCAGATGGCGAGCAGCACACGGCGGTGCAGATCATTTGCAGTGCTATCTGAGGCTCATAAGCTATAGGCTGAGGACTCAGTTTGACGCGGCACGCGAGTCAGCATGTTGTGACTTGATTACACCGCGGCGTCTCTATCACAGGCTCGCTTCTAAGCTCAAGGACCGGTGGCAAATGGTGCTGGAAGCTCGGCTGTAGTTGAAACAATGTTCACGGATGTAGCCTCCTCATCTGACTCAAAATCTAGTCTGCGCAAGGGTGCCCCCAACAATGGCTGCGCTGAGCACCTCGATCCGAGCTGAAGATGCCCATTCTGCTGCCGATGCAACTCGTGCCAGTAGTGCCAGGTGCCACTTGTGCCACTTTTGCGACTTTTGCCACTTTGGGGGGGTCCAAGCGCGAATGACTTTTTGTTTACATCGCAATCCGAGTGTTCAAGCAATCGCACTTGGTCCTCTGTTTGTTGGCATATGAGGATGTACCGTGCATGGCTAGCATGGATCTCGCGAGGATGATTACTCGCCAAGTAGGCATGGATCTGAGTAGCTGGCTGATCGTCTCTCGTTTCTTGCCCTACTTTGCTTTTTGAAAGGCTTGTGATGTCCGCTTTTCTGGCACCCATTTTCTCGCTTCATACTTGATCGCGTTAGTCATGAAGAGTCAGACAGTGCATCTTGCAGGACCAGTCTGCCTCGAGCTCTGTGCATGTCATTTCATCGTCTGTCTCTGACTGACATCGTCTTAAAGGATCCTCTGTGTTCGTTCCGACAATGTATGACGTTGCAAAATTGGGGGGGGGGGGGGGTGTCCCCGCCGAGTTTGTTGATAAGGGGGTTTCTTTCATTTCATCAACAGTCTGCATCAATTGGGTGCATGTCATCTCGTGTCAAAGATTCCGACGAGGGCTGATCTCGGTTACCTCCTCAGGCCATCGTACGGACCCATCGGAGTCTTACTTGACCTGTAAGCTTGTCTCCGGGGGTTGCAGCTAGACTTGCTTGGCGGCAAAGCTGGTCGGATGAGGTATTGAAAGGATTCCAGGCTGGATGGAAATAACACCCAGAACAATTCAAAAGAAGCAGGTGACGAAACCCGTCCGACTTGTACACAGATCATCATCGCGCTGGATGTCAACGGGTGAAGATAGGTGTGGAAAACATTGGGTACCTCGACCGTAGTTGGTAGACCACCTCTCCTTCCGGACCAACAATCGATTCACCGCCCTTCATCGGTAACCATGAAATCGCTCTTCTCTCGCTTCAGGTCCCACAACGACCCATCATCAGCACTTTCATCGAATCCTTCTGTCCAGTCCAGCATTCCTTCATCTTCGCGTCTGGCACATCAGGAGTTGTCGACATTGACACATCCCTTGGACCTTCGGTCAACCACACCCATCGCAACTATTCATTCCCAAGAATCAGCTGGATCTTCAGGTCGACCTCAGTCAGAGCTTGAGCCGGCTGAAGGGGGATATGCCAATACTCTGCTAGCACCTCCTTCTGATCTACGACCATGGACCGAACAGAATGAGGTGGACGACAACACGAAACAATCGTTGGTCAACGGAGGAGCAGGAGTACCCGCGGCAGAAGGACCGGTGAAGAAGGTCACTTTTCGTTCACCTGTGCCGACTCAAATCGAGACGAGTCCAAGAGACGAAACGTACACGCCTCCACCAGCTTCCCTCCCCGAACCTTCCACTGCGAAACGAGGACGTACGTCGTCTTTCCAATCCAGGCGTAATGGGACTTCTTCCCCCAATAAACCATCTCGACCTTCCCCCGTCTTACCCTCTAGACCTTCAGGCTCGAGATCAACATCTCGACAATCTTTACCGAGCGTTCCTACGTCCCGAAAGACTTCCAACCTATATAATCCCGGTCAACCGAATCCGATCGCAGGGCATCAGAGTCCAACCAAATCCACACATTCCTCCTTGCCTTCTCACGACTCGCTCGATGCGGCAAGTACGAGGAGTTACCTCCCGCCCCCAAATAGCTGGAGCGAGATGGCTGAAGAAGACCTCATTGCGAATCTTGGTCCGAGGGAGAGGACAAGGCAAGAAGTCTTATGGGAGATTGTCAGCTCGGAAGAAAGGTGAGCTTTTGTCATGCTGTAATCTTCAAAGTTCACCACCTTTTTAGATACGTGCAGGAACTCATCAAGCTAAACGAGACCTTCTGCCAACATCTCCTTCCTGCTTCCGCTACGTCCCCTTCGCTCAGCCTGTTTGACCTCAACTCTACCCTCGCTCGCACGCTCTCACCTAACGCTTCACCAGCACCAGGTTCACCCGCCGAATCGTTTGACCACCTTCCCATTGCTGCTCGATACGCATCACCATCTCTGTCTCACTCCCCTCAGCCACCGTCGTCCGCTCGAATCAATGCTTACCACGCCTTGACACTCGGAGGACCACCTCACTCGGGAGCTAACCGAAAAGCCAGTTCGAACACTCTCAACGCATCGGCTAGAGCTCATCAATCTTTACCTCCGCCACCTCGAAGCACGTCAGCAGGACACCATTCGATCAATCCCAGAGTATCTTATCATCCTGGACTCGGAGCTGGCAAGCTCTACAAATTTGGAGAATCCTCACGAATCCCTTCGTCTAGTTCGGCATCGTCATTCGTCCCGGGCAAGAACCATCTTCCAGAAGATCTCGAAAAGGTCCTCCTGGCAGTCGCAGGTGGCATCCTGGAAGGTCATATCAAGCTAGCTGCCGCGCTGAGAAAACGATACGAGAACCAGTATCCTCTAGTCAGGTCCTTAGCCGACGTCTTCACGGCCCATGTGAGCCAGCATCTTCTACCTCGCCCTCAGCTGACAAGCCGCAGTCATACATTCTACGAGAATACGCGACCTATGTCTTGCACTTGGAGAAAGCCCTCAGTCAAGTTGATGCTGCGCTCGCGACCTTTACCCAATCCATGTCGCGCAGATCCTCACGCCGATTGGAGGATACAGATTTCGGTCGACTAGGCAAACTGTTGATGGCACTGGAAGAGCTAGCAGCTGAACGAGGCGAATCTGGCCTGGTCATTTCATTGTCCAAGCCGTTTCAGCGGCTCCTCAAGTACCCGCTCTTGTTCCAGAACTTGCTTTTCAACACCGACCCAAGTTTGAAAGAGTACGAAGCGACTCTGAACATGGTAGATGAGGTGGAAGAGATTGTGAGGTCTATAGAGGATGAAAAAGCTTCTTCGGAAGAGAGGGAGAAGACGAGGGACGTTTGGGCTCGGATTGAGGGTCTGGAAAGGGACAAGGTGAACCGATTCGATGAGATCCTCGTCATATAGAGCTGACACGTTGCAGTTACTCATGGCTCCCAAGCCGAATCGACTGCTCGTAGGCGAGACTTCTGTATCGGGTGTCGACGGGGCACAAGCGGATCCCGCGACCAAGTCCAAAAAGTCGTTTCGCAGACTATCAGATATACTTAAAGGAAGTGGACAGATGTCAGATCTATGGATCGTGTGAGTCGGCCGGAACAGAGTGACAAACGGGTTCTAACGGGGCCGGCAGGCGCTTCTCAGATGTTTCGCTCGTTTGCGAGCGGACTGGGCTCACGCATCTGCCACTATCTGGTGTGAAGTCTCATTCAGGTCGCAGCGATTCCCTGCCTGAAATCAATGGCAGGTCAAAGTATGCAACGGCGGGCAAAAGATCTGCTTCGATCAAAGCGAGGAATCTGTATCGTGTGAGTCCCACTATAGCTCGCATATCTTGGGCATATGCTGACACATCTATCCAGTTCATCAAGGTTCACGAGTGGCATTTGCGTCCAAAGGAGGCTACTTCAGAGGGAGTGTGAGCTTGATAATGATGACCATTCGATGCTTTTTCTGACGGATTCTCTTTCACAGTCTGCTTATGTCCGAGTCAGTCATTCACTGTAATGGATTCGATCATTAGCTGAAGTTGCCTAGCGTGCCCCGGGCTCGGGCGTCCCAGGATCAAACGTCGTCAACTTCCTCGCCTCGCGCAGCGTCTGACGGTCTCCCGCCATCTTTGCAGAACAGTCCTCGCGAAGCTACGGCAGTACCACTTAAAGGCGATGGTGGACCATCGCCAGCTCGATCCGCTCAAAGTCGCCGAGATGGCGATAGCGAAACGGTCGTATCGGACCGTCTCTCTGTCATGTCTTTCGCGTACAAAGGCTCGGACCAAATGCGACCCAATCATCGAAGAACCACGAGACCACTTGCGCCGCCCAGCAATACTGCGGCTCGAGCTTTGCAGTCTCGACCAGGTGTCGAGAGGCGGATGTCTGCTCAAAGTCCAAATGCCGCCAATGCCAAATTTGCCCATCGATTACGATCGACAGAGGAGCCTTTGAAGGGGGATGCGACGGTCAAACCATTCGTCAAAGGCAGACGATCCTTACCTCCTGCCATGTTGGCCAGGTCGGATCATACTGGATCACCGACGTTCACTGCTTCGCCGGCCCTGAGTCCGACCGATCGGAACACCCCTGCTAGTAATCCTTCTCGGAACGAACCCTCTCGTCGATCGACAAACTCGGAAGATTCGGAAAACGCTCATCCTCAAGGCGATGATGCCGAGCCTCGATCCACTCTACCTAACGTGATTCACCCTGGATCAAGAGGAATCAAAGGGACAGCTCCGCCGACTTTGTCAGGCGAGCGAGGTATAGCGAAACGACCATCACGTCAGTCACTCTTAGGAGCTCGGATCCACCCCCCTTTGAACAGGATTGGTGGAGGGGCAACTACGCAAGGTCCAGTTGTGCCTGTTGGTCCATCTCCCAATGGACGATCAGTGAATGCTTCCGGATCGGGTGCGATAGGAATGTCTCACAGTATCAGCAAAGACTCGAGTATGGCTCTGTGGACGTCTTATCGTGATGGTGGGATGGTGGGCACGCCGGTGAAGACGGGCGGTGGTACAGGAGGCTCTAGGGGAGCAGGATCTGGGATAAATGGAGCTCAAAGGCATTACGGAGGAAGGGTATAGCTCGGTACGGAGTTGAGTTTGGATGGACGCGATTCACTTTTGCGCTTAGGTAGTGGAGAGGTAGGGGCAGGCCAAGATCAAAGAAAGATCTTCATAACGACTATGTGACGACCCGCAACGAATTGTAACGAGTAGAATGGTGCCCCGGTCTGCGGGGTGCTTCGTATGCATAAAAATATAGTCTGGAAAAACGTGCGTCGTTGCAAATGTCGTGCTGTCCAGCATATACAAGGAAGACTAATAGCACAATGACTGGCCTGCGTAGCCAACTGATTTTCCAGCTCAAGATGCGAACGGATGAGCCACAAGCTCGCGATATAGTTCCTCAGGTATCTCGCCGACGAGAACAAGGGTGATGTCGATCACTCGTTTAACGTCTAGCGGAGGAAATGTTCGGAGGATTTTCATGGGCCTTTTAAGAGCACCAGTCAGTCACTGGTCTAGCACGTAGCTCGTGAGGGTTAAAATAGCTCACGATGGTGATTCCATGAGCTCATTCTTCATCAAAATGAGCTGAGCAATGACGCAAAGTATGTTGAGATGGACGCCGAACGCGAGGAGGAAGCTGCGAGACGGTGAACGGGTGCTTGAATAATAGGCTCAGGGAAGGAAGGTCGGTCACTCACTCCCACAGGCGGAGAACAGCGTCTAGCGGCGGTGTACAGGCGCACAACGTCATGACGGCTGAAAAAGTCCATCAGTCCATTTGTGATTTGTGACAGGGAAGACCCGGAGGCAGAACGTACACGGAAAAGCGTACAGTTCAGCAGAAAGGTTTTTGCTTCGTAGGTGATCGTACAGCTCGGTATCTACAATCTTGAGGCATCGGTCAAGTAGCTAAGGTCAGGATGATCAGTATATGGTGCAGGGAGGAAAGACAACAATCGGACTCACCTTGAGCCCTCGATGGACACCTGTCAGTGTCGGTTGCACGTATAGCGGACAACACTTCTCGATGAATGTGGAGAAGCATGCAAACGCTTCTAATTGAGATGGCATGGTATAGAGAAAAGGAGCGGAAAGGACGTTCATGCCTGTTCAAGAAGGGGGGAAAGTCAGTCAAGTCATCCTCCCCTCCATGATTCACGCAAATCTTCTCACCTTGAACGTAGGTGAACGGCAGTCCATCACGTTCAGATCCTAAGAGGCGATGTGTCAGGCTACTTACCTAAAACTGTGGGACGTCTCGCACGCACCATGATTCTTCCATACGAAGGCCTCGAGTAGCCTGATTAACATGTCCTCCTTGACTTTGCCTTTGAACTGAGTATCCGTAGCCAGCGTCCTGAATGTATCGTTCTTGACTTGAATGAGACGAGACACCCATCAATTCCAGCTCGCTCAAGGGCCGGGCCAAAACAAAGCCTCCAACTTACTCTTTGTGCTGACTTCCGATGGACCCATCGCAACATATCTTAAGTAATCTTCAGCATGGAGGGAGTCAATCCTCAGCATCAACTTCCAGATAGCAGGACGAAGTGAGGCTTTGCCATCCTGTATCAGCACGATTAGCCGTCGAAGAGGAATGTGTCAGTTGTCAGACTGACCTCATAAGGTATTCCCTCCGTTAAAATCAGCCTTCTTATCCTTTTGAGCCCATCTGAGATCTCTGATGTTGTCCTGTGTCTCGAGTGCGACGCCGAAGTCGGGACCAATAGGCTCGATAATTGATTATAGACTTCAGACTGTGTCATGTCAGATTGCCGGGTGATATCGTCAGAGGGTCGTGATGGTTTTCGTAAGTGATCGTGCTAGCGCTATCCTCAATTCTGATAGGACTCTCGGCTGCTGAATGGTCGTTTCTGGTCTTCAGCTATCCCTGGAGGTCCACAGCCTAGCAACTTGGGTCATATAGGTAGATGGCAGATGAGTGATGTTTTGATCCCAAGGAATCTCGCGATCCTTCAATGGCAAATTAATAAGCTTTTTCACGTTTGGCCGGGTCCATCTGATGTTTTGACATTGAACATCATCTCTCTTCGGACAGGGCGAGTAAGCAGAAGGAAAGCAAAAGGGATCAGGTGAGTCATTATCTAGAGGTTACCAGTCTGCAACTGATCCTGCTTCCTCTCTCAGCTTGCACTCTGAGCACCAGCATAAGCCACCAACGTCCCCATCAGCCTTCCAACGCTTCGCCCAAAGTATGCCAGCCTTGCGGTAGCGATGCTCAGCGAGGAGCTCTCCACTGACATGGTGAGTGACGCTCAAGGCTTCATTATGGGGTCCGACTCGCGAAGCTGACTGCGTGGCTGTAGGACAGGATCACTCAGGTGAGAGGGCATGGACGAATCGTCTAGAGACATGATAATGCTGATGACTCCCGTCCTACGTCTTCAGCTTCAAGATGCCATACTCGATGTGAGTCTAGACCCTGGACACAGGTACATCTGGTCCGAGTTGAAGCCGTATTCTAGCTCCTCACTATCTGCCATACGTCGATCGAGTACATCACCAAGAGGACACAGTTTGAACAGAATTCAAATACCATTCCAGCGACTCTGCATACCAACTCTGCAGCCAAACGGAAAGACTATAAGGGTGAGTCTGGGACTCGGAGCGGCTTAGACAGGACTTTTCTTCACGACATTGGCATGTCTGACTCGTTGCAGCGGCTATAGAGACGTTCGTAGCGGACATCATTCAGCGTTCAAAGGATGTAGAGCTGCTTATCGCTGCACTGCCGAAGAAGGAGGACAGTGATGCAAGGGCAGGGAGGATCGAAGAGTTGCAGCGCGAAATGGATGAGGCCAATGGGCAGTACAAAGAGGCCTTGGCAGATGCCGGTAAGCTCATGTCTCTATCCTAGAATCCTAACGAGCTGACACCGTACTGGCAGAGAGTCTCCTCAAAGAGCTCGAAGCTGCTCTAGGGGAGGTATTGGATGATCCAGTCATACAAGGAGTGGACGATGTTATGGAAGGCAAAGGGTGATGCAACATCTGACAAGAGTACAAGAGGCGCACAGTGGTCTGATGACGAGTCGTGGAAGATACAAGAACAACATGAGCCAATTGGTTTCGTGTTAATTGAACATGCTACCGTCACAATTGGCAGATCCACTGTTCGACGAGTGAGCGTCTAACAGATCTAGGCTGCACAGAGGTTACGCACCAGTAACATTGATGTTTCGCCTCTCTTACAATGGCCGAAGTTGCATGAGCGGCATGTGCCGCGGCGTTCGTGACATGTCTGTTGTTGCCCCTTCGACCTTTGGCTCTCGGAGAAGGGTTGACAACGACATCATCATCCTAAGGATGATAATAATCAGAGACAGTCTTGCCACATTCTCGCAAAGGGCTGACTGGTATGCCTTTGTATGAGATGCACATCTCCTCGTTTCGCTGTATCTGTCGCCGAGTGAAGATACAAAGCCTGACGTGACCGGAATCAGTCTCGATCATTCAAGAATCCTTGGCATACAGAGGCCTTTCGGGATGAAAGTCCTGCAGACCGTCAGCCGGAATTGGGTAGCGGGCACTATACGTACGTGCACATAGCATTGGGCAATCTCCATATTCGGGTCACAGGAATGATTCTAGGACACAGTCAGTAAGTGCAGCTGCCATAGAGGGAGGTGTAAAAACTAACAAAGTATCTAGTATACTGAAGAAGACAAAATCAGCAAGGTGGATGATGCTGCGAGCTCACTCACATTCTAGTGGGGCAGAAGGCGATAGAGTCAGTGCAGTCAGGACGGCGTCTATCGTGTACAGCTCACCCCGTAGTGAAAGGCGTCCACTGGCAGTATCCAATAAGCGTGAAGAACGTTTTGCAATTGGTCCGGCTCACCACTATAAGCGCTGTAGAATTGTTCGGTATCCTCATAGCCCTCCTGAGCCGCGTTGGCCCGCTGAGCCGTAGCAGCGGCAGTCTCCGCCAGTCGGGGATCAATCGTTGCGAGCCCCGCCGGAGGATGTCTCAAGTGCCATCCATCGGCATCGAAGATGTACCTGTTTCAATGTTGAGCTTCGAATGCAAGATCATACTCTGCTCACGTTCGTCCAATCTCCGTGTACAGTACGCCGCGCTTTTCCGATTCGTCTTCCGTGATGAGTTCACCAGCGTAAATACCGATGAACTGTCCTGCAGGAATAGGACCTTTGGCTCGAACACCTGTAAGTAGATCAGTATGCAAATTCGAATGTCAGATCTGATTTTGGTTCACCCCATCCTTTATACCTCTGCATTGTCATCAGTAATGCTCAGTCGGCAGAAGGTTGACTTGCCGTTTTGAAGATCTCAATCCTAGTCTCCTTCTTTCTGCCGTGTTGGATGACCTATTGATATCCTATAAGCTCGCTACGAATGCTATCCTAGCCGGCTCACTCGGTTGATGCAGGAAGGTGGGCAACCGCAAGTATCACTGCACTCCCAAATAGTAGCAGCGGGGAATTTCGCGATACCATATCTTCATGACGAATGAGTTGGAGCGTATCTTCAGGTTTCAGACTCACTGATCGTAAGCGAAGCCCTTGACGTCAAATTCTCGAAAGTAGGCCTGTTGTCTTCTCAGACAAGAGCATGACTTCGAATAAGGATCACAGGGGCCTTCACAGTCGCAACCCAAGCTCTTCTCCGGATCAGGAACATCAGGATGGTAAAGCATCTCGTTGGAGTATTCGAATTCGAGGTCTGGCGGAGCACCTTCATTGTCCACATCATTGCACACGCTTATTCCTCCGTTGAGCTCCTTCTCCGCTATGAATGCTTCGAAGATGGTTCGGTGCAGAGCCGGATTATGAGTCAAGAATGGTGCGCGACGATTCCACTCATCGATCTGAGCGGAATTGAAGTATCGCTTCGCCACGCCTCGGCGATCTGGTGGAGGCTGCTGGGTCGATTCCTCTGTTTGGCCTTGAATAGACACGTAGAGCTGGTCGTCTACCTTCTGCAGAGTCGATCGGCTGCTCGACGGAGAGCTTTTGACAGAGTCGATGAAGCCCTCGGCCTCGTAATTGGCATCTTCCTCCACAAGCTGCCGCCACGCCGCTCGAGTCATATTCTCATATCGGCCGAGAGACAAGATTTTAGAAGGCGTTTGTCCCTTCTCCTCCTCCTCCATCATCATCTCTGAATGCTGGTCCTTCACTGCGCGCCGAGACCTCCGCACCGAGTGGACTGCAGCTTCTCCGCGTGAAGACGTAGGCTGCAAGCCAAATATCTCGGAGGAGATCTCGATAATGGAAGGAGACCGAGTAACGCGAGACATCGGCGGTCGGGCGGGACCGCCTAAGTCGACGTCGGCCACTCCCACGCGAACCGTTTCCACCTCCTGCTCGACTTGCAGAGGAGAGCTAGCGTCGTTGGGAGCAGCAGACTGATCTGCAAGACTCGTTACGAGTGGCTCCATTGTCGTCGATTCTCTAACCGGATCCTGCGTCATCGGGTCGTCCTGTGGGTCAGACCTTGGTGAAGCTATCGGCTGCAAAGCGGGAAGGTTCTCCGGCTGCTGTTCCATTGCATCTCCGTACACGCTCTGCTCGACATCCTCATCTTTAACCATGCCGGATCCATCCATATCAAAATCGAAAGAGGCTGCAGGCAAATCTATGAGGCGGTCGTCTGATTTCAAGGGTGATGGTTCTCGAGCAGGCGATCTAAGTATTCTCGCAGCCCTTGGCGTTGTGTCAAGGATCTCTGTCGACGATGGACCGGCAGGTTGCCCATGTGCCTCTTCAAGGGCAAGAATTTTCATCTCCAGTGGTAGGGAAAGGTCCTGCGGGCCTGTAGCGATGCTGCGCTGATTCTCAGGCTCCAGGTCAGGCAGTGCGTCGTGTAAGCCTTCTTTTTCCATCGCCGTTTTCTGCAGATCAGCGGGTAAAGCGGGGATGCTGGGCAGCGGACTGGACGGTCCCGAACTCGTTCTCCAAGTTGGTCCCAGGCGCTTGACCGCAGGCGATTGCTGCGGTATATCCGTCGCAGATCTCAGAACAGACCCATCTGAATCTTCTGGGAAAGCCAATCTAGGCAGCTTGTTCCGAAATTCAGCGGATTCCGGCGGCGGCGAAGGTGAACTGGGTCGACGCTTGGGAATGAGCTGTTTACTCCACTCGGCTGAAAATTCAGGTTTACGAGTGTCCATTCTGTATTCCAGAGAACTGTCCCATGATCCAGAAGGTACATGTGCAGGTGCAAATGTGGAAGCGCTGTCCAGGGATTCCTGAGGAAAGCCACGTCCTTCTGCGCTTGCTGGAAGAGATGGGCCTGATATAATCTTGGTCCCTCTGGATTTCTGGGGTCGGGGGTCTCTTTCGCTCTCACTTGCTGAAGATCGAGGTACCATATGCCCATCACTGAAGATCATCTCTTCTGGGTTCTCCCACGACCCGGGCGCTCCACTGACACGCCCTAACAATCCTCTGTGGGATGCTGGTATTTTGTCCTTACGAATGCGAGAACCAGTAGGCAGGGGCTGCGAAGCGGCGGGGCGTCTTGATGAGGATGGACCGGCTCGTGGCGGAGTGGCATTTCGATCAGAGTCGGAGCCGACAGAAAGAGCTTGTGATACGTGTCAGTAGAGACTTCCCTCGATGTATGTCTTGACTAACCTTCGTCCTTCGGCAAAGGGTACACCTGGTCAATAGCACGTTGTTTCGCTTTAGTAGCTGCAACAAGAGTCTTGATGAGCTTCGTCCAAACAGCCAGTACAAGTCAGCTCACGCGACTCAGATAAGTTGGTTCGCCCAGGTCCTCGAGGCGTATTGCTCTTGTTCTGGCGAGCGGCCCGCCCTAAATCAAAGTTTCAGTCGTCAAGCGATGGTGACAAGTTGCTCACCACTTACGAGCAGATTTTGGCGTTGCATCCATCCCATGCTCCAGATGCCAAGCTAGAGACAGTATAGGCTCACTTTCACCATCTGTCGTGCCGAGCGCTGCATCTTTCTCATCGTCCGTTGAGAGAAGCTCAATAGGGTGGGCTTTATCGCCTCCTGCGGCACCTTTGGATTTATATGAGCAACCGAGCAAATGAATGACGGACACTGATGCTCACGAGGCGATGCCATTTTGCTCCAGGTGCTCTCAAGAGTCAGCCTTGATGAACCGCTGCTAGCTGGTCCTTGCGAGCCCGGCAGGCCCTGTGAGGTCAATAACAAAATCTTGAAACCTCTTGCGAGCCCGGCTATGCCGTTCATGAGGCTTCGCTTCGCGTAGGGCGGATATCGCCGCCATATATTGTGATCAAACCACTTCTTGGCGAGCTGCCTTCAAATTATCAGCTGCCTGCACAGAGCAGCTAGGCAGACAGCAGCTACGATGGGAGCGAAGGCGAAGAAAGATGGTGGATCCGGAGTCAGAGATAACATTCCGCCCATCGTACAGAAGGATCTCCTGCAGAGGGTCAATTTCTCGCATCAAGCCAGCATATACCTTCAAAATCTTTCTGAGAGCTCTCGTCAGCATGAAAGATCCAAGCAGACTGGGTCGAATCACCGCAAAGCACCGCGTACAGCGACTTCCGGATTCGCAAGTCTCGCTCGAAGCCAGATGAGGAATGTCAAGAAGATCAGCGAACACAATACCTTGAAGCTGTGAGCACAGGTACAAATGGATCCGCTCGGCGAAGCTGATGTCGGCCTCAGAGATGTCACTGCGAAACGTGCAGTCTGCTCCGAGTGCAACGCTGTTCTAGTTCCTGGGTTGACTAGTCGTATCAGGAATCGACGTAAGCTGTATCTACTGCGCATCTGACTCAAGCCGAGCTGATGTTGTCGTCCAGCGAATCGAAACCACATCAATGTCGTGAACCAGACTTGCTTGCAGTGCGAAAATGTCACAAAGCGTCCTTGCCCGCCCGTTTCTGAAGCGGGGACGTCAATGGATGGACCTTCTCGAAAGTGCAGAAGGATCAAAGCGGCCAGCAGGAACAAGACGGCGTTCTTTGATCGAGAGGGACCCGCCGGACATACCCTATGGCTGGGAGTCGACAAAGTCCACGGCTGGGGACAGACGACCATCGGCTCCGACACTGAGGCATCAATTGCCAACACTTCCTAAAGTACGAGCACGGCGCCGAATCTCCGAAATCGCGCATACAATGTCTCATATAGCGGGGACGCCGCTAGCTTCGCTCATGCTTGCAAGTCCAGCTTCCACACAAACACAGAAAGCAACCCAGTCCATACCCACAACAACAGATCCGATTCCACCAAGGTGGTCGACCAATATGGCTCGCATCGCCAGGATACCACTCGGCGTACTTGTTGTTTGATCCATCCCTGTCAGAACGATCAGTATGGATTTCGCTCCTGCTGTCCTTGAGCCACGTAGACATACTGCTTTGGCGATTGGTCAACTCTGGTCGAGGAGGTAGCAGCGGACATAGAGTCCACCATCTGAGTTGGCGCTGGAACCGCCGAGATTTCAGCTTGGATTGGCTTGATCTCGGGTGGTCCAGTACGCTCGTATGCTGGAGGCGGCGAAGTACTGCGGTGTGGGCCCTCCATCAACGATCGATCCTCACTCAATCTGTCCGGAACTCACACACTCGTTTGTTGATTGGTGGACGACATTGCAGGAAGTCAAGCTAGAGGTCGGACAAAGAGGAGATTAGTCTGGAATAAGGAGTCGTCACCCTGGAGATTCGAGAGCAGAGTACCATCCAGACAAACGAATGATCGTCAAAGATAAGTCAGCTCGACGGGTCCGTCAATCAAAGGAGTTACCATGGTATAAAGGATTTTCGACGATCCACTAGAAATTGTATTCTACCAGCATTGTCTAGTCACTCGCACGGCACAAGATGATCGATGATCATCATTGTAAATCCAGGCTTGAATTCGTTTGACAATTGATCCGTGACATGCATACAATAGAAACGTACATTTGATGCGGTGACATCTGGTCGCTCTTACACCAACGCGAGATTTCCCGCTTCCAATCATATTCTAATGAGGACGCACGTATCCGCTTCTCCACCATCTAGCTATCTGATCCCTCCGGATGTACCAAATGAAAGCGATGATCAAACCCACTCCAAGAATCACACCGATTCCGATACCTGCTTTGGCACCATCTGACAGACCTCCATTGCCAGTGCCATTGCATGGTAGTGCGGCATCGCATGGGTCTCCCGAAGGCACGTAATAAGTGTTCGCTGTGACGTTGACGTAATACGGATCGGGGGAATCATTTATCAACTGATCTCTGATATCAGCCATCTCGCCATGGATAGCTAGCTATCAGTCCACTCACCTGCCAGGATGCAAGGAATGGAATGACCGCGTTGTAGTCAAGGGCGACTTCCGTTTGAACCCAATCGTCACGCCAATCCCAAAATTTGTCGTTCTGCAGAGGCCCACCGACCATGGCCCCGTAGAGCACATGAGCCTCTACGGGCGGTTGTGTGCGTATGGCGTTGATGTTGTCGCCTCCGGAAGCAGGGGCCGAGTGTGGATTCTGAGGCGAGTTTGGGTGTGATCCGACCAGGTATACCGCTATGGACCCTAATCAGCACTTTAGGTGAGGAGGACTGCCTCTCTGTCTTACCGCTCATTGGGTTATTACCGAGCATGTAAGCCACTTGATTTTGAGCGAATTCCTTCCCGCCCCGTCAGTGCCATATGATGACGGTATCCGCGTCACTCACCTGATACTGAGATGTCTTGTTCGAAGTGGAGGCCAAAGGAGCGTATTTGTAGAATAGCATCGAGGCAGACATGGCTTCGATCAATGACGATTCGTCAGACCAGCCTTCAAACCAGAGCAGGCCGCCTAGACGACATCAGCATATTGTCATGATCCAGACCGATGCCAAAAGTACCGACCTGGAGTCATGAAGTGTTGCTTGCTGTCTTCTCCATTGACTATCCTATCGAACCAGCCTTCAGCTTCGGTTTGCCATCCAGTTAGATTCACAGCAAGTCCAGCTCCTGTTGCCAAGTTTGGGCGAGTTTTTGCAGCCTCAACGAAGAGAACGTAGAGCGCCGGATATCTCGAATCCCAATTCCACGGATCATTGCTGCCAGTAAGCGCGAATTCCTGATAGAAGTTGTACGCATCGGCATAGTAGGCGCTCTCGTTCGTGGCCAGTGCTAAGGACAAGGCGCCCATGGCAAGCTTGTCCGTGTAATTTGTCGCAGTATACGCGGATGCGACGGCCGGAATGCTATGTGCAAAGAGACTGAAAGGTCTGGTCTGATTCGCGGTAGCGTACAGGGTCTTTGCGTGGCTCAAAAGTTCGGAAGCGTACGTCGAATTACCAAGCGACGGCGAGCTGGGTGGAGACGCTCCAGAAATGGGGACGTACGATACTCCTGGAGTATAGAGCAGCGAGGCCATGGCAAAGGCTGCGGCCGTTGAGGCCCATGCGTCTGTGCCAGGGCTGGACGAGTTGATAGGGTATGAGGGTCGAGGCGTGGGGATATTCTGATCGCCTCCCCTGGACAGAATGAGTTTTCGGTCACTTGTCACTCATCTGCACTCACCAATATGAATTATCGATAGTCGAGTCTCCCACTTGAACGAATAAAACGTCGTCCGAGGGATGTGCCTGGTCTCGTGAGCACTTGGGTTGACTACAGCGATACACCGTTACTAACTCTCATCATCCAGTCAAAGCCCCATCGTAGGGTAGAGTCAAGATAAGCAGACTGTTGTGCCAGGTCCCAGCCCCGACCATGTGTCAAGGCTCCCCAAGATAACGCGAAAAGGGTGTTTGACAACGGAAACAGACATTTGATATACTGGACCGTGTCAGTAGTCCTTGCTTCCTGATTTTTTGTATCCAACTCACATCCCCGGCATCGTACCAGCCACCAGTGAGATCGAGGTTCCAATCGCTACCATCCTGCATGGCACTGTTGTTTCGCCATGTCACGCGATTGGGATACGCGCCTGCATCGAGGTTGCCGCTCCGTTGAGCGTCGTAAAACCAGAACGCGTTGCCAAGAACGTTTGACCATTGCGGATTTGGTGATGAGCTCGATTTAACGGTTCCAGATGCAGCTGGAGGAGGATTGTACGTCGGAGAGGGTACCAACTGAGCTATCGCTGGTATTGACAAGGCCATCAGGCCGACAGGTGGTGCCAGACGCATCTCCCGAAATAGCGACGACTGCTTCAAGATCCAAGGTACAAAGAGGGGAAACGATGATGAGGAGAGGGGAGTATGTTGACTGCTCTTTCAGATCATCTCCATGGGGTCTGCAAGGTCATGTGAGCTTTGAGGGGTGGGGAGGGCGGTGAAGTGACTCGGTTAGTAGCGGTTATCACGATGAGATGGACGATGCAGAAAAGCAGGACCCCAAAGGTCTGTCTACCCAGAAACTGCCAAAAATAAGCAGTGCGCCTTTTCCCCGGTCTCTGACGAAGTTTTCAGGCACCGGCGACTTTTTGTGCGGAAGCAAATTTTTGGGAAAGCGTCGGGACTCGGAACCGCACGAAATGCTTTTTTTTTGCTCATCATCTGGTGGAGTTCACTGCAAGAGATGACCAAGGGAGTCAAAGACGGTATGGCGTACGAGGAATCTCGAGGTGATGATTTGGAGGACGGACTAGAGGTGGATCAGGACTTCTTAGCTTCCCCTGGTGCTAGTGGGAGTGGGTCATCCGTAGGAGACGGAGATGGGGTCATGGGGGATGAAGAGGTCGTCGATGAAGGAGAATTCTTCTCAGATCCAGAAGCAGAGGAGCAATCAAGGTCGAGAAACCTACAAGCAGGAGCAAAACGGAAAGGAGACGACGGAGAAGAGGACGATGCGACACGGACTGCCGAGAAGAAGAGACGGAAAAAAGAGAGAGAGAAGAGACGGAAGGCAAGGGTGAGTGAGCTGGTACATTTGAGCTACATTCAACTTTAATGTCGAATCACAGCGGCATCAAGCCCACTCGCCATCGTCTTTTTCAAAACCTCTGTCTCATCTCGCGACATCTGAGCTCTTCCAGCTCCTCCTCTCTTCCATACGAGATACATTTCCGGCCGCGAGTCCGATGGAGATTGAGGATCTGCAGATTCCAGGCGAGTCATATGAGACTTTTGATGACGCGCGAGCTGATGAATCTGTTCAGAGAACCAACTGTTACCAGCCCTTGACACAGAACATATCGGGTCGGTCCCTGAACAGTCCCTCCTAAAGGATCGTTTACATCCATGTGAGCAGCCTAATGAAGGATAAGCAGGCAGTGGTTGACAGTCCACAGTCTTAACCGACAAAAAGTTACCGCCATCAACACCTCGGGTCATCGTTCTCTCACTATCGGGTCTCAGATGTGCAGATGTGGTGCGTGAAGTCAAATCGATTCCGGGACATGGTGAAGTCGCCAAGGTAGGTTACAGCCTTTTTTTATTTTCCCGGAGGATCCCTTCGCTGAATCGTGCGCTAATCAGCTCTTTGCGAAACATCTCAAATACGAGGATCAGGTCAATTACCTAGCCAAAACTCGCACGATGGTTGCAGTAGGCACCCCAGCCAGAGTTGGGAGGCTACTGGCGGAAGGTGAGCACGTATCAGCGGCTAGGATCCGCTACGATGCTGACAGTCATAATAGGTGCCTTGAAAATTACCAAAAACACTGTCATTCTACTGGATGCCTCATTTCATGATTCAAGTAAGCCTTCTCTGATCTACTTTGAGGAAGCTTCACCAATGACGTGCAGAAAAGCGAACGCTGCTAACACTGCCTGAGGCTCGTACGGAGCTATGGAAATCTGTCTTCTCAGGCAAGGCTCGGGACACAATAATAAAAGGAGGCGCGCGAGTCGGGGCGTTCTAGTGCGAATGCATCATGCAGCTCATACGTTGAAATCATCTGCCCGCTGTTTTAAATGAAGTCGAGCGTCCCGGGTCGAGTCAAGGACCCGGCTCAGAGTGCTTGGCTGGTTGTTCGGCACAGCTCTCAGAGTCTGTCCTTGCAGCCCAGTTATCAGCGACAAAACCGCTATCCCCGCAAGAGCCATCACCATCTAATGTCTCCATGGCATTTGCGAGCACTTTTCTGTCATAGACGACCGTTCAAAAGAGCGTCAATCAGTTGAAAGACCCCAAAGTGCTTCGGCGAGGCTCACCGAGACAGCCAATGTTTCCTTCACTCTGAGCATCGTCTTCCGGAACAGTCTGACAATTGACCGTCATTTCACAAAGCCGCTCGTGAAATGGAGAGGTGGGTTCCGGAAGAACGATCCGGCCGTGGACAGGCTCCCAAAATCGGACTTCGTCGACATCGGACGAATCGGGCGTACTCTCCGACTTGATTTCCTTTACCAGCTTCTCCCACGACATCCATCTCAAGGCATTGACGCACTGGTCGGCGTCATCGATCGCGGCGACCTTGATGGATATCTGGCCAGATCCATTTCTAACGGCAAACGGAGCCACGGACAGACGCCGCCATGCCGAATTGGTATCTTCATCGTGATGGAACTTGGTCATAGCATACACCGTGCGCTGCAGACGAGACAGGTTGGCATCAGAGTCTTTCGAAGATGACCAACAGCCTCCGTTACCCAGCTCGACGGACCGCTTTGAGACTTCCCATGCAGACGGAACGGATCTTGCGGTATTGGCAGAATGGCGTGTGGCCTGCACGAGAGCCCCTCGTAAGGTCCTTGCTGACATGAGGTTTACAGGACAATGGAATTTGACTAGATCACTGGCTTGATGGCAGCGATAATATAGATCCAAGTGTCTGTGTGTTGTTGTCTTCGAGGACTTGTTGCAAGCGCAAATGGACGACGCGATGAACAAGAGAAATGAGTAGGCGACTCCAACGTGAGTCGGGCGTCTACATCATCGGCCCCACCGTCTTCGTCCTCCTTTGATCGAGTCCATTAGATGAGCTCCACACATTGATTGTGGGGATGGGTTGGCACTAGGAAGACCCTGGTCTAATCCGACTGCCAGCCCCATATCTGCCTTCCTAAGAGGTGTCCACAGCCTTCGCGATGCTTTCCATTCATACCTCCCACCTCGTCTACTCTCTCACCGCCTGCGCCGCGTCTCGTGGGCCCTTTACAGTCGGGAACTGTACACATGATGCAAGGTGCAGGATGACGAGAGGGATCACCGAGATGTAGCTCGGAAGCTGACATGGCATCGAGGTATGGATCAAGATATGATCGATCGACGGCTTGTACCTCTACCAAGCCCATAGTTGGATCATCTTGATTGTGCAAGGAGCATTCCGGTTCATCGGGTCGGGGAAAGCGATAAAGCCTGACGTCTAATGGTGGTTTGACTGTCGTGACTGGTTTCTTGCCTTTCTGAGTGAACGGCTGCGAGGTGGTCCCATCATTCTTGCCTTTCCAGTCCTCAGCTTTCCGCTTGGCACGCTCATATCTTTCGGCAGTGTATTCCGCCCAGTCCGACAATCGTTCCAGGCTTTGGGCCCACCCGGCTTGAAATTGTCTCTCCCACTCGTCCACACGGCTTGGGCCAATGGCGTGCGCTTCGCCGCCGATTGAAATGGTCTTCAAGCAAGGCAGTGGAGGAAGCACAAAGTATGCTCGCTCAGTTGAAGGCAAATCGACGGCAGACAGACCGGTGGCGGCTGCTGTGGATCCGGCGCCTCGACGAGGTCGATCTCGTATGGAAAAGGTCGGTTGAGCGACTGAACGGTTGCCTCGCCGAGGTCTCGACACCTCTGGCAGTCTCTCCTGTGAAAGCGCGGATCCCGGCGTTGACGAAGCTGCAGCGTTCTGGCTTGAGCCTGGAGTCTCGCTCGACTGCTGTGTGCTTCCGTTGGGTTGCTCATGAGGCCTAATCCTCTCCGCTTGAGCGATCCTAGCTCGTTCTGTCGCATCCCACAGAGCGATTCTGCGCTCTCTTTCTTTGCCTCGCGAAAGACCAGCAGCCACACAAAGACTGCCAAGGTCCTTGCACAATTCTGACCCCTTCTCCCCGGCTCCAAATGCGAAAAGGTTCGTGCGATCCAAGACGAGGTGCTCCAGCAGCGTGTAGCTCTTCAACAAGGTAGACAAGACGGTGTCCAGTCGTACGTTCGTAGTGGAGACGTCAAGATATCTCAAAGCTGGGAAGACAGTGTTGGAGTATCCTGGCAGATGGTGAAGGATGAGTACAGAAGTGATATTTCTCGATGGAACGCGCAGTCGAAGATGTGTCAGGTGCCGGGCCACAGGCGAAGTACCGAATCTCCAGATACATTTGACGTCGAAAAACACCATAGGTTGAGCAAATTCTTTCGGTCTGCTGTCGGCCAGAGAGTCACCTAAGTAGGGAAATGGTCCACGACGAGAAGGTAGGGCTGGTCTCGGTTCATCATCTTCTGCATCGGACCTGTCCGCAATGTATGCTTGAGCGAGATCGTCAGTGATTCCGTCCACTGCGACTGCCACGTTTGACGCATCTTTACTTTGCTGAGCTCGTCTGTGCGTCCGTGGAGGGATATCCTGGATAAAAGATAGATGTGTAAATGTTTCGCTCTCTCCCCAGGTTCTGAACATCGTCTCAACGGCAGAGTCAAAATACGACCCTGTCACGTCAGCGCAATGTAAGCTAACATTCAGCTTACCTTTGAGAAACTGATAATACGAGGCTTCCTCCACATAAGGACGGAACCTGACCTCGAGTCGGCGTAATCGAGGGCGAAAGGTTTCGAACATTTCTTGCAGGTGCTCTGGTGCAAAGTTGGTGCCCACATTGAGCAAGAGGGTCGGGACATCCGGAAGACATCGCATAACACTGCAGTCAAGGTCAGCTTTGTAGTTTCGTCATATCATGCCACGCTGACTTGTTCAAGATGTCGGCATCACCAGCCCAAGATTTCTGAGCATCGGTCATCAGCAATCCTGTCGGATCATCATCTACCCACCATGCAGAATGTCCTGACCATCTGGCTCATGCGCCCATCGTCGACTTTTCGATCCCTCTGTAGTCTCCTCCATAACGGTATCAACTGTTTCCCACGATGGACGACCAAGTGAATCCAGAGATGACGAGTGGAAAGTCCATATTCCGGAAAAACCTGAATCAGTGACAGGGCCGTCCGCTGCAACTGGTCAGGCGGTATATGGTTCAATAGCTGATCGATGAGCTCCGTAGGGAGCTTTGTGATGGATGCAGAGACTGCTTTCGATGCTGAGCCAGCATCTTCCGGCATACTTTGCTCCATATAATTGATGTGTACAATATATCACGAGAATCAGGTCACCGATCCATCGGCCCGCTTCGTTGAAAAAGTCAGTCCCGAGAACGGTCTCATTTCCAGCTTACATTTGCTTATTACGTACCGACTGCTGCGTCATGCTTGGAAGGAGTCATGGCAGCCCATAACGAGGCCATCGAGAGACTCAAGGGCCTCTTGAAGACTTTGAGCTCGTCAGAAGAGGCGTCGCCTCTATCTGTCGCCCAGCTCGAATTCATAGGTCAATCGCTTCTGTCAGACTCTCAAGCGAAAGGATTGGCGGTTCTTTGCTTGTCTGTTTTTGGTCAGAAGACGGCGGCAAGATCTCTGGACAGTGATAATGCGAGCTCTGTGGTCATCTCTGCATTAAGACCCTACACAGAACGAGTGTTCAATACTCGCACCGAGGCGTCAAACACCGCAGTAATCGGAGATGAAGACAGAATTTTAGCCTTCACCTTGGTGATCGCCAATCTCTTCCCATTCGCGCCAGTAGCCTGTGTAAAGGATCTGACGGACCCATTTGGCACCGAAGAAGAATCATGGGATTCGCTGGGTATGCTGTTAGAGCTGGCCGAGCTTCCAGGTCCCCTAAGACCCGCACTGGCCGAATTACTCGGCCAAGCAGCAGGCACGAAGCAAGGTCGAGAGATGGTCCGAGCGCGAGCTACGGAATGGCTTCAAGGAGCTGTCAATCTTCAGACCGCGGATGGCGATCTCGGAGTGCTATGTGCCGTCGCGCTGAGCAAATTGGACAATGGAGCCAGGCCTGACACGGAGGTCACACCAGCTGAAGTGGATGAGGTGTCAAGAATGAGAGCGGACGCCGGTCTGGCCAACAAGATGATCAAGCATATTATGTCGCATTCTCACGCGCCGAGCTCTTGTCGATCAGCGATCGAAGGTCTTGGAATCTTGACAACCAAGTCATACATCAAAGAATTGGTATGTCAAACGCCAAAGGCTCTGAAATCCATCCTCGCGCTTTCCCCGGTCCTTGGACCTCGACCGAGCTCGTTGCCTCAAACCCCGAGAGGCAGTATCGACTTCAATGACAAGTCACTGGCACCCGTCGAAACAGCTCTATGTTATGGTCTCACGGTGGTACTCGTCAATCTGACGGCTCGGAGACCGAAGCTTTCAGGCGAGGATGAACAGATAGAGCGTCTGCGACGGATGGCTATCTCGGGAAAAAAGGGCGGCGGCGGCGGAATGGATTCAGAAGAGGACCCTTTCGAAACGGATGAGGCGGTCAGAGCGCGAGTCAAGTCGGTGATCGCTGCGGGGGGCATCACGGCGCTGTCTGAATTAAGCAGGGCAGACAGTCGTAGTGTCAAACTCGCCCTTGGACACTTGTGCCTAGCGCTTGTCGAGGACCAAGCCAATCGACCGATGTTTATCAGAGATGGAGGATTCAAGGTCCTGTCCAGCGTGGTTCGAGACCTTTTAGCACCCTCGACATCGGAAAAGTCTACCCCGGTCGCCATTCACAACGGCAGTCAGTCTGGGTCAGACGCTGATGTTTTAGTGGCTGCACAAGCTTTGGCAAAGCTAATCATTACCACTGCACCTCACCTCTTATTTCCTCCACCACACCTTACGACGAGTCTTAACGCCCTCTCTCCGATGTACATTCTCATGGCACATCCTTCTTCCACACTATTACAGATCTTTGAATCCCTCATGGCGCTTACCAATCTCGCATCGATTGGTGCGGACGTTTCAAAACGTATCTTGACAGATACCTGTACGCCGCCACGTGCAGACGAAATGTGGCGTGGATCTGGAAGAGAAGATACCATCCGCATCACTACAAAGATAGAGGAGCTATTACTAGCAGACAATCAGCTCGTCCGGAGAGCAGCGACAGAGTTGGTGTGTAATTTGGCGGGCTCGGCAGAAGGCATCGCCTATTATTCTGGCGGACCAGCGTCTTCGCCCGAAGGGAAAAGTCAAACGGCAAAAGCAAAGTCTCGACTTCAGGTCTTGCTCATCATCACACATGTAGAAGACTTACCGACCCAACTCGCTGCCGGAGGTGCTCTGGCAATTTTGACAGAGTCACCGCACATTTGCGACCTGCTTCTAGATCTTTCTTCTGCCGGTAAAACGACTCCTCCCTCACGAAACGTCTGGAAACGTATCATCGGTATGCTTGAACCAGAAATCGAGCCGGAACAAGAAGGCGAAGAGCCAATACCCCTCATCTCGTCGTCGCCTCCCGATGAAGGACTACTCTTGCGGGCTGTTGTCATCCTGTCGAATCTCGTAACCCGTGTTATATCCCTGGAGCAAGAAGACCGGGTCAGACATGTGGCGGATGCAAAGACAGCTGGAGTAGACACCAAGCTTGATGAGATCATCAAGACCCGGAGCTCCGATGATCTTCTAGAGCCTGCCAACAGCGCTCTGCAGCTCTTCAAGCAGACGAGCTTTTAGACGCTTAGCATTGCTAGATTATACGCGACATTAACGAGTGAGACCATATATCAGTAATCCCATACAGATATGCATCAGACTATATGACAACATTGAGAACAACCTCGAAGACCTACTTGAGAGCTCATTCATCTCGTACTCGTTTCCTCGCCTCCTCTCTGTCAGCTTCAGCCGTACGCTTTCCACCTCGCTTGGCAGCGTCCATAAATTGCTCCACGCCGAATGGATCAGATTGACCGTCGAGGCTGATGACGACGTCCTTTTCGAATTGGACAGGTCCGTCTCGAACCTCGGCTGTATCTGCACCTTCAAATCCACGAGTGGCATTCCCAAGTTTGAACCGGTCCTTCGCCAATTCAGCTTGAATACCTTCTTCTGTCCCTCCTCCAAAGGCCTCGTCGTTGCCAGACATGTTGCCTCTAGACTTGTAGATCGCAGCCGCAGCTGAAGAGCCCTGGAAGAGAGGCTTATCATAGAGGTTGTACGAATCGTCCGCACCGAAACCAGTATTGAGCTGCTCTCTGTTGAATAAGCGAGAGTCGAGCAAAGTCTCTTTTGACGCTGTAGGCTTTGCGAGACCAAGAGCGATCTTCTCTGAAATATCCCGGTTCTGTTCCCTGCGGTCAACGTCAGCGTTTGAAGGCTATTCCACGACGAGGATACGCACTTGGCAAGAATCTTCGCCCTCATCTCTGATCCCATGTTGTTCATTCTCATCTCCTTTTCTCTTTCTCTTCTCTTTTCCGCTCGGACCTGTTCTCTCTCCCTGATAGCATCCTCATCCTCCTCAGAGGGAGCGTCGCTCTCATTATCATCATCCTCCTCCTCACTATCGCTCGCATATCCTCCTAAGCCCATACCAGTCGGAGCTGGAGCGCGAGACGAGCTCTCCCCGTTTGTAGATGCCGCAATTGATGACCGATCCTCGCGCGCGCGTTGAGCCATGAGACGCAGATTCTCCTCCTTTTGAGCCTTCTCCTTTTGCGCAAGCAGTTGCTGCATTTGTGCTCGAGCGCGGACCTCTTCTCGAGCGTGACGGTCGGCGACATAGAGAGCTTCGGAGAACTTGGCAAAGTTGTCATTGATGTGAACCTGAAAGCAATGTGAGTATTCCAGCCAATGGTGAACGACAATACAATACCCACATCCTGCAGTCCTCTACCGTCCGCAGCCAGCCGCTTATCCAACGGAATGGTGTATCCCTTGTTGTTCTTCCAATTGGAAATACACGGTGGGATCATCCAATCCTTTTGATCCTGAGCAGTGACGGCTCTCGGTGGAGACTGCATGACCGGCGGAGGTGGCTCAGCGGGACCGCGAGGAATTTTCTTGTGCTTGAAACGAGCGGGCTCCAAGGGATCCTCCTGTACTGAAGTGACTTTGATAATTCGCTGCTTGCCACCTTGAGCATCTTGGTTGGCCGGGGTATACCGAATGTATTGTGCGTCTGTGTTGGCCTTCGGGACATGTTTCGGTTGAGCAGCCTTGATTTTGCCATGAGTGATTTTTTCCAATGCCAATCGCGTCCGCTCTGCTGTATCCTGGACTGCCTCCTCATCTGGTCTCTCCATCGCTCTGTCCTTCTCTGACACATCTGTCCGATTCGCCAACGGAACGAGATCTGGATGAACGTCAGCCGAAGTTCTCGGAATGAGGGGAATGCACACCTTTGAAACTTGACTGCACTTTGCTGCCAACGGCTCGACCATGCTGGGCAATAGCATCATATCTCACGGTTCCATCTTGATCGACTTGAAGAGCCAGCGTTGTTCCCGCACCCGTCTGGTGGAAGAAAAGTGATCAGTGAAGCACTTCGCAAGAATTCTTCAGCTCGTCTCACCTTCTTCTTGCCCATCTCCAAGGGGTACTGCGCAACATGGCACTATTCGATAAATGTTAGGTGGCAAACACTACAGCTCAATGTCGATCCTCACCTCAGGGTACGCCCCGCCGCCATTGAAGTCGATGTCCGTCTTTGGCTTCCATCCTTTACGAGATCCATAAGCAGGGACCTGAGGCTTTGAGACGACAGCGACGGGCCTAGATGGTCCTTCTTGATAATCGTAGCCCGAAGAGTGAATTGGTGCCGGGAGAGCACTACATGGGGTAGAGTCAGCGTCCGATCATATCTCTTTTATCTCCTCAAGTGGAGCTCACCTCGCAAGGGCCGCCATCTTGATCCCTGAACGTAAAAGACTTACTCGACCAGTTCAAAGTGACACAACGCGAAGTCTGTTGACAACTAGGATGTAGAAAAATCCCAGCACCGAGCCGCTCGAGACTCTAGCGCAGAGACCACCCCGGCGTTCTTCGGCGTTTCATTCACTGTGGCGGTCAAGTGATCTTCCAAAAATCTCCGTGATAGCGGCGGCTATTTATGGACACGGGCAGGTCACCCCATCATCGCCACGCGGGCAACGCGGCCAAACGTTGAAGTGTACTGACCCATGCGGGGTACAATTGCGCGGCTGAGTCTCTGCACTCTGTCACACGCTTCAGTCTCAGCACCAGTGGAGCAGCGTTGCCAAACTTACTCATTCAATCAGGATGTTGCTTCTCAAGCAGGTGCTACTCCTCGGGGCGGTGTCCCTCGTCTCTTCAGTCCGTGCAACGCTGGACTACGAAGAGGTCCTCTCTGCGATCCCGTTCAAGGGTGATTCTAAGGCGGGAAAGGTATACGATCAGGTCATCGAGCAGTGTGAGTGACACCAGTCACGATTGAACTGGGTAGCTGATGGTATCCAGTCTCCGCCGAAGCCATTGAGAACCGACACCTTTTACACGCCCGCATCTCAAACCTATTCCCTGACTCCGCCGTGACGGTCACATCGGATCCCGAATTCCAACTTCTGCCTTATGCAGCGTCGGTCCCAGACAGAATCATCATCAGAGAGAAAGAGGATGTGCAGGCGCTCAAGGATGTTGTCTTTTCCAGAGCGCACCGTCGTCGCTCAGATACGAGCAGCGTCCACGAGTCAGTAAGATTTGCCGGATATGATATCGAATGGCAGGATCAGTCGCTCCAGGCCTTCATCGTCGCAGTGAGTGGGACGACAGCCTCTCGTGACTGCGAATAGAATATCGCGCTGATAGGGATGTCTTCATCAGTGGCACGAAGACTACAGCCTTTACGTACAGTGGCATCTCATTGGTGACGCCAGTGCCGCACACGATCTGATACGTGAATGCTCAAAATGGACCGCCGAGCCTCAGAATGTCATTTGGGTCTTCAACGATGGGTTCTGGCAGCCTGATGCAGCGCTGTGGACCGCAGTGCAGAAGGTATGTGTCACAGACTGTATTTCAAATTTCGCTCATCGAGAATCCCAGGCCTCGTGGAGTAGCGTCATTCTTGATGAAGAGTTCAAAGACCGCTTGATCAACGACTACAGAAGCTTCTTCAAAAGTGAAGAGACGTACAAGAGCTTCGAAGTACCTTGGAAACGAGGTCTGATCCTACTCGGTGTGAGTACTAGGAGCAGGGCGAGGTTGTTGCAGTATCATGGCTCACTGAAGCTCTAGCCCCCCGGGAACGGCAAGACTATCAGCATCAAAGCCATCATGAAGGATGTGGACGTTCCCAAGCTCTACGTTAAAACATTCCACAGTGAGCAGAGATGACAAGACTCGTAATACTACATCACTGATTCGTGAACCACAGCCTGGCAAGGGGATGAAGTGGGCATCCGGGAAGTCTTTCAGAGAGCAAGAGCAGAAGCACCATGTGTGCTCGTCCTCGAAGACCTCGACTCCTTGATCACGGACATGAATCGGTCTTTCTTCCTCAACGAGGTGGATGGTCTGGAGGACAACGATGGATTGCTCCTGGTCAGTATCTCGGTCAAGTTTCCTCTTGATGCTTACCGGACAAACAGATCGGCACAACTAACCACTTTGAGCGTTTGGATCCGGCATTGTCAAACCGACCCTCGCGATTTGATCGCAAGTAGTGAGTCATGATCATCGTCCCAAATCCAGACTCGGGTTGACGGGCCTCAGCAATTTTGGAAATCCCTCGTGGGCTGAACGACGCAAATTCGCCTTGTTCTGGCAGCACAAACTTTCCAAGAATAAGCAGATCGACTTTCCTGATAGTCTCGTGGACAAAGTCGCAGATGGCAGCGACAATTTTTCCTTCGCTTACCTTCAAGAAGGATTGTGGGTTGTCTGTCTCCGTTCAAGTCTCCAACTAATCTTCCTTCTCAGTGTCGCGTCACTGCTGACTTTGGCAGGAATCGATGACCCCGCGAGCCGCCCAGAATTCGCTACGATCCTCATGAAGGAGATCAATAAATTGAGAGAACAGCTGAGACAGGGTAATGACAAGTCGTTTGACAACTCGACACTAGGCTTCGATGGTGAAAGCGGAGGCATTGGAGGGGGTGGAGGGGCTGATCCGCGTTGGTTGAAGGAGTTACAGGTTATGCGAGGTTTACAATTCCCCGTTGGTCAAGTTCAATTTGGAGGTCTTCTTTGAGTCAGTATCGGAATCAGACCAGGTTTATGCAGCGAAACATCAGTGGGTGTCTTGTAGCTGCTGAGAATGCAGTGGTATTCACCCTATGGCATGGTCGTTTATTTTCGTTGAGCTGAATCTGGGTGTACGACATCCGAGCCTGATATTGCTCGAGAGTCTACTGTCAAAGTGAGATCCATCGGACCTCGCTAATGATGCCAAATCTTTCCAGCTACGCCTATATGTCGGGTAATGCATCTCTGTGTGTATACTCACTTCGTGGCTGAATGATCCATGGGGGGCGAAGCCTCTGGATCGGTTTCGAAAGCATCTTTTAGCGTTTCATCGCAGATGCCGTTGCTCTCGATGGTTGAATCGTTTGATGTATAAGTTTTCACACGCCTCAACCACTTCGAGATCATCCTCATTGTGCCCGATGCAGAAAGGAGGGTGAATGGCGAGCTTGCCGTCAGTCATGAGTGGATTGTTCAACAAGATGCATCGTGAGGGTCGTGCTGAGAACAAATGCAGGACTGACTATATGCTAAAGATGTATAATTGGGAATCGGGTGCGCCTCGAGACTACAGCTCTGCAGAGGGAGCTGCAACTGTCATAATGCCATCCTGTACCACCATGCAAGAGGCGATGAAGAGCGCCTTGTCGGCCGGATCTACGGCTTGTTTGTCTGCATCGAACGAGAGAGGTGCAAGGATGATTTGCGCGGCTGTCGGTTGAGAAGGGCTGGTAACAATAACGCTATCGTCTTCGCTACCCGCTGAGGAGAGTAGACTGGGAGTCGGCATTATAGGGTGAGATAAAAGGACCAAATTGTTCGTCGGCGCTTCCGCAACACTGCCGTCCTCTTGATCTTCGAGATTCTGCATCGACAGCACGTGCACTGATGGGCCACCGGAAGGTCCCATGGCGACATCATCAGACGCTCCAACACTCTTGAGCAGCTCCGCCAAAGTCGCCGAGAGACTTCGATACCCTTCGAACTCAGGCTGATGTTCCTCCGACTTGAGCTCCTGAGCTCGCATAGCGAACATCATACGTCGGCGTTCCATGCACGCTTCCCACTCTCTATCCTCTTCGTCCTCGCGGTCTTCTGTATCCGATACGTCGGTCGAGGAGCAATCTTCGATGGAAACATCTTCGGCGAACAATGGAGTGATAATGAGATCTCGAGATGCGTCACGTTCGTCTACTGGTGATTCGCAAAACTCGTCTAGGATGGCCGATGAGGTAAAGCAATCAATCTTGGTGCGAAGGCATCGACTATCCCTCTCCGGCAAGACACAGGTTCGTTCGGCTTCTGAAGGCGGCTCCAGGGGCGAACGATCGTACTCTAATGAGCTCCAAGTGGAGTGATAGGACTGCGACTGTAAGCACGAGGAACAAGGCAAGGAGGACCAGAGCCACTCACGGTCACGGCACAGCCTTGATCCTCGCCTTCCCAGCGGACGGATTTTGTTCGTCTCCAACCGTTCTCGAATGAGGCGTCAGAAGAGAACGATGTGGCACGGGAAGATGGAACGCGTTCAGGAGTAGGGCAGATGGATGGTCGGCGGGAAGGTGACAGGCAGGAACGAAGGGGTCTGGGAAGATTTGGGACTGCTTCGAGGGGTAGAGTGGATGAAGAGGCGATGGCGTTAGATAATTGAGGTTGAATGGGATCTTCGGGAATAGTCGGTGGTATAGAAGATCCGACAGTCGCGGGACGAAGACATGGCAGGACAGACAAGGCAGGTCTTTCGTTCACGGGAGAAGGGACAATAATCGGGTCCATGGTGTCGAGGGGATGGTTGATGGGGAGTAGTGGAATTTACAGGGTGGTGCTGGAGTGCACGACAGCAACGAAAGTCGTTACAGGAGGCTTATAATTCGCTTGACATAGCGGCGAGACTGTTGATCGGATAGTATTGGGAAAACAAAGTTTCGGGAGGACATGGACAGGGAAGGACCAAATTGATCAGCACGTCGTTGGCCAAAGAGGGCGATAGACTCACGGTAGTGGGTAGAGAATGTCGAACGCACAGAGTTCACTGAAGTAGCTCCAGTGATAGTGTGAGGGACGAGGTGGGGCAGAGACTCGTTGAGTATGGCTTGCAGGGCCTGTTCTTTGTCTTGCGTTCTAATGGAGTTTGAGGGGAGGAATGCTTTTTAGGAGGTCGGAAATTGGACGCCTGTGGGATGGATATTCTATGCCTTTTGAGTGATCCAAGGGGAGAACTGATGATGAGCGTCCAATGGGACGAAGTGTTATAAAGGTATAAACATCTTGGATCGAAGGGAGAAGAAGGAGTTTCGAGTTACAAGGCAACACGATTGGATCAGAGTGAGGGACAACAAGGGGTCGAAATTCGAATGATGTGTCAGAATCTCGTGCTTTGATCTCTCTGCGTTTGACGGTCCAAAGATGAGGATTGTTGTCTTCCTATGCGACGACAAAGCAAGACTCGTCCGGTGCTCCACCTGGACTGGCTATCTTTCTCGAAGCTATATGGCTGGGGAGAGGTGTCTTCGTCGACGGACGGGGCGATACGTAGGCCAAACTCGGGGGGGGGGTTGCCTTAGTCACACAGAACGCGGAAAGGCGAGTAAAAAAAAAGGTCTCAGCTGCTGGATGCGGCGGCAGCGTGTCCTTGTCCTCTTGATTGTGATTGAGATCCACAATGTTGCAGCTGAGGATGCGTTTGTCGAGGACCAGATGCGCGATCTGACCAATATGGACAGAGCTGGGGGGAGGATGCTCTTCTCTCTGTGAATCACCCTTGAATTTGGTTTTGGTCGCTGTTGCTATATCCTGCTATCCCGTTTCCCCTCCCAACCCTTTTTTCAAAGGTGTGAAAATTTCGCTGCCAACAACAACACCGCTTATGGATTTTTTGATTAGGGTTTTTTCATTAGAAAATCTCAAACTGTTTACCCGAGACGACTTCCATTAGCGTGGCGATGACCGCTTGAGAAGAGGGGAAGATAATAATAAACCCACACATAACGGCAGCCCATGACGGTAGAGGCTCACAACTCGCTCGCACTCTCTCTCATTACCGCATGATAGCCTCGCATGCCGTCGGATCTAGAGCAGCTTCAGAGTGTGGAGCCCAAAACACTCAACATCAAGACGGCGGATGACAGCGTATCGCATATATTGGCGTAACTCAAAGATGTCGATCGCATGGGACACGAAAAGTACTCATCAAGTTCTCTTAAAAGCCGGGTGGCGGAATGTCTCAGCCAGGCGGTAGCGTTGTGCCTCTTTGAGCTACTCATCGCGTTCCCTTGCCGTGGGCCTCTGTCATTTAGGAGACCATGGTGAATCAGGACTGGCGATCAAGCGTTTCAGCTCAAGTCTAAAAACCTGGCATTCCGACGCCAAAGAATACGAATATCGTTCTCGCGACAGCACAGCTGCCAGTGGCTAAGATAGGTTCATTTTGCCTCGCATTCCCAGTCGGTCTCTGAAAGTTAAGAGGCTCATTCCCAGGGATTTGACCTCGCCTCTGCTCTTTTGTCTCAGGTCACTATTCATTGTGGGAATCCTGACGAAGCTGAGTGTGTGTGTGTGTGTGTGTGTGTGTGTGTGTGTGTGTGTGTGTGTGTGTGTGTGTGTGTGTGTGTGTGTGTGTGTGTGTGTGTGTGTGTGTGTGTGTGTGTGTGTGTGTGTCATACGCTTCACATCCGAAAGCTCAACAGGCATGGCAGACAGCGACGTTGCGAGCTTCAATTACCCTTGGAAGGAATCGAAGCTCAAATCCAGCTTACGCTTATGTCACGGCTCAAAGAAGCGCCAAAAGCCGAGCTTTGTAGGCCGCACGATCCGCGCTTGACCCAAAGCCAGTCAAGCTGAACAAGGCCTGCTCAAAAGCTATGTCGACGACGTACTGAGGCAGTTCAAAGGTAGCTCCGAGTGGATCGACCCCGTTCAAAGAGTCATCAACGGTCGCCTTGACAAGCGGAATATAAGTGGAAGTCCCCGCTATACATCGCGGCGTGTACGTTGCGAAGCGTTTCCTGACATGATGTTGCTGTCGGCAGTGATTTGTTCCTTCAGCGCTTGAGGTAAGATCTGCAGGTCTACGAAGGCACGTCAATGCATACTTGATACACCAATGACCTGTGAATACGTCGCCTACACGATTTTCCCCTTCAGCGCGCCATTGCGGCATGTATTCTGAGACAGCATTCGAACAGCTGGATTTCCTCGTCCCCTCCTTCGCATAGAGCCTTGTCGCACTCTGCTATGGCCAAGGCAGCCTGAGCCTTTGCGATGGTCCCTATAGTGGCGATAGGTATCAGCCGATCATGGACCTAGGCGGGGGAACGACCGTTAGGACATTTCTCATTTAACGAGCTTGAAATGTTTCCCACCTGCTCAAGCACTTGACCCGCTGACCATCCGTCCCTTGAGATCCCTTTAATGTTGTTCTTGACGGCTTCAAACCCTCCTTTCAGGAAATCTTGGTCGATCCCAGATTCTGGGTCAACGCCCATTGAACGGAGGAGGTCATCGATTGTATCTGTCGGAACCACGCCGGAGATTTCGTGGACTGTTGAGGGTCATACTAAGCTTTCTGGTAGACTGATAGACGGAGGGGCTTACTGGACATGTTGGAGACTGGTGTAGGCGGGGTCGTCGCGGAATGCAAACGCTGAGCTGTCTGTAGATAGGTGATGGCTTTTCGCAGATCTCCATCAGCCAGCTGCAGGATCAATTCTAAAACCTATTGTAGAGGTGATCAGCCCCTCGTGTAAAGGCGACAAAGGATAAGCTCACCCCTGAGTCCACATTGACACCCTCCGCATTCGCAATCATCTCTATACGAGATTGACTACTGGTCGAATCGAGTGGCCTGAATCTGAATTTGCTACATCGACTAGCGAGCGGTTCGATGATTCTGCATTTACATAAGCTCGTGTTCTCAAAGGCCCTACTCACCTGGTAACATAATTGCAAACCAGACAGAATCGAGTAATCCGCGAGTACGTCTCCATGATTCGTCTCAGGGCACTCTGAGCATCCTGAGTCATACTATCCGCTTCGTCAAGGATGATGAGCTTGTATGGGGGGCAAGGGTATGTCTTTCCGTCCCTTGGTATGATCTTGTCAGTCAAGGTGTAGGAGTCATTGTGAAGACAGCTCACGACGAGACTCCCACATGCCTCGGTGTTTCTCTCGCAAATGTTTTGATCTTCTCCCGTACGACTGAAATCCCTCGCTCATCAGAAGCATTCAACTCCAATACACGACTTCGAAAGAGATCGGGCCTAGTTGAATGCAGAATGTCAGCCAACGTCAGAAGCTCCCAGAACTGAGAAGCTCACCCAAATAACTGGCGAGACAGAGCTAGGATGGTACCTGAGATCACCGAGCTCAGCTATGACTTTTACAAGAAGTGATAGAATCTGGATCTCACTGGTCTTGCCTGTCCCCGGTGGCCCGTAGAAGAGCATGTGAGGCAACTACAGAAAAGCCATCAGCTATCTGATAAACTATCCAGCGAGATTCAGCCTACATTTGTCGATGCCAGTGCCTTGCGCAAGACAGCGACGGTGTGCTCCTGAGATGATACATCATCGATCGTTTTCGGTCGGCTGTATAGGTGTCAGCCGGGGTCAGTACCCCAACACCCTTACTATTTCTCGACCCATGGCTGCAGTCTCGAATCGGACCCTGAGCCGGCTGATTTGCTGGCGAACGTTGTCATTATGGGGCTTCTGCAGTGTACATGTATGATGCAAAGAGCGCATGATATCCTCAACTGTAATGTTGGACGCGATCTCGGCTCCGAGACGCGATGCAAAAAGTGGCAGAGTGGCGGAAGTGGACTTCAGGAACCCCTGGCATCGTAGGAATCTGCCTCCTGCCGCTTGATCCTGGTCAAACTGTTGGGATCTGGCTTCATCATATCAGATGTCGCCGTGACTCGTCCCGTTTGCCTTGATGCCTCCTCAAAAACTCTTCTATCGCATCTGTGCCGCCCGAGGTTCTAGATCGTCGGATTTATCATTGCATGGAAATCATACAGTCATCTGCAGGGGCTCTGATCAGTGCATATTACTCCTTCGGTCATTGGAAACCAGCTGCGTAGTTTCTGTATGATTTTAGATATCTTGCAGATATCTATAGGGTGCCCCATCGCATACTGTAGAGACTTGTGAAATGGGTGCAACGAACATGAAAGCCACGGGTCGGACCTGATCACACCGATAGCGCTCTGAGTCCTCCTATCGACAGCTTTGCTGGCCTACCCTTCCAGATAACGCTACGGCTTCACTCGTCTGCACGGTATCGTCTTCGCCTTTTGAAGATGGAAGAGGTGCTGGCCAGAAAGAGGACAATGATGTTTCAATCTTATCTGAAACGGCGCGATGCCGTAAGCAGCTTACTGTACATAGTGCTTTGTCGAAATGCTTGGAAACGATTCACTTCAATGCTTCACGTCGGCTTCTAACGTCCATAACCAGTCTGGGTTAATAAGACGGCGTGAACTTAAGCATCCCTTAGGACAGCAAGCGAAGAGCGCTGATTGAGTCGGACGCCAGATGGACAACCTCAATCGACCGTGCTCTATCGAAGGATGCCCGAACATTCTGTATCTCAACCATGGGGAATGCAGGACCTGCCGTCGCTTCCTATGCTCCACACACTTTACAGATGATGATTGCAGAGGTTTCTCTGTAAGTCTACCGGCGCACTCAAACCTGTGCTGTGCGAGGCTGAGTAGCTCAGAGAGATGAGCACATCAAGAAACGCTCTGATGCCAGGAAGCAAGAGGTGAGGTCTCTTCGTCTCCAGACAATAATCTTGACTGATCAAAGGTAGCTGACCGATCTATACGAGAGAGTTAAAACCTCAGACTTGGAGACTCAAGCTCAGAGTCTGCGGCCGGGTCACCTTTGCAAAGCTCTCTTTCCTGATCATGCCAGCCAGGACACTCTAGCAGCTAGCGGTTACCATATCCACATCAGAATGGAATTCGACGACGGAGTCACATTGGCTGGCTAGAGTGAGACAAGATGGCTTCGACCGACCACGGTACCAGCTCGGACGAAGCATCATGATGAGTGGAACCGCTACTCAACACAGTCTGTTCACCGCCGGAGTAAAAGTACCCAACATCTGGTTGGCGACCGATCCCTCTCACGGTGAGAACCCTTGGCAGGGGATATTTGTCTAAGGTAAACAACGCTGATCCAGTATAGGATTCAACCTGTGCTTCGTCGAGCTCTTAGAAGGTATGCCTTGGACTCGTCCCAGCAATCTTGGCTCTCATCAAGTCTTGCGGACTGTTCGAGATTACGCAGAGTGGAATATACAATGCACAAAATTGTCCTATGACCGGATTGGATCCCTCATTCATGGCAACGAGGCTACTATCGGTCCCTTCATCTGGCTTGACAAGTGGAATCCTGAGCCTCCATACTTCCCTGGACCTTTCAGAACATTGGCGGAACGATACATGGCCTTCATCGACATGAATCTGGACTACATCACCTTAGGGATAAACTCTCGTAGAGATCCTTTGAAGGCCTATCTCCTGCACTTGGAACTACGAGAATTGATCGCCTCAGATGTGCAGCTCAGCCAAAATGTGGAGGAGACTTTCATCAAGCACGGGGATGCCGGCGGAAGTCATATCATGGTTGACACGGAAGGGTCCATATCGGGGATTATCGATTGAGAGTGGTGAGTAGTCTACAGTAACCAAACACAGATCCTGTTCAAATCCACCTGAAACCCATGAGCTGACGAGCGATTCTAGGGCTCATGTGACTGCGAAAGCAGAAGCTTTTGCTGCGCCGATAGCGTTCGTCGATTATCCCAAATACTGCGTGGGCGACAACAGCCTCTCGCCGCTTGAGGCCGAGCTCGCCCGGGTTTATGACGGTCTTAATCGACAAGACCTTGGTGATTGCGTTCGTGGGGGTAAAAAAACATCAACGACTGCAGTCATTCATTGGTATACATCCGGACTGGACATCATACTTGGCGATCCTTGACGCTGATTCATGGCGACCGCTAGGAGATGGAAGCGAAGAGGGTTTCCTGAGTCAGGCTCAGAAGAAGTTCGCCGGCCATTCTGGTCTTGCCACCCTATCAAGCCGATCCGCTCTCTCTGCGAAACCTCCATGAGCTACATCCTCGAGCTTCGACATGCAGTCTGTATGAGTGTCGTTGTTATACAATATTGAGTCCCTCCCGCCACGAACAGCAATGAGCAGGTAACGTTTAAGGCGAGAGCAAACGCACAGGACTCCTCACGCTGAAGTCTTTGCATTTTGGCATGACGAGGACCGGTTCAAAGCCTGCGTTCGCTCGAGGCGGCCTATCAACAGGCTTGCAGATCTCGCCAGATGGCTCGCGCTTTGGTTCTGTATCTTGGTGGCGTGGCCTGGCCATTAGCGCATACATTGGACGTTCACATGCATTCATCGAGACGATCCGCCCTCATAAGTACAACGAGCATGAGATATATCTGACGAATCCGCTTAACAATGTACAACCGAGGAATGAGAATAACAACAGTAAATGTGCTAGAGATAAATCAACGCATTTCAAACGTACCGTCACTCTTTGCCGGTACATGAGTGAGGAACAGCTCTTGAAAAGGTTCCTGATTCTGCGAGGAATAGTCAGTAAATCAGTCCATAGGCTGAACCGTTTGGCGCACCAAAGAATGGAAGTAATATCCCCTGATGGTGGCTTCGCTTCGTGGTGGCGAGACCTCTTCTCTGACTTTGACGGAGGAGCTTCTTCTCCGTGGGAGATGCGCACGGTCTCCTGATGAGGACATGCGTCTGAAGACAGTTGGGCTCGTTGGAGAGATTGATAAAGCCGTTTTGGGGATCGTAGGCGATGAGGGGCTGGCAGGCGTTTCATCGGCAGTAGCTGAAGGCGCGAGATCAATCATGGCGAAATAGAAGCCTGTCAACAAGTCAGTGGTCGGCTGCGCTGATTCCAATTGGAGACATGACTCACCGGCAAAGCTGGCACCGCTGATATCTCTGACGGTATGATCGGGCACCAAGAACCTCTCTTTTAGCCTCAAGAACACGAAATCACGTTCTTTAGCCTGCGTTTCACCGCGACTCCAATCGGGCAGCGGGTCTCGGAAAACCATGTCTGGTCGCAAGATGTCTGCCCGTGTCGACGGGCGTCTGAACTGCTCGAACCTGCCCCAGTGCCGCATGTCATCGTGTTCTGTCGCACCATACCGCGCGCCAGTGAGGAAACCGAATTTCGGACCGATGATCTCGCCGGTGAAGAAGGTCGTGAGATGCGGGTGTGCGTCTGTTAAATGAGAGATGGAGAGGTAGCCGGACACCGTGGATTCGGCAAGGTTGACATCCTTGGCCACTCGGTCAGTCATGTCCCTTGCATCCTTTACCCATGCACTCACTAAAAACTTGACCTCCACCTCGTACGCGCTTCTGCCACTCGTTTGCGTACCTCGAAAGATGCTACCAGCGAACAGGGCTCCTCGTCCAGCACTCGATACTCTGAGCTTCGTGACGTCTAGAAGGGGATTAAGAACGGGTTCGTCCTCCTCAGCCTCGTCCCAGATAATATCGGTAGCGGGTTGCTCTGAGATCGCTGGAATGCTCGGGCTTAATGTATTCCATTGTCTCGAATGCTGTGCGGGCAAGGATTGCGACTGGCTGTCGGATCGACTCTGGCACGAGACACTGCCGCGAAAAGGGATTGGTCGAGATCTGGTTGCGGCATGTACGCTTGGGATTCTCCCGCGCTCCTCGTCGCTCGCTCCTTCACTGTTCTCCCCTTCTCTTGCTTCCTCGATAACGAGATCTGTAACGCTCATTGATGCCATCTCCTCCTCGAAGGAATCGACGGCACGAGACCTGCCGTCTTGCGATCTGACGCATGACCCGCAGATCCGCTCGGGAGGCGAAACGAGCAAAACGACGCCATGTCGATCTTGATGTCTTGGACTAGATCCAGAATCAAGAGCACCTGATCCACAGATGGCGCATTTGATGAATTGAGATGAAGAAAGGTAGGACAGTGCTGATGAGGTCGAAGGTGTGAGGGATGGGAACGGAGATGATTCCGTCGGCATCGTTAGGCTCCACCCCTGAGGGACCGACGAGTCGTCTGATGAGATGATCTAGCTCGGTGTTTCTGTCACCGCTGATGCAGCTATGATGAGCTGTATCAGCAGTCGTAGCTGTCCATGATTGGCGATGAGTCAGAGAAGAATGGCCAACCCTAATAAAATGAGAAAGGAAGAGGAACCCGGGGGATGATGGTGGGGGGGATGGTGAGATGATCTGTAAAAGGGTTTTGCCATTGTCAACTAGTCCGGGGCTACGCACCGGACGGGAGGCGGGGGGGAAAGACCGCGGAATCAAAAATGAATAGCTAGGCAGTGATGACTCGCGTGACGCCGCAGGTGACGGGGGTGCAGGATGGACGAATGACATGGAGTGAGAGTGCTTGATCTGCTTGATCTGGACGCAACCCAGTCAGTACTCGTAATCAGCCTCCTGACTGCACTCCCCCGCTGGCCGATTCTTACAATGCAAGCTGACCACTTCTCACTGTAACCAACGCCGCCTCCAGCCAATGAGGTTTCAGCATTTGAAATGACGTGGTATATATTCTGATCATAGGCCTTATCAAAGTCGCCCATCATTTAGCCGATATTTCGACTCGGGTTTAGATAAGGAAAGTAGTACCAGCGCGGAATGAAAGTAGCGTAGCGTGTCCTAAATATAAACAGTAAGCAGCGAGTAGCTACTTTACAACAGCGAAACAGGTCTGCGTTGCACATTCATACCCTTCATACCAACCGTCAGGGACATATAGGAACCTTGATCACAGCGAAATGTGTGGAATCTTCTGCTGTTACAACCGCCAAGGCGACCTGGCCTCGTTCAGACCGAGAGCCATTGCGCTCTCAAAATTACAACGACACAGAGGTCCAGATTGGTCAGGATGTTATGTGAGCCAGGACACGGTCATGGTTCACGAGCGATTGGCCATCGTTGGTGTTGGTGAGTTTCGCGAGATACCCTGTTTCCACATCCGCAGTATACTGACTCGCTCTGCTCAGACACTGGAGCGCAACCATTGGTCAACGACGACGGGTCGGTCGTTCTCGCTGTCAACGGAGAGATCTACAACCATCTCGCTCTGAGAAAAGGGCTCAAACATTCTCACGCATTCAAGACCCATTCAGATTGCGAGGTCATCATGTACCTGGTGAGCAAGCCTGCATATACTCATTGTGGTCATGTTGACCTTTTTATGCTCTTCAGTACAAGGAATACGATCCCAAGACCATGTGCAACATGCTCGACGGCATGTTCTCTTTCGTGCTTCTTGACACCTCCACTACCCCATCACGTATTATCGCCGCTCGAGACCCTATTGGCATCACAACCCTGTACATGGGCTACCATTCGTCCGCTCCTGACACTCTCTTCTTCTCCTCCGAGCTCAAATCAATACATGAAGAATGCGACACCCTCATCTCTTTCCCCCCGGGACACTTTTACGACTCCCAGACCAAATCCGTGGAACGATACTTCCAGCCGACGTGGTGGGACACAGACAAGGGGACTATCCCGCACAACCCTGTCGACTACACGCTGTTGAGAGAAACGCTTGAGACCGCCGTCAGGAAACGATTGATGTCAGAAGTACCGTACGGAGTATTGTTGAGTGGAGGCTTGGACTCGTCCTTGATAGCATCCATCGCTGCTAGGGAGACGGACAAGCTGGTGGATGAGCAAGAAAGATTGAGACAGGAGAGGAAGGAAGCATTGGCTGCCGGCAGGACACCTGGTGAGCGAATAGAATGACTCTCCACAATCGGTGAGCACGGACTGATGCTCAAATCACAGAGTCAGATGCTCCCCTCGCTTCATGGCCCCGTCTGCATTCGTTCGCCATCGGTCTGCCGGACTCTCCAGATCTGATTGCGGCACGCAAGGCCGCTGACTTCCTCGGGACTGTTCATCACGAGTACACATTCACCCTGCAGGAAGGCTTGGACGCTATCCCAGAGGTCATCTATCACCTAGAAACTTACGACGTTACCACTGTCAGAGCCAGTACGCCGATGTACCTGTTGAGTAGAAAGATCAAAGCGATGGGCGTTAAGATGGTCCTGAGTGGAGAGGGCTCCGATGAGATCTTCGGAGGTGAGAACAACACAGTATCAGGATTCGAAAGCTGATCGCGCTTTTCTAGGATACCTCTACTTCCATGCCGCTCCCAATGCACAGGATTTCCATGAGGAATGCGTCAAGCGTGTGAAAAATCTTCATACCGCAGATTGTCTCCGCGCCAACAAGTCGACCATGGCATGGGGGCTCGAGGCCCGAGTTCCTTTCCTGGACAAGAAATTCCTCGAAGTCGCCATGAACATTGACGCTCAGCACAAGATGTACAGCAAAGGTGCTCATCAACAAGTCGATGAGGACGGCAAGCCAAAGATGGAGAAGGTGAGTCGAGACGCTTCATCTAATCATTGTGTCAAAGACTGATCTGATCTCCAGTACATCTTAAGAAAAGCCTTCGACTGCGCTCCCGATGGCAAGGCCTACTTGCCAGACTCCATTCTGTGGAGACAAAAGGAGCAATTTTCCGATGGCGTTGGCTACTCCTGGATCGACAGGTGAGCTTCAGGTTGCGACCGACACGAGCGCATCTGCTGACTCTTGTCCAGCATGAAAGACTTTGCAGCTTCCACTATCTCGGATGAAAAGTTCGCAGAGCGCGCATCGAGGTGGTCTCTAGACACTCCCGATACCAAAGAGGCGTATTGGATAAGGGAGTTGTTTGAGAACCACTTCCCGACAGAAGCAGCCGCCAAGACTGCCGTAAGGTGAGCGAAGGATCAGCTGGCCCCGCCGAGCTTGCATCGCTGATATCGCATCCCTTCAGATGGGTACCTAAACAGGAATGGGGTGTGTCTTCAGATCCGTCAGGAAGAGCCGTCAGCATTCACGAGAGCGCATACAAGCCTTCCGCGAACGGAGTATCTCATTAGAAACAGGCATTTTACGGTCTTGTACGCCCATAGATCCGCCCGAGGTAATAGAATAGCAACGAGGCGATGTACATTCAGTTATTCCAACATGCCATTTTCCCCCCGGATCGGAAATGGGATAAGTGAAATCTTGACTAGCGTTGGCGGCACCCTTTGTTGACGACTCTCCTTCTGACTCTGTAACCGGTTGCCGGGCATATGTAACTAACAGATTCTCGACTGATCGGCGGATCCTTCTGAACCAGTCATATGCTTCTGACCTTGGAGACTTTCCGGGTCGTCGCATTCCCTATCCGAGTCAGCTAGCCCATGATCTAAGGGATGCGGTCTATCCTAATTTGCCTGCTGCTGAATACGGCAACCCAGTCTATTGCCACCGCCCGACCGACTGTTCGGCAAGATTCGAGCGTGACCGTTCTCTCGGCTTCTCAGATATCTGAATGGACTATTCCAGCTTACCTAGCATCGTGAATAATCTCCGGGTGAGGTCTGTCTTGTCGGCTGATCAATCAGGGCAGCGTATTGTCCTGGGAATACTATTCAGAGCTGGAACTGTGGACGTGAGGTTGTCTCTGCGCGACTCCCTTGAGGAATGAATTGATACTCTGACCGTCCAGCTGCCTGCGGTAATGTCTCAGAGCCCAATGGTATAGTGACAGGTGGTGACGGCGACTTTGTTCAACGATGCAAGTCAATCCCTCACCGTCGCGGGGCTCTAACCAATTTTTAGGGTTCGTAGCGCAGACGTCGGACGGTACGACCGTCTTATCCATCTCCGGGACCAACACTTCGTCCATCGAATCCATCGGAATCGATATTGATTTCCCACTCGTCGAGGTGGATGAGACATTCTTCCCCGATTCTACCGGAGTCGAACTCCATCAAGGCTTTTATGGCGCTTTCAAACGTATTCAAGGTGGCATACTTGCTGGCGTAGTCGCTCAAGCAAGACAAGGGGATATCCTCGTCGTCGGTCATTCGCTCGGTGAGCCTGACCTCGCTCAGACGATTCCGAGATGAAGCTGATTTGGGGGAGTAGGTGCCGCATTGACTCAGATCACAGCCACGTACCTCCAGAAACAATTTCCTGCCCGAGTCGTCACCGCCAAGTCCTTCGCACCTCCTCGAAGCGGGAACAAAGCTTGGGCAGACTACGTCGATGTGACGGTGTGTGATCTCAACCCGTCTCAGCAGCTTACTGATACACGACATGATGCAGCTAGGGAGCAATACCGGACACATGATCAATTATGCTGATGACGTACCGCATCTACCGCCAAGACCATGGCACTTCCAACATGCAAGCGGAGAGATTTGGATCCTCAAGGACGGGACGACCTATGAGGCGTGTGGCGGTCGGGAGAATCCTGTGAGTTTGTAGATGCCGTGTACAGTAGGGACAGAGGCTAAAAGATTCTTGGCATCCTTTGCTCCCTCAGGCATGTGCTGACAGCCTTGATACTCCTATCGGGGAGCTGGCTCTGGTCGAGTCCTTCATTGATGACTTTGATTTGAAAGAGCATCTGGGTCCTTATGCCGGCGTCATGTGAGTGGCCGACGGCAACGTCACTGATTCGGACACAGAATCACGTCTGCAGATTGTGCGAGTTGATAAAGATGCATTCAGGACGTCTCACCAGGACCAATCCATTCAGTCGAAACATTCCCTTAGTACGCGATCAGTTCAGAGACTCTCATTTACAGGTTACTCACATTGCGCCATACTCGATGATCCTAAACAGCTCTTCGTTGTCCATCTCTGGCGTCCAGTGAATACTGTTCCGGAAGCGCTCAGCTGTGTTCTTCGCGAGAGGATGAGCACCCACGCCGTGCGCCAATCAAGCCCCAACTCAGCTTGTAAGATACCTCGATCTTTCCATTCAGCCATTTGGTCGTCAGGTATCCCACGAAATAGGACCTGAGGCGGTCATCAGTCATCCCGATTCTCTCTATCTTTGAAGCTCACGAAAACCCGCAGAAGTACATCTGGCGGCGGTACAACGCTGATGGTTGTCGACGGGGCCAATTGATCAGGACTCAACAGACTGAGAGGGTTAGGTGAATCAGTAACGGCTCGGCAGGCGCACTGATCTGAGCTTTTTCACCTACCGGTAAGCCTATCAACAGATCAGCTCTAGGACATATGTACTGCCACACGGTCACTCACAATGTTCTTGTGCCTCGTAATGCTCGGCAGCCAATCGGTGATCATTGTGGTTCTGCTTTCTACAGGGAGGCCCAACATGGACAATACTCTGTCCATGTGGGGTATGAAGATTGTCTGCGGAAGACACCACGCGTTCGCAGGGCGGATATCTGGCCACGCTGGACAGGAATCGATCAGTTGCCGTAAAGCTGGAGCCTTAACTCACCTGGGATGAGAGGTCCATTCGGTGATGCGTTGATATCAGGCTGTGGCTTCGGAGTGGGACTAATGACAATGTCTCAGTCTCGATCTCAATACCACTGCAAACAGTGAAGAGCGGGTAAATTCACAGCAGTTCGAAGAATAACCCATTGGCTTCGGTACCCGACAGCAAGTCTTCGACGATCCCGGAGGATTTGACTCGCAAGAACCATCTCAGGCGTTGACGTCCATCATCAGGTAGAAGACTAGTCATAGGGTATGCGGACAGGACTTGCCAGTCCGCGATGGAGATGGACACCTCGAGCTGAGATAGGATAAAATGTCAGCAAGGCGGTCAGGGTGAAGAATCTACGCACACTTCGCTCCTCGGGAAAAAGGATGTCAATCTTTGGTCTGACTGACCGTGGTCGAAACAAGAGTCTAGCTGTGTTCTTGTCGTGAATCACATCTATCACTCAGCCCTAGTGATACGGGTACAATTTACACTTAGTCAAGACTTCGTTCGGACCTAGCTGTTGGCCGACAAACTTCTGGTTGAAAGTGCCACCCTGCGATTCATCGGCTTTTGACAAATGTGAGTGACTGATTTTCCTACACTGATCGTGAGTGTACCGAGATAGCCTGTCGACAGATTAGCAGGTAGCAGCCGCCTCAGAGGTGTCAAGCGACTGACTACCAGGTGGAGGGCCTTTGTTGAGCTCTCTTTTCGTTGTCAGGCGGGGATCGTGATCAACAAAGCTGTGTGCTTTCTCACCCTGTCACACTGCCTTTCAGGTTGACAATCTTTCCGTCGCTTTTCTTGACTTCCAAGTTTTGTTCGGCTGTCTTACCAGCAGCGGCAGCTCCTGCCGCAACACTTTGTCAGACTCAGACATGCGACGCTCGTACCATTCTCACCTGCTCCCTTGCTCCCACTACCTCCTCCTCCTTCCCCGACAGCACCAACACTTACCGCGCCTCCGGCGGCCCCAGCTCTCGCATCACCTCCTGTCCCGCCTCCTCCTCCTCCTCCTCCCCCACCCGATGTCCCAGTCTTGGGAGGCTGCCGAGAGGTATCAGCATTTGAGATTCTCACACGACCCTAGCGTCTCGATTTCCCTCCTTGTCCATGAACCTGGCTCACACAGACGCCGTCTACTGTGCACTCTTCCCCATGGGAAACAAGATGGGACACACAATCTTTTCAAAGATCCTGACATTGAGTCTCGCCACGAGCTTTCCAGCACATGCGTAATGGTATGAGTCGTTGTCCGTACTGTGGAGTGGAGTCAGTGTTTGAGCATATTGCCAAACCACATGAAAGCACCCACATGAAGACCTCGCTTACGCCTGCGTATCCGCCGATGTAAGGCATATCCGCGGCGTTACAGGTCAATCGAACGATATGTGTTTCCTTCGGGACGCTGAACTTTTCGGTCGCCGCTGTGACTGCTTTCTACGTAGCTCAGCTCAGTGCTCGTCGTTCATCGAGGGCAACAGCGTTTCGCAGACAGTTTGTCTCCCGTCTTGAGCTCGGACCCACCTCATAGGACGTCGGCATGAGCACAAAAGCCTCTCCTCCTGGTCCTCCATCCAGGAGAAGCATCCTAGGTGGTGTAGACATTTTGATGGGACGGCCGTCAGAGCTTTGAGGTATAGGGATGAAGCCTCAAATGCGAAGACTGGTCTCAGCAACCTAGCTGGGGCTCGGCCTCGTTCTGTGATGGTACCTGACGAAGCCTACCTTTGGACACTTCCAGGGCTACCTCGTCCAGTGGCACTGCCACGAGAAGCGGATTGCGTGTTTCTACCGCCATGTGACGGGGACAATCTGTCTCTTGTCTGATCCGTTGAATGTCGTATGCATACAACCGATGAAAGACCCCAATAGAAGCCCAAAAAGCCTTTTCCCTCTACAACAAGATAAAGCACTCATGACAACGTGATAAAGTTATACTACTGTACAAATCACCTCCAAAACTTTGCTCCCACAGCTCGTAATAATTGAGGCGTTTCCACCGGTTCTCGCCATAATTTAGGTACATGTTGCCTTCGATCGATGAATTGAGGTACGGCGTGCTATGTTCGGATCTCATCAGATCACAATATGTGGGAAGCTTGCGGGGGGGGGGGGGGCAAGGCCACTTACCGGCATATTGCCCGTCTTTATCCGCCGCTTGAAACATTCCACCTTTATCAATCGGTCATCTTCGGATAAGAAGTATCGCGGCACGTAGGTGACGGGCTGTGCATAGTGTCCACCGCCTTCTTTGGTGGGTGCAAAGCTCCAATGGACACTTCGAGAGTCCCAGACTGTACGAGAAGAGAAAAAAATATGTCAGACTCTTTGATCATGGATGAGCCAGGCCCCACCACTCACCGACCAAATCTCCAGCTTTCGCATTGATCCGAACAATGCTCGCTCCCTGTACCAGGCCATGTTCTCCGCTGAAAGTCGTATCGAGATGCTCTTCCTCATCTTCCCGCGGCAAATGTGAGATCACACTCTGGCCGGTACTGCCGCAGGAACACGATCGACGACGGAATGGATCTCTCCAGAACACAAGTCCTCCATCATAGGATTCACCGGTACCAGATAACATCGCCAGGCCATGAATCATAGGGATAGAGTCGATATGAGCTGAGTGGTGGTCGGTGCCTAGGTTTGTCTGGGTCAGTATGCGGGAATGATGTGACCGTGTTGGCTCTTGAGTGACAGTAGAGACAAGTACTAGTCCGACTTACTGCTTGTTCCTTGTGACGGAGTCGATTCCATCTCGATAGGTGAGACCGGAGACATTGGAGACGTTTCGAAATCCTCTCCAGGTGGTAGAGATATCTCCAGAGTATCAAACGAAGCTACCAATTCATCCGTTCCCCAGATCTGAGCGAAAGCATCTCTGATCCCTTGTTGACTGCACAAGGTACATGCGTTAGCATACACGACCGTCGGCCTGATCATCCAGCACTGAATGAGAGAGATGATCTCTTGACTCACACCCTGACTCGCCAGATAAAGTCCTCATGTTCTATTCCCTGAAGTCTAGACGGTCCACCCATACTACCATTTCCTAAATCTCGCCTGCGACGCCCAAGCGTGTCGCTAGGATGATACTGGCCATCTGGGCCTGCTCCTGCTCCTGCTCCTGCTCCTGCTCCTGCTCCTGCTCCTGCTCCTGCTCCTACCCCTGAAGCCTCCATCCAATCTACAATCTCAGATTGAAACTCCTTGCATGCCTCGGGGGTCACTGCGCCAGGAATGACTGCATATCCGAATGTGCTCAAGTGATTCCTCCAGTCCGGTGCTGACATCTTTGCGATGACTCAAGCTCGAAAGGTTTTGAAAACCGCCGTAGGCTGGTCTCAGAAGCGCATCGACAGAGGAGTAAAGATGGGAGACGTCAAAGAGCCATTCGATCCATCCACTCGATCGGCAAGCTCAGGAAAAGATTCACGATCGGACCAGAAATGATGTATCAAGTCAAAGTACGAACAGTGGAGTGGTATCCTGTTCACAATCTTTTTTCCTCCCCCTCACTTAACTAGCCTCTCTCTCACTCTCACTCTCACTCTCAATTTCCGGGTTCAACTGGCCCCTTCTCGTCCTCTCCTTCCCCATACTATCCGGTGCCCCCCCTTGTTCCCCTCCACAAACCAAGCTTTATTTTTTTTACGGGGTAAACTCGAGAATCCTGTCTTTGTAAGACGCCACGAACATTATGCCATGTTACCGAGATCCATAAATACCCCCTGATCTCCTGCGCATTTTCCCAAATAGCCAGGCGATAACGGCACCTGAGGATGCTATTGTAGGCGGTTAATTTTTGCTCTATACTGTACGAGATACAGCTTTCATGGTCGGGGTGGGATCCGAAAAACGCTGCTAAAAAAATACGGCTAAAAACAGCCCCGGACATGCCACGCCTGTATACCACTCGGCTTCAACAATAGCTCTGTGACTGTTGACCCCGGTGCGCAGCACGACGCTGATCTGCAAGTCTGAAGCACCCGTGTCTGTGCATGTTGAATAGCGATCATCATGTATTGGATGAAGGGAATATAAAAGTAAATCTAAGCTACAAAGATTCCTCAGACACCTTCTGACTCAGGTACCGGTGATTGACATTGGGACAATAGGGGTGCCTGCCAAGTCTTGCATCTTCTCATTCAGGCACAACAGGTGCCCACCATTCTTTTCAATCTTCAAGCAAGATATTCCGCACGATCTCGCGACTAAGCTGCACCCGCTGTTGCAATAGGCTCCTGCTTGACTTCTTCCTTGATTGCCGGTCGAGCATTGATCAACGGCGTGGAGGGAACGCTTGGTCCAGAGGTTTTGCTGTCACTTGGGAATTTGTACGTATCAAAGTGTGACGATACGTTCAGATCTGCTGTCCCAGGTCTCGACCTGGGCACCTGTTGAGGCGATCCAAGAAGCGCCGAAATGGCCAACGATGATCGTCGCTCGGTCACTGGAGGCAACCACAAACTATCTTGATCCTTGTCGGATGAAAAGGCCACATTTAGGCTCTCATTCGCCGATGAAACACCGGTGTGACTGCTGTCCATACGAGGGTATTTGCGAGCACTGCTGGCCTCCTCGTCCATCCGACGCTTACGGGCCGCATCGTAGAATCCTCCCTGTCCATAGCTGAATTGCTGAGGAGACGGCTGATAGGCAAAGGGAGAATCAGGTGGTGGCGCGCCGGGCGTGTGAAGAGAGGCTTGATGATGATGAGCAGCAGGTGCTGGTGGAGTCGGATGAGCCAGACTCGAAGGTGGAGGGAGAGAGTGAGGGTGAGGATGAGGATATCCCGGAGGCGGAGGAGGATAAGATCCAGGTGTCCCGAACTGAGGAGGTGGCGGTGGCAATGATCCATACTGCTGCGGAGGGTAATATGTCGCTTGGTTCGAGTATCCGTATGCGCCCGATGGAGGGGGAGGTGGAGCTCCATAAGGTGGCCCATGAGATCCGGCGGCCTCTTGTGCGGGTGGCGGTGGGTATGCATAAGCCTCGTGGCTCGCTCCCGGGTGAGCGTGATATGGCTCAGAACCAGGGTAGGCAGTATGACTCGATGGTGACGACCAATGCGAAGACGGTGCAGCAGCTGCCGGTGTCGCATGAGGAGGCGCATACATGGGCGAAGGCGGCGGATGAGTACTGAGTGTACTGTGAGCGGACTGAGGAGGTTCAGACCCAGCATAGTGGGCTGGGACCGGCAGATCTCGGCCATTTGATGACATTGGACGATACGGATAAGGTAGCTGACTGAGCTCATGCGCATTGGGTTGCGGCGTCGTTGCGGTGGATGTCGGCGGGCGCATATTACTGTTGTCGTAGTAGACTGAAGGGTAACCGGCATACGAGCTGGCAGACGACATTGGACGACGACTAGGGCCAGCATCGTCCCCATGAGGCGCAGCGCCTTGACTTGGTGCATCGTCCGGAGCGCTCTGGTAGTAATCGAAAGCACCTCCTGTACGTGGTCGACTTGCTTGCGGGAGAGGGACGTGCCAGTCTGGACCTACTGGACCAGTCTGTCCGTAGGCATCGTAAGCCGCAGGCACATGGACCTGCCCAGCGACTGGCGAGCCTTTACGAGACACTTCGCTGTGTCGTCTCTCCACGGCACCTTTGGGCACTTCGACCACCTCGCCACGTTTTCGCTGTTCACGATTTGCCCGTTGAGACAGGGCCGCGTGAACGGGTGCCAATGAGCTGAGCATGGCGTCGTTCAGTGGTGTCTGATCGGCGTGAACAGTAGCGGCATGTTGACGGAGATTGTCGAGACGAGAGAAAGCTTTGCCACAATGACATGGGAAAGGTCTTTCACCAGTGTGTTTACTGGTACAGATATGAGCAAACACATGCAAGACAAAAAAGTAAGTCGTACTCACCGAACATGCCTTGCAAGATGTTCACTCCGGGTGAAGACCTTGTCACATTCGCCATACCCTCTACACCTGAACATTTTGCCTCCGCTGACGCCCACAGGTACGATGGGTACACCGTCCGGTGTGAAGTTGGCGTTAGAACTACCTGGACGACTTGTGGTGGTCGGCGGGGGTGAGGGAATGGCCTGGTCGGTCGGTGTCTGAGCTACACCGAAGAATGATCCGCTGCCGCTAGACGGCGGTGGTTGAGAAGGATAGTGAGATGCGCTGAGGGGAGTGATAGGTGGTTGGGGATGAGGTTGGGCATACGACGAAGTAGATTCGCCAGTAGATGGGAATGGGGACTGAGGAACGGGCCGCGCCTTGCCGTGAGCTGGAGTTGCTACGGATGTTACTTGAGCGTAACGATCTGGAGATGGGCCAGTTGGTGTACCGCTCGGACCACTGGAAGGTGCGGATCGAGAGTAGTGAGGGGTGGAGTTGTTGTCATACCCACTGCCTCCTAACGGAGGTCGGTCCTGAGAGTAGGTCGACATGTCGCGATGGTGCTGACGTGAATAGACCTGATGCGAAGCGAAAGAAGTAGCGACGCTCGTCATGAAAAGAACGGGGACAATGTTAGAAACTTCTCAAGCGGAGTGATAATGGAATCGCAGAATTGTCGCGAATAGGTGAATAGCGAGGATGCGCGGTAGATCAACGTGCGCGTAGGGGAAGCCGTGGAAGATCTGAAAGGCGTCGATCGAGAACAATGGGATGCAAAGCTCTGTCCGACGGGAGTTGAATCAAGAATGGCCGATCAGGAGATATCCCAAGAAATCGAGTAGGATCCGGCTGGGAGTACCGATAGATATGTCAAAAATTGGTTCAATCTGTAGGGCATTGAAGTCAGTGGGGTGCCATTAGAGCAAAAGGTATGGGCCAGGGGACCGATGTGATCGGCAGGGCAGAAGGATCGAGGAACCAGGGACAACGTACCTAGAGGCTCGTGATACTTTCCTTTTGCTCTTCCAACTGTCGAAACGCAGCGAGTAATGGGAAGCCAGACAAACAAAGCGATATGCCCTATGCTCTATAGAGAGGAGAACAGTGTCAGTGACGTCCGCTGTACTTATAGAATTCCGTCCGAGGTAGAGTCCAGATCGTCCTTCAGCACTCGGTGTCACGGGAAGGAAATGGAGATGGATTTCAAAAGAGGGCGTGAGATGATCACAAAGGAAGTCCACGAGGATAAAGACTGTCTCTCACGCCGAAAACGAGGAATGACCAAGGGTGTGAATGAGCGGCGTACGGCGTATGGGGCTGCCGATCAGATAGATAGTCTGCCGCGGGGAGTAAGGCGCCAATGGAGCCTCAAAAGAGAAATCTCCTCCAGGAGCCAGGTCGCAGAGGAAGGGTTGGGGAGAGAGCCAGGTGAAATGAATGAGGACCGATACTGGGGAGCTGAAGGATGGGTGATGGTGTATGTAAGATTAAACGGGATCAAAGATGCCGATGGCATGCACCTGAAACGCGTTCGGAGGATGTGAAGGCAAGTCTGTAGAATGGCCAGAATCAATCCGGCGAATCGGGGGCCGGTTGGCTTCTGACACTCTGGATCCTCGCTTGGCTTTGAAGCCGGGACTCGAGGGACACTGGGAAACCCCCAAGTGGTGGTGAAATGGGAACAAGGAATTAGGGACAAGAGGTATCCCGGACACACAGGCCCATCGCGTACCACGGTCGTCGCAAAGGGGGAGATTGGAATGGACTCGACCGCAGAGCAAAGGAGGGCGAGTAGAATGACAATCCACCCTTTCGTCCTGACGAACGACGAGCGATGTTTGTCCCTTTGCCCCAAGCTCGTCACCAAGTGGCGGGTATGGGAGACGAGCAATGGCGACAGAGGGGGACGGATGACGAACATGACGCCAAGACGGCAAAACGGCATGCGCGACGGACACAATGTGGATTGAGGATCCGGTTGCAGAAACTCACCTCGGTGTTGTACCTCCTCTGTCCTATGTAGCCCTGTCACTGACTTTCACGGCTTCCTAGTCTACTAGAATGATGATGATGATTAGCCTCGAGACCTGATGTGGAGGTAGGAAAAGAAATCAAAAGTGGAGGGACGAGATAGAGGGGGGGCGGGGGACGTCAAGGCGATGGTAGTCGAGCGCTGATGCGCGCATGACCACTCAAGGAAGGATGGGATTTGACTCTCAAGGCGCTTGATAGGGAGGGCGCAGGTGGTCAAGTGAGACCAGGATGTGACCTGGTGGAGGCAAGTGCCTAGTCCAGCTGGACAAACGTAGGGCGAAAAATGTGCGGGCCGAGGGCTGTGTGTGTGTGTGTGTGTGTGTGTATGGGCTGGGACGGCGGGATAGATGCAAGCAGGAGCAGGAGGGAAGACGGACATGCAAGCGAGGAGAGGAAGCCAGTGGAGAGGTACAAGGGGGAGTTGAGTCATTAGACTCACTGTGCAGTGTATGTGGTCGGTTGGGCCGCGTTCCATTCGGAATAGGGACCTGGTGACTGATGACTGGGGATGGATGACCTTTTGTTGACCCCTGATCATCCGACCAGACCTGCCTATATACTTTCTTCCACACGATAGATGTGTGAGAGAAGGGAACAGAGGAGGTCCAGTAGACGATATAGCCAATGACGAGCGAGCGAGCGAGCGAACGAGTTGAGTGAGTGAGAGGAGGGATGTGAGGCGGCGGCGGGGAGGCGTCGGCGAATTTGAAGTTATAATGGGTTTAAGGGGAAAAAGAGAGAGAGAGAAGAGGAGAGAGAGAGAAAAAGTAATGGGATTGTCAGGGGCGGGGGGGGGGGGGGGGGGACTATTAATTATCGATACGAAATAGTAGAAAAGGGGGATTCGGCTTATATATCAATGGATGGACGACGACGACGACGGTGATGATGATGATGATGATGATGGCAATGGATAGATCACCATAATTAGATGAACCACCACCACCCCCTTGATAGATTTCAACGCCAGATACAACAGACCTAAACGCGAGCTCCCCCTTTGCAGGAGAGTCAATTTGATGAAAAGTTGAATCTCAAAACATGGGTCGTGACAAATAGAAAATGAGTCGTCGGCCGTGGTTCGTGAGATCTACCTCTAGTGTTCCCCTTCTCTCCGTTTCTCTCTCCCCCCCCCTCTGATGCTGCCCCCCCTTCGCCTGTCTGATCTGTCACAGCCCAAAAAGTATTTCGGACATTGGGATAGAACACACCTAAGGGGAGAGGTAGGGGGGGCAGCTAACCCATTCAGGAACACGTATGCTGTACGCCGCGTTCCATAGGTGATCTTCCCTTCCTCCCTCGTCTGCCACACCACACCATCCACCATTTCTCCCCCCCTTTTTTTCTTTCTCACCTGGTGTCGGTCCCCCGCTGCTCTCTTCGCCCCACTCCCCCTCCCTCCCCCTTTCCCCTGGTACCTTGGTATCTTTCTCGCTCCCCCTCCCTCTCGCTCTCTTGCTCCCTCCCCCCTCTCTCGCTCTCTGCGCATCCAATAGCCTGACCGGTCAATTTGCCTCCATGAGACCGGTAGACCACCCCAATTGTGGCAATTTCCCGGGCATGCTCCATTGAATTTGACAATTATTAGGAATATTGTTCACGATTACAGATGGAATGGGGACTGCGGACGTTATAACTCGCTACGAAAACAGATCTGCAGACAAAAAAAGCCTGTATATGCATGCTATTGGCGTCGCTTATCACCGTACCCGTACCGTACTCAACCCCCCCCCTCACCGGAGAGGTCACTGTTCTTCTCCGGATGAGGGGACATTCCATCAGCATGTGCGTGCGGAAATACCGGAGATTATGGTGCCTAAGCACGATATAATGTGTGCCTCGCCGCCCACGCTCCACACGTTCTCCCCCTCCCTCAATCTAGCGAGACTCTCCCTCTCCCTCTCGCGTGTGTCTCTAGTCCCAGGACCCCCACAGGGTCAACACTTGCCCGCGCTCGGGACTCGGTGTGGTCACGAAGAACAAATCACCGAGTTCACCGTTCTCACACGTCTCGGGAGTTTTTGCTCTACCCAAAGCCTGCCTGCTGCCTGAACAATCTTCCCCGTGACCCCCGACCTTTTTTCTCTTTTTTTCCCTTTTCTATCGAGATGCCGAGCGAGATCTACGGCAATTTGGATCGAATGTCGTGGCGTCGTTTAGTCCCAATCCAAAAGGTCACGCCTACGCCCCCTGGCCCCTCCGCTCTAGCACTCGTGGTCCCGCAGGATGCATGAAATGTCAACGTGGAAACGATCTCACAATCTCCCGCTCAGTAACGACGACGGTTACTTGCACTCGGCGTTGCGCGATCGACATGGTGGCTGGTCGTTCGATCCATGTTACATCGCCGTCCAAAACTCGCCGAGATTTGGATGTCATCATCATGGAGAGTGGCTAGATGTTAAGGGACATCGCATACCATCGTTTCAGCCCAAAACGCAAATTTGCAGCCACATCTGTTTCATCTTTGTGTTTTAATCGTCGAGACCCATCGGACGGGCTGATGAGATGGCTCGTTGGGTTGGTCAACGAGTTGTGGTCAAGACACGGTTTGAGTGGCTATGAGTGATGATGACTACGCATCACCCCGCCACGGTTTCTGTGCTGTGAATGATTGTTCGTTCGGAACAAGCTTCAGGATTCATGTTTCATGGTGGATTAGAATCTCATCTGTCCGCACGACTATCATCAATGCTGTCCAAGTTCCGGCTCATGTCCCATTATATTTTGTCGTCCTGAACCTCGACGGGATACCGTTTTCAGAGCCCTTTCCTGTCCAACCCAGCTGCACTCGTCGTTGCCATCCATCAAATCCCGATAACGGGCATATTCGTGACGTTGGTGTCTGGGAATGCAGACTGAGGATTGAGGATGAGCGCATTGAGGACGTCCAAAGCAGCGCTAACATTCACGATGTCAGCCAGATATGAATGACTTCGCTCATGGCATCCATCACTTACACCATGGTTTGTCCAGTAGACACCTCATACGTTCCGGTCCAATTTCGGCCATACTGAATAGGCATATTGGGATTGTTTGAATCATTGTTGACGAGACTCCAATACTGAATATTGACGTATTGTCGTATGGCTTCTTGAACATCAGAGTCCATCCATTGACTGATACGATGCAAATTGCGGATCAAGACGGATTTGAATCCGATTGCATCGTTTCCTTGAGTGACATTACCAGCACCTTCAAAGATGACTCCTTGGTCGGTATTCCAGACCGGCGTGTTCATTGACGTGATGGCTACCTGTTTGGCAATATCGAGGGCGGTTTGATTACTGGTGATATGACCAAGGACACCATAGGCTCCGAGGTAGAGAGCAGCGTTGTCTGAGTCCGGTCAGATTGAGGGTGTGAGGGTCTAGATCAGCAATCTCAAATGACACTCACACGTAAACGTCCAGTCCTTCACCTCACAGCTCGTGCCGTTGATATGGTCGTAGATCAAGCCATCGGGTCTGACTAGGAATCGATCAATCCACTGAATAGCTTCGTAGGCTCTGTCACAGTAAACTTGGTCTCCGGTGATCCGACAGAGTTCAGCACCGAGCAAAGCGAACAGTCCAGACGACACCGCATTGACGTCTGGGTCGCCAGCCCCACCTTGATTGGGGTCCATAGGCGCACCGTTCATCCAGTCTGCGATGGAGAGAGTGGATGTCAGCATCGGATACCAGATATTCTCGCTTGTAGCTAAACGCACAGACACCACCGTACATGCTTTGGCCATTGCACGTAGCTTGAAGAGTCGTGTTTGGCCATTTGGTGTCAACCAGGTATCCGGCATCAAGATCCGATTGATGGATGAATCCATGTCCGTCCACAAACTGCATGACCCAGTCAGCACATCAATCTCGCGACTCATAAAGAACAAGGCGGCCCCAACCTCAAAGACGGACTCTGCCCAGGCGAGAAAGACCGGGTCGCCGTACGCCTCATACCCTTCCAGACTGCTCAACGCCGCCCAACCCGCGTCGTCATTGTAACAATCAGCGAGTGGGTTGTGCCAATACGCATAACATCCCGTAGGGTTGTAAGCGTAATACGTCTCGTTGATCTTGTATTGATCGTAAAAGAGTTTAGAGTGTTGTTGATAGTCCCACTGAGCGATGTTTGTCCATCCATTTTGACCGACCCAACCCGTTGGGAAATCTGAATCGGTGCCGTTCAACAGACTCAACAGGTACTGGAATGAATCCGTAGAGTAGGACCAGACATTATCACAGGATTGCTGAAAGTGTGGGTTGACATAGCTCGAATTAAGGATCGCCGGTGAAGAATCTCGCTTTGAGGGCAAAGCAGCGACCAAGGGGATCAGAGTCATCAATGACTTTCTGGAGAAAACGACCATTGTCCAAAAACGGTTTCTTTATCCGATGACCAAGTGACTGAGTAGGAGTTGGGTCGTCCGAGGGACCACACTTTATCTTCATCCTTTATATGTATATATACCTTTGTCTCGTCCCAAGATGCGGATCCTCGGCTTTGCTCACTTTGCTCCGCATGCGTCCACCGCTCTCACCATTCTCCACCCCCACCACCACCACCACCAATTGTCATGCTTTTTTGCCCCACCTCTCGCCGAGGGGGAAGGAAGTGTATATTAATAAAAGTAACGTCGGGCGGCGCAACGGCCCGGAACGAGATCTGAATGCTTATTCCGGTGCTTCGGTTGACTGGCGAATGGCGTCTGGGGTCCCATGGAGCCGGGCCACGGAACCAGCGGCAGAGGTCAGCTAAGCCACTTGTTCCGGCTTCCTGAACGCTGATCTTATAGCTCACGGTTGCTCATGTCAACGTCATCATGCATGAGCCAATCATCAACTGAGAATCCATCTTCTATCCATAAGGCTCCCGGTGTCCCCTCGGGAGAATCTTACAATCCCCAGCTACACATAAATCATCATTACACTGTCTTCACCTTCCCCTCCCTCCTAGAACCCAAACTTCTCCTTCAAGGCCTGTGACATATGGTTCCAGAACACGTCTCCCCCTTCAATCCCACCTACGGACCCCACTCTACGTTGTTTCCACTCGTCAAGCGCACTGACGACTTCAGAAGGTTTCAGACCGTACTTCTTCGCGAATCCGTACAATCGCGTCTTGTACTCTGCTTGCATCGCAGCAGCGACTTCTTTCGCATGTGCAAGCTGGGCCTCTCGCTCGCGTTTCGAGAGAGGAGGCGAAGGAGTCCGCTGCTTGCGCGTATTTTGTACAGCCTCTGCGTCGGCAGGCGCCTCTTTCGATAATGTTGCTATGTGCTCTGAGGCAGTCGCAATGGCTCTGGGCACGGAGATCATGTCGGGTTCTGTGGGTTTCTCAGGGACTCGGCCATTGTAGGCCACGAGTTCAAGTTGACGGTGTCGTTTGACTTCGCTCGATCGAATCTTTTCAGCGAGAAGATCGCGGCCAGGAGTTTGATTCGGCGTCAACAGCGGATCCTTCTTCTTGGTTTTACTACGCTGACCACTACCGCTCGCGCGACCTGTGCTGCGTCGTGGACCACCAGCTGGTGTTTGCATCGTGTTGAGAACAGCAGCTGACCAGGGATGTGCCAAGGGCTCAGGTACCGCCGAGGGCTCTGATGGTGGAGCGACGGGGACGACTTGAGGCGTCGGAAGCGTCGGAACGCTTGCCATGGCCTCAGGAGCCGGAGCAGGAGGCGGTGGCGACGGCGGCAACAGGGGAGCTGGCGTTGGGTCTACTTCCATGACGACAACACTGGTAGTCTCCTCGATGACGATCACGTCCTGTTCTTGCAGATCCGCAGCTTGCTCCGTGAGCGATGCCACATCGCGTTCGTCGTCAGGTCCGACTAATCGTCTGCGCTTCGTGCTTGGACCAGAGACAGGATCATGATGTGTCTGTGACGGCGCAGGCTCAGGAGGAGCTTCGACAGCTATCGTGGCCTCCGGGAGGGCAGTATCGGTCTGTATGGCGCTACATTGTGGCTTCAGCATTCTCTCTGCAGGCGATAATATTCCCTGACACTCACTCTGCGGCCATCTGAGTTAGTCTAGCTCCCTCACGTTCGGCGACTGTCAGGGGAGCATTGGAGCTCTCTGCATGTGCGGTATCGACGTTTGTCGATTCAGGTAGTGTCGATTCAGGTAGCTTCTTGATTGATCTTGCGTTGGCACTCGTCTCATCGCTCGGCTCAGCGCTTGGCTGAGTGGAATGAGTGTCCTCCACCAATACTGGCTGCTGATTGGCATTCGTGTTGCCCTCCTTTTCCCTCTCAGCGGTAGTTTTGAGCGATTCATCTATCCCTTCGCTGATGTTGCGGTCGACTCGTCTTTGATACGTCGCAGAGTTCTTCTTAAAATGTTCGTGCCACGATTGGTCCGAATGACGGGCAATAATGGGGAATTCAGAGGCTCGTGCAGCCTGAGAGCATCATGAGCAATTTGTTGGCGATGTCGACACACTCACCATCGTCGTGTACGTCTTTTTTGACATCCAAGACCCTGAAGGATGGAAAGCAGCCAGGTATCGACATAAGAAGTCTCCATCCTCGGGTGTGTACTCTACCCGAGGTCTACCGCGGCATCAGTATTCTCCACCTACATGACAGGCACTCACTTGCCAGGCGGTCTCCCTGGTCCCCTGCCAACCTTTGGTGGTTCCTCTTCAGCCATAGAGTCGACCTCTCCCTCCTCTTCCTCCGTTGGCGGCCAGACCATTTTCCCACTCTTGATACAGTCATCCACCCAGTCCCTTTCCACGATTCGCTGAGTCTTTCGATTATACTTTTGACGTTCCCGTAAGATAATCTTGCTGAAGAATACAGATTTTCGATCCACGATGAGGATATCAGCCATACTTCGCTTGACTACAATGAGCGCTCCTCGTTCCAGTAATTGCTTTTGGACTTGTCTCTGCGCCTCATGTGCGTCCCGTTCCTGAGACGCTCGATGAAGGTTGACAGATACCCATATCCTCAAGGGAGCCCGATTGACAGCTGGAGATGGCTGCACAAGGATCGGAAGCTTCTTCACGAGCGTATCCAAAGGTATACGAACGCCTTGGGCCAGACTTGCCGTGAGCCAATGGTATGGGATGATGATGGGATGTGGGAGGTTGGGATATTTGGATCGTAAATTGGCGAGCTGTTGTGTATCGTTCTTGTATGATTTAGAGTATGGATTCATGATCGCTATATTGGAATCGACCTGGCTGCTCAAAGTAGCACCGATACGCTGTTGTCCACTCAGTCAGAGAGTCGAACGGGGTACAAAAGAACAGAAGATACTCACCGTTGCTAGTTCCGTGAGGTATTCTTTCGTGGCTTGATCGAAATGGTCCGCAAAGTAGATCTTATCTCCTTTGAGAATATCCAGCTCGAGCGAAGTGATCGGCGTGGGGACATCACCAGAGGCTGCAGGCGCGGTCTGCGAAGCGTTAGGGGCAGTGGATGGCCCAGATGCGATTTCTGGCTCCGGTTTGCCCATCTCGTCGCGGTAAGTCCAGGACGTTGCCTGGCGCCAGCAGCTGCTGATAACAGCGTCGCCAACACGTCGAGATGTAGCTTGTGAGACCTGCCCCCGAGAGCTACCGATACGAATTGCGCCAAACGGAAGAGGTACCGATGCGGCCTTCCCTCCCCGTCTGCAACTCTCTCACCAGCCGTTGGTGCCTTAAAGAAGTCACTGAGAATGATCCTAGTGGGAGAAATGGGTGCTGTTGACCTGCTTCAAGCTCCACCGAGAGAAGCTGCAGCTATCAGAGATGAGTGAGAGAGGTGAAATGTTCGGGACAGGATCATTTTTATTTTGTTTATGGTGACGCGGATTTGGTGGGATGCTTCTTGTGAGGGGTGTGGCTAGAGCAGGATTTCGTTGACGATCATTCATCCATCGATGAGCCCCATACATACCAGCAATGGATATAGCATCTGGGAAGAGGACGAAGGAGCTCATCTGCATCTGTGACGAGCTGCACCGCATGCCAGATCTCTGCTTCTTGTACAATCGTAGCGAATGTGGCGCTCCCCCTATACTCAGGGGTATGTAGAAACATCATCTGAGCAGCAAAGTCACGGTGCCCGAGAAAATTACAGCGAGCAGGGAAAGTGCAGCAGACGTGTCTCTGCAGGCTCTGGTGCCTCCTGACTGCGAGTCGGACACTATCGTGCCGGAAACTTGATTCACTGGGGTACTGAGAAGATCCGTCAACGATGAGCCTAGATTTGACGGACTGTATTTGAGCATACCTGGAAGGTCTGACCATCGTATCGGTCGAAGTGGTCGCGATCTGCGTCTCTGTCCCAGAGGTCGGTCTTGATGATGAAGTCGGCGGGACTGGAATCCCTGCTCTCGATGTGGAGACGGGACCAAGGGTGAAAGGAGGCTGAGGCGTTGCACTCACTTGCTCTTGTGGAGGAGTCGATGAAAGGGGTGGTGGAGGAGATGGTAGAGGAGAAGCTGAGAGCGGAGCCGACGAAGTCCCTGGAGCAGGAGGTGGATTTGACTGCCCGAGGCACATTGCGTCATTGCTGTCCTGTACCTGTGCAAATGTCAACGGCTAAGCTGTATGTTGGTATGAGACGAAAAGACCCACAGTACGAGATGACGAGTACTGGATCACACCTGCGCCATCGGTGACTTTGATTGTCACACTGGTGCCAGACGCAACATTGACGATCCAAGTGAATGGTGAATCAGGAAGGTTAGATCCCGGAGCCACGAGTGCTGCAGCGTCCGTTTGACCTCCCGGGATAATGGCCCTGTTACAAGATCTCAGTGGGTTTGTGGGTGACGACCCAGTTGTGAAGACATGCTGAATGCAGCAATCGACATGGTACTACCGGACAAACGGTCAGACTCACAGAAAGTAGGGAGCATTTCCTCAGACCAAGAGATCCTCACGGGCTCTGTGACAATTGATAAGGATGACAGTACGGAGAGCTAAAAGGACAAACCTACGACATTGGACTAGCGAGGGCTGAAGATCATGAGCACAAATCTGTGATGCCGTTCGTGACTCACAGGTGTTGCTACAGTGAACTGACCCACTACGACGGTGAGGAACGAGCTGAGAAGAACTGCGACACTCCACATCATCCAGAACATTGGTTTCGATCGAGTTGAGCAGGACAGTGGTTAGCAGGACATGACGGAGAGATCAGTCAAGGCAACGTCTTTTAAGTGAATGAGCGGCAGGAATGTCCGTTCATGCGATGCCAAAGGCGTTCTTCGTACGTTGAAGGATACTCTTTCATCAAGGCATCCCTTTCTGTTCGATGCGATTCTGCATCCAGAGACGCATTTCGTTGTGAACGCATCGTAGCGATTCAACATTCATCACATGCCCGGCTTGGACCTTTCTGTAGAACACCATGCGCCTCTTCGAAGGGAAGACAGTAAAACCGAAAAGGAGACAGGATGAATGAGCTGGCCCAAATTTCCCGGGTTGGATTGTTTTCAAGTCTACCGACAACGTATGATGACCTACCTGCCTTTGGCTGGAATCTTTGCATGCTCTCTATAGGTCATGCCAACTTATCAAGGCATGAGCTTTTGTCGCTGGACATAGGCAATGGCAAAGAGGCGAGACCGATCCCAGTGCTTCGATCGAATGTTGATTCGAGTCTCAATGCAGCCCTCCAGTACTTCAACGAGGTGAACATGGCGTTCAGGGTTGAAAGAAGCTCGTGCTGACTCGTGACAGTACATCGCAGACTCTGTTCTACCTGATGGAACGTTGATCTCAGAGGTCGAGCCTCCAAAGCACGATGGACAAAGGATAGACGATGTTGAGTCTTCCGATGGGCATTCAGACATGTCAGAGGGCTCCGAAGAGAGCGATACGGTCGAGGGTTGCTCCTGTACCGGCGTGTCGTCTCTCTGCACTGTGACGGACGGAGACAATTGCGAGTGCGTAGAGTCCTTTGGTAAGTCGGATCATTGCGTTTCCTGTGAGTCAGCCCTGATCACAATACCAAGGCAATTTCTATACCCTCGGCCCAAGTGGGCACCCCATCCTCAACCTCGACGCTGTCCCCTACAGGCTCCCGCTGGTGGAATGTGGAGCTCACTGCAGTTGTTCTGTCAAGTGTTTCAATCGCACAACTCAACGAGGTGTTAAGTGGGTGACACAGCGGCCTTCGTATCTCACTTCGAGGTGGGGACACCGTAGACGCTCACTGACTCTGCATAGTTTGCCTGTGGAGATCCGACAGACGAAAGCTGGACTTGGAGCTTTCCTCTCGGCCTCGGCAGACGCGGTGCCCATCGAGGCAGGTACTTTCATCGCCCTCTATGCTGGAGAATATCTCTCCACCTCGGAAGCACGATCGCGATGGCAGCTCGAGTCAAAAGATAATTATACGCTCTCGCTCAGGCTAGCCAATGCGATCATCCACATCGATCCAAGATACAAGGGTAACGTGGGACGATTCTTCAATCATAGTTGCGATCCCAATTGTGTGATTCTCATCGTCTACTGGGGCGGCGGCTGGCCTCGAGCCGCTATCTTCGTGAGCTGGCTGACTGTAAGGAGGCTAAAGGCGTAGCTTACACACCACAGAGCAAGAGTATCATTCAACCGAGCGAGGAGCTGACTTTCGATTATGGCAATGCCTCGGGTGACCAAGACGCACAGGACAGGGTCGAAGGTTGCGTGGCAGAGGATGATCGCCCCACGCTGACAAAGTGTCTTTGTGGCTCCGTTCGTTGTAGAGGATACATGCCGTTCGATAGCAGTCTATAGATCTGCAGATACATGAACAGGCTCTTCACCTTGCTATCCTGGGAGTCTCCCTTGTCGCGTGTAGGCTGCAAAACCAGGTCCACGGTTGCAGCATCCCTGCCCATACATCCGATGACCGGAAAATGGAAAAAGGATGTGATGAATGCTGATTCAGATTGGTGTTGATCTTTGTTTCACTCAGTTATATCATCACTGGAGAGCACCTCGGAATCCAGCACCCCGCTTGGGCGATTCTGAGCGATCCTCACTCCTTTACCTAAAGAATTTGCGCCATGCCGGCTCGACACCCTGGCCGTTCACCTTCTCCCGTCCCGCCAACTCTACCCACTTGGCCTCCTCAGGTCTCTCAAGAACAACACGATCACCTATTGAACCTGGGTACCACTTTCGCCCTTTCACATGGCTTCACACTTCTTCCTCCGGACTCTACGACTCCTCCGACCCACACGTTCAGCGCGCCGTTGAGCTTGTTCCCCACTCCCTTCCCTAGAGGTCTTTACGAGTGGGCGAAGGATCTTCAGCCGCTGTACAATGGATTGTATGCGAGGTGAGTGTGATGTGTCCAAGTCTGGGCCTACGGACTCTACTATGCGATATCTGCTCTCTGAAAGTACAGGGAACTGACCTATTACCAACCATATCAGGATTGCTATGGACTGGGAGTTCCTCGACAGAGTGATGGGGGGTGTAGCCAAAGTAGACAGCTTTCAAGGCGAGCTCTGGAGGGGATGGAAGAGCTGTCGAGAGGACCTTGTTCAGGTGAGCTCTCACATTCAGGCTGACATGTCGTCAGGTCCCTTATTATTTCCTCAACTCTATCGCTGACTGCTATCCCAGCCTCTACAGCTTGGCGTGTTCAGGTCCGACTACCTCCTTCATCAGACATCCGGTGCTGGGCCTCTTGAGCTGAAACAGGTCGAGTTCAACACCATCGCTTCTTCTTTCGGAGCCCTATCTCAGCGGGCAGGAGAGATGCACAGGTGAGCTACTACATGTTGCCACTCGGAAATTAGCTGAGGGTCCTCAAAGATATCTGTGCAAGACGACAAACTACTTTTCCGCCTCGTCCTACCTATCCCTTCCTAATATGCCTCATAACCTCTCTCTCCGTGACATTGCGGCGGGTCTAGCTGATGCTTGGAAGGCGTACGGTCGGGAAGACGCTCAGATCCTCTTCGTCGTGCAGGCCGGTGAAAGGAATGTGTTTGATCAACGCTGGCTGGAGTACGAATTACTTGAGAGGTGGGATCTCAAACTGGAGAGCCGCTGATTTCAGGCATGGCATCAAGACCATCCGACATACGTTTGAGCATCTCGAGGATTTAGCTCAGATTGATCGAACGACCAAACGCCTGCTTCTCCCTTCACAACTCGAGCCTTCCGCTGCCCCGACAGAAATCGCCGTAATCTACTATCGTTCAGCATACACTCCTGTCGATTACCCGAGTCATGCCGAGTGGACAACCCGAGTGCTACTCGAACGATCAAAGGCCATCAAATGCCCTTCTATGGCTTTGCAACTAGCCGGAGCCAAGAAGATTCAGCAAGTCTTGACTGAGCCCGGGGTCCTGGAGTCATTCCTCTTTGGCCCTGAGAGACCGGACGTAGGATGGGGCAAAGGAGCGGGGAACATTGGCCAACGAGCCGCGGATGAACTCCGAAAAACTTGGATCGGGCTCTGGCCGTTGGATCAATCGATGCTTGGTCGGGAGGCTCTCGAGATGGCTTTGAATCAACCAGAGAGATTCGTGATGAAACCACAGAGAGAAGGCGGAGGAAACAACATCTACCGGAACGATATTCCACCTGCTCTTGCAGCCTTGGATGATCAGCCTCGAAAGTCTGGAGAAGCAGATAAGAAGGAGGGATACATTCTCATGGAGTTGATCACGCCGCCTCAAGGGGTCAGTAATTGGTTACTGAAAGGCGGAGAGAGTAAAGCCAGAAAGGCGGATGTGGTCTCGGAATTGGGCGTCTATGGAGTGATGCTGTTTGTCGACGATCAGGGCCGCGAAGTGAACGAATCAGGTGTGGAAGCGGTCAACAAGGCGGCTGGGACATTGTTGCGAACCAAGGGGAGAGAGAGCGACGAGGGAGGTGTGGCAATAGGTACGAGGGCCTTTTGAAGTATGTGCACGAGTTGGCTGACAGTGTCGGACAGGTATCAGCTCAATTGATAGCCCGCTGCTGATATGAGCGTGAGCGTCTCCAGTAATCGTGACGTGAGCCATTGTAGAAAGCGCCAAATTGCATAGAGCATAGTCCCTTGTCTCGACCGGACGAACCTCCACATTTGACAAAATAATTGAGTGAATTCAGCGCCTTCTCTCATGTCTGTCTGCATCTCATAGCGGGCGGCGATGGTGATCAAAGGGATATAACGTCGCATCATCGTGCACTACGTCTGGCTGCGTACCAACTGCAGATTCCAGAAGCTTGTGAGGCTACTACTTGAAGCCCATCATGCCCTCCTTCGTCAAGCGTACCACTGCTAGCAGCAATGCTCCTCCAGCAGGTACTACACCAGCTCTCTCGACCTCCATACCTCCCTTGTATCTCGCTCCAACTGGTATTCCTTCCCTCGATGACATCTTCGGTGGAGGTATGCCACTAGGAAACGTCTGGATGGTTCTCACGCCTGACAGGCATACCAATTGGAGCAGGATCGTCGAACGATATTGGACAGCGAGGGGATTAGTGGATGGTCAGAAAGGTTTGGTCGTCGGGGAGAAGGGAGAAGACATCGTCAGAGGCTGCATGTGGCTCGATGAGGCTCGTTCAGAGAGCTCGGCTCGTGCAGGGAGTGAGAGTGAAGGTGAAGAAGCGGGCCTGAAAGACGTCTCTGCATTGGGGGAGAACCGACCAAAGATTGCTTGGAGGTATGACGGTATGAAAAAGTTCGAAACGGGCATCGGGAAAGGAGGTGAGTAGAGTAGACCAAAGGTGGACTCTCCGTCGCTGAACGAGTTACCTCTCTGCAGACCGGGGCGAATTGAATCTCCTCAAAACGATCCCACAATCCACCATCTCATCAATGGAGAAACAGAAAATTCAGCGTTACATTCCTCTCGACCCTCCCAACAATATTGCAGGCTCATCATCTCTCGCGTGGTCAATCATGTCCTCCGTGTTATCACAGATTCAAGCTCTACTGCATACCCATAACGACTCGCAAGTCCTAAGAATCACCGTTCATAACCTTGGCGACATATTTTGGGGCAGTCCATCATCAGCCCAAATACTCAGATTCATCCATTCGCTTCGAAGCATGGTCAGGGATCGTAGTGCCAGTGTGCTGGTGGCTATGCCTGCGGACCTATCCCGCTCTCCACCAACCTCAGCGCGGCGAGAAGGGTCTGATGAGTCGGCCAGCTCGTCTCGGGAGTGGATCAAACAGCTTGCATGGTCTGTGGACGCATGTATTGAGCTCAAAGGCTTTGGAGGTGAGTTGAAGAGCTTGACGAGTGATTGCCGCCAAGAGCTGACTTTACACACAAAGACGATCCGACGTTGCCGCCGGTGTTTCACCCTTTACATGGACTCCTGACCGTGCATTCCCTCCCTACGACCCATCACGTCCTTCCCCCATCGTACAAACACTCATCCCTCCTCGGCCTTTCTACATCGACATCCACAGCTGGTCGAGGTGGAGGAGCTGGAGAAAACAACTTGGGATTCAGATTGGGTCGCAAGCGATTCTCGGTGGAGACCGTTCATCTAGGTATAGAAGGAGGTCAAGGAGAACGGAGGACAGAACCCGTACCAGATACATCACTGCTTTCTGCCGGTATCGAGCGGCCTGCCCAACAAACATCTCATGAGACGAAGCTTCAGTCTGGCCAAGTGGACATCACGACACCTGGTCAGAAGCCATCAATGTCGGTCCCTCCAGATGTATCTGGGAAATCTGATATCTCTGGAGTGAAGAAACGAGTCAAAGGAGTCCGATTTTCGGCGGCAGATGACACCCCCCGGGATGACGGTCCAGAAGGAAGAGTGAAGATTCGACATGACCAGATGGATTTGTACGAGTTTTAGGCATGCAGCCTACGTGGTTGTTCGAATCTATGTCACGTCTTCTTGGTGTCGCATGATGGCAGTGACTTCGCCCCAATCGGGCTGGAAGATGCAGACTTGATCGCTGCGCAGAAGTGTAGAGACCCCACAAGACTCTTTCTGACTGGACTCTACATACAACATTCATACATTTGAAGGATTATAAAAGCTATAGGCCTGGTATTGTCCATCTGAAATCTATTGTCCGATGATCTCGACAGTTTGCCAATGCTTGATGGCAACATCCTTCCTATTGGCGATCGGGTAGCTGAAAGCATTTTCTGATTCTGCCTTCTTCTTCTGTATCGATAGTTCCTCCACTGAGACAGGTGTTGGGGATCTTGAAGCGATCTCTCTGAAGCTTGCAGCAACACTCGGCAAGACACATGAACGTTCCCATAACTCGTACCCCTCGGCGCAAGTTGTCGAAGTGCACAGACCAGCCTGACAGGTGATGTCGCCCATGATGATTCCAGGTAATGTATCACATCGGATACCGCCCTCGTTTGGACATGATCCACATGAATGAAGGTCGTTCATGACGTCGACGCATTCGAACGAATCTTCAGTGCCGCATTTCTTCGTTCCAGTTGGACATCCAAGATTCTCTACGGATGCCATATCCAATGCTTTCATCTGGGCACGTTTACGCCAGGTACCCGATGATGTGGCTGGGTAAGCGCTTACTGGTGTAGCACAACCTCCAGTGTCCGTGTTCCCAGGTTGCAGTTCATTGGCAGAAGAACAGATACCACATTGATCCGAAATGGTATCGCAGTACGTGACATAGTTTCCATTCAAAAGCTTTGCACCTGCGTCCGAGCAAATTTGAGAATCACCTTCGTACCCGCATACGACACCGCACGACCAGAAAGTCGAGTCATCGGCATAGTCGGTAGTGTAAATACATTCAGTACCGGTCGGGCAGTTGTTGGTCGTGCTGTCGGAAGCCCCACAGTATTCAGCGAGAGATTCAGTGCATTCGAACCTGTTGTCGCTAGTACTGTCGGCGATGAACGAAATGAGGAAAGGGTTGGGACAGAACTGACATGTGTCATGGTCATTTGCGCACACACCATCTCTGCATGCGCCAAGGTCGCTCACCTCGTAATTGTTGTCTGGGGTCGTTGTTGCAGTGGTACATTGTCCTGAGCTGGACAAACCGGCAAAGTCTTTGGTCGTACCGACTTCAGCTGACATTTGCTGACCAGCACTCTGATCGCAGACTGTCAGAACGGGCGACAAGTCATCTCCGTATGTCTGGGCCAGCGCCGAGCCACTGCTCCAGATGAGAGCTGCGAGAACGATGACCACAGGCATTGCGAACGATGTCGATGGAGAGAGAGTAGATACAGGCAGAAGAGTCTATTGCATTTACATCTATTCATCGGTCAGCTCTGAGAGTGTACGACTACATCCAGGCACGCACACCTATTCTAAGACGCAGGACCTCAACGACAAGCACACACAACAGATGTGATGTGTATTCGTTCAAAGGCGGCAATCGAAGGTGACCGCCACATTTGACGGCTTCAGGTCAGAAAGCCAGTCGCGTCGGTTTGAAAGGGGGAAGGCCCCGAATGTTTCATCATCAACAGAAAAAAACAAAACGAAAAATATAGCCATAAAGACGCCTCATACAGGATGTTATGATAGGAGGAAAGATATCACACATAGGAGAGGCATAGAGGGGGTGGAGATGGCTTATCACGCCCATTTCCTGGAGTCGTTGCTGTAGTTCTGCCTCTGCTCTGGACCCAGCAGCTGATCGAGCAACAAAATACGACGCAGGTCTATCCTCGGCAAAAGGCAATATAACGAATCCTGGTTTGGGGGATCATCGTCATCTGTGTTTGTGCAGGTTCACTGAACAAAACGCCACTGGAAACTTGATGCAGCACAAGAATGTGTTGTCCAGATCGGACCCTGAGTCGCTCGAATATGAGACCATATGAGGGGCTGAAGCAAAGTGCACCAAGGATAGTCGAGCTGATCATCGGTTCAATACTACTCACGACGGGCTCACTTGACCATTCCTTTCCTCGCCGGAAGAGCAAGGCATTGACATGAGGACTTTCACAGCCTACTTACTGGCTGCTCTCGCAGTCTCAGCTGCACCTGCCCCAGCAGGAAGTCGGCTACCCAGCATCGAATCCCTCGAAGCTCGCTTTGGACCGTACGAATTACACTCCAGGGCGCCAGAGGAGGCTCACAAGGGCTTGCAGAAGCGATCGTTGGAAGATCGTGATCGAGTATCTGAATTCTCTTTCAAGCTCCATGCGCAGGACCAAGCTGCGGTTGATAACCTCATCGCGACATTGTCAGATCCTACGCATGCTCAATTCAGACAGTGGTTGAGTGTAGATGATGCACACGAGATGACAAAGTGGGTATTCAGATCAAGGCCAAGTCGTGAATTTGAGCTGACCCAAAAAAAATTGTCCATAGGAGCGATCCGAACGGTGTCGAAGAGATCTTGGACTATCTCGACATGCATGGAATTTCGAGATCCGAGGTCAACCTCGCTCATGGAAATCGGACAATGTCATTCTATACAAACATCGAGATGGCCAATTCTATCTGTCAGTATTTACAGGGCGCGCGCCTGACTTCTTATCGTGACTTTGCTGACGCACATGAGCAGTCGGAGCGGACTACGCTACGTACACGTTGGGGAATAGTCACCGCAAACGAGCAACATCAAGAGTGATGCTCCCTAGATCCCTGCATCAGTATGTCGCCAGAGCCGAACCAGGAGTCGACATTCGTCCCGGTGCCAATCGTCGTCCGAGGTCAGGCCTGGTAAAGCTATCGGAAGAAGAGCATCAACGGACCAGAGAGCTCCACGCTCGCATGTTGACAGACTACGAGGGTCGGGATGCAACACTTCAAGGTCGAGGTATGACCAATATCAAGGGATCGAGGCCTATTGCGGTGCAGGGTCAACCCACCACTCCGGGTCTAACCAGCGCATTAAACAATTGCTGGGAATACGTGAGAGCTGCTGTGCTGGAGAAGAAAGAAAGAGAGGCTGATCCAAGTCGGCACAGTACTTCCCTGTTTGTGTCAGGGCTCAGTACCATCTGCCTTCAACGACCTCGCCTACCTCAGGAACGTCGATCGGATCGCTAAAGTGAGTCTTGGCAGCATCGTCGAGGCCCAGAGTTGACATCACGACTAGCTTGAAACCGAATTGTGTCAGTCATAAATCACTGACTTCCCTCGGCCTCTGCTGACACTCCATCGCAGGCCGTCGCATCAGACCTCACGCAAGGTTGGAAGCTTTTCTTCCCGAATGTATATGACTCGAACCCCAATTACGTGCCGCCCCACTACGACATCACTGTCCAAGGCGCAGATACCGTGGCATGTAACTCGAGTGATTCTGGAGAGCCAGATTTGGACCTTCAAACCATCGTACCTTTGGTCTACCCTATGCAGGTGTATGACTTTTCTGGTAAATCTAGATGAATCATGCTTGGCTGGTGGAATCAGCGTTGACTTTTCGGCAGGTCCCGATACGGATACTCTAAACTCATGCTACGGAAGGTGAGTGTCATGAAGGGTCCGATTGAGCGTAGACTTATATTTTGTCACAGTGTCCAACAGATGGGCTCTGGAGGTATTCCTAAGCCTGACATCTTGTCATTCTCGTATGGTCAGTCTGAATCACAAGCCGATGTCTCCACATGGCAGTCATACTGCCAGCAGAGTGAGTCAGGAAGCGACCGAAGCAGTGTTCCTTTTGCTGACTTTCCCTCAGCCGATGCGATTATCTTGACCGGTACGACCCTGCTGGCGTCGACTGGAGACTATGGAGACGAGGATATGAACTACGTGAGTCTTGCACCATGTCGCTAACAAGTCCACAGGAGCTGACCATGATGTTCTCAGCCTGCTCTCTGTCCACATTGGGTAGCGGTTGGTGCCACTGACCTGAACGACGGTAAGTTGGCATCTCGTTCTTCCAAAGTCTTGGTCTGACTCTCTCGCTGCCTAGACACTTCCGTCACTGCACCTTCATGGGCGGAGCAGGAGACCGACGGTTGGCAGTTTTCTGGAGGCGGTGGCTTCTCTTACAATGTAGGTTTATCTTTTCCACCTCTTGAGTCTCCAAGTCTCGAGCTCAAGCGTCATGCGTAGGGCCAGGCGGCTCCCTCATGGCAGGTAGCCCCTCTCGCAGCTTATGCCCAAAAGTACACCGATAAGGCCTATGGCAAACTGCAAAAGAACGCTGCAACTCCCGACGTCAGCGCGATGGGTCGCAACTACCCCATCGTGACGGGTGGGAATGGTCAGCTCTTTGGCGGTACATCTTTATCATGTCCCATGTTTTCGTCCATTCTAGCCATGGTCAATGCGAATATGGTTGCTGCGAATAAACCTTTGGTCGGGTTCCCACTACCGACGTTTTACGCCAACACGCACTTGTTCCGTGATGTTTACAAAGGGAACAATAACGAAATGGATCCGAACAGTACGACCGCTTGGCCCGCGACGCCAGGCTGGGACCCAGCTACGGGATTAGGTGAGTCATGATGGGAACGAAATGGAGGCATAGCCAAGGCCCCCCCCCCCCCCCCAAGCTTCCAAAACTGACCCGATCTATCAGGGACACCGCTTTTCGATCAGATCCTCCAATACTACGAGAACAATGCGCACCCATACTATACTACATTGCCCAACTAGTCTTGTTTGAGGCTCGACGTTCCCTTTTTCTCTCTCATCCTGTATGTAGCTTCTTGGGATTTATAGTCTGTTCAGAATGTACGCGCGAAAGCGACGTTTATGTGAAGATACTGCGGTCTGCAAGTCTGACCGGGCCTCAGGGCTGCAATACATGACAACGCTGCATGAAGGTACAACAAAAGAGACCGTATATCTGAACCAGCATTCTGATGCTTCAGCGAGCTCTAGAAAAAGGAGTCGAATTGATCGCCAGAACATCGAGAGAAAACCCAGAGAAAAACTTCCGTTCATCCTTAATGGCTCCGTTAAGGCCATGTAAGCGCACGCTTCCCATTACATCGAGATGCCAGCCAGCAAACTTCCAGCAAGAATAGTTAGGACCAGCACAGCAGGCGTCCCAAATCGAGTTGGCTCAACTCCTCTGAACGCCGCTCCACTCGTGGTAGCCGCTGCCGAGCTCGACGAGGTGCCGCTCATGGATGAAGTGGGAGTCATAGACGTTGACATGGACATGGAGGTAGAAGATCCAGACATAGAACCAGATTGACCAGTCGTAGAGGAGGCTGACATGCTGCTGCCCATATTGGAGGAAACGGCACTGGTCTCCGTCGCACTTGCCGACATGGTTGACATGGACGCCATGGATCCAGTACCGCTCATGTAGCTTGAGAACCCACCAATACTGAGACTGAGACTCTCACTGATGGAAGCGATGGGAGGGGTGTTGGCTATGGAGATACCGGATTGCGCGACCATGGTGCGGGGGGGAAAAGGGGGTTATAACTTGGATGTTATGTGGTCTTGACTGACTTGACCGGTGGTTCCGGAGTGCCAAAGCTGACGTCAAGAATGACGGTTGGAAGTTGGATAGGAATTTGGATGGTAGTGTCAATGTTGCTCTTTTAGGGTATTCCAATGAGACAGACAAGAGTGCGGTGTAGATCCATTAGGAGCCTGACCCAAATCTTTGCGGTAAATGTTCGCAGCCGATCCAAGTGGGCTATTTTTGGAAATAATCTCGGAATGAGCTGCCAATCGTCCTCGCCGGAGTTCACTGGGTTCCTAGGGCATGTCAAACGATTGCACCTTGTTGAGGTGCCGCCGCGGTCCGACGATCCTCCACACGAATACAATGATAATCAATAGAACTCAATGTGTGTGACCATGCCAGCTGTAAGACAATCCCTTTCCGGCTTCCATGATGGCCTAAATCTCACTCGCCTGTTTCTATCCTATCGAAGACATGTTACGACCCCCTGACCAGAGGCCTTGGGGATGAGAGCCTTCTGAGATGTCCAGCCCTATGATACTTCAAGCCAGGCTGTTGAACCTCTTGATCAGCTGCCAATCATCACCCAGGCGAGCCAAATGCCATTGCCACTGTCCATAGCTCACGCTCTCTCATTCCGACGGAACCAAAATGGGCATCACTCCAACATGAAAAGTCAGACGCGTCGAAAAGCTCGTGAAAGCTAGCGTAAAGCAAGCTTTTGTTCATTTGTAGGCAGCCTGTCAGTGGTCTCTAGCTTCCATTCACCTTTGGAGGCCTATGTCCACGTCCATCCAATCTAGCCAATCTTATATGACAACATCGTCGCTGCTGCTCGATGCCCTCGCTCCCCGTCCACCTGATCAAAACTCCCCAACTGTCCTTGTCGACAAGGATATCAATTCGACGATGGAAATCGATGCAGAGTTCGAGATGCTAGAGCAAGAAGACAGGATGACAAAGAGTTCGAGGACGGGCTTTGAGGTTTCTAAAAGGTTCTCAGGAGCAGGGACCATGAGCTTGAATCAGTTTGGCCAGACTCACGAGGATCAAGACGAAGGAGAGAGACCAACGGGGACGAATATGGCAATCAGCGTTGATTCTCCGCCTCCGGGAGATGCGTTTGACGAAGAGCCGGAAGGATGGGAGGAGGAAGCCTCTATGGAAGAGATGGAGCGGGCGAAACGGTCTTTAGCGATGCAAAAGCCTGTCTCATCCGTGAATACTGGAGTCAACCCAAAATCTTCATCCTCCAGCTCTCGAAGCATGTCCAGCGGGAAGCATCACTCTGTCGGTCGGCCCGCCATGTCTGTAGCTTCAACTTCTACAAGTGAATTCCAACCTCTCGATGACGGTATTTTTGGACCGAGCTTACAGGGCCTTCGTGCCGAGACGGCGAGTGGAAGCGTTATCTCCTTCAAGCGACGTTCGAAACCAGCCGTTAAATCCGTGGTGAGACCCCACTGACGTCCCGCCGATAAAGTACAGAAAAGGCTGACCTCGTGACCTCATAGGCAGGAGAGTCGGGACACAGCTCAGATATCAGTCATCTTCTCGGTCAGCCATTACATCACCTTTTGGCTGAAGTCCAAGAGCTCAAATCGCGAGAGAGGGCATTAAAGTGCGTCCAACCGCACTTGTACCCATTTGACCCTTTTTCAACAGGATGCAAAAGCAATACGATGATGAAGCTCGATTGAACGTCGCTACTCCGGTGGCCGGGTCCTCATGCACCAGCATGTGGGTTGACAAGTATCGTCCCAAGCGCTTCTCTGATCTCCTGGGCGACGATGTGAGTCTAGATACCCATCCGCATCCGAATGTCTCGACAAGCTGAATGACTCTCCAGCGCATCCATCGAGAGGTCTTAAGCTGGCTCAAGGAATGGGATAGATGCGTCTTCAGAAGAGCTAATACGGTCAGGAAGAGACGTATGGACGAGGAGAATGCTTATGTGGGTAGACCATGTTTTCGGTGATCTGGACCTGACTCGACCTCAGAATGACCCTCTGGATCGGCCAAAAGACAGGGTGCGTGACTCAGTCCATGAGGTCATTTCTCATCTGCTGATTCGGTCGCAGGTGCTGCTCCTTTCTGGACCACCTGGACTCGGCAAAACTACCCTTGCGCATATTATAGCTCGGCAGGCAGGGTATAAAACGCTCGAGATTAATGCTTCGGACGATCGATCTGCTTCGACGGTCAATACGAGAATCAAGAATGCCATTGAAGCGGGTACAGGCCTGGCCAGCGAAGGCCGGCCTACATGTGTGATTATAGATGAGATTGATGGAGCGGGTGGTGGAGGAGATCATGTGAGTGGAGCAACGACTTTTGGACAATATCGTCTTGACTCAACTCACTCGCCAATAGAGCTTCGTCAAGGGGTTGATCAAGTTGATCCAAGACGTCCCTGCGCGCCGTAAGAGTGAGTTAGGGAAGTATGTCGCGCGCCAATCGCTCCTCTAACGCCAGCTTCAGCCAATACTCCCGCCAAACCTCTTCGACGACCTATCATCTGTATATGCAATGATCTGTACGTCCTCAGCACCTGTGTCATGGCTCAGACCACTTGTAGCTATGCGAACACCCTTCGACCGCTGCGGCCCTTTGCACGAGTCGTGCGATTCCGGCAGGCTCAGTCTCAGCTCCTGGTCAAGAGGCTCAGGGACGTTTGCGCTCAAGAAAAGCTAGAGGCGGATCTCAGGGTCTTAACCATGTTGGTGGAGATGACCACGGGGGATGTCAGAAGCTGTCTCAACACGCTGCAGGTGATTTACCGCCAGAGACGTGGTCCGACTGACTCGTCATCAGTTTATAAAGTCCAAATCTTCTGTAGTGACTCCAGAAGCCATCAAGACGTCCTCTGTTGGTCTCAAAGACTCTGGGACGACTCTACAGACCGTCTGGAACAACCTTTTCATCCCCATCGCCGCCAAGACTCGGCGTAAGCAGATCGGTATCGACGATGGCAAATACGTCAATCGACTCGTGGACGATATATTCTCATGCGGAGACTATGACAAGCTCGTTCAGGGTCTGTTTGAACACTATCCCAAGCTCAAACCGCTGGATGCCAGTCTGGCCAACCTTGGTAAACTGCATTCTTGGATAGGATATTATGATGCGCTATCTGGACGAGTCAATGAGCGTATGGAATTCGAATTGGCTGGGTATATTCCTTATTCACTCGTGCCTTGGTACTCTCACATGGCCGCTCCTGCGAACAATACGAAAGCGACGGAATGGCCGAAAGCAGATTACGAGGTGGGTCATGGATGTATCTTCAAGGCCTTTCGCTGACTGCCGAGACCTCAGTCCTATCAGACTCGGGTGGTCAATGAAGAGATTGTCACGAGTCTCAAAAAGACAATGCCTGGCATTCTTCGATCGTTGTTCCCCACCACGACATTGTTGACCGAGCTCATCCCTCTCTTGATGCGGATCATCACGCCTCCACTTCGTCCAGTAAGTCAAGTCCACTAAATTGTCTGGAACTGGACTTGTGGCTGATGCCCTACGCTCAGGTCAACGCTATCATTGTCAAGGCAGACGAGAAAGCGACTTTGAATCGATTGGTCGAGCTCATGATACCGCTGGGTCTGTCTTTCTGGCAGGAGAAGGGGGAGAATGGGCAACCGATGATGCGTCTCGAGCCGTGAGTAGGGTCGCGAAGAACCATGCGTGTTGCGATGCTGACTCAGTCGTTGTGCAGACCTATCGACGTGTTCATACACTATGAGGGCAAGAGGGCGGATGACATCGCTGCGTCACGATTCGCGGTTCGTCAACTGATTGCGCAGGCGGTGAGATTGAGATGTCTAATTGAGCCTATCCATGGCCCCAGCGCTGATAAGGGATATTTTTCTTTTTGGCCTGATGACAGATGGAGACTGAATTAGCTCGGCGCCGCGGGGCAGTCACAGAGGAGACGTCAGCGGCTGCGACATTGAAGGGGATGTATGGGGTCGTCAAGTGAGGTTTTAGGTTGTCCTTGTCTCCTCCCTGATAAGCTGATAAGCTGTCTCAAGGAAAGCTGGCGTCACTGGACCAGAGGGCAAACCGGAGGCGGTAGGTCATTCATCTTTTCCTTATCGATTGTCCCCGTCGTAGGCTGATTTATGATGCCTTGACACAATGACAGATAGCTACAGATTTCTTTGGTCGCAAGATCTCCGTTCCGATCCGAGAGGAAAGCGAGTCGACCGACGGTAAGTCTCTCAAGGGAGGGTCGGCAAAGGTCAATAGCCGGCTGACGTGGACTTGTTGACCACATAGTTTTTTCAGACAGCCTCACTCTCGCTGGTCCTCCCACGAAGCGATTCCGAGCCATGTACAAGTTTAATGAGGGATCTTCCAGCGCAGTGAGGAAGAATATCAAGATGAGTGAGATGTTTTGAGACAGATCGACGTCGTGTCGTGCATCAATACATCATGTCTGTGGCATGTATCAGGTCTTATACCGTATCTACGATTGTCTTATGACCTGTGCGACCGCCACATTCAGGGTGCAGCTTTGTGCCTCGAGTGCGCGAGAGCCCGGCGGGTTTCACTCGAATTGATTTCACGGAATCTGATATGACAAGGCAAAAAGGGAGGGTAGGGGGAGAGGGGAGAGGGGAGAGGGAGAGGCGTTTTGTACCCGGGGCGTTTTTTGGCCCTCACTGATGCTGTACTCCTCCTCCTCCCCACCCCGTCTGTCTCTCTCTCTCACTTTTCACAAATCCCCCAACTCTATCTATCCTTTTCCTCTTCTCTGGTCCTTTTCTTCCGCGAGCTTTTTTATCCGCCGACGCCGCCGCCCGCCCGCCGCCCTCCCCCTGCCCTGCGTTCTCCTCGCCTCCCTTTGCGTTCTCACATCTCCCCTTGCCCCCCCCCCCCCTTTTCAAGGTGTCTATCAAAAATCCCATATCACACCAATGTCCCACCTCCTTTTCTCTCTTTCAATCAAACCCCCATCACAAAGGATAACGAGTCAATAGTCGACCTTCTTCAACCTATTCCCTCCTCATCCTTCTTCTTCTGGTTCAATTGGATAACGCTGAGCTCGTGGGTATCCATTCATCATCATGCTCTTCTGCTTCTCGTCGTTCGGTGGTGTCATGGGTTTCGAAGCGACTTGTGTTTCGCGCGAGAGGCAAAAGAAGGGGGAAATTAATCATTCAATGACCTCGGTGGCAGTGGAGCTTGGTGGGACACATCTGTGTCCTCCCTCTCTTCCTCCCGAACAACTAGATGCCTGGTGCATCCTTGTTGAGGATCACGTCGAGACGGATAGGTCTATGCAAATCAGGAGGTCTCTGCGCTGCATGAGGCTTCAGCGCAGATCCATGAGAGCTCCTCGTCGCCGTTGAAAATTGACTCGTCGAGGTAGAAAGGCCGAGGAGAGAAATGGAAGAATCCAGACCTAGTCACCCCCCTCCCCCCCCCCCCTTCCCTTTTCCTTACCAAAGAATACACATTTCGTCTTGCTCCCCAGAGTCCTCACTGCCAATCAGTTCTGTGATCATCTTGATCCATTCTTTGGCCCACTCGCTGATACATTCTGTCATTCACAGTGCTCGCGACCCAAACCAGCATTCCTCTTCTCCCCGTCGCCTTTTATAATCCACCCCACCCTTTTTCAACATTTTCAATTATCAATCAAACCATTGCAACATCAAGTCGTCAGAAGAATTTCATCACTGCTTGAGGCTCTAACCCAGGTCTCGCGGACTCCCACCAACCTTCACCTCTTGTTCGCTTGAGATTCGTCTCGCGGCAAACTGGGCGCGTAAAACCTGTCACCGTCCCTCCCCCCGACCTCCCTTGGCCTGCTCGAAGATTCGTCTCGCGGCCACTCTCTCTTCCTCTCTCCGTCACCCAATTAACACCGCCAAATCCCAACTCAAATCACTCACATATCAACCAATCAATCACGCTATCGCAAAGTATCCATACCATACCTGACATCCATCAACCTTCATCACTGTATCGATCCTCAAAACTACAACCATCTCTCCATCAGTACGAATCACGATGGCCACCTCAAATTCCCCAACTCTTGCTCCCCCTACCACCAACCTTCCCACAACAGGACCTGCTGTGGCCGGTGCCAAGCCATCCGTCCCTGCCGGTGCGACCAGCAAACCACCGTCCAAGTCGAAGCCTCGAAAACGAGTCAACACCGCTGAGAAGAGGCATCAACACAATGCCATTGAGCGAGCAAGACGAGAGACTTTGAACAGCAAGTTCATCCACCTTGCTCGACTCTTGCCTGCGCTTGCCAACTCGAGACGACCTTCCAAGTCCGCTATCGTCAACAGCTCGATCACTCATCTCACCTATCAACGAGAGCAGCGTCTGCTCGCCGTGCAGCTTCTTCGTCAATTATGTGCGGAACGTGATGCTCTCCTCAGCGAAGTCAACGAATGGCGTTCTCACAGTGGTTACGCCGCCAAGGACGCTGCTCCCGCTTGGAATGTCCAAATGGAAGAACTGGCCTCGGTCGAAAAGGAGGTCTTTGGAACTTTCACCAATTTTGAAGGTGGAGACGACGATGACAACGACGACATGGCCGATGGTAATGATCAATCCTCTGTCCACGATAGGTCAATGACAGACAACAACGCATCATCTGCCGTTGATCCTCTTTCGATCACCCCTCGATCTCTGAGTGAAGGTCGTTCTGCCCAGCAGAGCATGTTTGCGCCACCTCCTCCCGCCCAAGTCGGTCTCAACTGGTCGCATGACTTTGCAGCCGCCGCGTTGGCTGCTGCTGCTAGTCAGAGTCAATCTCGTCCACCGATGCCGTCACATCTCACTTCATCGGGACACGCATCATCATTTGCCAACTTCCTCGCTGAACAGATGGACCGTGCTTCTACCGGTTCGCCCGCCGGATCTCAATTCGCACCAACCGTCATGACTCCCAATACGACCGGTGATGCCAACCCGTTCCAGACCCAGACACCCTCGCCGAGGTCCAGCCAAAGCGCCGCCAGTGTCAATGTCCACGCGGACGAGAGCAAGCCAGTCGGTCAGTCAGTTCCTCAAGGCTGGGCAGCTTCGCAAGCTCTCTTCTTCCAGCAGCAACACCAACAGCAGCTCCAGCGATTACAGGACCAGCAAAACTTGGCTCACGCCCGTCAGATCCCTGATCAGCAATACGGTGGTGCCTCTTCTTTCCCTCTTTCCGCCTTCATGAACGGTCAGTCTGGCTCTAGCGCTGCTTCATCCTTCAATTCAGCGAGCTCTCTCAGCGGTCAGTTCAACAACCACGCCTTCACTCAGCAGCTGTTCGCGAGCATGTTCCCCAATGGCAGTATTCCTTCGCCACAGCATGAGCAGATCAATCAATGGCGTAAGAACGCCCTTGGTGCCACGCAACCACAAGCCCAGGGCGGGAGCCAGATGCTCAGCAACGCACCTTCGGTTGATGAGCTGAGAGTGAGTAATTCAGAGTGTCTCTCATGCAGAGCATTGTCTAACGACAATTGCAGAACGCTGTGAGGACCGGTATGGGCTTAGGCCTCGGGATGGCCAGTCTTTGGTCTGATGGACAAAATAACCCCGTAGAGGGATTCTAGTGGGCGAATGTCTATAGTCGCTGAGACCAAAGAAGACTGGGGAAAGAAATAAACGGCAAAGGAGTCAGACAAGGGCAGACAAAGTTTTTACGGTGGATCTTTTGCTACCTTCTCCCCTTCTCACTCGTTCGTGATGGGTGAGAATGAGGTTTTGGTTCTTATTTGTGATTGGTCTATGGTTCTGGTTGTGGAGTATTTACGTTGTAGGTAATTAGCGGTGGACCATATTGCCCGAATGCAATTCGCTCAATTCATCTGGGAAGCGGTTGGCTTGACAAGAGAATGTCAAACCATGCCGTGATATCTGACTGGACTGGCGGAGCGCGAAGCAAGAGAGCGAGGTGATCACAACGAAGCCTGTCAATGGACGACTTGAACGCACTTCTCATTTCTTTTCACCGCAAGTGCAACTATATTCAGCCGGGCTCAGCTTACTCGCGGTCGTGTACTTGATCACTCACGAAGTGCAAGAACAATTGGCGCATGTGCAAGAAGCGTTGGAGCCGCACGAGTTGGTAGGCTGATGGGTTAGCCCCCGTAAGCGAATGCCTATGCGTACTTGGAGGAGTTGCGCCTGCGCCTAAACCTTGTCGTAACTCACAACCATACTGCCTTCCTGTTCATGCATTGTGTGGTCTCGTTCGGGGACAGTATTGGCTTTGCAAAGCAATTCGTGGCGTTCGATGAGAGGTCCGTCAGAGACGTATCGAGAATGTCAATTGGCTGAAGGAAAGAAAGAAAGAGCAAGCAAGGGACCGTCTAAAGCCTTATCTCCTGGGTACTTTATACTCTGTGCCAGAGCCCAGATAGATCTCGCTTTCTTTGCCTTGGCATATGGTATCTATGCCCGAAGGGGGGACAGAGAATATCACGTCGCTTGTATGGGGAAGCAGAGGAGGCAAAGGGGAGAAGCGATGCCGATCCATCTGTTGTATCCGCCACAGAGCCTAGACCACGATGGATCGTGTGTGATTACAGTGCCAGGTCGGCTGGAGCCCACGTTTCAGTCCAAAAGACGAACATCGCTTGGAAGCTCTGTCTCATCGGATATGATCGGTCGAAAGGTCCCTCCTCTCTGGACCTCGCTTGATGTCAAGGCAAGGCGAAGCGAAGAACAAGCGACATTGGGTTCTGCTGCCTCGAGGTTGCCGTGCCCCAGTTGACGTTGACGTTTAACGAGCAGGTGGAGCGTCGTGTGGCTCCTTTTGGACCAGTAGCGTATCGGAGGTATAAAGCACTAAACTTCTTCGCCTCTCAATCATCTGCCATCTCACTCCGGCCACAACAACATAGCTATATCCAAATCGCACTTCTCAATATGATTGCTATCAACCCCGAAGTGAGCCAGCACCCTTTATCGTCTTCCCAGTACTCTCCTCCACTGACGCTTCTCCCCTCCAGCCCGTCAACCAATGCAACTGCTCTGGTACTTGTTCCTGCGCGTCGTCCAGCAGGTGAGATGCAAGACTGTCACACTCTTTCGGATCTCTGCAATGGATCGCGAGTCCGGGTGAGATGAGCGGCATGCCGATGACAGATATGTTTAGCTGCAGCTGCTGTGGTTCATCTTGCGGATGCAAGTGATCGGGAAACCGGCGTCGAAGGCGCTTCGTCACTCGAGTCGTCCCTTGTCATTCAACAGCCTTCGTTCATCACCCCACCTCCCTACATTACACCTCGAGTCCTGGCATCGTTTTCTCGCTTTCCAAACGTACATGGTGAATGATTTGTCAGGCGTAATTAGACCTTGCCTCATGTATGCTACTTTGTTGCGAGAGCGCCATGTATGCACATGCTGAAAGCAGATACGGGGCGGGCACCAGGTAAATGAGCGTCGCGCGCGTGAGCTATCGTAATGATCCTTGAGTCGAGGACCATGGCGAAGATCGCACTCTCGTTGACCGGCAAGAACCGCGTCGGGTCCTGCTGTCAAGTGGACAGCGGGGTTGACACCTTTTGAGGCTCCTCTACTTTGAGAGTCCTCTGCTATCCAGAAGCGCGTGCTGGGCCTCGGACGGAGCACAGGACAACGACGTCCATGGCACGCTGAGTTGCCTTGACAACGCACATGACCTGATCGGTCCATTCTCAGCAATGCCAAATGAAACAAGTGCGGAACTCCTAGACTCACCAATCCGAATAGTGCAGTGTATACCACCACGGTAGGAAGAAGGAAGATGGAGACTGTGAAGAAAAGAGTGCCGACGAAAAGCTGATCGACATCGTATTCGTACGAATCTGTTCTCTTCCTGAGCATGTTCCAGCGCTTGCCTGAGGTTATTATTCAGCGACTACTTCCCGCTGTGAGCACTGTAGAAACATACCGCGAAATAAATTCCATAGACCTGACAGAGACTCCAATTGCCATAGACAGATCCATCGTGTGAGGTTCCAGCAAAGACGTAAATGAAGGCTCGAGAGCAGCAACGCGTCGTGAACCACGGCGAGAGCCAAAGTTAGACCCAAAGTAGATATTCGCGGTAGTAATTGGTTGAGGATCACCGAGCTGATCCTGTCCATATGAGGTGAAAAGAGCTCTGTCACAGAGCTGTGAACACGATTTGGCACCCTCCGACAGTAGTCTCACCTCCCCACGTTCGTATGATCATACCCAGATTTGTTCGGAAAAAATCGGACAACGGAGTGTTCAGCTTGAGTCCCGCTGGCCAATCGTTCAGCCAGCCCAGGGCATGATCAACCCAGTCAATCATATATGTCTGCGAGTGTAGGGTTAGGTGTGCGTCAATCTCAAGGCCAAATGCACTTACTGAGAAAGCCCGCTTCATGAGCTCATGCAAGGTAGTTGTATGGGCGTTGATGAGGTGTCTGGCGGCGAGGCCGAGCAGTATGTCGACCTACGATGATCGATAAGTGCTCTATGGATCGTGACTTTCGAGCACTCACAGCCAGACACATCGAGTACAGCAACTGAATCTGGCTAGATGAGAGATCCGAAATGACCCTCAAATGGTCCAGGCGAATCAAAGTCTGGCGAACTGGTCCAATCAGAAGACAGATTAGTCAAAACATCCTGCAGTAGTTCAAAGTCCATATCGAACTCACACGTCGCGCTTTGCCACAACAAAGTGGCTGAATGAGAGACGAGGAACGACATAGCCTTGGCTGACGCGGTCTGCATGGCCCCGAAGGGCGAGCTTGGAATGGAGGGACAATCCTGACGGTCCTGGATTCCCGGGATCTCGTTGGCTCTGCTATCTGATAGCAATGTCCGCAATGCACGGCAGGAATCAAGCTGCTCGGGAGTGAGCCCTTCTGACCTTCTTTGTGAGGCTTACTAAGTCACTCAGGTTCTCATCGTCTGCGGTCGATTGGGATGATGTGCCCTTGGATCTCCTGGACCACTCCTCTTGCCTCGACAGACTCCCACCGATCGAGTGGCTTTCCTTGAGCTTGAGTTGTTGTAGTCCGTTGTGTCCGGTAGAAGATCCGTATAAGATGTATGAGGACCGATCGCTACATGGATGAGAGATCAGCCTCGGACGTGCCGCTTGGATGGAACGCGGGCATACCCGCGTGGTGTAGGCATTCCACGTTGATCAACCGAGATGTCAAGCTCGCGACTTGACCCTTGTGTGACGGATGTTGGGGCACTGGATTCATGCGCTCGACCAAGAACTTTCACAGCGCCCTTGGAGCGTCCATGACCCTGTGACTCGTCGTTCAAAAGGGCCAGACAGTTGTCCAGATCAACCTGTGGACCCAATACGACTTCAGCATTCAAGGATATCAAAATCACGGCGATCGTCTGCTCACTCTTATATCCACAGAGGCCACCACGATGTCAATTGAGCCTTGCCTGAACCCTATCAAGGTCCCGTCTCGCTTTTGGATGCCATCCCGAGGCCAGTAGACGGTCATATGGAGTGTATAGTAAGAAAATCTAGGTCCGCCGGCATTTTCATTCAACCGAAGTGCAATCGAAATGACCCAGGTATGACATTGGGCCTTCTGTCAAGGTTGACATTGCTCAATCTCTTCTGTCGTCACATAATCACTGCTCCGACATGAGATGAGACATGATGTCCAGGAGCAAGTCGACTTGTTCGAGTGCCTGCGGGCCATGTACCCTTTAACATCAGAGCTGGAAGTTTCTGAACAGACTGCGCTCTGGCTATCGGACCGCGAATCTGGAGCCGCCTCTGCCTCGTCCAGGGCATGCGACAGCCTGGATGCTCTCATCAACCTCGAGATAGAATCAGATCTCACGCTCTTGATTCACGTTGGCATCTCCATACCGTTGAACCACTCGGCTGTCACTGTGCTCCCTCGACAACCTGAATGGATGACGAGATCGTCCTTTGACTCGTTCCTTTTGGCAATGCCGAAGAGCAGGCCAGACAATAGCGATATGAGCGAGCACCTACTAGGCTCAGTGGATTGGATCAGAAGCCATGCGCTGGAATATAGGACGGAACAGAAAAGCAAGACCTTTGCCGAGGCTGAGGACAAGCAGACCAACAACGCATTTCGGCGCCTCGAGCGGGTCTGGTTCTGGTTCCCCTCGCTCAGCTCTAAGGAAAAGCGTAGAGACCTGGTAGATTACGCAGCGGAATACGATTTAAAGGGCTTCGTGCTAGCAGGTGGGTTAGCAACACGTTCGTGTCAGAAAAGCAGCCATGCTGATGATCTACTTCTCAGGAAAGCCAGGTCTGCTGTGCCTAGAAGGGGATGGCTCCAAAGTCGACAAGTATATGTCGGCTGTCAAGTCTGAATCCTGGTCTGACATTCCATCCTATCAGAAGAAAGTAAGCTTATATTGAACTATCAGCGCGCACTGATACATGCAATTCAGGTCACTGAAAGGCTGCGCAAACCACTTGTCGACTCTCAACGGCGATTCGCAGACATGAAAGACATTGCCCACCTCGTCCCTCAGTATGGCCAGTACAATCACAGGGGAGAGATGAGCGAGGTCAAAAGATTGATGGATCAATGGGGCGTAGGCGAAGACTTTGGCAGTGTCGTGATGAGCAGCGGTGCAAGCACGTCGTGAAGAGCACACAACAATCTACTATGCTGCATGTCGATTTATTCAACCATGCCAGAGGCAGTATCTAAGTGACAGGAAGCGGAGCGTGTATATCGTGAGAAAAGCAAGGCATACAACAGTGTTCTCTTCCAGATTTGTAAGCTCCTGACTGACGATTATACACCTTGAATCGAATGATAGACTCCTTCGATGGATCGACTCTCGACGTGTGTAAAAGATGATGGTGACGTAGCATTCTAGCTTGACCTGGTTTGATATCCCTTGATCGTTCCCAATGTCCATTCGTCCAATAGAAGCGGCCGGCCCACCTAACGCTTCCTCTCCGCTCCTCACGTAGCTGTCTAGAATCGCCGTCCACCGGCAGTCGCAGCGGGTGATGGTCGATTGAAAAAGCCATTTCTCTGCTGTTGCTGCGGCTGTTGTTGCTGCTGTTGAGGTGATGGACCGCCAGGCGGCGGCCTGCCGTAACCTGGCTGTTGCTGTTGTTGAGGCGGATTCCTGTAGGCGGAACCAGGTTGACCGGGAGGAATACGGGCAATCTGTGGAGGGGGATTTTGACGATAAGCCTGGGCGAGATTGGCAGCTGGAGGTCCGGAAGGAGGGGCGGTGGATGCAATTCCAGCGCCCAAGCCCCGGTTGCCGGACCGACCACCTCGAGCTATGACGGGAGCTGTGGCTGCGGGAGCCGCAGGATTCGGAGCATTCTTCTTCTCAGCATGGCGGAGGATCTCATCGCTGAGAGAATTGCAAGGTCAGCAAATGCCACACGGACCAGTGATGTCTCACTCTAGCAAGTTTAAGACTGCACAGCAGACGACCCATTCCACACAGTCCTCATTGCCGATTCCAAGAGTCTGCCAGACTTGCTTCTCGTCCTCGCTTCTTCCAGTGATGGAAATGCGAGTCCCACCACCTCTCTCTGGCGGGTTCTTCGAGATCTTGCCGAACTGTTACGGTTCGATCAGCAACGATCGCCACGCCATTTTCCAACGGTGCTCTAACTGACCTCTATCCGCCTGGGAGGAATCTGATGCCCAGCATACTTGAAGTAGAACATTGTCCAGAAATCAGCATTGGGATTCGGTTTACTGATTTGATACAGCGGCGTGTCATCCTGATTCACAATCTTGTAGATGGGGGACATGACACCAGTATTTTCAATGGTCCATCGGAGATCGCGTGACGCCTCGCATCGGACCACGTTATGTGGTTTGGGCTGTTTGGAAGAATTTGGAAGGGAGCTGGAAGAGTTTTGAGCGGAGTTGTTGGAAGGGGGGAAGAGTTTGGCGACACAGAGATCACCCTGGGGAGAAGGAGTCAAGAGATAGTTGACGCGGTTCTAAAGGATGAGTGTCAGCTGAGAAGATTGCCAGTTGCCAGAGATTTCGCGCACTTCTTCCGTATGTCTAGAGGGAATGTCAGTGGGTCCGCGGAGAACAACGCTACTTCAGTAACTCACAGATAGGTGTAAAGGATCTGGTTCGGTTGCCCTGAAGCAGAAGGATCAGCACAGTGCCGTGCGTTGAGCGCCAAGCTCTTCCCAACCTACCGTGTGGTGTCACAATCAAGGTCGGCAAGTGGCCAGGGATAGGGGCATGTTGTGGGGATGTGTATCTTCAATTTGAAGTGAGTATCACGCAACAACAGGGTATCTTCATCACTTACACGGAATAGATTGCTGCGGGAGACATTGTTGTTTTTGAGCAACGCAAAAGGTAAGGTGAGGTGATGCCGGGCAAATGAAAGACCAGAATCGACCAGGAGGGGAGCATGGAAGAAGCAAACGTCAGCGACGGCAACAGCTAGCCTTGATGATCTGCCTTCGAAGAAACGATTTCCTGACCCACAACTCTCGCCTACAACAATCATCTTAATGATGATGTTGTCGAGAGTGCGGCTTACTGCGGAAAGGCGAGGAAAGACCACCTCTTCAAGCTCGTCACTCACCGGCCATGTCGTCTTCTCTTCCCTATGAGACCCTTGCTGTACGTCTAAAGAACCAGTCTCAAAGTATGCGCAGCGTGTGGGCACGAATAAACGCGTCTTATGTATACGATCTCGTTGGTTGTTGCCGGAATAACCAACCAGTTTGACGGCAAAAAGGGGACTTTTTTTAAAGGTCCTTCCTGAACTACTACCGGGAGTGAATTGAATGATTGAATGACTGAGTGGCCTTGTCTATCCGAAAGACAGAGAGCGATACGCTGTATCTGTTGGGAATGATGACGTCTATGATCGGAAGAGAGCGAGAGAGGGGCAGTTGAGCGTCAAGTTCCTGAGATGTCTCCAGCCCAAACGCTGTGACAGATGCTGCTGCCTGCAAGTACTCGATGATGGATAGAATGGATAGAAGAAGTGATGCAAACCACACAGTGCGGGGCAGAAAAGGGAAAAACACAACCTCCTTCCCCCCCCCTTTTTGAATTGCGTTTCAAGCCTAAATAAACAAAAAGTAGTTGCTGGGTGGATATATTTGGATATCACTGGATACAGGATGGACAAGTTGAGAGGAAGCAGCTCGTCAGTGTGTTGATCGAAGCAAGATCCGATGAATGTCCTCTTCTACCTCTTAGCAGAATGTCTGGGGGGTGTTCCTGTCACGGGTGGCGATGATGCTCTGGGACATCCTTCCCCCCTCCCCTTCGTGTATGAGGCGGGAGACTGTCTCTGATTATATCAATCGTTTTAAAATTGACACGTCATGCAAAGATCGAATTGATACAAAGGAGCTCAAATGCACGTTCCCCTCTATACACCTCTGACATCCTCGGCAGCATCCTGCCAGGAACTAGAGCTACCACTGTTACTCTCTCCCTCTCCGCGCCTATCCGTACCACCTTGTTCTTGTTCTCGCTTGACAAGTCTGCCCCCTTCGATGGCACCTTTTTCCTCATGCTCTGGCTCATCTCGATAGCTCGGTGGGTCTGCCGTCCGAGGATCATCCTCTAAAAAGTCATCGTGGTAACGCAGAGCTGTCCGCTCGTCGAGTCCAGGACTATCGTCCACGTCAGATTCGTCGCTCGGTCCATCTCCAAACGCGTCATATAGCTCTTTTGATCCTGCCGCAGCACCTACTCCACCGCCACTTCCACCGCCCAACTTGCGTCTGCCACGTTCGAGCAAACCCATCGGGACATCTTCGTTGACAGGTGCATAGGCTCCTCTGGCACCTTGACCGTTATTAGACATGCCGAACAGATTGCGATTACGTCGTCTTCGAGCCCGAATGAAGAAAAATAGACCGAGACCTGAGGCCGCAAATAGGACGATCACAGCAGAACCTCCAAGCCACATCTTGTCCTTGGCGAGTGCCTCGATACCGTGCCAATAGGTGCCATCGGTGTCGTCTACAGGTTCACTTGGATCAGTTGCATCTGCGTTACCGGTCGCATCGCCATCAGTATGATCTCCCAAACCAGGTCGATCTGCCTCCCCGCTCGCGGAACCATGATCCTCAGGCAAGTGCGCGGTCGGTTTTGGCTTTTGAGTCACCGAAGGTGTGGGATCGGATCCAATCTGCTCCTCGTCTGGCTGACCCTCCTCGGCAGGAGCCCACATCTTAGCAAGAGACGCATCTTGACATTCTCCCCACAGTTGTAAGGCCCACGAGATGAGTCGACCAGATTTGCCATTGTCATTCCTGTCATACACTGTAATGGTCCAGGTTCCAACAGGTGATTCTTCCCTAAGTCAAGAGTCAGCATAATGTTTCCGAGACAACAAACTTATTCACCAGTGCTTTAAAGACATGAACTTCCAGCCAGGGAAGCCATTTCTGTCCTCGTCGTATCTCCGTCTGCGAGCGAGAACACTGCTGATCCCATTTGGACTCATGATCTCGACTTCCACATCACCCCGTCGTTCATGCTCGATCCAGACCCGGACTGTCACATGCTCGAGGGTCTCAAAGTTGGAATCATCCAGCATCTGCTGAGTCACCTCGAATGACGACTTGATACCCTCTGAGGTAATCGTGGTGCCGGGCCTCTGAATGACTGGCGTAGGATCTGCGCCTTCGCCATTGTCGTCTTGTTGTCCGGGCACGTCTTCGATCTGTCGCGGCATGAATGACGCATCACTGGGGAGATGAATAGCGGGAGAGTCGAACCAAGCCTGGGGCTTGACAAGTTTCCAAGTCTGAGCGAGGTCCACGACTCGTCCAGCATCCAATCGGCCATATCCATCTACATCATCGTCTTTAGCGAGGGCTGCGAGACATATGCAATCCCGACTCACATTTGTAACTGAACCAGCGTCCTGCCGCCGTCAATTGCCAGTCAGGATCATCAGGGTTGAAGTGAACTCCTGTCCTAACACAGATATGTTGCATGTCTCTCCACGTCAATTCTGGTCTGATGATAGAATAAGTATAGATCAGGATTGTCAGCCGTGACAACCCACCTGACTTGTAAAGCCAGAGCGAAGACACCGACACCCAATGGGGCCGCTGCCGAGGTTCCTCCATGGGTATGCGCGCATTTATTTTTGCCAACGTCGGTGGTGTGCTGATCAAGTCAGTCAATGAGAGCGCACACTTGCCTTACAATGTGATCTCCGGACCCAGAGCTCGGAGCAACGACCATCATCGCAGCGCAGAGTTCAGAGTAATACGGGTGTAGACCTTTCCTGTCCACAGCTCCGACCGTAATGGAGAAGATGGAGTTGGTGTATCCGTCAAAATTACATTGATCCTCAGAACCTCCACCATTGCCAGCAGCAAAGACAAAGATGGATCCCTTTCCTCCTCTACCTCGCTGTACTCCATTGACAAATGCCTTCAGGATGACGCCTTCCGGTGCGTCCATAGATTTGCCATCATCTGGTGGTCCCCATGAACATGAGTAGATATCGTTTTCCTGGTAATGATAGTTCAGAGCCGCCGCCTCGTCCGCATCAGAGATGGCTCCACTGAGAATCCGGACGCCAGCAATTTGAGATTCATATGCGACTCCGACACCACAGACATCATTTTTGACTGCTGAGATCTCCCCCGCGCAGCGTGTACCGTGCTGGTCATCTGAAAGTCGGGGCAGAGGCAGATTGGTATGATCATTGAAATCCCAGGATCCATCGGCATACTACACCGAGAGTCAGTTGCGAGATTTTTTGCACCGAGTCATATCGTATCACTCACAAAGTTGTCATGTAGATCGTCCGAATTCAAATCCAAGCCGTCATCGACGACCACTGCTCGGACTCCTTTCCCTGTGATCCCCCTCGCCCATAGGCCCGTTACATTCAGCTCGACATCCTTGAGTTCGGTATTGATCAGATGCCATTGCAGGTTCAACATGGGGTCCATAATTCCGATATCGCCTTGGGCAAATGAGAGCTCAGCTGTGTCTTGTCGAGCGGCCATTCCAGTGGAAAGATGTATGGGTCGAGCATCAGGGTCCACCATGGGAGCAGGCAACCGTTTAGCTCGCCGTCTAAGCGATAGAGGTTGCAGAGATTTCAAAGCATTCTTGCCTTGACCTCGAGGAGTTAAGGAGCGTAAATGATCCCATCTCTCCAGGATAGGGTCTTTTTCATAGTAGGAACGTTTGGATAAATCCTCTTGAGATACGGTGGAACCTGGTCGTCGGACTAGCCAGTGATCGTCCAGCTCTCCGATCTTTTCTACCAATTCCACGCCCAGTGAGGACGCGATGGATTCGGCGTATGGTGTGGATGTTGAGCGCAGCTCTAGAGCATAGTATTGATGCGTGTCATATGTTCGAGCGTGAGGTCGTGATGTGGATGCAGATGCGAATGTGCTAGGGGACGTAAGGGCGACCAAGACTAGCAGGGACAACAAGCGAAAGGCGGAATGATGAGAAAGCATGGCGGATCAGCGCCAGCAGGCTCCTGATGCTACTGCCGAATCGACCTTACACCACAATTTCAGCTGCCTGTTCGAAGATTCAGCCAGCTACTTGATCTCGTCGTTCAGGTATCCTTGTACAACAGCTCAGCTTGATGTCAACAACGAGTGAAGGCCAAGGTATTCGTGCTAAAAGGTCTTCTCGCGTGGGGAATGGAAAACTCGCAGGCTTTAATAAAAAAATCGCTCGGGTAGTGATCTCCCACCGGGATCGACACGTGGTAGCAGTTGCATGTAGCAGCAGTCGAGGCTGCATCATCAGGCCAAGGTATCTCGGAGATAGAACGTGTGAGGCAAGACTCGCAGCAGATCCTCCCAAAGATGACACCTCGTCAAATGTCTTCATCACCGTAGGGATACCCTGCCGTTGACGACTGCCATATTCTGCGATACCAGCCAATCATGCACATCCCGTTCTTCCATTTTGCCAACCCATCTTCCTACCCAATCCACCCGGCATTCGAGGTATGCTCTCCGCATGACCGTCCATGCCTTATCTCTGACCCGTTCCTCCGCCCAAGAAAGTACCGCGCGCTCGTACGGCGAGGTTTCAGAGTCGGACAAAAGGGCAAAGTATCGTACGGGATCGAATGAGTCCTCCGATAGGACCCTGGCGGCGCTTGCAGCGAAATGAAGATGCTTCATCGATACGAATGGCCGGGTCGGGCTATTGCCCGATGTACGCGACCTGATAGCATCCACTTCTGGCTCAAGATCGTGAAAAGGTCGTCGTAGGCGATGCTGAGTGGGATGCGTCAGAGATATCAAGGTTGAGTGATAAGTTCGATAAGAGTTGCTGTGCGCCAGGTGGTAGAGCAGCAGAACGGAAGCGAATTGGACTCTGCTATCACTGATGATGTCTGATGATCCCGCATTGGTTGCCGCTGATGTCCGCTGCCCAATCTTGAGACCTGCCAGACGGTTCTCCAGGGTTGACGGCTGGTCGTCTGCTCGTCGCTTGCCCTTGGTCTCGTCCAAGGTAGTATACAGACCTGGTATCAAACCGCTGAGCGAGGAGATAAGTTGTGGACCATCTCTGGCCAGGATAGAGATTCGCGCAGACGTCTCGAAGACTGCTCCAGACTTTAGCGAGTGGGTTAAAGCTTAGCTTGAAAGTGTCACTCACCTTCTAATGCAAATTCATCTATCCGATGCGAAGCCACAACACCCTCTCGAAGCTTTCCTGAAGGATCACACTTTCAGGACCGTCCGAGAGTCCTCGCAGAATCATGGCTCACGCAAGAGCAGCACTATACTCTTCAGACTCTGAAGCTCGTCCGCGGAGTCCTTAGATGGGATCGAGTGAGGTTGGGTAGAAAACACAGCGTGATGTTTGGCTATCTGGGTCAAAGTCATTTCAACATCTCAGAGGCAATTGCTATGTTCCAGGGCATGTAGTATGTGACCCACCCGTTCATCAATATAAGCCCTGTAGCGCTCCTGAGTCGTCCAGTCTTTCAGCCTTCGAAGCGATTAGTGTTCCGAGCTCGAGATCAGAGCATTGTAATGTGCTGCTCACGCATCACCCTCAGCACCATCCCCACCACTCCTAGATACACTTTGCATCATTTCCATCTCGTTCATTCCCTCACTGCCCCCCGAACGACCAGGTGTCGAAGATCTCATCGGCTTCAGATCAGATGCTGGCGAAGCGAGGGCCGGTGCTGTCCAATCTCTCTTGGATCTATAGCTGGCAGAAGCATGTTGAGTTTGATGCGAGTGCCTTGATCTACTCGCCGATAGCCCAGGGGCGAAGGGTTCCCCTTCGGTCAAAGGTCTGATCGAAGACACGGTGTTATCGTTCAGGGAGCCGCTCTGCGCTTGAGCCGAAGAACGATGCGGTATCCCGCTGCCCCGTTGACGCTGATGAGGAGGCTGATATCTCTGCATGGTCGGTGTCTTCCCCCTCCAGGGGCGGCGGGCACGAGGTGGCAGACGTCCGAGGACAAGGTACAGCGTTGATATTTGGGAACGCGAAATGCGAGGCATTGCCGATCAACGGATGACGGTGGCTGTAAACATACTACATACTATGATAGAAGGCCGAGCGTACGTTCGAGAGCAGGGCAGGATCCCCCGCTGCTGTCAAATACTGCACTCCGATAGAGCTCTCATAGTGCTTAAAAACCAAGCACAACCAGCTTCTACGTGTTCTGCAATAGCTCAAAGAAACCCATCCCCTCATTCGCGGCTGCACCAAGGGGGGAAGGTCCTCCTCCCATACCCCGTTGTCCGCGTAGATGAGCGAGAATTGATATACCAGTGCTACAACGCTGAATCAGAAAGAGACTCAGCAGGACCACGGCTCACGGAGATTGAGCGAGATACGGATTCCTCGCGAGGACCTCGTAGATTCGACTACTGATATGTTGGACAGACCGCCTCATGCTGGGTGCGCGGAGTAAATTGTTGGTCATGGTATTTAACCACAAGCTCAATCGATCCAAAGCGAGTCGCTGAACAGACTGGATCTTACTATCAAGCATGACAATGTCAAAGCTCCTGAGAGTTCGTAGGATTCAGCTGTGTTTGGTGACTATGGGAGATTGACTTACGCAGCTACGAACCAGCAGTATCTCGGTAGATACCTCAGATACTCGCCAAATGTACGAGTGAATCTGACCGCCAGGTTTGTAGCCTCACTACTGTGCTGGAGACATACGGCGGCGGGCCCGGAAGCAGTTGCGATGTCGTGTGGACTGACGATGGGCCTATGAAGGAGAATGTAAGATGCTTCGAAGAACATTCTGTGCGGCATCAGGTTGAGTGGAGGCGAGAGTATTCATCACAACTCACAAGAGGAGAAAGACGTGCGGAGGTGGGGAAGGTCCTTCTGGCCATGGGTCAAGATGAGCAGGAATATCGCTCCATAATTCGTTTAGACGTTTCTGTGTCTTGTTGACGAACGCCATACGGACATGAGGTACATTGTCACGACTCTTCGTGCCGTACAAGCTCATCATGATGTCGTGAGCGATCTGCAAGGGTACATCAGTAGCAAGTTCCTGTCACGCAAGGGGCGACATACTACTGCTAAGCGTGAGAGCAGTCGAAAAACTGTACTGCGACTTGCTTGCGGATACACGTATCCTTGAAGAGAGGCAGGGCAGTTCAAGGGGTGTACAAAAAATGGCGTCCATGGCTCATCGTCGTTCGTGAAATCAGGGATAACGGAAGGGTCCCCGCCTGGTCTTGGTGGGAGTGTTGGCTCTCGTCCCAGAGCCATTGACAGAGCCCTATTGTGGTGGTCAGCGAGGCAAATGAAGACTTTCTCAACACACTTACTTATCCCAGACGAAAGCAGCCCAGAAAAGTCTATCGCGCGTTGCTTGTTCCTCTAACGAGAGGTTCGAGACCCCAGACACAGATTCAGGATCATGATGAATACCTAGCTAGAACTGTGTCAAAGGGGGCGCAATCGGTCTTCTCTGTCCACTCACATCCTGTATCATTCGGAATGCCAGACCAGCGTGATTCCAACCTTGACTGACTTCCCCGAGAGCGCACTCCCTCGCCGACAATAGCAAGAGGCTTTGAATCGTGGTGATCCTCGTCGGGCCCTCCATTTCCTTCCACAGATAGGCCTTTGCAAGCTTTACGAATAGATCTCCCTGAGCCAACTTCTGCTCTTCCGTCAATCCGTCGATCATGCGTGACGCGCTGGCGTAGAGAACCATGAGGAGAAGCTCGGAATAGCATGGGCCGCCAAGGACCATGTCCCGGAGGAACGCTGCGTGTTCAGTGATCTCAAAGACTTCATAGCAATGAAAAGCGGATAACAAGGCGTCGCCCAATTCAGGAGCCACTGAAATGTGCTTCGAGGCGGCCAATGCTTGGAAGATAGGAGCAAGGGCTTGATTTTGAGAGACGGACTCGGCAAGCGAAGGGATAGGTACAGCTGGTCCGCCTCCTTGAGTAGCGAGAAGCGTAGGCGAAACCATCACGTCTGGTCCGGAATTGAGGGCTGTAACTCCGTGATAGGTGATCTGACCGAAGTTTAACAGAGCCTCACTCAAACCGGAACCACTCACATTCCCCGACTCATCCGTGGTCAACCTGTATTCGGCGCCGCCAGTCTTGGCCGTGGTAGAGACATCGTTCCTGACGATGTCGATTCCATTGGACCCGGTCTGTCCAGGCTCAGACTGAGGCGGTGGACTTCGAGTTGATAACGGAGCTGCTTCTTCTGCACTCTCTCCATCGTCCTCATCGTCTTCGTAGCGAGTTCGATAACGACTACTGCCAGTTGACTCGATGTATTGCAGTCTCTCTTCCATACGCTTCATTTGGTCCGATAAACGAGCTAAGCTTTCTTGAATAGTCATTGCAGGAGCTGCTGCACCGTTGATGCCAGGTTCCGTCTGTCTTCGGCGTAGGGGTCGCCCTAGAGCTCTGCGGGGTCAATAGATGAAGCTGATGACAGCACACACGGGACGACGCATTCTGCCTCTTCACTAGCAGCGCAATTGCCACATCGCGGTCGGATACCGTCGCATGATCTCTTCTTCTGCCGGCATGCCTGGAGGAGGAAGATGATGGGCCAGACTCCATTTGGTGTTATCAGTGATCGACTCACCAGGCAAGATTCGCCATACTTTCTTTTACGTGGACGCACGAGTGCTAGACCATTCGAACGTCGAGCAGTCTCGCTAGCCTCTAACATGCTGACCATTTGTCATTCATTTGAGCATAGCAAAAAGCTATGTCAAGTGAGATCTACTATAGGGTAGGTAGCCTTTCATCATACCGGCATTCACACGTGCGATCGAGGGAAATCTCCGAAGAGATGCGGAGTGTCCGGCTTGCTGGATTTGGGTGGGATACTCCAGCAGTTCCCAGAGTGTTCATGGCTTTGGCACGACGAATGGATATAAGCTCGACAACTGACTTATCTAGGCATATGCATTGTGCATCAATGACTACGAGCGCATGCCGACCCGGGTGTCCATGACTCAGACCTTGACGGCCGTTGGACGGGAAAATGGAGCGGCAAATCCGTACGTTTTGTAGCCTTCGGAGTAGTCCACATCGGCTTTTCGCTCTGATTAAGCGAATGTCAGGGCTGCTATGCCTCTATGCAATCTACTCACCATGATCCGGAGGGAATGCCTCTCGTCGATGAGCATAGTACTTCTCCCGGAGATCTTTCCCATCGCTCTCAGCGGAATAAGTGGCATACAGCATAGCTCGTTCCCGCTGAGATGTATTCGGTCCACTCCGATGCGCAAGATGACTTCCAAAGATGAGCATGTCTCCCACTTCGAGAGGGACAGAGACCCATTCATGGGCATCACACCATTCGTCCGTGATGTGTCCACCAGCTATGAAGTCGACTGCCATCTTGTGTGAGCCGGGGACGACTTCGAGACAACCGTTCGCTGCATCAGCAGGGTGAATAGCAATGTTGGCTGTGACGTGCTCCACCTTGCAGATGTGGTCGTATGCCGGTGCGTCGAGGTGAGCAGCGAAGCCGTTACCACCTGGAAGCTTGTAGTTGATCTTATCCTTGAATAAGATCATGCTCTGGGCCCCCGGAGGGCAGTCAGCAACGTCCAGTCCACCAAAGTACCTTAGTCACTATACTCACTTGTCCACCCAATTGACTGAGGATAGCCCTGAGAGCTTCACCATCCAACAGGCTCTCAAATCCCTGGTGATAATCCTTGAACTTCTCAGTCCTCATAATTTGCTTGCCATTCGTCGTGTCTTCCATGTACGGCATCCACTTGCCATGGGACTCGCTCAAGGGCCAATGACGGACTTCGTCAGTCCAACTAGGTAGGGCAGTGACATCTGGAAGGAGCCCGTGCTCGCTAGCTCGGAGGATCAGGAAGCCATCACGGTGATATTGTTCAATTTGGGTCGAGTCGAGCTTGTACATATTCGAGTTGGGCTTCTTGGTCTACGTACACGTGCGATCGTTCTATGTCGTATCGGGGAGGCTGAAGGCGCCGGAGGTACACTGGAAGTCCTGCAGAGAGAATCTTATATTGGACAGCTCTCGTGTCAAAGGCGGACTTGGGGCTATCCAGCATCATACCGTCGGAATCTGAAAATCGCGCATGTTCTAGGAGGCCTATCGTGTTGCTGATACGCCGCCCACAAGCCGTCTGGGAATGGAACGTTGTCGGACTACCCAATACCGAATACCGGAGATCCCACCGCCAGTCCCAAAATCCCGCCCAAAGTAGGAAATCCAAGGCATTTCTCACCTCGGCTCTTTCCTTTTCGTACTCCCCTCCCATGATTCATCACCTGAAATCCGCACCATGTGATAGCAAGCGAGATTGACGGGATTCAGATCTGGGTCTCTGTCGAGTCGCAATGTTTGGACACAAATGTAGCCGCGTCGTTGGTCCTCTCGTTGGCGAGTCAGGACATAAATATAACAGGCGAGCTCACAGAGGTGATAATCCAACCTATCTTGCTACAGCTCCAAAAGTCGTTGGGGCGACTCAGGTTCCTGACGTGCTGTAACAGAAGCTCTACAATTCTGTCAACATGACCAGAATTCTCTCTCATCATCTTCCCTCTGTTCTGTCCACGGCTCAAGATACCATCGATACCCTTTGGTCATACCTTGAAGCTCAAGGTTTGGGTGACTACCTCGGCGAAGCTATATCGCAACTGGAACATTCACTGCAGTGTGCTCATCGAGCAGTTGAGAATGGTGCGGATGATGAGACTGTCCTTGGAGCTCTTTTACACGATGTTGGTCGATTCATCCCTCGATCAGACTATGACAAGATGCCCGCTATGATCGCTCCGAACGGCACTTTTGTCGGACGAGGATCTCACGAAGTGTTGGGTGAGAATTATCTCCGAGCCATTGGCTTCAGCGATAAGGTCTGTTATCTGGTCGGAGCGCACGTTTGGGCAAAAAGGTACCTTACGGCCACCGTTCCAGGCTACTATGATGATCTGAGTCCTTCGTCAAAGACGACTCTGAAGTATCAGGTGAGCCTCGGTTAGGTCATATTGGACATCAAGCCGCTTACAACTGAGGCAGGGAGGACCCTTCACGCCCGCGCAAGTCGCAGAGGCAAGCAAGGACCAGTATCTTCAGGAGAAGCTAGCTGTTCGACGATGGGATGATGAAGCCAAGGTTGCTGGGCTAGTCGTTCCAGGCTTAGATGCGTATAAGACTATGGCCGTGAACAGTCTCTTGAGTGAGTCAATGGCGTTTGCATCGTGCTCCATAGGCTGATTGTTACCGTCATATCCCAGAATCTCGCTCCTCCTTCACCCTCCATGGCCGTACCTACCGCCTGCCACAAAAACCGACCGTCGCAATCTGTGTAGACGGCTTTGACCCCGAATACCTTGATCAGGGCATTGAGGATGGAGTCATCCCTAACCTTGCCCGTATAAAGTCGACTGGTTCATGTTTCCCTGCTCAAGCCGCCATGCCGACATTCACCAACCCCAACAACTGTTCCATCATTACGGGAATGCCAACTGCTGTCCATGGAATATCTGGCAACTTTTATCTGGACAGGGAGACCGGCGAGGAGAAATTGGTCCTTGACGATACTCTCCTCCGTGGCTCTACGATCCTGGAACAGGCGTCTCGACGAGGCGTACGCGTTGCAGCGATTACTGCCAAAGACAAACTCCGTCGCATCATTCAGCATGGTTTGAATCCTCGTAAAGGGGACATATGCTTTTCTTCAGAATACGCTGGAAAATGCACGCTCAAAGAAAATGGAATTGAAGACGTTGAATCGTATATTGGTCGACCGGCTCCCTTTCAATACTCGGGAGATCTATCCATCTTCGTCCTTGATGCTGGTGTCAAGCTTTTGCAAGAGGACCGAGCGGACCTATTCTACCTCACCCTGTCAGACTTTATCCAACATAAGCACGCCCCGGGCTCGAAGGAGGCGAACGATTTCCTTTCGGCCTTGGACCAACGTGTTGGACAGCTCTTGGATCTCGGGGCCGTGGTGGCTCTCACGGGAGATCACGGCATGAGTGACAAGTCGTTGGCCAACGGAGAACCTAGGATCTTGTTCACTCAGGACGTTTTAGAGGAAAAGTTTGGCAAAGGTTGCGCGAGAGTCATCGCCCCCATTACCGACCCATTTGTGAAGCACCACGGGGCCCTTGGATCGTTCGTCCGAGTTCACGTCGCTCCTACCCGTAAATCTCAAGTATCGGACATGATGGCGTTGTTGAAATCGCACGAAGAGGTCGAGGTGGTTCTCACTGGCGAAGAAGGAGCTGCAATGTGGCAGATGCCAGCGGATGTCGAAGGTGACATTGTCGTCGTCTCAATCAAGGGCGCTGTCCTGGGCTCAAGGAAGGAAGAACATGACCTGGAGAATCTCAAGGGACATCGACTGAGGAGTCACGGTGGCCTCAGCGAGCAAGGCATTCCTCTCATGTGCAGTGCTGAGCCGGCGCAGGCCTTGTTGGAGCAGGATAAGACTGGGCGTCAGTGGAGGAATTTCGATATATTCGACGTACTACTCAATTATGCTGAATGAATCATGGATGGCTAAGCACTGCCTTGTGCATCTGGTCCTGTGTCGCCTGCGTCCCGAGCTGATACAGATGCGGTTGAGGCGTGGCCGTTGAGCTTCGAGCCTTCCCCATGAGGTTCACGGCCTCCCAACGTGCGGTATATCCGCTCAGCTTACACGATGCCCATGGGCGGAACCATCTGAAGTGACTGAGGGACAGGCAGCCAGGCCTCTTCAATTGATCCGAGCCTCGGCAAGCAAGGCACCTTGAGCTGCAATAGCTGCTACGATCCTTTGCCACCTTTTTTTCTCGTAGTCAGGCGGCGACGTCCGACCTGCCGAGATTCCGGATTTGCGGTATTCACTTCTTTCCAGGATTAAGTCTGTGACAAACGTGTGATGTCTTAGATCTCAGTGCCCAATAGCACGTTCAAATACGTTCGGGTCCCAGTGGTATGGTACGTCCGGACTGAGGCGGCTTCTCGGGTTTCAGTGGGATTTGGTCGCATTTCGAAAGGTCTGCATCGCTGTTGCTCATTCGTTTTCTCGACAATTCGGACGTACCCGGATTGAATGGCGTTGCATCAGCAACGTGTATGGTTGAGGATCATTATGAGACTCTGAGGAAGCAGTATAAAGCTCAGCTGGAAGTTGGCACCGTAGTCGCTGCCAGGGAACAAGGCACGCAGAACCTACCCGGGTGAATAGTATCCTTCCACGCCGGTACCTACGTATCACTTCGTCGGGTCTGCAATATGTCCGGCGATCAACCAGTCCCGAGGGCCACCATGCGTGCGCAATTGCGTTTCGTCGCCATTGCAGGAGTGGGTCTCTTCCTTGATGGCTATCTAAACATCGTCATTGGACTTGGTGGGTGACTGAGTGTGCTGCGAGCCACGGAGATCACACCCTGACGCTCTGCTTTTTGTCCTTCAGTCGTCCCCATGCTGGGTTACATCTATTTCCCGCCTCATGGCTCTGTACCAGCTATCAAAGGTGACGAAATGAAGGGCGGTTTATCCGTTGGTATGGTCATTGGTCAACTGGGCTTTGGACTCTTTGGAGATGCTCTTGGCCGTCACAAGGTTTACGGGAAGGAGCTCCTGTTCACCATTGTCGGAACGCTGCTCGTCGTATTAGTGCCCTGGAAAGGAATCTCACAGGAGGGCGTGGTAGCTTGGATCACCTGCTTTAGAGTGTTGACAGGGTTTGGCATTGGTGGAGGTGGGTCATGAGGCATGACTCACAGAAACGCTTCACTCGACTCACGACTCTGTCCAGACTACCCCATGTCCTCCTCCCTCGCAGCAGAGAAGACGATCTTTGGAAGTCGAGCCAAGCTCATCCTCACTGTCTTTGCGTGTATAGGATGTGGAGGTATAAGCGCAAGTATCGTCAACACTATCCTACTCCGGGCCGGGAGACAGAGCATCGAAGAGAACATCGATCATCTCCAATGGGTGTGGCGGATCCTCCTTGGCGTCGGCATCGTACCCGCCTTATTGACCCTTTACGCGCGGTTGACTATGCGCGAGTCTGGACCATATGAGAAGTGTGAGTGTGAACATTTGCTCCAGCTGTAGAGCGGACTCGGGTCTGACAAACGCACAGATGTCGCCACGGAGACTGGACTTCGAGGTCCTAACAAGCGTGGTCTGAAGGAGCAGTTCGAAGACTTCCGAGTCTACTTTAGACAGCCCAAGCATGCTAGAGTGCTGTTCGCAGTCTCAGCCGTGTGGTTCCTGTTGTAAGTCCTCATTGCATCCGGTGCACGATCTCACTCACCTCTCTCACTTCAGCGACATCGCCTTCTACGGTGTCAACTACAACCAATCCATTATCCTCAAGCAGATCGGGTACGGCAAAGGCAAGACGCCATACGAAACTCTCTGGCACACCGCCATTGGCAACATTATTGTACAATCCGCGGGCTACCTCCCAGGGTTTTTCATCGGTATCTTCTTGCCGGATTGGATCGGACGACGAGCTCAGCAATTTTGGCTCTGTCTCGCTTCATCGCTCCTCTATGCCATTTGGGCCGGTGTCTCCACACGGAAGAAGACTCCCGTCGGAGGTCTCATGACATTGTTCACGCTCGCTCAACTGGTCTTGAATGCCGGTCCAAACTGTACTACCTTCCTGATCCCCGTCGAAGTCTTCCCCACTCGTGTAAGGGGTTCAGCACATGGAATCGCTGCTGCATCAGGCAAAGTCGGCGCTATCCTGACGGCTTTTGCTTTCGGAACTGTGGTCGATCATATTGGATTGCCAGGGACTTTGGGGCTCTTCGCTGGGATCATGGCTCTTGCGGCCGGCATCACCCTGATGATCCCAGAAACAAAGGGAACGACCATTGAAGACATCGAAAACGACAAGATCTTTGGCGGTTCTTCTGTATTCCAGGACGATTCGATCAATAGCACACCTGATAGCTTGATGAAGGGCACGAACCCCCCTGCAGAGACTATGCGGGACTTTGACGACAAGCGTATGTTGTAAGATTTGATTCGTAAGGGGTCGGGTATCATCAGGGCGCCGGTTAACCTGTGTAGATAGACATTTGAGTATGATGCAATGAATGTCAGTAAGCTCAACGCGACATGTCGCATCTTAGTCAAATGATAGTCGTGCTTCAGACTGTCACTGGCCTCGGGGACGCCACGCCGCATGCAGAAAACGAGCACTATGATCTACATAGCACCAGGAGACCTGCACGACGTTAAAAAAAAATATAAACTCGCAGTCATAATTCTCGTCGAAAGTGAACTGTCTGGTCCCCCTCCTGCGCCATGGTCACATTGTCCAAAAGAAAGGCGAGATCGAGCTCCGTGTTCAGCCCTCGTATCCACCTCCTCATATATATACAGCCACTCTCGTCGCGTTTTTTTGGTTCGGGGGAACCCCCGCAGAATTGTCCTATTCGTCGGGATGGCCTCCAGCTCCCACCACGATGAGCTGTCCATAAGCCGCGACGAGTCCACTGAATGCCTCCAAGTTATTGCTTGAAGCTTGGATTTGTCCGTCGTTCTCGCTCGAACCTGAGCCTGGGGCGGGTGACGCAGACGCCTGGATGACGAATTTGTTCGTAGTCGTTGGCGCGACAGAACTACTGCTCTGTTGACTGCTACTGGCGCTGCTACTACTGCTGCTAATACTGGCCACGCTGCTGGAGCTCGGTGCAACGGAAGAGGTTGAACTGCTGGACGGTGCGACTGAGCTGCTGCTCGATGGCGCTACCCAAGTTGAGGTACTGGAGCTAGCGGCGTTTTGCTGGTTCCACCATGGAGTCGTGGAAGTAGATGGCGCAACCCAAGTGCTAGTCGACCACCAATTGTTCGTAGAGGTGGGTGTTGGTGAGGGTGATGGGGATGGCGGAGGGGGCGATGGGGCTTCGCTGCTTGGCGCAGGGTTCGATGGCTGCGGCAGCGCTTGTCAGCCTTTCGCTTTTAGACTGTAAAGCGTTTGACTCACTCCAGAGTCACCGTCATACCACCAGGTGATGGAGAGGACACCGACTCCCAGATCCGCAAAGCGTTGGAAAAGCTGGAGGTAAAGTGTGAGCTCATTATGCTCGAGGGCGTTTTGCAGACTCACCCCTTGAGACATGTCCAGACCACCCCAATCACACGTTGGGCATTCATCTGCGGCGGGCCGTCAATACGACCGCTCAGGCGACGCCCATGGCCGCGTCTCACCCATGATCTGCACTCCGCCTACTGTAACTCCATTCGCCTGGACAGTGATGTACTTGAAGCATTGGGGTCCGGGATCTGAAAAGGGTGCTGTCAGTCGCAAGTCTTGCCACACCATTGGACACTCGGCTCACATCCTCCACCATATTGCGGGCTGTCTGTAGAAGGGTCAGCCGGAGCAATCAAGGGGATGGCTTGTCGGTATACTCACTTAGAGCGACTATTAGCTGATTACTTGTTGACCATTGTCCTGCACACCAACGTCAGGTTACCAGCTCAAGCGCCGACAGAACGCCCAGACTCACCACACGCTCCGAGACCTACGTCAAACCATGTTCCTCGTCCTGTGAAAGAGTCTCTCTTGTCCAATGTCTCGTTGTATGTGGCTCTTCCCTCAAAGATCTGAGGAGAAGACACCAGTCCATCTCGTTCTCCCTGATCCATATGTCGATGATGCCGTTTATGTGTGCGTGGGATGCTATGATGATTGCTATCTGCCAAGACCGAGGAGGCCAACAAGGTGGCCGCTCCGATCAGTCGAATGAGAGAAACCATCGTTGAATAGGATTGATACACCCAAGAGAGGTGCTGTTGGTGAGAGGAAGGAGATGCACAAGGGTTGAGGAGGTCGAACGGCGAATCACAGAGTCGAGTCTGTGAGTCTGTGCTTGCCTTGTCGACCTAAGCGTTCTAGACCGTCCAATAGATAGCTCCTTCTCCTTGACGATCCTGAACGTCACTGTGTATGACTTGGTCTATCTCTCCTTGCAAATGAATGTGAAGCCAATCTGTTGCCTGGCTTGAAGGTCGAAAGGGGTCCCAGGTAGAGTGGATGGGACGGAGAGGTTCAATTTGATCCAACTTGGGGGTTGAAGCGGTTCTTGTTGATTGGATCCGCTGGTGAAAGAGTAAGGGGGGGGGGGGGGGGGTTGAGTTGTTCGAAGGAGTGGATGGGCGATTTGTCGTTGCCGTTGACGACGATTGAGGCTCCACAGAGATCGAGTGGTTGAGGTCGAGAATGAAAGGAGGATGATACTTGGGGGTGGCTGTGAGGTGAAGGTAAAGGAGTGATGGGGAGAGATGGGCCCGAGCGAGCGATGACACGGGTCGAGGCCTCCGTTGATTGACTCGGTCTATTGTCCCGCTGCTGCTGCTGCTCTTGTTCTATGCCTGGTCCGTGAGAAAAAGGGGGGGGACGGGGGAGGAGAATAAAGACTAGCAGAACAGAATGTGTGGCCCTGTCTCTGCAACCCCCTTCTTGCTGTTGACGTTTGAGCTATCCTGCAGTAGAAGGAACTTCCCCTTCCCCCCAAGTGAGATCCATTACCCGCTGCATGAGCTATGTTCATTCCTTTACGACTATATGCTCCTGTGACCCGCCCCGTTGAGCTACTAGCTACGGTACTGCTCTCTCTCTCTCTCTCGCTGTGATCCAACTCATAGACCATATCACAAGGGACCAGATGGAAAACAAAAAAAAAAGTGAGGATAAAGGGTCAGATTCAAAACAAAACAAATAATGACGCCCCCCCTTTCAATTCATGCTTCTTTGTTTCAACAGAGTGGCTGGCTCATCGACGAGGAGGCGCTGGGTGGATCCAGTAGCGAGTAGTGATCGGGCGACGATGCCGGAGTATGGGCACCATTTGGAACGCTGGATAGAGAGGTGCCAGAAAGACAAATGGCTACATTCGACGACATCTGCTGCCTGCCTGTCATCACTGAAACCCCCTGATTCACGCTATGACACTGGCCCAGACGCGTCTGTTTCAAGGGGCGGGAGTCAATTGGCCTCTTTTTTTTTCCTTTTCTTCACGATAGCCGAAATGCTCTGTGTGTGTCTCTCTCTCTCTTCCTTTTGTTTCCGCCCGACACCAGTCAAGTCGAATTCCGTCCCTCACTGAGTGCAGAACTCTCAGACCGAGGTATGCGGATGGGAGCGCAACTATGCATTAGGGCTGAGCTCGCCAACGGATGTAGAGACATCCCAAAAAGGCCCGAAACTACCTGTGTAGAAACTCCGACTCACCGCACTGTTCCCGCCAAAACCAACTCAGTCAGACCGCCGTCTTACATTGATCATACACGGCGTGGGAGATGGATGAAATGGCCTCGTAAGCTCTGCGCCATTTCAAATTTGAGAGAGCCTCTTCACATGCAAATGGGTCCCGAAGACAATCTCTGACGACCTCCCAAAAAAAAAATGATTTGACCGGGCCAGAGAGGGTAGCTAATCCTCTGACTGGAAGGGGACTGGTGGCTCGCTATGACGGCATTAACGTCTCAGGACGTAGCTGGCCGGTGCCTGCTAGCCTCGCAAGGGGATCACACTCGACGAGAAATGTAGATTGAAATTGGCATTCCGGTCGGCCCCGAGGGAAAGGTCGTTCATTCTCTTTACACAGAAATGTAAAGGTAAAAACGGTTGTGCTACGCGGTCGAAGAGCGTGCAAGCTTCTGTTGGGTGATACAAGCCCAGGTCGAATTGTCTAGGGAGATAGACAGGGTTTACGATCGAACTTCAGAGGTGTATCTCAGAGGAAAAAGTCTGATCGCGCCAGATGTACTGGGTACACATCGAGCTGAGCGTCACTGAAGCCTGTTCCCAGCAATTGTTAAGGTATGAAAGTCCGTCTCGGGGCGAGGCGAGTCCTCTCACACCACACCAGATGCACACAGTCTCTAGTGACGCTTCCAGCCCCTGCTGCGCCCTTGCAGGCGGTGGATGGCTGCAGGTTTGCGCTATCCGCACCAGGTCTTTGAAGCCAGATAGCGCAAACCTGCAGCCATTGGCATCGTCCTGCAAGGGAGCAGTAGTCCCTCATATGTACGGATGGAGAGGACACGGAGACCATTGCGCTACGCGATCGCTGCGTCTGATGTATATCGCCTTGTATATGTGACGTTCAGAACGATCCGAGCGCTAAGAATGATTCACAGAACGGGGACATGATACAGTGGCGTGGCATAATTATCTCACAGATGGGCGTCGTGTGCGTTTCGTCACTCGACACAGAATAGCTCTTATCGTCCTTTCCCCGCTTACATGGCACCTCAAGGATCCACTGTCAATGCTGAGATGGTGTCGATGGCATGATCGAAAAGGCGATGATGACTACAGGGCGGTATCAAAAAAAAAAAAGGATTTGACCACGACAGGTTTCTGTATCATGGGACCGTCAATGGATTTTCGACGCCCATACGAAGATACGGTTGTACGTGTCTACAGCTGTATCGAAGACTCTGATAAAATTGCTGTTTGGCAACCAAATCAGAAGCCCAAGTGGAGCCTCAACAGGTCGGAGGCAGTCCCCCGATCGAGGATGACTTTTAATCGCCTCTCGAAACTTGGAGGCTTCCGAGTATCGAAGGGCGTTATTCGAAAAGCCCACGGAATAAATATCCGGAGCTGTGATGGTTATGCTACGCGGCCGTTGGAGGGCGCAGCAGACCAACTACTTCATGAGCACGGTGGGGTGACCGTGGCGGAGTATGTTTCGCTGATCCATCCCCCCTCTCCCAGAGAGAAAAAGTTGACCGCGCCCAGCTTTGGGTCCGCCAGGTCGTGTCGGCTGCACAGCTGCGCGTCCGCATCGTGATAACCTAGAAACATTTCCATGGCGGTGTTGAGAGGTTTCGCTTCTTCCTCAACGTAGCTGAATGAAAACGACACTCGCCAAAACATGTTTACTGTTTTGGAGTACCACATTTCATTGTTGGGGGGCCGGCCCCTAGCCTTTAGCTACAGTGGCTAAAATCCAGAACCATCTCCCTGGAACGATACCTCTCCGTGGCGGGTTGGCACCGGATTTTGGATCGTGAACACTATTTGGCATTTCTCTGGTACTTTTGACCGAGTTCTGCATTTTGGATTTTCCTATCCTTTGTCAATGTCGGATGGAATAATCGCCGAAACCGTTACGCTACGCGGCCGTGATGGTGTCTCCAGCATTTCCGTCACCAAGTACGACAGAGGTCCAAGCGCAACGTGGCGGTAGAGCCAATCGCATCGCAGTGACAGATGGGGATGACAGTGTTGCATCTCCCGGGCCCACCCAGAGAAAAAGAAAGCTACGAGCGAATTTCAACCGACCGGAACCCTCTTGCCTACTGTCTTGATGACCTTGTCATCCGGCCCTTCCGCATCGTGAACTTTCATGTGCCGCTTCAATTGATCAGGCCGCGAGAATCGCTTATTGCAGTGTGGGAAGGCGCATGCAAAAGGTCGCTCGCCAGTATCTTAGCATGTGATGTCAGCAAATTGGAGCTCGTAGCTCAAATTTCAGAACCACTCACGCGTTCGGATGTGCTTGGTCAAATTGGATGCCTCGACGAAGCCTCTGAGACGGGTTGTCAATTTTTCGGCCCGGAAGGAGGTTGAGGGTTGACTCACTTGTGGCAATGGGGACAGATGAATGGCTTCTCCCCATTGTGAGTACGCTAAGCCGATATCAGTCATGTGCAAAGCAGGCAACACAACTCTACACTCACCATGTGAATCGTGAGCGAACTTGATATCGCAAATGTCTTGTCACATCCCGGATATTCGCACTTGAATGGTCCTATTTTAGGTCAGACCGCACACCGCTGCAAATTCATCAAGAATACGACTCACTCTCTTTCGCATGCCTCCGCATGTGAGCAGCAAGAGGCGCCGCTTCTCCAAAAGCTTGTCCACAGAGTTCACACTGGAACGGTCGATGTCCCGTATGGCTCTGTAGATGTCGCAAGACCTTCTGTCTGGACCTAAACATCCGATTACATCCATCCCATTCACAGAGGTACTGATCCTTTCCTTTACCGACATGCAAGTCCGATAAATGGTTCATCAATTTAGCGGTCGACGTGAATGTGTGAAGAAGAGTACATCCAGGCCATAAACACATCTGAGGACCTGACTCAATCTTGGGAAAGAGAGACATATTGACATGGCGCTGAGATTTGTCCCCGTCAGCGGGTGGAGATGGGGTATGATGCGTCGTTGAAGGCGTAGGCAAGTGATGAGAGTGAGAATGAGGTTGACAGTCCGTCAAATGATGGTCGTGTGAGTGGTGCGAATGAAGAGCGCTTGGGTAATGCGAGCCGTGCTGATGATTCCACTGTGCGGGGTGAGCATGCCCATGCGTATGAGCGTGTGATTGCGCATGTGAGTGACCTTGATTCGGAGCAGGCGTGTGGCAATGCGAGTGTAGCTGACGATGACTCGTGGCTAGATTCTGTACCGAAGTCGAACCGAATAGACTGCCAAGTTGAACGTCCCGCTCGGACCCCCAGCCGATGATGGATCCAGGTACACCGAGATGTTCTTCCAAGACGTGTCGGAGCATTGTCTGAGGGCTCCAAGGCTGTTCGACATGGGCATGCGGTGTTGGTCCAGCTGAACCGAGCGTCGCTGTACTGACTTGACCAGGTGTCGAAAACGTTGACGAAGGTTGCGAGACGCTACTGAGCTGATGTGCGGCCATGTGAGAGGGGACAGATCCATGAGACACATTGGGGTGTGCAGGCATATGAGCGTGGGTTGGACAGGCTTCCGGTGCAGCAGCGGTACATTCTGACAGGGGGAAGCAGTCGTCCCAGAGGCACGATAACAGCTCTGTCGTTGGGTCTCCCGAGAAAGGGTTGGTAGATGGTTTCGGAAGACCGGAAGAGGGGGCGTCTATGTCACTCGGGCGGCGGGAGGTGCTGGGCAGAGCGAAAGGTCCGGATTCTGATGACACTGGGACAGCAGTAGTGACAGTAGACACAGCACCTATATCAACGCCAACGCCAGCGGAGAGCGATAGATTTGGCTTTTGACTAGTCTGGACGGACGAGGACGAGATTGGAGCCACGGCCAAGGCACTATTGGCGAAATCTGAGGCACCGAGATGGTCGCTCGCTACGTGCGACAAGAGATCCGGCATTGAGTCGAAAACGCGATGACAGTTCTGCCAATGACAGACATGGGTTGGAATGACCACAGCCGGTGAAGAACCAGAGACTGCCGGTTCTGGATTCACATTGGCAGGATTGACGAGAGGGATACTCGGTGGACCTGTTGTATTGTATTGCTGTGCCCATAGTGAGTTGTCGCCGTCCAACGGGATCGACCAAGGGGAGAGGTTAAGATTTGGCGGAACAGGTATGATGTTTTCATTATTTGACGGCAAGGTGGATAAGAGGTGATGGTGGACATTACCGTCGGAATGAGTGTGCGGGAACAGATTGGCGTTGCCGTTGGGTGGAGGAGAGAAGATTGGTAGAGTACAATCGATTTGAGAACAGCATTCCAGCTAGTCATGGTCAATTTTACACTGTCGCCCCGGATGACTCACGTATTGCTGAATGATCTTTGTACCCTCTTTCGAGCATGCCCATCGTTCCAACTCTTCCATACTGCAATCCTGACAGTGTCCCTCTTCTAAACATGTGATCCCCGCTCCGCAGCACTCTCCTTCGTCAGCCCCGACCCGACGTTGGCGTGTATGCACACAACCTTTCAAGGATCCATGAGGATCTTCCTGTCCATTCGGCGCCTTGTCTCCTCCACATTGAGGGTCCATACAGACGTCAATCGTGTCTGCACGGCATTTGGGATCTGAGCATGCGTCTGAACCATCGTCACTGTTGCATTCTCCAGCGCCTTCACAGTGCGGATCCGTACATGGTGGTCCTACCTCATCTTCGCAGTGAGGATCCGAGCAAGGAACCAAATCTTCATCGCAGTGTGGATCGGAACACTGTCTGACTTCCTGCTGACAATGTGGGTCGTGACAATCAGCCTGAACAGCCTTAATCGAAGGATCAGAAGGCCTCGTCGCAGGTGGCGGTAGGGATATCTGCTTGAGCTGGATATCCAAGGAATGATTCCCCATGACATTATGAGCGGGTCGACTCCCCGAGCTGATGGACGTTTGGGGAGGTGAAGGATTGCTCAATCCAATCTGAGAGATGAGAGGACTCGAAAGTGTCGAGCTTGTCGGTGTGATACTTGTCGAGAAAGAGGAGGAGGATACATCGGCTCCATATCGACCTCGTCGACTTCCGACACCTATTGGACCATGGTTATGTGGGCAGTGCGGTGCGTGCGAGTGTGAGCCTGGCGCAGAGCCGAGCGAGACGGTGGAGGTAGAGGTGGATGCAGAGTGATCCTCATCACAGCAAATATAAGGGTGAGCCCATGGATCTTGGTGCGTCAGAGCTGGAAGGGGTTTCGCTCGCATGGCTGGAGGAGGCGATGGAGCTCGACTCGAGGACATGGCGGCGAGAAGATGTCCTCTTATGAACGAGGCGCTGGTTCACGTATGGAGTTGTCAAGAATCACCTGTCAGATGGCAATTGACTCGGCCTGCCGATAGAGCATCTGGCCAAGTACTGTGGAGGTATAGGTAGAAAAAGTTCCAGGCAGAAAATGTTGTATGACTGAGCGATCTTTCCGGATCTCCCTCCCGCTTTGCGTACCAATGGAGTTACTGAGTAGGATTTTGTCCGAAGCCTTCGATGTTCTCTCTGTGTCTATCGCTGCGCCTCCGCTCAATGCGCTGGCTATCGAAGGGTTTCGCCTTTCGACTTTTGCTTCCTCCGTCCAGATTCTCTCCAATTTTCGACCGCCTCGAGTGGGGGGCTTTCCAAAGATCCAGTCCTGTCCAATGAGGTGCGCCGGCGGCTTATGGTGCTGATGCTGCTGATACAATGCTTGATTTAGCCTGCATAGAGCTGGGAGGAAGGAGGTGGGGACATCAAGGAAAGACTAGCGAAATGTTCATTTACGTAAACAGATCTGACCGTTCGGGTCCTCGAATGGGCTAGGGTGGCGGATGCCTTAAACGATGAGATGAGCGTCTTTTGAGCCCTTTACCAAATGTATTGCGGCCTTTTCTATCCAAAGCATGGTGTCGGACAGTGTGGATAATGCTTCAAGCGCTTCATGGACGCAATCCAGCTGACAGAATGGATGCCTCTCAGACCTGCAGTCTGGGCCAAAAGCTAGACAGATCGGGCACACACACATCCCTTCTTTATTTACACGTCTCGGTCATATGCATGAGCTGCTAAGACAAAGCCACTGAGCTCCGAGCCGGATTCAACATGACAAACTTTTGTCTTATGCTTTCACACTGATAGCGACTCAGCATCATATTGCCCGCTCGTTTGAGCACTACTCACAAAGGCATGACTCCGCCCTTTCCGTCTGACTTGACGGGATAGTAATCTAGCATAGGGTCTTGGCGTTTCTTCTGCGATCGACGGCGGGGTTCAGGGTAATCGCTAGCTTGTCGCTTTTGCCTGTGAGTTTTGGAAGTGCAGTCAGTGAGACCATCTATACTGAAGGGTGCAGATGGATGTGCGCCACAGTAAGGATGCAATGTCGATTACTCATAGGACGGTACATGTGATGGTGGAAAGTATGTCCGCCGACAAGTCCGGAGACTGTTGGATTCTACTGGCTGACTCACTCTTCATGCGCGATCCTGTCGCGTTCGTAAAAGTGCTCGATGCCGCCTTTCCTGCGCGAATTTTTCAGTCTCAATTGCAGGACAGCGTACCACCTGATTCCGCTGCCTCACCCATCAGATCGAACAGCGACATTACTCCTGATCTCCCCGTGTTCATACGCCATCACCTGGACAGCCAATGCGATGAGAGAAATGAGGATAGAGCAGCGCATGACGAATTTGATGAAGCAGGGGATGCCGACTGTGGAGAGTGGTGAGTGAATTGGATTAGCTGTCAGACTGCCTTGCTACCGGAGCGAAGGATAGATGGATGCTCAGAGTCGGAACAGAAGATACGAGTGAGAGTCGCTGAAAGCGGCCTCTTATACATCTTTATTACGGTCAGAGGTTGGAGCCAAGGAGACAGAGAATGACTTATCAACGGCCGGTCGTCAATGGATACCGGGGTTCAGTTCAGGCAGCGTCGTCACGGATACACTGGCTCTATTCTCACTACGACAGGGCGAGGGACTGACCCTTGCATCCACTAGCCAGTATTCGACCGATATCCAAGAGGCGGGTCTACAGGATATATCATAAGCCGTCGTCGGACGGTAGTGACCGCCCTGAGGGGTTTCCAACGGGCAGGTAAAAGGTTTTTCGAGGGTTATCAAGCTAATTTAACCGCTATCAAAACAGCCGTGACGTCTCGAAAACCTCCTACAGGAATCTTATAATAATCCCCTGTCCAAGGCTGTGACGTACATTGGAAAGATGCCTGTTATTGTGGCCAACAGCTACCAGAGATTGCATTCCAATCTCCGAATGATCGAAGATGTCATCGTCATATCAGCATCATCGTTTTCAATTAAGCGAGGCGACAGTGGAGGGGGGCAAGTAACGCCACTATCACGCCACGCCCTTTTTTGATGTTTTTTGGGTGGATTACCAGATATGGGTATTTGTTCACCGCCACACCCTCAAATTTCTTTGGGCCCAGTGGTACACCTCCAAGCGGCAATTGGGAGCTTGGCAGGCAGGCAGGCAGGCAGGCAGGCAGGCAGCAGCTAATAAAGTGGTCATTGAACCGCTCACGCCTCTTACACCGACAGGCTCTGCTTCTGCCACCTCCCATCCCCTCCCCCCTTCCCCCAACGGACAAACTCTGTTTCTCGATATGGTACGTAGAGTTTAACCGTCCTGTCATGGATCCAGCGAATGACGGCGAGGCAAGGGGGGGGGGGGGTCATAGGCATCGATGAGGGCAGGAGAGACAGAGAGAGAGATCTGTTTTTTTTACTCCGAGTTTAATAATGATATGCTATTCAATTGGTGGAATCTCCTCCCTCCCTCCCTCTTGTATATCTTCTGCCCCCCCTACCCCCCCTCCCCCACGATCCTAATCTGCCGAGCGGCGGGCAGTGCAATTTTCGCTGATCCCCCAATCGTCATCCATCCCTCCACCCAATTGACCCAAACCAACCCATCCATCCCTACTCGATCCTCCATTCCTCGAATTCACTCTCGAGAATCCATTCCATCCCCCCATCCTATTTCAAGACGGTCAGTCGGTGACCGCTCCTCCATCACATAAGCGGTCTCCCCGACGCGCGGCGGCATATCAGAGTAGCTATTTATATTTACTTTCTACCTCTTTTTTACTTTTTGGGCTCTCGGTCGCTGCTGCCGCCGCTGCTCCGTATTCCGCCATCCCCCCCCCCCCCTGGACAACCCTCGGCCTACACCTCGGACATGGACGAAGAGTGAATGAAGATCTCGCGAAGATCTCTATATTCGTTTGGCTTGTACTCCACACGATAATCGCTCTACTAAGACCAATCCATCGCCCCGTTCACCCAGCAGCCCGTGTCCCAGTGTGATCGACCCAATTGGCAAGCTGGAAAATCCATCAAAAAAGGGATCTCAGCCTTTAAATTCACTTGGCTACTCCTTCCCCTTCCCTCGGCCCTCTTTCTTTTATAAAAAAAGCTTTGACCTTTTCATACCCGAAAGACGCTTGACCTGAGCTTGCGAGTATATACATCACAGAGCAGCGACCTCTTCTTCTTGCTTTCAGTGTAGAGAGGCGACTGACCTTGTGAATCGCCTCTCGATCCTTGTGTTTCCTTCTCTCACTGCTTCACTGCGGATCCTTCTCCTTTGCCCTTTCTCCTCCCATGGTCTCGTGCTGCGCCAACTCAGATGGACTGCGAGACTTCGACGACTTATACTTGGCAGCAGCGGCAGCAACAACAACAACACTACTCAACGTCACAGGGGAGTAATCACTGTCTACCTACTCCACCCATCACGCCGACGGAGCATTCACCACCATCTCGAAAGCAGCAGCTACCGTCCCAGCTACTAGAGATAGACAGTGCTCTTGTGACGGGTCTCACCCCTCATTCCTTCATCTCCTTCCCTACTGGTTCTGGCTCCACGTCAAGACCTCTGACACCCGCACCGACCCCTTCACCACCTCCAGCCATACCACTTCCCCTCCCATTCCCATCCGACACCATGGCCTCGTTCTCACGCGATCCACCCAAGCGACCCCATAATAATCGGTGCAACTCTACACCGATGGCCGACAGTTTATCTACTGCACGACGAGGAAATCTCGCCCCCGTTTCCACCACCACCTCATCATCCTCTTCCAACAACAACCCACCTTACTTGCAGAATGTGCCTCCCCCCAGATCTCCATCGGGACTCATGCCGCGTATCATAGACTCTGCAGACGCCTCCACCTCTTACCCTCGACGACGAGTATCGCTCTCCATCAACGGCTCACCCAATACCATCCTCCCTCCTCCAGTGATTGGATCCACTCATCCATATCCTCAACCTCATTCCGCGTCACTTCAGCACAATCATGCCAGACATCACCCACGAAGAAGGGCACGGACCATGTCCTTCCCCGTCCGTACCTCCAAACACGTCCCTTGTCCCAGACCACTCTATAGATCCCGTCGGACCATACTCCTCATCGTCATCCTCATCTCCCTCTTCCTCGTCGGGACAGTCATCGTCTTGTCTTCGGTATCTTACTACCTCGCCATTCCAGCTTGGGCATTCTTGTCGGAGGATGAAGTGCCTTGGTCCACCCTGGACGCCATCAAGTCTCTCCGATATTCACCAATGGGTACAGCGCGACAGCACAAGCGTGAAGCGGCCCCTGAGGCGGCCAACGATCAGCAAAGGGGACTGGACGACGATTTCGATTGGTTCGTCTCCGATGCCAATGAAGAAGACTCCGATCGTTGGGACGTAGACGGAGCTGGATCTGGCGGTTACTGGATGGAGAAGGAATGGGACGGCCGGGTCAGAGGAGCTAACGATTGGACAAAGCTGTATAATGTCACGGCCAGGTGAGTATCTTTTGGGTCAAGTCGACTTCAATCCTGACCCTCTATGCAGACCTGGGGAGAGAATACCTCGGATCATCCATCAGACTTGGAAGGACGACATGCTACCGGTGAAATGGCGCAAAGCGTTCAAAGAGTGTCGAGAAGGCATGCCAGATTACGAGCACATGTTGTGGACAGACGAAGTGTCTCGAGAATTCATCAAGGCCAACTACCCCGCCCACTTGCACATGTACGATTCATACAAGTATCCCATCCAACGCGCCGACTCCATCCGATACTTTGTCCTGCACCATTTTGGCGGGGTCTACATGGATCTCGACATTGGATGTCGGAGACGCCTAGACCCACTCCTGCAAGGCGATTGGGAGGTCATCTTGCCGGTGACCAAACCTGTTGGCGTTTCAAATGACTTGATCTTGTCGTCCAAAGGATCCGCTTTCATTGATGACACCATTCACGCGTTGCCCGCTTGGAATCATGAATGGGTCAGCAATTATCCAACGGTCATGTTTTCAACTGGGTGAGTGGGCATGCGGTCTCCTGGAAAGCAGACCATGCTGATGCTCTCTTTCTAGCCCCATGTTCCTCTCAGCTCAATTCTCCATCTACACCTCTGCCCATCCGATCACCTCTTCCCACCCACGCAGCGAGGTCCGAATCTTGCCCAAGAGCCTGTACGGCAAGAATGCCCCTGTGGAAACAGTCCCTCATTCCTTCTTTGCCCACTTCTATGGCTCTTCTTGGCACTCGGACGATGCCGGATTCATCTCCTTCCTCGGCAAATGGGGTAAAGGTCTGATGGTCGTTGGGAGTATTGTCGTCGTCGTAGGCGTTCTGCGTCTCGTCTCACAAAAATTCATGCGAACTGCCGACCCAAGATTCCAGCTCTTGTCTGTTTTGCCCACCTCATCCTCCATCATCTCGAGCAAGCAGTACTCTCATTCTGGTAACGGCGTCGAAGAATCCGCTTCGATCTCGTCTGCTGTGGAGGCTATCAGCTCTCAACATTTGCCGCAGGATATCGCTTCCACTCTGAAACGCGCAGGAAACCTCATTCTTGCGGCTCCAGCGACACTGTTATCTGGCGACAGGCGAAGTCGACGAAAGACAGGTTTGCTCTACTTTGTCCCTGCCCTTTTCCAACCTGGACCAGTCACATCCTCCAGACGGGGTCGAACTTCGTCTGAATCCTCTCAGCTCCCTCTCCGCCGATCTCGTAAAGAGAGGGAACGAGATCGCGACAGGATGAACCCGCCGCCTCCACCATACGACCCTTTGGACAATGGTAGCACCCCTCAAGCAGCATCTCATATGATCCACGACGAACCTGATTCCATGGAGGAAGATGATCTGTCACCATCCATGGCTCGATCACTGACTTTCCCCGCACGTGGAAACTATTCTTCGAGCTTTTTGAGAGATATCGAGAGTGGGTCGTCGTCCGCTACGGACGATGGGGACGATGGAGAGCAGTCATCTTCACCGACGGCAGAGGCAGATTGGTCGGAATGGGCCTCGAGCAATGAGAAGAGTCGACCATTGAGGTGACCAGAGTGGGTCCTCGCAGCCAATGACACATCGGAGAAACGAATGGATACTAGCGAGAGACGCAGCTCAAAATCGAGAGGAATCACAGGCGGATTTTCCAAATCCAGTCCTCGACCCAGACACGACCCTAAATGGCTTTCTTTCTTGTACGACCGGGGCTTCACTGGTCACTTCAATACACACTTAATCAGATAGATATAGGGTCAATAGGGAGGTTTTAGAACCAATAGTCTCCGTAACACGTTGTTCTTATCCGATATATATGGGTATCGGTACGAGTAGTCGATACGGTGGCAAATAGCGAATGCATGATGCTATGCCGAGTAACAAAAAATGCACCGAGTCTGCAGAGAGAGACCCACCCAGTCATTCCTCCTCCACTTTGATCCCAAAAAAATCAAAATATGGCAAAGGTTTACCAAAATTTCAATCATCTCCTCAACTTGACAATCTTCATCCACCATGGGCAAGTCTCAGACGAAGAAGAAGACTCGAGAGAGTCGACATAACCCCATGCGTGTCCCTGATGCCCATCTGGGGAGCGGGAAGAGCCAGATGGGAGTCGATCAAAGTAAAGAAAAGCAAATGTTGCCTATTCTTCGAAAGGTGAGTTGAGTTTTGGCTGCATCACACAAGTAGCAGGCAGGGTCTTGGAACGAAACTGAATTGACATGACTCTAGCTATCGTCGGCCGAATATGCAGATAGGACATGGGCTTGTGCTGCCATCTCCAACCTCATTCAGAATGACGCTGCGACTCGACGATTGTTCCAAGGGAACAATGTTGTAGGCGCTTTGATTGAACGATTGACAGATGGAGTGGATGAAGTGATCGTCGAGGCCTCCGGGGCTCTCAGGTGGGTGTTCTTGTATTGAGAGCTGTCCTTCTAGTTCCATTGGCTGAACCTCATGTTAGAAATCTTGCAATCGACGGAGGACATGAGCTCTGCGCTGAAATGTTCAATAAGGGTATCATGTCGCATCTCTCTGTGCTCATCTCCAAAGTGAGTCATCGTTGGAAGACACAACTCAGCCTTTGCACGTAACTCATACGACACACTGCAGTGCACGAACACGATCAACACCATCCTCACCTCCCCCGCACCCGCTACAAACCTCTCAGAGACCGATTATCAAGCTCGCAAACACCTGCTGGCGCTTTCTGAAAACGTCTTGTATCTCGTTTGGAGTCTCGCCGAAGCGAATCACAAGACATTAGCAGCGATCAACGGTGCAAATGTTGAAGAGCTCTTGTTTCTAGCGTTGAAAGGAAGACAGGTCTTGGGCACTGGCGTGGCTCTCGCTGCGGGTGAGCTGGGGATTTCGGGACCACTCTGGACCGTTCTCATGTACAGCTTGCTGACGGTACATTTTTGCCCTCCTCAAGCCCAAGCGACCTATTCATTGAGTCAGGAGAACCCCGAATTTCAACGTAAAGTTGTCCGAAACTCAGCTGCCATTCAAACGCTAGTGGAAATCGTCTCGGCCCCTCACGATCAGAATACCAAGTCGCAGCGGAAAGGTAAAGGCAAAGCGAGCGAAGCGACGAGAGAGGCAGAAGATGGAAAGGCCTTATTGCTCAGAGTCCTCATTGCCGGTCAGTCGGCTCCTGTGTCTTCATGGAGAATGGAAATTGACAAGGTCACCGATCAGGTTCATTGCGTAACATTGTTGGACCGTCTTCCGATCCTGCTCTGAAGGAAGACCTCAAAACGTTGACCAACGAGACAATTTTACCTCTGGTCAATGGTCTGCTCGACATCGACCTGGAGAATGTCGTTCGACAGGTCATGCAGCTTGCTTCGGACGTGGTGGGTTTGCGTCTGACTCCACTTATGGGATCGCTCCGGCTGATCGCAAATTGTACATAGGCATCAGGAGACCCAACGGTCAAAACTACGAATGGTGCTTCAACTGATCATCGATCCCCCTCTGAGATTACTCTGGAAGCGATAGAAAGGTCGCTCATGACTGTTGTGGTGGGATTGGAAATCCTCACAGCGATATGTGCGGGGGTGGAGGATGTAGACGAGAGCGAGGTTGAAGAAGCAAATGGCGCATCGGCGGGCAGTGAGGATGAGGGCGATGATGGTGAGTTTCGGAAGGGAGCTACCGGACATCCATTTTTGCACAGCTGATCCTTCCGATTCCAGACGAGGAGATGGAAGATGGTGGCGAGAACGACGGCAACGACGAAGATGACCTCTTCGACAAGTCTCGAGATATCACCATGAATGGAAGCGGTCCCCCCAGCACCAGTATCTCCACATCAGTCACTCTCTCTCACCTCATCTCAACCTTGAAACTGCCACAACGCCTCACGATGCTCTCCACTCTTACACAGCTCAGTCTCCCTCCATCCACCGCCCAACCATCTCCTCATCCCCCGACAACGTCTGCTCTCTCCGTCTTGCATCTCAGGGCTCTCGAAGCGCTCAACAATCTCCTCCTTACGTCGGTAGCTGCTATCTCTGCGGGTCAAGGCTCTTCATCCCAGCTCGCAACGATTGTGCCACTGGCGAAGATCTGGGCGTCAATCTTCCGCAACGTCGACTTGATCAAGAGTGAACCAGAGAGTCTGGGTCGCAAAGGCCAAGAGATGAGATTGGAGATCTTGGAAATGTGTATTGGGTGCCTGTGGGGAACGGCAAGTTTATCACCGGATGCACTGGTGAGTGGACAGGCAAACTCGATTCGGAGGCGTGCTGCTGAGCGCTGTGTGACAGAATGTCTCGCCTGGACAAGAGTCAACGCTTGTGGATGCTGTGTCCGTCCTTCGGTCGGAATCCGCCAGAACCCGAGCTATTGAGATACTGGCGAGCCTAGCGTCAAGACCATCTGTCTCAATCGAGGAGAACAAGGTGAGCTGTCTTCGTGACCGCCTGTTATCATTGAGGTCCCCAGCTCACGCCAATCACAGAGCATTGGGAACTGGCTCGTTGGGCTCTTGGACACTGACCTGGATCCTGAAATGCTCGTCGCTGTCCTGAATGCCATCATTGACATCTACGCGGACGAACAGAGGGAATACGATGCGCCGATCTTTGTAGCACAGGACTATCTCAGCATCTTGGCAGGCGCAATGGGTACAGTCAGATCCAAGGTGAGATTTCCCCTCAAACTGCTGCGATTGCGATCGGAGCTCATGCCTATTCCAGGTCAAGTCTATCGATCGGAGGAAACAGCTCCGGCTGCGAGCTAGAGCCGAAGAAGCTTCGGATAACTTGGCGGCATTTGTAAAGTATCGCAAGACGTTGACCAGGTGACGTTTGAGACATCATCTTGTTATCTTGAGAGTGCCCATGCAATAAGTCTATCGTCCACTGGGCTAATCTACTTCTTCTTGGCACCCTTTTTCTTCGTCTTTCTACTCTTTTCCTCTCCTCCTCCCGTTGCCACACCCGTTCCATCCATCCAACTGTCATCTTCCTCCTCCTGCTGGACGGGATGGCTTACATTTTCGGCCATTTGATCTGTCTTCTCCGCCTGGTCCTCTAAGATGCCCTGCTTGGCCCTCATGGCAGCTTCGGACGGCGCTTCGATGGTCTCATCCAATTTGGATTTTTGACTCTCATCTCCTGGCGCATCGGAAAATCCCCAGAAGAGTTTGAATTCGCCACGAGCAAGAGCGAACAGTAGCGGTCCGAGGACTGAATATGACTCATTTAGACAGAGGCTCAAGACGATATGTATATCACTTTTACTCACTGCACGCTGGACTGAGATACAGTAAAGCCGGTTGTGCTTTCCCGCTCCAATGGACGATAGACATGGTCCCCGCCATACCCAATATGTAACTGGTCATGGCGACGTACCAGTATGCTCTACCAAAGGCATCATGTCGGGTGATCTGGTGTGTTGGGTGAGATACCGTGTGCCGGTACATGTCGAATCGAAGGCATAGGGCGATGACTAGACCAGGGACGATAATGTCCCCTAAGCCTAACATGGCGAAATCTAAAGACGAACCGGATTTAGGGGCGAGAAGCTTGATAGGTGCATCGACGCCTCGTGCTACGTCGACCATGACGGGTGTGGCGAAGACCTACGAGGGGTATCGAGTTAGCCATGCAGTCCTCCTTCAAAGGACGAAAGGATCCTCAAGGCGGGAAAGCATCGTGGGCGGTGTGGTAGACCCTCATGGTACTTACCCAGAACACATCATAGACCAACAGTAATGCCAACAAGGAGAATGCAGTGAGGAACGAATCGAGTTTGAGCAGCGACAGAGTCGTAGTGGCCAGCGAGAGGGCCAGGATATTGGAGATCCAGAATGGACGACCGAGAGGAAGGTACAGTGATGGGAGAGCGATGGCCAAGGGGATTAGGAGAACTGTAGGTAGGGTGACTGCGGTATGGGCAAGTTCTATATGGAATGGTTCAGCACGTCTCTCTAGCCACGAGAGTCAAACTCAGGTTGACTGACGCTTCAGGTTGGTGGAGATGCGGATATGGTATACAGATGGTTTGGACCCAAGTTTTCTCAGTATAAAGTTGACGAGCGTCGAGCTGGTCTAAGGACATGTCTCAACATTTTGTGCGTCGAGATCCGGGTGTGATCGAGCTTACTGAATGTAATGCGAAGACCGAGAATACAGAGACTGAGGGACGAGCTACGGTCAGTGCTTTTGCTGGTAACCGTTGAATGTGACCCACAATATACGCCTAAACAAAAACTGACCCATTCCTTCCCGACATACTTTATCAACAGCCACAGACTTAACAGAGCGACGGATCCTAATATAGGGACAGCCAGTGAGTCTGTCCAGCTGAGGGTCTCGGAGAGATCTTCATCGCTGTCGTTGTCGTCCTCGTCATCATTCTCCGAGAGCTCAGGGGCGGCATGTCGAGCAGCTCTGCGCTTTGCTTTTGTACTGGCGGGAGTCTGAACGGTCTCAAGTCAATGATCGCGATTTATGGGCACGAAGCCACCCCCAGCTCAAACCGCCTGTCGAGGAAAAGACGTCAACCCAGACTCGACTCACTTGCAAGGACTTGAACGAGCCTACGACCAGTGGGAATAGAGCTTGAAATCCAAGCTGAAAGTATGCTGACAACATGCCGTAGTCCATGACTGCGGCTGAGGTGAATATGGTTCAAGTCGACCTCGCAGACTCTTCCGACTACGTGTCGAGTTTTGTGTTCAAAGCAGAGAGACTCAATGGCCAGCTAGAAGGTCATAGATATTTCGTTCAGAACGCGTGGCACGGTGAGGGTTTCCGAGATCTTGGGTGCGTGTGAGAGAAAGGGGGGCGTGTGGCAGCGTGGCAGTTCGTTTTGAGAGGATTCTGTCGTAAGGATGAATCAGCACTCATCGATGCCAAATGATGTGCAGCATGGCATATGCGACCATTCCCACTGTCTGTACGAGCCGAGTCCATAGAGCGTTCGTGACACCTGGTTCGAGACTGCCGAACCGCTGTCAAACGTCCCCGTTGCCAAGAGAAAGTTTCAAACTCCCCATCGTCGTCGTTCGCTTACGCCTGCTGGGTTGTGAGGGTTGAAAGTTGGATCAAAACAGCTTGTTTGACAACGAGAGATGTATCATGTATGACGTGCTAAGGCTACATCATGATTCAAAGTAGAAACGAGGGTTTCAACCACGTCGGTCCTTTACTCTGTTGGATCCTTTGGGCTAGTGGGTCCTGTCTCGTTCAAATACATACCATGTCGTACAATGTAGGCGTGATCACCCTCATTATCTTCTTTCATTCCGAATTAACATACGGAATGATTCGCTCTAGAACTAAAAGCCTCCGAAGCACGTATACACACACACAGAGTTGGGGTTGAGAATGTCGCCTTTTGTCCCTTACGGCTGTCTCTCTCGGCCGGAGGAAGGTGATTGGGACAACTCTTTGTCATCCCTTTGAACTGTGACCTGACCTGACATAAAGTGAAGATGGGGTGATGATGGGTGACTAGACTGGACGTCAGGGTGGCGAGCGATGCTTACCATTTGGAAGCAACGCATGGGTCTGTATACAAGCAGTTAGGCGGATCACATTAGCGACCTTTCTTCCTCTTCTTCTTCTTCTTCCTCTTCCTTTTCCCGCCCGGGTGTCCCCCTTGTCAACTCCTTTGTCAAGCTTTCGGCGCCTCGCCTTTGGTTCGTTCAAAGCTACAGGGGAAGCGAGAAGCGCCGAGAAGCAGCATCCTGGAAGGAGACCGAAAAATTTCGAAGAGGGCACGCGTTCAAGGGAGCGAGCAACCTATCCATCGAGTCATCAGGATTTGTATCGGTCCATGGCACTGTACAGTACGGAACAAGGATATCCCTCACATCCGCTCGACGACTATCGACTAACTGCATATCTGTATCGTTCTTCGAAACTGTATTTAGGAAACCATCTCATCACGGTGGCATTCCTCCCATTCGAACGACATGCCGTGGCAGGCGCTGATCCCCTGTCTGCCATGTTTCTTCAGAGGACAATCGGAAGAGGTAGAGGTAGAGGACGAGAATGTAAGTCTGTGGATCGATTGTAAGAACAAGGCATTGACAGACCTTTGACCTGTAGGCAGAGCGTCGACCCCTGTTCCCACCTCCCAACACTGTCCTCTCACCACCTCGTCGTCGACCCACACTACCACCTCTTCAACCTGATTCTCTACCCAGTGCATCCGATACAGCGCTCGTATCGTCTACTCGTACTACCACACCTGCACGGCTCAGTGCAGTTGGAAGAGGTTGGTCTAGTCCCGGCTTGAGCTCAAAAAGTAGAGAAAGATTAGGAAGTATATCAAGAGCTTATCAGGGGTATGTATCGGAGTTTCTTCCAAACGCCTGGGCTGACTTGACCTAGCCGAATGCACCGGTTGACTCAACATAGTCAACCCACTACACCTAGCGCTGAACAGTCCCTCTATCATCCCCGAGCTCCATCTACAGCCTCCTCTGCACTATCCGCTGCTCTGTCGCCTAGGCGTCAAAACCATTCTTTCCGCCACACGACACCTTCATCTCCCGCTGGACCCAGCATGCCGGGTGATGATGACTCTCGAGGATATATCGGCAACGTGAACAGCCTTGCATCGCCACGACTCCCTCAAGCTGACCATCACCTCCTCGGTCGGAGCGTTTCGGAACCTCGAAGTCTGAGCCACATGGCTCAAGACGACCCTTCACAAGCTCTCTTCGCTCATCATCAGTTGCCGGGCACTGGAGGTGGTACGGGGTTCGTCGCCAGAGGTCGTCCGCGGAGCGCCACGACGGTCGACAGGCTATCTCCGTTACCTAGGACCAAGCACTACGAACAGGTCATTACGACAGACGAAGAGGATGTGGCTGAGAATCAATCCTCGACCACGGAGGCGCATCAAAGCCGAGCTGGATATCATCAAAGCAGTTGGAGTCTGTACGTCGGCCGTCATCGTCAGGCAGATGCTCAATCCCTGGAACGCAGTGCAAGCTTACCGAGCGAGATTGATCGCATGCTTCAAGAGGATGGAGATATCGTTGATCGACCTACCAGGCAAGATGAGAGGGATCGTGAAGTTGTCAGAATGAACCTTGGCCTGGAAGGTCTGGGGACAGCGGCGGCCACATCGAGTCGACGGGCGAAGAGGCGTGAACACGTCAAAGGACGAAAGGGGAGATAAACCTGACAAGGAATTATACATCATTGGCCTGCTGGCTACTATACCAGGACCTGTCCCTCATCATGTCGATATATCACGATCCTCTGATACAATCAGTAACGACCCATCATGAATGCACATTCGTATGTGTTGATAGAGACGAGGATGCTGTCTCTGTGCCGTATTCATACACCGATGGGCGCCTATTCGTCGTCATCTGGGTACTGCGTTTCTGGCACCACACTCGGTCTCTTCCTTCTTGGTTGCTCATCCGATTCGACCGCCCAGCGGGCCTGGAGGAGAATTAAAACCGTCAGGAGCAATGCCGCGAGGGAAACATGGACTGACGCTGACCCTTCGAGGCTGTGTCTGAGTCTGGCTCTGTTCTTGACTTTGACTCTGGTTTTGACTCTGGCTCTGATCGTGGCTTTGACTCGCCATTCCCTCCTCATCTTCGAAATCTTCCTCTTCATTCATCTGCTCCTCGTCTTCATCACTCGCATCCTCTGCTACTCGTCGTCCTCCGCTCTTCCTCTTCCTTCCTCTGCTGCCATTGATGAATGTATCCTGAGCAACTGATACAGCAGCCTCGCCTATAGGTTTGACATCCTCGAGGGAGTTGCGACAGGCGGGACATGAACCTCGCGAGATCCGTTTAACGGCTTCGAAGCAGGCCAAATGCCAATGATTGTCGCCTTGGGACGAATCTGGTCAACGTTGCTGCCTGTCAATCTGACACGACACGTACATTCTTCATTATCGCATTTCCATCCCTGACTGTCAGATCCCTGAGACTGATGTCATACTCACTATCGTCAGAAGCTTGCTGCACCGCGCACATTTTCGCAGTAGATCCGCAAAATTGGAAGTGAGGTAGGGGTCCAGCTCGAGTAATCCTCTGACACCGAGACTGTATCTCCCACGTCTGAGGAATGTCAGCGGTTTCTGCGTCTCAGATCGAAGCGTGCGGCTACGCTGTCCCGGCTATCAATCCACTTACTTCGATTTCGCCAACCATCCCCTCGATACCATACTCTCCAACAGCGCCTCCGCTACTGTCTTTGCCATCTTTGTCTGTTGTTCGCCTGCGAGCTTAAGCGCACGAGTGGAGCCGATCGAGTTGGCAGGATATGATTCGACAATTTCCGCGAGCTGCGACACGATCAGATTCTGAAAGCCAATATATCAAACCGGGTGAAAAGCTGACCAGATCTCTCAGATACGCCAATTCGTTTGGTGTCAGGTCTGAGCCAGCCATCGCAACTTCATTGGCTTCTGTGTTGACCTGTACCATATCAGTGACGAGCTCAAAAGATGATGAAAGACGACGCAACCCACTAAAACCACCCATCCTCTTCCCTTTGCAGTTTGGTCCCTCTCCCTCTTAAGCAACATGCCATACTTTTCAAGCGTATTATTGAGATCACCGAGGAAACTCATGAAGCCATCCTTTGTAGGCTGATGAGTAGGCTCAAAATCCTCGTCACTAGCTGAAACTCCTGGTATCAGGACTGAACTCAGACAGTCATGGAATCGCCCGCCGATTCCCATAGGTCTGGGACTCACCGCGAACAGCTGTAATGGCTCGCTTGTATAGCTCCAGTCCCACTTCTTCCCTCAGAACACGTCTTGATAACATGGACTGGAGATAAGCTCGATGTAGATCGGTATTACGCGGCATGGTGGGGATCGACAGCTCGTGTCCGTTGCTATGTACGCTTCCACGGCAATGTGCAATGTCTGTTCAGACCTAATCGCGAACACGCGACGGAAGAAAGCTTTTACGTAATGCGTTTTCAATCTGTCCATTGAATTTTCAGCCGTAGTTCACCTCAGTTATGCAGAATTGGACCTTGTTTCGGTAGTGTCATCGTCTTCAAGATGGCGGTTGCAGAAACCGTCCAGAAGCGTCTACACGTCGCTGGATTGATCCCCTCGATCACTCCAGAACATCTGAAAGATAGATTCAAGAGCTTTGGTACCGTGAATTCTGTCGAATGGCCCGGACCAGATGCTCTAGGTGAGTTGAATGAATGGGCTCTGTACGGAGACCTGGACTGACCGTGATGGAAAGGCCAACCTAGACGCTTCGCCTATGTCTCAATAGAGTCTACTCTCCCGCAACTGAAGAAGTGTGAGTCTTCAAATGCCTGGTGTCCCCTGACCTTGCTTAAGGTCTTAATATCATGTCTGGTTCTACATGGAGAGGAGCACAGTTGCGAATAGCAGAAGCCAAGCCAAATTGGGCAGAGAGGTGAGTGTGCCTCTCTGTTGAAGCCTTACGAGCTGCGCTCAATTCTGCTCAGGCTCGAGAAAGAACGCCGTCCGTCCCCTACGGACGTAGCGGATAGACTTCGCAAGAGACGTCGAAAGATTCTCAAGGTCGCTGTTGCACAGGGCATGGGCAAAGAGGCCCAGGATATGCGAGATGTCACATTGGAGAATTATTCGAAGCGCAAGGTGGGTCCTGAGCCGTGAGGCCAAAGACTTGTTCTGACCAACAATCTAGTTCTGGACCCTGACTTCCCAAGGGACACTCGTCCGCCCTCTTGCTCTCAGACCATCTCATCCTCTCCCTCCGCCTAGTAAAGATCATTCTCAGTCATCGTCATCGAGTTCTTCCTCTCGTCGTCCGCCGACCCGATCGAGGCGGAGAGTCATCAATCCTACAGCCTGGAACAACGCCTCCTATGAGGCATTCGACTCGCTCGATTTGGCGCCTGCTGATCCGCCAGAAGTGGATAGCTGGATTTTTGAATCCGAGGACGATCTGCAGATGGACGAATATGGATATTCAGTGATCGGTCATTGGAGGCGTGCTTCAGGGAGTGCTGCAACAGCAGAGGAGGAGGTCAAGGTCAGGATGGCACCTCAAGGGATACTGGATGGGGATTTGGAATATCTAGACGACGACCAGGATTTGGAGTCGACTTCGGACCTCTTTGATCGGAAGGAACGGGTGGATATCGATGGGAGAGACGATAGTCCACTATTTGCAGGCCGGCCGCTTCGATCCGCCTCGCCTCAATACGCTCTAGAGGAAGTATCAGAAAGGGAGCAAGAGGGAGAACCACCTGAACAGCCTATGAAGGGGGAGATTTCACCTCGTTCACCTATACACTCGCCTGTCCCACCAGTGCCAGCTCCTCCAGCCTCAACTGTTCCTTCATCGGGTCTTGCTGTTGCATCTCCAATGGGTCTGCCCACCGAAATCCGAGCCAAGATTCGACAGGAGAGATCGAGAGATCTAAGTATTCTAGATTCGATCCTCGGGTCGACCAGAAGCGCAAAACCTGATCCAGCAGGCAAATTATGGTTCGAAGAAAGTGATAGCGATACCGAAGAACGACAGGTCCTGCGATTGAGAGGTGGCGCTGCGGAAGATTCTGAGAGTGAGGAGGAAGAATCATCAGAGGTCTCGGACGATACCGATGACAGCGACGATGGCGAGGATGAGGGCAGTGATTCTGAAGAATCAACCGACTCCGAAGCGACCTCCAGAAGCGACGATTCTTCTCCTGATGGCGAGACAGACGCGCCAAAGGGTATCTCGACCACCCTAGATCCGGAACCTGTCCCATTGAAACCTGCCTCAACCCTCAAGGATATGTTTGCTTCGACGTCTGGAGGAGGCTCGCTCCTTGCTCATCTAGGTGAAGATATCGAAATGGACGAAGCGTTCGATGTCCCATTGACCACCACTGGTCCTGTTACCACTGCTGACGCGACCGAAGATTCTCCCATGGAGATGTACGAACCAGCAGCCAGAGCAAAATTCATACCTGATCCATCTGAACCGCTGTTTTACCCCACGTTCGAACCACATCTTCAATCTCGGGTCAAAGATCTTTTCACCTCCGACCGCGAAGACCCCTCTTTCAAAGGCTTCTGGGCACAGGAGACTGACGCGGAGATGAGGGAGATTTGGGACCGAGACAAGCTGAACTTGACTAGGGAGTGGAAAAGAAGACATAGAGAGGCGAAGAAACATCGGAGAAGGAAGGGCGGTGGAGCAATGGACGATATGGAGTAATCGCTTGTGTCAAATTCAGTGGCATTAGTCAATGCATCATATTGTACAGCTCTCAATCACACAATACAAGATAACCAACCCTTTTACCCCCATCTTTGGATCCATCATGCCCATAACCTTAGAGACCGGTCCATTCGAGATCATGGTTGATGGTGAATTTGACTTGACCTTCCATGATCGAGGCGTCTTTGCCAACGCAAACAGTCCATTCTCCCTGCTCGGCACGCCAAGTCTGCCAGACTTCATCCCAGTGCGAGACGGCATCTGCGGTGATCACCGTCAGCAAGGGCACACGCATCATCACGATACCGCTATACTAGACTCACATTTGTCCAAAGTGACCTTGACGGTGGTCTCTGAACCGGCCTTGAGGTCATAGACCTTATCAAAGGCCTGAAGGGTCCACTGAGGATGTTTCAAGCTCGTAGCCGTCTCATCCGGTGGGCAGACGTAAAAGTGGACCGAATGACTCCCGCTGACCTTGCCAGTGTTCTTGACTTTGACACTGACTTCGACTTTCCAATCGTTCGCTTTGAGTCCGTCCTTGGGTGCCGAAGTGACCTTGAGGTCAGAGTACTCGAAGGTAGTGTATGATAATCCGTGTCCGAAAGCATACAGGGGTTCAATACCTCTGGCGTTGTGATGTTTGTATCCGACCCAAATACCTTCCTCATAGTTGACCTTTGTCCTTGCTGATTTGAAGTTTGTCATGGCTGCGACATCTTGTTCACGTTTAGGCAAGGAAAGTGGGAGTCGACCTGATGGGTTGACGTTCCCATAGACGATGTCGGCAATGGCATTGCCGCACTCATTTCCAAGGTACCACGCGTAAACGACCCCCTTGACGTCGTTGACCCAAGGCATTGATAAGGCACTTCCTCCTTGAAGTATGACGACCGTATTAGGGTTGGCAGCCGCCACGGCGGCGATGAGATCATTGGTTCGACCAGGGAGACTGAGATCAGGTCGGTCGTACCCCTCGGATTCCCAGTCGGCATTGAGACCGGCGACGATGATGGCGACATCACTTTGCACTGCGACGGCAGCAGCCTCCTTGATGAGGTGGTCGGGGTGCGCAACGGCTCGATGACCGACTCGAAGACCGACGTTGTTGAAAGGCGTGGCTACCGCTGTTCCGTCTGCCGACGCCGGCGCTCTGCTGTCGTGAAGGAATCGGACGCGGTATTTCTGCGCGAGAGACCAGGTCAGCTTGATATCGTCTGGCTCGCAGATCACTCACCTCGCCCTTCTTGACAGGGAAACTAGCCTTCTTCTCAACGGTTCCACATCCAAAGAATGCGGATCCTCGGACCTGATCCTTGGTGTCTTCCATCAATTGTTTGTCATTTACGTACACCCAGCCTTGACCAGTAACACACATGCCGACCTCCCATTCGCCATCAATGGGCGAGGTCAATAGGGCCTCGATCTCGGTGCAGTATTGCTTGCCAAGACCTGGATGGGAGAAATCACCCATAAACAGGTCAGAGATATCGTAAACTTCGTCGACAAGAGGCTTAGATTCCTGCTTTCCGGCCGAGTCAATGTTATAATGTCGGAGGTTGAATCCTGGTTTGCCATCCACCGTTGTGAACGGCTCGTCGATCAATGGCAAGAATTTTGAGGTGGAAGCACCGAGGGCGTACGATAGTTCGACTCCCTTGGGTTTGTTGGCTTCTAAACCTTCCCACGGGGTCTGAGACCAGGCACATCGCAAGGATGCAGATCCACCACCGGTGAAAACCTTGGCTTTGGCGTTGGGACCAATGACTGCGACTTTCTTGGTCTCGGCAGTGACGGGCAGAATATTGGAGTCGTTCTTGAGCAGAACGATACCTTCCGTTCCGAGCCTCCTGAGAATTTTGGCATCGGCCTTTTGAGATGATGTCCTGGTCTTTTCAGGACCGGGTTTGGCGTAGACGATATCGGAATTGGCCTTTGCCAATTTCTGAGCCCATGTCAGGATGTTTCCAGCGAGTTTGTCAATCTGTCTCGGGTCGACCTTGTGAGCAGTGATGGAGTGTTCGACCAAGCCGTTCGCACGCCAGATGGTGGGTCCGGGCATTTCCAAGTCCAGACCAGCGTTGATACTATCCGAGACGGAGTATGTGCCAAACCAATCACTCATGACCAGTCCTTCGTGTCCCCACTCCTTGCGCAAGATATCCTGGAGGAAGATCTTGTTCTCCGAGACGTGCTTTCCGTTGACCTTGTTGTAAGCAGTCATGTAGGCCCATGGTCTAGCTCGAGCTTGAGCGATTTGGAATGGTCGAAGATAGATTTCACGAAGAGCTCGCTCAGGAATGACCGAGTCAGATCCCATGCGCTCGTGCTCTTGGTCGTTTCCGACAAAGTGCTTGATGGTTGCACTGATATTTTGGCTTTGAAGTCCGTTGACATAAGCCGCGGCGAGGTGACCTGATAGTGTCGGGTCTTCGGAGAAGGACTCGAACGCTCTTCCGCCGAGAGGTGATCGCTGTATGTTGATGGTGGGAGCAAGAAGACAGACGGCGTTTCGAGCTTTGGCTTCGTCGGCCAAGAGCTTGCCAGCTTCTTCGACTGCGGACGTGGAGAACGTGGCTCCGATACAGGTAGCATTAGGCAGGCAAGAGGCGGGGGCTACATTGCATCAGCACAGGTCGAGTCACGCTGGCTCAAAGCCGACTCACTCATTTTGTAGAAAGACCCTCCACGGGCTCCATTGGGACCGTCAGTGACCTTGATGCTGAATGATACTTCAGCGACGAGCTCATGCTGCGCAGCAAGACAAGACGAGACGACTCACCTTGGAATGTTCAGTCGAGGTACAGGGACAGTCCTGGTGATGCCATCAGCCTCCTCATCCATCGACTGCTATTACCGCTCTCACTCACTCCCAAAAGTTCTTTCCAGCCAAGAGGGAGATCTTCTCCTCCCTGGTCATCTGCTTCAACAGCTCGGGGATCGAGGCTGAAAGGAAACTCTTGTCCATCTGGTCGTTGGTTTTGGGTGTAGACGGGGACATGGTGACTAGAGATAGATCAGGTATGTGAGGGGTGAAGGATGATCTTCCCAAGTAGTGGCTTGACAGTTCGAGGAAAGTTCCTTGGACAGGTCCAATTTAATAACATATACCACACGCTCTCTTCTTTGGATTCTTCTCATCTCCGCAACAATCGGCAACTATGCTCCGAAAGCAAAGCGACGAGACTTGAATTACCCCTTTGGGTAGTTTCGGTGAAATTACCGTGCGGGTTACCGTGTCCAACAGACCGATCGATTAGTCCGCAGATCCGTCCATGGTGGTCATTGTTGCTGAGGTCAGGTCAGTTCAGTGATGCATGGTCTGGTCAAGAGATCACAGTCAATGTCAAGTGGCATGAGGGAGGAGGTGATCCGCCTCAACGTATTGCTCGAGGCATATGTAGCTGTATTCCTCATCCATCATCCTCTGCTATTACCCCTTCTCCCCCCAAACTATCGTGTACGCGTTCTGCGCACTGATCGCTTCAGCTTACACTGACTTTGCTGGTATCCTATAATGCATTGCATGTCGACTCTGATCGCTCATCTTTACCAGCCGTTCCAACTCAATCCTTGACCACTCGCTGCCAGCTTGTCCCGCTGATCACAACTCAGGAATCAACCCGCAGATGTCTACATCCAAGCGAGGTCTCTCCAGAGACGAGAAAAAGGCAAAGAGTGAGTCGCATCTTTGAGGATGGAACACTGACTAGCCTCTCTCAGTGCTTGAGCTTTTTCACGAGAATGTGCGTCTGCGTACTTACTGATGGCGGACCACTGAGTCCGTCCTCTAGAGCGAGTTCTTCACGCTAAAGGAACTGGAGAAGATTGCACCCAGTGAGTCGAAGCCAGAATCCTGGCAACTGAGGAAGGGGCTGACATTCGAGCAGAGCAGAAAGGCATCGTTCAGCAGACTGTCAAGGAGATTCTGGAGGAGCTCGTATCTGACAACGAAGTGGTAGCTGAGAAAATGTGAGCTTGCATATGAATCAACTGTTACGCTGAGGGCAAACTTTAAGTGGGACAAGCAATTGCAAGTCGCGCCCTTCATCCCATCCACCCAATTGACAGAGCGCACTATATGTCCTGCTCACTGATACCCCTCACTTTCAGATTTCTGGTCCTTCCCCTCTGCAGCGGGAGCAACGGTGAATCTCAATATCCGTTCCAATCTCACTTTCCCATTTCCATACCTCCGTTCTTGCCCTCCTCAGTCTCCACCGTCGCCTTTCTCAGCCCAATCTGACCGAACTATAGAAACAAGCCGCCCTCGCCAAAGCTCAAAGAGAGCTTGAGGAAGTCACGAGCAAAATTGCAGAAGTCAATGCAGGGCTCAAGGCCGCAGAGAAAGATCGAGAAGATACAGTGAGGATCTTCCCCTATCTGCGCATAACTTCTCACTGACTGGTTATCAGCCAGAGCGTCGCAAGCTTCTTTCCACGCTCTCAGACCTACAAGCCGAGAACAAGACCCTCAAAGATGAATTAGCTGCGTTTGGAGCTGCTGATCCGGCAAGACACGAGAGGAAGATGCAAGCTGTGGAAGTGTGTAAAGAGGCCGCATTGAGGTGGACAGGTGAGCACTTCTCTGTAAGACTGAACTTGAACTTGGATCGAGTGCTGCGACGTGTCTAACATCGTGCATAGACAACACCATTGTCCTGCTTCAATATGCGGCTGGTCTTGGCGTTGAGCCGGACACTATCCGTCAGGAGCTTGGAATCAGTAAGCCGGTGCTAGATCTGGTATGGAGGTATGCTTCTGAAATCAGTATAGCCGAAGAGTGGGAAGACCTCCAAATTTGAAGCCATTCCAAGCCTGGAGCGCAATCATCGGATCCTCAATCGATAGTCTTTTCACCCTCAAGCATCGCTTCCGTTTCCCCTCTTCGCATAATCCACGATGCGAGTCTTGGTCAAGTAAAGTAAATCCCACCGCCATCACTCGCAACTCGGTCATAGCTCGCTCTCTCGCATCCGATATGTATACCTCAAGATCCGCAAGTCTCGTCAGTCACCTGTTACCCGGAGGCTCCGATACCTTACTGATTGATAAACAATGTTCATCAAAAGACATGCAACGCTTAGGCTGACATTTATCCTCTAATTGACTCCTCCTTTCTGCTGAATCTCAAGGTGCGATTGGTATGCAATGCGACATGACATTTAGGTTCTAGGGGTTTTGTTTCGCGGGTGTTATAGATCTCTCGCGCCGGACTTCTCTCTAGTCGTACAGCTCTCCAAGACACTCTAGATAAAACAAAAGGTTATCGATCAAAAGTACGAATGCTTGAACAGGGCAGAGATAGATTCTCTGAGCAGGTAGAGTCAGTGCTGGTAGCTCCTGAAAAACACTTTGACTGACCCGTTATGCGTACGCCTGATGGATTCTGCGATGACTGGGGAAATGTCGATGCTTTCGAGCATGGCTCCACATTCCTGTCTCCTATGCGTTTGGTCGATAGAGTTGGTGACCTATTCTCGATCAGCTTCTTCCCGCTAGGAAGTGGAGCACTGTCACCCACGACTAGCTTCTCGACAGGCAGATCTCTCAGGTTCTCCATGGTCGTTTCAGACAAGAGCCCTGTGAAAATAAGCACCGGGTCGATGGCCCTCAGCCGGCCTCTTAGGTCAACCCACCGTGCGAAATCAATGCGTAGACCTCTTTGGCTCCTGCCTCTCTAAGGACTTGCGCTGCCAATCTCACAGTGTGACCAGTATCGATCATATCATCAATCAGAATCGCCACTTTGCCCCTGACATCCCCGACCAGCAATTCCATCTTTTCGACACTTCTCGCTTCCTCGTCATCATCATGACTGCCTGAGTCTGAACCGGCCGGAGTGGGCGGCACAGTCGGCAGCGTAGCGGCCAAGAGGTCTCGTTTGCGTTTCCGGTTGATAAGGGCGAAGTCGAGATTGAGCTGATCTGCTAGGGCAGTGGCTCTGTGGTATAATCTTAAGCACGAGCTACTTGCGCTTGGTTCTCAACTCACCGTTTTGCTCCTCCTGCGTCTGGACTGACGATGATTCCATTCTTCCATCCTGGTATCTCTTGTTTTATATACGTCACCATGGATGGTTCGGACCAAAGATTATCGCAAGGGATGTCGAAAAATCCCTGGATCTGAGAGGCGTGGAGATCCATCGTGATGACGTGGTCTGCACCGGCGACAGCGAGCAGGTTGGCGACCAGCCTAGATGTTACAGGTAGTCAGTGCAGTTCTCAACGCAAGAGAGACTCGTAGACCCACTTGGCAGTGATGGGCGCTCTAGATTTGTCCTTCTTGTCTTGCCTGGAGTAAGGGAAACATGGAATGACAGCGGTGATTCTCTTGGCTGAAGCTGTCTTGCAGGCTGTCAAAGGGTCAGACAGGGCAGATCCAAACAGTCGACCCCATTCTCACCAGAAATCATGATCAAAAGTTCCATAAGATGGTCGTTGATGTCCGGGGGGCTAGGTGACTGGAGGATGAAGACGTCCTCGTCTCGTACCGAAGCATGTATCTGGACACTGGTCTCGAGAGACAAGAATTTGGAGACGTGACATGGCGTCAGGGCTATCCCGAGTCTGTCATGTAGAGGATTGGCAAAGGTTGGAGCATGGCAGTTGAGAGGGACGTGAAGGCAGCCAGGTCGTGTGAGATCATTGGACGAAGTGACAAGCAAAATGAGTAGAGCGAAGAAGGAGGTGCACATCAGCATGACTGTCCTGACAAACGTGCGTCCAATCCCAAAGGAAGGTGACCCGACAAAGATGGGATGGGAGAATGGGTTTAGGAGCTCTTGGCTCACCTCGAGGCCACAGCTTCCGCAAGTCGAGGGTGCGAGTTGCCTAGAATCAAGGTCAGTCTCCCGGTGGAAGAAGACCGATTCATGATTGGCCAGCACCAAACTCACCCGTCAACAACCTGATCGAGTTTCCAGTCTGATGAACCATGACGACCTAGTTTGCGTCCTCCGTGTTCGTCTCCAAAAAAAATCTTACTATTACAGAGCCTTCTCCACTCGCGCGAAGTCTCAGTCTTTGCGGATCAGAAATGGTCCTACTTAGGCTGAGCCGTTGGGATAGATGAGTCTGCCGTGTGTCGAGGTGAGAGTCTCCACCTTGAGGGTTATATTTCGTTCATTGGAGGTAGAAGATGAGTTCTGTGCCAAAGTCGAGTCCACACACTCAGGTTTGAAGGTGAGTGGACCCGGCCTCTGGGCTCCCCCGGACTTTCACGGAGACTAATCCGGATTAAGCCGATTAGGTTAAAGGGGATTAAGACAAATTACTAATGCGAGTCTGTGACGTGGGATTCCTTTTGCCCACCTCTCGATTTGATAAGCTCGATTGCACAAAATGTTCATCCAATATCCATTTTCCTTTGGATGGCTGCAACCTGTTCTTGACCGAGACACTGAGACTCATCACATCGGAGACACCTTCCGTGCGAAACAGCTCGCGGGACCTCTCCATACCTCACCATCTCACGCCAACGTTGTAAGGTTCGCTTAGCTGGCCATCATGCCCTATCCTCAGTATGCCTGTGAGTCGGAGACCGCTCGCGGATGCGTCATGAAGTCCTGCTCATCTATCATTCAGTCCGGGCTCAAAAGACACTGGGATTAAGCGCTGGTCCATCTTGGCAAGTCACTGATCAGATTCCGAGGTGAGTCTTCAGGTTCACAGTTTAGGAGAACAACACAGCTTACGCGTCGCTCAGTGGATCAGTTGGCATCAAGAGCTGTGTCTATTCTACAGATGGAGATTGGTTCGCGTACGCTACGCCTACAAAGTAGGTTGATCTTGAGCGTTATGAGGTCCATCTCAAGCTGACTCAAAACCTTCAGTGTCCAGCTCCTGCCGTCATCCTCTTCCTCCTCGGAGCCGGCGAGAGTCATTGAACACCCCAATGTCATGGCTCTTGCATTCTCTCCCCTCTCCACAACCCTCTTCACCTTTGAGCGTCCAATCAAATCTGATACAGAGGTGCACAAGAATGTCAAAGCGTGGGATGTCAAAACGGGCAACGAGGTTGGAGGATGGTACCAGAAGACATACGACGATTGGTCAGTTCCATCACCTATTCGTCGCCGGCGGGCTAAATCGTCAACAGGGAACCTCTAATCACCGCGGACGAGACCCATCTGATACGGCCCACAGCGTCCGACATTCTCATCTTCACTCCTCCATTGTCACCCCGCCCGACAACCCGGCTCAAGATTGACGGAAACATTAAAGGAGTCTTTCTCTCTTCACCTTCTGCCCTTCCGCCAGGTACGACCTCAGCCAAGCCTGTTCCTCCAGCATCCGAGCCCGCCATTGCCGTATGGCTGGGCGAACGGAAAGGAGCTCCAGCTAGTGTCGCGCTCTATACCATGTCAAGTCTCCTAGGGAACGCGAAGAAGGATAATGGCGATGAGGGAAAGACGGAGACTCGGGACATACCATTGACGACAGCTAGAAAAGCGTTTTACAAGGCCGACAAGCTCAGCGTGAAGTGGAATGCGGCGGGTACCATGGTAAGTCAGCAAGCAAATGCGGTGACATCACTGATGGAGCTCTTCAGGCCCTCTTTCTCACACATACCGATGTAGATCAATCCGGCAAATCCTACTACGGGGAGACAAATCTTTATCTTCTCAGCGTTGACGGTTCATTCGATAGTATGGTCGACCTAGGTGAGTCTACCTTGACGAGGGTCTCTGCGCTGACTTTCTCTAGACAAAGAGGGCCCGATCTACGATTTTGGCTGGAACCCGACTTCCAGAGAGTTTGCTGTTTGCTATGGATGTAAGCTGCGATTAGTATTACAAAGGTGATCGTAGCTGACCATTTCTCCAGATATGCCTGCCCGTGTGCAGCTCTACGATCTCAAAGCCAAGCCTCAGCATTCTTTCGGAGCCCAGCACCGCAACTTACTTCTGTACCAACCTCAGGGCAGACTGCTGATCACCGCCGGGTTCGGAAACCTGGCTGGAGGTGTAGACGTGTGGGACATCAGCACCCGAAACAAAGTTGCCGAATTTAAGTGAGCCGAACGAGAAACCAGACAGCTGCCCAAAATTGACACCAATGCAGAGCTGCCAATTCATCTCACTGTGAATGGTCCGCATGTGGTCGCTACATTTTGACTGCAACGCTCTCACCGCGCTTACGAGTCGACAATGGGGTCAAGATTTGGTGGTGCGGGGGACAGCTTCTCAACATTCACCTTCAGGACGAGCTTTATCAAGTCAGTTTCCAGCCTAGCAACCCGTCCGGTGTTCAGCCATTCCCGGCAGTCCTCCCGCCTGCCCCGGAGCCGAATGAGAGTGTAGCCTTACTGAGACCCAAGGGCGAGACATCAAACGGTGGTGAGAGGAGAGATTGCCCGCATCCGCAGAGATCCGCTGATCAACTCAGGCGACTCGAAACCAGCAGGAGCATATCGTCCGCCTGGCGCTAGGGGTACAGTCGCTAGTGATGCCTACAAGCGGGACGAGAACGGGACGTACGAACCTTTGACACCAATGTTCAAAGGTGGTAAACCATCGCAGCGCTATGTTCCCGGTGCGAACTCTATACCTGGTGCTCCCAACCCGTCTGGCGCCGGCGAAGAGAAGAAGAAGCGCGTTAGATCGAAGCGACCGATCAAGGACAAGGATGGAGAAGCGAACGGAGACAGAGAAAATGAGCCTCCAGTCGACGAAATGACGACGTTGAAGGTCCACGATAATGGAGTCGACGAGGCTGTCGCCAAGAAGCTCCGAAATCTGGCCAAAAAGGTGAATTCATCAAGTCCTCCACTATCACCAATTTGACTGAACATGTTCTAGCTCAAGGCCATAGAAGACCTCAAGGTCAAACAGAGTCAAGGTGAAGAGCTTGAAGTGACGCAGGTGAAGAAGATTGCGACAGAGCAACAGGTCAAGGACGAGATATTGTCTCTTGGCGGCACGGTGTAGACCTCAGGATGATTAGCATGGATAGCCAAGGGGAGCGTGACATCGACACCATTCCCTATTCTTGTCGAGACTTGTAAATGGCAACAATCATTACCGCATGAATTGCATGGCACACCAGAACTAGGCGAGTCAAATTCCCGGGCTACCAGGGGCTTCAATCGACTAGCGTATTCTCAGATGATGGCCTGGTATCTGAATGACCCCTCTGCGCTCGTTTCAGCGCCATCAAATTGAGACTCGCAGTCGACTCACCACTAATATTGTATATCCAAGAAACTAGTTACTTCTTCGCTGCCTTCTTGTCCGGCGGAGCTGTCCCATTCGCCTCAGCTGCCAACTTCGCGGCTTTCTCCTGAGGTTATCATCAGCTTCCACCAGCATACATAAGAGCGCAAGTCGGATGCTTGGATGCGACTCAAGATGTGATGACGGATGATGAAGCAAGACGTCCAACATACCTCAGCTCTGAAAGGGGAAATCAGCGATACACACCAATGGATCTGGAATGTGTATTCCGCTCACTTTTTCCTCATTGCCTCCATGTCTCTGTATCATGGATCAACTTGTTGAGCCACAGACACTGGTACCGCGACACCAGAGCCAACTCACGCTTCTTTCCGCTTGACGGGATCTCCAGACTTCTTGTTAGCTCCCGGTTGGCTTGAGGGTCAAGTGAGCTTTTTCCGAAGCGAAAGCTCTCGAGCTCACCTCTTCGCCAAATTCTTCGCTCGAGCTCGTTCCCTCTGATCTCCTCCTGTACGGAAATAAGCTGCTTGCGATGGACTCTCGGAGCAAGTGAAAGACTCGGAAGAGACGAGAGACATACGGGTCATTCTGGCTCAAAGGTGGAGCAGACCACGTCTTGACGGGTGCTGAAGATGTCAAATAGGTCCTCTTCGCCCTTCACTCTGCCTCCTCGCCTCGCTAGCTCGATCTTGCGTCTCGATACAGTGGCCAGAACTGACGAAATGGGTCAAAAGTCCAGAAAACAATCAATCGGTTTGCGCAACTTTTCGAAAGTGGCGGATTTTCCGCTAGGACCTCTGCTGCTGGATGTCATTCGCTTCTCCGTCGCAATTGACAGTCAAGAGAGTACTGGCTTCTCAGGTCGCAGAGGATTCAGTCGCTATACTTGGCCGTCTGTGATGCGGACGTGCTCCCTTTCAGCCGGAGGCCTGATGGTCACTATGTCAAGATTACCCTGACTTGGACCGCCCCGAATCCCCTCCCCCCCCCCCCCCCACCCCCCCCGGAGCATGCATTACGCATCTCGACTTTGACAGCATATGTCAGGAGCGTTGACTTAACCTGCTCGTGGAATCATGTGCATCGCCCAAGCAAGGATCAAGGGTCGTCCGAAATCGATAGGCCATTGAGACAAGCTCTGCTGATTCCGCGGGCCGCCGATAGCCGACACCCACTTCACTCGATTTTCGAAGACCTTGTTTCCGCACAGCCAGGAGAGATGCAGTCAGAGGCACCAAAACCAACTCAGGAGCAGCTGATAGAAGCACGACCTTATCTAGCATCCATTGATCGGACGATCAGGGATGGCTTCCCAAGATACGAGTTATCCTCCTTCTTCGCGATCCCAGGAGCACTCAAGGCGTTCTCGAACGATATTATAAGCTATTTCACAGGCGATATAGGAACATTAGACGGATGGGTCGGTTTGGATGCGTTGGGCTTCATAGTCGCTGGATCGCTGGCTGGAATCACAGGCAAGAGCATGATTCCAGCGAGGAAAGGAGGGAAATTGGCTTTGCCCCCAGACGAGATTTTGCGAACCGGACCTGTCAATGATTACCTCGACGCGTACGCGGAGAGAGCCGGCGCGACCAAGTCGGTGAAGACCCTCGAGTTCAGACGGGACCTCATCAAGCCCGGCGCCAGACTGATAGTAGTGTGAGTTCGGGTTCATTGAATAGATGGGATGGTCGTGAGAGCCTCTGTCTGACATTTGGAACCCAGGGACGAATGGATAGATATTGGAGGCCAGATGACATCTGTAGTCGACCTGTTAGAGTCGCATGGCGTCGTGATTGTAGGTATAGCAACACTGCATATCGATCTCGAACAAGAACGAACCCCAAAACTGTGGCGAGAGCGTAAAGTCTTCGCAGCCGATTCTTCTCCTTTGTAGCTTCATGCGTGGCTTTCATACGTTCCTATCATTGTGAAAGCTGCCGCATGAGAGAGGCTCATGCATGCATAGACGCGTCATGCCGCGACTCCGGACTACGTTCCCATCGTCCTTACACATCTGCAGACGCCCCGAACGATGCACTCAAGCATCGGTGACATCTGATTCCGTTTGATTCCGTTTGATCCCGTCCATAGTTCGGGCCCGGATTGACTTTTCGCCCGAGCCGGGAGGTAATGTATAAATCAGAACAGACTCGAGCTGTAAAGCAAAGGCCAGTTTCATTCGCCACGGTCCCTAACATGCTCTCGCAGCTCCCTCATCTTTTGCAATCCAAAGCCATGTCTCAAACTGTTCAAATTGGCACGGGCGACCATTCGCTCAAACTGGTCAAAATTGGTTTCGGAGCCATGGTGAGTTGCCACTTTATCCGCCACAAATCAATATTGAACTTCGACTCCAGGGCATGTCTGTCAAGGGACCGGTCTCCGACGAGCAGGTAGGCTTCATCGAGGTATCAGCATAGGATATCACTGACACCATGCCTGCTCGACAGTGCTTCGAGACGCTCAAATATGTCATCCAGCAGGCCAAACCTGGCGAGAAGATGGTGATCAACAGTGGTATGTCAACTTTGTGGCATTTTTTTACGAGGAGTACCTGACTTGATGCAGCCGAGTTCTATGGACCGGACTCTGCCAACCTTAAGCTCCTCAGTCGTTTTTTTACCAGATACCCCGAGCTGAGTGAGCAAGCGTTGGTTGTTGTCAAGGTGAGGCGTGAAAAGAGACTTCCAACGCCAACGTGACTAAAATCCTCTTCAGGGCGGAATGGGGGGCTTCAAGGCTAACGCCGGTCCACCATCCATGCAGCCCGACTCAAGCTCCGAGGCTCTCCGGCTTTCCGTAGAAGGCAATGCAAAGGCACTGTCTCCAAAGAGGATGGACGTGTTCGAGCTTGGACGAATCGATAAATCCGTTCCCATTGAAGAAGCTATGAAGACGCTTGTGAAATTACGAGACGAAGGCTGGTTTGACTACATTGGTCTCTCGGAATGTTCCGCAGCGACTCTCGAAAGAGCGGTCACCGTGTCTCCGATCCTCACTGTCGAAATTGAGATCTCGCCCATGGCATGGGAGGAGGAGACCAGAAAGGTTTTGGCAGTGGCGGAAAAACCCGGTGTCAATGCTGCTATACTGGCTTATTCACCCATGGGACGAGGCGCTTTCGTTGGGATATCGTATGAGGATATCCCAGCTATCGTCAAGAAAATGTTCCCTCGCTTCCAAGAGGAGAATTGGGCGAACAACAAGAAATTACAAGACAAGCTCAAGGTACTGGCTGAGCAATGCGGCGTTCCGATTAATCAATTGGCTCTTGCTTGGGTATTGTCTACGTGTAAGCATCACACTTCACCCTGGCTGCGCTCGCTGATTCCCGAGCAGCGCCCAATGTCGTACCGATACCGGGCACTACCAAATTAGCGAACGCCGAATCAAACTTTGCAGCCATCTCAGTCGAGCTCTCCGACGAGGACCTCGCGGAGATGACGAAGATCGTGGAAGAAGCTGAAATTCATGGTCAGAGGTTTCCCGAGGCCCACAATCACTTGAATTGGGGCTAGATCGTAGTCTATGTGCATGTCTGTATGGAGCCACGTGCGGACGATGCCTGGGTTGAGCCTTGTGTGTATCCATATCTCTCCTCGAAGAGGTTCACATCTGGCTCAAGTGGCTGCTTCGCTTCACTCGATGATTTCCGGCGTGAAGGAAGAGACCGACAAGTTCCGTGTTTTGCGATGATGCCGTTCCCTCGCGCAAGTCAAGTCCAGCAATCGCAAGTGTGCTTGGATGACAAGTCTCAAGGCAGAGATTGCCGACCCCAGACCATACCTCGGAGAGCGGCGTATTGCAGACCAGCGCCACCCAGTACAAAGCAATGAAAGATCTGATGAGACGCTCCTAAATAGTCGAATGTACCTGGGCTGAACCGTTCAGGTACTCGAGCGGCACTGTGAACGCAATGAGCCGGTATGCCAAGGGACGGGGCTCATCGAGCTCACTACAGGATCGCCCCGAAGATGTAAGATGCTCCTCCAGCTATGACCAGGTCCAGACTGACTACTTGTCTGGCGTAGGTCAGTCCACGAGCGATAATGACGTGTGCCACTGGAATGACTGCGGAGAGGCCCAAGGCAATGAATGCCGTTGTCCTCCTCCACCGATGAGTCCTCTGGGCTGGAGATAAGACCGTGTAGGTCGTGGCCACGCCAGCTAGGAAGATGAAGCCTCATTTGAGTGTCAGGCAAGTCTCTGACAGAATGATCGAGGTGTGCTCACCCATATACAGCCCTTGCAGGACGGGCTGTCCATAAAAGGAGTAGTACAGACCTGCTATGATTGTTCCGCAAGTAAGGATGACAATCCCAAGCTGTCCTGCATCAGTCTTCGACACAGAACCCGGACAGCTCACGTAGTCTCCCCTATGAGAAAGGTCTGATACTTCTCGAGAATGACAACAGACGGTATGAAACCAACTGCTCAGGCCTAGGCAAGCTACCGAACACACCAGATTGAGAGTCAGAGCGATCTTGTCATGAGTCGTCGGGGGAGTCGGCAGGGGATCTGACGCCCGCCCAAAAGTTGGGAAATGGGTCGGAAAGAGATGCAAGGGGATGAGAATGGCGAAAAAGAATGCGCCGATGGAGTGGGTGTGAATGTTGACTGCCACTTGATCAGAGAGATCAGCGAAATGTGAAGGAACCCACCTGTCTCATTATGGAAGACTGTTGACCAATCAGCTTTGAAGAACCGCCAGGTATAAGATGGGCGGCTCACATGCAAAAGCACTCCAAATACAACCCCTGATAGATCTGATCTGACGTCTGTATCCCGTTCTGATGTGATCATTATCGCTTTGCCATGGCAAAAGTCGGTGCGATTCTTCATATGTTAAAGTCTGCCGCCAAAGATCCTTATCGGATGGGGTAGCCGTATCAACTGTAGTATCAGCCCGCAGAGGGGTTCGTTCGCTCGGCTGATGATTCTGACCCATTCTCTGTCGCAAAGTCATGCTCTGAGCCTCACTGCCAGTCGATTGCTGCTGCCGAAGGATATCTGGTCCACGTCTGACGTCGTCTATGGTCGTTGAATTGCCGAACTTTCGGACACTGCAAAAAAAAAGTTTCAAGGTTCTGCCAAAATCAACAATTCTTCAATCCACACCAACCGCTTCTCGTTCCACAACCATGTCAAGCTCGACAAAGGCCTCGTCAAGCAAGAGAATGAGTATAGAGCAGCTGAATAAACAAGCTAGAGGCTCGCAACATGCAGTCAAAAAGGCAAAATCCAAGATGGTCCGGGAACGACTAGACGCGGAGGACTTGCAATGGAAACCAGTCCAAATGCCGAGCTTTGCAGGCATGGACGGTGGAGGCGGAATGATGATGCTCGAAGAGCTAGATGGCGTGGATGTGACATGGGAGGAAGACCTGGCAGGGCGCAAGATCGCTCGATTCGTGGTTAGTCTGAGAGGCGTGATCGCAAGACAGGACTGATCGTGCGCTGTAGTCTGCCGGTGAGCCGAGTCGCAAGGGCAAAGAGAAGGAGCACGAGGCCTCTCAGGGATCGGAGCAAGCTGTAGCAGCTCCAGTGGAGAGCGATCAAAGCAAGAAGAGCAAGAAGCGGGCGAGAAAGTCCACTAAGGAGGATGAAGCAGACGGAGCATTGCCCTCTTTTGCGGCGCTTGACACAACAGAGCTTGATGATATGGACGAAGCTTTCGAAGAACACACCCCGTCTTTCGATGGTGAGCTGAGCCTCTTAGCTGTTGCATGTGGGCTTATTCTCGTCAGATGCCCTGATGCCTGCGTGGAGAGATATTGACTTGAATGCGGCGTTAAAAAGGGGCCTACTGGGCTTAGGTTTCAACAATCCTACGGAGATCCAGAAGAGATCATTACCGTTAGCCTTGAGCGGCAGGGACATCGTTGGAGTCGCCGAAACGGTGGGTCCTGGGCAAGATGCGCTCAAAAGTGCCGCTGACGATGCTCTACAGGGATCCGGCAAGACTCTGGCTTACTCTTTACCAATCTTATCCCATCTTCTCAATACTCCTAAATCCTCAGAGACTCCACGACCCCTTACCGCGCTCATCTTGTGTCCAACCAGAGAACTCGCTCTTCAGGTCGTACAACATCTATTTGAGATCACAAAACTGGCTGCGCCGACCACTAGTGGACCACCACGTATCAGTGTAGGGAGCGTCGTGGGAGGATTGAGCGCGCAGAAACAGAAGCGGATCGTAGAGCGAGGTTGCGATATATTAGTGGCCACTCCTGGTCGATTGTGGGATCTGATTCAAGCTGTGAGAACCTCGCTGGAAGGGCGAAGTTGCGAAGCTGACTACCGACCAGGATAACTCTCTGGGGGCTGGAGTGGTGGGACTGAAATATCTCGTTATCGATGAAGCGGACAGAATGATTGAAAATGGGCATTTCGCCGAGCTGGAGAACATTGTCCGACTTATCGAACGAGGCTCCAAGTATGTTGTCAATTACGCGCGATCATGGCCATACTGATTCCCCGTCAGACAGGGCGAAGACGATGCCGATCCTGTTTTCCAGAATCTGGCACACCAGGATCCGCCTCGAGATGATCTTCAAACCTTCATCTTCTCCGCCACGCTGTCCAAAGATTTGCAACACAACTTGAAGAAGAGACATCGAGCCGTGCCCAAAAAGTCGGGCAAGCGCCCCAGCGCACTAGGTCAGTATTTGTCAAAGCAGCGGTGCTGGTGCTGAGTCGAAACCAGAGGACCTTGTGGAGAGATTGGACTTCCGGGACCCTGAGCCATTCGTTGTCGATCTCAGTCCTGAGGGTGGGGTCGTCGCCAGTTTGAGGGAGAGCATGATCGAGTGCCTTACATCTGAGAAGGTAGGCACTCATCGTCTAGTCAGTTGCTCAGACCTGTCTTAGGATCTCTACCTCTATTACTTTTTGCTCCGATATCCTGGTCGAACCTTGGTCTTTGTCGGATCTATCGATGGTATCCGACGACTGACCCCGCTGTTTGAGATGCTGCAGATGCCCGTCTACCCTCTGCATTCGCAACTGCAACAGAAGCAGAGACTGAAGAATCTAGATCGGTGAGACTGCCATGTCTTTTGATCACTAAGCTAAATCGCGTTCATAGTTTCAAATCCTCGTCAAATGGTACTTTGATAGCCACAGATGTTGCTGCGAGAGGTTTGGACATCCCTCACGTCGATCACGTCGTCCATTTCAATTTACCTCGGACCGCCGACGCTTATATCCATCGGAGTGGTCGAACTGCACGAGCCCAAAACCCAGGGTTCGCTCTACAACTATGCGCACCTGAGGAGAAGGGTATGCAGCGCGCACTCATGCGATCCTTGGATCGAGGTGAGCGAGTTTCCCCCAGCGGGCAGGGGAACAATCTGCTGATCGCTTAGAACACGAGGTTCCCGAGATGCCGATCGAATCTGGTTTCTTACCGAAATTGAAAGAAAGAGTCACACTCGCGAGGGATATCGAAAAGGCCCAACATGAAGTCAAGAAGGAGACTCACGATAGGAATTGGCTTCAAGAAGCAGCAGACGATCTAGGTGTTGATATTGACCCTGAACTGTAAGTCTCTCCCATCTACCCCTGAGCTAATCTCGCGACAGTCTTTCCGAGCAGGATGATCCTGATCTGCCATTCCACAGGATGAAAAAGTCCAAGGCCACACACAAGGGCTCGAAACGCGACGTCGGATCTCTCAAAGCGGAATTAAAACATCTGTTGAGTCAGCCTCTCATCGCTAGGGGTGTAAGTGCAAGATACCCGACATCCGGCAGTAAGGTCATCGTGGATGATCTAATAAAGTCCACGGGTGAGTGACCATTGAAACAACGCATCTTGCTCATCTCCGAGCTCAGGTCACACCATGATGCTAGGTGCAAAGACCACCAAAGCACACGACGAAGACCTGGTAACTCGGAAGAAGTCGTCCCTGAATAAGCGGAAACGCTGATGCGTCGGTGTCCCGCCTCCCACTCGCAATGTGCAAGATATGCATGGCTGCAGGTCAAAAAAAGGTTGATGTTGATTCGTACTAAGACAAGATTTCCACACGCATGCTACAACAGAACAAGATCAGTCGGCCTTATCAGCAAGAAGTCACGCTACAAGCAGAGCGCCATCCGCAATCTCAAGAAAAATTAAAACCTCTGCCCTTCTCTACCAATCTAGTAAGGTTCGAACCTGTGACCTGGGTCCGGACTACCTCGGCGAGGCACGATTGAACCGCTGCAGATTCCACGTTGTCGATGACGATGGAGCGCATCACCTCGAGCAAAGCCTTTACCGCTGTACAGATGTAAGTTTGTGCCATGCTGACATCTGCAACATTGACTCACCAAGGGCAAGGAAACGGTTTTGTCCCGCTGTGAATCCTCATATGTCGTCTCAGATCATGTTGGCGGACGAACGCGGCATTACTGATGAGCAACTGTCAGCTTGTGCACTGTCCTGCAGATCTCAACACCCACCAATCCTCTGTCGGACAGAGGTAGGGCTTGTCCTCTAAATGCGTCTGGATATGACTGTGGATCGCACTCTTCCTCGGGAAATGCCTCTCGCACCCTTCGATCAGGCACTTGAATCGCTTGACGGCTTGATTTGTCATGCTTCCATCGGAGGTGTAGAATGTGGTGTAGAGCTTCTCCAAAAACGCCTTTGGAAGTCCTGGTCCAATGGGCTGACCATCGGGTCCTAGAACTGTTCGAGGCGGATCAATCACGAGTTGAGGTTGAGCATCGGGGTTGGGCACCAGAACAGTCGTCTCGGGAGCTGGAGCAAGCATGGGCATACTGCTCAGCTCCGGACCAAACTGGATGGTCTCTCGTTTCGGTGAGGACGGTCCCGCGACAATGGACCGTCGTCGTTCTTCTTCGCTTTCTGCGATCGAAGGGAGTGTCTTTCCACTAAGAAGAGATGGATCGATACCTCCTTGTCCACTGCCTAGATCCGCTGGCGAAGCGGTACTGGACGATCGACTGCCTTGCCTTGGCGTCTTTGGCTTTGGTTTGGGACCTGGCCGCATAGGCTTGCCGACGCGAGGGTAAACTCGTTTCTTGGATCGAGGCGTTTCGGGAGAAGTGGTCAAAGAAGCGGACCCAGAGGCATGGCGATTGTATGGCGAGAATCCTTGTTGAGTCTCAAACATTGAATCGTCCATCGTGATCATGCCGGAAGGTTCGCCGCCTTGGGAGGGTCCAAACAGACCGTGGGTTCCAGAGACAGACGGCATGTTGGACATGCTAGGCATGGACGAGCCAATGTTTTCAAACGGAGCAGAGACGGATCGTTGAAGCATAGGGGGTGCAAGGAAATGAGCGTCTTGTTGCTGTTGAAGCTGATTTTGTTGACCGATGTTGATGTAGGAAGCTGAAGAATGTCGTTGCAGTCCGCCAGTGGGCTGAGTAGGATATTGATAGCCCGCAGGTTGGTTGCCTGTGGCATTGTATGTACGAGTTGCCCAGTCAGTGATATCGACATTCTGAGAATTGGTAGGGAATCTGTTGACCCCGGGTACAGAGGGATAGTTGACCACGTGAAATTGAGATTGAGAAGGCAGGCCAGATTGAGGTGGCATCTGATAGCTCATATCACCTTGAGGAATCATTGGCGTATTGACCATTGTGCTTCCAGTCTCTCTGCGGTAGACTGGCTGACCAGGGAAGGAAGCGACCGACACCATCGAAGTCGAATGTGGCGCGCTGAACGAAGGTCCTGGTCCCATCACTTGGGCAACACCACTCATCAGTGACATGTCGTTGTCATACTGCTGAACGTGTTGCGTCGCTGGTGGTCCCGTACTGATAAATTCGGCTTGGGTTTGCTCGGGTGAGGCAAAGAAGACGGTTCCAGCTTGCATAGGTGATCGTGTACGGGAGATGGGAGAGCCCTGCTGGCGGTGCAAAATCTCTGGGAGAGACTGCGAGGCGTTCATGGGAATGTCGGTCGCGGTGTAAGTGGGAAAGAGATAAGGAGAGACGAGCTGCTCGTCCGAGGTGGAAGCAGTGATTCCGGACATACCAGAGACATTGCGCTCTTTGCCAAATTGGGGAGCAGAGAGGTACGATTCCGAGGGGCCTCTTGAACTCTTTTGCTGAGTTTGGAGGGACTGAAAATCGCTCGCGCTACGGGGGAGGGAAAGAGAGATTGGCATCGAGGTGACGGCAAAGGTGGCCTGTCGCCTGCTGCCACCAGAACGGTGCACATTAGAAGGTGATCCAAGCCCAGTCACAGATCGTCTTGGGGGTCGAGAGATGGTAGACGGAGCGGAAAGGATTTTGGGTGACTGAGTCGGTGTTGTGTTGTCAGGCGACATGGCGTGAGCATTGGGAATAGGGGAAGATGGGAACAGGTCATAGTTGACATTGGCGTACGCGTCATCCTGATGGCCAGTGAGGATTGTTACTGGAGCATGATGGTTCATTCTCATCGACATGGACATGGAGCTGGGGACTTGGTCTTGTCCACCATTAGCTCGGATCGCCTTGAGTCGATGTGGTTGAAGCGGAGAGACGAGAAATTCTCCCCCTCTCTTGAGCTTCGCGCCTGGCGTTTTGCCAAACCTGTCGAAAGGAGATGCCGAATCATTTGCGATATCGAATTCGAATGTCGGGTGTACACTGTTGTGGATCGGAGATGAATGCACGAACAGGACACCTGGCTCAGCGCCGCCTTTGAGGAAGTCGTCGAAGGACTGTTCCCCAGAATCAGGCATCAAAGGTGACGATGCCATGGTGGGAGAGAGTCTGTAGACGGTCAGCTGGTGCCCTGATCCTCCTGGAGACACATCGCCACCACGCCCCCGATTGGACTTACTACTCGAGACAATATCAAGCCTTGCGATAAGATACAGAGGATTAGAGATGGCGAGGTCGAGTTCAAGGTATGCGTCCACCAAGATGACGAGCCTCTTTACGAGGTCATAGGATTATAAGAAAGACGGAGGGTGGTGCGAGGGGGAAAGTGAGAGAGGGCAATGCGCGATGGAGAAGATGTGAGACAGCTGTTTCCAACTATTTTCTCCTCCGCTCGTCCTCTTCGTCTGTAGTCGAAACAGATCACGAGGTGGTTCCAAGTCTCCGTCGCGCAAACAAGAAGCTTGGTATACACAGAGGTCCCTAAGACTGACACAATACCTCACGACTGTCGTCCAGAATTCTCGACGTATTGACAGGTCTGTAATTATCCTGTCGGGACGAGACGGATCTGAAATCACCTGATCTCATGTCAGCTGATGTCGGAAGTGATACTCGGCTGGGAAAAAGAGAAGACGCAGGGTTTTCATATGCCAGAGCCCGATTCACCCTTCGTCTTCACTATAGTCTCTGTCGTGATCGTCATGTGACAGGCGTACTTTGTAGCAGAGCGGAATAACACAGGACATGGAATGAAAATTGAAAGGACCTCAACTCACAAATGGTGACAGACAACTTGGTTTTCTTCGATGACGTGTCGACGACGAGGTAAGACGGCACAGCAGGTAAGAGCGACGTTCCAGGACGGGCTGACTCTGAAGGCTGATGTGTCCAAAGGGGGAAGATGCTAGTGAAGATGTCAAGTAGACTCTCCAGCGTGTCGTAGTTTAACAAATGAGTGTGGGTTGATTCCAAAAGAGTGACGAGGATTTCGCAAGGTTCCAAGCAGCAATGAGACCTTGGATTTTGGAGATTGTTCGTACAGGTGGGTACAAGTCCGGAAGCGTTCTTTAACGAGTGTGGGATGGTCGGGAGATTGATGAAGATGGTCAAGATTTCAGAATACAGAATACAGAATGAGAATAATGCCTGAGTGTTCCCTCCCCAGTGTGTACTCTCTTACCTTGGTGTATACGTACGCCTCCTAGCTGAGATCATTATGTTCGGTCATCGTCTCCTCCTCTTCGAACACTTGACTCCACCTCATAATAGTCTCTCGCTGTGTCGAAACTTTAAGGGTACCTATTCATTAGGGAGAAGGGATCATTACACTTTCTCTCTTTTCGCTTCCTTGGCCTTGCGCCAACGAATCAGGCCAGGCTACTCGTGTGGACTCGTTGTCACTAACCAGCACATGTCCCAATGGATGGTCATACTTTCATGCGACGTCATATCCAATGATCTCCGATACATCTGAGATATCTCACCTGTCGAGAATGTTTACAGGGTTACAAAAGCCTCGAACGCCTCTAACTCTTTTTTTCTCTATCCTTTCCCCCCCCTTCTACATCGCTCGCTGGCTGCCTCTGAGTCCCTGGTGTACATCGCTCTCCTTCGGCTCAGGGAGTTGACGCCAGGGATCCCGTAAGGTCATGTTCATCCATTAGTCTGTTTTCTAACACCTTGTTTACTCTGTTTTGCTCCTCCTCCCTTCCCTTCTCTCTCCCTCACGGTCGGACATGATCAGTGGACATTGGGACGAGCCTAGTGTCTCACAAGACCCAGTCGATCAACATTGGTTCGCATGCTAAAAGGCTCTGGGGACCTCATCGGTCCGAAACTTAGAGCCTTGCAGATCATGTACAGGTGGTATTGACCCCATACCAAGATTCAGTCGATCGCACCTGGGCGATTTCTTGTTTATCGAAAAAAGGTGAATTGAGGAAAAAACAAAGGACAGAAAAGAAAGCAGGCACGTCCGGGTTTCCCGAGTCAAAATCGGCGCCACATGTAACGTGTCGGTGAGACCGTGACTGAGGATCCAAGGATCGTCCTCGGGGGGGGGGGGGGGGGGGGTTTGCCAGACACCTGAGAACTGTAGAGAATGATCGCCGGCTCGCAAATCTGCCCTTCTGCCTGCATCACGCGAATCTGCATCTGATACTCCACTAGTGACAGCTGTAAGGACTTTTGGTTCATTCTGCCACATTGAATGAAAACGCCGTCAATTTCCCGTGATGCACATCGTAACAAGTGTTGGGCCCCGCTCGTCTCAGGTATCCCACTTGACATGAGGTTGGCATCTACACACCATGTCCTCCATACCCAAGGACATATCCATCACAAAGCCAGGAGAGAGCTCCACCACCGGAGCCTTAGGCGTAAGAAGGAGATCATCGCGAGCTCACAGCTCCAAACAAGCTGAGAACGGCCATGAAGCTCGTAACTCCAACACGACCACCTCCCTGGCCACCGGGATCGGGGTCGGTAAGAGTGGAAGGAAACGAGTTGGAGAGCCAGCAAGAAGAGGAGATGAGGAGGACTTGATCTCGCCCTCTGAACGTGAGACTACCAATGTGGTGAGTTCGGCGATTTCGTGACAACGGCACGGAAGATCTCATAGGATTGTTACATAGAAACGACCAAGGCATCAGTCGCCTCGTAAACCGCTCTCAGAACCGCCTGACCCCCCTGATGGCCCAGATGGGATCGCTGGCAAAGGCAAAATAAAGGACACCGGTCCAATGATTGACCCAGACTTGGTGAGCTTGCAAAACTGGCATACACCCTTTACTGATTTGTCTCAGCTTCTCAAACGAGTACATTCGTATCCTTCCGGCCTGACACCGTTCCGATACCCATGTCACCATCTCGAGCTTCCGTCTCCTCCCGTCAGTGACCCGAATGATCCCAACTTCAAGCGCTATGATCCAGCAGCGAAGACCTACCAGCTTGAACCCACAGAGATCAGCTCTTACCCCGGAAACAGCGTCCCCGCTCCCTTGCACCCGAGGCAGACCTTGCAGCCAGGCGACGAAAGCACGCGACAGCTGTTGCCGCAATCTGGAGGAGCCGATATCGTGCATGAGGCGGAGCCTTACGAATCACTTTCGGCCTTGCTCAGTGCTTCAGATTTCCAAAACCATTTTGCCGAGCTCGAAGCGCAGGGTATCTTCGCCCAACCCGAGGGGCCCGACGAGTAGGGCCTCGAGAACTATGGGATGGCTTTTCTCGCCGTCACCCTTGCATGGTAGGTATGAGAGGCATTCCCTTCCTACGACCACGGGTGACAGGTAGCAGCAGAGCTACCCATCATTTAAACCAGATCTCAGTTAGTATTCAAAGTTGTTGTTGCCTCGTCAATATAGACAGTCATGTATCAGTGGAATGATCAATGACTGCTGCTCATGCCTCGGTGTAAGCTGCAGTGATCTCCTTGAGCTAGCCAGCAGTGCTCCGGCGTTGATTATAGCCCATGCGCCAACAACGTGGTCTCGGAAGTGGCGCGGGTGACTCGCGTCTGGATTTCGAGACAGGTGGAACTTCCTCCTCTATCTCACTTCACTTTAAGTGGTTTCGCCTGATAAAGACCTGAATCCTGAGGTCCCTTGAATGTCTCGCATCCTCTCAAAGGGCTTACAAAGGATCTGATAGATACCTTGCAGAGTGTGAAGTGCCATTGCGTTAGCACAGCCGTCAGACGAACCGCAGCTCCAGTGCCGGCCTTTCTCTGTGGGATTGTATCTTTAACCGGAACTCCCTTCGTTGCACGAAGGTCAGATTGATACACGATGTGAGCGTCTTGTGTGAGTATGTACATGACGAGCTGACAAAATGCCCAGGAATTATGTACAGCTTGAGAAGTTGGGAGAAGGGACATATGCGACAGTGTACAAGGTGAGCTTTGTGCCTCCTTCTCTACACCAATTGCTCAGGATCGATTCGTTGACTTGCCTCTCTCTTCACAGGGACGATCACGGACGACTTCTGAGATTGTTGCCTTGAAGGAGATTCACCTGGATGCAGAGGAGGGAACGCCAAGTACAGCTATTCGCGAGATTAGCTTGATGAAAGGTCAGTTGTGGACCGAAAGATCTCCTTCACCGATAGCGTGGGCCCCCGACACTGACTTCTGTGCTTCCGCAAAACAGAGTTGAAGCATGTCAATGTGGTCAGACTTCACGATGTCATCCACACAGAGTCAAAATTGGTCCTGATCTTTGAGGTAAATCGGGCACTACGGATGAGACTCGCTCAAAGCTGATCTCGAAATAGTTCTGCGAGCAAGACTTGAAACGATATATGGACACGCATGGTGATCGTGGAGCTCTAGACTTGAATACTGTCAAGAACTTCACCCACCAGCTTCTCACTGTGAGCAATTGGGATTCATTCGGATGCTGATATTACGTAGGGAATCGCCTACATACATGAGAACCGAGTCCTCCACCGTGATTTGAAACCCCAGAACCTTTTGATCAACCGTCGTGGTGAACTTAAGATTGGTGACTTCGGTCTTGCTCGAGCATTCGGCGTACCTGTCAACACATTCAGTAACGAGGTGAGGGGCAGGCACATTCATCCCGAGAGCTGCAATTCCTGAAGGGGGCATAGGTCGTGACGCTCTGGTATCGAGCTCCTGATGTCTTGCTCGGTTCAAGGACGTACAACACCAGTATTGACCTCTGGAGTGTGGGCTGCATGTAAGTCTGGTGTCGTTGCGTCAAACCTGGAGGAATGCTCACAAAACCGCTCTCAAGCTTTGCCGAAATGATCACAGGATACCCATTGTTCAGGGGCAAGGATAACCCTGATCAGCTCAATGCCATCATGAAAGTGACTGGCACACCAACTGCAGAAACATTGGCGCAGATCAAGCTCAACTCAGTGAGTCTATGGTCTGAAGCGGATCATGAGCTGCAAGATCTGATCTCGTTCGATAGCCCGAGATTCAGATGAAGAATCCTTTGAACAAATACCCCAAACAGCCCCTCCACGCTTTGATTCCAAAGGCTCCCCGTGATGGTGGGTTTGATCGTTCTTCAGTCTAACAGTGTACTCTGCTCACTTGTTGTCCAGCAATCAACCTTCTCGAACATCTCCTACAGTTCGAGCCAACTCGTCGGTACGATGCTCATCAAGCCATGGCCCACCCCTACTTCACTTCTGGACCCATTGCTCCTCCATCTATCCCTGCTTCCGTCTCAAGCTCTACAGCTTCACTCGCTCTGCCGCCTCGAGTCGCTCAAAGAGCATCGGCAGCTTCAGCAGCTGTTCAAGCTCAACAGCAAGCCGCAGCAGCGGCCGCGGCTCAACAACAAGCGGCCGCTCAGCAGGCTGCATCTCAGCAACAGGCCCAGATGATGAATCAACAACAACAACAGCAGCAGCAGCAGCAGCAACAGCAGATGATGTTGATGGAACAGGCGAGACAACAGCAAGCTCAACAAGGATACTATGGTGAGTGTTTATCGAAGACTTTTTCCAGTCCTCTGTTCTGATGGGACGCCCTAGATCCCTCTCAAATGCAGGCTCAGGCCCAGGCCCAAGCCGCAGCGCAAATCCAGATGGCTCAGGCTCAAGCGAGAACAATGGATCCGAATGTGAGTCGTAGATGAAGGCGATTTCTAAGACGAACCAAGGGCTATTATATGAACCAAGATCAGAGATATTAGAATTGGATCGGGGACGATGAAATCAGAAATCGTTGGCCTACATGTTCACCGTTCTATCGGTCCCATCTCCTGTTCTGCATGTGTATTTTGCCGCATAGACAATGTCTCAGTGACGAGTTGTGAATTCCTACTCCAACGTGACCTCGAAGCAGAAAACATTGATACAATTCATGAGGAGCATACGGATCGGATGCTGGTGGATCGTACAGCGAATCTACAAGGCAGTACCCCTTTCGAGGTTTGAGCGGATCCTGGGGATGACTTGGTCAGCACACGCCGACCCGATGCTAGATTGACCCACTCTTTCGTATACTTGTCAAAGTATCGAGAAATCTAAAATCGGAGTTAGCATCGCCATTCTCAATGCCTATTGTTCGCTCACCTTTTTGTTGAACACCTTGTTGCGTTCGTTGATATAAGTGATTTCCTCGTCGACGTCATCCTTCTTCTTCCTCTTGACCTTGGACATGCTAAATCAAATTGTCAGTACTATATGCGAGATGTCCATGAGATGCAAACTCACTCTGAATTGATCTTGCCCACGACACGATCAATGGCATCCTCTGACGGCTTGCTGTCTCCATAAGCGAGCGTATCGGCACCTCTGTACAAATCTTCGGCTGCTGTAAGGCCACGCGAAGATGATGACGAAGCTTTGAGGGAGGAAGCAGTCGCTCCGGCCGGTACCAGGGTACCGGGGGCCAAGCCGAGTGCAGCCTCCTTTTGACGTTCATAAGCCACCAAATCAATCTTGGTCGTCCGGATATTCTTGTCGTATCGCTTATGAGCATCATCGTCGGCATCTGTACGAGAACCGGATGATTAGATGATGTTGGTACAGCATGGTACAGGAGCGGATGCTGGTCGCGCAGCTCACTGTGGAAAAGTGTATCAGATCTCCGTTTTGATTCTTCCATCTTTGCTTCCCAACGTTCATTCTGCTCGATACTCCATTCCCAGGCTTTTTTCCTCTCGAGATCTTCACCGTTCTCCTCCGCTTCCGCTTTCAAACGCAAGGTCTGAGCCAACTTGCGTTGCTTTTCCAAACGTTGGAGCTCTTTAGCTGTCACTTTAGATTTCTGATGATCCGCAATAAGATCTTTGCGGTTATCGGCAGAAGATTTGTTCTGAGCGGGGCGGAAGATCATTAGTTCATCATCTGACAGTCCCCACGACGATCACTTACCATGCGCATCCTCAAATCCTTCAGTTTGGCCATCCGATCTTGCATGGACATTTTGCCTTTGCCCTTGACGTCGCTGTCCTCCTGCCGTTCATCAACTTCACCTACGCCATCCCCAACAGCAGGTTCCTCTGCCCCCTGCTCGTGTTCTTCTCCGTCCTCCTCCACGATGGTGTCGCTAGCTCCGCCTTTCGCCTCTTCATTGTCTTCCTCATCAGCCTCTTCTTCTTCGCCACTGTGTTCCAGGTTCACGTCCTCCTCCTCTGGTATCACATCCGTATCGTCTGTCGACTGACGCTTGGACTTCGACCGTGAGCGAGACGATGCTCGAGACGAGACGGCTGGAGATGGTGAGGGAGCCGAGGACTTGACAGACCTCGATTTGCGTGGCGCCATGGTGAGTGTGCGCTAAAAGTGACGAGTAAGAGTCAAGCGTCTCACAGTGAGACGAGGACAGAATATTTAGGTGAACCGAGTGGCAAGCCGGCTTAAGTAAGCATTTGTGGTCTCACCGGAGCTCTTGTGGTAACATGCATACGCACACGACGGACGACAACTTGAGTTGCTACATAGGGGTAATACGGTCAGAGAGCATGACTGAACAGGTCGTCCTAGCCACCTAGTACGCTTTGACGCCTGCGAGCTGCTGCATTCGCTCGGTGAGAACGGGTCTGACTAGTGGTTCCCGACGCTCATTCGGGATGGCGTCACCAAGAATCTTTGTCCCTGTCATGCGGAAGAGGAGAGGATCGTGGGACTAAGGGGGGAACATCAGCTTCATGACCTTGAATAGTACCAATCTTCACGACTCACGGTGCCGATCAACTGTTCAGTGGCGATCTTTCTCGCCTCCTTCATTTCTGGAGTGATCTCGGCAGCAGGCTTGTAGCAAACGTCTGGGAAATGACGTGAGAGGACTGTTCGCCGCCAACAGAGGCCAACTCACACGTCGCGACTCTAGGTCGATCACCTCGAGCAGCTGCACCATAATGTACGCATCGAGAATCCCACAGGATCACATCGCCTGGCTCAGCTTCGACTTTAATCCACTTGCACCCTCTGTCGTAGAACCACTGCATATCGGCTTCTGTGAATGGGTAGGAGTCCTTCCATGACCATCCGCCTTCAGGTTGAAGGTGTTCATGAGTTTCGAAGAACTCGTTGTACAGTGGCAGCGAGCCGGTGAGAACCATCAGACCACCATCGTTGGGGCCGTTCTCTTCCTGTAGGTTCCGCGAATGATGAGCATTCGTCTTTGTTGATCAAGATTTGGCACTCACAAGATTCATGATGCCCTGTACGCAGTGCTTGAATCGTCTGTTGGGACTCTGATCGACGTGCGGCCATGGTGCGCTAACATCACCTTCCATCTCCTCCGCGGGGTAAGGTAGGGAGATATTGCTTGCATCTGAACAGCAAGAACCTCAGCATTCGATTCAACAGTCCAGACACGCTTGACCCTCATCGTCACCCCACTCACCATAGGATACAAGCAATTCTTCTGTTCCCCAAATCTTGGCGAAAACCTTGATCAGCTCCGGTTCGGCCCGGATATCCCAAGCGTATTGTTCGTGTCCTGCTCCATATCGACTGAAGAGTCCACCTCTGTCAAAAAGACAAGAATTGAGCACCGGTTCCAGTGCTGTACAGCTTAAGCTCACTTGTTGAAGGGGATAACTTTGTTGATGTGCCAAGTAGACCTGTCATTGGCCTTGAAACCTGTGCCGAACGATTCCAACCACTGATACATTCGTTGAACGTATTGTGCAGCCTTTTCACGAGATATGACGCCTTTGACGACGGTGTACTAGATTGACACAGCTGAGTTAGAAACGATTCTCAAGGAAAATCTCTCGCACTCACCCCGTTCTTATCTAGCTCGGGAAAGGCCGTGGTACTTGGAGTGAGATGAGAGCCACGGAGTCGGAGAACCCCCGACATGAATTCTTCAGATGGAAACTGTCCATCGAGGAGGGTCTGGGTCATGGTGGAAGAGCTACCGGCTGACATTGTCAATGTCGAGAGTTGAGTCAAGTGGGAACGAAGTGGGTGTATAGCAGAGAAACGTTGGCTGTCCAGTCCTCTAGAGAGAGAGAGTATATATGAATGATGATGGATTCGCCAAGTCTATATGTATGGCTTTTTGACCCGAACTTGCTCAGGCTTTTGGCGAGATATATCCGACTGGGCTTGGAACTGAATTACCCCAAATGGACATTTTCGGCTCATTTTTGTACCGTTCAAAGGAGGGACCACGTGCCGGTCGCGTTTTCCGAACTTTCTCCATCAAAAGAAATGCGGAGGTGGAGGTCCCAAGGTCACAAAAAAAATTATGGCTGTGGACAGGTATCACAGTCTTGATCACCGCCCCGACTAGGGTTCATCTCGTGTCGTGCTTGTTATCAGAATCTCACGTTGTCTATGCGACAAAGCGGGTGACTTGACTGGCAAAGTCATGAGTCCCAGCATTGTGACACGCCCCACCGACAACATGAGCATCGAACATGAAAACAACATCATCGGCTCCGTCCGACTTACTGAACAAGGCGTCAGTCAACTAGACAGGGTGTCATCTGCAGAGAAGGATTTCGTCCCACATGCGGATATAGATGATGGGCTGGAGAGTTCCACAGTGCCCTCTGAAGAGGCGCAAATACCAAGAATGTCCAATGCGAGGATCGTCCTCCTTGGTGTGGCGATGGGTTCAACCTATTTCTTAGGGGTAAGTCAGGACTGGGCCCCACCGAAGGGAAGGCTAAGAGCTCGGCATCAGACGGCAACGAGTACCGCTACAACCATCATGATCCCACGGATGGCTTCGGACCTTCGTGTGTCAGAGCTTGACGCTCAATGGGTGAGACCGTCGAGCGAGTCGAGGATCACACGGCTGACACACTTCAGATTGTATCTGCGTACACCCTTGCCTATGGCTGGTAGGTCCTTTCATTATCATCTCGACTAGCCACTTACACGAAGCAGTGGCCTTCTATTTGCCGGACGCCTAGCAGACATGTACGGCAGGAAACTCTTGTTCATATCTGGACTCAGCATTTTTTGCATAGTTTCGATCATCTCCGCGTCCATCAGGGTGAGTCACCGTCTGGCATGTCTTGCGATGATAGATCCTGACTGATCTACTTGTTGTCAGTCTCGCATACCATTATGCGTCATTCGTGCCCTTGCTGGACTAGGCTTAGCTATTGCCTCTCCCGCAGTGTATGGAATCGCGGGATCAAATGTACGACATGAACCTGCTCGGACCTTGATTCTCGGTGCTTTGGGTTCTGGCGGACCTGTAGGAGCATGCGCAGGAACAATGATTGGAGGAGCCATCACCAGAGTCTCAGAGTAGGTCTTGGACAAGCTTTACTCAGATCGTTATGCTTATGTCGTGATCCCGCGTAGCGTTGGATGGACATACCTCTTCTACATCGTCGCTGGGATCAGCTTTGTGCCTCTTTCCATTGGCATCATTGTCATTCCCAGAGATCGCAGGCAGCTAGGCGAGCGAGGTATACTGCATATCGACTGGTTAGGAGGTCTCTTGATCACAGCTGCGACCAGCATCTTCCTATTCAGTCTGACTCAATCTGGGATTACCGAGAAGGGCTGGTCGACACCATGTGAGCTTTCACCATCCTTCGTCAGAGTGCCACTCACACGCCCTTAGACATCCCAGTCTTGCTAGTAATATCCATTCTAATTGGCGTGGTCTTTCTATTCTGGGAACGACACCTCGAGCGGAATTGTACCCTTAAACCAGTCATCAAACCCTCCTTATTCACTCGACATGGGTACAAGAGTCTCGCTGTGGTTCTCTCCGCCTTTTTTGCATGTTCTTCAGTTTATGGGTGGACTTATTCGACCACGATCTACTATCAAAATGTCAAAGGCATGAGTGCTCTCGGTAATGCTATCCATGTGGCTCCTGCCAATCTGAACGGCATCCTCGCAATGGTAAGTGCGAGCCTGAGTCCTAGTCTACATGACTCACTCCCGGTCTCTAGGCCCAAGTCCTGCTATTCGCTCCGAGAGTGAGAGCACCAACCATGTTCATCGTTGGAGGCTTCTTGACTGGGTAGGCGGCTCAGACTCTCCATGCAAAAGCGCCTCTGACTGGTGTCCCAGGGTTTCAAACCTTTTACTCGCCGTCAACCCGGAAGGAAGCATTTACTGGGGCTGCGAATTCTTCTCGGCTTTGACCCTTCCATACGGTATCGACTAGTGAGTTGTTCAAAAGTCTAGCCAATCTGTCATGCTGATCGAATGGAAAAGCGTTGTAGGGGTGGGAAGCATACTCATTTCGAATCTGGTCGATCAGTGAGTAGAGCATAGAATCTTTTGAAAGCTTGGCTGGCCTGTCAGCTCATCTCGGGCTTTCCTCAGGGACGAGCAATCTGTCGGAGGTGCAGTCTTCCAAATGTTCTGTCAGATTGGAGGAGCTTTGGGTGTTTGTCTATCGAGTCTAGTCTCGACTCAACGAGCCAAGATTTCAGGGAGCTTGATAACGGGTATCAGGGCGGCGAGTTGGCTCAACACAGCATTGTCCTGGATGGGTGAGATTGGCCCGGGACTCAACCTGCAGGTCAATTGTGCTGATGAATTCAGTCATCGTCGTGACAATCATCGCGCTGCGGCATGTCAGGCTAGCGAAGGATGTGACCAAAATGATTGAGTAGACGCAGCATATCCTCGCACCTGTATCAACACGATCGATAGACGATCTTGCCAGCCAGCCCGACCTTTCCAGCAGCGACACTTGTAGCATGAAACGGCAACCTCTAGAATCACTATATCAGAGTCCCCGAAAGTTTCCGAGGGCCTCCTCTCATTCACAATGTCGATCAGAACAGGATCACCATCTCACTGCCGGCGCCCGTTCATTCAATCTTTCATTCGCATCACCACATTAGCTGTATATTCAGAGCTTGTAGTTAATGAGCAGCATCAAATCGCATCATCGGATATCAGCCATAAAAGGACAGTATTGACCACATCGATGCATGAGCTTCATAATGGAATTTTGACTCTCCATGAACTCATAGGTTGAGCTGGCGTCAATGTCAGCCAACCTGCCGGCGTACGCAGCCCGACCGACTCACCTTCCAGCCTCCTCACAGTGGGAATGATCAGCTTGATCAATAATGTTCCCCCGATCAAAACGCAGACAAAGCTCATAATATAATACCCGTCCGTTGTGATGACGCAATACCCACCCTGAGCTTCACACAGCTTGCTCCCGTGCCCGGCATTACAGTCACTCAGTGCGAGATGACGGTCTATACGATTACCGATGGAGCAGCCGTATTTCGTGAAGAGGTCCACTAGACGGAGGATGATGGGTTTAGGCAGAGTCCCTCCGAGGTTCGAAACGGTGTTCAGTAGCTTGGTATCGGTGTCAGTTTTCGTACGAACCATGCGGAAGATCCTCTCACTGTCATAGACGATCCACCGACTCGAGGATCCGCGATGTGCGTGTGGAAAGCGCAGATACCGATGAATTGAATCGTCCTGCAGCCGATCATAAGCCTTTCGTTGAATCCAGCAGAAAGGTGGATCTACGACTCACGAGGTCAGAGACGACAATAGTGTAGTCATGATGACCATAGCAAGGTACCCAGTCCCGACGTTGCCACTTTTTGGGAAACCATATACCACGGCCGTGGCCACCAAAGCCATGCCCAATCTGGCCCAAAATGCATAGACCCATGGTTTGAGCAATGAGCCCGTCCCAGCTGTCAATGGGTGTTTTGAGCTAGTTGGACGTGACCATTTCGCTACGAGCCATCCGGCGATCATCTGAGCTGGGAAATCGAGCAGGACCGCAATGGCGAGGTCTTCTTTCGACAGACCTTTCTCGAGCAGTTTCAAGCCGGTGACAGAATCATTGACTTGGAAACCAAGCTTGCAAGTGAGGTGAACGATCAGGAGGGATTGGATGTCTACAGGAGCAGTGATGATTAACTTGCGCGCTGATGAATGGCGCGCTCGCCCCATCAGACCCAGACCCACTCTTAAGCCGGAAAATACTCCACATGATCTTGTAAACCTTTTTGACATCCATGTCTGGGTCATCTTCGCTGACGGGATCCTCCCTAGTCCAGATGGCAATACCGATTGTGGCGGCAATGAAGACGATGCCCCAAAAACGGATATACCCGCCGAGCGAGACCAGTCCGTAGTCCAGGGGGCTGGAGCGGAAGTACTTGTTCCTACCGAGTCATCAGAAATGGTAGCCCATGACCGTGAAAGGTTACACCTACGAGAACTCGACCGAGTTGAACGCTAGAAACACTGTAAAGCTCAGAGCGTTACCGATGCCAATCCCGATAGTTTGCGCAGTGGACGCGTAGGATAGATTCTGTTGCGACAATAGTGTCAGAGCCCATCCGTCAACGGCGATATCTTGAGTCGCAGCTGCCAATATGAGACACATGAAGACTGTCGTGATGAAGTGGACATCCACGACATCGTCCGCCAACCAATCTTCTATCCTTCCTCCGATGAGCCATAATCCCAGCCCGACAACAGCTTGAACCGGGACAATCCAGCTTTTCCGTCTACCCCATTTTCTAACGAACCACGCATCGACGATGGGAGACCATAATAGCTTGAGGGAGTATGGCCAGGTGGCAAGGGAGAAGACTCCCAGTTGGGAGTACGATAATTTCGGTTTGAGAAGAAAGGGAAGGGTTCCGAAAGTCAAGCCCAGTGGGATACCTTGGAGAAGGTAGAGCAAGACCAAGACTGCAAATGCTCTTCTGTCTCTCGGACTGCTGAGTCCGGATCCTTCTTCGCTTTCGACTGATCCGGACCTTTCAAAAGTCCTTTCTAGGCTGAGGTGTCTTTGCTTCTCATCGTCGTTTCCTTTCCGTCTCGGAGTAGGTATGCCGTCTTCCTGATCCGAAGGAGATAATGATCTCAGCAATCCTTTCTCCTCGAGCTCTGCAAGGTCTTCAATATTTCTCTCTCTCAAGCCGTGCTGCTCGGTGCGATGAGAGTGCAACATTTCGTCTTCTTCAACTTGATCAGGTGTCGCACTGCCAGTGACGATGGTGGTATCTTCGGTATCGCTCTCAGGGTCCAGCACAGGCGTAGGCGAAGCGGTAGTACTGATGTCCGCGGATCTTTCTCTCTCAGCCAGCTGGACTGAAAGCGATCGAGTAGTCCTCCTCGAGGAAGTCGTTGAGCGAGTCGCAGCTCGTTTGGTGGCTGTCTTTTCTGGAGTTTGTAATGCTGTAGTACGGGATGAAGAAGACGGTGGAGCCGTTTGTTGACGGGTCCTAGGTGGCATTGGGATCTAGTAGAGGACGAAGAGAGGGCTCGATGGATGATTACGATAGAGACATCATACAGATCTAGAGGATAAGATCAGATCAGGAGGATGAAATGTTGAAAAAGCCTGCTATGAGCCGAGCCACAAAAGAAGACTTACTAAGGAAGCGCAACGTGTCACTTCGCGTGGACTGGCGGCCGGCACATCACCTTATCAATATCTGCTTCGTGTTTCTTCAATGCCACGTCACCACATCCACGTGGCCGCCCCGCTAATCTAATCTCGCACGGCGGGTCTCGCCGGGGGTGTGATCCCGTTTGAGAGGCGTTTGAGACATTCCCTTGGGACGGGGACCTAGCTAATAATTTTTTCCAGCGCATCACCCAATCTCCTCTCATCTCATCTCATCCCTGTCTCTCTCCCTTTCTCACCCACACATCTTCTCTCACAGCTGCCACTTGGACTCAGCATAAGACACCAACACTATGGCCAACGTCGCTGATAACGAATTCCCATCTGGGGTTACTCCCTTTTCCAAACGGACTCAACCGCGCGTACTGTGCATGTTCGATGTGGACGGGACCTTGTCTCGCTCCAGAAGGAATGCCACGCCTGAAATGTTCGCAACGTTGAAAGCGTTGAAGGAGTACTGTGCGGTCGCGGTAGTCAGTGGGAGTAACGTGCCGAAGACGGAGGAACAGTTGCATATTCCAGGCCAGACCGGTGAGTTGTGCTCAATCCATGCACCTGTCCAGATGATAGATGGCTCACAACCGGCTTGGACAGTCCAAGACACATTCGATTATGTTCTTGGGGAGAACGGTCTGACTCCTTTCAAATTCGGCAAGTCATTGCCTACCAACTCATTCATCCAGCACGTCGGAGAGGACGAGTACAAAAAAATGGTCAGCTGGATCATGAGGTATCTCGCAGATCTCGATATTCCCATCAAGCGGTGAGCCATCACTGATCTTCCCAAACCCTCAAAGCCCAATTGCTGATGTTTTCACATACAGAGGAACTTTCATCGAGTTCCGAAAGGGAATGATCAATGTGTCACCCATCGGTAGAAACTGCTCCAATGAAGAGCGAGACCAATTCGAGATCTACGACAATGTAAGCATTACTCCAGCCAACTTGTGGTGGAAGAGCCTATTACCGGCCTACTGACCTGAGTGGGGGCGCAGGAGCACCACATTCGAAAGAACATGCTTACCGCTATGAGAAAAGAATTTGAACACCTCGGATTGACCTACTCCATCGGTGGACAAATCAGTTTTGACGTGTTCCCTCACGGTACGTCGGCAAGGCCCTCCTAGACCTGTTGGGACTTTCATTTGACCTCGAGTCTTAGGCTGGGACAAGACTTATGCTTTGAAGCACGTCGAGAATGAGGGCTTCGACGAGATCCACTTTTTCGGTGACAAGGTGGGTTGACTGAGCTATGAGACGCTGGACTCTGCCCTGACCTACACCTTTCCCTCAGACTATGGAGGGAGGTAACGATCATGAAATTTATGAGGATCCACGAACCATCGGACACACCGTCAAAAACCCCGAGGAGACCATCGTTCTGCTCAACAAGCTGTTCCTCAAGAAGGAATAGATTGAGAAAGGGTTTGGGACCTCGGAAACCAGGCACATAATCAGACTTTTAGACGACATTCACGGGGGCATCTCGGCCTTCTCCACAATCATGCATCCTGGCGCTGATCGCTGCCACCTGCCTTTGCGGCTGTGTTTTGCCGACAACGATGACGCCTCATGCACCTACATCGACACCCAAAGCCACGGCTACCTCCTCCTTGCCCCTTCTCAGCAAGGTCTCTGCGAATTCGTAGCCTTCTTTCTTGTCCAAAACTCGATCACAAAGCTCTCCGTACGCCTCAGAGATCTTGCTCAGCGCAGTATGATGGATTTGCTCGGCAAGAAAGGCTGACCCTAAAAGAGCGAGGCGAGGTGAAGTTAAGACGTCGATCTGCGTCAAGAATGTCGAAAACGTTGTCAAGGCCTGGGTGAGGAGTTTAGGGCTTGTCGCCGGGAGGCGTGAGAGTGGCGTCTGAGCCAGGAGAAGTCAGCTCTGTCATTCAATAGTACAGGAAGAGGATGCCGTAACTCACATCTGCTGGTCGATTGCGTATGGTCTTCATGATTGGCGCTAGACCAGACTGCTCCAAGAGATTTCCATGCTACGCCATCAGAGTCAGATGATGCAAGAGCCTGTGCGTCCGTACTACTGCTACTCACATGCTCAAATGTCATCGATTCGACATGCTGTTGTATTCTCGTTTCAAGCATGTCGACTTTTTCTTTCGTGAATGGATAACTCTCGAGCGTATGCTCGAGGTAGCCCAAACAGTTGATCAAGAAGATGTCCTTGTCCCAGCTCGTGGCTCCCTTTCGAAGATCCGCGACGCGTTCACACATTTCAATGGCGGGATCGACGGCCTTCTCCAAGAGGGTCGAAAAGTCACTATCATTTGGACGATCGGCAGGATCCACGAGGGATGTCTCGTAGACTGCTATGAGCTCGCGCAGGATTTGGCACGAGTCCCGGAGAGCCACTGGGGGAGTGAGAGTGGCATCTGGTGGCTGGAGCACGAGAGTTAAGATTACTCCATTGGCTAGGGTGAAGACGCTTACATGGAGGAACCGAAGCAAGGAACGCCCCTGCGCATCCAAAGTCTCGAAGAAAGCGGCATTGGACTGTTCGTAGATTCTTGGTGAACGCTCAGCTTGGCCTGGATTCACAGCGACGATCGACTCACTGCTGCAAGGTCTTGCACAAGCCGGCGTCATCGCCGATTGTTTTCCTCATGGTAACGAGGTAAAATTGCAAGAGGTTGGTCACCTTGTATGTCATGATGATTCCCTCTTGCGATTTCACCGTCTGCTGTATTCGCATCTGATTGTCGTCAGCATCGGAGGCTTGATGCGCTGCACTCACCTTGAGTGGCCTGCTGAGTCCATCTAAATCCTTGTCAAGTGCATCCCGGACCATGGCTTCCTCGACATCCAACTCTGCATCTTTGAGTCTTTCGCTGCCCATCATTCGTTTTCTCTCGCGGACGCCGAATAAACTTTCGAGGAACTCGTGTTCTGACGCAGTGGCTTGATGGACCCATGCCAACATATCTCCGACGTATCGAATGGGATCGTGAGCATGCAGTTCGATAGGTCGAGGTAGACCGTTAGGACCGCCTCGGGTCAATGCTTCGAGGAATGAATTGAGCAGAGAGGATTGGCGGGTGGAAGTTAGGTTAGACAATGCGTCACTGGGAGACGCGCCGATTTAGCAGCCTTATTGTTGGATCTAGGACGGGGTCAACTCACTCCAACAAAGCTGGCCTCTGCCTCAATCTGCGGATAGCTTCTCGTAATACTGGCGAGACCTCCACATGGCCCTCTTTCGTGAACTGTCGGAACTCAAATTGACACCGTCGATGGATCTTCTTGTATCCGCTTTCCATCTGCTCCGAGGTGAGAGCCATGATGTCTAGTCTGAGAGATCGGGTCAGATTGCGAAGTCTATGCATTAGCGTCGAGGTTTTACCTACCCCGCCTGCATCTTTCCTTCCTCTCCGCTCAAGAGAGCCTGACAATCCCTCCGTATAGCAATGACATGATCTAATGCGTCGAAGACAGCTTGACTAAGACCGACATCCCATGATGTCAGAGCTTTCTGCTCGTCCTCTGTTAGAGTGAATCGAGCCAAGAACAGATTGACGAGGTCCAATTTGAGTTGAGCTTCGGCTCTGGACGAAACGTCCATGAGCTCAGACGTACTAGGTCGACGCAGAGAAACACCGAGCTCACCGTTGAGTCCTCAGACCATCTGCACGTTCCAGGAGATATTTCGTACCGCTGTTCGCTTGATCCAACTCAGCTTGTACCTGATCACAGCGAATCTGCATATCTTCCATGTGTTCTCGCAGGACATTGAGTTTCTTTGAGGTCCAGTCATGAGCTCAAGCTGCCGACGGTTTTCGATCATCTACTCACTTTGTCCACCTCGCCAAATATTTCGAGAAATTTCAGACTCCCAGAAGCCATCTTATTCTCGACGTCCTTCTTCAGGTACTTTCTAGCCATGGCCGCACTTTCTCCTTTGGCGGCTCGACGCTGAAGACCCCAATCATCCTCGTCTTCCCCGGCCTCGAAACCATTGACGCTGGCTTTGGCTTTGGCCTTTCCCTTACCAGCGTAGAGCTGAGACGCTATCTCCAGTGCCTCTCTGGAGCTTGGATCATCGAATGTCGTCCCTATCGCCTTGTAGATACGCAGAGAGAGGGGATTGTTACGCGATGCTGTCGTGGGGACTGGAATGGAAGATGACGGTATAGAGATGGACGTAGAGCGTCGAGTCATGGAAGGGCCTGACTCGACGGTGGTCATGGCTGGTGAGGAGTCGCGCGCCAGAGGTCCACTGCTGGCTTGATATATGTGCTATCGTCGCTGGCACCTGTAATCCAAACTGCCGGGGATGTGTCTGGCCATTCCATCCCTCGCTGGGCTTTAATACGGTATCCCCGTCGAGATCCCCCCATTGTGAACAGATTTCTAATGACTTTCAGCGTTTCATTAGCGGAATCAAATCGGCAGGAAATAAGAGAAATGGGGGAGGGGAGGGAGGGGCACACGCTGTCCATTTTTCAATTCTCACCGTCTCTCTCTCTCTCTCTCTCTCTTTGAGCTTTCGTCATTCAACCATCCATCCATCGCATTCTGGTCATCGAACAAGCGTGGGCTGGCTACACCCAAACCTCAACGAGGGGGGTTTCGATAAGCAGTCAGGATGCAGAACAACAGGGCCAATCTGTGAGTTCACGCCTTTTCCAATGAGAACACCGGGCGATGGGGGGGCATGGGCTCCTACCGGCTCATGAAATCCCTCCCCTCCCCTTGGAATCTCAAACGTTTTCATCCAATGTCACATCCGATCCCAGCAACGTGCATCATACTACATCGAGGCTCTACGTGATCCTCGAGCACTGTTACTCTTTCGTTCTCAACCCTTCTCCAGACCCCATCTGCTATCACGTATACTGACAAATGCATTCATCTAGGTCTCGCAAGATTAGGATCACAAGTAAGTCAGCGAGCGAGTCCCAAAAATAGCTAGATTCGACTAGTCTGCTCTCTCCAATGTTCCGGGTCCGCATCATTCGACCTGTCTCTTTTGGGTCGTGTTCCACAGAGGCAACGATCCTCTGGTGGAATGGAGTCGATGCGTGTGATCCAGGCCATGGCTTGCATAGCATCCTCGGTCTCATCCTTCGCACCAACGCCTCATGCCCGGAAAATCCCTCACTGTCCCTCCTTTATGCCTCAACTGATCTTCTGCCCCCTTCACTCTCAGTTGTCGCTGCGGACTCGCTCATCAAGCGTGATCTTTTGCGTCTCCCCGACCCCTTCGCCATCGTATCGGTCGATGGGGAGCAGATCCACACAACTAGCGTGATCAAAAAGACGCTCAACCCCTACTGGAACGAGAATTTTGACATGTGAGTTTTCTTCAAGACAGGAGACCACTTCCTGACGTATGCCAGCGATGTCAAGGACTCGTCTGTTGTCGCCGTTCAAATCTTTGACCAGAGGAAGTTTAAGCGAAAGGTATTTACCAAGACAAATGAAGCTGTGCTGAAGGCCTCCATCAGAGCGATCAAGGTTTCCTCGGCGTGATCAATGTCAAAGTGTCCGATGTCATCGATATGGAAATGGGCGGGCAAGGCGAGTAGACATCGCCCAAGATAAACCAGCTGACACATGCCGCAGAAATGCTCACCCGAGAGTTGAAGAAAGGCTCTGAACAAATCGCGGTCAACGGTAAACTCATTGTCTACCTTTCCACACAGACCAACTCGCCCATTCAGAACCCTGGTCCATCTGCCTCTCAGTCTAACTCAGTCATCCAAACCGCTCAGAGTGCTTCAAGCAATAGCATTCCTAGCGCTGGAGCTTCTGGGTCTCGACCGACATCCCAGGTCCAACCTGAGAGTCCGTCTGCCCGATTGCCTGTGATCACACAACCTTCTTCCGCCGTTCCTCAACCTCTTAACCCGAATGCCAACGCCGCCGCTGCCAGTGGAGCACCGACTGTGCCTCCTACAGCTCAGGCCGCCGCGACTGGACTGACCGGTAACCAACCCGGACACCAATTTGACTCGCATGCCGATCAGCAGGGTCCCCTGCCTGCTGGTTGGGAAAGACGAATCGACCACTTGGGACGACAGTATTACGTCGATCATAACACGCGATCAACGACATGGAACAGGCCAACTGACAGTCAAGTGTCGAACAACGCCACCCAGGCCAACTCGACTGGAGAGGCTCGAGCCAGACACAACGCGAGAACATTGGCCGATGACATGCTGGATGTTCAGCAGAGCGGCGGAACCGGTACTCAGACGCCAACAGGAGGCGCAGCAGCCGCTGGTGGAGCTATTCCAAGTGGCAACGCTACGACTGCCGGATCTGGACCCCTACCAGCTGGATGGGAACAACGATTTACGCCTGAAGGACGTCCGTACTTTGTGGACCACAACACTCGCACAACTACCTGGGTCGACCCACGACGTCAACAACTCATACGAGTCATTGCTCCCGGTCAAGGCAACTTGTCAGTCCAACCTCAAACCGTCAGCCAATTGGGACCTCTGCCTTCCGGATGGGAAATGCGACTCACATCTACCGCTCGAGTCTACTTTGTGGACCATAACACGAAGACGACGACATGGGACGATCCCCGTCTGCCGTCCTCGCTTGATCAGAACGTACCTCAATACAAGCGAGACTTTAGACGAAAACTCATCTACTTCCGATCTCAGCCTGCTCTTCGATCCAACACGGGTCAATGCCATATCAAGGTGTCTCGAGAAAACATTTTCGAAGGCTCTTACACCGAAATTATGCGTCAGACTCCCAACGATTTGAAGAAGCGATTGATGATCAAGTTTGAAGGTGAAGATGGTCTCGATTACGGTGGTCTGTCACGAGAATTCTTCTTCCTCTTGTCTCACGAAATGTTCAATCCTTTCTACTGTCTGTTCGAATACTCTGCACACGACAATTACACTTTGCAGATCAACCCCAATTCTGGAGTCAACCCTGAGCATTTGAACTACTTCAAGTTCATCGGTCGAGTCGTCGGATTGGGTATCTTCCATCGTCGATTCCTGGATGCCTACTTCATCGTCTCATTCTACAAAATGATCCTCAAGAAGAAGATTGCCATTCAAGATCTCGAATCAGTCGATGCGGGTCTTCACCGTGGTCTTACTTGGATGTTGGAGAACGACATCACTGATGTCATTGAGGACACATTCTCCATCACTGAGGAGCACTTTGGTGAGGTCGTCACTGTCGATCTGAAGGAGGGCGGAAGGGATGTTGAGGTCACGGAGGACAACAAGAAGGAATATGTCGAGTGAGCCGTTCGATTCTCCTACTATCTTTCCCTGCTGAAACACTTCAGCCTTGTCACTGAATACCGTATCTCTCGACGTGTTTCTGAGCAATTCGATGCCTTCATGTCTGGATTCAACGAGCTCATCCCTCAGGAGCTCATCAACGTCTTCGACGAGAGAGAACTTGAGTTGCTCATTGGAGGAATGTCCGAGATCGATGTGGACGATTGGCAAAAGCACACTGATTACCGTGGCTACAATCCGTCGGACGAAGTCGTCGAATGGTTTTGGAAAATTGTCAAGGCGTGGCCAGCGGAGCGCAAGTCGCGTTTGCTACAGTAAGTCTAGATAATATTTACTTCTGCTCAACGCTTGCAGATTCTCCACCGGAACGTCTCGAATCCCTGTCAACGGCTTCAAGGATCTTCAAGGGTCTGACGGACCTCGTCGCTTCACCATTGAAAAGGCTGGAGAGGCCCACATGCTGCCGAAGAGTCACACTTGTTTCAATAGAATCGATTTACCTCCCTATCCAAGCTATGATCAACTGGAGCAGAAATTAACCATTGCAGTGGAGGAGACCATGGGGTGAGTCCTTGAGATTGATACGGAAATGTAGCTGACGTCCTCTCAGTTTCGGACAAGAGTGATCTGTCTCACTACCTGTGAAGATCGCTACGCGCGACCGGCAGCTCAAGAATATACTGTACTTTTATAGCCTATTCCCCTACGGTTTCGGTTTTCTTTCTCTCACCACTCTGAGCATCACCGACGCTCGAATTACACGCGCACTTATGTGCTCTGAACCTACATTCTACGCCCTTATGTCTCCGTTTCTCTATTAGATGATTCTTTTTTTGATCGATCTATCGTGACAATGTATGTCCTCAATGCGTGTTGCAGGGAATCCGGACTTTTGGCAGATTCGTCCGGACTCGCGGGATTCTTGAAATATTCGAGTGCTGTATCAGGATATTTTGCATTCACTCGTTTCACAGTCTAGATTTACAGAACTCAGGATGGCGGAGAGCAAGCCAGCAGTGGTGAGTGGAGAAGGAGAAGTCTGCTGCGTCTGGCGATCGTCCGCTCGGATGTTATACATGCCGCGGGCCGTTGCATCCTCCAAAGCTGCCTGGTCATGGATCAGCAGGATCTAAGGCTGACACTTCTCGTCTACAGGCCAGTAGTAGTCGGAAACAATGGGACAAGTCCGAATGGGAGGCCAAAGCCAAAGCGAAAGATGAACAAAGTGTGGAAGCTGCGAAAGCTGCAGACGCAGCGATAAAGCAGGGTGAGTGTGAACGGCTTCGAAGACGGCAGGCAGTGTTGGCTTCTCAAGCCTTTGTTGATCTCTCTGGGTCCACAGGGAAGAAGCCGAGATTCAACATTGAGGATCTACCGAAGCCTACCAAGGCGCTTGAAGCTAGGACGGAGGACTTGGGGTTGGAGAAGAATTTGAACAAGACTATGCTTGTTCAAACTTCTACGACGGGAAGAGGGCCGAAAGGAGCGGGATACTACGTGAGTGGTGGTGGTGGTGGGTCTGTCAATCGAGATTTTACGAGCCGGTGGTTGGTGAAGCGACGAGACGTCACTAGACAACGTGCTCTAGGTTAGGTTGTCCTTGAGGGATGGAGTCGATTGGCAGTATACGCTCAGTGGCACGTTGCTGATGCCTTTGTTCAGTGCGAACTGTGTAATCGGACATTTCAAGACAGTCTGTCATACCTGGACCATGTGAACGGACGTTTTCGTGAGCTATGACAATCGAGGAGGAATATGATGATGAGCTGACGCTTGCTAGACCTTCGCCGTATGGGCCAGACGACTCAGGCAGCTCGATCGACTCTGACTCAAGTGCGTGAAAAGATCCGACAATTGAGAGAATCGACAGCCGTGAAGGTGACTGCGAAGAACTATGATTTCTCAAAACGTTTAGCAGAGGTCAGGCAAGTGGAGATGGACGAGAAGCAACGTAGGAAGGAAGAGCGGAAGCGGAAAAGAGAGGAGAGGCGGGAAGAGCAGGAACTGGGCAAGATGGGGATCATCAAAAGATCCAAAGTCGATGAGGTTGCGCCAATTGGTCAGGCCGGGAAATCGAAATCAAAGTCAAAAGCAAATGGTGACAAGGGAGGACCGGGGGACAGGGAAGACAAGGAAGTCTTGCAGGCTAAACAGCAGCACGACGACATGGCTGCTATGATGGGCTTTGGAGGCTTTGGCGGTGGCAGAAAGAAGAAGTAGGGATCTCAGATGGCAATGGTCATCTTGTTGTATAATCCTCGAGAGGGGAAGGTCATGCCACGTACTGTCACGTACTTCAGAGGTCCAATCGTCCTGCGCGGTGTGCCTGCCAGAGAGAGATACGATGAGCTCCTGAGCGTGGGGAATCCCCTTTGCAGCACTTCAGAGGTCAAAACAGACAAAGCCCCTACGGCGCGACTGACGATTCTCCAAAAAGTCAAAATTCCTAAGCTCAACATATTACCTACCCTCCGTTACTCGTCGCTTGCGAGCCAGACGCCATGTTCAGCTCTCCAGCTCCTCGAGCGACTCCGCGTCGTCGAGCCAGAGAGTCCATGTCTGTCTCTTCACGCGCGACGCCGTCCTTATATTCCGAGTCTGAAGCTGGGACAGGCACATTGAAGCGCAGTAACAGTCTGCGTTATGGAGGACCGCTGACACCGTCTGTCCGTTCCGCTCGCGTCAATGCTCTGAGACGAAGAGAGGAGAGTGAAGTCTCATCTGCTGGAGAGACTATCCGGACGGCTAGGATGGACCTTGGGGATGGTTCAGGATTAATTTACGCCAGGGACGAACGGTTGTGTGTCAGCAATGTGGGAGGACTACCGAGGGAGGCTCAAAATCACTTTGAACCAGGGAGTGGGTCAATCTCTCAGCTACTTGGCCGAGTTTGAATACGCTGAGACCTATCCTTAGGAACCGTGACTGGCCATATCGATCCTCTGTCTGGCTTTGCGGTCGTTTGCTCGTCAGAGGGATGCACTGCGTGGAATTACCAGAGGGCAAGTCTGATGTCGTTCAAGCTTGACCGTCTGCTGATGTGCTGTTCCCCAGCATACAAATTCCTCCCCAACATGCTATAGCTTCCCCGCACCTGCTCCTGCCACCGGCGTTCGACCATCTAGATCGCCTGTATGCGTCGCTTTTTGCCCCGTGTCCAGTGCGACGGATCCTGGTCTGGTCATGGTGAATGCCTCGGGCGAATTGAGATATTGGGAGACGACGAGTCTCGCTTTGGTCAACATAGATCGATGTCAGGTCGCTCACATGGACCTTTCGGGGCAAGAGCGTGTGGAAAGAGTCTCCCGAATCGAGGTAAGAGATGTTCCATGACCGTATATTCGCCTGACTTCTGCTGATGAGATCTCGGCAGGACAACATATTTATCATCACCACATCTGCATCCTCTGCGTTCCGACTCGGCATCACGAGTCATTCTGGACGCTCAAACCTTCTTCTGTCACCTCTTACGAGACCAGGGGGAATGTTTGGTCGCGCTTCACCTCAAATATTCCCTAGATCAGAGGATCGTGAGGGTATCGTGTCAATAGCAAACGTGGACGATTGCACGTATCTCTTGGGAAGCGGCGGAACCCTTCAGAAATGGTCCCTTTCCGCTGAGAGTCATCGAGTAAGGTCTCAACACATACCGAGTAAACCTTCTGATTTTCGACAGTTTGTCCAGGACCTCAATCTCGCCGACTTGGCTAGGACTGCGCTAGCTGAATACGAATGGCACGACGAGGCCTATAGGTTGAGCATTCTGGATGTGCAGGCGAATGGGTTCGTACAACACAATGAAACAGTGAAGTCTTTCGTTGACGTCGCTCGACAATCGTAGTCCGTCGCAATTGGCCATACTCGTCGCGTCGGAAGAGCAGCAGTCTTCGTCCTCTTCGTTCCATCGTGCGCAGGCTCTGTCGATTATCATTTTCAGCACGGATCCGCGGAGCCAGTCTCTGAGTCAGATCAGTGCGGTACCCGTATCCTATGTTGCGGTGAGCAGATTGCCAATCATCGTTGTACCATGAAATGACTGGTCCACGTCCAGGATCATTCGTCTTCCCAAAGCCAGGCACCACGACTGTATATTCCATTCGGAAGTCATCTGTCATTCCTGCAGTTTAAAGATACAATCGTCATAGTCTCTCTCTCTAACAGTGTGTCGGGCATGTCCATTTGTTCGCGCATAACTGATTCGCTTTCCAGATGAGCCATACGAGAATGTCCTCTCGCTCAAGGACGCTCAACGAAATGCGTTCATCGGCGTGGGCAGTAAGGATTTCCCGGTGGATCCCGCGCGCAGACCGCTCGGCCCGCCACTGGTCATAATGCCCATCGTTGGCGGTCTGATGGGTGTAGAGATCTACGATGGTCCGGTCGAGAAGCAGTGAGTTGCAAAGTTCGTTCATCAGCCAAGCTGATCTCTTCAGATCACGGATGAGCGTGTCTACCGCGGCTCTCAAGTCCAAGATCGAGCAGGCAGTTTTCTATGGCCATCGAGCGGACGTAAGCTCCCATGGCGATTCCACATCGAATGCGCGAGCTCACTATGATTCAGAACCCATTATCCTTCGATCTTCCGGCGGATTTTAGAGGCAATATCTCGCAAGCTGCAGAAGCGGTGTCCGAGGAAATTCTAGAGTCCAGTGAGACACTTGGTGGACTTCGTCCAGAATACGACGCTGATGATCCATCCCAGGTTCGCCACATCTGCCACCCTCATTTGAGCTGAAAGCTCACCTCATGGATCGACTTAACAACCACCTCGAACTGATCGCGTTCATCCGCGGCAACGGTCAGATGTCGGAGGTGAGATTCCCCCTCTTCAATGATTTAAGCGGTCGGGTCTGACACCTCTAAGCTATCTCAAGCTTCACGCAGACGCTTGTCGCGCGATGCGGAGAAGGCCAAAGCCGCTATGGAACTCTGGGAGCATCAGAACAGATTGATGGAGTGAGCTAAAAGCATATGGCGAGTCGGGATTTTCGGCTGATACCGACCGGCCAGACACATTCACGATCGTCCGTCACAATCGTTGCTGGCGGATACAATCGCTGCTTTGATGGAGGAGCTTGGGGTCATGGGTGAAGGCGATCTTGTGCGGACCTTCTTCAGAACTCAGGTGAGGCGTTATGTTGAAGCATCTCGTCTCGCGATCTGATAAGATTTTCAGGTGGCGCATTTGGATCGACTATTGGAGATTGTTCTAATCAAGCTTCGCACTGCTCTGCCAAGCTTGAGCAATCGTGAGGATATGACTGCTATGGTTCTGGAAGCCAACAGGATCATAATCGTGAGTCGCCGTAGTCTCGACACCTCGCCGCAGCTCAACTCTGTCAGCTGGTCGTAAGGGTGGCCTCTACTTTCCGCGAAGATCAGGGCGCAGCATATGAGGTGGATATGGATCGACCTGAGATCTCACTGTGGACAGCAAAAGACAGCTTAATTGACGGATTGGACTTCCTGTACACTACAACCGAGCATCTCATCAAGGACCGGACACGGACGCTCGGTTCTGTAATCGACGAATCGTCGAGTGGAGATCGCGATTCCGAGAATAGACCACAGAGACAGAGACAAGCTCTGTTGAAAGATCAATTGACGCAATTGGCAGCTGCCCTGTGTGCTCAGATGGAAGACAGGTTGAGACGAGCAAAGTCAGTCGCACTCGCATCACATGAATCAGGGCTGATGCGCCTCTTCACAGGAGACAGATGAGCGAGGGAGCCGATCCACAAGAGGGCCTGGCATTACAGAAGCGATACGATCTCCTCAAACCCCGTGTCATTCGCCCGCTTGGTCAGTCGTCTCCATTGGCCTGTGCGACTTGAGTTGACTTCTGCGATAGTTGCATTTGATAAAATTGCTCAAGCATACGAGCTTGCAGAGCACCATGCCGACTTCGCAACCCTGGTTTGGCTCTGCCACGAGCCGGCGTCTGCCAGTGGGCCAACGAGGATACAGGCATACATCGAACGACTTGGCGAGGAATTTGTGTTTGTCCTGTATCAATGGTATATCGACCAGGGTGAGCCATCTCGTATTGCCAACTTAGGAAAGACTAACGAGGATACTAGGACGCCTATACGATCTTCTAAGTCAGGATCCCGTCTACGGGAACCTCCTGACCAAGTTCTTCGAAAATGGTGATCACCCTGAACTCGCCTGGATGCACCATGTCGCTTGTGGGAGGTTCGCGGACGCGGCATCTGATTTGATGTATGTGAACAAGTCCGAAAAGGTCCTGGTTCAAAAGCATGTGAGGTTTGCCATACGCTTACACGAGGATATTTCTGACAACGTGCGGCCCACAGCTCGTCAGCAGTATCGCCAAACTCGCCTCGGTGATTGATATCAAGAAGAACAGGCCAAGCCAACAGTCTCAAGCTGTACTTTCAGGTCAGTCAGTCGCGGATCGACTTGCAGAACCGCACTGACACGCATAAAGGTATCGATCAAGAGCTCGAGCTAGTCCAAGTACAGACAGAGCTCAGGGAAGCAATTCTCTCAAGTTTACCGGACCGTCGACATTCAAAGACTGCTATACAGAAATACATCGACGACCGATTAGCGTCGCTCTCTGAACGCCCGGCTTTCCAGTCCCTTCTTGGTCGGCTGATTGAGCGATTGCTTGAAGGAGAAGCACTGGACTTGGAGGAACTAATCGACGTTTTGACTCTGAACAACGACCCATCGAGGACCGGGGACGGAGCTTTGGCCTTGGATCGATTGTCACGAGACGACGTGAGTGGGGTTCCTAGGGACACACCCTTGTTTCAACGCTGAAAATGTCCTGTAGAGCTTGCCAGAAAGTCGGAAACAAGTATGTCTCTTGTCCATCTGGCGACGGATATTTATCCACGACGAGTGAGCTGTCGAACGTGATTGCTCGTTGATACTCGCTGATCGGTACCCTCCAGTTGGACGACCATTTCTCAAACTGCTGGACGGAGTGAAGAGTCACAGCGGAGAATGCTTCGGAGCACCCTCACGTATCACACCATCAAAGCCATCAACACCATCGAGGGTATGTCATCCACCTTTGCTTTGCCTAGTGGTATGACACTGACCCCTGACTCACTCAGAATTTCCATCGGCGTATATTCTCGCGCCGTATACCTGTACTCAAGCCCCGACGCCCAAGGAGGTATCTGCTCGACTCACAGACTATCCTCCAAGCGATATTGCAGCTCTGTTGTTGGATCATGACTCTGAAATCCAGATCCTTGAGCGGTATATTGAACAGAGTGATCTTGAGCAGAGGGTGAAAGAGGTGGCAGAGTTGGTCAGGAGAGACGTACAGGACGAGGCTGATGATGATGATGATGATGACGACGCGATGGCGATGGAAGTGTAGATACATGGGCGATGATGCAACCGCTGTAGCGAAAAGATCTGCATCATCTCATTAAAGGGGGGAATCAAGGCCTGGAAGTCACTATGAATACCTAAACTACTTGGTGTTTGTTCCGTCAGATGGAAAGGAAAATTATTACAGATGCTTTTGTATTACGCAGAAAGCGCCGCATCATTGTCGACCTGGCTCAAAGAGAGCACTTTCGCGGTTCCACCCTCTTGTCTCGTACGACATGAGTCCGACTGTCTCACATCGTTCTCGCCATGATCTCTGTCAGCCGAGATCCTTCGTCTTCTCACGTCGTCCCATCTTTGCTCGCCGTGATCGATCGTGCATACGTTTATCGACCTCTAGCCGCCCTAGCTGCGGCTTCTCGCGCCGCTTGTCGTTCAGCAAGATCCACTCCGACCAGCTGTCGCAAATCAGCTATGGCCGGATCATGATCAAAGGCGAAGTGAATGAACTCACGATTTTGCTAGCTTTCCAGAACTGAACGACGTTGATGACTTGCTTGAGGGCGCAGACCGGCGCAGTCAGCCAAAAGACGAGTTGAGCCCAAGTGACATTTCCGAGCGTCTCAAGGAGGTAGTCCAGAGGTGCTGGAGTATGATAAAGAATTTGACGGACTGGAAGAAGGTGAGACAGGTATTTGATGAGGACAGAAGAGTGGATCGGAGTCTTCTCGTAGAATGCGAGGTAGGCACAAACGAAGCATACTTCGTTGGCGAAGCATACGGTAAACAGAACATTCTACAGGGGGTCAGCAATAGAGTGGAGAAATGTCGGAAAGCTGGGCTCACCCTGTTGTGATAATAGTACCATAGAATTCTGGATACGTCGGATGTGACTGCCTTGTGACTTGATGAGCCAGTCACTAGAGAACTGTACATGTGAATGTAATGGGATGAAAAGTCTAGAGTGATGAGGAACATGATGAGCAGAGAGTGGTTGGTGTAAGTAGCCGAGAGGAAGCATAACAGGCAAGCTGTAGCGCAGCTGGAGCGAGAAAACCGGTCAGTCATGCACGCTATAGGAGAGTCAACCTTGCTCGACGTACCGATCCGTGACCATGTCCAATACGGCTCCGAATTTGCTCTCTTGACCCAACTTTCTCGCGGCCATTCCGTCAAACACATCCAGAATACAACTGATAAAGTAGATGAATGTGCACACTTTCGGATGCGTCGGCATGATGTATAGTGAGGCGGCGGCAGTGACGACCCGAATGTAGCCAATGACATTCGGGACAAACAAGTAGACGTTTTCATGTCTGACGAAAGGCTGTCAGCAAGGGGCTTGAAAAGGCCGCATAAGCAAGAGATAACTCACGAGCGATTCCTGTGGAAGGGGGCAGAAGGGACGGGAAGCATTAGTAGGGGATCATGAATGAGTGCTGACGATTCGAAACAGACTCACGCCAGCCCGAGAGCACTACAAGAGAACAGGTCAGCAAGTTATTCTCAAACCACGCATATTATCGCCTCGGGCAATCACAGAATGACGCTGACCGAGGGATTTGAACTGTGGTCCAACTCACTAGTTCGGATCTACGACATCTTCCTGCCTCGCTCGACTCCCTTCTCGTACTCTGAGCCCCTTCTCTCCATCCAACGTCTGGGACTTGACTGCGGTAGATGTCGATGAGGAGGATCCGGCATTCTGCCTCTCCGGGGTGCTCTGTTTAGACCGAGTTGTAGGTGCCATGGTGAAATGAGATTGACAAAGCTGTTTGCGGTCGACGAACCGGATGGTAGATGATACGAAGAGATCTCTTGTGCAAGGTCTTGATTTGAAGAGCCTCAGCTATGGCTCTTCGAGCCAGACCCGTTACGATATACGTCGGACAAGGAGGGTGTGTTATGGTCCAAGATTTGTGACGGCGATGTATGCCGGCCTTTGCCTCATTGCATGAACCCTTCGGGGCAACGGGCAAGCCCGTCAACTGAAATCCTAATCGTTTGCTAATGATGACCGTCTTTACATTAGGAATTAAATCCTAATGCTTTTGGAGTTTGTTATCGACCGAGACACTGCTTGGGTCAGCCGAAATGCTCATGAGCCTCCTCTCCTGCCCACTGCGATTCCTCACGTCGCATCCAGAAACCCCATGACTTACCTCACTGAGCATCTCACTTTTGGTCCAAGTACCAGCTCGAACGAGAATGCCGGTGCACTACCAGGTCCCGGGTCTCATCTCGTCATATCCGACTGTCTAGCATCCCCAGCTACATTCACACTGTACCACCTCCTTCAGGCGGCCATAGGCAGACGATTGCCCGTGATCTTCATAGATATCAGAGGGGAAGGCAAGAAGAGTTTGGAGGCTGTATTGAGGAGACTTGTGAGTGAGGTTCATACTACCTGATACTGGCTAATTGACGAGCAGGGAACGGCTATGCCAAAGTCTTCTGAGATCTTTTCGTACATCTCGCCTGTGTCCTTCCCGTCGACAAACGTCGAGGCGCCCGAACCCTGTCTATTCGATGAAGAAGGTCGACATGACCTCAAGCCATTGTACGCCAGGATTGCATCACGCATCTCAGATCAAGACACGCTCGTCATTCTCCATGGACTATCGGACATAATGAGTATGGGAATACCGACCCAAGATGTGCATCGCTTTGTTCGAGCTGTCGACGCAGCTGTCCGCAAAGTGAGCCGATACCCTGCTTGAGAGAGCCATCACCTGGCTCTCACTCGAGGCAGTCACCGACTGACACCTTACAGGCATCCTGTATCCTCGTGACGACCCTTCACGCCGATGGACTCGCTGAAGGATCCCTCACGAACGATCAAGTCCTCCTTGAAAAGCTGCTCCGGTCCGCGACTGCCTGGTGGAGAGTCGAAGAACTTCAAAGTGGCAGAAGTGGTGACGTTCACGGCGAGGTGAGAGGATCTTTCACAGGTCCGCATGTTCGTTCTGAAATTCGGGCGGCCCCCAGATATCGTCACACCCCTTGGCGACGAATGGTAATGAGACATCAGTGCCCAAAAGCCACCCTCTTCAATACCGGCTGGAGATGAACACTGTCAAGGTATTTGCGAAAGGTACCGGTAGAGGTTACCTTTGAAGGCATTCGACGGATCCGATACTGCGTCCGAGATCAAACGCCATTCACAAGGCCACTCTCGCTGTTTATACAGCCCGTCTATAGCGATCTTCAATCGGACGTGCATGACGATCGGCCTCAATGAACGTCAATTGTCAATGTAGGACCCTGTCTCGTGATTGGCGGAACTGCTTGCTCTCCGGATCCAAAGCGTCATCAATCATAGCCGAGACCGAAGAGTTGTCCTGCCACTCACTTCGAGTCGCCTTGCCATAGCAGAGCAGATGCATATGCGATTGTGCTAGGTCTAGCCGTACGATGCAGTTGATGTCTTTGATTCTGATGACTACCTTATCTTTATGATAACAGCTACGATTGACCCAATGTTCTCCACCACGCTTCCACGAATTTCCCCAGTGGAGGTCCAGCGTCTGGGATGGCACACGACAAGCTGTGACGCGCTCCGTGAGCGGCAAAGATACCTTGGTAATGTAGAAGGATAGCGGCGACAATAGCGACGTGCCATAGCTGTGGGACGTGTCAGGAGATGTCATGGCCATCAAACTCACCTGATGACTGTGTCCGAGATGGTCAAATTTGCCCGGCATGAGGCACTCTGGAAAGTGAAACCCATAACAGAGAAGGCCCACGACATAGGCCACAACGGATCCGAAGAATGGTCCTGTGGTCGCGTCAGATAAGCTGGAGATATTCACAAATTGTGCATGTTGGCAACCCACGAATGAAGCCTATGCTTGGACCGTATCCATACAGGTAGACCATCTGTCCCAAAGGGCCGAGGAAGGTGAAGCAAAGGAAGAGGAAGAATGTGATGCGCCATTTCTGAAAAAGCATCAGACACTGGGTTCGACTGTATCGAGCGATCCTCTACTCGCCTTGTTCTTGCGCTTGTTGAACCACGCTTGGAATGGCAAGACGGATCCAAGAGTCCCGCAGATGATATCGATTATGCCGTAGAATGCGACAGTCTTTGGATGACAGTAAAAGGCATTATAAGTGATGACAAATATGGATGCTTCGATGAGCCCTAGGAATCGATCAGACGCATACAGAGGACATCCCTCCGTTTGACTTACATGCTATTCCGATGTCTAGGGACCACTCGATCAGCGGTGCCCGTATAGGTCGCAATACGACTCACAATCAACACAGGCTCCCCATTCAAACCACTTTCTGGAAGCACATCCGCTCAAGACGTGCCACGAAGCCGAGGAGATGAGACATGCAACAGCAGCCAATAGGTAGATGACCACGGTGGCGGAGTCGAGAGGATAAGCGTCTGGCAAAGGCGGGGAAAGCAGGACAGCCTGAGACGAGTGAGCCGGGCCGCGAGATGGGTCTTTGCACACGCACCGCGATGAAGATGGAGAATAAGATAGTGGGGATGAAGTGAGAATGAATGTTTACTGAGCAGGATCGTAAGTCCGAGTTCTAAATCTCGCCAAAGACGTACCGGTCTCGTTGTGCCACGCGAAAGCAGACTTGAGCAGAGGGATAGGCCCTGTCTTTGCATGAAGGGGAATAAAGCGGCTGCAGGAAGTCAGCGCGCTGTCCGTGGAGCATTCCCTAGAGCTCACTATCCCGTGATGATATGCTCATTGTTCCTCCAAACGACTGGTAAATCTTCATACTCGATCAAGACGGTACCGTCTTGAGCTTTGTCCAGAGCTTGCTTCACCGTTGGTTCACCTTGTAGAGGATCGTACCCCGCCGCGAGCTCTTTCAAAACCAAGATCTCCCCGGTGTCTTCCGTCTCTTCGGCGTCATCCAGATCGTCAGACTTCAGCAGTTCGACCTCATCGGTGTCTCGTGACAGCGCGACAGCCAGGGAAACCGGTATATCCATAGGACCAGGAGACGACATCGATCTGAGCTTGACTGGTCTGCTGGTCAATGTCTGCAACGACGGGACATGGAAAGATTGAGAACGAGAGGCACGAGTACTGGTGTTGGTCCTCTTGGCTGCGGGCGTCCTGTTGGGGAAGATGTACTCCGGTTCTTCCTCTTCAGGTCTTTCCACTTGGACCAGTAAGGTTCCGCCAGGACTTCGAGATCGACTTGCATCATCGTCAAATGATCCTTCACGCCCATCCTCAGACTGCTCCTCCCATCCTAATTTTTCCCATCCTGGCCATTGGTCGGAAGGTAAACCAGACTTGACAAACTGTATCAAGCGTTTCCTAGCCTCCCTCAGAGCTCTATAGGCCGGGTCATCGTGCTGAATCTCTTCGGTTCCAGGCGAAGCGTGTCGATGTCCGTGGCCTCCCCTAAGACTGTTCGTCCGACTGGGCGCGTCGGAGTTGGATGCGAGAGGTGCCATGTATTCTTCAACTTGTCTCAGGCGGGAAGGTAGACTTCGCATCCATTCTGTGCCAGTCCTCTTAGGCATCGGGCGAGATGAGGTCGAAGGCCCTGTGCTGGTTCCAGAAGCGAGATAGACCCCGACATCTTCCTTGAGGGATTCGAGATGGTCCATAAGCTCGAGATCTGCGTCGTGCCATTCTTCAGATGTCGGAGAAGTATCGCCAAAGTCTCGGGCGTGGTTGACATGATGTTCGCCTTGAAGAGGTGAATGGCTCGAGGGTCCAGCATGAGCGTCTCCGGGGAAGCCCTCCGCACCGTTGTTGCCATGTCCCGCGTTCGAACCAGAACTCCAGCTGCTCTCTTGTCCAATGATACCAGCATCAACAGCGGAGCTCTTCGAAGATTCTCCGCTCGGACCTGCTAAGCCTTGATCCACCGTTCCATTACCGCGTCTTCTCCTCAATGTCGTCTCCACCTCTCCTATATACCCCAACAAGGCCTGTCGGAGTCCGTTCGCGCTGGGCAGGTTGATAGTACTGAGATTAGGCAGTGTAGGTAAAGTCGGTAGATTAGGTCGAGCAGGAGCAGACAGTTTACGGTGCCAGCTCGGCTTTTTGCCCTCTGATCCAGGCGTCGACATGATCCCAGCGGGGCGATTGGGGTACCTGAGATGCGTTATACCTGCCTCATGAGGTGTCCTTCTCTATAGATCTATGCCACAGGTGAAATGCGCAATCCTCAGGTGAGACTGCAACGCATGTGCTTGATAAGTTGGCCGGAATTTCTGACAATGATGAGCAGTGTGTGGCCCCGGTCCAACGCAATTATTGACAATAACGGGGCTTTGGAATGAACTACGGATGGTATAGATGACTAAACGGCCAAGAGCATCTTCATGCTAAGATAAAGGAAAGGTTCCAGCAATGTTTGCTGGCTCGGGCAGACGAATCATCGGCCATCCTTTGCTTCTCATCACCCTTCAGCTCGGTGCCAAGCGACTTGCAAAGTCAACGGCCGAGCCTGCCTGCACTGGTGAACGACGTGGGAGGCGACGGATATATGCACCCCGTTCTGCATCATGTTACATACTCCAGACAACTGTCCACAGTCCTTCAGATCCCGCACGCACTCCATCCCGACCATGCTCTCCAGCACTGAACGACCATCCTGCTTCCCGGGTCTCCCAAATCGGACGTGAAGGAACACGATTGTCGGACGATTGGCAAGGGACCGAAGAGGCCACAATGGGGTCCAGTGCTGAGATCCTTTGGCGAGAGAGGGCGCATTAAGGCTGAGGCCGAGGCGGACTGTCGGTCTTGAAGCTCGGATTATAAGTTGAGATGCCGGTACAGAACCTGATGGGCTTGATGGGCCACGTCGATGCGCGAGATGACGGCGGTCTGGCCTTGCCCCCATACAGACCGCTGTCTCACCGCCTCCGACCTTTCTGTACCAACTCGAATCCATCCTCATCAAAGACCGGCTCCACTTTCTCCTTCTCCTGTTTCACAGGCACCAACTGAGGTACCTCCCCATCATCCTCACTATTATCACTATCTGTCCAATCTCCAGCTTCGTCATCGTGTACATCTCCACCATTCATCTCTTGAGGTCCTCCGCCAGACGAAGCATTTACGCCTGATCGCTTCACCTGTCCCGCACGGGTCTCGAGAGCTGATACCAGGTTTTCCGGTGAAGTATTAGTTGAAGGTGAGAGCAAATCTTTCCACAGACGCAGGATATCGGCTGTCACTGCGTCGATGGAGTTGTCCTCGATATTGGCATCGAATTCATCAGACATCATCTGGTGTATCAAGTCTCCCAAATCGTCCAAGTCCAGTGGGGGATCATCGGCCGTTCGTGGATCCACTACTGGAGCCGCTGGTGTTGCGGTATCGGAGCCTGCGCCAGCTGTTGATGGGAGGAACACCGCTCTTGACTCAAACTCATCGACTATAACCGAGGCCATCCAGACTTTTTTCTCTGCTGATTCGGCACCACCCCATTGTTCCGCTACGGCTATGGTAAGTGCTGGCCAGAGGTCCAACAGAGCGACCACTCCTCGAGCAAAGAGGAGGATGGTAGGAGAGGGGAGGGAGGGTGCGGCTTGAGCGGGATTGCTTGAGCTTGAGCTGGAGGCCATTGTGAGATGAGTCGTCTGATTTCTGATAACTGCGACCGAGCCTATATTGCTTTGCTCTCTGCAGGTCAAACGGTGTATGTTATACAAAATGAATTGTTCCTCACAAAAAATTTGGGCCAATCCTGCCGTTCGCGGTTCCCACGTGGTAGTCAGATTCGTAGCGCTGGAAGCTGGCCTCTGACTGTCCAACAGCTCCATGGTTCGTTCGAATACTCCTCTTCTCGCCCCATCTACCTTGTACATTGGTCGACTTGGAGTAACGCGGGAGCACCATGTATGGCCCCAAATGGTCTTCTCTCTCAGCGCTCTTTACGCTGGTATCTTCGTTGAGCTCGGTCAACGCGAGATCAGCAACTGGGGACCGAGTCTTGGTGGTACTGGAACCAAAAGTGGTCAAGGAGGATTACTCAAAGTTCTGGTCGTCCCTCGAGAGTGGGTCGTGTCTCAATGATCTGGGCACATAGAATTATATGCTGACTTGATTGGATCAGAACGAGGCTTTGAATTGACTTTCAAAGGACCAAAAGATGAGAGCGCAGTTCTTCAACGGTACGGCGAGGCATTATACGACCATTTGATCATGTTCACTCCGTCTGTCAAGTGTGAGTAAGGAGGAGTCTCTGATACCTGCGGGCTCATCGCTGATGCTACCTAGCTTATGCCAACGGACTGTCACCCAAAGAGGTCATCTCTGCCCAATTTGCAGGTCTCAACACGCTCTACTTGCTCTCTTCCAACATCTCCGAGATCAATCGCGATACATTCAGAGAATACGATCTGGAATTTGCCGAAAGGGATTACACGTACCTCGATGCGTTCTCTCATTCCCCAGGGTCATCGTTGGCAGCTCCACTGCTGTACCCTCAATCATCTCTCATCAAGAGTGGAGCAGTGTTGAGCGCCTCGACGTTGACCGGAGGCCCCATCGTTTTCCCAGGATCAACAAGCTTCACATTGGGTCAAAACCCCTTCCTTGTCGAAGTGGCTCACGGCTCCAAGACGGGATACGTCGGCGAGAACCGATTGGTCGATGCGGATGAAGCAGAGGTCGAAGCTGGTCTAGGAAAACGAGACGCAGCATCGACGACGGGTAAAAAGGCTGGATTGGTCGCTGCCATGCAGACGAGAGATAACGTCAGGATTGGATTTGTCGCCAGTGGATCCATGTTCAGTGATGAGTGGTGGGGTACAGAGGTGGAATTGTCGAGCCCAAAGAACGTTGCGTGAGTCAGATCAGATGTGCGTTACCAATTCATGGCTGACGCGATTTCCCCTCGCAGGGTGCCATCCGGAAACGCTGCATTCGCGGAAGACTTGACTAAATGGATCTTTCAAGAGACAGGCGTGGTAAAGGTCATATCAACGACCCATCATCGAAAAGGGGAACTCGAACAGAGAGAATCCTATAGAATCAAGGATGACTTGGTGTGTACCCTCAATCGCTATTGGAAACGCCAAAGCTGACCGACCACCTTGTGTCTTTCTCTCAGACCTTCTCCATCTCTCTCGCCGAGCACGTCACTTTACCAGACGGAACTTCCTCCTGGCAAGGGTTCGAGACCCCAGATCTCCAACTAGAATTCACAATGCTCGACCCTCACATCCGAACCTCTCTCTCGGTAGATCCCGCCAGATCCGATTCAAAGCAAACCACCTATTCAAAGACGTTTAAAGCGCCTGACAGACACGGTGTATTCAAATTCGTGGTCGAGTACTGGAGATCAGGATACAGTTACATCAGTACCAGCGATACTGCTTCGGTTGTCCCGTTCAGACATGACGAGTACCCGAGATTTATACTCGGTGCCTGGCCCTTCTACTCCTCAGCAATCAGTATGAGTGCGGCCTTTTTGCTGTTCTGTGGACTCTGGGTGGCGGTAGGAGAGGGAGACAGGAAAGGGAAGAAGAAGGCTGAGTAGGCTGTCGGGCGAGCGAGCGAGCGAACGAGCGAGCAAACGGGACGGGGAATCGAGAAGGATCTGACGCGGAATCGTCGAGAACTTGTGCGGCTGACATCCTGCAAGATCATCTCTTCCTAGGTCTCGTTTTTAGACCTACCTCGAAACGAGGAAGAAAACAAGTAGATTTACATTCTACATCGATGCATCATTAAAGTCACGAGCCGTAGCGACAATGTCTCCGTGAGTGAGTGCAATGACTTTTGTTCAGTTCATTTCATGAATTGGCATTTTCTAAGCAGAGAGCAAGCTACTACTTTCAACTCTGCTTCCTCGTCGCTACTTCCACCTCACTCATTCTGTCGCACATGTAATGCGACATACTGCTCCTGACCTGCCGATTGGCCAATTTTCTTCTAAAGTAGCTACAAGAATGTGTTTGTGGTTTAATAAAATGGTTGGGTTGTATTTCGTTGCCTTCTACTTTTGCTTCTGCTCCTGCATGTCATTTTCTCCCTCCCCCCCTTCCCTTTCTTGGCGTTGACGTGAAGAGCAGACAGACTCTCTGCTCTCAAGATGCGAAAGACTATATATAATTTGCTTATTCTAAGACATGGATGATGGACGGACGTGGGAAGGACTTGATGTTCCAAAAGACTCGTTCGCTCTCAGAGGGCGGAGGAGGAGGGAGAGTTGAGGGGGGCAAACGCAATTGGTGACGCCCGCTTTCGCCTCGCTCACTTGCCACCTGCCGTCGCTGTTTTACCCTCGACAGGAGCTGTAGGACCTGTACTTGGTCTAGCAGCTCGCGGAGGAGGTTTCCGCATCGGCGTCGGGATCGGACTCGGTACGCTGGGCTTGGTCGACGCAGTCATAATTCTGGGAGGATCAATGTCCATCTTCGTAGGCGACGCGATTACCGCCGCCACAGGAGAGCACTCAGCCTGAGGAACAGGAAGAGGCCTGCTGACTGGAGCTGGCGTCGTTGCTGGCGTTGAAGCGTTAAGTGGGGGCGCAATCGGTCCTTTGGCCATGGGACTGGCTTCTCCAACGATAGTAGCTCGTCGCCTTTTCGGATGAGGACATCCATCGGGAGGCGTAGCTGGCGCCGTCCGGACCAGTGACCCTTTCGGCGTCTGAAGCGGAGTACTAGCTGTGAGACCTGAATTCCTGAGGTGTGACGGAGCCGGCGCGGAAGACGACAAAGTGGAAAGGTTCGGCGTGGACTTTGAACTGTTCGGATTGGCCGATAAGGAAGCTTTCGACTGAGTACGAATAGGTGCTCCGAACTTGAAAAGCGAGTCAGTCTCTGATCTTATTCAGGTATGAAGATGGTGACTCACAGGTAGGCCGAATGCCTCTGCTGGTGAATGCTCCTGATTCAATGCTGCCAACTTCGCAAATAGCGCAAACAGATCGTCCCGGAGAATGTTGGCGAGTGAGCTCGAGGCGTCAAGCTTGAGTTTCTTAGCGAGAAACTTGGCTTCGCTGTATGGGATCCAAACGCCAGCCACTCCAGGGGAGTAGACTGATCCATTCGCTTGAGGGGGGACGAGATGGTGCGCGTGCTGCCAGGGAGAAGGGCCACTGAGGTACTCCGAGTGCTTGTTGAGAGGTACACCAACCGCGAGCAGCAGACCGCTCGCGTTCACTGTGGACACATTAGCACTGACAATCTTCTGGGATGACCGAGCAAGCAAAGGCAAGTCGCTTTTGACTCACCGAAATCCGTGTCCAATCTCCTCAGCAGCACGAAGCTCTTCCCTGTCTTCTTGTTCACATACGAGTGGGAATACACAGGAATGTTGTCCACGACGCACGCATCGACACCAGCACACAGAGGTTTGGTGATACTCCGGGGTTGAGACGAGGCCGGTCGCGGTGCGACGGCGGGCTTGGTCACTTCGGTACTTGGGCCAGTGGGTGGCGCGGGTGTCGGCGAAGCAGTGATTGGGGCTGCTTTTATGGGTACAGGTTTGACATCTTTGGCCTTGACCTCTTTAGCTTCCTTAGGCTCTTTTGGCTCGGCTTTGGCTTTAGGAGTTTTCTTGGCCGGCGGAGGAGGAGGAGGAGGGAGAGTCGCAGTGGATGATGACGAAGCAGCGGTGGGTGCGAAGACCGGGGCAGCAGCGATTTTTGCCGGAGTCGAGCTCAGAGTCTGACCAGAGGGCGGGATGATATCGGCAGGTAGAGTAGACGGTAACTCCACGATGGACATTTTTGAATCTCCATCTGACATGGGGGCAGGGGCGGCCACCTTTGCTGGCTTCTTGTCCGTCTTTGCAGTATCGATCTCGACGTGTGGCAAAGCCTCATCCAACATCGGCATAGAAGCAACGAGCGGTGGTGAAACAAGATCCCTGGGGTCCATAGCGGCAGGCGCGGATGATCCGAGAATGACCGGCGAAGTCGGAAGCAAGGAATGCAAGAACGAAGGAGGTACAGCTGACGGTGTAGGCGTGGTCAGATTGAGCGATTCAGTCGACGATGATCCCCAAGCGACATTGAGGTCAGTCCAGGGCGTCATGGGGCCTTCGTTCTCCGGTGAGATGGCTCCTGATCGACTGGTCTGTTCTTCCTTGACCCTGAGCCTGTATGCTTCGAGCAGGGCCTTGTGTTGCTCATTCCTCGCCCTGACAGCTTTACGATGCTCTTCTTCCTTTGCTTCTGCTTCTGCTCGAGCGGCATCCAATTCCTCCTGCCCTATACCATAGATATCTGCATCCTCCAAGTCCATTTCGATGGCATCATTATTGCCACCAGTCTCTGGCTCTTCCTCGGGTGGAGTAGGTAATGATTCAGCCCCATTTCGCGGAGGAGCATGCAACGTTGTCGAGGGCGGAGACGCCTGCCGACGGCGAGAGTTGGACTTTGTCGAGCGCGATCGATGGAGGGGGATGGGTCGAGCGGCTTGGAGAGCAAGCAAACTAGATGCCATACCAACACCGATCGATCCCCAATCGCCAGAGCAACGCCCTTCAGTCTTCTTGTAATGCCTGGATTTACCATGTCTTCCCGCCTTTTGAGGCGTCTTGTCGACTCGAGAACCCATGCCAGGGGCGATCCAGCCATCTAGCTCTTCCAGACTGATGCTCTCTGGACCCATCAACACTTCCTCCATATTGCTGTACCGGAGTTGATCAGAGTACTCGAAATGCGGTAATTCAGAGGATCGACTGGATGGGGTATGACTGTCGCTAGAGCTTGCACGAGAGGTCCTGTAGGTCGCACTGCCATCATCGGCCTCCGTTTCCGCTGTCGTGACTGGTGAAGGGTAATCGTCTACTGGCTCTTCCTTCACGCGGTAGGAAGAAGCACTAGCGGCAGTATCCCTGGCCCAAGCAGCCGTGTTGAGCTGCCGGTCATGTTCCGGTGTGGGCGTATCTCCAATGACGGAACCGATCTCGATATCACTCAACGAGTCTTCCGCTTTCACAGGTAATCCTCCACATTCATCCAACCATGGTTCCTCGTCAATATCCATGTCAGCAGGCTCGAATGAATTGTGCAATCTGGAGAGGTGTTGAGAAGGTGATGAATCCCCGTTGGTCGGCAGGTGCAGTGACCGAAAGTTGGGCGAAAGGGCAGGACTCGCAGTAGGGTTCCAAGAGACCAGAGCGATGGATGCTGCAAGATCAGCCGATTTCAATGGTCCACGAGCTGTCGCTGTGGCTGTCGAAGTGCTCTCGGCTAGACTTGACGTATCTGAAGGCGCTGGCCGATTGTCGAGTTGATTGTAGCGCACAACAGGCCTCACATCCTCCCGATCGTCCGGAGTAGACATGGGAAACAAGACACGCAGAGCGTCCGTCGCTTCTTTCACATTGGCCTCCTCATCTTCGGCAGTCCAGGCGGGTTTTGAAGTATTCTCGTCCTCTGCGTTGGCACTGGTACTTTGGATGAGGATGCTGGACGATAATCCCCATTCACCAGGTTCTCTCATCTCGTCATCTGAGCTCGAAGAAGAGGTTTCCAAGGCGGCAAAATGATCAGGATCCCTTCGGACAGTCCAGGTCGTGTTGTCCAAGGAGTGCGTTGGGAATGGAGAGGATACAGGTTGAGGTGGGAAGGGGGCGTACGCAAAGGTAGGTGTAGTCATGGTGGGTGGTGTCATCTCTATCATGCTAGACAGGGTTTTGGCCCAAGCGTTGGCGGGAGAAGGAGCGTGGGGAAGCAGCATGAGTGGTGATGGTCTTTCCTTGCGAGGTTTCGAGAGCTTGCTGACTCGCTCGGCGAATGCTCGAGGCGAAGGTCTCGAATCTATTTCCATGACTTCAGAATCGGATGAATCATACTCGTCTGAAGAGTCGTCGATCCTGATCGGTGTCGGGATCGCACATTTACCCGTTGAGCCGATTTTGGCCGGTATCGGGCGAACGCCGCCCACGAGGGAAGGTCGACGCGAAGGATTCTTCGACGCGCTCTGAGAACTGCTTCCAGCATCACTCGCCGTGTCATCTTCCACCGCATTTGAGCCATTCAAGAAGAGCCTCAGTTTGACCGGCGGAGTCTTCCCTGCCGTCATCTTCTCCTTGACCTTGCCGACATTCTTCTCCTCTGCTCCACTTCTCTTGGTCTTTTCCACCTTGATCTCTTTAGCCGGTTTGATTTTTCGCGGCAGGTCCGCCTTTGCCTTCTTTGGAGCGACTGGTTTCCTAGGCGGTGGGGTGGGGACTTCCAGCCCATCGAAAGGGTTCTTCCACTTGGCTTTCCCGCTCGGTGCCAGGTACCACACAGTGCCTTTCGGTCTCAATCCGCCACTGAACGCTTCTGGGTGGAGCGCAGACTCCAGACAGGATTCGTTAAGGGATCCAGCGAGTTGATGCTTTTTGAGCAATGGTTGTCGTGGAGGATCTGAGGATGTGCAGCGCTTGTAGTGCGCTCGTATGGCATTGTTGACAATGGTGGGTGGTCCAACGGCCGCGGATGGAGGTCGCAGCCATGCTTGATCGATAGCAATAGATGCTATCTCATCGGCGGATAAGGCTCGATTGTCCTGAAACGACAGGATCAACGATGCCCACAGCTCAAGACTCGAGCCCACTCACCATGATCGCACAAGCGCCACAGACAGCCATCAATACTTCATCCCGCTCGTCATCCTCGACCACCGCGCATTTATCCCTACCACCATATTGAGTCGGAAACGGACACGGGCTCCTCTCCTTCTCCCCCAATACACTCCTCAATGCATGTGGCTTGGACTCGATGGCCTGTCTTCCCAATTTAGGCGGGAGTTCAGTGGTCGGTGTAAGGAGCGGGGGAGTGGACGGGGCGGTGCTACTGCTCGAGGCGACAGCATTGGGTGTACGTGAGGAAGAGGCAGTGGCGACGGAGGATCGACGTGATCGAGTGCGAGTGACTGGAGTCTGAGTATTTGATGATCCAGGTTGAGAAAAGGGTGGCGGGATGATGGTGGATTGTCTAGGTGTGGATGATGAAGCTACTGGCGTAGTAGAGCTAGAAGACGCGTGTTGCAGAGTTCTAGGGCTACGTGCCATCCCAAGAGGAGAGGGGTCTTGTCAAGGCGTCAAACCCGAATCAGCAGCGAGAAGAATCAACGTTGCTGAGGGGAATGACACCTGACAGTGAGAATCTCAGAGGGGCAGTCGAGGATAATTGGTCTCCTGAGGGTGGCGTAGTAATCGGTGGGTGGTGCGATTTGTCAGTTAGCCAGAGATCATCAACACCTCTGCGCTGAGGTGTGGACGGCGGCGCGCAGGAGATGTGGGAAGGGGAGCCTTTGGAGATCTTTTGGGGCGGCTGTGCAAAGGATCAGCTACTGAGAAGATGGATGATGGAAGCATGAAAGGAGTGAACCGCGGGATATAGTGGCGATGATCCCCAGGGGGGGGGGGGGGGGTTCACGTATTTATAGAGAGGGGAGTAAAAGGTCAGATGACACTCACGTCAATCACCGGATGGGAAGATCCAACGTCGTAAAGAAAACGAGAGGTATGGAATGACTGCCCAGGATAGTGGGAACTGTATGCCAACGATGCACGTTTTGTGCAGCAGACGTTCCTGTGTCACCAATGTGATTCCAGTTGGAGATTCGTTATGACACAGTCTGGTCGGTGGCGTTGGAGACAGACGGTCGGCAGGGAGGGCGAGCGAGCAAAATCGTCGTCAAGAGGTGAGGGACAGGTGGTAGGGGGTTATTATCTGAGGCCGAGTAAAGGGCGAGGTGGATGGATCAGATGGGGTATCTTTGGTGAACGCTAGATCCCAAAAACAGAGAGAGAGGGAGAGAAGTGGGAAGAGAGACTGGAGGTCAAAGCGTGGACAGGGTGGAAGGGGTGAAGTCCAAAGAGCTGAAAGGGACCTGTCACAAGAGAGCGAAGGAAGAATGGTCAGCGTCTTTGTGATCCTCGCCTGAAAGACGACGTTGAGGGATGTCGCAGATTCTGGTCTTCAAAGGGAAAGCATGAGACACAAGGAGGTGAAGACAGACGACGAAGGGACACAACAGACAACAAAGGACACTGGAGAACACGAAGAATCTCGGCTAAAGGTATGGGAATGGGGTGAAGTATAAATGGTGTGAACGGGTGGAGGGGGAGGGATAATTGGTTGATCCGATATACTCCTTTGGCGGTTTTGGGCTGTCCACTCAAGCAATTAGGTAGGACTTGGGGACGTGGCTAGAACGATACTGGGGGGACGCGCAAAGCCCTCCCTAGGATGACATTCTGATGATGATCCACCGGATCTCAAGTCCCATCCTTCGTTCGCCCTTCGGGATGATCGGGACGTGCGTGCGTGGATGATAATAGTAGTGGGGACCAAAAAAAAAGAGACTCCTTTTGCCGAAGCCTCATCCGTATGTCAAGCTCACCTTTTGGTGTTGGTCTATGATATCCCCGCTGAGCTTGTCAGTCTAAGAAGTCCTTTGATCCCTGTCCAGCAGTGTCGTGGTGGTGGTGAGTGAGTGAGTCAAGCTAACAATAGGAGAGAGGGATGATGTGATGCAAAATGATGGCGATCGGAATAGACGCAGCAGCAGCAGCAGCAGCAGCAGCAGCAATGGCCAGCGGCCAGCGACGTGCAACAAAACGACGAAGGGCGCACGGCCCGCGGCTCGTAAAAAGAAAAGGGAAAAAAAATCCCCCCCTCCACGCCACCTCTCTGTCTCCCATATCATACCAGGTGTCTCTCTCTCTCTCTCTCTCTCCCCTTCTATCTGCACACATTATTCGGGGAAGGGAGTCATGATTATTATCGTATTAACATCTCTGATTACTCATTCCTAATGTGTCATGTCGGTGGCGATTAGCCTCGTCGGAGTTTGTAATTGAAATGCCCTGGCTTCCTCGGCTTGAAGGGGGGGAGGGGGAGAGTGGCAATTTCTATTCTTTGCGCGACACTACCAAAGCATACGTCAATGACTGGCGAGCGAGCGAGACGATTTGGAGCCACAGCCCTTAATGAGGACCCCTAAGCGCGTGCTGCTCCGGCTGTTGGCTGCTGGCTGCTGCATGCTACTCGAGAGAAAGATATGGCAGTTTTAAGACTTCAGGGTCGGGATCCTTTCGACGCATCGTGCAAAGAGTCTAAAAATGCCAAAAAAAAAGAGAAGGATCTGCCCCTCTTCTCTGCTGCTTAGGCAGGCTATGAAAAAGACGGCCGAGCGATGAGCTGGAGCGGGGGGAAAGGCCAGTCTTCGAAAAACTGAGGCGTTGAACCGACGTACGCAAAAGATCATAGATAAACGGAATCGCAACCCTCCCCCTCTTCCCCAATGTAGTAAGGGTGAATATCTCAAGTTTGGGAATGAGACCCTCCAAGTGAATGGCCTTTCTTTGGTCCAACTTGCTGCACTAGTTCTAATTCTGATCGAACCTCGATCTTCTTTCTTCGGCTGGGTAAGACCAGTGAAGCGCACGCTTCATCCGGATACAGGCGCTGCATCTTCATAACCGGAACATGGGCGGTGACACGTTCCTCTTTCCACAGACAAATTCACTCCACTTGTAAGCACGCGCTAGAAGCCTGGATCACCCATCAAATGCCACTTGTGCATTGCTTTGACTCGTGCGCTGGACTGCCGTGCCTTGTTTGACTCCAGAGCTCATTCCCCCTTGGGTCATGTCAGCTCTGTACTTTGCCACTTTAGCGATCCACAAACGGCACCGGAGCAGAGTCAACTACTCCCGACTGGGAAAGGATCGACAGGAATGTCGCAAGACGACCTAGCGAGAACGCAATTCGACCCTCTTTCCACTTGTCCTCGAGGAAAAGGTACCTGGCATCATCTGTTGTTCTGTGTTTCTTCCGCAGAATGCCTGACTCCCCCGGTCACAGAAAGCAAGTCTACCATCTCCCCGGACTGATACTTGGAGCTATATGGTGAAAAGTCATGAACGTGACTTGACAGGAGTGACTGACAGGCGAGAAGGGGTTTGGAACCGGGAAATGCAATGCGCAAGTAAGATTCCAATACCGAGGATATCACGTCAGCATCCACAGAAATGGCGGCACAGACCATTGCTTCGTTCACCTGACCTCTTCTCTTGACCAATGACTCCATGCATACTTCCCCGCACTCACTTCACCCGCTGAGACTGCTCAATACATCTCAATTTCACGCCTCTGCTACCCTTCCTTCCTCCCTTTCCGCCTGTCACCCGTCTTCCCATCACTCGCTCTAGTTTCAAAGGCAAAAGGTGAGAGATAGCGCAATAAATGTGATTATGTGACGGAAATGATACAGGCAGGAACAATAATCGATCGACGGCAGAAATCGTGGAATATAGGGGGATGATTAAAGGATGACAAAAACGGTTCTTCGATCCACTCTCTTCTGGGAGTCTCCAAAAATGCTCGAAGTTCCTGTGCGGAAGACCACACACGGTCCACCAGATGTGTCTCGACGCCCCGTCATGTGGCAGCTTCGCGATTGCCAGCTTCGCCAGTCGATCTCGCTTTCTGATGAACTGACTCCTTTTGATTTAATTTGGGTATGTGTGTGATACAGATTGATGGCTTGGGAGATGGTGCGATTGAGGATACCAACGTCATCCCTGATTTGTGTCGTTGAGAGATTGGAGGGTATCGGTGGGAGGATGGAGTCTGTGATTCTGGTGGCCCGGCGCGGTAATCCTCACCGCTCATTCAGGCATTGTCGTTGAAACCGCGGAAATGGCCATCCTGGTATCGGCCGCCGAAGTCGAAGCCGTGCATCCATCGACCATTGGGGAAGCGGCTCGCCGCAAATGATTCCATCCCAGTACCGAGGCTGCCGGTCTGGAAGGCATGGACAGTGCGTAGGGCTTGACCTTGATTATTGCCTTGGTGGTGCGCATTTGGAATGTTGACATATCCTCGAAAACCTTGCTGCCCAGCTTGACCAGCAAGAACTCGATTTCCCTCATCGTAAGGACCCTGACCTTGCAGCCCGATATAGTGTCTAGGGGCAAAGTTGGCAGGCTGAGGAGAAGGACGCTTCAGCTACTTGACCCCGGGACAGGAGACATCTTTCAAACTCACCCTGGCATCCTGGTAAATCCTCGGCCTAGGAAAGCACCTGCAGATTGGTCAGTGCAACTGACACGACACATGTGTACCCATTTCAACTCACTTGATACAACGGCGATTCCTACCAAAATTTATGTACCAGCAGGTAGGGCAAGCTGTAAATCGCAGTCAGGGTCTGGCTAATCACTAATCGATTCGGCTTACCCCAGTCACCTGGCCATTGTCCGGCTGGTGTGCCATGTGGGGCACGCAATGGGATCTGACGGTAGCGCGGCACCTTTTGGTCTCGATTCCAAGGTTCGAGCGATTGGCCAGCGGATGGCTCATCCTTCTGGGTAGGAACCTGTTTCGCCATCGCTTGAGCGGCAGCGAACTCCCCTTGTCCATCTCGTTCCGGAGTCGTGGCTCCAGAAGTTTCGTTTGATGTCGATGATTCTTGAATAGGCGACGATCCACCAACGACAAACGAATGCCGGTTGGCCTCACGGCACGATTTGGCAGATTTGAATGGGCAGTTATCGACTCCTCGCTCTATCAGGGGATATCAGTAAGGCGACAAACAATGATCTCCTGACGTGTACTCACCCACGAGGACAAAGAGACCCTGTCTGGTGTGGATCCTGGTGATTTGATCGTTTTTGGATTCCTTGGCAAAGTCTGACAGCTGAAACAATTGTCCATTGTGTCCTATGACTGGGCTCTTTTGGGTTTTCACCTTGTCACAGTCTCCCTTTCCCCAGATCCTCGCGATCCGATCCATGTCAATGGTGGATGGAACCCTGCGGGAGGATACTGTCTCCTCGATCTCATCCTTCGGGTTGGCATGGGCGCGGCCGACGCCTCCAGAGATAGGCCCAAGGCGGCGTTCTCGGTCACACTGATCGACGACTCGCCAACATCCCTTTCTGTGGGCAAGATGGTCTTCGGTGTCAACAGCAATCGCCCATCTGTTGGCCTGGACGTTGCTCCGCATCTGATACGAAACGGAGGGTGTCAGCATTTGTGGCACTTTTTTTCGTGTGTGCTTTCTTTTTCTTCCGCCTCAAAAAAAGAAAAAAAAAAAAGAAAATCCAGTCTAGGCTGTGTTTCATGTGACAGATGAAAGGGAAGGGTCTGACGAAATGTCTGAGACGACTTACAGAGGCAGGATTATCCGAGGCTTGAGGCTGAGGGTATGGCGGAACTTGAATGGTCGACTCAGCGTTGGGAAAGATGCTCTCGGGACTGGCCGTGAAGACAGGGCAAAAAACGAGCGAGGGCATTTGGGGGAGAATGCTGGGAATTACTGATCGGGGTGTTAGCTGAGCCTCAACTCGGTAACGTTCCACCTTCCACGTTGGCACTCGAGAGAAGAGAGAAGACGGGATCAAAAGAAGATCAGAGAACAGGAGGCAGCTTGAGATCGAGTCAAGAAGGTCAGAGCGGGGGCAGGCGGGGGATGAAGAAGATCTGAAGACAAGGCATGGAAGAACAGGTAGCGAACGCGCCACTGCTGTTCGTTCTTGCCACAGAAGGATGATACAACGAAGAGCGGCAGCGCTAGAGTTGGAAAACAAGAAAGAATAACGTGAAAAAAATGGAGGGAAGACAGTTCGCCGCTGTAATGCAAGAACAGAAGAGGTGGTGATGAAAGAATATGAACATGCAAGCAAACGCAACAAGGTAATGGGAACAAGAAGAGGAGACGCTCAAGCCAGACTAGAACTAGCCAGACTCACCAGGTTAGTCTCCGATAGGAGGCTAACTGATGTTCCTCTTCGTCCAAGGAAGATGCCACCGAAGAATGGAAGAAGGGGATGCGGGAGGCCTTGCCGACTGGCAAGGACTCGATGATGGCCTGTGGGAGACGAGGATGGTATCGCTGAACTCCGGTCTGCCACAGTGATGGTTACTGTTCTTGAAGGGATGTACAGCGATGAGAGGTGAGGGTTGGTTGAAGAGAGAATGAGAAAGAGAAAAGAGATGATTTCCTGCCTCAAGTATCTGTACCGGTTACATAAAAGTGGGCAAGGAGAAGGAGTAACGTGACTTACTGCCACTTCATTCCTAAGACACGACATCCAAAGCGGGGATATCGTCGGCGAACGTGTGATGTGGCGATGAATGGGATGAGAACGGGGGTCAGAGGATATACACCCGGTAAGCAAGATGTTTCAGAGTGATAGTGAGGAGGATCAGAGGGCATGGGAGAGGATGAGAAGATGAGAGATCAGAGCTGAGGAGTTTTTAGTTTTTTTTTGGAGGGGGTTTACGGAAAAGGTCAGGATCAGGCATGGGTGAAGGAGGGAGTCTCATATCGAGTACTGGGGCCGCGCTCATGTCTTCGGAATACTGATGCGTGATGGCAATGCTGATGAGGGAGAGGCGGTCGATTCGCAGAGGTGGGGCGTGGAGCTTGCAAGAGAGAGAGAGAGAGACCGCATGCAAATTTGAAGTTGCTTCTTCAGAAGGATCTGTCACGTTTGTCCCTCGCGTGCGCGCCCCCTCGGTTGCTCATCGCAGCGTTGACGGTCTGGGCCATATGGTCCCCGAAGGATCGAATGGAAAGCTCAAGAGCGCATCTAGAGGAACGAAGTCGATCGCCGATACATCGATAATTTTCGGTCAGACCACCCCAGTCCACCCGATGCCGTCCATATCTCTCTCTCCAAAGCCATCAGTATACAGAGCGAGCGTCATGTGTGATTGCCACGACTCGTTCGAGGTGAGTCTTCCCAAGCAGAGAAGATGTACAGTGGATATGAATCGTGGACTCAGTCGTCAACGGCGACAGCTTTTCACCTAGCGTCATCAAGCATACATAATTCGCGAAAACGATGCAGTAGCGTTCAAAGGGATCCCTTTGGCAGTACGTGTTCCGATGACAATCCGGACATTTGATACCTTGTCCTCTGTAAAGCGATGTACAGGGAATGAGAACGAATACATACGGGGACTACCGAGCGTAACAGAGGCGTCCTAAGCAACCCTCCGCCCGTCATGACAATCATGCTCTCAACCGCATGGTCACTTCGCCCCGCTCTTGCGCCGAGCTGCCGGTGACTTCCTCACACCACTGGACGCGGTCGACGTCCGAGCCTGAGTCGAGAATATCAGTTTCCAGGTCCACAGTATCACTTTCGCCACCCACTTTCTTTGTCGGCGTTGTATCCGCCTCGGCTTTGACTCTGGTAGATGCCTCTCGCTATGCTCAAACTCAGCTTCATGAAGTAGGAATATCAAGTCTCTCACCTTCTTCGCACTTGACGCTTCTTCACCCGCCTCGTGTGATTTCGCTTTCGCCGCTGCGGCTTGACGAGCAGTCATTTTGCTAGGTTTGACCTCTTCCTCATTTGCTTCTTCCTCTTCAGATAGCTCGCTCTCCTGAACCATTCAGCCTTTCTGAGAACAGTCCTGCCTCGCCTGACATCGACCTACCGAATCGCTATCCGCCTTGCCTCTTCTTGACTTCTTACCTCCCTTACTCCCCTTAGTCACTTTCGGCTTGATGTCTACCCCCGCCGGCATCTTCTGCAATTCCGTCACTACGGCCGACGTCCGACCAGCGACCTCGATGAACTCGATGGTAGCGGGCTTCCCATTCGGCTAAGCGTCAGAGTCAATTGATCAGCCATGGTCCTGCCCGATGAGTCGAGGTAGCTACCCACAAGTGCTAGAAAGTCCTTGTCTTTCGGTTTGAGCTGTTCCAGCATCCCGACAAATTCTCCATCTTCATTTTTGACTTTCGCACCACCAGGCTGCTTCTTCCCCTTGTCCCATCTCCATCTAGGCAGGGGGATCATCAGGGTTGAGGAATATGAGGTTCAAGGTGGCGCTTACCGGAACAACCAATCTTCCGGAAACCGCATAGAGTCCGCGTTGACTTCGACCGCCTTTTCAGGTACAGCTCGGATCTGTTTATGAAGCTCGCCGATTTGATCCTCCGTCAATTCTTGGACTGGACATGCAGGATGAATGCGAGCTTGGTAGAGGATTCTGGAGAGAACATCAGCCCTCATCTACGAAGTTTCGGATCATTAACTTGCTCATCCGCAACCCACTGTCGAAAGTCTATGTCAGACCCCGACTGATTCGGACGGACTCTCACTTACATTGCCTACGCCCGCGCTGAAGGACTGATCCATGATTACGCCCTTTACAGTCGCCTTTTTCTTCAAGAGCAATGTCTTGAATTCTTCAAGAGACGGGTATGATAGGATCGGGTCGAAACCGAGCGCGGAGATAGGAGGATGATCCTCAACGGGTGAAGGGACCAGTCGCAGTCGGCCAAACCTGCGCGCTACCATTAGATCAGCAAACAACCAGCCATTGCGAAAAAGAGCTTACGATCTGCGAACGCCAATTCTCTCGCCTCGTCCGAAACCGAGCCCTTTTGAGGTTCTAAATGCATAACGCTGAATAGCGGGTTGTCAGACGATCCGCGCCATGGACACCTCACAATTTGTGGAACTGTCGTTCATTGGTCAGACTGTTACTTCCTCGAAGATTGGAACCGATTCAGAAATCACCTTTGGAGGCCAAACATCCGTTGACTCTTTCGGTCGCCGTCTGTACCAAGTCGGTTCTTGACCCTTAAACTAAGGATAGGATGAGTTGGCAACAAGTCAGTTGTGTAGTGGGATCTCGACTCACCTGTATCATCCCAGTCATCCCGAAATGAGCCATTGGCAGTCGACCTGATCCCGTCAATGTGATCCAAAAGCTGAGTTCAGATTGAAATGTCAAGCTCGACTCGGCTGATTTCCGTTCATCATTCACTTTTTGCCTTTGCGTTCGCAGCCTGTGATCGTCCGACCTTCCAGCTCCTTGGCCTGAGGAACTCAGCGCTCTGAAACCACGAGCCCTGAGTGATAAGGCTTGGTCAAGTCACTCACAAACTCATGATGGGTGATTCCACCAGTGTACACCAACTTGTCCTCCACCGTCGAGACCTTTTTAATCTTGTAACCTTTACATGCCGTTTCGATGAGCTTACGCGCTCGCTCGACCTCTGAGCAGAGGAATGAGCTGGCACGAGTCAGATATACTTGCTTACCAGGTAGCTCAGGCATATTGGATGTATCGACACTGTAATAAATGAACTGATCACTGATCGAGTAGCTGCTTCACCATCGTCACTTGCTCGGGCCCGACCGCGCACCGTACCTTAATCACGTGGTTTCCCCGAGAAGGGCCATAAGGGGTTCATTACGGCATATTTTGAGCGCCCCCAGCGGGCGGCGATCAGTTCACCGACGACCGGCGTAGGTCTTAAATCTGATTATCATTTTCTGGGCGGCTGCGAAAGAGCGAGCTATTCTACCATCGAACAGCATTCTGACATCGACAGAGATAATACAGCGGATTGAACTACAGCATGAAGGTCCAGACTGGTACTAGACTGGATCAAGCTTGGACATTTGTCACCAACGACAAGCCAGACAACTGGGGTCAACTCCAAGGCGTCATATTTTGGATACTATTGGCTACGTGGACCTACTCGAACATCATCGTGAGATCGTGGAGACATGTTCGAGCAAAGGGAATAGTAGGGACCTTTAGAGGGATGTACAAGGCTGTTGAAGGCGTGAGTAGTGTCAAGATGGTCTTCGATCTCGCTAACGTTGTCTTTGCCCATCCTTCTCTAGTTCGCCATCAAACTCATTCTCTCCCTTCCATCGTCCAAACGGAAACTCAACCAGGAGATGGGCGATCTCAGGACGAAGTTTAGAAAAAGTATCGATCCAGCTCATTACCCCAATGGCGTGAAACTGCGGAGTGGAAGGGAGCTCCCAAAGCACGGGAGGAGCCTAGAATGGCTACAGGAAGAGTGGAGAGGTCTGAAAGGGATCGAGAAGACAGACGTGGACGAAGGCAAAGTCAGCGGAACAGTTTATCATGTGAGCAGAATGGGATTTTCGAGCAAGGCTACACGTTGCTTGCCCTCGAGTGGTCACGATTGGCGCGTTCCGCAAAATGGAGCATACGTAGCTCGAGCGCTTAGACGGTGCTGATAGATTTTAGGGAGGCGAGGACGTCAATCAAGTCATTTCCGAAGCCATGTCCCAGTTCCTACTTGCCAACCCACTTCACTCGAGCGTGTTTCCCGCTATCCGAAAGATGGAAAGTGAGATTGTTAGCATGTGTCTGAGTCTGTGAGAGGAGCTCGATCATGACCATATCGCCTTGCTGAACCATTCAACCAGGTTCAATCATCCTGATGGCGCGGGAACAAGTAAGCTAGTTGATTATGAGCTTCTGGGCTTATCATTTCCCAGCGACTTCTGGCGGTACCGAGTCCATCCTTATGGCCGTCAAGACGTATCGAGATTGGGCCAAGGCGACAAAAGGCATCACCCATCCCGAAATGTGAGACACTTCCGATACCTGGCTATGACCATCTGACAAGGACCACAGGATCGTTCCAGAGTCCGCACACGCTGCGTTCTGGAAAGCAGCGCATTATCTCGGCATCAAGATACACTCGATTCCCGTGAACAAGAAGAGCAGGAAGGCGGATGTAGCATGGATGGGACGGGCAATGTGAGCCTTCTTGGTGACTTCTATCTGCATGAGCTGATTGACTGCAGCAACCCCAACACCATTATGATCGTGGGGTCGGCGCCAAACTTTCCCGATGGAGCCATTGTGAGTATTTTACCACCATGTCGGCTGAAACTCCACCGCAGGATCCTATCCCTGCCTTAGCTCGATTGGCTAAACGTCACAACATTGGTCTCCATGTGGATTCTTGCCTTGGATCATTTATCATGCCGTTCTTGGACCGAGCTGGATTCGGCGAAGAAGTGGAGCCTTTCGATTTCAGGAATGAGGGAGTCACTTCGATGAGCTGTGATATAGTAAGCTCGACATCGAACGTCATGAGGAAAACTGCTGACATGCTCCAGCACAAGTACGCCTTCTGTCCGAAAGGTAAGTGCAGAGAGGATCGTGAGTCCACATTGGCCCCAATGACACCCTTTCAGGCGCTTCCGTTATCATGTACCGATCTGCTGAACTGCGTCGGTACCAATACTTTATCATGGCCGATTGGGCGGGTGGTCTGTACCCCAGTCCATCAATGGCTGGTTCGAGGTGAGTCCATATATGCATGTTTAAAGCTGACGTTCTCAGACCAGGGATGATTCTAGCAGGCGCGTGGGCAGTCATGAACTATATCGGTACAGAGTGCGTATGATACATGCTCTCGAGCTTGTGCTCACACCCGGTGCCAGTGGATACACCGAATCTTGTCGGCAGATCGTATCCGCTGCGAGACATCTCAAATCCGCCATTCAGACTCGTTTCGCATCGGATCTGTACGTTCTCGGGGATCCACTAGCATCTGTCGTAGCTTTTGGAAGTCACAAGCTTAGTATCTACGCTCTTGCCGATATGATGACGGAACGTGGGTGGCATCTAAACGCTTTAGCCAATCCTCCGGCCGTGCACATGGCTTTCACGGTGGGTAGCATAAACACGACGCAGAGCAGATGCAACGGCTAACACAGACAATATCTCAGCTGCCGACATCGAAAACGGTGGATAGACTATTGGATGACCTAGAATATTGTGTAGCTCAATTGAAGAAGGAGCCCAAAGGAAGCAGCGGAGACATGGTGGCGCTCTACGGTGAATATTCTCGGATACGATGATAACAACGCTGAAGTTTTTCAGGCATCGGCCAAACCAGTGTCGGTCCGCACGTTGTCGAAGAGCTGGCCAAGACGTACATCGACGTCCTGTACGAATGAATAAATAGAACATGTCCTGTTATCAATATCGCTCCTCGACTGCATGCAAGATAATCAATCCCGTTTCACTTTTGGCGATGCTTTGCGTTCCAGTCGAGGAGGTAAAGGGCCGACTTCGGTTTGACTGTAAATGTATGACAGCCGTTCGTATTCGACTGAGGGCAGTCAGTCAGCGATCAGCTCTGAAGCCTGCAGCATGTGTTGATGATGACTGACCGCAATCGTTGAATTCGCTAACTCCTGCTGCTCCCAGGAGCATGACCGTGAGAACCCATTTCCACTGAAGCGGGCAAGTCAGTAGAAATCAAATGGACCCAGTACATCTTTACTCACTCCTTCAGACCAAGGTGTCTGGTGCCTCCGTAAGAGAACCAACATCCATACGGGTTCGGAGAGGAGATGCTGCGCGACATGTGTGAGCTGATTATGAATTCAGCGGAACGGCGCGGACGCACCATGAAGGCAGCGAAGATTTCTGCTCCTCGTATCATGTACTTTCCAAAAACCCTCACTATCCATGCTCTGAACATCTCTGCGTAGTGTCCTCGGCCCATGTCGGCAAAGATGAGTGCTGAGAGACCAATGATGACGGGGACAGTCATGGGAAACAACGGAGGAGGGGAGTAGTAGTTGATCGGCAGGTTGTCAGGCTATACAGAGGATGAGTGAGCATCACGGCGGTGTTCTGTGCACATGTCGAAGCTCTCACGATCTTGAAGTTGCGTTTCGCTTCTGCCTCCCATTGTTCAAATATCGCCTTGACTTCCCAAGGAGATTTGAGCGGCGGATCGAATTGGATCCGGACTTCTCTCGATTCATGTTCTGGCGGTGGATGAACAAGTAAGGAGACGTAATGTCCTTGCGGATCGACAGTCGTAATGAACAGATGTCCGAGATTGCCCCTCTCAGACGTCTTCTTCAGGACGATGGCTAATGGCGGTTCAGCCTAAGAGCTCAAGATACAGACTGAGGTTTGAATACTCGCCAGTTAGGATATCGGGCTTGCCGTTGTATTTCTGAATCGCTTGGTCCCTGTTCCTCTCAGCGCAAGCTAGTAGACAGAAGAATAAAGAGAGCTTACATGGACCGCTGCCCCGCTGAGGGACTGAAGCTCATCCCTGTCGAGTGCTATGCAGGTCGAAAGATGGATGGGATGTTCCTTATCGAACGAATCTTGTCATGACTTTTTGTGGGCAATTTAAGCATAAATTCGACCGCTGGATGACATTTGAGAATGCGAGTCGACGTCGGAGGGCTGACATTGCAACGCTCCATACAGCCTCGACCAGCAACGAGGGAGGGCCGGAGGACGAGGATAGGGCTCTTTTGAACAGCTCCAGGGCACCTTGAACCAAAGATGGCGGTACGCTCCGGATGATGCTTTTTGCTTTGACCTCGCTCACACACTACCAACTAGACCAAGCCAAAGCCTGGTGGACTGACCATAGTCATCAAGCTGGGTGAGTGCCGCGGTGTCCAATGAACTGCGTAGCTCCCCGAAGAGCAAAGCTATTTCTTATTCAGTCCTCCAGGCACATCATCTATCGTGTCTCCGGAACCTCCTTACCTACCTCATTTGCAACTACTCTCTTCGGTCGTAGAGACCGTTGTGAAGCTGCGCGAATTAGGACATCGAGTAGTGATATGCTCTTCAGGAGCTATAGGCGTAGGACTGAGGCGGATGTCTCTGAAAGAGAGGGGCAAGGGATTGAGTCAGAAACAGGCAAGTCAAATGCGACCGCGGCGGCCGCCCTTTGCCAAGGGGTCAGCATGCTCATGAACTTTGGTTCAGGCTCTCGCAGCGATTGGTCAAGGTCGACTCATAGCACTTTGGGACAATCTCTTCTCCCACTTTGATCAACCTATCGCACAGATCTTGCTGACCCGGATGGACATCTCAGACGTAAGCTTTCATCACCGGGGCCTCAAGTCTGATCAGAAAAGCGCACACGGTATCTCAATGCCAAGAATACGTTCTCCGAGCTGCTTCAAATGGGCGTGATCCCCATCGTCAACGAGAATGATACAGTCTCCGTCTCGGTGAGCTGTCATATCGCTACCCTGTGCTCTGTGGGACTCACAGGCTCTCATCTTCACAGGAAATCAAATTCGGTGACAATGACACTCTTTCGGCCATCTCTTCAGCTATCGTCCACGCAGACTTTTTGTTTCTCTTGACCGACGTTAGGTGTCTGTGAGTCGGCATAGTCATGACACAACATCCATCCTTATGGTCACCCAGATACACAGATAATCCTCGGAACAATCCCGATGCCAAGCCGGTCAGAGTGGTGAGGGATATCCAGAAAGTCCGACAGCAAGGCAAGTAGGCAGATCGTCCATCGTTTGTCACCGGCTCTGACTCGTAACGCAGTCTCGACAACATCTCTTGGGTCGTCGCTTGGGACTGGTGGCATGTCGACGAAGCTAATTGCAGCTGAACTCGCCACGGCCGCCGGGACGACGACCGTTATCATGCACTCGGCGCATGTTCAAGATATCTTTGGTATCATCGACGGCGGTATACCTCCCAGCAGGGAGGGAACGGAGACGCCAAGACTAGACGAAGGGCCGCTGTGTACTCGATTCTTGAGACGAGAAAATCCCATCAACGAGTGAGCAGATCAGAGGCGGCTAGCACATTACAGTGGCAGATTGAACGCTGACTCGGCGGCAGTCGTAAATGGTGGATCACGCACGGGCTCCACACTGCTGGGACTGTAATGTGGGGAACGGCAATTCGATGCCGCTGACGTGCTACAGCATCGATGAGGGCGCTCTGAGAGCGATCAAACGACGCGAATCAGGTACAAGGCTCCTTCCTGCTGGCGTGGTCCGAGTCGAAGGGATATTCGCATCTCATCAAGCAGTCAAAATCGTCGTGAGACGAAGGAAGAAGCTTCACATCACTGGAGGGTCTGGGACCATCCCGAGCATCAGGAATGAACATTCCACTGACTCTTACGATGGTACTGATTCGTCTTGCCCGCCAAGTCCGAATACTAGTCCGGCCCCAAAATTACAAACCTCCTCAACCGATAGCTCGCCTTTGGGCCTGCAACCAGCTACACCTCTCCTCCAGCCTGTCATGTCATTGTCTTCCTCCATCGCCTCACTGGATCCGTTATCAAGATCTGTTCCTCCTAGTCCCGCACCCTTTGTCACGTCAATGAGCGAACGTCTGGCCGCTGCGTCCTTGGACTCTCAAGGGGTCAAATTGGTACATGAGTTAGCTGTGGCTCGAGGGGAAAAGAATGAGGTAGTGGAAGGAGATTGGGAGGAGTTGGAGATTGGAAAGGGACTGGCACAGTACAACTCATCAGAAATTGACAGGATCAAGGGAATGAAGAGGTGAGTCTAATGTGATGCCCGGGCGAAGCCTGTTCAGCTAATCAAACGTGGCAGTTCACATATAGAGCAGGTCCTCGGGTATTGCGATTCCGAGCACGTAGTAGACTCTATCAGCTTCATCTGACAGCTCGGGGCCAGATTCGCTTCGACGATTACGCCAACTGTACATCACCATACGATGGTATCCCGCATATGCATTTGTATACATATTATGTCACCAATTCGGTTGTCGTGAGCTTTGTTAACAGTAGGCCCGATTAAATTTTCACAGTCTCCCTCCCTTACGTGACTACTTTTCTCGCGTGTCAACAGTCTAACAACCAATTCATCATTGATCCCTTCACATTGGAACATTGGATCCATCTCGGAAGTGCCTCTGCTTTCAGGTCTGAAGCTGAAGCCCAAGACGCCTCTTCTGGTAGTTACTCCAGACACCACTTTCATCCCCATCGATCCGCTTCTGGTAGAGAATTTGACTTGAAGACACCCTCACAATGGCGCGAGCCACCCCATCTCCGATTAAACGCAGAGCAGGTCCGAAAGGTCATGTACCGTACAATGCCAGGCCAAAAGAAGTTGGAACGTAGGTCCTCTTACTGCTGACTTGAGCACCAGAAGCTGACATGACTTGTCAGCCGGACGGGGAAAGCCATGCCTATGAACGTACCACGAGGATCGGACGGGTTCGAAGACGTCAACGCCTTTTTTGAATCGCCTGCTGTCGGTCTCACCTCAACAGTCCGAACGGTCAGAACACGTCGAGAATTTGATACTCCTGGAGCGAGTGCCTTTATCACTCCCTCTCACACCGGCAAACGTGGGAGGATGGCTGCATTGTTGGGAAGTGATGATGACGAGGAGGACGGTAGTGGGTTGGGGAAAGGATTATTGGATGAAGATGATGTCTTGGAGCCTCGTAAGTGGTCAAATGTCTTTCTGACATGCTTGTGGAGCCTGACGAATCCCCAGATCTATCATCACCGAACTTGCCTTATTTTTCAGGATCCAGTAAGCCTTCTTTCGTTCATGCTTGATCTCGCTGAGCTTCTCGCGCAGATCCTCCGAATGTGCCATTTCCCCGTCGATCCAAGGCGACAACCGCGTCTCCTGCCGTAGGATTCGACGATCTCCCTACTCCTAAAGGTCGGAACGGTCGACAATCCACGATGTCTGGGGCTTCGCCCGGAATGGCTCTCACTAGTCGAAGAAAGACTTCCGAGGCCGCGTCACCCAACATTGGAGATGCCAGCTTTGGCGTCGGGGACAATTATGGGGATATGGGCGATTACAACCCCATCGAACTGGATGTGAATGACGCGATGGTCAATGCTGCCATTGAGGACGATGAAGCACCGGTAAGAACGAAAAGCAAACGGTCGACCCAGGAGGCCAGGGCGGATGAAGAGGAAGAAGAAGAGGAGGTCGAACAACACATGGCTGATGCCGATGATGCTGCTAGCGACGCATCTGATGGAGGCGGTGGAGGAGGATTTGAGGTGGACGACGGTGGAGAGGGAATGTCACTCGAGGAGGCTGCGATCGCGCATGAAAACGGGGATGGTGATTCAGTTCAGCACAGCGATGAAGACAGGAGACCACTCAAGAAGGGCGGCGCCAAGAAACGAGCGCGAAAAGAGACTGGTCCTGCGCGATCAAGGACACCTCAAACTGTACGCGAACCAAAGCATAAGAGGGTGTCCAAGTTTGGTGTTGGTGAGTGGCTGCCCGTACCCGGGCTTGATCATCGCTGAGCTGTCTTACAGCCGAAGAAGAAGGATACGAGGGCGACTTCATCTGCCGACGATCGAAGCGCAATCACTTTGCTCCTCTAAAGTATTGGCTTGGCGAGCATTTCGAATACACTCGTGGTCAATACCAACCCGTCATCACAGAGGTGGTACATGTTCCCGAAGTCCCCGTCGAATCTCTTGGAGCGAAGAAGAAGCAGCGAAGAGCAAGATCACGCAGTGCGAAGCCCACTCGAGATGATTCGAGTGAGCCTGTTGGACGGTTCGGAATCGAAGATGGTTGGGATGCGGATACTGAGCCATACGGATTGGTCCAGGATTTTGTCAGTCAAAAGGAACAACAGAGGCGTAAGTGCATGACCGTGAAACACTTGCAAGCATGCTGATGACCTGTAGGTATCGCATATCCGCGTCATCGCCTGGAGCCCCAGCCAGTCGCAGGAGGTACGTTCAAATATCAAAAGGTATTTGGAGAGGATCTTTTCATCGCTGGCGGGGTGTTGTATGTTCCCGTGGGCGGCATGAAACCGGGCAAGTTCTCCAAAGACAATGCCTACGTGAGTGAAACGATCTAGGGCGGAGCTAAATATCGCTGCAGATATTTTACGTAATTGCCGGAGCTGTAGAGGTCACTATTCATCGTACGGAGTTTGTCATTGCGGCAGGAGGCATGTTCTTCGTACCGCGAGGTGAGCAGAGGAAGAGTAGACGAAGCAGTGCCTAACGGCTCTGGTCAGGAAATCACTACCAGATCACCAATATATCTGAAGAGACCGAGGCAGAGCTTTTCTTCTCTCAATCACGCAAAATTCAAGTCTCAGAAGGTGATCAAGCTGCTCTTTCGCGGATAGCGAGTGAACGAGGCTCCAACGAAGAAGACGGAGCTGGAGATGAGATCACCATCAAGACGCCGAAAGCCAAAAAGCCAAAGCAGATGCGTAAATCTAAATCAAAGGCTTGATCTGGGATGTGTACCTGGTTGATGAGGAGACTCGTCGTGACTGTTCTTGTTCTACGAAGTATTGCTTTGGAATTCAGGCAAGGGGGTGGTAGTTGTATGCTTCTGTGGCATGATGAAGATTATATACCCAAAGCTATCCCCCGCCCAAAGCACGCCCGGCATTTGAGCTTTTCTGTGTCTCCGTGACGATCGCACGCCGGTCCGAACTTGATTAGCGGAATTTTCCCTGAGTCGTCATACTGCTGCAATCACCGGCTGTGGCTCTCGCACGCGCTGCTTGCGTCCCCCCGCCCTCCCACTTCTCACCGGGCCCATATATATTCTCTCTGGATCCCGATTCGATTCGTTCTTCTTCTTCTTCTTCATTATGCAATCTGTCACTGCTGTAGCTAGAACAACTCTCCTTCGATCAACAGTCAGACAAAGCACTCGAACAGCAGTCACACCAGTGTCAGTCCCTAGCCCAGTCGCCCTCTCCCTTTATACCCGGATCGCTGATTTTCGTCTCCAGTCGTTATCTCTCGTCTTCGCGCTCCACTTTACACATTCCAAGAACCACTTCGAGAAATCACAAGATGGGTCAGTTCCATTGGCCCTCTGTCTGCTTGCCTTATGACGCACCGCTGATATCTTTCTCTCAGCTTCCATCGTCCAATCTGCCGCTGCCGCTGCTCACTCTGCATTCGCTACCGTCGCCTCTGCCTCCCAGATCAAAGCTGGAGACAGCGTCCCCAACGTTGAAATCAAAGTAAACGACTTGGAAGACAAGGTCAACTTCTCCACTCTCCAAGGCAAGAACATCCTCGTCCTTGTTCCCGGAGCTTTCAGTGGGACTTGCAACAGCCAAGTTCCGGGCTACATTGACCGATACGATGAATTCAAGAGCAAGGGTGTCGAAAACGTCTACATCGTCGCTGTCAATGACATGTTCGTGATGCAAGCTTGGAAGAACAAGCTCGCCAAGGACAATGGCAAGGAAACTCTCCCCCTGCTCTTTGGTGAGACACCAAATCTGCTCTTCCGAATACATGGAGTTTCATTGACCCACGTGCCACCTAGCTGGAGATGACGCTGGAAAGCTCGCATCTTCCCTTGGAATTGTCTTTGATGCTCAGGCCGTCTTTGGAGGTCCTCGATTCATGCGAGCTGCTCTCGTCATCGACTCGGGCAAGGTCGTTCACGTCGGCGTCGAGAAGTCTCCTGGTGACAGTGAGTGTGGCCGAGGCTTCCAAGCGAGCGGACAGAGGTCAGTCGCTGATCTGCCTCCTCAGTCACCGTCTCTCACGCGGACGACATCATCTCCAAGCTCTAAAATCGCTATGTAAGCAACGCAGTGGTAGTAGGAAGAAAGACGAATATCGACGAAGAAAACGAGACACAGACATTACAACATGCATAAGGGCGTGAAGAATTCACTTTGTCTCTTGCCAGAGCGCTCGTCTGGTCTCATTTCTCACCCATACGGCTAGGGGAGACTGCGAATTCAGTATCATAGCCTTGATTCTGCCCGTGATAGAGACGAAACCGATACCACGATCTCTAGTGAGAGTCGCAGCGAAGAGATGCTCAAGGATCATGCTACTTTCTCCCTCTGAGGTGGAAACCTCGAGACGCCCTATGCTGTCCATCATGGCGCAGAGTATTCTCGCCAAGTGTTCATCATCCAGAACAGGCGACAGGTAGTGAACGATACGAGAGACAGTCTCCAAGCGGACTGTATATGAGACGCATGTCAGCCATCGATCAATCGACATCAAGTCAAACTGACCGGCATCTTGCGTCGCATTCAGAACCAGACTCTCGGCGGATGACAACCAGTCACCTACTCGTCTGTTATCCATACCGCGAGAATCCATCCTCTCGCGAGCCATCATGTGCCTGACGAGGTTTTCGACAGTGAGAAGAAGACGGCTTCTCTCGTCAGCGTTTGCTTGCGACCATTGTGAATCAATCCACGGCAGTATTCCTGATCGATAGATGAGGGACGAAGAAGCAGCTGGGATCAGACTGATGGAACCAAGAGCCTGGAGGATGAGGCGTCGGAGTGAACTCTCCATAGAGCTTTGGAATAGCGTCTTGAATAGCTCAACCGTCCGCCGCCTTTTGAGCAGACTCCAGTCCTGATAACGGTGTGTGAGTTCCGACGGATGATCTTCACCGGCTAGCTCACCGCTTGACTCTTTGTACCATCTCTGAGAAGCCTGATGATCCAACCTCGATCCCGTTTGTACCCTTCTCCGCTCGCATAAAGCATCGAGAATAGCATCGGAACGTCCCATACATCCATGGTCGGCCTCTGAAGTAGGAATTGGGAGGTTGCAGCGTATAGTGGGTGCGATGGAGTGGCGAGAAATCGTAGTGCGTGGGCGAGGAAGAGAGTCGTTAGAGTCGGTAAACGATCAGGTGGAGGAGCTGATTCCGACCTTTCCGTCGAAGGAGGTGTCAAAGCGTGACGCAGTAGACGCAAAATATGTACCAGTTGTGGCTGCTCATAGAATGAAACGTCCTGAGAGAAGAGTCAGCCATGGTTACCAAAGCTGAGGTAGGCGTACGAACCTTTACGGAGTTCATGACCTTTGCCAGTGCTGAGCCACCAAGGATTCTCATAGCCTTATCACGAGATGAAAGACTACACACAGCCACGCCAAGGACATTGCAGCGTAGTAGCTCGACCCACTCAAGACCGGTCAGAGGCTCCTGAAGAGCCAAAGCCAGCAAGCTGAGTAGGAATCCCGGATCATAGACTGAGGAATTATCGGACGCTTTATCGAGTTGATCGGTCTGCAGCTTGTGTCTTATCGGGAAATCAATACACGTCTTGAAGGTTTTGGCCGGATCCAGACTTGTTAGCGCATCGAGAGCCCTCAGACTGGATCCTGCCGTAGCAGACCAAGAGCTGATCAATGATGCCACGGAGAGATGTCGGAACTTTTCGAATGTATGGAACACTGAAGCCAGTTGTCGATCGGTAACTGAGAGGGTACCGTGATAGATGGCGATAAGGGGTTCGACAAAGTTGGGTTGACATGCTGCGTACATTGAGGCTTTGAAAAAGGCAGAGATGAGCGCGATGACGGATGAACGTGCTGGATGATCAGTCGTGCGAGTCATGGCCACGAAGGTCTTCGAGGTGATAACAAGGCCCAAATACTGTCGAACAAAACTCGCTTTGAGTGGCGATGAAGCGACTAGGCTCGCAGCCAGTTCTACTGCGTCCGTGTTGTTCAGGGCATCCTGTATCACAGATATGATGACAGACTCCACTAGTTCGGGACTGAGGTCGAGGTCGCATGTGGATTCAACAATAGATACCAGCAGATCGACCTTTTCAACCTCAATGTCGGTCCATGGTTGCGCATCCGTAAACAATTGCAGAATGCTTTGTAGCCCCAGCCCGACGACAAACGATACCGGTCCCGGGGATCTGCATGCTTCTGGAAATGCTGTTAATGCTTTGCAGAAGCGAGCCAGAGGCGGAGTGAATGCGGCAGACGACAAGGCCGTGATCTTCTTGCTGATCACATCCAAATGCTGTGGCGCCACCAATGTTAGGAAATTGGAAGCCGCCGCTGCTTGCTCCACAGCTCCTGCATTCGGAGATCCACACATGATCGTAAAAGCCGTGTTGATGAGCGCTTCAACAGGACCTGAGGCGGTAGTGGAGATGTCGAGGGAGGTCACGAGCGATGTAAAGAGACGATGATCCTCCGCGACACTCGGTCTTTCGGCGAGTAATTTTCCGATACTCTTTGAAGCTGAAGGACAGCGTTCGACTAAAGCTGATACGAGCTGAAAAGCATCGTTCGTGCCTGAGTTGATGATCTTCTCCAAAGTGCGACTCTCGATTCGAACTCTGGCGAGATACGAGTCATCTAGTGACCATCGCTGTAGAGCCCTCGTCACTGGTGCAAAAATGTTGTATCTGACACAGTCTTCGAGGTGATCAAGCATTGTTGGTAGCTTATTGGCTCTGACTATGGTGTGAGAGATCAGATCATAGACCTCCTCATCAGCGGACGTGAGTCGCTTCAGGTGCTTGAGAATATGCTCTGAGATGGTTTCGGATTGTACGGTTGAGATGAATGCCTTCCATGGTACAAGCACACTCAGTCTCTGAGACAAGTCAGCTGTAATCGTTCATCAACACGCTCGAACCTTGACTAAATTCTTCCCCTTTGCATCACCCCTGAGCGCTTCAACCTCACGCTGAATTACGTTTTCGGCAAGTCCTCGATCCACTACTGAGTGTAGATCCAGAAGAGCGGCTAGATCACTCAGACCTGAAGATACTCAGCAAACGCCCTCTATCCTAGGAACCGGCCCACCTTTTTGAACGTGCAAGGACCCTTGATCTTGATACAGGTCCAGAATGAGATGTTCTGAGAAGACAGTCTGCTTTGCGGCCGCCAGGTCTGCTCCGCCTGTGCGCCGCAAGCAGGCAACCAGCAAATTGAGGCAGACTTCGACGTCTTCTGGATGCCGCTTGATTCTATGTAAGATTATTCTGATGTAGCGTCGGGCAGCAGAAGACGATGCTGATACAGCCAAGCGCTCAAGCGCAGTCGTGCGCGCGAGTCCGGGTTCCCTGCCGAACAGCGTTTCCTCGAAGGAACCTAAAGACCACTCCCTGCGGGCATTAGCCTGGTGTACACTGTGACTACTCACGATTCATCGGCAAGTATTACTGATACGTTGATGTTCTCCTCTGACGAACTTGAGCCTTCGAATATCATGACAATGTCATTTCGCATCACTTTCAGTAGATCGTCGAGCCCCCTGCGCTCCTGCCCCTTTTCACGAGCTTCCCTGACACCGTGCTCCATTCGATCGACTAGAGCAGACAGGACCATCGGTGTGGACATCTTCCCACAAAGACAGAGAAGGACTCGTCGCACGTAGGCCAGGAAAGTTGCAGCAGCCTCGGTACTGATGTGTTCTCCGAGAAGCTTTGCCTGGAATTGCTCGACAAAGGTCATTAGAAGAGGGGAGACCGACTCGCGAGCGACGACTGGAGTCTCATCCATATTCAGGTCCTGAAGCTCTTCGATGTATCGGTAAGGAGTCTTCATGAATCGTCGAACGCAGTCGTCAATGAAGGATAGAATGTGAATTTGCTGAGCTAATGCCAAGGCCTTGGTTGCAACATCTCCTGATGGTGTTCGAGGTAAAGACTCCACAAAAATCGCCAGCTCCCCAGTATCGTGATCAAACATCAGGGTCGGCGCCATGAGCTGGTATACGAGGTCCGTCGTCATCATTTTCGTGATCGAGTGAGGGGTAGACAGGTGGAGCAGGAGTACATGGTAAAGATAGGTGTATTGACTCCCAGCTGGGAGCTTGTCAGCCATACGACATCGTCATGAGCGCAACTCACCAGCTTTCTTGGTCCAGTCCCACCCTTTGACAGCTGCTAGCAAGGCCACAACGTGAGCTTGTGAGAGCGCTTCAAACCCGTCCACATCGCCTCTATCTTGTCCGAATCCGCCTCCCATGCCTGCAGTACCCATCGTACCGACAGACGCCACACTTCCCGCGTCGCTCATGACACTACCGGCTCGCGCTTCTTTTTTGGCCCTTCTCTCAGCTTTGACGGAGGAAGAAGAGACCAGGAGCTTGCCAATATCAAATTTCATTTCCTGGGTGATGGAAGGTAAGGTCTGGTGGTACAGACCAAGGAGTCGAAGAGCACTTTCCGCCAACATTGCGGAACGTGCGACGGCAGCAGCGTCCGGGTCCTCGTCATCGGGTACTTTTGCCAGCGTCGCAGATTTTTGCGCGAATGCAACGACAACCAGTATGTCCGGTACACGTTTCCTTGCCTCTATCTCAAGCTCATAGCGCGCTCTGGCCCACGCGTTATCGCTGCTCATAGGATCCTCCAAGTCTGCTTCGATCGATTGAAGCAAGGTTTGAACACTATGTAGCTTTTGTAGTGAACGACCGATGATCAAAGCTGTGAGATGCTGGACCAGCTCGTGTGAATGCTGTAGGCCTTTACCGAGATGGACTTTAGTCAAGGGAGAAGGCAAAATCGACTCGATCATCGTTGAGACCGGTGGCGGTTGAGCATTCGGTGGCATTTGCTCAGGATCGACTCCTCTGGCCGGTGTCTGTCGAAATGTTCCCGCAGGAGGGATGGGAAGGGAAATGATGCGGCCGACATACGAAATAGTGGACATCCATTTTGAGTCGAGTCTCGGATCTAATGCCAAGGCGCAGTATGGCCAGTAGCTGCCCACTTATTTAGCAAAATACGACACCGAATGATATGACTCGCCTAGCGATGAGCTCAGGAACAGTTCGAAACACCTTGACCACCCAATCACCGATCATACTATTGTCGTCCACGACCTTAGCACCGAGCTTGCGAATGACGTTAGACAATATCTTGTTGTGCAAAGTATTGCGAGGAGCATCAGCCCGATTTCCCCGACCGGCTTCCGGTACGTCGCCAGTCTCGGATGACACTTTGCGAGGATACCATCCTTGATCTGGAAAGCAGATCCCTTGTCCCTGAACAGTGGTGGCGCTCTCCAAGAAAGCCGAAACGACTTGACACAAGGGCTTGCCAGTGGTTGGCTCGATCTCCTGACGAGTTAAGCATGAAAGCATACTCTCTATAGCTCTCTCATCGAGGAGTGCCAAGCTTGTTCTGCGGGCAACACCTTGTACAGGATTTTGTATGGCGGACCAAAGGGCTACCAAGATCCGATATATCGTCACCGGTGGATCTCCTTCGAGATTCGAGTACAGGGGTGACATGAACTGCTTGACTCCAGAGATGAAGAGAGGCTTGGGTAAGATGGGCAAAATCAGATGTAATAGGGCATGGCGGATATCTTTGCCTGTCAGCCTGACGATGCGATTGCTCCGCCCACCTGGCTTATCAAGCGGATCGTCTGGCCCGTACTTGATTGTTCCCTCTTTCGTCCTCCTCCGCATCCCCAAAAGCTTCGGAAACAGCTTTGTACTCCCTCCTTCCGCAAGATACGTCCAAATCTTCACGCCGATATTAGAGGATGATGCTTGTGAGCTCGGAGGCTCGGCATGCACCGCAGCAGCTGCCAGCCTCAGTCCTAAGAGACACTGCTCCCGTTTGGCGGATTGTATCATTCCATTGAGCTTACTCAGTCAGCTTTGTCCTCGACATTGCGATAATGGGCTCACCAGATCCGTGGAGGATTCAGATACTGTGATCAAGCGGTTGATTATTCCAGTCGCTGTCTTCCGGAAGAAGGGTATACCGCTCAGTATATTGAGTCCCTGAACTAAGACCACCACCGAGGCTTCCGCGAGTCTCTCATCTCGACGTTTGTCGCCTTCTTGCCAAGCTGCGAAAATTTCATCACCGCTCGGTGAGAGATCGAGATACTGCTGAAGCAGCACAACCCGTGGGTCTGTAATGGCCAAAGGGAGCTCAGAATGGACCACATGTATCTGCTGACCCAATGCAACAAGAGCTTGGAAGCCTGTCAATCCACGATCCTTCTCGTATGAGGAACTCACATTGCAATGGGTCATTGGCCAAGCTGTGCTTCAGTGCTTTGCCGTTCGTGAACGTCCTCGTTCCCACGGCGGGCTTTGTGACTCTGTGATCGTCATTTTGACCCATATGTTCGCCTCGCTTCCTCTTCAACACCATCTCAGCCGACTAACCGCCCCCAGAGATCAAAACGATATACAGTAAAGCACAACTCTGGCCTCAACTTGAAATATTTCAACTATGTGGGGCTCCGCGAAGTGACGATGAACACGTGACCACTCTTTGAACCCTTACCGGTGACCCATCCGACGGGCCTACGAGATGCATGTATTTCTATTCCTTTTTCAGTGTCTCTGGCGCTCCAGCCATCTCTTTCACTGCTCAAGGTATATGCAATGGACAGGCATCCGAGCAGCCGGGTCTCACAACGGCGTCATCGAATCCTCTGCTCCGGTGCGCTGTTCAGGGCCACCGGGCAACAGCAGCATGCGAGCACAGAAATTCTCTCTGATCTTCGTACTTGGCGATTGAGGTGCCTTTTTGAGCGAATGGGGTCCATACTACTACGCTCGCTCGCTCAATTGCAAGCTGATATTTTAGCTTCAAACCTGTCTGCCAGCTACTCGAGCTAGCATTCCCCCTGCCTGATCACTGCTTCTTTGATAGCTGACCAGGACAGCCCCCTCATGTCAGTATGAGGAGGGGTCTCTAGATCAATCAGACATCAACAGCTCGACCGACTCAATTGGGCGCTCAACATTGTACGCTCTGCAACCCCGGAATCTCCGACAATGCCTCTCATTAAGCCAAAATCCAGCTCTCAGGGCTTGGGTATCTCTTACTCATCCACAGAGCCGGGTACTCCACCGAGGACAGACAGAGAAACTCGAGACAGACAAGGACACCGCTCCTCACCCGCGCTTGGCCCGACTGCTCCGCGACCCGTCCGTCGACCGACTTCCTCAAGAGATGGTGGTCATCACACATTCACAACATTCTCCGCCATCCTCCCGCCTTCCTCTGAGGCCTCCTCGTCCACTTTTCATCCACCCGTGATGCCCGACAAATTCGTCAAACGCCGATCTCACACTCCTGGTCCCATGCGAAGCGCCTCCTCTAGCTCTACAGCCTCTGCTGCGAGTCGCCTGCGAAAGGCGAAAAGTGCAGAAGTCTTTCGAAAATTTACAAAGTCCAATGACGTTGTTGGCAGGCCATACGTCCCTCTATCCGATCCTGAAGACGACAACCCTGAATCTATGATTGGTGCGGCTGTCATGTCGCAAGCATCGAGTCGCTCGTCAAGGACAATGGAGGAGGAGATCCGCAGCGTTCAGGTGTCTGTCCAATACATGCCTGAACGGTCGGGATCGGTCATGACCGGTTGGACTCGGCGCACAGAGCACTCAGCCTCTGGTCCAAGTGGGAATACACCTCGCCGACCGCTACCCATGGAGCCGACTACAACGACAATTATGGAGATGGATGATACCCCTCAGTCGCACGAAGACAGGATTGGCTTGACACCAATCTCAACGAAGAGACCGCCTCCATCCCCTCTGAGATCCGACTCCTTTTCTTCAGATCACTCTGAGCCGGAGCCAAAGCCGGAGATGATGACTCGATCTCTTTCTACACCGACGGGCAATCCATCACCCGCCAAACCGTTCTTTTCGTTCCCCGAAGGTCTGGATGATCCGCCGCCATCCATTAGGCCGCCAATAATGGATCACCGCCAATCTAGCGTGTCGACCGGTATACACTCGAAGAACGCCATTCTACTATCTGCCGAGTCTGGAGCCTTAATGCTCGAGTACTCTGACAAAGGCGGAGCAGGTGTCTGGAAAGAGGGCCAATTGATCATTGGCAAGGGCGCGGGCCTGACGACCACGCCCGATACTGTCTCGATAGCATCTACGGCCGACTCGGAAGAGCAGGCAATGGATCGAGTCAAACCCAAGTCCAGACCCCGAGCAGACTCCAGACTATCGACACACACGCAATCTGGTTATCTCAAGCATTCGAAGAGCCGGTCTGAGGACGACGCTCTCCTAGCTCGACAAGGTACTTTATTCCACCCTTCATCTTCCCATGACCGTACTTCGGATGAATTAGGCGTCATGCTGGGAAAGAAGGGAAACAGGCGACTCTCCCAGTCCAAGCTACTACCGCCTCCGGATAATGTCTGGGAGAACGATATACCGGACGGGATCAGGCTGGAGGCTAGCAAGAAGAGGAAGGCTCGGGTCGAAGTTGACATTGTATTGGAACGTGACTGCGTAGTTGAGGGTGGAGAGGTAAGAGGAAGGATGGAGGTCAGGGTGCATGGAAGCAAGCGCTCTGAGGGCCTACGGGTCGGGGCTGGCAAAATACGTGTCGTTGGCTTTGAGGGTGAGGAGACGATGTTGAGCGGTGGCTGATGGCAGAAACCTCCAACGCTCAAAGACATATCTTCTACCATCATCCCCATCCTCTGCCGCAATTCTCGCGCCGTCCAGACGAGGACATGCCAGGGATCTCGCTCTTTGCTTCCGAGCCTGACCGAGACGGCTATCGCTTAGCTGCAGAAGGCACCCATTCGATCCCCTTTCGCCTGCGTCTTCCTCTCGATGGCGGAGCTAAAGGCTCATTTGGTAACGCTGCTACAAAAGGCCCAGGCGTCAGATACGTTGTGGTCGGCAGCGTCAAGCTCTATCTGCCAGTCAGCGAGAAGAGATCCATCGCGCACTTCTATCGATCTTTCAATGTCTTGCCATATCTCAAAGCCTCAACAGTACTAGCCCCTAGCAGAGAACCGATCGAGGCAAGTACGGAGAGCGGTATGGGGTGGCGAATGGGAGGTGATAAAGGCCGAGTGAACCTCCGGGTGGCGCTTGGCCGTGGAGTTTGGCTATCGGGTCAGAAGCTGTGGTGTGAAGTCGGCATTCATAACGAGTCCTCAAAGAGGGTGAGCCGGCGATTGAGTACTCCTGCTGACACCGTCAGATCAAATCATTGCAATTGGCCATTCTGCAGACTGTTCAGACGTTCAATCCCAACGCTCAACTGGATCCATCAGGCAGGGCTGCACGTCACCAAATATCTAAGCGCAAATCCGCGGATCGAGAGGCTCTTCTCAGTCAACCGAATGTCGATACCGACCTAGATGCTTGTCAGACCTTCACTCAGCAGCGGAAGGTCAGTGAGCAGGTGCTTGAATCAGATCATGCGGCCCCTGGAGCTGGCCGTGTGACAGGAAAGGGCTGGTGGACGGGAGTGGAATCAGGCGACTCTGGTCATTGGGATCTATCGATATCTATCCCAGTGAGTCCTGAGCTCGAGCTGTATGGAATACAGCTGATTCTTGCAGTCTGATCTGATCAGCATACGGCGCGCTCGACTGGTCGAGGTCCGATACATGCTCCGAGTCTCCATCAGCAATTCCATCTACGTTGATATTCCGATCACCCTGATCGACTTCCTCTCGATCGACCCACCTCCAATGCCCGGTGATACCCCCAGACTTCCAATGCCTCAAAGCATATCGACGAGAGCGAGAATGCCTCGAGAAGACTCGCTTGGCCTGCCGGATAATCAAAAGGGGGCCTTCTACCCATTGAGTGATCCATCGGGATCCAGGGAACACGAGGTGATTCCCGTTCGAAGGCAAGCCCAGAGCTCGCGACTCCATTCGCCCGCAAATGAGGCTCGATCCAGATTGGATTCACCGGCGGAACGGCCCATGTCAATGGCCAGCGACTACACGGAGGACTCGACGCCCATCTTGCCTCCAGCAACCGAGCCTCGACGTCCAGCTGCAAACCGCATCATGTCGTACCTGTCTTCGCCGCCCATTGGAAGTGAGGAGACTGGAATCAGCTCCTCGATGGATTGCCTGAGTGAAGAAGCAGACAAGGCCTTGTTGGCGGCAAGACGAGCTCAAGGTCGGGCGAGATCCCTTGCGGCCATTGAACGCGCGGTGGCGAGAGAAGCGGCTCATGACATGGCGCATGAGCCCGTCGAAAACGAGGACTTGGATCAAGCTGATGACCAAAGCGAGGGATCTCGCTTTCAACCGCTGGCCACACCGTCGGAGGAGGTGTTCAAGATGATGGGCAGTCCAGAGGGTGGTGATTCGGATAACACGCCACGTCCTTCGACTCGAGGTAGATTTGAGAATCAGAAAATCGATCATGAAGATTACGTGGACCACGGGCCCGGTCTGCACGATCTTGCAAAACGCGAGCACATCGAAAACAATGAGGACCCAGACGAGGATGTCGGAAACGATACTGTACTCGAGGATCTGGTACACAGGCGGCCTGGCGATACTGAAGAGGATGGTGACTGGATTGACGAAAGTGACGAGGAAGACGACGAAGATGCGCCTAATCGTGCTGAAGAGCATCCTCCTTCAGAGCGGGAACCCAAACGCCAAAACGTTGTTTCAGCAGAAGACCCTTTGGATGCCGGACACCCTATTCATCAAGCGATTAGCATCGGTACCATAAACCCCTCCATAGATCCTCAGCTCGCGTTTATGACCGGAGAAATGCCTCACACGAGGGACAGATACGCTCGGCAGAACCGCTCAATCAATGATTCGGTCGCCACACATCATACGCACAGCTCAGAGGGGTCTAGCGAGATTGGAGAGATAATCGAAGCGAGGAAGGAGCAGCTGCCTCCGAAACGAAGGGCAAGCCTTATGAAAGCGGCTCTTCCTGAGAAATCCTACTCGGCCGCCGGCGGGGATCTCAAGTTTGGAAAGAGAGCCAGCAAGTCATCCAGCACGCCTGCTCAGTCAACTCTCCCAGCCAAAGCTCCAGACTCGCCGGCCAGTGCCTCCATTTTTGCGGGCAGAGCTTCACGTCGAGCGGAGCCACCTACACTAGATGTTCCCCCGATACATCAACTTTCTCCCGAACCTGAAGTTCCAGAATTGACACCGTCAGTCCATTCGGACCCCGGTTCCAGTCAGGAAGAACCCAGCATCGAATCGCCCGTCATCTCGGAGCCTGAGCACGCTCTTCGACCAGCAACCTCTCAGCGCTCCTTGCCTCAAGTCCCGACGCAGTCGGCCGGTCAACGGGCTGATTTCGCTGGAATGGATCATGCTCCGGCAGAAAATCTCTGGCTCCCAGCAGAAACACTGCTTCGCAATCAGGTGAACCGGTTCAGGAGTGAGACTCCAGGTCCTTCTGTCAGGCCCATCTCCCCCGTTGCGAGATCGACAGACGAACACAGCGTGGATCATTCCACTGGATCCTCAAACAGTCATGAGACAGAGAGCTCTGGACAAACGCATGAGTCACTATTGCCGAGTGTCAGGACGAAGATCGCACAATTGGAAGAGAGACAGGAAGCGTTGAGAAGGATGTCCCTAGCTTCTTTTGGCACCCCAATGGCATCTCCGAAACCTGCAGACGACAAGGGTTTGAAGAACTCGGTCCTCAGGTCTAAAACCGCGACAGTAACGCAGTCGGCAGCACCTTCGCCTCAGATCAAGCAAACGACACGGCCTGCCAGATCCCGAACGCTTGGAGCAGAAGATATAGATATCAAGCCTGGATCCACATCGCCTGCACTCCCTTCTCGCTCCAACAAGGACTCTGCGGATCCAGTGTCGCATCGTAAAGCAGCTCGGACCCCTGGTCTGGCGTACCGCGAAGGATACGATGACTCCAGCTCCGAGCCCGAGGTGTATCAAGTCAACTCGGATGCGGGTCATGGCGACGCGGAATCGCCACGCAGTCGCCGGTCTCACGTCTCATCACCCAGGAGTCCCCCTGCAAAGACTAAACGCAAAAGCTATACCGCTGCACTTGCGCCGCGGCCGACGCGACAAACGTCCGACGATTCTGGACTTCCCAATCCCGAGCGAGCGCAAACCCAGAGGTTGGTGGTCTCCCCGACCAGTGGGGTTCCTATAGCGATGGCCTCGGTATCTGAAACCGGTCATGGAGATCCTTCAGCCAGCCGCACGCCACGATCCCAAATGACCTCGACATCTGCAAGTCCTGCTCATTCTAGATCGTCGGCCCCGGTGCCGGGTCGCTCTCGAACCATGGGTGATCGGCCTTCAAGCTATGCTCCCATGCCGAGACCGAAAGGTTCGAGAAGCGAATTGCGTCGCGAGAAAAGCGCATCATCGACATCAACATCTGCCACAACCGCCGAAGCAGCATTGATAAATAGGAAGCAGCAGATACCGAGGCGGCAGACAAGAGCTCAAACAATGTACGTGGAGGGGAAACATGCCAATCACGACTATGACTACGAGTCGTACTCATCCGCGCACGTCCAAGAAAGCCATGGCGGGGTGGCACCAACTTCAGCGTACGCCACGGGAGATCAGAAGTATTTCAACCACTATGGCGGGGGCGGAGGGTTCTACGCCGGCACGTATGGTGTATATCACGAGCCTTACAAGAGCTCAACCGAGGCGGGCTCGGCCAACTGGGTCCGCCCCGCCGATCGACCGGATCAGAGTTTTGAAGGAGTCGACGAGACTGAATGGGACAAGTTCTACTAATAGAATCACTCGTTGTACACTCATACATCTTGCTTTGCCATTCTGCATACTGTACAGGCTTGGGATTACACTATTCAATGTACCTCTAGCGAGACTGATCCCCAAACCGCAGCCTAGGAAACCCCACCCAGGGCTTGACCCATTTGAATTCGTTCCAGGGCCAATGACGCAGTCCATTGCCCTCCGGCTAGGGGTAGCATTTCACCCAAGGGGGAGGTCTGGTTCCGTCGGTCTTTCAGGCGAGTGAGAGTGGCACTCACCTCTCCGGCCACTTGACACCCGTGTCCAGGTCAGATGGTGGCACCCCCTCGTGCCAACCATTGGATGCTTGAGCGTCCTCCGTCTCCATCAGTGTACGTGTCGCAAGATCCATGTCGTACGCGACCTCAAGAGGTGTTTGTCTCAGAGCAGAATATAGCTTGGCACTCACTCTCACGCTGGGGATCACTTGAATTCGTCCGAGACCCGAGCTCCACAAGTCCTTACAGAAGAGAGAGCACTCGCTCGCGGCACACTCCCCTAAAGTTTGGTTGGAACGTCTGAACCGGATGTTGTATGGCGGGAGAAAGACCTTTGGATCAATGACCGCGATGCCGTTCCAAGCACAGTAGGCCGCGAACGGTTGGAGCTTGTCGTACTTCTCAATGAGCTGCTCGTGTCCACGAAACAACAGTTGACCGTCGCCTTCGTGCGGGAAGTCTCGAAACAGATCCCCTGTCTCCGCCTGAGTTCATCAGGCCAGAACGCGTCTTAATGACACTTACAGTCCTCGCTACCCAGACATCGTAGAAGAATGTCTCTTCCCCGACGTTGCCTGCTCTATAGTCCATGGCATTCGTCATGATCGCCGGCGGAGCCGTGTCGGCGCCGGATTTCACATGCTGGTGGATCAACTCCAGGATCTGACCGGCATTGAAGTAAACATCGTTGAAGAAGACAATGACCTCAACTCCCTTTCCGGCGGTCCTGCCTGTGATAGAACTGTTCACTGGCAATCCATCAAAATTCAAGCCGTGATCCTCCCATACCGGAGACAAGGCTTGATTGCGGAGGTCTGCGAGCTGCTCTATCCTGTTCCGGCGTGACCAGTCAACCTCCTCCATATGCAGATCCAAATGGATATCGTCCGAGTCAACACCAAAGCGGATGAGGCAAGGCCACAAGACTTCTTCCAGGATATGGGCAGTTTCGTCCGATGATGGCCCCTCGATGATAGAGATAGATAGGCGCTTCGGTCCCAGAAACGAGGTGAGTACGGAGATTGATCGCAAGAGATCGTAAAGCAGCTCTTGCACGTCCTTCAGGCTTGCTACCAGCATGATCTTGCCACGATCTTTCTCCGTTGATACCTGTCGCAGATGGGCATATCTTTTCAGCTGAGGAGGGCTGAGGCGAGGCAAGGGGAAGAGCGGTGTCGGAAAATGCCCTGTGATGCGTCGGAACTCTTCAGCCAGCGCCTTCAGCTCGAGTTCCAAGCGAGTCTCGTCATACGAGTGAGAGGGAGCCACGGACTCCCCTTGCTTGTTCGGTGCGAGGAGCGGCTCTGGAATTCGTGCGATTGTCGTCGCAGCGGAGCTTGCTTGTAGAGGCTCTTGGTCAAGATTCCAATAGGTACCGAGCACATAGAGGCAGATCAATAGGATTGTCAGACTTCCCCAGCGGGGCTTTGTATAGCCAGCGCCATGTAACAATCCGGGTATCGATCTGAACGTAGCTTTAGAATACCTGTTCTGCGATGCCTCAGTTGCCTCTTGCTTAATGTCCTTGCTAGGGGTACCTGGCAGTAAGTCGCCGCCTTGTGAGACTCGTAAGACAGAAATTTTGCTGCCCATGCTGGAGCATGCACCGTCAATGCAAGCAGTGTGCTCGCCCAGCGGGGGCTCTGAGCACGGCCTCTGATCACTTTGCCCCAAGTCGAGCTAATGCCCTTTCTCGTAACCCTTTCATGCGCCGAGCAGATCGTCCTGTGAGTAGATCGATGCACCTCCTTTATGCCTCCTCCGGAGTTTCGAGTCCGATCACGGATCTGTGGAGTTTTGTGAGCGCCGATCCTTGGTACCGAACAGCACATCGAACTGGTCAAAGGAATGGGAATGAAAGCAAAGCTACATGTTTTGAATGCTATAACCTATGGCTGACAAGATATTCCCAATGTCGAATAAATGACTGATTTTATTTGACTAGAGCGATGGTCCATAATGATGTATGGCCAAATGATCCCCCTACCCTCAACACGCGACGGGTGTTCTCCCCATGCCCATCTCCCTCCCATTGAACAAGAGGCTGTCGGTTTCTTCGTGCTGAGCCGAAGGACTGGACGGCAATCTTCTTGTTTGACTCCTGCCTTCGGTATGTGTGCCGTTGAAGCTTGACGACCTATGATGACTAGGTATGCTGGCATAACTCTTCGGAGTTCCAAAGGAGGAAAAGCTTTTCATCGACAGCGGCGAATCGTTGGATTGGTTCCGAGCGTCATTTAGACTGGTGAACGTCGTGTGATAGCTCGCCAGGGACTCCGGGGAGCCATTTATGTCTTGCACCCCATCCATATGCATGGAAGGGTAAGAAGAGGACGATTGATCGTGAAAGTACGACTGAAGATCCGAAGTCGAGCTCGCTCGTCGAGGCACGTCGGAAGGTGAGACAGGAGCTCCACCCCAACAGAACCTGGGCAGGTCAGCTTGTGCATGATCCGTGACAGAAGCGAAACTCACTGCTCAATGAAGGATGAATAGCTAGCCAAATTGAGGTTTCTGTCTGCCTTCGAAGTCGGACTCCACCTAGGAGAGATAGTGGTTTTCGCAACCGGCGGTGATGCAGGAGACTGATTGGCAACGGCTGTCCCGTTGAGTATGCTTCCGGCAGGAGCACTGCGGCCTTTGGTGATTGGCGGACGCTGCTGTGGCGGGCTCGCAAGTGCGGCCCGAGCAGAAGCGACGTGTTCTACGTGCCTGGGAACATCTTTCACTTCCGACGACTGGACTGGTGATTTAGATGGACTGGTTCGCTTAAGCTCCGCCGTGGGCGTGTGATCTGAGGGCGGAGATGACTCGGAAGCTGTAGAACCCGTGCTCGGCAAAGTGGCAGAATTCAAGGCAACAGAATCCGGCGTGGAGAGATAGCTCGAATTGGGCGTGACTGGGGAGAATAATAGATCGTTGGCCGCAGGCAGGGTGTCCGGCAGATTGTTTGGGGAGAATCTGGGGGAGTAGAACTCCGTTGCCGCATGACCATTATGGCTCTTCGAGCCTCCGAAGCTGAGTAGTCCAGTCTTGACGTCGGGAAGCTCGGCGTTGTTGCGGATAGACGGCGAATGTCGTCGTGTGGTCTTGAGAGCCGCGCCAAAGTCGTACCTGGCTGCAAGACCGTGACCGGCAGATGGAAGCTCCGGTCTGAATTCTCCATCAGATTTCATGCCTCGGGGCGAGTTCGAAGGGGAAACGGCCGAGGCGAAACTCATCATGTTTCGATGGTCGCCATTCCGAACGGGCGAAGCTTGAGGAGGAGAATTGTCGGGATCGCCTCCCGTTAAGTGATTTAGCTTTGCCCTCAGATCGGCAAGACGATCGTCCTCCTTGCCGCCCGTGACACTCCATTGGCTTGTTCGCCCACCTATGGCTTTGCCCATGCCCGGCTGGATGACGGAATTCGCCCGTTTTGGAGAGAGCGTAGCGATACCAGCTGGGACCTTTTCGAACAAAACTTGGTAATTCTGGCCACCATTAGAATCCCAGATCTCTTTGCCAGCGGTGTGGTAGCGAAGAGCGATGAAGAGGGTCTTTTCGCTGATACGCGATAAGACGTCGTGCAGCTTAATGACGAATGTGAATCTGTCATGTGTGCCACCTCGGACAGTCTCCTTGTGCTGAGCAGTGACCTCAGAAGTTGTCTGCCAGAAATCGAGGGTGAATCTTGCAGCGACCCATTTCTGAAACGACAAATTCTTGCACATGATGATCCCCTTGAGCGATCGGCGATCGTCCTCGAGGAAGAGCGATTCAAGGTACAACTCGGCATCGGGCGGGTGAGACGTTGGGAAGTTGGGCAGTTTAATCTGCAATACTTTGCGCATCGGCCCGTCCTCCTCGTCCGTCGACGGGAAGGGGTATTCCTCGCCCTCAGAAGTGGTGTATTCAGCGGTCGGTGAGCCATCTCGACTGACGACCTGGGGCTTTTGATCTTGCAGGAATAACTTGACCCGCTCGAGTTGAGTGTCAAAGTGAACATATTTCGGGCATGAAGGGGTAGCTGGTAATGACTTGCTCTCGAAGCGAGGTCGTGGCGAATCCTCGATGAAAACCTCATCGGGCGAATGCTTTAAAGGGGTGCCATTGGGTCCCAACGGACCTGCGTATTTCAGAGCGGGCTTGAGGATCTCGCCGGACTTTTTCCTGATCAAACGCGTCGAGTAAGGTGAAGGGATGATTGCTGATCGTGTGTCATCCTTGGACACAACGGGAATGATGCCTGCAAAATCAAGCTTGAGACCATTGACTCGCTTTGCACGTGGTGGCAGAAACGAGGGTGAGCCAATCGTCGGAAGGGCCGTTTCAGAGTTGGCTCGCGTGAGTTTTGACGGGGGCGACGGTTTGGGGAGCGGTAATGTGGGCATTGTTGGGAGTGTTCCGCCGATGACTGGTTTCTGCGTCGGAGTAGGTGTGGTGTCCCTTTCGGGTGACGCTTGGCGAGACGAATTCGCGGAAGACGAGCTGTCTGATATCTCTGTGAATCCAAACAATTTTGGCCTTCGATTTCTACCCCGCGTGAGCATTAGAGAGTCTGCGGCAAGCGCTACACCTCTCCTTGGTGGAGATCGTACTTCCGGAAGGACCTGAATGGAGCCAGAAGACCTGCTCGTTGACCCCGAAGCTACAGGCTCGTCGGGGAGGCTGGGGATTTCAGTGGAAGAGGAGCCGCCAATGGCGATTGAATTGACAGGGATCGAGGCCGCAGTCAAGATGTCACCATTGGGAGGAACTTCTCGTTCTGGCGTCGGGGGATGGACAAAAATGGGACTGATCTTGCCTCGGCTTCTGGATGTCAGTGGAAAGGACAAAGTCTCGGCACTCACTTTTTGCTTCGCAGTGAAAGGTGTAAGCCTGAGTCATTTTCTTCTCGTTCACCGCCGATCAGGTTTTCAACAGTCTCCTCATCGTGGTCTGCTAGGCCCTGGGCCGATGCTGAAGCACTTGCGGCGGAGTATGGCATTCTATCCCAGACGGACTGAGAGGCGTCCAGCAATAAGATACGATTGCCTCCTAAAGACGATAAGAGCGAGTTTGGGGATACCAAGCGAAACGTTGATGCGTAAGGCAGATCGTGATCAGTGTTGAGCAAGAGGGGGATTGGCAGGGGACCGAAAGAGGAGCGTGAGGTAGAAGGCCGTAAAGTCTGACCAAGTGAGACCTTCGGATCGATTTCACTAGCCTCTTGTGCAGTGGCTGGACTATCTTTGGTTTCGCAGATGTCCGTTGAATCAGATGGGTTTTCAAGTAGATCTGATAAGTCTTCTTCCTCGATTTCAGAATCCTCGTCCCCAAAATCGGTTTCGAAAGAGTCCAACTGTCGTACAGGAATGGCTCTTATGGCCGGAACGACAAGTGGCGGTGATGGCAAACAGTCAATGTCTTTGACATCCGCTGGAGGCGTGTAGAGGCCAGTCGAGATGGCGAAACCAATATCACCGATTGACGGAAGACACGCTGGAGAGATGTCGAGATCAGGCGAAGCCGGAGGTGTCGGGTAGAATGAATTGGGCTGTGGCGCTGGCGCAAATATTGGGATCGCTGCAGGGAGATTCGGTGGTGGTGGCGTATCGCCAGTTATGCAAGAATCTGTGTGAGGGCGCGAAGTCGCCAGTCTAGAAGGAGCGAACGACATGAGCATTGATATCACTGGAGGCGAGGCGACCCCAGATCAAAGTGAAAGGAGGTTGATGATACAAAGGATGTGTGGTGTGTATGAACGCAGATATCGCTGATCCCCGACACTCCGACTTCAATGGAGGGTGAAAATACGGGTGAAGATGGACACGAGCCCCAATGGCAGCATGATTTCGAAACTCGCGGGAATGCAGAAGGATGGACAGCAAGAGGTGGCGGATGACAGAGGGAGCAGAGTGTGGAAAATGGTTGGGGATTAATCGTATCTCCCCTCAGCGGTCATCAGAGAGAAGCCGCCGACTGACTACGGAGGATCGATGGGGAGGAGATCGGTCGATTGGACCAACCGACTTGTTCCAGCAAGAGAGCACAAGAGATAGGACAAAGACGAAGCAGGATGGGTGTAAAAAAACTTACAATCTGGCTTAGGCCAGGGCCGAAAGACTGGACGAGCCGCCGACTGGCTGACCTTTGGTGAGCCGTTTACGCTTGTTTACGATTCCAACGGTCAGCGGCTGGATCCAAAGCGGGCAACCGGTAGCTTGGAGACGCCACGGGTGATCTTCTGAGCCAGAATATCAGCGAGAAGACTCTTGTGGCCGCTCGTCGCCCTGACCTACGCACGCTGTTTTCGAGCTGTCTCGCCCCTCTAGAGTGTCCTCTACCTCGCCCAATGAGCCTTCTATGACGTCCCAGAAACTTAGTATTGATCTCGCCTCCTGCTTATTCAAAGCATGTGAGATGTCACAAAGGAAGGCGGGGTCGTGAAGAAAATGCTGTAGAGATGACCAACTGATGTGCCCCGTGGGATGGACCAAGCTGATGACGATCGACTGAAAATGGTTTCACAGAAAGTGACGCTGGAGGATCCGAGAGCTCGGGTGAGAAAGTCAAGCGTAACAGAGCACCAGGCGTAAAGCAAATTCTGATCTATGGGGGAGCCGTGGGACGAGCAAATGGAGGGACCTAATGGTGGTCGTGAGAATGGAAATCGATTATCAACGTTTATTCCGGAATCGAAGTGGTGTGGAATCGGTTGCAATCCCGATTTTTTCGTGTGGTTCGCGTACTCAAGTGTGATTTTCTGGTGGATATGTGGGTCGGCCACAATGTCTGGAGATGTAGAATAGAGAAGAATCAGTGGGACAGAGTCTCAAGGACAAGAGGGGTCGCTCTCGGTCAATCAATCTCTTTGAGGCCTCGTGATAGGAGTGATTTATTTTTTCCTTGACTGCATTATGTAAAAGGGAGATCCCCGCGAAGACAGATAAACGGTTTGACACCTGATTCGCCTCCCCATCTCGTCCGTTCCTCAGTTGCCTCCCCTGTCCTGCCCTCGGTGCTGACCCGGGCTCGCCGGTTGTATAGCAAAATTGCCTCTGCTCCCCAAAAGACAGCCATTCTGAATCGTTTGTTTTTCCCACCACATCTTCTACCTCTCTCTTTTTTCGATTTCCCACTCTGGAGTTTTTAAGGTTTCGCATCATCTTCCATGGGAAAGTATTCACTGCGTCCAATCACCTGCGAGGACAGACAGAGACTGGGTTACGGTATGCCACTGTGACAGACAGGCATCCGACTGAGATCGCATTCGTGGCACAGCCAACTTTGGTCAAAGGACCCCCCTTCCATGTCCCCATCATGTATCTGCATCAGCGCTTGATACCCTCCTATGACGTCGTCTGGGATGTCCTGAATCCTGAGACGAGGCTTTCGGCTTGAAATTAGGGGTAAACACGGCCACCGAGGGAGGCCCTTTAAAATTCCCCAAATCTGATCGGGCGCGAGAGCTGAACAAAAGGAAGGAGAAACATATTCATCCTAAATTCGCCACTTTCGCCGTAACTGGTCAAACGGCTATGCAACCCCCAAGCTAGTGTAGTAGCCTTCCTAGCTGCTTTTCGAGAGTCTTGGCTCAATCAAGCACTCTCTACAATGGCCCAACTTGTCTCATCGTAGAAGTTTTTGACACTGTCCCAGTCTTCTGCTCCCCCATGCTGGGCAATATGCAGCGAGTTGTGCTTGCCATGCGTCCGCAAGTATCGAGTGGGGAAATTCCAGGACCTCAAGGAAACGCCATCCGATCCATCCAGAGCAGGCTCGGTGCAGAACGTCGAGTCCTCCTCGAATTTGTTCTTTGATGCTCTGATCCAGTGAAGAGGAGCACGAGAGTCTCGGGTAGAGTCCGGCGAATCGACAAAGATGGTGTAATTCGCTTGTCTGAGATAATGACCAGGCTCAACCACTGATTCGAACGAGAAGCACGTCTTGTCCCCGTTGCCTTCACGGACGATGAATGTGGATGCTTTGCTAACTGATCCAGTAGAGAGATTTCCCAAGAGAGTCACGTTGGGGCCATTGTGCGAAACGAAGCCAAATCCTGAATCGAAAGACACTCTTGATCCAATCTCGATTTCAGGTCCAGTGCTCGAAGAGATGGTACCGTATTCTGCAGAGACAATGTTGGCTTGAACCCTGTCCTCAATGTCGTCTCTCGGATACCCAGCGGTGAGGGCGCCTTCATAGAATGTGCCGACTCCTCTGAAACTGTTATCTCCGCCAACGCCGAGCAGTACAGCTCCCTTTTTGTTCATGGGGTAGTATCCCTCTGGTCGGCGGCCTGAGTAAGCTGTGTGCAGAGACCCTGCCGAGGCATCCCCCGCTCTGATGGTCCAGAGGTTGTAGTTTGCTCCCTTGACGATACCCATGACGAAGCGGTGGTTGAGAGGAGGTTGAGCAGGCACTTTACCACGAATGTCACTTCCAAAAAGTCCATCCTCCAGGTCCGCCATGACCCATGGCCCAGCTTCATGACCGTCCACATACTCGTTTCCCCCTCCAAAATAGATTGTCTCCATTGTAGTCTTCCCCTCGTCGTTCGTCGTTGTTTCTGCATTGCCATAATCGTAACAGCATTCACCATTGTAGTGCGTCCCATCGAGAACGGCGTAAATGCCTTCGGCTTCATTGCCGACAGGTACATTTGTGGGCGTGTTACATCGATAGCCTGCGCCTTGAGGTGTGAAAACCCCATACACTTTGTGCCCTTGTACCGTGACTGGAGCAGCGACAGCACTAGCGAGGATATCATATCCTCCGGGGTATTCACCAATATCGGCTCCCCCACCCGGTGCCCTGGTCAGATGATTCTGGTTCCCAGACTGATCATAGATGATACTGATTTCGCAAGTCGTAGCACGGCAAAACTTGTCCTGGATACGGGAGTTGGCGACTCCTCCAACTTTGAGCGGCGTTATGTCCACTGTCTTGTCATCGCTGCCGCGCGTCACTTGATACAGAGGGCCCCGATATGACGAATAGAGCGCCCGAGTGGTACTGTGAGCAGCGACACACGGCGTGTCACCAGAGGCATAGATGTCACAAACTCCAGGTGCCACGGCAGCCAGCCCCAAAGCGTGGAGCAAGCGAATGGGTAACGCAGACGAAATGAGGTCCATGCTGAGGGCAACGAGACGATGTGGTCAACAGTGGGGGGCGGTAGGATTCTTATACGATTTCTCCGATCCTGCGGCTGAACGGATCAGAGTTTGACCGAGACGGTAATTTTCCTCGCGTCGGTCGATACGATCAGCCGCTGCCACCAGACACCAGGCAAACAAACATAACCCTAATGCATTCATGGAAATGTACCAGATTGTAATTGCAAACTCTCATTATAAGGTCTATGTACGTAGCATAGGCCTTCCTATCTAACGTGCCCTATGTTTTTTTTTTCTGTTCCTCTGAAGGCCCTACTTCCCGCCCTTAAGCAAAGGTGAGCTTCATGAGGGGCTGAGCGTAAACGGTGGAGGTGGTGCCGGGGTAGTCGACCTGTTGGGTGTAGGTGAAGTAGAACTCGTTGGGGAGCAAGCTCATCTCCGGGTGAGCAGCCAAAGAGTATGCGAACGAGTTTCCTTGGGGGAAGGTGGCGACGTAAGTGGCAGCGGGCCATGGTCCTTCAAGAGTGGTGGAGGTGGTGAGGTAGAGCTCGGCGACTCCGGATCCCTGGAGCTGAGAGAACCAGAGGTAAGTCTGGTAGAGGTCGGACCAGATGATGGTACCTCCACCGACGCCACCAACATCGACAAAGGCAGAGGTGGTGTTGGTGAGGGGTTGAGTGGACGACCAACCGCTAGCAGGGTAGTAGTACTGGTAGGCGCTCTTGTCCTCGGTAGAGTCGATGGGGACACGGGCGAGACCGACCTGGGGAGGGGGGTACTGGGTCTGGTTGGCGGTGACGTTGAAGAAAGGAGGAGGGGAGGATTGACCCCAAAGATAGAGGTAGTCACTGCCTTGTTGCTTGACGTTGGCAAAGTCACCGTAGGCAAAGGCTCCTCGTGGCCAGAAATACTCGTCCACGAGGGAGATGGTGGGAAGCTGGTCGGCAGGGTCTCCGTGGTTGTGGACGAGCTTGTACAGACTCGAGAAGGGGTAGTAGTCGACAGTTCCCAAGAAGTCATAAATGTGAGGCACCTTGATGTAGAAGTGCATGGTAGTGGTTTCCCCATCGACGGAGGTGACAATGGCAGGGCTGTCTGGCCAGAGGGGAATTCGGGTACCGTCATTGCAGTTACCTTGAGAGGAGCCGGCGGGGATACCGTTACACTCATTGGGCTCATAGTAGACGTAAGGCTCGTTGGCGAAGTAATTGCTTTCACCTCCATATTGGGTCAACTGCAACTGGTAGTTGTCAGTGACTTGGGTCTGACCTTGACCAGCGGGGATGGGTTGGAGCTCGGGACCGAGTAGGGTTTGGTTGCTCCATGATCCAGTGGAAGCGACGAGACCAAGAGCACCTCCCTGGAAGAGACCTTCCTTGATCTCAGCGGTCAAGTTCTGATTCCTGAGGATGATCGAGTCTCGGCACAACCAGAACACTCGTCCATCAACGAGCTCAGTGGTAGAGACACAAGAGTCTCGCTGGAGGTTGGGGTCGAGGGTGATGGCGACAGTCTGAGGCTCCCCAAGAAGAGTAGGAGTGAGCAGACCTCGGGTGGTAGGAGCTGCCGAAGCAAGAGCTCCACCGATGACAAGCAGGGATTTGGCAGTGTTGAACATCTTGAGGCGGGGGATGTTGTGCGGTGGTTGTCTCAGACAGAGCTCCAGCCTCGAGGGTTTATATACTTTTGTCTCTCATGATCTTCGAGATCTGAACATGTATTTTTCGACATGTTACGACGGGCCCCGTGGTACGAAATCAGCCTGAAACGACATTGGAAATGAATCGAGCAAAGAATAGCCACAAGGTTTCGACCCCGATCCGCCTCCACCCACTCGGCTGTAGTAACTCGATTTCAAGGGAGGGGGGGCCCTTTTGCGGGTGCTGCCAGTGGCGTTCATAAATTAAAAGGGGGCTTTTCGGCAAGTCCTTGCAAAGGGAGTAGGAGCTGCTGCTGCTGCTATTGCAGTGCCCCGACGGGATCCGCCGCCGACGACGGCAAAACGATGCAGTGGTCAACTTGACAAGGTCGTCTAATTGGGAACGCATTTCGGACAAATGGGGACCGGTCAAGTACGACCCCCTTTTAGCCTGAAAGTCGACGTGAATATGGTCCATCTCATCAGATCATCAGAAATATAAACAAGGTTTGGTGACCGAGATGGATGGCGTGGCGGTTTGACAAGTCAGATGGCTAGGCTCAACGGGGCACGGAACTGGGGTGGGACCTAGGGTCACGTTCAAGACCTGAGATGCTCGAAACACAGCCATGCATTCCAGCAGATCTCCTAGCGAGCAGAAAACGAACGTCTTTCGGTCTAGATTCGAGGTCGTTCCACAGACCCAGTAGTACATCATTCATCGTCAAGCAGTGGTATGCCATCTACAGACCAGTATGGTCATATGCCATCCTCCTAGACCGTCAATGGCACTACCGGAGGTCTCAGTGTCTAGTGATGACTCAGAAAGCGGCGAGAGCAAGCCAAAGAAAAAAAAGGCGCCACCAAGTTCTGCAAGTTCTGCATCGACTGACCTTTATCCTCGATGGCGTTCAGGTTATAGAAAGATAATGTAGCAGTCCTGTCCTCACTACAGCTCCAATTCCGCTGAAAGACAGATTGAGGCATCACTGCTCGGTCCCCAATATCCCACAGCCGAAGTTGTCGGCCGACGAGTCAGTCTATTCTGCCTAAAAAACTTCCGAGGCACAATCTTGGCCCTGGAATGTCGAATTAACTTCTCTAGCGTGGTTTTGAACGCCCCCGAGGCAGGTCAACCGGCCTACAAATCAGCCTGACTGCATTGTGACGGGCAGCCCTGATGACGCTGAGCAAGCACTTGCATCAAATCTCTATGAACAAAGGTATGAACAACGATTATAGGGTATCTCATGTGAGAAGAGCCGAGTCTTATACTATACTACTCCACATTTGTAAATTCTCTACGCAGTAAGCCTTGGCGGTCTTCCATGCGATGGCATGTACCGCTTCGGCGGATGTTGCTGCGATGCCTCATTGCCCGATGGTCTGCTTCTGGACCACGAGTGACTTGGAAAGGTCTAGACCGCATTGCTTGCAAATGATTCGCGAGTCCCTTGGAGCTCTGAAAGGTGCACAGTGAGCGAGGTGCTCAATCTGACCAGAATAGGAGGATAGACTCACTGGAACAGTCCGAAGGGAAAGGGCAGCCCACCACCGATGTGAACTTGCTTCGGCTGTGAGACGAAGTCAGCAATTGCGCCATGGTCTCCCGCGCTCGGATCACTCACATTGTGATAACCCTTCTCACATGCTGTCCCGGCGAATGGCACAACGGCGGGACGAACCTCATTGGCGATGGTCCTGCCGTTGGCAGAATCGGCATACTGCTGAGCTCGAGCTCCCGCTCTGTTCTTAACAGTCGGAGATATGTCTCGAGTTCCAGTGGACCCATTGATGCTCGAGTATGAGGGAGGTGCTGCCTCCGTAAGTTGATATCTCAGGGTTGGCTCGATGGGCACAGGAGCTAGGACTGTCGGAGGAGTCATGCTTGGTGACATGCCGTATCTGGCCATCTTTCGTGCGAGCTTCGCTTCTCGTCGCTGCTCTCTTCGTAACAATCTTGCTTCTCGACGCAGACGGCAAGAATCGCTGGAACTGCAGCACATGATGAAAGAGAGAGAGATTTGTTCGGGCGTTTGGGTCTCGAGTGTATGGAGTGTGTCTTGGAGTTGTTGCTTGCGTTGCGGATGGGGTTGACATCTTGATCACTATCCAGTATTTGTATATCGGAAGGATGGGATGACTCCAAGTCCTGTTCACGGAGATCCTAAGCACGACGGCCATGGCTCGCAATCTCCATGGAACCAGAAGGCCGATCATTGCGTCATGCCCCCGGGGTGGGTCTCGCCGGGGTTTTGGATTTTTCGGACATTTCAGCCCGCGACCCCGCAAAAAATGAGAAAAGGCGGGCGACCAGTGAGCCCTGAACAGTCTGAACGCATGCATCTTGCCGTCATACATTGATTTGCATGGTCGTAGGTCGTTATTTCGTGTCGTTATGGTATCCGCTGCGAATACAAGTGAAATAAACAGGTTATACCGACGTGGTGACATGGTCATAATGCGGTGATTTGAGACCCTTCGGAGCAGGCTATACCGTCCTCCTCGCCTTCCTCCTGATCTTCTTGGCGTTCTTCCTGGAAGCTAGATCTATCCACTTGTCGAGCTTGTCGTCACTCAGTCCAAATTGTGAGACGAGTTGATTGCTGAGAGGGAAATGTCTCAGGAGTCAGCAGACGTACTACCTCTCTGCTTGGTCCCCCTCACTTGTCGTAATCGAGAAGCATGATGACTCCCGCGGCATCCCATGCTTCCCCAATTTGGCCCTCTTCGCCTCGCATGTAAGTCCCCATCCCAGTTCTCCTGTCTCCAGGCAGTGTCAGCCAGACTGCAAGCCGCTGCTCCTCGTATCGGTCATGTAGGCCGAACAGGGCTCTAAGAGGGCAAGGGTAGGTATCAAGGGCGTCATCGGATTCAACTTCTGAGTCATCTGAGTCGGACGCATCTTCGACTTGAGCGGCCGGGAGTGGCACGACAGTGTTGGCATTAGGCGACCTAGGAGAAGGTGGCAGAGGGATACGTCGTGGGTCCTGTCCTAGGTAGTCTGCCTTGTTCACCCGATCGGACAGGACAGCTCCGCGATGATGTTCCAGAAGGTGCTTGCACTTTACGAGACACTCGAGGAGGGAACATTCTGCTATCTCCTCCCAATGAATGGCTTGATGCTCCTCCTCCTCCTCGACATTGTGGATTGATTTCTCTTCGGTTTCATCGTTGCCCGGTGTCACATCGAGTCTTTTGACCGCCCTACGCTGGATATCCTTCATGGTTCCGTTGGCCATGCTGAAAGCCAGATCGCACCTGAGCAATCTAGCCTGCATCGAAATCCGCATGGGCCTCTGCTTGTCCTTCTCCTTCTGAGCTTTGGTCTTCGAGAAGTGTGGACCGCTCAAGCTTTCGACGGTGTCCATACCTTGAGCTAAGATCTCCAACAGTGCCAAGACTTCCAAAACGTCCTCGGGAGAAACGGAGACCCGTGATGTCGGCAGAGGACTTGTCCTGTTGGAGGATATATGCTTCTTGGGACGGAACGCTTCGACAAGCTCTTCGAGGATCTGAGATGCGCGTGTAAACATCATGGTAAGGTATTCGTCTGGATGGAGCGAAGTAGGTTGAAGCGGCTCAAAGATGGAGCCGAGTAGCTTCCGATCGATCTCTGTCAGGGACGTGGAAGAAGAATCCAGCTCATTGACGGCTCGTCGAAGGACAAAGACTCCTTCGAGGCATTGTCGAGTGACGGCTCGCATATCTTCGACATCTTGCGTCCATTCTCCTTCCCAAGTCCAAACGATTGATGTTGCTTGTATGGCGATCGGCAGAGTATCGAGCAGGAAAGAGACAGCTCCTACGTCCTCGGCGTCAAGAGGTCCATCTTGTTTCGTGTTCAAGTACTCTTTGAGCTGTTGAGAATAGGACTGAAGGTTGAGCAATGGTTTGATGAGGGCCTGGTGACCCGTCTCATCCTTTGCAGTGTAAAGATGGAGCGGACGAAGAAGTGTGGCCGGAGGGCGCGAAGGACCTGAACTTCTGAAGAGAGAGAAGAGAGAGAATGGACGGAGGAGGCTGTTGCCTGGGATCGAGGATCAGCTGACCCGATCATCGACAAGGTCAAGCTTACCACTCTTGGCGAAGAGCCCTTGGAAGGTTGGAATGTCATCAACCCACAATCGAGTCGGTGTCGCGTCGGTCATGCTGCCAGTCTGAATCTGTTATAAAGTGCGGAGAAGGATCTTGAATAGGAAGCCAATGGTGAGAGGAGAAAAGATGAGGAGAGCGCTTGTACCTAGATTATAAAGGGGCTTGTGTGTCAGATTGTGATCAGTGCGTATTGTCCTTGTCCTTAGCGACGCTATGTCACCAGGTGGAAGAGTCAGAGACAGGAACCATAGCGTTGAACAAATGCATTGTAGTAGACATTGGCGGGCCCTGGACGCTGCGAGACCGAGAGGAGGTGAGCGACAAGAAACGATCCCAGGCGATGCGGAGAATCGAAATACGTTCGATAGCCAAGACGTGCGTTGGTGATTATATTGTCAAAAATCCTCGTCTTCGCTGGCCGCGTAGCTTAACTATTATTAATGATCTTTTGATCATGATTTACATCACATACCGTACGGTAAAATGGGGTTCGATCGGTAGGTCGAATCCCGCGCGGCCATAATGTTTAAAAATATAACAATAATATAATGGTAATTGTTATTATTTTTGTCATTTTGTCTTTCCCCTCAACATACTGTGACATCTACCTATCATCTCCACCAGATATGCTCTAGTCTTCTTGACTCATTGCTACCGTCTCGCAAACTGTATTCTTTTGGACCTTCTGGGTTCAAGCTGCCGCGTGGCAACTGAATTTGCTCTCGCAATGACGGGCCAATCAGGCGCTTCGAAAGGTAGAGTGTCACCAGGGCGGCTCACGTTTCTTTCCTTGCATCTTTCAGAGTGTCGCGGAGAGCCTACCGAACATCCACAGGCAAGTAAGAAGGGGCAAGAGCGAGAATCATCGATTCCAAGGGTCATTCATCCTTTTGAAAGTACTGAAGCCGAGAAGCAATGCATTTACGTAAATTCATCTGCGAAGATGGACAGAGAGCGACAGCGCCTCTCGAGTGTGCAGCGAGGATGGTATGCCTGCTGCGAGCGATCCACCACAGTGTGCAAGGCATATCCGAGTCAGCGACTCCCCATTGATCTCGGATCTCGAGCCCAACTCCTCTTTGTGCTTTCCCCGCCCTCCCTCCTTCCCGTTGAAATCCCTCCTGCCTCAAAAGTGAGGCGGCCGGGGCACGCGTGTCACATTGAAAGGATTCCAGGCTTTCAGGCTTTTTGAGCCCTGGAGTTCTATATTCTATTCATCCACCTCTACCTCGCTGCCTTGTATGACAGGAAGAGAGAGAGAAGTGACGAGGGCCGCTACCACCACCACTGTATGAGAGACGAAACCATCACGACTACCAAGGTATAATCAATCTAGCCATAACCATCATCGCTACCACTGCGAACCTCCTCTCGTCGTCATCACCGCCTTTTCATCTATTAAAAATCGTCCAAGCTCGACACTTCACCATAGACTCTTTCACTTGACGACCAGCGACCATTGACCACCATTCCGGATCCGTATAATCATATTCCACACTCTTCGTCGGCTGGTACAAGCTCTTTACATTATCCCTGATTCCTCTCAGCACGACATTGACAAGTCATTTCGCTGAAAGGTAGATCCAGACTCAAAAGGTATTTCCCATATCTGTCCTCAGGCCGGTCTTCAGGGGATCATTCTTTCCACCATGCCATCTCCACCCCGCCCTTCACTGTTCGAGAAGAGCTCGTCGCTCTCCCCAGATCCTCCCAAGACCTCTAATGCCCGAGCGAAGGAAGGTCGAACTCCTCCTCCTCCGGCCCCGAGCGCTGCATTTGCCAAGCGGGCCAGAGAGACGGTCACGACCGAGCATGGACCTCTGTCGATCGGAGAAGATGAAGGACAGCAAGTCATCGAAGACGAGGTAGTCAGTAGTGCAGGGTATCGACGGGCAAGGGCAGGGCAAGTTTCACCTTCCTTCTTAATCTTTATCCTTCAAGCTGACCTGACACTTAGTACACTCCCGTCGAGTCTGGAAGCACCACCTCGCTTTACGACCGATGAGCCAGTCCCTCCTCTTCCAATGAACGACGCCACGCCCGTTCCTACACGTACATCAGCTCTATCTCCTGCTTACCCCGTGAATCCCGCTGCTAGTAGGCCAGGTCTACGGCATGCCAATTCAACTGCTGGTAATGTCGAATCACCCTCTTCAGGTCGGAACCGTTCTGGATCATTGACTCTTCCTAAGAATGGAGTAGGCAATGCGTTTGGATCTTCAGCCTTCTCAAACGCTTGGCTCGCCAATCCCAGTCAGGCTCGCACACCACTGGGTCAATTGCAGCAGGAGGAAGAGCAGAACGCCTCCACGATGTCCGACTCCGCTGCATCTCTTGATCTCAACTTCTCCACCCTCGACTATCTCGGTTTAGAAGATGGCAACGACGTGCCTCCTGCGTCCATGGCTGAACTGCGGAACCAGGCTCAACGAGCTATTGCTAATTCGGGTCCAGCATCTCGACACCGAGCCAGTACCGTATCCAACTTTGCTCGTCCTCATCGCCAATCAGTGGTTGGCATCGGGGCCTACGGTCAGTACGACAAAGACCATGGCGAAGAGCTTGCTGGGCAGATGGCTGAAATGGGGCTCTACGACGCGAACGAAGATATCTACAATGCTGGAGGCTATGGGTATGGCCAAGGCACACCTAATTCTAAGGATTCTCATCGACCTCGGGCAACGACGATTGCAGGACTCGACGGACGTAGAATGCCAGCCGGAGGCTTCCTCAGCTCCATTCCACAGTCTCCCGTTCAGGCGAACATGTTTGCACCTCAAGGCCTCTCCGCACACTATGGTTACCCCCCTCGAACTCGCGCGGGCACTGATGCTGGGCGTCAGCGAGATCATTCACAGAGTCGTGCACCAAGAATGTCGTTCTCCTCCTCCATATCTCGAGCTACAACCCCTGACGTGACAGGCACATCTACGCCCCAGGTACCCACCAGGAGTTTATGGATCGGAAATCTCGATGTAGGTGCTACGAGCGCCGCCCTGCTTCACGTCTTTGCGCCCTACGGCGCCATCGAAAGCGTGCGAATGCTGCCAGAAAAGGTGCGCAAGAACTCCTCTCGCAATCATACTGACAAGTTCTAGACATGCGCATTCGTCAATTTTATGGAGAAAGGTGATGCTATTCGGGCAAGAGACGACGTTCTCAATCGAATGGGAGGGCACGTCACTGCGCTGTCAGAGACGGCTCCAGTACGCATAGGTTTCGGCAAGATCGACTCCGCCCCGTCCGCTTCCGCCAATGGCACAGGTCATCGATCCACCGCATCTGCTTCGGCGCTCATGTATCCAAGTACGAGTACCGGTACGAACGGTTCTTCTACGCCTGCGCAAACTCTTCCTCCCGTGCCACCTCTTCCAGCCAATATCGTCAATCTTGTGCCGCTGTCAGCCGGCGTTGGCTCCCTTGACCATGGAACTGAAATTTCCTCCATGCCAACTCGGGCACTGTGGATTGGCAGCATTCCAGGTACGACAAGTTCCGCCACTCTCTTACAAATCTTTTCGCCTTTTGGACCTGTGGAATCCGCAAGAGTCCTCATGCACAAGGTGAGCGGACCTGGTCAACGACAATCTAACCATCTTCAGTGCTGTGGCTTTGTCAATTTTGAACGCCTAGATTCCGCAGTCTCGGCTAGGACTGCTCTCAATGGTCGGGACATCCTTGGCTCTGACGTTGGACCCATTCGGATCGGGTTCGCTCGAGTGCCAACCAAATCACCCGTTCTCGGGGATGATGAAGACGACGAGACGTCACCCGAGAAGCTCACGGAGCAACTTTCAACCGTCAAAGGAGCTACGTCTGTCTCGACCGAGCAACAAGTGTCTGTCGAAGGCGGTGGTGTGGAGAACTATCGAAGTCAACTGGTTTTGGACCTGGTCAAGCAAGGAGTGCACGAACAAGTCCTCGAAAAGGGTTTGAGTGACGGAGGCGAGGTAACAGAGCAACAAATGATTATGTCTGTGCTCAGTGGTGGTCGGCCAGAGGAGGATTCCGATGTCAAGGCCGCTGCTGGTGAGTTCCTTGGTCTGCAGGACGACTCTGACCCACCTTAGAACCTCGTGCGCCGAGCAGCTACTACACTGCCATTCCAATTATCACTGAACGACCTCATCGCCGCTTTGACTCACCTAGGCTCAAGGATATGCGAAGACAGCTTGATGGAGGTCCATGCACTCTTGCCGAAATTGACGCTATGACTGACGAATTGATGGAAGATTGCGCGGAGGTAAGCAGGGTCTCTTCGTGAGAGGAAAAATTCCGACTGATTCGTCCAGCTCGCTAGCGATTATATTGGCAACACGGTCATTCAAAAGCTCTTTGAGCGCTGCTCGCCTCGTCTCCGCCGAGCCATGCTCGAGAAGATTGCCCCTCATCTCGCCATGATTGGAATCCACAAAAATGGTACTTGGGCTGCTCAAAAGATCATTGAATGTAGCCACGAGCCCGCAGACCGGCAATTGATCGTGGACAATCTCCGACCGTTCGCCCCTCCTCTCATGTGCGATTCCTTGGGCAACTACGTCTGCGCTGGGACACTTAGGTTCGGCGGGCCTTGGAATAGCTATGTCTTTGACGCGATGATTGATCGAATGTGGGATATCGCCCAGAGTCGATTCGGGGCAAGGTGCATGAGAACTTGTCTTGAGAGTAACTTTACATCATTATATCAAAAGGTGAGCTGCTGAAGCCTCCATCGGGCCGAGTGCTCATAGCTATCAGAAACGCATATCCGCCGGTATCATTCTTAACTCCATCCCTCTCGCCACGAACCCGAACGGCGCGCTGTTACTGACCTGGCTTGTGGACCAATCTAATCTCCCTGGCCGATATGGACTGCTCTCAAACCGATTCGCTCCTCATATTGCGCATCTCTGCACGCATAAGTTGGCCTCATTAACGGTGCTGAGAAGTAAGCAGCTGTTTCAACAGTAGATGCCTCTACTGACAACACTCCGCCAGTCATTTCTCAAACGGCCGAGCCTCACGCCGCTTCTTCCCTCCTCCATGCAATCTTCACATCTGCAAAGGACAGCGTACTTCTGGACATTCTTGGAGATGCTAACAATGGCGCTCAAGTCATCGGTAAGATGCTAGCGATCAGCACCATCTCTGCCGAGGACAAATCAATGTGTCTTGAAGCATGCCGACGCGTCCTGCCCTCTATCAAGGCCGCTTCGACTCCACCGTATCGCGTCTTGCTGGAGGCTGTGGGCCTTCCCATTCCATCCGGACACATGGGACAGTCCTTTGCACCAAGACCAGTATGGGGCAACCAAGGACTCCCGAGCCTTCCCGCTCAACATCAGATGCCTCAACATCCAGCATACGGCTACTACCCTGCGTATCATCAACCCAGTCCCTCGCCCGTCTCTGGAGGCGGGCTCACCCCTGGTGGTCTCACTCCGTATGGTACCATGGGCCAAAATCTATCGCCTTTGCTCGTCGCTCAGAACATGCCCCTTCAACCAAGAGGCAATTCCAGCCCCAAAGTCAATGCCTCTCCTAGGACCCCCTTGAACAGACATCGGGGTCGTTTATCTCCAGCTTCGCAGATGATGAGTCCAGGTTCTGACCCTTTCAACCCAGTGAGTCGGACACCTCCATGCTTCCTCAAGTCGTTGAACTGACGTACGACCCAGTTTGCATCACCAAGCATCGACATGCCTTATTTTCAAAATCAAGGACTTCGAGTCGGCTCCGCCTTGTCTCAACCTCCCGTCACGTTTGAACCCCAACCGAATGTCGGAGGATTGGGTATCATGGGCCAGTCATCTGGCTCGGGGGCAAATCAAATGTACTATGGACAAATGATGGTGGGAGTATGTCTCTTACTGTCTTTGACATAGACTGATGGTCATCATTCAGCAGCAGCAGCCGAGCATGTTTGCTGGCTATCGATCTTAAGCTGCCTCCTCCTGCCATCCCCCACCTTGCTACCTTTCCCTTCTTGTGCCGACATGTGTTATTCGTCCACGAATCAAAAGCACGCAACAGAAGCTCGTTTCAGCAGCTCTGACGATCACTTTCCACCTTTCTTACATCATCCACCGGAGACAGAAAAACCATTTACAAGTATATTGTGTATACCTCTTTCGCCTGCATTTTTATTTCCTTGCATCTTCAATAGATCTCGCCCTCTAGAGCAGATACAGAGGCGACATTCAACCTTGCTGAGAGCTGAACCAGAGCCATCTGCGGACCTCTGTCTATATTTTATATTCTTTCACTACAATTCAATTTTACGGCTGGTCCCGGAAGATGCATTGTGTCCGCTTGAACAACAGTCTCAATCCATCAAAAGCTGCATGCGAAGGATGGGTTCAGCACGCAATAGCGGGCTCTTTAATATCGAGCCCAGACTGCGCAGCTAGCTATGTAAAGCAGGCGGATGGTATCTATATAGCGAAAATCTCCGCTCAGGTGGGGGGTATAGGTGACCTTGGCCGTGTTGCACCATAGGTCATAATCTACAAGGGAAATCCACCTTCTCGACCTTGATAACGGTGAGAAAGGACGATGAAAGAGCATATCAACGCTAGCAACCATGCGCGCTAGCTGTACACTCGTAATGTCGTTTGCCGGAAATGCCAGAGAGCAGGAAACAGAAACCGTGCTAGATATGTCGTGTTGCGTACTATTTTTCGTGCGAAAAGGGGGGGAAACAAGGCTATCGGTAAGTTCACCGTGCCCAACGTGAAGCTCCTAGATGATAAAAGTCCATGCGAAGACGAGAAACTGGATCTGCGATGCCTACAGTCCAGATGTGTATTGGGAGCCGCGAGAAATGCCGAAATAGGGAAGATGACCAGAGAACGGGAAGGAGGACCAGAAAGACAGGTCGTAGAGTTCGAGAAGGGAGTCAGTCGTTTTACAGGGGTGTTCAAACAGATGCGCTGATCCGGAGTCGAGTGAATCGCCCTCGAGCAGGGTGGGACCATATTCTATTTTTGGTGTACGGAGCAGAATGACGAGCACAGAGCGCGCCCGACAGGCGTCCTGATGCGAGAAAGAGTGATGATTCGGAAAACGAGGCGAGGCGACAGGGTAGGAAAAGGTGACAATCTAGTTTCCAAAGTTGAATCCACCTTGAGGAGCAGACACTAAAGAAAATCAGCGTAATATTACAGTCTCCTGTGCTCACCATCAGATTGGAAAGCGTATTGGCCTGACGCATCGACAGCGGGAGCAGACGCTTCGGCTTCCTCTTCTTCGTCGTCTGGGAAGAATTCTGATGAATGTTAGCCATGTCTTGACGAGATATAGGCGACTCACTGTCCATGATATAGAAACACTTTTTGTAAATCTCCAGGTTTTGGTGGTGCTGGAGATTGTGAATCGACACCATCCCACCCGCTTCTTCAATGTACTGCGCGTACTTGTTCACAGCTCCCGGGCCTTGAGCCTCTTTGTCAATCTCTCCGACTTTGAGGATGTTTTCTAGTCCATCCAAAGCGACCTGAATGATCTTGTTATCCATAGATTGCAACAAGTCACACATGGGCTTGATGCAGCCTTGCGTGACGAGGTATCGAATCTGCTGAGGCTCTTGAAGTCCTCCAGAAGTCGCGTTCGAGATGGCCCAACAAGCTTCCTTCTTTGTTCTAAAGTCCGCATTTTGGAGAATATTGATGAGAGGGGGAATGATATTGCTGGAGAGACTGTCAGCAAAGCTTTTTTTAATTCCTGTACTTGTGACTTACGCGTCAATGATAGCCTTGATTTGCATGGGAGATCCGGCAGTGATGTTGGAGATCGTCCAACATGCTTCTTTCCTGATCCCGTCCTTAGGAGACGAGAGCAGGCTCAACAAGGCAGGGAGAGCGCCGGAAGCAATAATGACTTGCGTCTGGACATCGTCACCAGTGACGATGTTTCCCACGGATCGGAGAGCAGGAGTCTGAACGGCAGTAGAAGGGTGCCTGTATATGATCAGCACCGATGACAACAATAGACCTACATCAAGAGATCGACCAATCTTCTGCAGACTCCGCTCTCGATGACAGCCTGGATCTTGTCATTTGAGCCATCTGACAAGTAGGAGATGGCCCAACAAGCGTCTATCAGGACCTCATCGTCCATAGAGTAGATGAGCTTGGTAAGAATGGAAAGGGCCGGGGCGATCTGAGCCGGTGATAAGTATTGCACGGCCAGGTTGATAGCTCACCTGTGACCACTTTGGCTGAGGCTGCTTGCCACGGCAAAAGTTGCTCAATGTCCATGTGGCGTTTCTGAGCATGGAAAGCTTGTGGTTCTCGTTGAGGAGCATGAGCAGAGGCTGGAGAGCTCCCTGGGCGAGAACGTGGTCCCGACATTTAGGAGAATCTCCGGCAACGTTTCCTAAGGCCCACACACTGGAAATGGTGAGTGGCTACACCACGATCTCTTACTCACGCTTGCTCTCGAACATCGAGAACGTTGGACGAAAGGAGACGGATGAAGTGAGGGACAGCACCGGCCTGGATGACCACTTGAGTGTGATCGGATGTACCAGACGCGATGTCTAGGATTAGTGTCAGTGGTGGAACCCTTTGCCATTGCTGACTCACTTGTCAATGCCCATGCAGCCTCGAACTAGAATTCTTGTCAGCGAGGATGCAATCTGCGCTTCTTTAGCGAGACTCACCTGAAGCATCGTGTTTGAACTGGACAAGAATTCGACAAATCTCGGCACGACTCCACATTCAATGACCTTGTCGATCGGAGGGTTCTTCTCCTTTGATAACAGCCTAGAGACACATCAGCGATCGCAGCTAAGCAGAACCCACCTCCGGAATTTGGTGGTCGCTTCGAGCTGAGCATCCTGGTCATTACTGTAAACGGCCTGGAGCATCAACTGGAGTGACTGTGCAAATGGAGCTGGCTCCAGATCGACATCATCGTCCGAGTCACCCGTATCTTCGACGGTCGGCTGGAAGTTTCGACGTTTCGCGATCGATTCTTCACGCTGGGGGAAGAACCTCGTCAGCAACAATTCGCATCGAGTCTCGTGCCTCTCGACGCGATTTTTTGTCGAATCAGTGCAGCTCACTTTTTGCTTCCGAATCTCGACCTGTTGCTCTTCACGACGTCTCCGTAGCTATGGAAAGGTTTGGGTCAGCGATAGGCTTCACGTTGACGCGGAATTCATGACTCGGGTCCACCGTGTATCGTCTCTGAAAGGCCACTCCAAAAGGAATGTATGGGCATTTTGCTCACCTCTTGGGCTGAAAATTGAGTTTTCCCCTTAAAATTGGCTCGTCGATGCTCCATGTTGCGTGATTCCATGGTGAATAAGAGGTCGCCTGAGGATATGGATGCCTGACAAGGGGAATATGACGGTGGAGCGAGTGGATCGTAAACGAAGTTACTGACTCGAGGCTAATGAGATGAGAAAGAACATACAGTGCAGAGCCCTTGAGCGGCGAGACTCCCAGACGAAAACACGGAACCAAACTTTTGAATGGGCGGCGAATTTCGGAAAACTTTACATAAGCTTTCCGAACTGTGACGTCCTTTCGAGGCGAGTTATGACTCTGAGGAGGTTGTGTGCAGTGTTCCAGTGACCATGGGAGAGAGCTCAAGGAGGGACCGGTCTGCGTCTCCTAGCAGGAGGCAAAAGGAGCGGGATAATGAGCATCGATCATCTCACAAACATTCGTCGCGTGACAAAACTCATCGGCATCGGTATTCTGATGAAGAGAACGACGATAGAAGACGAAAACATAGAAGAGACAAGGATCGCGATGAGACCGAAGAGGAGCGTAAGGAGAGAAAGAGGCTGAAGAAGGAGAAGAGAAGAGAAAGCAGGAAGCACGAAGAGCTTGATGTCGTGGATGACGATGATGATGGGGATATGTGGGTCGAGAAAAGTGTCGATGGAGCGGTGAGTGTGGGCGTACGCCGTACAAGTGAGGCTCGGCTCAACGTGAGTATTGATCCATTACATACAGGTCGCCGTGTCAAACATACCTACATCTGAAGCTCTGGGCAATCGATCACAAGCTGTCCATGCCGAAGTTCCACCTCCACCATCGACATCAGCAAGTGCAGAGACGAGACAACGTGAAGCATGGATGCTAGATCCTGGTCCGATGGCGACGTCAGCGACCATCCCGAAGGTCACGAGAGATATTCCTCAGAGCGCTGGGTCCTCGGCTTGGAGTGGCGGGTCGGCAATCGCCCATGAGAACGAATCAATGATCCCTGCTGGAGATGGCGACTTCTTTTCGTCACTGGGGACGGAGCATAAGCGGAAAGGTGCTCAGGACGATAAGCCTGACCCTGGAGCTCTTCAGATTGACCGGAGGGAGCTCAACTTACAGCTCAAAGAGGGCAAGTCATTGGACGAGTACGAAGCTCCTGAGAAGAAAAAAGTCACGCCTGGGGGACCGGGTCATCAATGGCGAATGATGAAGCTGAAGCGGCTGTACGAACAAGCGGAAGAGCAGTGCGTAATTCGTTCTATTAGAACCTGTCACACGTACGCGGGCGCTGATCAGGTAACTCAGGGGCCGAGATATCGAAGACGTCGCTATGGAACGGTACGGATCCATCGAAGACTTCAACGAGGCGCTGGAAGAGCGTCGGATACTAGACGAAAGGGATAAGCGGCGCGAGTCACGTCGTGGTGGTGAAATGGCAGGGACTTCTACACCCGGATCATCAGGCATGCGGACGCCAGACGTTGGCGGAAACAAAAGATTCATGTTCATGTCGGAAGAAGGGGCGAGTCGTCCGGGCTCGAGAGCCGGATTCAGGCGACCTGGTGAATCTGAAGATACGGCGACACCTTCTGGATCCGGAACACGAGTGGCCGAACTGCGAAGGAGTGAAAGTGGGACTCCTAGGACGGTCCACAGTGCTCTGCCAAATTCCAATAATCCCGCCAAAATCTCCACGCCTATCCCTAATGTCTTTACACCCACTTCACTTACTCGACAGTCGTCCGGGTACCCGTTCTCCGATCCAAGCCGGAACGATCAAGTGTCTGGCGATTCGACAAGCTCTCAGCCGCCCATGTCTACGGAGGCTCTGAATAAGCTGCAAGCGAAAGTCATTCGTGCGAGATTGATGGATGACCCAAAAGCACAGCAGCTGGAGGAAGAGTATGAGAGGGAGATGATTCGGTCTGAGCGTGCTGGAGGGGACCAGGGAGGTGCAGGGTTATGGGCAGGGGCAAGTGGTGGCATTCAAGGTCAAATGGGAAGAGAGGCGGATGAGACTGGACGACGGACGGAAATCCAAGTCCTGCCTACATTGGACGGCCGAGGACAGTTGTACGATGTGGGAACGGGTAAGCAGGACGAGGCTGTTCAGCGAGCGGGAAACAGGCGGAAGAAGCCGGAAAAGGTGAGGATTCAAATCTGAGTCTTTTGTTGACGTCTTGCAGTTTGAGACGAGGGACCGGCAAGGGAATATCATACGTTATAATGCGGACGATGACGAACAGACATTGGGCGAATTGGTCCGACAGGAACGATTTGGAGCTGGAGCAGGAGATCAGAAAGATATAGATGCGGAGATGGCTTCTGCGATCACGCGTGATGCGAAATTTGATGTGAGTCGCATGATCCTCTACCCAAGCTGATGGTGACCAGGACGATCTCGATTATATGGACGACAATGCGGAGCGGCTTGCGCAAAGAAAGCGGAAAACTGACGCTATGAAGAGGGCATTTGCGATCAATGGTGCGTGGCAAGCGATTGCTCTCGAGGCATGAGCTGACACTTGGTAGACTTTGCGCGCACGAAAAAGGCCTTGGACACATGCCCATTCTGCTATCAAGATGACCGGCCACCTCAGATTGCGATGGTCGCATTAGGCACCCGGACATACATGTGTTGCACTCAATTCGAGGAGCTCGTGCCAGGGCACTGCTTGATTGTACCTCTGCAGCACCATCTCAGTTCGTTGGAGATGGAGGATGATGATTGGGAAGAAATCAGGGTACGACGCACCTGCAGTGATTCACCCACTCACACTTTCGCAGAATTTCATGAAATGCCTGATGCAGATGCATGCCAAGGACAACAAGGGCGTCATCTTCTTTGAGACCATTCTCAGCTTCAAGCAACAGCGTCATACCTTTATTGAGGCAATCCCGGTACCTTTTGCTCAGTTTCAAGACCTCCCAGCGTACTTTAGGGTGAGGTCGTCATGTCATGGGGGATTCGCTGACCTTTTCGCAGGAATCGATCCTCGCATCAGAGAGCGAATGGACACAACACAAGAAGCTCATCGACTTCTCGTCAAGACCTGGCGGATTCAGACGTATGCTCGTCCCCAACTTGCCTTACTTCATGGTCCATTGGGACTACAAGGGTGAAAAGGGTTACGGGCACGTCATTGAAGGAGTGGATGATGATTCTGGTCGAGGTGGCGGGGAAGAAGACATGGGAGGGGCAGTATACGAGGGTGAAAAGGGTGGATCGGAATTTCCAAAGTCAGTTCTGCGAGGTTGGAGACTGGAGTACAGCTGATGGCCTTCGCTAGATACTTTGCTGCTGAGATTGTCGGTAATCTGCTAGGTCTGGAGCCGCGGAAATGGCGTAAACCACGTCGGATGGATATCGCTCTGAACAAGGAGAGAGCCAGAGCGTTGGGTACAAAGTTTCAGCCGTATAACTGGACGACTCAGCTTGCTCAGCAGAGCTGATGTCCTTAAGCGGTAGCTGTGTAGCGATATGATATGATTCTCACAGTCGATATCAAGTATAGTCATCTATCGTAAATCAATGTCCGGTTGCATCTTCGAGCTGTGTGAAACCAAAATTTCAATGTCACAATCTTATTTTCGCTGCACATTGACCATTGACTTTCGATCGAGCCCGTTCCATGGCCCCTCATGTCAGACTCTAAGCCATCTTCGAATCCCTTGATCCGAGATTCTGCAAGTGCTCCTCTCTTGAAAGACAGCAAGCCCATTACACCTGCGCCTCCCGCCCCGCCTTCAGACTCCTCAACTTCTACCTCTCGTCGTCGGGCCATCCCTGACCGACCTAGACGTCCATTCTCATGGTCTCGCCCGTTCAAATTCGTCCTGCGTCCTCGAGTGCTCATCTTTGGCGTCATGTTGCCCGCGGCGGTCTTGAGCTACTTCGACCCGTTAGGTATAAATGCACAGATCGAGCGCAAGTTTGGGACTACAGCAGTCCATCCGGAGGGCAGCAGCTCGACAACGGAAGGGGAGCAGGCTATGCCGAATCCCTACGCTGGGATCAGGAGAGCCGGCCGGGGTCCTCAAGATCGAGCAAAGCAAGAGGAAACATTGGCTCAAGGGACCAGATAGGTCAACCCATCGTTCACCGTTTCTCACATCGACCCTCTCCGCTCCCAACAAATCATCCCACTCATCATGTACCATTACGACGTTTCTCCACTCTGTCCAAATCCATCAAAGTACTCGCGTTGGAATCATCAGCCGACGACTCTTGCGCTGCCATCGTCGACTCGGATCGAAAGATATGGTCAAATATCATCATCAAGCAGCTCGAATCAAATGCTAAATGGGGTGGAATTCATCCTCGCGAAGCTCAGCTGGCCCATTCTGTGAACCTTGTGAGCGGAACGTCGCGCGCCCATGTCTTTCTTGTCTGGCTGACTATTCATCCAGCCCCAAGCTATCGCTCGTGTCTTCTCTGAAAGTGGCCTCTCCATGGACGATATCGATGTCGTTGCGTATACCCGCGGACCTGGTATGCCGGGATGTCTGCATGTCTGCGGGACCGCCGCAAAGGCTTTGGCTGCCGCGCACTCTAAGCCTATCCTTGCTGTTCACCATATGGTATGACCAGAGTCCTTAATGACGGCCAATGCTGATGGTGAACCTCCAGCAAGCTCACACCCTTACTCCGCTTCTCACCGAAGATGATCCTCCTTCCTTCCCGTTCCTTACGCTTCTCGTCTCTGGCGGGCATACTCAGATCGTCTTGGCGACGGCATGGGACGAGTACGAGATTATAGCAGATACGTTGGACTCGCGTGTGGGGTGAGCCCGATGTCTAAGGTGTTAATACAAAACTGATTCAAGCACAGTAACGCCGTGGATCGAATTTCTCGATACCTACAACTTTCCGCTCGACCAGATAAAGGCGCTGGAGCCATACTCGAAGATTATGCCGCTTTACCTCCTCTCCCCCCTTACGATTCTGACCCTATACCTCCCCTCCCGGTGCCAATGATGAAACTCGGCGAGAGTGATAGGCTTCTAGCATTCTCATTCAGTGGCCTGACAAGTCACGCCGAACGGTTGATAGACGCATTGACGAGTGACTCCCAAATTCCTTACTCTCGCGAAGGCGGTATACCTCTCAAGTCCCCGACTTCGATTGGGGAGGATGATTTCCGACTCCGTGTGGCAAGCTCAATGGTAGATGAGGCTACCAAAAGGGAGGTCTCGCGAGTGTTCCAAGACTCCATCATGGGTCACATTGTGCAAAAGATTGAACTTTGCTTCAAGATCCATTCCATAAAGCTCAGGAGCGTCACTGGATTAGTCATGAGTGGTGGTGTTGCGTCCAACCAGCATCTGAGGTCAAGGTCAGCCAAAGCAAAAGGTTGAATGTCTCCTCTGACACTGTGTAGAGTATCTGCCCTCTTGGGACGCCTGTCGTCTAAAAGGGGGCGCATCAAATTGTACTACCCGCCAAAAGCACTCTGTACAGGTGAGTACAGGTATCTCGCTCGTGTCGTTGACTGTGCGCGCTCAGACAACGCCGCGATGATCGCTTGGGCGGGACTCATCAAGCTCAAAGCGGGATACACCAATGACGGCTTTGAACTCTTGACAAGACCCAAATGGAGCCTTGAAGACTTGTACGATGGGCAGTGAATGGCATGTTTACTCGTTCAAAAGATCGTACATTGGTGTCAGGTATATATATGATACTTGAACCCGTTCTTGGAGATGAGAATAAAAATTGCTCTCTGAGGAGCCGCTCAAGAACAGCGAAGAGCGAAAAGCTGAGAGGCAGAGAGGCAGAGAGAGCTCGTCAGACGTGTAGAACAAGCAGTACAAGCTGCCCGCCCAGTCTTTCTCGCTGTTTAGAGGGGAGGGGAAAAAATTTACATTGACTATAGCAAAGAAGGTGAAGAGGTAGAATAAAGAAATGCCTTGATCGTGAGATTGAAAAACGAGGACGAGGGCGGAGAGAGGCGATCCGAAGGAATGTATATGAGAAGGTCGTCATGTCGGAAAAGAAGAATGGCAAAGCCATGTTGTGGCACGATGGAAAGCATCAAGCGTCTGAGAAAATTCCGGGTCGCATATCGGCTTCCTCCTCCCACATCCATCGCGTCCCTTCAGAATCCAGTCGGAACCAGCATGAATAGTCTACAGAATTACACACTTTTTCGGCTTCTTGACGACGGGCGGTTCCAGCGCAGCGACAATGGCCTGACAGTCTGTCAGGATGGAATACAATCGTCAGAAAAGAGCCTCACCTCATCAAAGACATTCTTCAATCCTCGTTGAGTCAGGGCACTACACTCGACGTATTTGACAGCTCCGAGTTCTCTGGCCAATCTCTCGCCTTGATCATTCGTAATAGGCCGCTGCTTTTGTCTAGACAATTTCTCAAGGTGTGATGGGTCGTCACGCAGATCGACTTGAGTTCCCTGAAGACTGAATGAGCACAGTTCGCACCGTGTTCGACCAACTCACAACAATCAAACAGGGGACACCTGGGCAGTGATGGTGGACCTCGGGAAACCATTTCTCCTTGACGTTTTCAAATGACGCCGGACTTGTGACGGAGAAACAGACGAGGAAAACGTCAGTCTGAGGATATGACAAAGGTCGAAGACGGTCGTAATCTTCCTGTCCGGCAGTATCGAATAAGCCGAGAGTGTATGGGTCATCTCCAATCATGACGGTCACGGCATCTGGGCCGTCAGCTCAAGAGTATTCTAGGTAGACGCACAATTGTCAAAGACTGTGGGAACATATTCAGAGGGGAATTTGTTGGTTGTGTATGAGATCAAGAGACATGTCCTGAGGTTTTCATGTCAGAAGGGCGAGCTTAAGACCAGCGCTTTGGCTCACTTTCCGACAGCTCCGTCTCCTACTACGACACACTTGATGGTCTGCATGGCTTGAGTGCCTCTGCGGTTGCTGCGTGGAAGTCTGAATGAAGTCGAGTTCTGGGAGGCAGCAAGTGTCAGCTAGGGTGGCAAGGCAGAGAGACGATGCGGAAGGAGTGGGTTTCAGCATGAAGGGGTATTCGGGGTTGAATATCTGATAGGCCAGGTCCAGATGTCTCGGAAGCTGAGAGCAATGTTGTTGGGTTACGATATACGTCGAACACAGCAGCATACCGGGGCAGATTAAGCGACTGGCCATGAGCGAATACCGAATCAAACCGTGGTCGTAGCCGTTGAGATCACGAGACCGGGACGGCTCCTCTCCCGATCGTGCCCGCAAAGCGCACAGTAGAGCGTGGTGGTGGATTTTTGGGGTAACACACAGAGTCCAAGCCGACCAGACGACTCAGCATGCTCAAGACTCCGTCGGATCGCCGGCTGAGCCAGAGGCAAGGACATTGTTTCATGCTGCACTTTTGTCGTCCAAGCGTGAATCGTACCGACAATTCTTCAACCTCGTTCACACGATCGGACGGGACGTTGGCCTCAACAAGGGATCCATGGGACATCGGATGGACCATGAGGAATGGACTCTTGAAGAGGAAGGACACAGAATTGAAAACTTCACTTACAGGTTGAAATGGATGGACCTCGAGGTTGATTGTTGTTGACCCCTCCTATATCTCAATCTACCTTTGGTTGGATATCCAAAGTGGGTGGCTTTGACTGCTCCTCAGCACCCTCTCCTGTTTGAGTTGAGAATGCCTTGAGGTGTATCTCTTCGATATGACTGTCTTTGAGCAGACTATATAGAGTGACGAATCGACGTGGTCTGATAGAGGTCAAGGATGAGATGAGATGAGAGGAAGGGGGGGCCAGAGAGAGAGAACAGTGGTGGGCGGCGACGGCGGAAAGGGGGGGGGGCAAGAGCCAGGGGGAAAGAGCCAGGGGAGGCTTTCAACTGGTTTGTGTCAGGACGGAATCAATGTGAGGGAGATAGGAGGAGGAGATTAGGGATCAATTTGTAATGAGATCTGGGACATTTTCTAATGGATGATTAGGGACTCTGGGATCCTAATCTGCCCTCGATCGGCGCTTGCCGCCCCTTGACGCCGCCTCGAAGAATTGTCGATCAGTCCCAGTGGCCTTTCCTCGACAACATTTATGACTGACTTTGAACATCACGGTATCATGGCAGAACCTTCGTCGACAGATGCAGGGCCTTCCGCATCATCAAGTCAAAATGCATCGACCTCGACTGACCAAGCGGAGAAGACTCCAGTGGTCATTCTCTGCATAGGCATGGCAGGGTCTGTACGTGAACATTGGTATAGCGTTCTGACTACTGGCTGATCATTTGGCCCCTCTCATCAGGGCAAGACGACCCTCATGCAGCGATTGAACTCTCATCTACACTCCAGAAACACTCCTCCTTACATTCTCAACCTCGATCCTGCCGTTTCCCATATGCCATACTCGGCAAACATAGACATCAGAGATACGGTAGATTACAAAGAGGTGATGAAGCAGTGAGTAAGCGGCAGGGGGGTTTGGTCATTTATCATGTGAAATCAGGTACAACCTCGGTCCGAACGGTGGCATTCTGACGGCTTTGAATCTCTTTACGACCAAATTTGATCAAGTCTTGGCTTTCGTCGAGAAGAGAGCTGCGAGTGTCGAGTGAGCTGATATCCGCCACAAGTGATGGCAAGCAACTAGCTGATTGGATGCACCCAGCTACGTCTTGGTCGATACACCGGGTCAGATTGAGATTTTCACCTGGTCAGCTTCTGGATCCATCATCACCGATGCCATTGCTTCCTCGTTACCTACCGTTGTGGCGTATATAATCGACACGCCTCGCACGACAGCACCCGCGACGTTTATGAGCAACATGCTCTACGCCTGCTCGTGAGTCACCAGGATACCATGGCAGCATTCTCATGACTCCCGTAGCATCCTTTATAAGACACGACTCCCCTTCATTCTCGTCTTTAACAAGATTGATGTCGAGCCCCATGATTTTGCTATTGAATGGATGCACGACTTCCAAGCATATCAGGCCGCCTTGGATGAGAAGGGCAGGGATGAGCAGGGAGAGATGGCGTACACCAGCAGTCTAATGTCCAGTATGAGTCTGGTATTGGACGAGTTCTACAACAATCTGAGGGTAAGCCCAATGCTCCAAAGACTGCGCTGATCGGCTTCAGGCGGTGGGAGTCAGCGCGATGACCGGAGAGGGCATGAAGGATTTCTTCAGTGCCGTTGAAGAGGCGAAGAAGGAGTACGAGACGTGAGTCGGTGCGAAGCTGGCCGGGATCTTGACGAGCCTAGTGACTACAAGCCTGAATTGGCCCGACTCGCAGAAGAGCGGAAAGCAAAGGCGGAGGAAGAGAAGAAGAATCAGCTGGAAAAGGTGATGAGGGATATGACTATGTCTGAAGGGGCCGCATCTCGGCGGAAGAATCCGTTCGGACCTCATCCCCGCAATGAGCGAGAAGACCGGTGAGTCGGTACCTTGATATACAGCTGAACCCGTGTATAGGTATTTGGACGACGAGGGCGATGACATTGATTCCGAAGAGGAGAGGGAGATTCAGAGACAGATGGAGGAAGAAGAAGAGATGGAGCATGCGGAGGATCTCGACGCCGGTGACATGGGTGAGCTTTGATGACTAGTGTTGTGGCTGACCAATGCAGCCGAGCCAGAGCCCGGAGCTGGTGGCGTGGCAGGAGTCCAGAGCCAAAGTCGCACAGGAATGAGTTGGCCAACACCAAGGTGACGCGTGTAACGATTCATTATAATGTATGCATGTACAGTCCCTTAATCGAGATCCTTGATGTTGAATTCTGGCAACGCATCACCGCACGATTGCCAGCCCTCATAACCCATGGCAACTTTCTCAAGCTTCGCTCTCGCCTCTTCGACATTGTCGTTGACAATGACGATATCGTGCTTTCCAGTCATGGCAAATTCGATTTCTGCCCTCGCCGCATCTAATCGTTTCCTCATAGATTCCTCCGTCTCTGTGCCTCGACCCTTTAAGCGTTGCTTCAGGATGGTCAAGGAAGGCGGGGCAATGAAGAGGTAGACGGGGTCGAGGGGAGGCGTTTGAAGATGGGCTTTCTCTCGAAGTTGGAGGATTCCCTGGAGCTCAATATCGAGGATACATCGTTTGGGAGCGAGTGAAGAGAGAGCTGCGAACGTCGTGCCGTAGCTGTGTACAAGCTCAGCGCGTGTTATCGGGTGGGTTCAATGGGCTCACCAATTTCCTCCAAATTGAGCCCATTCTAGGAATTCACCGTTCTCCACTCGCTTCATGAACTCGTCCTTGGTCACAAAGTGATATTCTCGACCATTCTCTTCACCTGCACGCGGGGATCTCGTAGTATGGGAAATGGAGAATCCAAACGTTCCTGGGTGAGCTTTGAGGATAGGTGTGAGAACCGTCGATTTGCCCGTACCGGATGGTCCACAGATGACCAATGGCTAGGAGTTGTAGAGTTAATGACTGATCTTTGACTGGGTTTTCAAGTTGGGTTAGGTACTCACGCGTTTGACTACGTCGGGGTTGATAGGATGCTCGCTGCTCATGCTGGAAAGGTAGCGTCGGGTATGCGGTCTACAGCACAGTAGTCTCGTGAGCCCGCCGATCAGTCGTGTACGAGATCTGAGTATCTTGCCTGCGTCTAGCAAAGGCGATTTGGGTATTGGTCCACTCTTCTGAACTTTTGAGACGGGTGGGCACATCAGGGTATTCGGGATCTGCCACACCATCACGAGAGAAAAGAGTGCCACACTCATCGGTATTATCGGCGATATCTCTCTTCGTCGCAGTCTTCCGCGCCTATTGAGGATCTTCCTTCGTGTTGACGACCTATTCCGTCACGACCGGACCTCCACTTGACAGGTCCACCCCCAACATGGACACCGACAATCCTACCGATGTAGACTTTGACCCGAATCAACAGGACGTTTTTGACTCAAATCGACAAGATGCAGAAGCAGCTCTGGAAGCATTGAGAGCAGCGATCTCTCAACCTGATCATGTGTTTGCTCAATCGTCGACAGTCGATCCACCACAACCCATTGCGCCGACTTTATCGTCCATAGACTCGACAGATCAACGTCAAGATGTCGACAAGGCTTTGGTGACTATTCTTCAGTTGAATAATGCTTCGCAGGCTGTCTTGGACTCCATGGATAGAGACTATAAGGATCTGCAGCTCTTAGCCAATGTCAAAACTTTGAAGGATTACAGTCGAAAGATTGCTGAAACGGTCAAAAACTTACAACAGTCATTCCCGCAAGGTGAGCAGGTCGTCGTGGCGTGCAACTGATTTCTGCGGAAGTCATAGACCCCACGCTATATGATGATACTGTTTCCCGAGCCGAACATGATGCCCTGCGGCCTCAATATGATGCTCTCGTTGCTGGTAAACCTGGTCCCAGCAGGCATCGTCCGAAAAGACCAGCTGCGGTTCTGGAGGTAGACGAAGGGACTGCTTCTCCGGGTGCTACCAGTCCAGTGGCGCGAGACTCGGTGGACAAGGCGACGATCCGAAAGCAGAGAAGCGTCAAGCTAGAGGTACGTCTAGCTCCGCAGTGCAAGAAGACTCACACTAACAGCACCTCGTGCACAAAATGGCCAATCGTCGATTAGGAGTACAATACGCGATTCAAGGATTTGAAGTCCGCGGTAGCAGAGAGCTACCTGAACCAGGGACCTCAGCTCCATCACCTACCGAATCAGCCAATGGAGTTCAGGAATTCCGACCGTATTTCAGAGGAGAGATTACTTCGCCGGAAGCTAAACCATTTATCGATCAAGTCGTCGATGACTGCCTCGAAGCTTGGGAGCGAGACGACGGTCTGGGTGCAGGCGAAAGCATCGTAATGAATCGTGAAAAGATGGAAGAGGCAGTGGCGACGTACTGGATCCGATTGTGCAAACGATGGGAAGAGCAGCAAGCTCGGATACGAGGAGAACTACACCGCGATGAGATTACTCGGAAAAAGCAAAATCAGTATAGACGTCAACAATCACATCTCGCGCGTCGACTGGCATCCTTTGATCAATCTCCACTGAACCTGTGCAAATTAAGAGCTCTGTATCGCTCCCTTCTTACTATTGATTTCGTCCCTCCGACCCAGGATCGACCGGATCCCAAAAGAGCTTATACCGAAAAGGAATGGCTGGCATACCAGAAGCTAGCGAACAATGGTCGAGCACCGATGGCACACGAGGTAGTGGATATTTGGTGGCTATCGCCGAATGTATGTGTTGAGTTCTGCTCACGCTGATGTGCCAGGTTCGCGTCCTCCTCACCATTCTCGACACGTTCGCGCAGGATCAAGCTACTCGAATCAAGCGTAAAGGCAAGCCAAAGCAGCCTGCAGCGACTTTCCACCTACCTCCAGAGCTCTGGGATCGGTCCACTCTGCCGATTCTCCGACCCAAAGATGCGAATGGACTTCCAGTTGACAAGGGCGGCATCATCCTGTTCCGCTTCCACGTCAGTGAACAAGTTCAGCTTGAGAATGCGGAATGGGCTAAAGGACTATACGATGATCCTCCTCTCGGCGATACAGAGGCAGTCTTACCGATGCTCGATCAGATCGTAAATACTGGGCCGTACTTGCACATCAAGCTCAAGGTCAAGCGAGCGATGGAAGTTGCAGCAGTGAAGCTGTTGCCAGAAGGAGAGATCGATGATGTCCTCGCTCGACCAGTCCCACCAGAGGAACCGTTGGCGATCCCTGATCCAGATGCGGCAGCTCGAGACTTGACAGCCGCAGAAGAATTCATGTCTCAGAACCTTGAAGCTTTCGAAGCATTGGCCAATAACCCTCTTGCTTTCCCTGAAGGATTAATGGGAACTTTTGGAGCACTCGCTACTGGCCCAAGCCCCGGAAGCAGTATCCGAGCTAGAAAGCAGAACAAAAGACAAGCTAGAGAGCTGCCGGGTGGCTCAGCCATGCCGGTCGCGAAGAAACGATGGAATGGTGATGCTGCGGGACCGGATGCAGAAGACGATCAAACTATCGACGTCAAAGCCGACTTGGAGCGCGATGGAGAGTTTCTGCAGACATTGAATTAGGCTTGATGGGAATCTCCGCTGGCGGTTGCCTCAAGCTCAGCATTGATGCCTATGTACCTCACGACATGCAAAATGATGCACGCTGTCCGCCATGCTGCTAAAACACAGGTGGACGCGCCGCGTTTAGCAGCCTGCAGACCCGAGTGTGGGTATTATGCTGAAGATAGAGAGCTTTTTGCGTGGAATCTGCTGTATGTGCATTGGCCCGCATAAAGATTGAGGGAGGCTCAAGCTAGGTGCGATGTCGCCCTCGCGGGGAGGGTGATGGGTTTTCCTGCCGTCCTTCTCCCCTCAGTTCTCGATCTTCGTCGATTGAGATGTGCTACTTCTTTCGCCGGTGTTCAATTGCGGCCGAAATTCTTTCCAGCTCCAGCCTCTCGACGCCTGTGGATCGATTCGAGCCTCTCGACGCTTATTGATCGATTCGAGCGTGTTCACTGGAGCGGAAAAGAATCTTTCATCTTTGCCCGCGGTGTTACTGAGAACACTTGCGAAAGGATATCCTGTCTTTCTGACGCCCAGTTTAATCCCGACATCGAGGTCTGGATTCAGCGGATTCAGATCGTCTTTCACCTTGCCAGTCGCAGACTTGATATGCTTTGGCGCCGGCTTGCGATTTTGTTTCGAAGACCTTTGGCTAATCCCATAAGGTTCGCCTAAATATTCGAAAGAACGCCGACTATCCTGGTCTTGGAACCAAGAACCGACCATCTGACAGATGTCTTCGGCTGAGCCTTTGCATCGCACCTCTCCCATGACCCAAAACTCCGGAGTTTCCTGCCCTCCGTGGGAGCTTGCCACCATTTCTTGACTTTGATACTCTTCTTGAAGGCCTGAGGATGAGCCAGCTGGAAAGTCGTTGGCACTAGGCTGTGTGCGCACTGATGTCACGGTGCGCGGTAATAGTCTGCTTCCTTCGCCTTGGGGGCCTTGCTGAACGTTGTATCCAAGCCAAGCCTGCGGTTGCTCTACGTGAGTTGGCGTGACCTGGACAACACTGTGCCACGGTTGGTATTCCAGTGGCAGACTGCTGCCTTCCCGACAGCCAACATGATACGAGTTATCTGATAGTTCGGGCGTAGCGTCTGAGTACCCATACGTTCTGTCAGGAGCAGTGTCCCAGGCAAAGAATTGCCTCGTTGGATATGCTTCAGCCGGACGAGGAATAATGTCCCCGACGCCTTCGGTCGATCGCCAGGTTTGGTACTCCTGTAGGTCCGAGTACCCATACTCGCTGGCTGGAGCACCGTCCCAGGGAATGAATCGCGTACTTGCATATGGGTCAGCAGGAAGAGGAAATGGGTACCGAACATTTTCCATCGACTGCCAGGATCTGCTATCGTGGTCAGTCTCATGAAGTCAGGTGCTGCTTTGGTATAGTGATCATGCCTTCCTTCTATATACGCCGTCCGATCACCCTGTGGGATAATGAGACACTCACCGTACGTCCTCCATCGGTATCTCCTTCCAGCGGCTGTCCTCCTCGATCGATGGCGAAAGGTCTTTAACCCTCTCGTCCGACGTGCTCTGGCTCTCGGGTTGAGACATAATGATTATCTATTCTGCTTGACTCGCGACGATGCTGCTGAAGAGTGAGTCTAAATCAGTATTAGTGGGGATTTTGGTATGTCTCCTCTCTCTCTCTAAATATCCGACCACTATGGATGTCAATCATCCCTGTCGAAATTTCTTACAAGGGAGGTGGGCATTAATTTTGTTGCGGAGCTCAATTGATGGTTTCCCCAGCGTCCGGGTTGCCATCTCAGTCCAAGCGGCCAGTAAAAGTTCGCCTATTGTTCTGATAGCCTGACGTCATCTCGGCTTGCCTTGACCTTGACTCGGAGTGTGTCAACGGTCTTTCTTGCCATCCTTTCAAGCGAAAGTCCAATACTGACCATCATGTCGCATGCTCAGAACTCGCAAACATCGGCGTCGGCCACAACAGGTCGAAGTGGAGGGTCAGTAGCCGCACAGAGTCAGTGGCACAGACCATTCCCCGTCTGCTTGCTGAGCGCACTAACCCAATATCCAGACATCGGTGATAAAGTCGGCGGGGCACTTCACGTTGCGCACGGTGCTGGAGAAGGCATCAGGGGAAACATCAACGCCTTCATGGACAATGTTGGCGAGCAGATCGCAGGACGCGGAGGGGAAGGGTGTGCCAAGGCCGAATCACGGAGTCAAGACCCCAAGGCAGTGGCGGCAAATGGCGCCGACGAGCTCCAGGCTGGGATGAACGACCTGAAGAAGAAGTAGGCAGGAGATACCGAGAATGGATGGCAAATTGGCAGGCAGGCGGACAAGGTGCCCAGGTGGGATTTGCAAGTCACCTCATGACAATGAGCCAGATGATGACGAGGCGGATTCTTGAGCATTTTTGGCCCAATCCGGATCTGCGACAGCGATCTATTCAATTGTGCATGCGGCGTCAGAGCAATTTTAAGCGTGCTTCCAAACCGCATCCCTCCTATACCAGCATTTTAAATCGCCTTGGATTGAGACAATTCTGCGCACAAGTCAGCACTGTCCACCACTTCAATGACTCACGCTCAACCCTGGACAATGCCTCCTCAAGCAACTGCTTCTTGAAAGCGGGCTTGGCCAATTCTGACTCGACATTCGCCTGAATAGTCTTGACCAATTCAAGCTGCTCCGCCTCTCTCTGTTGTTGCTCATATCTGACCCAACTGTCCAACACCGACTTGATCTCAGTCTTGATGGCCTGCTCCTGAGCGAGGACAAAGTTCTCGTGCTCGATGGCGTTGGTCTCTCGGGCGACCTTGTACAGTTGTTCGGTGAGGGGTACGACATCTTTGAGAGTCTTGACAGAGTCTATCCTCTCAGTGACGGCATGAGTGTGCTCCTCCTTGGCGGCGTTGAGGGTGTCTCGGATTCGCTAAGCGTCGTGTCAGCTGACTTGTGAATCACTCCGATGGACGCACGTTGATGTGTCCCTCGGCCCAAGATTTGTACGGTCCCCCAGCAGTTCGAGCGATGGCAGCGAAGATGATGAAAAATCCAACGGTGATGATGGTCTCCTCGTTGATGACCTGATCAAGTCAGTACAGACGTTGGCTGGGAGACGCTCACATAGAGCTCCGAAGAGACGGCAGCAGCGGTCACACCAGTTCCAAGGATGATTCCACCGGTTTTGGTCCAAAGCGAAGAAGAGGGTACAGAGTTTATTATCGATGCAGCTTTCTCATCCGGCGATTGTTCTGGAGCATGTCAGTCGATGGCATATAGACGAATATCATGTCAGACTAACGAGTAGCCATTGAACGGGCACTAATGCTGCATTCAGTAGGTGAAAGCAGGTAAACTCGGATTGACTCACGCAGGCACGGAGAAAACACGGGGAGCTGCAACAGCAGGCCTGACGGCTGATGAAACGGTCAGCAACATCCTCTCCATCTCCTCCGTAGACCTACCCGCTGCTCGCAGGCTCCTGATAGCGAGTCTAGAAGCCATGATGGTCGGATATAGTGACCAGCAGGGGTTGCTATACAGGGGAGATGAGGAGCCCTGGGTTGGGGGTGAGCGATGAGGGCAGAAGGGAACGGAAGCAAATCCTGAAAACGCCGAAAAGTTCCGAAGTGGCGGATCGCGAGGCGATTGACTTTCCACCTTCCAACAAGCGGTCATTGCTATACATCGCAGTCATGTCTGAAGGGGAGCTAGCAGAAGACTTGTTTCCAGCTTCAGGTAGCGGTTCACCGGCCAAGAGTATCGGGGAAGACGCTCCTGTAGCTTCTGGATCGCGTTCGCAGAGTCCAGCCCAGCCGACACTGGAGAACCCAGTAGAGGAGCCGGTAGACGATGATGACGATGGAGATCTGGTATGCATAGACACATAGGTCGGAGCTTCAGCTGATACCACGTCCAGTTTGGGGATGACGATGAGGAAGACGCGAAAAAGTCGGCCTCGCCACGGAGTCGAGCTGCATCGTCCTCTGCGACTCCAAAGACTCCGCCAACATCTGCCTCTGAGGATGGAGGAGAAGGATCTGCTCATGGATCACCAAATCCACTAGAATATGCCGAGGAAGAAGTAGGAGTTGAACAGGATGTTATCTGGGCAAACATCGCTCTCCCTAAGATGCCGAGACTCAAAGCTACAGATGGCAAGGTGGGTGAAGCAACAGGGGGGTATCGCTAAGCTGTTAAGATATGGCAACTTCGTCTACCAGCTTATGTCAATATTGAGCCAAAGCCATACGATGCTCACTACTACCAGGAAACACTGAACGAGTCCGAAATCGACGGATCAAAGGACCCTATGGGCGCGAAGAGTCGAATGCTCGGCGTGAAAAACACTATCCGATGGAGATGGGTTATGGGTCCGGAGGGAAAGCCTGTGCGAAAGAGCAACGCTCGGATGCTCAGATGGAGCGATGGATCCATGTCACTTCAGCTGGGATCGAACCTGTTTGACGTGGCGGCGTCACATGGAGCGACCTTGCAACGAGACGAGGATATCAAAGACGTCAAACCATCGACCACTAGTCAACCTGAGGCTTCTACATCGCAAACCAATGCCACATTCTTATGCGTGGCGGTCGGCTCGGAGCGAGTACTCATGACGGAAGGCCCTATCGCTGGACAATTGTCTCTCGTGCCGACCTCCATGACGAGTGCAACTCACTTGGAGCTCGCCAAACATGTCGGTCAACAGCACGTCAAACACTCGCGTATGAAGATCCTTGAAGACGAAGTCAAGCCTGAGACTCTGGCAAATCTTCAGCGTGAAGCTGCCGGCAAGAGCGTTGTCACGAAGCTTCGGGTTAAGCGACCTACGGGAAGCCGAGGAGAAAGCAGTCGGAGGAATCAACGTGGTCGTCGTGCTCGAAGCGAATCTAGCGGCTCAGAGCGAGGATTTCGACGTGAAAAGGATTACGAGGAGGACGATGGTTTCGTCGTGGCAGATGATGATGATGAGGAGGAGGCAGAGGAAACGGAGGACGAGGACGATGCAGCCTGGGGGAGCAAAAAGTCAAAGAGCAAATCATCGAAACGGGCCAAGAGGAGAAAGGGCTCAGAATCACTGGACGAGCTGGAGGAAGCTGACAGGCGTTTAGAGGAGCGAGAGAGGGAAAGGAAGAGGGCGAAAAAGGCAAAAGCCAAGAGCAGAGATTACGTGGATTCAGACGAGGACGATGAAGACGAAGTGGACGATGCGGACGAGATGGAGGGAGGGGACGATGATGCTGATATGGCTATGGACGTCGAGAGCGAAGACGATTGATGCATGTCGTGATGTCGTTTGCGCCGAGAGACTTGAGCTCAAGTAATTGAATCACTGACCAAGGAGGACAAAGGATGGACGTTAACAAAGGATAATCCCTTGTCAGCATATATAATGGTGGAAGATTTGAGACTTGGACTGCAACCAACGGTAACCTCATCTTAGACAACACTACACCATGGCGACTCCAAGTGATCAACCGTAGGTCAACTGCGGGACGAGAAGCTGAAGCGAACAGCAACTGCTTTTTCGAGGTCAATATTGGCAGTGAGCCTTTCTTATTGGCACCACGCTAACATATCAGAGGAGAAGGCAGGCAAGATCGTGATCAAGCTGTACGATGAAGTCGTTCCCAAGGTGCGCTCAGCATGAGTGCCCCACAAATCAATCTAACATAGCAGACCGCTGCCAACTTTCGAGCCCTCTGTACTGGCAAGGCAAGTTAGTGGAGTGAACCCAGCTGACTCGAGGAGAAAGTGGACGGGGAGACTCTCCCTAAAGACTTTGGTTACCAAGGGACCTCTTTCCACAGGGTCATCCCTGGCTTTATGATCCAAGGTGGTGATTTCGAGCGAGGAGATGGAACAGGAGGACAATCGATCTATGGCTCAAAGGTAAGGCCTATACGGGTCTTCAGGGCTTAACATGATCAGTTTGACGACGAGAACTTCAAGAGGAAACATGACAGTAAGTTAAGTGGACTTTGACGACAGCTCAAGCTCCAGAGCCCGGTCTCTTATCCAGTGCTAATGCTGGACCCAACACCAACGGGAGTCAGTTCTTCATCACCACTGCTGAAAAATGCGAGTGGCTCGAGTGAGTTCTGTGAGAAAGACATTCGTGGCTCAACGTTCAGTGGCAAGCATGTGGTCTTTGGTGAAGTCATGGAAGGTATGGACGTCGTCCAAGCTATCGAGAAGGTAGGCAGTAAAGATGGCAAGGTGCCTTCGGACAAGAAGCCCGTGGTGACCAAGTGTGGCACCGTGGAATGAGCCACTACAAGTCATAGGAGATATGTGTCTGCATGCGATGCGTGTGATATCTATCCTCGTTCTACTTTCTTTCTGGCAGTTCTGCTTTCCAACCCCGGCCATAGGAACGTAGACCGCTTCGCTCCGGCGGCATATAATATACAGGACCTTTCCACACCACGTATTTGTGACCCCGCAATCCGGTATCCCAGAATGCCCGAGGCATGCGCCATGGCTCAGGTACCTAAGTTTGTCAGCTTGACTCCAAGACGGCGGACTCACGTCGTCCTCCCCTATGTGCCAGTACATCTCCTGATTGGATTCATATATAACCTTTTCACCAGGCCGAGGCAGCATGAATTTGCCGACCTGGAGTCAGCTTCCCACGCTGTTGCAAACCCACCTGCAGCTCAGTGTCAGTGATGTCGGATTCGTGTACCCTCGCATAGCCGATACGCCAGAGGCCTCTGAACGCAATATACTCGCACCATCGCCATGAATCGTCACTGAGCGTCAGTGACACCACATCAACCAGCTCACATTTCGATATCGTACATCTTGCCGTCTTCCATCAGGATCTGGTACGGCCACGGTCGCAGATCTCCCGGCCTAGTCACGAGATAGCCCAGAAAGACTGTAGGAACGTCGGCGGTCTCTGCGAGATGACGGGCAATTTCAATGGTCTGCAGCTCGCGATCCAGCGCGTCTTCCTCTACAAGCGTCAGCTCGTATCGCTTTCTGAGGCCTTACCTTGGCCATTGTGGGACACCCAGACATTGACTTTTTCACCATGTATGTCGAGCGTGGCATGAATTGCGGGCGCGAGCTCTCCGTGCGGGCTAGGCAAGAGATGATGTGTCGAATTGAGAATTGGGAATTTGGAAAGCAGAGCGGCACCCCAGGTGTGCTTGTTGGGTCCGGGTCCGAGATCGACGTAATAACCCAATTCCTCCGAGATGATGCGTGTCAGATCGCGGTTGCCGTAGACCGCCCGGTGGAGATCTGTCTCCAGCAGGCCTACGACATCGACCTGCATATCCCTCAACAGCTCCATCATTCGTCGTTGGCTATCTCTCCCAGGCTCATCGACTCCAAAGTGGACCTAACATTAGCGAAGTCGGAAGCACACGCTTACCGCCCAGATACCCCCTGAAAAGATTCGATGTTCCGGGTAATATGGAACAGGAGGTTTCGATGGAATGTGTGCATATCCTGCCGCGAGCGCTAGAATCGATAGGATAACCGCTGCAATCTTAGATCGTCGGTCGATACCCTCCATTCTAGCCACGCTGCGAGGGTATAATCTATCATTGCCTGGGAGTTTGATGGAAGAGCTGGCCCAGGAACCCAGCGCGATTGTCGACATGCAGAATAGCAAGACGATATCCGTCCGCTCCCGGAAGAGCCATCCATAAGGAACGAATGCGTAAGCTGCGGTGACTACCGACACAACGTCCAGTATACAATTGACCAGCAACGCATTGCCGAAGGTGGCGGCTGGTGGGAGGGCTGAACCTGCGCGAATGTAGTCCGGGGCGATGGAAACGAGGTAGTATATTAGTGCCAACCCGCCCAAGAAGCCGAGCCAGTCGGGATACACGTAGAGGCAGATGATCCCTCCGAAGCCGACAAGATGCGCCATCGGGCTGTTTTGTTGACCACTAGTGAGAACACCCAGACATGCAACAGCGATGACCACGCCGGCGTACGGATGCAGTGTGGGGCCTTTAACAGGAAATCCGGTCCAAGTCCATGCGATGATAGTGCCAGGGTCAGACACAAACGTTTGGATCATGTGAATAAAACTTCCCAAGCCTATAGCCATCATAGCGGTGTGAGTCCGCGAAACCACAGGCACGGGATTCGGCTTGTCTTTGGTATGAGTTGTCGGCGGAGCTGGATGAAGGTCGACCGGTCGACACGCATATTCGAATAGTGCTGCAGCCGCAAGCGCTAAACCCGTTATGTTCCATCCTCCCGAATTCCAGTCAGTAGTCGCCCAAAGGGGATTGGTGGAGGCGTTCACATATTTAAACAGCAATGTGATGGTTATGCCGAGCAGCATGGCTAAATGTTAGCCTTAACACCTGTACTCGCTCACTTTGACCCTCGGCAATCATCTCAAGACTCCCTCGCAGCCTGTACCAGTTGCCGAATTGTGCAAGCCAGCCCGTCCACGTTCCAAGAGAGATGCAGAACAGTCTGACACTGACGGACGGAATGAAGTAGCAGCCCATACCCGCAACGACCATGATGATTCGGTGAGTCAAGAGCCCGCCTTTGGAGGTGGCAAATCTTCGACCAGATGTCCACGCCATGGTGTAACCGGACAAATTGGCAAGGAGAGCTAGCTCGGAACCCGCAAGAGCTAAAGTTAGACCAAGGCCAGACTGTCAGACTCACCCAGCTTCCAGACGGACCAGTAGAAGAGCTGGAATGTCAAGCTCGTGAAAACGGTCCAGAAGCACACGGCTATCACCAGTTCAGTCCAGTCACAAGTATCACTCACCGAGATATACGTCACTCAGCCAAGCAAGGAGGGCCCGACGGTCCGATGCCTCATGGCCTTCCTTGAACGCCAAGGCCCAGTCCTCTACGGGCAAGCTGGCGGACGACTCTCGACGGTCTGTCGTCCGGATATACATGCCGCTGCGTCGCTTGAGCCCGAGAACCTCACTTCAGACCCACTCGTGCGATGTCGGATGTGAACCGGATGCCGAGACGTCTACGATGGTGATCTGATTGTCAGCCTTGCGAGAGCTTCGGACTCACTCGAATATCCTTCAGCTCTGTAATGGCAATAGCATCGAATGCCACATCCCAGAAGACGAGGGACCACTCGAGGAGTGAATAGTGAGTGTAAGCTGGAGTAAGCAGAAGAATTCGGGAGAGTCTCACCGCCTGGTATGCGCAACACGGAGTGCCGATAAAACATCCAGACAAGAGGCGGAATGGTCAGCAGGAAGCCAGCAAAGGCCATTTGCCTACGCGTTTAGTGACATCTCTCGCTTGACTCACCTGCGGCGACGGCATGCTCTGTCGGTGGAATGTTGCATAGCAAGAAACATCCAAGGTAGATTGAGTATCAGATAGATGATCATAAAAAAATCGTGAAGGTCTGATTGTCAATTGAAGGTGGATCTCCGCTTAGCTCACCGTGATTATCTCGAGAAGTAATGTACACCCATCCACCACTGAGACGTCAGACTCCAGGTCGTTGAGCTCGACGCACCAGCAGAATGTCCTCCCAAGACCTGCCATCAGTTCTATGTCTGCTGTTCTTGACCCTCCGGCCCGCTCTTCTTCCCTGGCGGCTTCTTCTAACGGTTGGACGACGCCGTCAACCAGTTCGGCAGCTTTAGCGTTGGCTCTTGTTCGGACGGAGCCAGCTGATATTGCCGTAGACTGAGCGAAAGAAGCATCCGAGGTCGACGTTGATGACCCTCTCCTCGCTGGGCGATTTCGATGCAGCATCCACTGTGCGCCAAGCAGCAAGAAGCGAGGGGTAGCACAAAGGGCGATGAGGATGTGGAAAGGCGCTCTTGGGAGAGCATGGTCACCAATGCTGCAGCCGTGAGCCTAGAGCCTTAAGAGCCACATACGTCGCTGAGACTGAGGGGAACCATTCCACAGGCCACTTGGCAACCGAATTCTCGCACAACGCTTCCCACAGCCCTCCAGCCCAACCGATACACAAGGCACAAGCGAACGCCGAAGCCCCGAGGATGGTATGAGCCTGGGCGACGAAGCTCCCGGGAATGGATAGCAAAGTCGCCATGGCGGACGTAGGTGGTGGGCTAAGCTGGGTCAAGCGATGCTCTCGACATACCCATGTAGGAACGACTATGTTCGAAAACATTGAGTCGGTCGTCTGATGAGGTCACACCACGTGGCGTAAATCATGCCTTGGCGCGAACTCTTGATGATGTGGTCTATGCGTGCTACGTAGTTTGACGGTTGCGGAGTGGTCAAGGTTGTAGAGAACATGCATGGGTCAAGGAATCTTTGGTAGAGTAGCTCGTCGATGCATGGTTGAGCAGACACAGATCTAATCTGCCATTGCAGAACAATAATGTGGCAGCGGTGACAAGCGCCTCGACGGCGTCGGCGGAGGAGCTTCCGTCGATGAAAAACTGCCTCGAAACGGTGACACGGAAGCGGGTTGAAGGGAGGCAAAAGTGACGCGGACAAGGGGGATTAGCATTCATTCTTCTACATCAGAAGACGCTTTCGACGCGTTACTGGGGTCCTTGCCAGTACGTACATGGCAGGCGAGAGCGTCAGAAGACGAGCGTCACTCGAGCCGGACAGCGCGTTCAAGCTAAGGAATCAAGAAAGACGGTGGGAACGATTGGCCTAGGCATTCTCACAAAGCGACTTCATCGTCTCCCTTCGCGATGAACGGCGTCACTCTCCCTGCTCACGAATCGCATCTCCCTTCCTCTATGCTGGCTTCTCAAGACCCTCCTCATGCCAATGGCTCGACATCGAATGGTTCTAGTACGCCGAAGATTATGCTTCACGTTCCAAAACCTCCCTTACCGACTGTGCATCCTTCGACACCTTCCGAGTCATTGACACCTGCATCCGATGTAGCTTCAGGGGATGATGCTGAAGGTGAGGAGGAGTTGGACGAAGAGAGTGGTCTACCGTCAAAGGTGAGTGACTGATTGCTTCTATGCTGATTCTACAGATCACCTCTCCAGCTGATTCCGATCTGTCAGAGGAAGAGACACGTCCAGACGAGGACTTTGCAGATGAAGGCTTCTCAGAAGAAGACGAAGCTGTGGATGAGGAAGAGGAGGACGAAGATGACCTCGATTTTGGGCAAACGAAGAAGAAGCCGAAAGCCATCAAAGTCAAACCTCAAGGATCTGGACCTCCGAAACGCAGAGGTGAGAGCATCTCAGCTCGACTGTGACTGACAGACAGCGGTGGGCTCCTTCCCAGTTCGTCGCGAGCGGTCCATGTCAGCGGAGGATGATTACGCTGCCAAGTCACACAAGCGCAAATTCTTCTCCAAAACAAATGGCTCGAGTGGTCGAGAGACGCCAGATTCCTCGTTTGCAGACGCAGACCCATGGCGGAGAGGAGCGGCAAGAAAGGTTGTCACTTACGACGAGGCTAAAGCCGATTATGGGTTAGAAAGCGAAGATGAAGAGGTGTACTACGCCGAGGCAGAAGGTGGGTCACTCCTGATGGATGACGCTGATGAGACAGGCCAACAAGAGATGGATGAGATTGATCTCGTTCTTGGCCATTCCCGCGACGAAGATCATCTTGACGATCCGGCCGATCTGCCCCAGGAGAATCTCGTGAGATTCATCGGCTTGATGGTGACTAACTCCATCAGCGATTCCACATCAAGTGGAAGCGGTATTCCCACATTCACAATACAGATGAGCTCTACTCATTCTTAAAATCATACAAAGGCTTCAAACGTGTGGACAACTACATCACAAAGGTCTGGACGGTCGAGCAGCAGTTCCGGCATCCTGCACCAGATGCGCCCTGGAAGCCGACATCAGAGGAGTTGGAGCAATTTGAGATTGACAAGGAGCGAGTCAAGGAGCTTCAAGAGAGCTACAAGGTGGTGGAACGGATCCTGGCCGAGAAGGAGGAAGACAGAGATGGCGAGGTCGTCTCAATGTTTTACTGCAAATGGACAAGTGAGTGGAAGCGATGGGCACAACACTCATATGCAGATCTCCAATACAACGAATGTACCTGGGAAGGTAAGCAAGCAGGTCGCATCGCCCTTGCTGATAGTTATAGTCTACGATGACATCAAAGACAACGCCCAAGCTGAGATCGAGGAATTCCACGCTCGACAACAGCGGCACACCGTTCCCGCTCGCTCCATACCTTACTCTATACATGCTCGACCAGCTTATAACAAGATCACCGAAGACCCGTCGTATTTGACATGTGGAGGAGCTCTGAAGCCGTTCCAGCTGACAGGTCTCAACTGGCTAGCCTATCTTTGGAGTAAGGGGGAGAACGGCATCTTAGCCGATGAGGTGAGTGTGGAGTGCAGGCGGGTGTTGACCTTCAAGATGGGCCTCGGAAAGACTGTCCAATCCGTATCCTTCTTGTCCTATCTTTTCCATACGCAACGTCAATATGGTCCTTTCCTTGTCGTCGTGCCGCTCTCAACCCTGCCGGCGTGGCAAATGCAGTTCGCCAAGTGGGCACCAGATATCAATGTGATTGCGTACATGGGGTCTGGACCTTCACGCGAAGTCATTCGAGAGTTTGAATTCGGTCCTCTCAAGGCACTCAAGTTCAACGTCCTCTTGACTACGTACGAGTTCATCCTCAAAGACAGGCAGGATCTTGCACAGATTAAATGGCAGTGCCTGGCCGTGGACGAGGTGAGCGCGCTCATTTGGCTTTGACTGACAACCAGGCTCATCGACTCAAAAACCATGAAAGTCAACTCTACGAAGCATTGTCCAGCTTCAACTGCGCGTCTCGTTTACTCATTACTGGCACCCCATTACAGAACAATGTCAAGGAACTGCTGGCTCTGATGCACTTCCTGATGCCTGAGAAATGTGAGTGAATCTTACATATCCAACTCACTATCAGTCCAATTGGCGAACGACTTTGACTTGAACGACGTGGATCAAGAGGCCAAAATCAAAGATCTACACGAGAAGCTGGGAACCCTCATGCTGCGAAGATTGAAGAAGGATGTCATCAAGGAGCTGCCTTCCAAGACTGAGAAGATCTTGCGAGTCGAGATGTCGGCGATGCAGATGCACTACTATAAGAGTGCGTCGCGGATGATCCTCCGGCTGACACTTATTAGATATCCTCACGCGAAATTATTCCGTCCTCAGTCGTGGAGGAACCCAATCGGTCAGCCTGATGAACGTAGCCATGGAGCTGAAAAAGGCATCGTGAGTGAACTCAAACGCCAGTTGCTCAAGGCAGGAACCATCCATACCTGTTTGAGGGTGCAGAGGACCGTAATAAACCCATCAACGAAATATACAAGTCTCTCGTGATGAATTCTGGCAAAATGGTCCTGCTCGATAAGCTTTTGACGAGGCTCAAGGAGGACGGTCACAGGGTCTTGATCTTTTCTCAGATGGTCCGACTGTTGGACATCATTTCTGATTACATGTCAGCCAGGGGTCACGTCTTTCAACGGCTAGATGGTGAGCAGCGTCAGCGGTCAAGCTGAATTCAAAGGTACCGTCTCTTCGGACATCCGTAAAAAGTCGATCGAGCATTTCAACGCCCCTGGTTCCCCTGACTTTGCCTTTTTGTTGTCGACACGCGCTGGAGGATTGGGCATCAATCTCGAGACTGCGGATACAGTCATTATCTTTGATGTGAGACTTTGCTGACGGAAGTTGCTGATCCTCTAGTCTGACTATAACCCTCAAAATGACCTGCAAGCCATGGCTCGGGCACACCGTATCGGCCAGCAACGTCACGTCAGTATATATCGATTCGTGACGAAAGGTACTATTGAAGAGGACATTCTCGAGCGAGCTAAGAGAAAGATGATACTGGAATATGCCAGTGAGTCATTGAGGTCCAGCTTGCGCTGAAAGTAGTCATCAATCAAATGGACACCACTGGCGGCCATATCAATGGCACGTCCACGCCCAAAGACAAGAATGGCGATTTCTCGAAGGACGAGCTCTCCGCCATTCTCAAATTTGGTGCTCAAAGCATGTTCAAGACAGATGACAAGGACCAGAGTCAAAAGCTTGACGAGATGAATCTGGACGATATTTTGACCAAGGCGGATGCGTTCGACACTGAATCTGCCGCGCAGCCTGGAGGGACATCGCTCGGTGGGGAAGGATTCTTGGCATCGTTCGCTGCCATTCAGGATGTGAAGAACGACATGGACGAGGTCAGTTGGGACGATATAATTCCTGTCGAGGAGAGGATCAAGATGGACGAGGAGCAGAGTAGGGAGCTGCAAGCCCAGGAGGAAGCTGCACGATCGAGAAAGCGCAAAGCCGCTCAGCAGCCTGGAGCGTATGAAGGTATGGACTATGACGATCAGGCAAGCGGCGCCGGCTCCACCAAGGAGAAGAAGAGTAGTAAAGGCGGGGGACAACCGAAAAAGTCTCCAGCACAGAAATCTCTGGAGCTCAAAGAGAGAGACTACCGTGTCTTGATTCGAGGTCTACAGAAATGGGGAGATATTCGTAACCGATACGATTTGATCGTCAAAGAGGCTCGGCTGGAAAACAAGAACAGGGTGCTCATCACTCAGACCTGCGAAGACGTCATCATACAGGCAGAGGCTGCGGTCGCCGCTCACAAGGCCCACATCCGAGAGCTGCAAGACAAGGGAGAACCTATCACCTCGTCACTCCGTCAGAAGGCCATCTTGTTCTCGTACAACTCTGTCGCCGGTCTGAACGCGGAGACAATCGTGGCCAGACACTACGGGCTCAAGGCGGTCGTAGAGCATTTCAAACGTGTCGAGGATCCGGAAAAGTACAGCATCCCGCATGAGAGTCTCAAGCCCACACAGAACTGGACCGTCGACTGGACCGCCGAGGATGACACCCACCTTCTCGTCGGCATTTGGCGTCATGGCTTTGGCACATGGGATCAGATACAACAGGACCCCACTTTGCATCTCGAGGACAAGATATTCATGGAAGACCCCAAAACTAAAGCGGAAGGTGATTCGAGTAAGGCCAAAGCGAATATTCCTGGCCCGATCCATCTAGTCCGACGTGGAGACTATCTCTGTGGTATTATCAGAGAGTACGAAGAGAACCGTCGAATGCTCATCGAACAGCAAGCTGTATTGGATTCAATGCCACCAAAGGAAGGCTTTGGCTTTGACAATCCATCGATGCCGCTCCCCCTGGCTTCATCGTCCAAGGTCAAGGCGAGTAGTCCCATGACCAGTACGACGAGCGACAGACCCAAAGGCAAAGGCAAGGCCAAGCGACACAAGACGCCTGAATATACGAGCTCGGAGGAGGATTCGGACTATGCTTCGATGGATGAAGCTGCTGTCAAGGAGGCTCTTAGACCGGCGAAAAAGCATCTCAAGAAGCTTAAGAGCGGTACAGATGATCTGAATAGGGACGAAAAGATCTCTGCGCTCAAGGAATGCGTGGCGGGTATTGGAGCGAGAATAGACGAGGTGGTCGCTGGGAAGTCTGGTTCTGAAGCTGCGAAATGGAGGAAACACTGTTGGGTCTTCGCATCCTTCTTTTGGCCTCGTGAAGGCGTTCACTACTCAAAGCTCATGGACATACACAAGAAGCTCGTGAGTGACACTGATTTCCGGCTCGGCTGACGCCCGCAGGTCAATGAGACTTCCCCTGCGCCAACAAAAGGCAAGGCAAAAGTCAAGCGGGTGTCGGAGCCTAGTGACGCACCTCCTAAGAAGCGAGCGAGACCCAGCAAGCCAAAGGTCAAGAAAGAAGGCACAGAGGTGAAGAAAGAGGATGACAAGCCGGAGACAGAGGAGATGACAGAAGACACAAAGCCCAATGCCAGTGGGGAGAAGGAAGAAGACGGCACGGATTAGATGTAGCTTTCCATTTTGGAGTTCCTCAACACATTGTCTCGATGTGCATGTACTCACTACCAAGTATCGGCATTTGTCATGCTCATCAAGTGATGCCGGTGCGCCTTAAAAAGGTGCTGCGACGACGAGAGGATCCTTGGGCTTCCTATACCGTACAAAGCGATGAAGCTTGCCCCCGGCTTTGAAGGCTGTGAGCTCGCCACTTTTGCCACCACGTGTCCGTGACCTCGGCCGCCAATCGCCAAGCAGTTTAATGAGACCGCGTCACTTTATTAGTCTGTTGAATTGATTTTGATCTTTCTGCAGTATGGTATCTTCGCCGTCCCCAATGAGCACGACAGAGACCTCGCCTACGGCGACTAGCCCATCAGTGGTACCTGCACACAATGGGTCCGCTGCTGCCGCTGTTGCTGCAGAGCAGCCGGCTGCAGCGGCCCCTGCGCCTCATGCCAATCCAAAGGTGGCCGAACTTCAGGTCATGTTCCCCACTATCGAAGTAGAGGTGATCGAGATGATTTTGGAGTCGTGCGGAGGATCACAGGATCGAGCCATTGAGCAACTACTATCTATGACGGACCCTGAGTTCAAGCCTGACGAGCTTGCACATAGTCGTCAAGAGGAGGCAGTGAGTCCAGGCCTCCAGGATCCATGACTGATAGTATCCCCTTAGTCCCAGGTCGACCTCGATGCGGAGTTTGCCAGATCCTTGCACATGCAAGATGAAGAGAGGATGCGACAAGGCGGTCGGGCTCTTCCGTATCAACCTCGCGTCAGGACTCGACCTTTACCAGGGGATGGTCAACAAGCGTATTTCAATCCGACGACGGCCGGTGCGCCGCCGAGAGATGAGAATCCGCCCGGCATGTTGGCGATGGAGGATAAGCTGAATCAATATGCAGAGAGTGAGTTCTAGGATTGACCGATCAACGCTCAAACGAATCAGTCGGCAAGCAGACATTCTCCTCCATTTTCAACAAGGCAAAGGCAAAGTATTCTGAACTTCAGCAGACCGCAGCTGCCAACACGGCTGCGCGAGAAGAATCGGATAGACAGCGAGTGGGACAGGATCGTATGGGAGCCAGTTGGAGAAGTCCCTCTCCGCAAGGATACGGGACACCTACACCTGGTGGAGCTAGAGGGGGTCAGCAGAACACTAGGGGAATGTGGGCTGATGACTCGTGAGTTGTAAATGGAAGGATCATTGTTCACGCTCAGGTCCTCCTTCTCCTCCCAATCGACCGAACCTGCGCCAAAAGCAGCGAGATGGCAGCCATCTGACGCTTATGGTGAGCCTGCGGGGGGAGACCCGGAGCTAAATTACGAAGACGACCCGCTGCCTGCCATACCTCCCACCAACAAGATAGAAGTTACGGGCCGTCGAAGTCCAGCGGCGATGGAGAAGCCCGCAGCTCCTTCTGGCAAGATTGATCCAGGTGAGTGCAGCGCAGCGACGTGTCGTCTGACGAAGCAGCTAAACTCGGTATCCTACCGAAGAAACGGGTCGACCTCTTATCGACCTCTCCCCCAGCAAATCCTTCGATGGAGCAGGAAGAAGATGATCCCAACCCGAGCTTACCATCTGCCACAAAATCTATTGTGAATCAGATTCCCAAGACCCCTCCGGCGGGATCATCGACCTATAACGGGGACAGTGACGACGATCTTGAGTACACCAAGTGAGCACACCCACAGTGGGCACGAGCTGATATCAGGAATCCATTTGATGAGAGATGAGCTCCAGGTTATGCATGTACACTACGAACAAACCCCAATCTGATACACGTTTCGGACCATTATAACGCGTTTGAGAGACTACCATCTGCCACGAAATCTATTGTGAACCAGATTCCCAAGACCCCTCCGGCGGGATCATCGACCTATAACGGGGACAGTGACGACAATCTCGAGTACACCAAGTGAGCACACCCACAAGGGGCACGAGCTGATACCAGGAATCCATTTGATGAGAGATGAGCTCCAGGTTATGCATGTACACTACCAATCTGATACACGTTTTGGACCATTATAACGCGTTTGAAAGACAAGTGAATGGTTCTCTGACGGAACTAGAGCTGAGAAGAGTCAGAGCAAGAAGTGTTGATTGACTCACTAGTCAGTTATGATGGCATCGATCGAGGTGTAGAGTCCTGGTCCAAGCATGAACAAGCCCAGACCGAATATGAGAATATTGGCAATACTCAATGCTATCTTGAGGGGGCTTGACCATAAACTTCCTCGGTTCATGTGCCAGTACGCGACGGCCCAGAAGATGAAGCCAAAGAACGAGTCAAAGGCGGAGGACATGATACCCAGGAAATCTCCCATGGAGGGAATGATACTGACAGTCAGCGGTGCCATGAGATGACTCGACTCACTTTCCGAGCACAAAAGCAACGACCCAGATGAAGACAACGCAGCCGATCCAGGTTCCCCAGCCGATCAAGGTATGACTGTGAGTATGACGCGAGTTGCCAAGGATCCGTCGGTAGATGAATTTGGAGGCGACATTGGAGTAGATGGCACCAATGACGACGGTGGGAACAAGGACAAAGGCAAACGCAGATTTACGAGCCCAAGGTTCAGACAAGGATCCAATGATTGGCGCGGTGGAATATTGGCCGATAAAGTGATATCCGACGGCAGCGACGATACAGAAAACGGCCAATTCCATGATGGTCAGGGCGGCGAGAGCTTTTGGGAAATCTGCAGGGTTCTTCATCTCGGCAATGAATGAGGGATACAGGATTTGTCCGATCCACAAAAAGGTGATACTGTGGGTCAGTACCAGTGTTTGCACAGGCGAGCTCACTTGAGAACCGCATTGAGGCCATTGATGAAGCCTGGAGCGGGACTGGGAAGACCGATGGAAGTCTGGACGGGTCCTTGCTTGGGATAGCTTCCTCCATACCCGTACCCGGGAGCGTCCTCGATTCCAGCGTAGATCAGTGAGAGGATGATGGCGATGGCCATACAGACGGCAGAACCCATAGACATGAGCGAGACGTGGTTAAGCGTGCGCGGGATAGACACGAGGACTATGGTAGGTTAGCCAGAGCGAATGTTGATGATGGCTCACTTCCAATAACAGCGGTAACGGCTTGGAAGGTCACGGTACATGTGGCACTGTCACTCAAAGTGTTCAAGACTGCATGTCAGAATAATCAACACGTCTCGTGCTTACTCTTTGCCCCAGTGAAAACGTGGAACCCAACTGGGAAAGTCAGCCAGGGTGAGGGTTGTCAGACTCACTCAAAAAGATGTTGTTGAGCAGTAGCATGATTGCGGTGATCTCGTAAGCGGTCCTCGGTATGAATGGCTGATCTGTCAGCGCTGTCCCGTAGTGACAGACTTACGAAGAGATGGGCAGCCAAATCGCAAATGTCATGTACTTCTGGGTGGATCATGCACCACTGCCATAAGACGTATGAAGTGTCTAAAGGGGGAAAGAAACGTCAGCGTCTCGTAGGATTGCCCTCTGTCGTAGCGGCCAGCAGCGAGCGCTCCGTTGAATAACACTTACACCAGGTGATAATCCCCAGGCCGAATGTGATGAAGAATCCGCAGATCCATCCGACGACACTCCAACTCCAGGCCAGAGCGAGAATGGCCAAGCAGACATACTCTCCAAACAGGAGCAAGGCCGTCTTCTGCCACGATAATGTTCGAAAGTTGATCTCATGGTTTCCGTCCTCTTCTTTCAGGGCAGCGAATCGATCGACGACTGCGTCTTGTGATTCAAGTTTACCTTCCTTGTCCTTGTAATGAGGGACGGCCTCAGAGGACCCGGTCGTGTTCTCTGTACGGTCGAGAGGCGCGGGCATGGTGTCAAGAGGTGCTGGTCGTCCGGAGTATCGGCAAGGGCTAGCGGAAAACCTTTCTCGAGCCAAAATAGTTCAAGGTCAGAAACAAGAACTCAGCCCCTAGGTGTAGAGTAGTGACAGGAAGAAGACCAAAAGAAAGCGGTCGGTCTGTGCCATGTAAAGACGTGCTCAAAGACTCGATCATTTCATTCATGGCCCTCGAAATCTGCCCCCTTCACAGAAACCGCCCCCCCTCTCAAAGAGGTGTCTTGTCTGTGTTCCGCAGGAATCACATCTATCTCGGCTTAAACGCCACTCTGCTGATACGCCTTATGTCGTGATTTTTGAGTTGAATCGTCATCTTCTCATGGCCGTACCCAAAACAGCCAGGGCTCGGGGGGCAGGGGCAGGGAAGGAGAGCCCGACGTGTTACACCTCTTTTTTTTTAATCTTATCCCCCCCCCCCCCCCCGGGCGCCAAGATACAACTGCCCGGCTAATTATGGACCAACACCCCGTCACGCTGCTGCCATCTCTCTGATGACTTGCATCTCTCCATCTGCCAACCCTTTCACTACAGATATGGCGGGACATGTCAGCCGGACATTCTCTACGTTCTTGCGACTCACAGAACCACGACTTGTAATACTGCTCATCCCCTCTGACGATTTGCCCGCCCATGGACGCCAACGCGTCAGTCATAAACTGACCCGTAAAACCTGTTAAAAACGCCACCCAAAGATGAGCATATGGGTTTCACGGGGATGACATGATCCAAAACGCTCACCCAGTCTGGATCCGCTCATCGCCGCAAACGTCTTGGCTGCACTCCATCCATCAGAATAACCGCGCGAGATCGCAGCTTGTTCAGGGGTCAATTCGACTTTGCTCTGATCTCGTCGTCGATGCTCTCTCGCGCGGTGACGGTGGTGCCTCGCGGTGAATCGATGATGCAGGGTCGAGGAGAAGAGAAAGGCTCGTTCGCCAATGTCCAAATAGTCGACGGACCGGCGATTCACGGGCTTACTGATAGGAGCTTCGGCTAATGCCTCGTTGATCTGAGCGAGATTGTTCTGTGTACCCATCGACGCGAGCCACTCGTCCGCCATGGAAGAATCAAAGCCGCTGCCCAAAGGCATGGTCGTGCCAAATGTCAGATACGCTTGATCAGGGTTCAGTGGCGCTGAAGCGGGTTCCTCGAGACTCAGGTTGCCGAGTGAAATGTTGGGATATGAGAAGAAGGTCGAAGGCAGACTGTTGCCCACGGCGTGCACAAAGCACCAATTGTCATCATCGTCGCAGTTCTCAGTTTTGAGACCTAGTCGTATATCAGGGTGACTGACACCTTCTTGCCTAAAAACTTACTCCAAAAGCTCCAACCGGCCGTGGCATTCGCATAACTTTCCATCTGACCTGTGCAGAAGTCTCTCCTTGCCTCGGCTGGATCACTAGCATTTGACAAAGATTGCGAAGAAAGAGCGCAAGACCATTCGTCGATGACTAGGTTGCGCCGACCCTCGTTCGCAACCGCGGCCAACTGCTCGGACAAAGACCCTTGGCCAGGGGCCAGACTCATCGTCAGTTGAGAGGCAGGCGTATTTTGCGAATTGTCATCAAACACGAAATAAGAGTGATGGTCGAGGACTACAAAGTCATGTCGGGTCGAAATGTAATCGGCGAAGCGAGACAAGTCGTAAGCATCGTTGATGTAAAATGGAAAGGTGGCGGCTTCGTGAGAGACTTGTCGGAGAGTTTCCAATGTCGAAGTGTAGAACGCGGGGAGGATATCGACGTTGGTAGGCTCGTTGAGGAGCTCGATCCCAACGACATTGTTCACCTTTACGAATTGTTGCGTCAGGTAAGTGAGTATGTTGACGGTGAGTTGCATATTGTTGTCGCTGTTGAACAAGTTCTGTTGACCGTCTGATGTGCCACCGTGGGCTTGACCATTCTGAGATCCTGGTGCACCGTGAAGATCCACCAGGACGCCTAACCCGTACTTGGCGGCCCAGTTGATCGCTCGAACCACTCGAGGCCATGAATTGGCATACACATCGGATACGGGTTCAAACACGGTCCCCTCGCAATAGACCGGTCCAAGATTCCAGTATCCGATCGGAAGTCTGACCGTGTTGATACCGATACTCGCGAGATACTTGAAGTCGCTCTCTGTGATCCATTCGTCCCAGTGTCGTTCCAGTACCTGTCTGGCATTGGACACTCCTCCCCAGCCTTGAGCGACATCCAGTTCAGCCTGTTGTGCTCCAGCAGCGCAAGTGAAGAGACTTGGATTCATCCATTGCTCCTGCACGAACCAACTACCTAGGTTGACGCTCTGCTGTTGGCGATAGCGGTAAACCATGGCGACGGATGGGTCCCATTCGGCAAACTGTTCCAAGGGAACAGGGGCAGGAGAGTACGGAGTGAAAGAACAGCCGGAAGAGTCGGTCCCAGCGAGAGTCGAGAGGAAAGGTAAGTATCCACCGGCCTCAGTGTCTTGAGAGGTCTCGTTCTGGTTGTTGGCTTCGCTGTCCAAAGGTGCCGCGTCGGTAGTAGCTGCCAGTGTACCAAGAGTGTCACTGGAATTGATCGACGCCAGTGTGAGGAACCGCTGCGGCTGGGAGGAAGAATGCTGTGGCTCCTCAGTCGGTGGTGTCTGTAAGACGAGCTTGCCGTCAGACACCGCGAGCGAGAGTACCGGAGGAACATAGGTATCGGACGGAGCACTTCCAGCGAACAATCCACCAAGCGCAGCCAGTGCTGTCGTCGGGTTGCCTTCAGTCGCTTTGGGAGTCGGCTTCGTGAGGGACGCGACCAATCCCAACGAGTGAAGAACGTTCTGAAGATCGATTAGCATATTCAAGCGGGGAGTGCCACTGTGAAGAGTCCAGCTCTGGAAGACTAAGGTAAAGACTACAAATGAAAGACGTGTATCACGGCCAGCGTGTACACCAGGATGGAGAGAACAAGGAAGAGTGCTAGGTTTGGATGGACAAGACGCTCGCTACATAAGCATGGATCCCCGAGAGCCAGGTTTCGTGGCGATACTGTTTCAAATGATGAAATGTCTCGAATAGACTGAGACACAATCTCTGCACCGCTTGCATCTTTGATGTCGAGCTTAAGGTAAGGATTGAGGTGTCAGGGATGGGATACAGACGGGCTGCGCATGAGATACTACGGCACGTGTGCGAAGGAAGAGTTGGCTGAATCTATTTGATTGATGAAAGGTCCGAACTTGGCAGGAGACAATTTTTATGCCACATTGGTCGCTTGATCCATACTCAGTATGATGGCTTGATACCATCGGACAAATTCGACAACATCGTCGGCAGTCTATCTGTGAGGTTTGTTCTATCATGCAGAAACTCACCACATGCTCATTGATGGTATGAGCGCCGTGCTGTTCGGACATTTGGAAGTACCTGAATCTGTATATATTTTTTGTGAGGTCCCAATATCGACGTGTGTCGGTGTTCTAAGCAGAGTCAATCTAAAGTCTGTTGTGTCTGGCAAATTTAGCTTACCCCGGTAGACATGAATGGACTGATAATGAGATCCTTGCCAGGTTCGAGATCGACGATACTGCCATCCTTTGATACCTGCGGTCGACTTGCCCACATGCCTCTCGCTGTGCCGGCCATGACTGTCCACGCTGAATCGGCATCTGAAGCATCTGTCGGACTGATGGGAGCAGGATCGGTATAGTAACCATAGGCATTATCAAGAAGGACGCGACTATGGGGGTTGCCATGGTGGACAGCCTTGCCATCGAACCCTACCAACGTGAGGTTGTACGATTTGACAATTGGTAGGAAGATATCAATGACGCGTTCCTCGAGCTCTTTGTGGTTGGAAGCCACGTTAACTCGGTGATTGACAACTGCTCGGACCGATTCAGGCTGGCGTAAGCAGAACGTCATCTCATGGACTCACCAATGCATTGACTTTGAGCCCTCCGTTGATGATATCCGCGGCTTGAGTCGTGGTCATCATGGCTTCGATGGCATTGCCTGAGACGTGAGCTAGTGCCGCAGAGACTGCTCACCTTGACCTGGGCCGGTCGAAGCGCCCGAGATCCCTGCCTGGATGATCTCATGGGGCAGGCTTGACCAGGCCTTTGATTTGCCCTTTCGAGTCTCCAAAACGGTATGCCTCAGACTCTTCGGCATGTCCTTTGCATGGGCAGCACCGCAAGTCATGAATCCGTAGACGGGACTCGACTGGGTGAGGTAGACTGGATGCGGATGTCTTTCCAACTCTGCCAACAAGAGAGACATGTATCCTACTCCAGTGTGTGGAGGTGGTACCGAACTGTGACCTCCCAGGGTTTCGACTGTGATACCCAAATCATAGTGTCCCTTTTCTGCGACTCCAGGCATGGCGAAATGCTGACCCCAGCTGGTGAGCAGTCCACTTCCTTCATCGATGAGCAAAGATATTGAGTCTTTACCGTACTTGTCCAAGAGGTACTTGGCAATGGCAGGAGCACCAACTTGACCTCCACGTTCTTCATCGCTGCCGAAACCAAGGATGATCGTTCGAGCAGGTTTGAAATCTGTCGTCTCAAGTAGGTGCTCGATAGCCGCCATGATAGCGATCAAGCTGCCCTTGGTATCGCTGGATCCTCTACCCCAGATCGAATGACCATCATAGAGTCCAGAGTAGGGCGGTTTGTCCCATTGAGGCAGAGAGGCAGGTAACACAGGCACGACATCTTGGTGGGCCGTCAAGAGCAAAGGTTTGAGCGAAGGGTCGGATCCAGGCCATTCGTAGACTAGAGCTAGATTGTGCACTGACTTGAGCATGGTCGCGTGGCTGCTGTGAGCGAAGGAACGACAGATAGACACACAGTTTCGGAAAGCTGGTCTCGAGAAAGGATTGGAACTTTTTCAAGGGTGCCCACCGGGGATCCTCATCGATAGGTCCCATCTCGTCAAAGACCTCGGTTGGAATTTGAACCTATCGTTCAGTGTCCGTGCCTAGGGGCTCACACCTACCGCTCGACTGAGCCAGTCAACAATCCTGTCCTTCTCATTGAGGACCTCAGACACATTGTACCCCTTGGGCAATCTAGGCTCGGCCTGGACACATGCCCCTTTGAGAGTGTCTGGCTGGACATTGAGATTCAATGTTGGCGCCGTGTACAGAGCAGCCCCGGCAAGCAGCGAAAGAATAGCGACGATAGGCCACTTGGATCTCTTTGAGGGTGCCGGAGAGGTGGCTGTGGGCAGATAGATGGGTCCAGTCATGGTGAGCGGTTGTCAAAGACCGATAAGAGGGCAAGTCTGGACATCATATTATATATATAGTGAGGCCTTTTCGGAAATGTCCGAACCGAGGTGGGCATCTCCGTAGATAATAGCTCGCATGACGCCCTTACAACAGATCCCCCTTCAGCTGGTACTTCTCAATCTGGCGAATATACATTAAGCAGGTCAAGACCCTATCGACGAACGTAAGGTAAGGATAGCATTCAGAGACAACGCCGAAAAAGGTAGAACGAACATCCCATGGTGCACCCAGCTTCTAGATCCTATACTCTAACAGCATCCTCCGCTCGCCTTTTGCTCAACGTTCTGACCCAGCCCCTTGATGGTGGATTTACCACCTGGTCCTGAGGCCATGGATGTGCTGCCCATACTGGCATGTCAGTTCGAGTGACAGATACTATGACTCACCGGTCCTTGATTTGCTTTGACATGGTCAAGAATGCCTGCTCAACATTCGTCGCGTTCTTCGCGGAGGTCTCAAGGAAAGGAATGCCGAGCTCGTCCGCAAAGGCCTAGAAGGTCAGTTGACATAACAAATCGAACCTTCACCTTTGCCGCAGCATAGTCGACAACCTTCTTTGTGGCCAAATCGCTCTTGTTTCCAACTAGCAGCTTGTTGACTCCCTCGACCGCGTATCGATCAATCTCCTGCAGCCACTGTTTGACATTGTTATACGTGTCGGAATCTGTCACGTCGTAGACGACAATGATTCCATGCGCGCCACGGTAGTAAGAGGAGGTAATGGTTCTGAAACGTTCCTGCCCAGCAGTGTCCCACTGTGATTTGTCAGAATCATAATGGGCTTGGCGTATCTTCGGACGCACGATTTGCAGCTTGACAGTCTTTCCCTCGAGATCAATGGTACGGATCTTAAAGTCAACCTAGGCATGATCAGTCGAAACTCTGCCTTTGTTTGACTCACTCCGATGGTGGAAATATAACTCTCTGTGTAGGTGTCGTCGGCGAATCGGAGCAGCAAACATGATTTTCCGACTCCAGAGTCACCGATCAGAAGCAGCTGAAGAGATATGAGCTCAATAGGCGGGAGCAAGATAGCTTTTCTAACTTGCCTTGAACAGGTAGTCATACTCGGCGGCGTGAGACATGTTGATGTGACGTCTGTTTTCATATGCGCGCAGGATCAGTGCGGTATGGTTTCGATGAACGGCGTGATCGAAAGCATCAAGTCGGCGACGAGAGAAAGCGAAGAGAGACAAACACGTCAGCATACCTCATCCTTCAAGAGTTCATGATCAAGATTCAACGGTGGCAACGAGTGCTCCTTGCAACGTCGGATATCGACTCCACACGCGTTCGTCGGGGACGATCCTCCTCGACTTCATCGATAGATACAGGCGGCCACTCACCTCGTAGGGTCTCGTAAACTAGATTAGACGGCACTAAGCGTTGAATTGAGGTTGCGTGGTGCACAAAAAGAGCAGAGAAGAGATCACAATCGTTGGAGAAAGAGAGAAGAATAGCGGGCTGGCCACCCTTGCATCATCGGGTTTAGCGGTGGGTACTTTTAAATTTAGGTACTGGCGTTGAATATGCACCCAGAGTGCAGGACGAGCATGGCTTGCTGCATTGGTTTCTGGGAGGGAGACAATGCCATCGAGCATGAACACATTTGTGCCGAGTATCAGCATTCAGATGATGCATATATCAGAACCCCGCAACGCCCTCTAGAATGGTTTGTCGCTGTCCGGGGTTTTGTCTACGGGATGGAATTGAGATCGGCAGCGACATCAAGGCAGGAATGGCGGAACAGGTAGAGTAGAAGGCAAAGCTGTCAGCGATGTCCAAAATAGTACAGATAGTATGCTTACCGGTGTAGTAGTCTCCGAGCTACACGATATACGCCGAAGACAAGGTTATTATTGACAAAATCGGTGTGACAAGGTTTTGTTCGGTGGGGGCAGGACCATGAGATGCAGAGCGAAGAGATGAAAGAGTCCAGTTTTCCGACCCAGGAGTGAAGACGTCAATGCCATCAGGAGGCGAAGAGCAAGGGTGAAAGTATGGAGGAAAAGGGGAAGGGAAGCACGACCCCATCAGCAGTTTTTCGACATCTTGATGAGATCTCCTCACCACTGGGACCTTTTGCAGAACATCTCTCTTGAAGATAGGGACAGAGCTCAGAAAGAGGGATACAGTAACTCCGATACCGAAGCCCCACATGACTAATGGTCCTCTGAAGCCAGCTAGACGTCTGAGAAGAAGGATTATTAGACACTGTTGGTTTGAGAAAGGGTCTTACTCTGGGGTGAAGCCCATGACGGCCTGAACGATTTCTCAGTACATTTACTGTCTCAAGTAACTTTTCACTTACTGGCTGAGACTTGAGCTTGAAGTTAGCCATGATGACTCGCTGGACGATAGCAGAACGTTTTGGAGGACGAAGTCACCATAGGCTGCGATGGCAAAGTGAAGGAGTGAGAGATTTGATAACGAAAATGCATGACGTGGCAAACACTACTACATATCTGTGGCACTCCATTGTCCTTGCTTGTGTGCTCTTTGTCGATCTCTGTCGATCTGGATAGACAGTCTCGTCAGGACATTGTCTTCCACGACGTCCAACGCGAAACCAAAAGGTGTGAGAGAGCTCCAATGGATATCATAGGCAAGCGAAAACACGTTCCAAGCTGACAAAAGCCCTCTAGGCAATCGCGGCTCTTCTTCTCATCGCCATAATCATTATGTCCTTGTCGTTGCACCTGGTCCCGGACGACTCTTTCCGCTGATCGCGCTTGCATCACTCTGGCGGACGATTGACCACATCGACCAGCTCTTTCCACCCATTAAGGTTTTCCACCTCTACACCCAACTTTCTCGCATCCGCCCGGAGGGCCTCGATATCCACCTGCATTTGTCGTTTGAATCTGTCCTCTTCACCTGAATCTTCTTGTGGAGTTCCACCGCCAAACAGTGAGAAGCCTCCCTTCTTCGTCTTACGGTGTCTTCGCAGCAAGTCCTCGGTTTTGCGCACGCCAGCTAAGATTCCTGCATACGCCACGCAAACGGCATCGAAGACTGTCGTCGACCACTCTGGACCATATGTCGTGGCGAGCGTGGGACGGGAAGCGTAGAAATCGTGGAGCGGTTTGAGGATCGAAGGAATGAAATAGGATGGAGTGATCTCGGCAGATTTAGAAGGAGCTGCACGAAACTGGGAGGCTACGGCTCGAACGAGTTTAAGGGAATCAGAGCAGCGGCGGGTGAGGATGTCGATGATCTTGGCAGTGTAAGGGTCGGTGGGAATGTCAAGATGGGCTGGAGTCAGCGATGATACGTCCATGAGCCTCACTGTGTAGTGATGTTATGCGAGGAACGTCCCTGATCTTGAGACGCAGCGTTGCCAAGTCTGCAACGGCGGATGCGGAATGCCTGAGAGCCTGGTCGTCTCCCGCTTCATCCGAGCTACATTCTTCAAGTCTTGTCCGGAGCCACGTGTTGTATCGCGCGGATATCTGCAATGTGAGACGCCAGAACCGATGGGCGAGCTCGGGTAAGAAAACCTTATCGTCAAAACAGGTGGAGATGGCTTTCCACGCGGCTGCGCTTTGACTGAGGCACCAAGGTGCTGTTGCGGTACTCGGGGCTGCGAGTGCGGTCTCCAACGATGTGACTATCTCTTTCCAGCGCAGTTGAAAGTAGACGGGAAGCTGCCAGCGACGTTCAAAGGTTTCGGATATCGGCGAAGAGCGTGCGGAAATGATGGCATCGCCAGACGGCGCGAGAGATTCGAGATGAGCGATAAAGTCGTGAGTGATGGTATAATTCTAATGTCAGCGACTTGTGACACGGTGCGCTCACTTGATGCAGATCGTCTGGTCTGCCGGCCGCGAAGATTGTGCTTCCTAGCTTATCCATGATTGCCTCTGCTACTTCTGGCCAAATGACACTTGAATAAAGGTCAAACTGAGGTGACAAGTCATCCGAGATGGTCAAGAGAGCACTATATGATTGGACCTGGGTGAGGACTCGATTGAAAAGCGTTGCGAGTGGTGTTTCATCGGCCAGTTTGTCAGGAGAGAAATCGAAGGTTTGGACGGACACCATGGGCGTGATGGGTGTTTGAGGCGTTTCTGGCAGATTGGCGTTGGGTACCATGAGCGTAGTGGAAGTGATTGTGTCCTGGCAGAACGCTCGGAAAGCTGTCCTGACGACTTCGGCAGCTTCTGCATAGCCCTCAATTAGCTCATACGTCTTGAGAACAGATTTGATTTTTCCAGGGGAGTCCATGGCACCCCGAAGCAGAGCAGCTAGATCTGTCCCCAGTCTCAACTTGATAGCCTCCACCCGAGGAGTCACCGCATCGACAATTTGACATCCCTCCGCCGCAGCCTTGCCAATGAGGTAGACCAACTGGTTGTATTCACTCGCTGCTCTTTGTACAAGCTTTGACCGGTCCTCGTCAGGCCCGTCAAGTAGAGATTCGGCTCGATCCAGGGTATCAAACAGACGCTGTAAGAGGTCCAAAAGCGTTTTCTCCTCTCTCAGTGTTGCTCTTTCGTCCAGTTGCTCCTGGATCGCATCTTGATGCACTTTGAGCTTATCTCGGACGGTCCCAACCTCTGATTGCAAGTCGTGCAATGGCTCTTGAAGTGATTTCAACCTCTCTCCTTCTCCTCTCAGGCCGGTTCCGAGAGAGATGAACTCCTCATAGTCGTCATTGATGAGCTGAACCAGCTCTTCCCGCAATACCCCTAGGTATTCTCTCAATTCAGCTCGAAGCTCTTCCAATGGAATATAGATTCGGGACAGGAGGAATGTGTCGACGTTGAAGTCTGGGGCAGAAAGCAGAGGATGATTGTGTGAAAGAGGCTGAAGGGAAGGGAGGTCCAAAGACCGTTCAGTCGATGGTCTTGGTGAAGCTTCGGGTGCCCTCAAGAATGGGTCCCCCTCCATAGCTATAGGTGCCTATGCATCTACTTGGGAATCTCGTCGAGTGGAGGACCACGCGACAGGATGCGAGCGGAATCAAAATTGGTGCCACAGTCGGCGTTTGACAATTCTTTGCCAAATTTCCGATCGGTTCCGCGAATCCTGTGGTCTCACAACTAGAGTCGACATCGAGAAGGGGCGGGGTATCTTCTTTCTCTATCCATCAAGCAACAAATTCAAACCTACAATGGTCAACTTGTCGCAACAGAAGCGTCTCGCAGCCGCCGTCTCTGGCGTGGGAAAGAGGAAGAGTGAGGATTTGATCGAGGGACTCGCGCTCATTTTCCAGTCTGGCTTGACCCCCAGGAAGCCGCCGAAATTGGACAGGCCAACTCTCGATCCGGAGTCAGGAAGCTTCTCAAAGATGGTCACATGTGGGTGGATGCGTCCGGGCATGACTGACAGATGTAGCATCATCAAACCCACTGTCATCCACTCTCGAGCCCGTACAAGGGATCTCCACGCCGCCAAGCGTGCCGGTCGACACACTGGTTACGGTAAACGAAAGGGTACTGCCGAGGCTCGTATGCCCACAAAGGTGCAATGGTTGAGACGAATGAGGGTTCTGAGGAGACTCTTGAAGAAGTACAGGGAGGGAGGAAAGATCGACAAGCATCTGTGAGTGAAATCCCCATTGAGGATAGCGGGTCAGCCCAAGTCATCATTCTCGCTGACGCCTTCTCCTAGCTACCACACTCTCTACCTCGAAGCCAAGGGTAACCGATTCAAGAACAAGCGAGTTCTCATGGAGCACATTCACCGAGCCAAGGCTGAGAAACTCCGAACCAAGCACATCCAGGAACAAATGGAGGCTCGTCGTGTCAAGAACAAGGCCATGCGAGAACGCAAGGCCCAGCGATTGGCAGAGAAGCGACAGGGCTTGTTCGAGGTCGAGCGCGAGGAAGAGGTCAAGGAGTAGACCGCTTGTATTTATGCGAGGTTGCATGGTCTTTGGATCGCAGGGGAATCCGGGCGTGGTTATTGGCTACATGTGCTAGTCTAACGTGGACTCGAGGTTACTACTCTAATATCGACTTGAGATTCGTATCTGCTGATCCTCGCTCCAATGCCTGAGGTTGATTTGGGCCTGGTCTCCACCCGATCTGAGGTCAGCATGGAACTAGCCCGTGACATACCATGAAAACAGCTTGAAACGTAGCCGGGACGCTACCCTCTTCTTTGGAGTACAATTCTTGAGGTCAATGGATTGTAACGGATCGTACATACCTCGATAGATAGACTCCGCTGCGATGAGGACGTCACGACTGATCATGGCTTTTCGACCCAATATGGCATTACTCTCGCCCATGTCGCGGAGATCGGCTATCAATTCCCACATGGATGGGTAGTTGATCGTGATGTCCTCGACGTCAACTGTCGTGAGCGTGAAGCCCGCTCGATTAAGCAATGACGGCGCATCGGTAGGGTCTACGATCAGCGACGCAAGATCCCAAAAGAGAACCCTACTGATCATTGGCGAAACGCGGTTCGCCAATCCTCCATGACGCTCCTGCTCAGCCAGCTGGAGCGATGTTCTCAGTTCAAATAGGGTATCTCCACCCAGGACTGCGCCAATGAACACCCCGTCCGGTTTCAAAAGGTGTTTGATCTGGGTCAAGCAGCCTAGACCGTCAGCTGTAGATGACATGGACACCTCACCGACGATGTCTCCGACCCAATGTAGACCACTGGCACTAACAACAGCGTCCACCTTGTCTCTCAGAGCATCCATCGTTGGGTCAGCAAGCAGATTCGAGGGCAGAGTTTGTATGCGTTTCGTCGGGACTGTCATCAGCTAGCTCCTCGTTTTGGCCTTACGAGGCAATTCGTCCCTATACAGCGCCTCGCCTGACTATCAGCTAAGACACCTATACAATGACATACGGCTCTGCTCGACCATCCACCATTCTCTCTTCTCATCTGTAAAGGCTGTATCTGGTCCCAAGACCTCTTGCAGTACTCTTGTCAATTGCCCAGCGTGTGAGCCGATTTCGACAATACGATTTGGTGGTGTCCTGAGATCCTAACGGTCGGCTCAATCTGACATGACTTGAGTTCTCACCTCGACCCGATCGGCCAGGCGCTCCGCTAGCTCTTCACGAACATAGTCTATGAGCGATGATGATCCCTCCTCGTTGAGCCTGATCACGGCTCGATCTCGTTGTCTCGTCTTTGACGTCTCGTCAAACACCTCATACGGTGAAGTCGAAGGACTCGAGGAAACGGTGGCGTAGTTGGACCGCGAGACTGGAACGGACAGCCGACGACCGGGAGCACGAAGCTGACGAGCTAGTCTCCATGCACCTCTCGACGTGCTGATGGACATCCTGGGACTCGTCTCGCGATCCTCACTGATTCCATGTCCAGCTCAACATTTCATCATCCGGCGCCGAAAGGAAAGCGTGGCGGATCGAATTCAAGTGTGGCATTTCTTTGGGTAAAATGTGGCAAAGTCCCCTTGACTTATTCTTACACATGCACCGTCGTCTCAACGCCTCGAGGCCATGAGCAGGACGGAATCAGCCCAAGCTCTATCATCCGATGTTTTGCATGTAGAAGAGGGTTGAGAGGAAGAGGGCGCAAATCGTGCTTAGAACGGACATCTGATACCTACAGGATTGATCAGGGTTGACCAGCTATCTTCAGGAGGTCTAGACCGAAGATTATTGTTGTCTTCATAGCAAAGTTCAGCCAAGGGATGGACAGCCATCGTCGACCATCTGTGGTACTCATGCGCAGAATATAGTCGGAGAGATCCATGAGGCGGAAGTCGAGTTGATCTGACGCGACCTTGTCCAGCCGACGACGCATTCGGCTCACTCCCGTGACACAAGTCTCTTCAACCCCGAAAAGCCATAAAGAGGATCATCACCGTCTCAAAGAGGGAATCTTCTCGCGAGAGTCTTGATCGGAAGCTTCAAACACAGGTCAGAAAGGAGCACATTGCGACGCACAAAATGCATGTGCACATTCTAGGGTTTTGTTGCTTTACCTTTTTTTTTTTTGTTTCCTAAAAACTCATCCACAGTCCTGGTCCCGAGACTTTGGATTCGAAAAGAGTTTAGATCTCCGCCATACACTGCGACGGTGACATGACCACGTCAGAGAGCTTCGGTGCCAATCCCGCGGCGTAGCCGGTCTCCTCAAACTCGGAACGTTTTGTGCTGAATGATTTGTCAAACGCGCCTAGCCCTGACACCTTGTGACGGGACGGTACCACATTTTTTTCATGTTTAAAAATTTTTGAATCTTTTTGGGGGTGCCACATTTTTTTTTAAAAAAAATACTTTTATATTTTTTGGTTGCTTGTGGCATTTCACGTCCCTCGGAGTAGCTCAGTTGGAAGAGCGGTGAGTTATTTTCAGCCTTCCCTGCATGCTGTATAACATACTGACGTCGTTAGTCGGACTGTAATAGGAGATCCGCAGGCCACGTGTTCAAATCACGTCTCTGAGATTAGCTTTTTGCTGCAGAAGAGCGTTTTTCCGCGTCGTTTCATTCTTTTTTTTACCTTTGGTCTGAATTGTTCAGGAGGTTGGGCAAATACTTGTATGTCAGAGTGAGTCGATGTTGTCAAAGTGGGTCGATGTTGCTCATGTCAGAGTGGGTCGCGGTTGCGCAAGTCTGAGCTGAGCACGAAATGGAAAGGACAGAGGAGGATTTAATCCATGAAAGATGAGAGAATAATGTTCTGCGGCAGAGGTTGCTGCAAATACTTGTATGTCGACAACGCAAACTAGATTGGACCGATGAATATTCAATCCATGAGAGAATCATCATCTGCAGTATGTGCTTATATCTATGGAATGGCTTGCAAAGAACCAAATGATCCTCCGTGATATAACTCGTCCAGCCGGTATGTGGCGACTGAGTTTCTGTTTCATCGAAAGCTCCGCGGAGCGGATAACTTGGGCATGTCATTGTTATGAGAATGTAATGAAGCCGAGCCGGAACGTGAAGCGAGGAGAGACCCGCCAAATGGATGGGAGGACCAAAGTCTCAATTGTAAGAATGGTGGCGCAGAACGAGGAAGCCTCTGCAAATGTGGCGGCAGGAGTTGATTGAAGGTGCCACGGCTGGGTCATTCCAAGTTGGACGTCACAGGATTCGCCTGTTCTATTTGTTCGGGCGACACGCATGTCAGGTGGACCCATCAAGCCAGAGGCGTGTGAAATCCCGGCCTTCAGGTGGTCCCCTGCCCTGTCACCATACCTATAGACTCCTCTGATAGTCGTGACAGTCACGTCACTTCTCGATGGTTGCATATAGTCAGTGCAGTGTCCAGGGAAGGATGTGATCTACATGTATATTTTGAAATCTGCTTACAAAAGTCCAACTGAGCTACTTTGACTATAATGAAGAGACAAACTGTGTATGATCGCCAGGCCCGAGGGTTTTGCCACCCAGCTGCGCAACCATCCGGCGAACTTTAATTTATATTTCGCAGCCGCCACGCAAGCGTTGGACGCCCAGCATCATCGGTCCCGAGGTGTGCGCTCTCTGCGCAGTCGGACTGGGATGTATTTATGACGAGTCGAGGATGGGGTCAAGGTATTCTCATCCTGCATCTTATTTCCAACCATGGTAGATAATTCTGAAACCCCCGCTGAGCAAGGCTACGACGTTGTTGAGAAGGTGCCCACCGAGGCCACTATTGTGGACGACCAAGTGAGGTTGGGCACCGAACAGCTTGAGCGGCTCAGTCTACGTGAGCCGAGTGGCACTCCTCAGCCTGGTGGACCCAAGGACCACAAGAAGCACAAGAAACATCGCCGAGGTTCCACCTCCAGTTCTTCGTCCTCTTCGAGCAGCTCTTCGGATTCGTCCAATTCGTCGTCGTCAGACTCAGACTCCACCAGCAGCTCGTCTGATGGCATAACCTACTACATGCAGTACAAGGGCAAGAAAACCAAGCTCTTCAAACACAAATTCCCCTTCTTTGGTCCGCCGAAAGGCAAGGGCCATAAGCACGGGCATGGCGGTCGCGACCGACCTCCCAAGTGGGTTCGACGCATGATGGCAGATCAGTGCGGTCCGCAATTTGCTGCGCATCCTGGCGGACTTCATGGGTTCGGAGGACCTCGAGGTCCTCCTGGCACTTGTGGTCTCTTCGACCCGCACTGGCATCACGGACACAGCCTTGGACCCTTTGGCGGACGAGGTGGCTTTGGAGGCCGAGGTGGCTTTGGCGGGCGCGGTAGAGGTATGCCTCATGGCTTCCATCACGGCCCTTTCGGACGTTATGGCCATCATTTCGGAAACGAAAACCACATCCCTCACCCGTTCGGCGACCCCTCTGTCTATCCTCCAGGTGAAGAGCTCTCTGGCTCTTCGTCCGAATCGGACGGTCACTCAGTCCACAAGGAGAAGGAAGGACCTGCATCTCCTCGTGGCTCGCATGCCCCGCCCGTTCATCACATGCCCGCACCCCCGCCTCCGCACGGCAATCCGGGACACGGTCGACACGGACCTCGACACCACGCCCACGGTCGCCATGACCACCATCATCACCACGACGATCACAGACGTGTTGCCCATCACGCCGACCATCAGGCACAACGAGCGCAACGCCATGCAGAACGCCGCGCTCGACACGCTGAGCATCAACATGAGCGCGCCCAGCGGGAACACGATCGACACCTCAGGCGAGAGGAAAGGCACAGACACAGGATGGACAAACATCACGGAAAGATGGCTAAACACTGGACGTCCGGACAAGAGGGACGAGCTCCCTCTGGCACTCCTGACCCTCACCCTTGGGTCGAAGAGTCTGTGCCCCAATACCTCTACCACCAAGGCTACGCGTAGTCACTCAATCGAACACTCAAACCAAACATCAAGGACAATCCCTCCTATCACTCTGATCAGCTCTAGCCGAGTTGGGGAGTTCAGCTACGCCACGGGATGATATGCTTCGCAGGGACTGTGGCGTAAAGCTCCCAAGGAAGAGGCGAGTCAAGGCAAGGTATTCCGTAGCAATGTAGAAAACGTCAAATTCACAAAAACAATATAAAACACAAAAACCCTTAGACGATGTACATGCATTGTGTGCATCGCAATAGCTCGAGCTCTTTCTGATTGATGCAGAGACATCCACTAACATGCTTCAGTCGTACGTCATCTTTGCCTGAAATAGGATGACACCCGGCACTCGGGCCGAACATCTACCTTTTGTACCTTGTTCCTGATCTTCAGAACAATGCCCGTGTGTGTGTATGCGCGTGTATACCTTTTTCGGTTTGTCACAAAATTTCACACAGCCATCTCCGTTCGGGACCAGCTGTACACGTCTGTTTCGTTCACACTCACCCGTCAGCTGTTCTTGAATGGCGTCCTCATCTCCGTAGCGATGGAGAGTCACAATCCGTTCCCAGTGGTACCCACCGGATACCTCATCGGGTCGTACTTTGCAGTGAGTTGATCCGCAAAAGATCGAACACTGATCATCAGTGTATGCTCTACGGTCTCCATTTGACCCAGATCTACCGCTATTTCTCGACGTATGAGGAGAGCTTCTTCCAGCGATTAAGGGTAGTATGGGTGCTGCTCCTGAGTACAGGCCAGATGGTCATCATCATGTGGACCGGCTGGCGATATTTCAGCAAAGGCACCGAGAATCTCATGGTATGGCAAGAGTTCCTCGTACCCCTCTCGGTTCAAGATGGTCTGGTACCTCTCATGGGCTTCACGGCGCAACTCTTCTTTGGGCATCGGGCGTGGGAGTTGACAGGTCGGAAAACGTGGTTCAGAGTGCTCGTATTCATCATTCCGACCATTACTTTGGGATTCGGCTTTGGGTGAGCATCCAAGGCATCCGCTCCGCTGACACTCAGTCTGGCCATCTCTGCACGTCTTTGGGCTAATGATCCATGGCTATCTGCTGCAGAGTGGGCCGAAAAGACCAAAGTCGTCGGTATTCCCTCTGAGATCGTCGCCATCATATGGATGGCTCTGTCCGCATTCACCGATGGAGCCATCACGTTCATCCTCATCTACAAATTCCGTTCGCATTCCTCTCGGTCCCCTCGACTGGCCGCGAGACTCGTGGCTTTGACTTTGGAAACCGTCCTTCTCACTCACCTATGCGAAGCCGTCCTCTGTATCATCTATCTCACCTCCCCTATAGCCCATAGGACCCGCTCGAACATGTTTTGGATCCTGTTGGAGGTGACCAACGAGCTCTACGCGCTGTCGATTCTCTTCACCATCAACTCGCGACGCCAGCTCAAGGAAATGACGCGATCCGGAGAGGTCTCCACCTCAACCGGCCAGGGAGAAAGCATGTGTGTCGATTTTGGAGTCAGCGGCGTTGAGCGCAGGGTTGAAGGGTACCAGGGCGACACACCGTTTGGTGTGCAAATGTCCGATGTCCGAGTCAACTTGTACAGCCCTGAGAATCAGGCCTACGGCGGCATATACAGCCCTGAGGCTTCATCGAACGGTAGCAACAGTCAATCCAGTGGTAGTGAAACGAAAGCAGGCACTCCCGGGCTGGAAATGGGCTTTGGGCAGAGCGATTATGCGTTCTTGCCCAGTCTCATGTCTCGGGGGGCGAGTGACTCGACTAACGGTGGCGTTATAGACTTGCCAAAAAAGGGGCAGTAGAGAAGTTGTATGCACTAATTGATGATTGCAAAACTTTGCAGCTTCTCCTCGATAGATGCCTTGATCTCTGGTTCACAGAAAGCCATCCTGATCGCTTGTCGGGAGAGTTCGATCAGGTCCTTCCGATCCAGTTGAAAGTACTGCGAAGCGAGTAGATGCTCCTCGCTGTGAAGGCTACCGAACACTCCCACGTCATCCGTTCCAAGACTGACTGGACTTGAACCGCCCCACCATTGCCGGAAGTGGTGATCGGAGAAGCTTCCGTCACTAGGCAACATGCCGGCGACCACGTTGCAAGTCAGGCATAGTTCAACACCGATGCCATGCCGCTGTATGTCTCGTCGGAGGGCCTCCGGGACATGTATGACGTGTCCGAGCCGCTGTGGACGCCAACTCAACTGCTCTTCCAGTATCTCTCGTGTTGAGCTCTCAGGGACCTCTGCAAAGTGCACAGTGATGCCTAGGTCATGCGCTGCGGCCTTGTTGAAAGCGTTTCTGAAGATACTGCGGTCGACTGGCTTGTGCGGGTCTCCGCATAGATCCACTCCAACGACTGGCTCGCCGTCCGCCCGCAAGCCAAGGGCCATCTCAACGATACTCATAGCCTTTTCCGCATCATGCTTGGCTTGATCGATCGAGAGAATGAGTCGAGTGGTCATAGCCTGTGTAGTGTTCCAATCCTTGATAACGGACAATATTGATCGGACATAGTCCTCTGACGTGTTGGATCCCATTGCACGCGGCGTCGTCCGGAGCTCAAGGTAGGCCACGCCATCGGTTTGGAACTGCTCCAGGACAGCACGCGTTGCGAATTGCAGCGATGGGATGGTCGAGACCAGATGATATATATACAGGTTGAAATGAGCAAAGAAGCTTGAATATCAGCGGAGATGTGCATATGCAACCCTTACGATCCTATGCTCTGACCCGTCTTCGCATCTGCAAGCGCGAGCCGAGGTTCTGCGACCACGCTGGCAAAGTCTGGCGACTCCGCTACTCTCTGCTCCCATATCTGCTGCAAGATTGGTCGAGTGATAGAGCCGGTTAGATGAGCGTGAAGCTTTATTTTAGCGCAGTTGCACAGGCGCTCTCACCTCGACCTTTGGTAGTCGCCTGCAGAACTGTACATCGGGCATCATCTTAGTGCAAATCGTTCAGACCCCCCTACGTGGGTGCCACAAGTTTGCTGGAATCCCACGTGCAATCTTGACGTGGCATTACCACTTGGTCCTACGTCAATGATCTCATCACTCATTCACCGGGTTTCAATCTATTCATTCCTACTTCATCGATGCCGTCCCCTACTCAACAGCTGTTTCCGACCAATCCGACGATGGAAGGAGCAACGGCTACGGCGTCTTCGTCTCGCCCGAGAAGGAGCGTCCGAATGTTTTCCTCGATTCCTGGCGAGGATTCGAGCTCGGATGATGAGCCTCGCGCAGCCAAAGCTGCAGACTTTGAAGGCAAGCCTGCCAATCTGAACACAAGTTAACCCTCTCAGAGTCTATGCATGCTCGACAGCAATCAGCGAGTGCCACCCCTTCTCGCCTTCAACCAATGACGGCTGCTGTTCCCAAGCTCGTGCGCGCCTCCAGCTCGAACCGCACGAACGGAGTGACGAATCCCTCCTCGAGCTATCGTGATTGGCGCAACAGACAGGCATTGAGGCGCAATCCAAGTTCGAGATCATCTGCAACATCGTCAGCAGCTCCCTCGCGGGAAGAAGTGGCTCCTTCGTACCCACGAAGAGGGTATGTGGACTCTATGGACCCAGACATTCACTCGGATGGTCGTGATCGATACAATCATTTTGATGATTGGAGCTCTGACGATGAGGAAACACAGCACCCAGGGCCGAGACCTGCAGCCACGGCACCGAAGATCGACACCTCGATTGCTAACCCTCCATTGCCCTCCACTCTCCCCAGTGTTCCGTCCCTGATCTCTCCAGCGCCACCACCACCCGACGCTCTGGACTCATCCACCGTCCATGATAGAAAGGGTTGGCAGAGCTTCCTGGCGTCTGTCCTAGGTGGTGACGTCTTGCAAGGAGAGTCCGTCAGGATTGGAGAGGAACGAGGTGTCGATGAAGCTTTCCGTCAGGATCTGGGAAGAAGTCTATGGTGGCAGATCCGCGCCAAGCTCCGGAGGAGAACGGAAGAAGACGAGAGGAGACGGACCCAGGAACGTCGGTCTAGACTCGAAGACCGCGTACTGGAAGAAATCGACTCTTTCGTCGTCAAATCTGGCTCTGAAGCGTCGACTGTGGATCCTACAGCCGATGAAAGGACACAAGAGAGCGAGATTGGAGCTCTCGATCAAGTCAACTATGCACTGCAAAAGCTCAGCCTAATCGAATCTTTGTATCCAAACACCCATGCTTTCCGCGAGGCCAAAGCTCTCTATCGAGCAGACCACTTTCAGGCCAAAGTAGAAGTCATCACGTCGTGGTCGACCATCGTCACTGCCTTGCAGGCACAGCTCGCCATCTTACAGAAGTGGACCGGAACAGATGATCTCGACGTCACTCGGCCCAATACGACCAAAGAAAAGGCCCTGGTCGGTAAGAGCAGGTACCATCCCTCGGATGGCCAAACGACGACAGCTGCCGGAGATCAGGCTGCCGACGATTCGACATTTCTTGAACGTATCATGAAAGAGGACAGCCTGAAGCGAACATTCAGCAAGCGTATCTTCCGCGACCTCGACAGTCTAGTTCTCAACGCCAAAGAAACGGTCATCCTGCATTCTGACATGTTTGAAGCTGTCCACCTCCCCGATTTTACCTACGAACTCGTTCGTCTCATAAGCTTCCCCTGCAAGCTCATCATTGAGATCCTCAAGGTCCGACTCGATGCGGCAAAAAAACTTAGCGATCCCAATCTGATGGTGATTGACGACATGATCGACAGCTTTAGGTCCATTCTCGAGATTGCAGTGGACAACAGGAGTCAATACGATGATCTCACTGCACCGGATGAGGCAAAACGATGGAAGATCCCAGCATGTCTACCGCCAGAGTACGATCAAGTTCTGCTTGATGGTCTGAGGACATTTTTCCGTCTCTTGCAATTCAAGCTGCGCAAACACGATCATCGAATGGCTCTCCTGGAAGTTGAGGTGCTTGAGATGCACCTCGAGTTCCTGCATACGATCGCTCAATCCATACCAGGCGGGGACCTGGTCGTCGTGGAAAGCTTTTGCTCGCTCACCAATCGCTTACTTGGTAGGACGTGCCACTCGTTCGAACGTCAACTTCACATTCCTGCTCCAATCACCGACATTCATTCTCAGAGAGCTGTCACCGACCTGCGCATGCAGCGCAATCCTATCACCGCAGAAGAGCGCAAGATCATGAGCCCCGGAGCCATGTTGAGCTGGTACAGCAAGATGCTCGATGCTGTCCGTATGCGTTATCGTAAACTTCAGCGGTTTGCTCGAAAACTTGCCACTCGTTACGATAACTCTGCCGACTACTCTCTCGAGCCCGAAGATGTGATCGACTTTTTCGACGTCATGCAGGAGACTGGACACATTCTTATTCACTCCGCTGAGATTCCGCAAGGAACGTATATACTTGCGGATGGCTTCCTGAAGAACGAACCTGAGCAAGTCAAGCTCTTGCTTCAGAGATCATTTCTCTTCAGTGATTCACATCGGGTTATCTCTCGTCGTCCCTCGGATAACGCCGGTCTCGAACACGAAGACGCCGCAGAAGAGGACGCGCTCGACTTGGCGAGATACCTCTTGGTCGTTTCGACTATGCAGCCGTTCATGTGGACTGGAGTGGTCATGGTCTTCCAGGACAAATTTGAATATACCGACCTAGAAGTCGAACAAGACCGTATCCGCCTCATTGCGGACGGACCTGCGCAGCGACTATCCCTTTGCAAGAGAGTCTTCATGGACGCCCTGAGCGACGAAGACGACGAGCCATTGTTTGGGATCGACTGCCTAGTAGAGGCTCGTGCGCACCTGCCACGGATACAGCGGCAGCTGGAGAAGATCGCTAAATCGAGTTATCATCTCAGCGAGCTCTTCATCGAGTCAGCAGTCCATGTGCGTGAAAAGTTGGGCAACGCCGCAGATTCCCAAGACATGATGGAGAGCTGGTTCCAGTTCGCTTCTGAACACGGTATACGACACGCCAGTCATGCTGAGCCTGTCATGCGCGCTCAGTTTGTTCGGCTACTTATGCGTTTGGCTATCGCATGGTGCTCATTCATTTGCGACAGCTGTGATCCAACACAGCGCAAGACATTTCGGTGGACTGTTATGGCGCTACGAACGACCTTCTCTGTGACGGATGGCGACAATATCCTTCAACTGGATAGAGAAGAATTCGAACTGCTGAAAAAGTCTGTCGCGGCTCTCATCTCGCTGTTAATATCCCATTTCGACATTCTAGGTGCAAGGGGTACAATGGAGGCAAAACGCGAATCCGAAAAGGCCGAAGCGATGAGACGGATCCAACGAGCTTCAGAGAGTATTGAAGATTTGATCGTCCCGCGGGGATCATCGCCTTCGGGCGAACGACTCACAGAGCGCAGTCTGCGTCTGACTCAAGAGGACCGATTGCGATTGATCGCGGAGCTTGAAGCAGCCCGTGAAGGTATGAAAGGCGAACAGCATCTTGTAGGACAAGTTTTGGACGAGCAAGTTTCCGAAGACCGGGCTTTGGTATTCCTCGCCACGTCAAAATCCAACATTGCTTTACGTTGGCAGCAGGGGCAATACATCGGTGGAGGAGCCAATGGAAGCGTCTACATCGGATTCAATCTCGATTCGGGAGCTGTCATGGCCGTCAAGGAGATTCGTGTACAGGATTTCAGTAATTCCCCCGTACTGTACAAGCAAATCAAGGACGAAAGCGACGTGATGTCCATGCTCAATCACGCCAATATCGTGGAGTACTATGGCATCGAAGTACATCGAGACAGGGTTTTCATCTTCCAGTGAGTTGTTCAAAGTAAGCGCGGCTAATCGAATCAGGGAGTACTGTGAAGATGGCAGTCTTGCCGACCAACTTGCTCACGGACGCATCGACTCAGAGGAGATCATTATCTGGTACGCTTACCAGATGCTGCAAGGTCTTCAATACCTCCACGGAAAGGTGAGCTGCGGCAGAGGCCAAGTCTGACGTCTCAGGGAATCGAACATCGTGATGTCAAGCCGGAGAATATCCTTATGACACGGACCGCGCTCAAGTTTGTCGACTTTGGGGCCGCCAAAGTCGTTGTCAAGGGAAATCGCACAATGGCAAAGACGCGTGCACTTAAGACAAAAGCGCCCGGCGATGGTCCAGGAGTGATGAATTCCTTCGCTGGTACTCCAATGTAAGCAAAAGCTCTGGAATCGCCGCTCATGGTTCAGGTACATGGCACCAGAGGTCATCCGTGCCACAGAGCGCGCCGGCAAGCTCGGTTCGGCCGATATCTGGTCTACAGGGTGTGTGTTGCTTGAATTGGCGACAGGCCGAAAGCCCTGGAGTAATTTGGACAATGAATGGTGAGTTGCCAGGGTGATTGAGCTGACCAACACAGGGCAATCATGTTCCATATTGGCATTGCTACACAACATCCGCCTCTCCCTGAACGTGGTGAACTATCAGACGCGGGTATATCATTCATCGAGCGATGTCTCATGTTGGATGCGTCCGAACGACCTACTGCTTCAGAGCTTTTGGAGGACCCTTGGCTTCAACCGGTCTACGACCAATTTGAGGTGAGAGCGAACGCAAGTGTATGCTGATTATTCTCAGCAGGAGCAAGAAGCCATGGATGGCATCTCGGCAACCGTTCCTAGTGGCACCTCGACAATGGTCGATGAACCTACAGCCAACGAGATGTACGTCAAGCACCTCGCGCACATCGCAGAAATGGCAGAAGAGGGCAGCAATACACCTGGAGACGTTATGACTCCTTTCTCTGTAACTCCAGATACGACGTCTCCACCTCCCCCCGAGACTGATCCTGAACCGTGACCTAAATAAATGTTGTACTAAATAGCACTGTATAGTAATTGGTAGTACTGTGTCGTTATGGAACCCAAGAACAACGTATATAATTCTGTTTCGACAACTCATTACTGCGCAGCGAAGCGTCGTTCACGGTCCCAAGCTCTCATTTCTTCGTCCAGTTTCTGCTGGGTTACGCGTTCTGGTCTGGGTGCTTTCGGCACTGCAGCTTTGGCTTTTGACGCTGGCTTGTCAACATCCATAGCGTCCTTATTGGCCGCTGCTTTCGCCCGTCCAACCTTGGTCGCCCCTCCGCCTCCTCCTCCAGAGATAGTTCGAGCGTTTTTAGCCTTTGTACTGGCCAATGTAGGAACTTTAGGACCACTGATTCGCGAAGAGAGAGCATTGCCAGGCGACTTGTTTTTCAGATTGGCCCGTTGTTTTGCCAGCAGACTAATGGAATGAGCGCGACGGAGAAAAGTACGCAAGACTCACGCTGACTGACTCGCCTCGCCTGGCTTACCGATTCGCTTGAGTAGCGAAAGACCCGGAGGTTTGTCTGATCCTTTGGTCGCAGCTTGAGTTTTGCCTTTTGGCCCTGACTCCTGCTTCGCTTTAGGAGCTGCCGGAGCTGCGGGAGCAGGCGGTTGCATGGGGTAAGCTGGAATGGAAGCGGATGGGAAGGATTGTGTAGGCGCGAGCATATGTTGAACGGTCAGACGCCAAGCTTGTAAAGGCGGATAAGCTTGTGACTGCGAACTGATCAGATAGCTCACTATCGTCAATGAGGCGTCCTGAGAACCGCCTTCTCAATCTCTCTGCATCATCCTCGTTCGACACGACGATCAGCGCCATGCCCAGCGGTACATTATCTGGCGAGTGAAAGTATTGCACAGAACTAGTGTTAAGGGAGATGTTCTCAGATTCGAGAAGAGACTTGATACGATCAGAGGACGGAAAATTGTAGCTTGGACTCACCATTAGGTCTTTGTTGCCGATATCTGTGGGCAGGCCACTGAAAAACAGTTGATAGCCTTTAGACGCCATGGCTGCTCCAAAGGTAGAACGAGTGATTGGATCGGCTAAGCCGGATGGAGCTGACTGCTTCGTCGAGGAGGACGCAGAAAATGGGTTGGAGTAATTGAACGACATTGTTGTGAGATACTCTGAAGAAGATGAACAGGCGCGTGAAATCGCATTCAATGTTACTGATAAGCATCGTGACGTGGCGGCAGGAGAAGATGACTAGCAACAGCCCTCATATGCATGTACTGGCATCAATCACTTCCACTGGGTTCACCACAGCGTCCAGACGTACGACAAACTCCCACTATTACGAGGGTAAAGCTCGCATTCAGGCCTCTCGCTGGACTTATTGAAATCCGTTGACCTTGTATGCTCCGCCATTCCCATTCTTGACCTTGTCGTTGATGATCCACTTGGCATCCCCTTTCTCCCACATCTTCTCCAGCGTCTGCTTGTCTCGCAGCGTATCCATAGCCTGCCAAAAGCCATGATGGAAGAAGGCCTGAACCTCGCCTTCCTTGACCAATCGTTCCATGGGCTCTTGTTCAAACATTTCATCATCATTCGTGACTGCGTTGATGGCGACGGGATCGAGGACCATGAAACCTCCGTTTACCCAGCCGCCTTCGTCCTGAGGTTTCTCTTGAAACTCGAGTACCTTGTGATGCTCCAACCCAAGGGCTCCAAATCGAGCGACAGGCTGCACAGCCGTAATGGTTACTGCCTTCCCATGGGATTGATGGAATTCAATGAGAGCCGAGAGATCCACATCAGCGACGCCGTCACCGTACGTCATGCAGAATGTACGCTCCCCTTGTAGGTACTTGGCGACACTTCGAAGCCTTCCTCCTGTCCCAGTGCCAGATCCAGTATCGACCAATGTGACTCGCCAAGGCTCAGCGGTCGATCGATGGACGGTCATTTGTGGCTAACCGCTGCAATCATTCATGTCGATGGTGACGTCTGAACAAGTCAACAAGTAATCTGCGAAGTACTGCTTGATCATGTGGCCCTTGTAGCCTAGACAAATGACAAAGTCGTTGATACCGTGAGCAGAATAGATCTTGAGGATATGCCAGAGGATGGGTTTGCCACCGACCTCGACCAAGGGCTTGGGGCGAAGGCCAGTTTCTTCAGCCAAGCGTGTGCCTAGTCCTCCTGCAAGGATGACAGCTTTCATGGTGTCAGTAGCCTGAGTTTGGTAAGATAAGATGATGATCTTGGTGTTGGAAGAGAAATTGGAGGAACGGTGAAGGCAGGTATTATCCGTCTGGAGGAGAGTCGTCTTCACCTCGAAGATCAGGAATCAACGTTGCGGTAACGTTCCTTTCAGATGGCTGTCAGGCCTTCGGTTTAGACCTCTGACCAACCCGAGCTCCCAGTGCAAGGAAGGCTCTTCGCATGGCGCTTGATCCCCATCGATCTCAAACTCCATGGAGGGTCAAGCCTTCATCGAGATGACCTCGCGCCACAGCTATGTCATCAATACGTCAAGGTGAATCAACTGCATACTATCTCTTTGGCGGTGGCTCCTGACCTCCGGAGAGAACCCATTCGAATCCCTGTTTTCCCACACCTGCGTTCTTGCTAAAACGATCGATACTAGCTTGCTCTATCCGCCTGGCGACGAGGACAGTTGGAAATCCAGAGATTATCGTGGCGCGCTGGTGGAAGAGGGTGGATGTTGTGTACGCCCCTGGTCCCGGCACACCTGGCTCTGGAGGCGTAGCGGGCTGGTCTGTCCCATCCATGTCGGATGCAGGGGAGGTCGAAGAGAGTGCTTCGTTGGGATTTGGACCGTATGTTATGAGCTCGAGACATCTCCTACAAGCGATATGCACCGTCAGAGGGGGAGGCTTTGCATTAAGCTCGGACTTACACGTATTGCGCCAGACTAAGATTCACCGACATCATGGTCGCCTTTGGTATTGTCGGATCTATGAAGACGATCTCTCTGACATAGGCAACCGGGGGTAATGAGAAGAGCTGTGGACTGTCAGAGCTGCTCTTGAGTATCTCAGGCTAAAAATGACGCGTGCTCGCCTTGGTTATCCATTTTGGAGCACCCTGTTGAACACCTAGTATCCTTTCTGTTCGAATGATCCCCGTCTCTGGATCGACTGTCCGGTTTATGGTGTCCACCGAGTGGACATGGGTGGCGTAAGGATTGGGATACTTCTTGAAGATTGAAATGAGGGAGTGAACAGGAGAATAGCTGTAAGAGATGAGCGACGCCACTCCGACCCTCCCTCCTCCCCCTTTCCCCGTGCCTGAGACACAGAGTGCTCATAGACTCATAGACTAAGGATTCACTCACTTGTATGTAATGTTATTCTCGAAGACCTTTGGCATGGCCAGGTCGTTGCCTAAAGCACGGTCGTAAACGTGCGGATGATTCGAGCTGCAGAGGCGTGATTGACCAGATTATAAGAGTAGTAATAAGACGGAGCTTGTGCCCGCCACTGTGATCTGAGCTATCCAGTCTATATGTCTATGCCTCTATGCTTCACCTTGCATGAATGACCACAGAAGCAATGTCGCCAACCAACTTGATAGAATTCAGCACAACGTCGGGACCATATTTTTGAAACACACAGCTCTGAAAACTCTCAAACGTCATTTCAAGGATCGGCAATTGTCAACCGTGGGAAACCAGAAACCCTTAAGGATTTGTTTTCGGGTCGACCACAGGCCTTCTCCTCACCTTGTGGAACTGACAACACTGTCACCACAGGATAGAGATGATCAGACAGCCCGGGACACAGATCAAGTCGGTGGATCTCTCTCCCATAGATCGCAAACTCTGGCTGACTCGTCTTCCAGACTGACCAATGTGTCCATCGTCCGGATGAAAAAGGGAGGCAAGAGGTTTGAAGTGAGCTAAGAAGTGGTTCATCGGGAATCTTGGCTGAAGCGTTGTGCAGATAGCGTGTTACCAGAACAAGGTGTCTGAATTCCGATCTGGCGTGTGAGTATGGGACCGAGTTGTATGGTCTGCGGACTGATGCCAAACGTTGCGCAGTGAAACAGACTTGTCGGAAGTACTGCAAATTGAGCAAGTCTTCAACAATGTCCCAAAAGGTCAAGTGGCAAAGAAGGAAGACTGGCAGAAGGCGTTCAAAACAGAGGATATCAATAAAGTAATCGAAGAGGTAGGTTTTTCTACCTCCTTTGTATCCCCGCTCACGCTATCAGATTCTTCGCAAAGGGGATCTTCAGATCAATAATCTTGAACGGACTCAAAACCTTCAATCATTATCTAGGGAAATCTGTACGCTCGTTTCGGAGATGACTGTGGACCCAGAGACATCCAGGAAACACACAGTTGGAATGATCGAAAAGTCCATGTCGGAAGTTGGATTCAACGTCAAAGCGGATAAACCTGCCAAAGCTCAAGCGTTGGAATTGATCAAAAAGCTCAGCAGTGAAGAGAGTCCGTTACCTGTCAGGAGAGTCAGGATGAGGATCAGAATTAGCATGAACAGTAAGGACGGGAAAAGATGTAGGGAGAAGATTATGCAGGACGTGGAGGAGGTGGAAGAGGAAGATATGGGGACAGAGTGGGAGGCGGTGAGACGATTCAAGTCAACCGCGAGCTGATGTGTTAGATTGTCCAAATCGATCCTTCGGCATTCAGGACATTAACAGATCTCGTCAATACAGAAACTAAAGGCAAAGGCAGAGTAGAATCCATGGGTAGTGCTGGAGGCTAAAAATGCTCCCTATTCCGCGTCAGGTCATAGCATAGCGCTTCCATGTCCATTCTGTAGCCGTATTGACACCAATTCAAAACGAGAGAGAATAGTGTACATGCCCTTTCAAATTACTCCACCGTCAAGCGGTAACACTGTCAAAAAAAGAAGAAAAGGATCGGGGTGTCTATGAAACCGTGAGAGAGAAGACTGACTCTGCGAGAGCAGACGTTCTACTTGGACTCCTCCTTGACAGCCTCCTCCTTGGTCTCTCCCTCAGCCTTCTTGGAAGCCTCCTCGTCATCCTTCTTCCACTCCTCGAGAACCCGGAGAGCCTCATCAACCTTTTCAGTGAGGGCACTGGGCGACTCGATCAAGTGGAGGAGCTCTCCATTGTCCATCTCGAGAAGCATTCCAGTGATCTTGCCAGCGAGTTCAGGTTGTGCTCTGCAAAAGGCGGTCAGCTCGAGAAAACATAATCGGAGATTATATAGCTCACTCGGAGATGAGAGGGTACAAGGCCTCCCCAAGCATTTGCTTCTGGTCAGGCGCAGAAGCTCGAGCAAGGCTCTGTGCGTTGAGTCGCTGAGCACCTTGAGGAGCAGAACCGGCTTCAGGGTATCCCTGAGGAGGTCGCATGGGCATCTGAGCGCCTCGGGGAACGGCTCCAGCGGGCAGACCTTGGGGAGCACCAACGGGTGATCGACTGTTGGCGGTAGGAGCGGAAGTGGGAGGACGAGCGCCGACGTTGGAGGGTCGGACAGGGTAGTTCTGAGGCATACCGGGGTATGCCATTTGAGGTGGAGGCATGCCATATGGCATGTTCATTCCGGGCTGGCCAACAGGAGCGTACCGAGGCCGTGCCTGTTGCATCATTTGCTGAGGAGGGTATCCCATCATGGGTCCACGCATGCCGGGCATCATACCAGGTTGTCCGCCGTAGCCGTTCATAGGAGGGTAAGGGTACATAGGGGCGCCCATGTAGCCTGGAGCACCACCCATGCCTCCGGCGTAGGCGACGCGCTGGCTCTGTCGCTGTTGCATCTGAGACTCGAGGGCCTGTCGTCGGACATCCTTACGTTGGGCAAGCGCAACATAAAGGGGTTTGGTGCCGATCATTTTGCCGTTCATGTCCTGCACAGCCTTGGTAGCCTCATCAGGGGTGGAGTAGCAAACAAATCCAAAGTTCTGCAAGGGTCAGCCGATGTGAGCAGAGCAAGTACAGTCAAATTACAACTCACCCTCGAGGTTCCGTTCTCGTCCTTCATGACCTTGCAGCTGGTGATTGTGCCAAAAGTCTCGAATTCGGCCCGGAGACGGTCGTCATCCCATTCGTCTTACCATCAGCTTTACGTCGGATTGAGCAACTTACCATCAAGATTCTTGACGTAAAGATTGACACCGGCCGACTTGGCCTCATTCTCCATTCGCCTCTCCTCGTGGGCCTTGCGGAGCTCATCATCTCGCTCAGTTCGCTTCTGAGCACGTCCAACGTAGAGCTTCTTGCCCTTGACCTCCTTGTCGTTAAGCTCGTCAACAGCCTTGGTGGCGGCTTCGTGGGATTCGAAGTTGACGAATCCGAATCTGAATGTCAGCATCATGCTTGGTCTATATTGCTCACCCTTTGTTGACACCCTGCTCGTCCTTGCCTAAAGCGGCAGAGACAATGGCTCCGAAAGGTGTGAACAAGTCCTCAAACTCCTTGTCAGTCATCTCGGTGTCGACGTTCTTGACGAAGATGTTGGTGAACTGAGCTCGTTGCTCCTCAATCTTTGACTGTCGCTCCTTCTTGCCAACGTGAGGTCCGACATAGACCTTCTTGTCGTTGAGAAGCATTCCATTGACAGCCTTGATAGCGGCATCAGCGGCATCGTGGGTAGAGTAGTGGACAAAACTACACGAAAGAGAATCAGCACTGCAGGGAACTAGCCATACTCACGCAAATCCTCTGGATTTTCCATTCTCATCAGTTCCGACCTTGCACGAGAGGATTTCTCCGAAAGCAGCAAAGGTGTCGTGGAGAGCCTTGTTATCGATCGACTCATCGAGGTTCTTGATAAAGATGTTACCCTGACCAGTCTTTCGCAGAGCGGGGTCTCTCTGACTCCACATGATTCGACAAGGTCGGTTCTTGATCAACGAGTAGTTGAGGTGTTCCAAAGCTCGCTCTCCATCGGCAGTGTTGAGGTAGTTGACATAGGCGTATCCAAGGGATCGTCGAGTGACAGCGTCTCGACAAACTCGAATGCTACGGCAGTCAGTAGAGTCTCTACAGGTCAAGCTCACCTCTGGACGGGCCCAATCATGTTGAAGATTTCGAACAACATGGCCTCAGTGACGGTGTTGTCGAGTTCTCCGACGTACAAGCTGACTCCTGCACCGCTAGTTTGACCGGTGGTCGAAGTTGGCTGAGGAGCTGCGGCAGCCGCAGGCTGCGAGGCAGCAGAAGCGGGAGCAGCTCCATTGGTCTGAGGAGCGGGAGAAGTAGCAGATGCTGCTGCAGGCGAGGGACTAGTTGCGTCGGCCATTTTCAGCTAGAGGTTTTGTAGGATAGGAAGTTTGAGGATTGGGTATGTGAGAGAGATACTTGATGTCTCTGGATGGGATCGTCCACGTAGTTTGAGTATACTGCGTTTACGTGGGTTTTCTGAAAGGGCTTTGAAGAGCAAAGTCGTGGTGGACAAGAGGACAAAAGGAGAGACGACAAGACTTGTCAGCGCGTTTGACCATTTGCACCGACGTCTCTTCGCCACCACTCCTTGGACCACCCCCAAGTCCTCCGCGCCATGCTTCTCTCTACCCAATCGCATCTCCCCTCAACTCACCTTGTGAAGACTATGCTCCCTCTTCCAAAACGATCCTGTGGATGTCTTGTTTTTGAATGAAATGATAGGTAAAGAAGAGAAAAGGAGAGAAAAAAAAGAGAAAGAGGTTGCTCGGTGAGAAATTTTGATACAGAGCGGCAGAATAGAAAAGGGGGGAGTTTTGAGGGTGGCACCGGTGAGTGAGTGTGGCGGGAGATGGTCAGTCACACTTTTCTTATTGTTGTTCTCGAACAAGGTGGGAATGACATGCATAGCAGGTATAGGGTAAACTGGGTCAGCTGGCCCTCAGAAGCAAAAGGCAGAGGCAGCTATAGTCTTGATACCTGCCTCTGTAACATCTGCAGCTCCATCTTGTCGGCTCCTGCTTTCTTAGCCTCGCTGATTCGCTTCATCAATTCCTTCTTCTCGTCATCTTGAGCAGCCTTGAGGTCATCGTGCTCCGTGGCTTGAAGCAGGGTAAAATGGCGATAAAGGAAGAACACGATGGCAGCTGTGCTGAAGGGTGAGATCATCCTACAAATGACTCCTGAACGACTTTGCACTGACCGACACCAAGCCTCATGTCAACCGCACAAAGCAGGCCTCCCAGCATGGTCTGCAGGATCCCTCCGACCTTTTCATATCGCCTACGACGGGTGAGCCCCAGCGAGCTGATGTGAACTCACTCTTCCTCTTCCTTGCGTTGACGCTGTAATTTGAGCAATTCTAGATCCTTCTCAATCATATCTAAAGCATAAGGATTCTTCATCAACGATCTGACGTTGGCTGGATCCACCGGGGGCGCCATGAGCTGTTCGGCATCTTACAGAGTCAGATCGATGTCCATCCCAGGGAATCTCACCATCAGGAACGTTATCCCACCACAATGTGCCTTGTGCTTCCCCTGCTTTTGGTCTCAAGCCATCTTGAAATGGGACCAAGGCAGGTCGACCGGGACCCTGCATGGTCAAAAAGTAATTTTGCTGAAAGAGGTTACTACTTGGATCCTTCTTGGGATCGAGTTCACTTCCTCCCGAAACATGTTTCGGCACCGGGTCACCCACTCGCGAACTTGACGAAGGCAGACCTTTACTCTTGATATCTGATGACGAGAGGGGCTTCTTAGAAGACGACGATGACGAGGATGAAGAAGACGACTTTGAGGCTGCTTTAGCCAAAGCCTTGTTCCGGGTTCTCAGAGCCTCCTGCCGCGAGAGAACGTGGTAGCCAACGTATGCCACGATCACCAACATGATCATCGGAGGGGTGAAGAGGGGGATGGTACTTGTCCCGTCAGGCATTCCACCGAACACGGTGTGTGATTGTGAGAGGATAGCATATGGCAAGGAAGGGTTGTTAGCTGACCAGCTATGGGTCAGCTATGTCTTGTGTGAGGATGGGACCGACCGCACCAAATCCCATCACCAACAACACGGCAATGGCCTGTTCAAATGGACCAAATTTGAACAGCGGCTTCTCTTTGGCCTTTTTCTCTTCCGACTTGGACGGCATGATGCGAGGTCAGTGGAGTGAGGTTCGGCAAGCTTGTCGTCAAGGGTCAGTATCAAAGATTGCTTGAGGAGAACGCGCCGTGGTGAAAACCAACGAATGCCCCAGGTCGTCAAAGGAGGCCGTATTGAAAGGATCATCGTCACCATCTGCCTCTCTGACCGTGTCTAACTGTCCACGCTCCAGCGATCTGAAGTACATGTCATGATCCATGCATGGCGCCCACATCCCTATCACTCGTCTAGACCTATTCTGAGGCGTTGACTGGGAACCTGAGGCCAGAGTCAGTTGCAATCTGCCACACAGTCCGATGTCGACTCACTCGAAGTGGACGTCTTTTCCGGCAAGAGCCCGGTAGACGGAGGAGAAAGTGTCAAGCTTGTACTCTAGCAAGTTTTGCTCCTTGGCGTCAAGGAAGCTTTGATTCGAGTCAGACCGTCTTCTTATTGGATCAGAGACTCGAATCCTACTCACACTTTTGTCAACTTTGATCCGTCAGCAGCCACCCTGGTCCTCTTTCCAGTGATCTCGCTGGGCCAGACCAAGTCGTCGAGGATAGTCTCGTGAACGGCGGTGAGGGTACGGGATCTGGGTCGCTTCTGCTTGTGGGCGGTGGAGGAGTTTCGTTTTGGTTTAGGGAGGACTCGGCGCTGAGAAACAAAGACGATGTATTTGTCGGACAGCTTCTTCTCGAGCTCTCGTGTGAGTCTGAGCAGCAGTCGTCAGCGGAGAAGCAAGAGATATGGGATCCAGACGAGCGCATAGACTCTCCCCTCCAATCCGCAGGTCCCTGCAGGCCAGCAGGCCCGCTTGCAGCGAAATTGCACGCGACCTCTCCACTGACAAGATCCAATCCTTCAGATTGTCCTGTCCTACTCACCTCTGCTGGACCTTGTGGAAGGCCTTGACCATAGGCACAGGGACAAACACAACAACAGCCTTCTTTCCACCCTTGACATCGACCTCCTTAGCAGCGCTGATCTGCAATTGACGCAACTCCGTCTTCAAGTCGGGAACATTTTGCTCGAGGTCGAGCAGAGCTTGAGCGATCTGCTGCTCAATGTCGGTAGGAGGGGTTCTGGGCGCGTTGGCCGTTCTGAGGATTTTGGATTGCCAGGACATGATGGAATGGATGCTGAGAAGAGAGAAGGGGACCCTTGCCTGCAATCGACTGCTGCCAAAAAGTCTTTAGGCGAAGCCAGGCGTTGCTGCCTCGACACTGAGTGAACTCGGCGTTATTTTTAAACGCCGAACAGGCGAACATGATGAGGAAAGCTTTGGGATCAAATGTGGCACTCTTATCACCGACGAGAGCGATTGGTGTTCCCCTCGTTATCATCTGGTACAACGTTATGCATTCAGATCGATAGACGATGCATAAGCTGCGATCAATAGACACCTAAAAGGATCTCGGCATGCCTGTTTTGGGCTCAGCTGCGCGGGCTGGCGTGTGGAGTCGACTATGGAGCACTTATGTCACAGCTCTGAAAGAACGGCCAGTCCGGACCAAGATGATCACTGGAGCCGTGACGACCTTAGCCGCAGATCTTATCGCCCAACTGGCCATTGAGGGGAAGACAGTATTGCCGCGGAGCGCTGACAAGGAAGGCGATTCAGCTGAGAGAGATAACAGTTGGAATGTACGTTGTGTCTGCGATTCCCTGCTTACTAAGACAGGCTGTCCGTACCCTTCGTCAAACATTCTGTGTGTTCGATGTAGTCGAGTTAGTCACTGACCCGTCTAGACGGCGGTGTCTTATTCGCACCGTTGGCTCATACGTGGCTTGAAATCCTGCATAAAGTGAAATTTGGGAACGCAGCGACGAGTGAGAAGTCGGCTCAAGCAAAGCCTCGATTTACTAATTCGCTTGTAGCATTGATCGCTCGCCTGTGCCTAGACTTCAGCTTGTGGTCCCCATTCGTAGTCTTTTGTGAGTCGATTGTGTTCGTCCAAAGTCCTCGAATTGATGTTTCAGGGTTCACCACCACGATGAGTCTTCTCGAGGGTAAATCGTTGGATCAAATAAGGCAAAAGTTTGAATTGGCAAGTCCTCGACCCTGGTACATAGCAGTGAACTGACTGGCCCCTCTCCCTTGCTCAGCAATTCTTCCCTACCTGGGGTCGAGCAGTCTGTGTTTTTGGACCTGCACAAGTCATCAATTTGACTCTCGTGCCTTTTCATCACCGCAATTTTGTATTGCAGTCGGTCGGCCTGAGTGAGTCTACAGACACGGCTATCGACGTTAGCTGAACGCACTTCAGCTTGGAACGTCTACCTCTCTTGGGTAAACAACAAGAACAACAGGACCCTTCAGACCATCGCTGCGCCAGTGTCCACGACGGCTGCGCTGGATGTTTGATCGGCGTTCCCGACATGATATGGATCTCATCCCCAAGATTGCTGCCGGACCCCTCGTGCAGTACGTACGGCTTGAATCGGCAGAGCAATCGTCACGCAGCTCAGGGGCGCTCCAAGTGCATCCTTGCATCTTCAGGGCCCGAAAGACACTATGCGCGACCGGGCACAAAAGAATCGCGGCAGCCAGCAGTCTCGCTGCATGCTGCAGCCCGAGGTTCGGCATCGGACTCCGAGCCAAACCAGACCCGCTGTTAATAATAGCTATAATTATGCATATCTGGTTTCCGATCGTTCCTCAAACTGTCAATCTCCTCCCGAGTCGATATCTTCCGACACGTCTAGTACGGAGTCGGCGCCCCGACAATAAAAGACATATGATTTGTCAAGATCTCGCCATGTAATTGTTTTCATTCCTGAAGCCTTGACGTCCACATTGCATTACACTTTGCGCTTGATCACCATGGCCACATTCGCAACGGCGCAGAAGGTCGGCATCTTTGGAAGACTATGGTCGTCTTACTTGGTCGCCCTGAGGGTTCGACCGATACGGACACGCATGATCTCCGGGGTCATCACTGCTTCTATAGCGGACAGCATCGCCCAATTCGGCTTTGAGAAACGCAGCCTGATAGGGTCTGACGGAGACAAGTCCAAGTCGTGGGATGTCAGTTGGAATCCTCCATTATTGACAGCAGCTGACCTAAGTTTAGGCCCTCCGAACGCTCCGCCTCTGTACATGTAAGTAGAATCTTAGACTCCGATCGTGCTGCAGTGTAGGATTGACTTTGCCCCAGATACTGGGATCCTGTTTGCGCCTGTGTTGTATCAATGGCTCGGCCTACAGCAGAAGGTGGTAGTTGGCGGCGCTGTCACCAGTACGCTCGCCATCACTTCCCTCATATCGTTCACGAGCTGAATTACCTTGCAGCCTTGTTAGCGAGACTTGGTATGGACTACACAATCTTCTTCCCATTCTCTGCGATCTGTCAGTGGCTTCGGAGGATTTTCACTCTTATTGACGGAACACAGACTTTCCAATAATGATGGGATCCCTGGAGGGTAAAAGCATAGACGAAATCAAACAAAAGATTCAACTGGTGGGATCAAGAGTCCCCTGCCCTCCGTGCGTACTGACAAGCTCTCACCAAGCAACTGTATCCAACATGGCAACGAGCTTGTCTAGTCTTTGGACCGACACAACTCGTCAATCTCACGCTGGTCCCGCCGCAACATCGTATACTGATGTTGCAGACAGTGGGCTTATGTGAGAGTGCAATCTTGAAGTCCAGAGCAAGAGCTGACAGAGGGATAGGTTGGGTTGTGTACCTGTCGTGGCTGAACAACTCTGCCAATAAGCAGCTGCATGAAGTGGCCTGACACGCCGTGGAAGGACGAGGGAAGACCCCAGATAGCCCTGCATACGTGAGATATCTGTTCAATGACCGTGCCTGGAGTAGGTGGAAGGATCTTCCACTGGAAAGATTTATCGAGGATACTGCCAGACATGCATTCGTAACTTACATCGTTTCCTCTAGTGGGACAACGGATAGGTCTAAGAAGTTTCCCCTTCGTTGCACTGAGATTCAGTTCAGCGCTGGCAATAGTACTGACTCCGAGATTATGCAATGTATTGGAAGTACAGATCTTGCTCGTCCGTCAGATCTCTCGACAGTAGGATCACATAGGGCAGCTCCTTCCGCAGACTTCTTGCTCCCATTGAGCCTCGGAGCCCCCCCGTGACCGCCCTCGCAGAAGGATGTAAGTCGACCCGCTAGCTCAGAATTGATCATGATTGACCTCTAACCATCATAGCTCAGACGCGAATCTCATGCCATCCGGAGCCAAAATACAAAATGCATCCGATTGGGCGTCGATTCCGTCATGGACCATTGCAACTCGCCCCGCCCGGCCCGGCGTATCATTCTCCCGTTCACGGGCCGGACACCCGACGGACCAAATGTCTCAACAAGATGTTATTAGTCAATGGCATGACATCCAGATCAGGCATCTTGATGTACATGACTCGACGAGCACGGTTACTATGCCCGTTCCCACCTTCTATGCGCAGTCACTGACAGAGCTGATCGCTCTTCGAGCTGGTGAGGCAATCTAGGTGACTCGATCATGCAATATTCACTGACATCCTTGCTTTAGAAAGTCAGCCAAACGACCCTGCAGTTTTCACTGGAGCAGCCGAATTCGGGGAGAAGCTCCTGTCCCTTACTTACTCCGACCTCTCCAAAGCGGTCGATCGATTAGCTCACCATTATGCCGATCCAGCACTGAATCTCTTACCTGCAGTCCCTGAGGGCCAGATCCCACCTGAACGAGTCGTTGCAGTCCTCACCTCAACAGCTATCGACGAGTCTTTACTTGAGATTGCTCTGGCCAAGATCGGTCTCTGTGGACTTTTGCTATCCGTCAACAACTCTACAGCAGCCGTCGCCCACTTGTGCAAACAGACCAATAGTAATCACTTGATCTATGGCACACGGTTCGAATCTGTAGCTCGAGAAGCTCAGTCCATGCTTAAGGATGAAGGATACGAGCTGCAACTCATTCCCGAGACCCGCTATCCCATTTGGGGTCCAGGAGGTGTCAGCGAAAGCAGCATCAACCCCTACACTCCTCGTCTACAGCCTAGCCAAGAAGTCAAGCGGACAGCTGTCATTCTCCATTCATCTGGTTCAACAGGGTTCCCCAAACCAGTCTTCATCACTCACTATGGACTCATTGCGAACCTCGCTAGCTCTATTCCCCAGCCAGGCTTCAGTGCTCTACCACTTTTCCATGGCTTCGGACACTTCTCCATCTTCCGGTGCATCTATCATGGAAAATCATTTACCCTGATGCCCCCGCATTTACCCCTTACATCCGCGAACATTTGTCGAATCATCAAGGCGGCTCCTGATCCTCCACGGCAGCACTTTGCCGTTCCATATGTTCTCAAGCTTCTGGCGGAGACGGAAGAAGGGGTGCAGACTCTGGCGAGCTTTGATCACGTGTCATTCGCCGGAGCAGCAGTCCCAGTAAGTTAACAAACTGATTTGAAAGCCCGGCTGATCGCGTTCAGGATGACCTGGGAGACAGGCTCGTCGCCGCTGGCGTACCTCTTGTGTCTTGCTACGGAACCACAGAGACTGGCCAGTTGTTCACCTCCAGGCGGGACTACAAAAACGACAAGGCTTGGAACTGGCTCCGGGCGTCTGGCCTCATCACGAACTATCTCGAGCTCAGTGCACAGGGAGAGGACACCTTTGAAGTTATCGTTCGAGATGGCTTCCCAGCCAAAATTCTGTCAAATCGAGACGACGGCGCATACTGTACAAAAGACTTGTTTTTGCGACATCCAGAACATCACGACTGGTTCAAGTATATCGGTCGATTGGACGATACTTTGACACAGACTTTGGGAGAGAAGACCAATCCGGTGCCTATAGAGCTCGCGATCGTAAGTCTCAGCCGGGTGAAAAAGGGTCTGATCCCTGTAGCGAGGTAATTCGCCCCTAATCCAAGAGTGTATCGTCTTCGGAGATGGTCGTCCTCAAGTCGGATGTCTCTTGCATCCCTCGGAGGCCGGCGCAGAGCTCAGCAAAGACCCCGCCGCATTCATCAAAGCAGTCTGGCCGGTGATCGAAGATGCGAATTCCCGAGCACCGTCTCACTCCCGGATCCTGCCGGAGATGGTGGCTGTCCTACCATACGGTACCGACATTCCAGTCGCAACGAAGATGTCCATACTCCGACCTGCTTGCTATAAGAAGTTCGCTAATCTCATTGACTCGATCTATGAGCTGTACGAAAAAGGATCAGGTAGTCAACCGAAAAAGGTCATCACGGATTCAGGGGAGATGGAAAGCTTCCTCACGGAAACGATTCAAAGCACTTTTGGTGGACGCAATGTCGGCACGTTGGACCGGGATACAGACTTATTCGGCTTCGGTGTCGATTCCTTGCAAGCTACAAAGGTCCGAAACCTCATTGGACGGTCGTTAGATCTGAGCGGGGCCACACTGGGTCAGAATGTGGTCTACGAGCATCCATCGATCCGCCAGCTCGGCCAGTATCTCCTGAACATTGGCAATACTGGATCATCAACGTCATCCTCTACTGCAGCACATCAACGGATGGAGCAAATGGTGGAGGATTGGTCCCGAAAAGTCGTGTCACGGAGCGAGCCTCGCAAGTCGACCACCGGTCAAGTGATTGTTCTCACTGGCGCCACTGGATCCCTCGGTGCGCACATCTTGACTCGGCTGATCCGGTTGCCCAACGTGTCGCAAATTATCTGCCTATCTCGAGCGACGTCTCACGAAGAATCGCTGAGGCGGGTCAATGACTCTCTTTTACTTCGCTTGTGCAACCCTTCGTCCGAGGCTAGGGCGAAGATCAGGTCGTTCGCTGCGGACGTCAATGCTCCGCAACTTGGACTCTCATCAGCGGAGTACGAATCGATCAGATCATCGTGTACGGCGGTTATACACAATGCTTGGCCAGTCAACTTTGTTTTATCCTTGGAATCGTTCGATCAACACATTGGTGGAGCTGTCAATCTCTTGAACCTTGCTCAAACGTCTGATCACGCTTCCACATTTCTTTTCTCCTCCTCCGTGGCTACCCGTCAAGGTCGTCCCGAGCCAATCATCAAAGAGGAATTCGGGGACTCCCCAGAGACGGCCGCGCCAATGGGCTACGGACGATCCAAATGGGCAGTGGAGAAGATCTGCGAAAGGGCTGCTGTTGAAAAGCAAGCATCCACTGTTATCTTCAGGATCGGTCAGCTCGCTGGAGATTCGATCAACGGCGTCTGGAATGAGACGGAGGCTTGGCCATTGATGTTCAAATCCGTTCATCAAGTTCATTCACTCCCGTTGCTTGAGGAACGACCATCATGGTTGCCAGTCGACCAAGCTGGAACCGCCATCTCCGATATCGCCACAGCGATCACTTCCGAGCCAAAGGCTAAGATCTATCACATCCTGAATCCGCATCTCGCTCGGTGGAATGACATACTTGATGGTCTGCGCCAGGGCGGACTGGAGTTCGACTCGGTTGACAGGAAAGAATGGGTGTCTCGATTGGCAGCTTCGGATTCAGACCTCGACAGAAACCCGACGTACAAGCTTCTGTCGTTCTATCAAGGTCGCATAGGTGGCGAAGCTGAAAGAAGGGAAATTGATTTCAAGGTGGACGAAGCGTCGTCAGTATCTGACACTATGAGGAACTTGAAAGCTATTGATAGTGATGTTGTCGCGCTATGGACGAAACACTGGAAGAGGACTGGGTTCCTATGAGGTGTATGTCTGTACTAGACAATCCTTGTATATATTCTTGAATGCATCGGGATCGTCAATTGATACCGGTGAGATCGTGCCGGGTGATAGACTAGCTGCATCAATTTCAACAACTTTGCTGCCTAAGGCCGCACACCGACTGCCCACATGATCTCGGGCGACTCTTCAGGCTCCTCTCTGGGTCTGGCGGGGACTGACTTGGCTCCGTCCTCGAGATCCCACCGATCACGGTCCTTATTGTGCTTCTCATCTGGATTACGGGTCTGGGAAAACGTCAGCACGGTGATTCAGAAAGGAAGCGACACCCACAGCCACATGTCCTGTACCAATTCTTTTCCTAAAGACCTCCAGCTTTGTCTCCAGCTCTGCCTCGGTCATCCATTTACGAGGCGCATAGGCTACATAAGTTGCGAATCGAGTTTGATCACCTTGCGGGGATCTATTCCAGTGGATCGTTCGGGAATCCCATACTGAGCCGGTAAGTCAGCAAGTCCCAAGTCCTCGAGTGCTGGACGCACAGATGAAGTCTCCCTCATTGGCGCACACCTTTATGATCTCCGCGCCGTGCGCCAAATACCAGTCGAGCTCTTTGTAGTCAAAATGCATACCGCGTTCCTTGACATTCTTTGGGTCGACATTGGCATCGAATGGGAACCGACCGTGTTCATCAAAGTACTGCCTGTGTAATTTGGATGAACCCTTCACGACGACTAAGCCTCCATCATTAGGTCCGCTGGGATATAAGTTGGCGATACCCTGAACCTCTTGTCTCTTGTGTACAAGCTCTGGGCTCTGATCGATATCTTTCAGGGCACTTTTCATCAGCTTCCACGACCGAGGCGCTCGCGTGACTCACGAGGCCAAGGCTTTGTAGGCTCGATATCTTTCCTCGCTTGAGGTCCGAGAGGAAGGGAGATGTTGCAGGCATCGAATGATGCGACCAAGTCGCTCTCTCCCCAGACTTTCTTGAAGACCTCCTGAATGCCGGGTTGTCTGACCAGATTATCAATTGAAACCGACCGCTCATGTCCGATGGAAGAAAACTCACGTTCGGATCTTCCATACCCAAGCGGAATGCATGACTCCGTGACATGAGTACATACCACCAGCGAAGTGTCTCGGAAGATGCTCTGCAGACCAGGTGGATGGGTCGTCACGTTTGAACCCCTTCCCAAACCCTTCAAGCCAGGTCATCGCACTGTCTTGGTATTCCTTACACGCTTGGATAGGGATGACATTGGGAACGACACAGTAGCCGTCCCTGTCCAAGGCCTCAAGCCAGGCTTCCGAGTCATTGACAGTCATTTTGGTCAGATGTCCACGAGACAGGTAAGATCAAGACGATGAGAGGCGGATGAGATCAGATGCATAGTTGCCAAGATGCGGATGTATACCGTCCTGCACCCCCACTCTGCAGCCCTGATTGCCCACTGATCTAGCATCAAGCGTACGGCATTTTTACCGATTACCTACTAGCCGGGGGAGGGGGGGGGGGGGGGGGGGGGATTTGGGACTAATAACTGTCCAAAGCAGCATGATCCAGCTGCTATGCCATGGGGCAAGACGCCATGGCGCACACGGCAGAAAAAGTCTGGACTCTTTGGCTTTTCTACTAGATAAATGCCATTGTCAGCTGGGGTGGAGGTGGAGGGTTATTGATAATTCAGTGGAGGTTCATTTCCTTCTCTACGCACAGAGCTACCGCACTTTCGGATAATGTGCGGAATGGGGAAGGGATGAATCACGTCTATTCGCGCATGCGGTGCATGTACTCTTCGAGCGATAGCTGGACCTTGTTTGGTTTCGCTTGAGAACAACATCCCATGTGAGCAACTAGCAGCGGCCTTGCCGAATGGGATCTGTGGCGGGATCGCAGAACACATGTCATTCAGCTTTGATGGATGAACAATAGACGTCCTCCCATGACCGAACATGCCCTTAGCTGCTGCCGACATCTCATTCCAATGACGCTCCAGGAACGCCAGCTGCTGACAAGCCCGACTCCCGTTGGGGCAACTTTGAGCCGTATTTCAGTGGAGGTATATCAGTGGAGGTGGAGGAGGAAACGTGCGGGCTCATCCGAGGAAAAGGCGTCGATCACGATAATTTTCTGGATATAAATACCTCGAGACTCGTCAACGTGAGGGATGCATGCCCGTTTGTCTGATTACTTCTGCATCCATGTCTGAGCTCACAGCGGAAGACAGGAACATTGAAGAGCCAGAAATACTGAATTTGACCAAACATGCCCTCTTTGAGGTTTCTCATGCTCGGAGATACGGACTGTTGGCTGTGTTCGCCCTGTCCATCTTTATAGATGGTGAGTCGCGAAGAGTATGGGAAGCTGAGCGCCTGCAGTATCATGTTCTTCCGCGTTTCTGGTCTTCACCGCTCCGATAGCGAAAGATCTTGACATCATTTTTGCTCAACAGAGCTGGATCATCGTCAGTTCTCTCCTCATAGAACGATTGCTGATCTTGGGTTTAGACTTCTTACTCCCTTACATTCGCATCCTTTTTCATGCTATGGGGTCGCTTAGTGGACCTCCACTCACCACGACCAGTATTCTGCACGGCATTCGCCGTCATAGGAGCGTGCAATCTCATCCTCTCATTCCTGAATGACAAATACGGATTCCTTATACTCAGAGCCATAGCCGGAGTGGCAGCTGCGGCAGTTGTACCCAGCTCATATCGCTTGATCCCGATGATCTTCCCGCCTGCGGAACGATCGCGAGCCTACACATTGTTCATGATGACGGGATCATTGAGCAATTCGCTTGCGGTGATCCTTGCTGGATTCTTCGCCCTCATACCTCACTCTGGACAGATGAGCGGATGGAGATGGTTCTTCAGGGTTTTCAGTTCATTTGCGTACGTCTCAAGAGTCCATTCAATACAACTGCTGACATTTCTCTAGCCTCATCGGAGCCATTCTGGGGTACTTATTAATTCCGGTACAGCCCAAAGCGCAGCGTCCCAAGAGACTCAGTCTATACACAACGCTTAGACGTTTAGATATTCCCGCCATCATGTGGTACGTCCAGCTAAGGGACTTGACCGATGGCTGACATTCTTCTAGTATCGAGGCCAGCATCATCGCCATCATCCTTGCACTAACCTTTGGTGCGTCCTACGGCTGGAAGACCCCCTCATTTCTGGTACCTTTCGTCATCGGCATCGTCCTCTTGCCTACATTTTTCGTATGGGAGCACTACAAGACCCGGACTGCCGTTGAAGAAGCGCTTCTGCCCAGTCATCTCTGGCGGATACCCAATTTTGCAGTCCTCATCATCTTCTCCCTTGTTTGTCTCGGGTGGTGGGCGGTGAATTTCCTGGCTTTTATTCAGTGGTACAATGAAGCTCAAGGCGAGACTATCCTCCTCTCGGCACTTCGAACGCTCCCAGAAGGACTGATTGCCATTTGCGTCAGCGTGCTCTGCATGTGAGTCATCTTCCGATTTGCCCCTCGCGTACCGGACTGATGTGTAACAGTAAATATCCCCGCATGATCTCCCGTCCTAGGTGGAGTATCATATCCTCAATGATTGCCTGTATTATCGCGTACGTGCTCTGGACTCAAGCACCAAGTTACACGGGATTGGACTATTGGCGATGGGTTCTACCCGGAATGCTCATTGGCTCTGCTGGAATGCAAGTTATTCTCCTCAGCGGCAAGTGAGTCAGACTTTGCAGCTCTCATCTTGGGTCTCTCGCTGATCATACTCAAAGCGTCGGGATCATGATGACCGCACCTCCAGATTTAACTGGCGCCGTCGGTGCCGTGTACAGCATGTCGACCCAACTTTCAGTAGTTGTCGCACTTTCCATCCAAGCTGGCATGTGGTCCGTCCATCCAGGCGGGATTCATGATCGATCCAATATACGATTGAGCTTCTACGTCGAACTTGGATGGCTCGTGCTCTGGTTCATTGGCTTTGTGATCTTCTACCGGCCCGGTAAATCGTGGGACTCTGATGAAGACACCGCAGAGATTGAGAGCGCTACCTCGAAGACTGAGCAATCGACAATCCCGAAATTAGAGACTTCAAGTGACTTAGATCTTTAGAATCCATTTAGAAACCATATCGCAAGCATATCATCGTCGTTGTTGTTGTATGTATGGTCGTCTCAGCTTTCGTGACGTCCAGACCTCAAAAACAGGTCAAAAAAACCACTGCCACGTGCCACATTCACCTCGCGTCACGATGCTCGAGCACAAAAGTAGCAGTAGAAAAGTTCGTTGAATCGTCGTTCGCTAAGCATTCTCATCGGTCGTCGCACTCGAGGAACCATGTCAGGCTCTTCTTCGCCTGGAGCATCCTCTACAGGGGCTCAGGGTGTCGTGACAGGTATCAATAACATCACTACCCCGAGAAACGCAATGGAGAAATGTGAGAGCGCAGCGAATCCTCGGAATGTGCTGCATAGCTGACGGAGCCCATAGTCACTTTCACTCTAGGCAAGCTCGATGCAGGCATGGTGAGTGACGAGGAAGGAGTTCGAGACTGGTTGTGCTGAAAAGCCTGCTGGCCAGGCCATTCTCCTTGGCCCAAATGCTCATTTACTCGAGTTCCCATCTCTACTTCTTCCCACTCCAGGACCAGGTTCACCTCCCCTTCGACCAGGATCCATTCTTACCATCACCGTCTCGAGAGACGTAGCCGCAGAGCAGAAGGCTCAAGGAGAATTTGACAAGTTGCAGGACGCGATCCTAGAGGCATTCACCAAACCACCGAGAAAACCTGTCTTGAGATTACGGAATGTCACGCAAACGACTGTATCGCTAGAATGGGACAAGATTGATGTTGGAAGTGCAGACTTCAGAGGTTTGGAGATGTATAAGAATGGACAGAGATGGGGCCGTGTAGGTGGTGATTATGGCAAGAGGGAAAAGAGGGAATGGAAGACTGGAGGACTGCAGAGCGCCGAGGAATATACTTTTCAGCTGGTCTTGTGAGATATAATGCTCGTTCAGAAGCTGTCAGAGATTGACCCAGCGGGTTTAGGAAGACAACGGCTGGTACCCATCTATCGGAAGTAGTCAGGGTCAAGACCCACACAATGGAGTGAGTCTGCCGACAGCGAATCGACAAACTCGAGACTGACTGTGAATAGCAATCTGACTGGCCTGTACATCCACTTCGGAGCTATCCAACCGCCATCCCTTCTCAAGCAGCTCAAGGCGTGCCTTCAGGATATTGGGGCGAGGGAGTCACCATCCATGGCTTTGGATACTACGCATTTCGTATGCACCACTCCGATTATCGGAGGCGATGAGCAAGGGCAAGGGGGAGCCGTGGACCCAGATTATCAGGAAGCTTTAAAGGCGAATCTGCCAGTGGTCGGACCAGACTGGCTCCTTGCTGTCGCGAGGGATAGGAAGTGAGATACCATAGAAAGTGGATGCTGAGCCTGTACAGACTCGTCCCGATCTCTGGCTATTTGCTCCCACCACTTCAGGCTGAAAATGCTGAATCATCCACCGCTCCAGCTATCTTCAAGCGACCCGAACCTCTGAAGCGGACGTCCTTGCCCTTCACCTCCCCAGCCCCTTCTTCACCGATACGCGAGAGACCTGAAGAAATTCGAAGAGCCCCGAGCCCAGAGACCATCGCGAGGATGAGCATGACTGGATCAACATCTACGAGACCCAACGGAAGCAACGGAGGAGAACCATCACTTGATCGCAGGCCTAGTCGAGAGAATAGCCTGTCATCGAAATATAGCGGGGAGAGTCCCACGGCCCGATCCGCAAGTCGGTCGAGTCAGCGGGAAGATTCTGGTCGACCAAAGAGTCCAAAGCCAGAAGCGGACGGCAAGCTGGATAGGTGAGCTTATTGCTTGGGTTCTCGATTGGGCACTGATGAGCCTCAGATCATTCAAGTTCCCACTGAAGGGTCATGTGTCATCACCCACGTCTCCTACGGCCGTTATTACAGGCGGGATATCTACAAGTCCGGTCACTTCTCCGTCGCAGCCTTTGGGATCCACAACATCATTCCAATCTCCGTCATCCACCGCACCGATATCGAACCCCAATGCTCCGGCGGTGCCGCCAGCGGCGGTCATTGGTCCAGGATCGACCATCGAACCTGTGAATACGGACATATCAGTGGATGACAGCCGACTGGATGCCGAACCGAGTCCTGGAACGCCTCGTGTGACTCTGACCCCACCTCAAGATTCACACGAGGTCTTCAATGAACCGGTCACTATCCATGAAGAGTCTACCGAAGCTCTCAAGAAGGCTGCTCCAGGAGACGTATCGGGCAATCACGCCAACACGATCGATGATGCTATCGCGAGCTTTCATGATGCCGTCGGACACGGAGTGATAAAAACACCCGAGCCGAACACGATAGAAGACAGCACGAAGACCAAGGTGGATGCAGAGGCAGCAGCGGCGCCCGAACCATCTATCACCTCAGAGTCTAATCCAGCGAATGGAAATCACACGTCTCAATCGGCAAATGGTTCGAATGAGGTCAATAGGTCTGCGGACGAACCCGAGTCACCGATACCTTTCCGCCGTCATTCCGTCTCGTTCAAAGACAAAGCTGTAGTCGAAAAGCAGCTTGAAGAGCTGCCAGATTTTGATCAGGAGAGCGAAGGCGTGACGATGGACGAGATAGATCTGAATTAAGTTGGTATGCCCCTTTGTCCCATGACGGGCTTGTGTGCACGGCGCAGGATCTTAGGAGGGGCTTCAGTTGTTTCTGTTTTGACCATCTGACTGAGCGCGCATTACGGATACAGTCCTCTCGGAACCTCCTAAGGATCCTAGACTGCAGAATCATCTGATCATACAGTGGCGCGATGCATACATTTGGTTGGTGATGAGATCTATGAAGCGTCGGTCTCTGCCCAGAAATTTGTGCCATGCGTGGTAGCTTTGATGATGCCAGCCCTAATGACCCAGTCTCCAAATGGTTCACCGTCATTCCTCTCAGCGATCCACTGCTTGAACAAAGGTTTGAGAAGGGCCAAGATCTCTGGTTCAGTGACGGACGATTTCCAAGGTTTGGATAATCTTTCTCCGTGGTGTCCTCCACCAAGCATCATCTGTAACGCAGTCAGCGCACAGACGCGGGATTGACGTGCTGGACTTACCAGATAAGAGCCAGGAGCCTTTCCGACAAATGCAATCTCTGCATTCCACGGTCTTGCACATCCATTTGGACAACCTGTCATCCTCATGACGATGCTGTCCGAACGCATGCCTTCATCCTCGAGGAGCTTTTCGACTTTGTCGACGAGAAGCGGAAGATACCTGGAGACGACGAGTCAGCGGGATGTCCCTGAGGTAGAGTCACCGCTTACCTCTCAGACTCTGCCATGGCCAGACCACATGTCGGGAAAGCAACACAAGCCGAACTGGACAATCTCAAGCCCGAGTGATTTAGGTTGTCTAATCCCCACTTCTTCAATAATCGCTCAATCTCGGGCTTATCCTCCGGTGTGACGTTCGCCAAGATCAAATGCTGGTTCGCGGTAAGCCTGAATTGACCTTTGTGAACCGTGGCGATCTCTCTCAAGCCAGATTTGAATTGATTCCTCGACGAGTCCTCCACGCGACCGTTTTCAATGAACATGGTGAAATGCCAGTTGCCATCTCGGCCCTGGACCCATCCGTAGTTATCGATGTTCGTAGTGAATTCGAACGGTCGGACAGGCTGGAAAGACTTGCCAAAGACAGCTTCAACCTCTTTCTTAAAGATTGGCAGTGTCATGCGATCGATGGTGTACTTGAGACGCTGCATGAAGTAAGCAACGAACTCTTGGCCTCCTATCAGACTCACAGCATTCTTTCGATCCTGCCTGTTACCGTTGTCCCGCTGCACAATCATGATCGACTCCGCGGCCTTGATAGCATCTTCAGGCAGGACAAATCCGATCAGGTCTCCCAATCTGGGATAGGTCTTCTTGTTGGAATGTGTGACTCCCATACCTCCACCGACTGTAACGTTGTAACCGACAACTTTGTCGTTCTCGACGATCGCAATGAACCCGACGTCGTTGGTGAAGACATCGACACCGTTATCAGGAGGAACAGCTACGGCCATCTTGAACTTCCGCGGAAGATACTGGAGCGATGTCAGCTTGAAGCACCTTTGAAGAGCTGAGACTCACAGTCGGTCCGTACAATGGCTCGAGGTCGGCTACTTCTCCGCCAGCGACCTGCTTCTTGTCTAGCCAGATCTCATGGTACGCTGAAGTCTTTGGCAGCAGATACTCAGACATGTTCTTGGAGAAATCATAGACTGTCTGGTGGATATGCGACAACGCCGGGTTCACAGTGCACTGAACATTTCGGTTGACATCTCCACAAGCTGCGATAGTATCCAACAGAGATTTGTTGATAGCTTGCATAGCGGGCTTGAGATGCTTCTTGATAATTCCGTGGAATTGGAATGTCTGACGAGTCGTGAGCTTAAACGTAGAGTTCCCATGTTCGTCGGCGATCCTGTCCATGGCCAGCCATTGCTCAGGGGTACACACACCACCTGGCATTCGACATCGAATCATGAATGAGTATGCGGGCTCGAGCCCTTGGGCCGTAAGTGATTCTCGGATGTCCCGGTCATCCTGGAAGGGAGGTCAGCTCAATGCATCTTAAGGGAAATGAACCAACTCACCTGCATGTACGTTCCGTGGAACTTTGTCAACTGGGCATCACTCGGGCCAATGGCTCCTGTGGACTGATCTGCCAGACCTTCCAAGATAGTTCCTCGCAAGTAGTCACTGGCAATCTTGATGTGCTCATTGGCGACCACCTCTTCTTGCGCTTCGACGACCTCCACTGCATCCACTCCAAGAGCGCGCCACAGCGAGGCCTCCCAAGGCTTGTAGGCTGTCATGTAACCATCTGGGTCCTGGTCGTCTCCCAAACCAAGAGGCGCGAGCTCTGAAGCGCCGAGAGAAAGTAGACGAGGGAACAAGTCCTTCGCTGGCTTGTTGTAATAGATGTAATCCTCCTTTCGAGGCCAGTAGTTGGAGTCACCCATCCCGAATACAGAAACCTTGAGATCTTTCCATGACTCGCCGATTGAGTCGGCCGACAAAGTTCCGAGCTTCTTGGTGAGCTCTCGACCGTTCAATGGCGATTCTCCTTGTCCAGCGACGGCAGTAATGAAGACGGCATTCTTCTCTGCACCCAGAGCTTCAACGGCGTTGGCAGCGATGCCATCAAAGACTTGGAGAGTTGCATTGACACCCCTCATCTTGGCTCGGCTGACTAAACGTTTTGATACCTTTTCAGCGGTACCTCCATCAGATGCGTACAGCACCAGGAGACCAGGACCGTCCAGCGAGTTGAGCAGTGCATCGTAGGCACGCTTGGCCTTTTCCTTTCGAGCCGCCACAAGTTCTGTACCCTTGGACGAGGTGACGCTGGCGTCGATGGCTGGTGATGCCCGGGTCAACTGAGACAGATGCGACTGACGGTCGAGGAATTGAGACAACGCCGTCTTGATCGCCGGTGAATCAAGAATGAATTGCTTGCCATCCTGGGCAGCGGGATTCCACCTGAACATTGGCCACCATCCACCGCTGACAGCACGCTTGGTCTCCCGCAAGCGCTCCAGAGGACCGGCAACCTCGCCTTGTCCGACAGATTGCCCGTCTTCCTTATCTCCCCATGGAAGATACGCCAAGACCAAACCGGGTCCAGGATACGCTTCGGCTTCCCGCATGGCATTGATGACGCCTGCAAAATCGGCATAGACCGCGACGGATGAGGTGTATACATCACCCATGTTCAGAGCGTAGAGCGCTAGATCCTTCTTGCGTTCGCGAGAGGGTTGAGGGGGAGCGAGAGGAGAGAAAGGAGAAGAAGCTGTCTCGTACACGAGGAGATTGATATCGAGGCCGGAGGCAAGAGCATGGTGAAGACCAGAGGATGCGAGATCTTGAGCCCAGGAATTGGAAATGACAATCCAGAGATTCTTCTTGGCCCAGTGACCCTTTCTGCCGAGTTCGAGCAGCGACTTTTCATCGGCTGATGAGCCTTCGCCCAGAGCCTTCTCAGCCTTCTCTCCCGCCTGTGAGGATGCAGCTTCGTCACGAACCAACAACCATTGTGACAATGCCTCGTGGACTTCTGTGCGTGTGTTTGGCGCCTTGAGGACGGACTTTGCCAATTCAACAAGCTGCTCTCGCTCTCTCCTTATAGCCACGGCTTTGCCGAAAGCATACAAAGGAGAAGTTGATTCTGACGCTGACAATGAAGCGGGATCGTTGAGGATCTCAAGAGGAGAGGGAGAGGATGCCAACAGGTCTGTGTATTTTGACTCGGCTGAGGGAATAGTGATTGATGTCTTTGGGATGGAAGGAGATGGAAGGGGGGAGCCGGTCCGCGAGACAGGTGCCGAGGAGGAAAGAGCAGAGGCAATGTCGGGATTTGAGCCAGCCAAGATGGATCGGATGGGATAGTCGGAGCCTTCCAGAGCATCTACGACCGAGGCCCAAGCTGGTCCATACTTGCCACTGCCAGACTCCAGCACGATGATCTCTGAGAAGCCCTTGACAGCATGACGAACTTTGTCTCGTGGCAGTGGGGAAGCGAGAGAAATGTCGATGAGCTGTTCGCCGGAGAGCTCGGGGGTGTAGGGGAGGAAATTGAGGATCGCCCTTGAGGGCTTTGGATTAGAGTCGTGAGTGACAAACGGTCGCTGAGCGCGGCGAGTCGCCTTGAGGAGCGACAGGGCTGCGGCTTCATATGCACTGTTTAGGCGTTCCTCCGCATCCGGGTCTGAGGAATGACCATTGAGTGCCGGTGTAGAGCTTTCTAGCCATTCTTCGACGTTCGGAAGGATCGTCGGACTTCCGGAAAGAGCTGCCGATCCTACAAAATGAAATGTTGATATTCCGCTCTTGGCGACCTTGAGGGCCAGTACGCTGTGGTCATAGGCCTCCTGTGGCGTCCTGGAGATGAGCACGAGAGAATCCTTATCTCGTGAGGAGATCACACTCTCTGATCCGAGCACATGTACCACTGAAGACGATGTGTTCGCTGGGACTGTATGTAAGAATGAGGAATCGGTGAACAAAGTGGAGGTGGATGGCAAAGGGAGGTATGGGTTGAGTTTGGAGGAAGAAGGGATGGAAGTGGATATGGGATGAGTGTAGGATGCCCCTGGCAGAGTCGCCAGAGTCTCTAGTAGGCTGGACATGATCGCTGTCAATGTGATCAAAGAGATGCGTGACAAGATCGAGATGAAAGCTGGTCAAGTCAGTCACCCAAATGGACGTTTTTTCCAGCCAATCACGCAATAAAAATTCCAAAGTTTCAATTCCGAATATTCGGAAGCATCGACGGGCGGGGGCGGCGGCGGCGACGACTACAGATAGAGTATCGACGATCGACGATCGAGGCAGCCATGACCAGATAAATCTGGAATGCATAGATAGTATCTTTCGACGGACGCTCTCCGCCTGTTGGTCTCACATCTCACGCGTCCACGGGTACTCTGGAACCCGCGCAACCCTCCGTATGCTCCATTGTCACATCTCCATATCAAGCGACTCTGCGACTCTGGGATCCAAGTCTGCTGATGTCAATGATGGATGACAAGCACGATGACCTACCCCTTACTCCTTCAAACCATTGCCTTATCTCTTCCCTTAGAATCTCCATAATTTGAGGCTTGGTGCGGTGAGGGAAATCTTGCGATACGCAGGTGCGTATGCGGACGATCGCTTCGAGATTCTGCGTGGAGTCAACGGCTGACTGGGAGAAGCGAGAAGCATCACCCACATACTGAGCCAGTGAACGCCGTTTGTCGCGATAGCGCTTTTGCGCTACCTTATTTTGAGCACTTCGGCGGGTGCCCTTGTCATCACCGAGATAAGCGGAACTCTTCCCTCGTTTCCTGATCCAAGTGGCTCCCCGCGGATGCCTGATTTGTGCTTCCTGCTCGGAGGGGCAATAGGTCTCCTCGCTGCAGTCTCGCCTCTGAGAGATCTTAGCATGTATCCTGGCAGTCTCGCTCACAGGTCGACTTCTTCGACCCCGCTTCACCCGATCACATATGCTTTCCTTGAATGCCTCCGCCTCTAGCTTGGCGACATAAGATGTTGGCGCGCGAGCAGGTTTCTTCTCGGATCTCTCAGGCGTCAGAGAAGACGCGGCTGACCTGGTCTTGCGTTTAGTCGGGATGTCCTTTTCGCCATTCGGATGCACGTGTTCTTTTCCGAGTTCGGGATCCACTTCATCCTCCGAGTATTGGAGGTCGGAATTCTGGTGTCTCTCCGGGACGTTGTGGACAACCATGTTGCTCTCATCTTCGGAGTCCGATGCGACACAATCTTCGACATCTACCAAAAGCTTCCCAGATGGCGCTTTGTTCAATAGTAGGGCAGGATCGATGGAGATCGGTGGCTCGAATGCCAAACTTGTAGTCAGGTGTGTCGTGAGGGATGAGCTGGGAAGGAAAATGGAGGAGGGGACCGAATTCAAGGATGGCGCAATGTTGATGGAGCTTGATGAGCCAGTCATGTGATTGTCGCTGCCTGTCTCCCGGCTCAGGGTCAAACACGTAATTCTTCGACCCAGGTCCACTTACATTGTCCCGCCTCAACAGTTTCTTTCCACATCAGTCCCTTGTAGTCGTCGAAGAGATCATGAGGTTCGTAGAGAAAGTCATACATCGTGAAGTTCTACCGGTACAGGTATTGAATGTGCGGAGATCGTGATGAAGATGAGGCATCGGAAGAATGTTGTGGATCAGTATCTCGTCAGCCCATCTCTTATGGCTGGCATCCCCATGTCAGGGTCTATTCAAGTTTAGCGCCAGCGATGGATGTCTACACTTCAGATCATTATCACACTGGAGATCCTGTTGTTTGCAACCGGGTTTGTCCTTCAGACAAAAGGATCTACATCCAATCACATCCAATCAGAAAAGCAGAACGCTGCAGGTGATTCCCTCACCATTGTTGCTCAAACAATAGGCATGATGACGACGCCTGGACACGAGGCTGCAATGCTTATTGAGGCACACTCAGCATGACATGAGGTACTCGATGGAACGTCTCCTGGTAAGTTTAGTATCGGCTGTTGACCTCCTTACGATGGCAGTCAGGCCATACGAGTGGAGCAAGCAAGCAACGAATGAAGAGAGTCTCCCAGTCTCCCTCCCACCTGAAACGCCAGGGGAACCCTGTATTTCGTTTCACCATTTGCATCGGACGAAATGCCATACAACATGAGTTTGAGAGCTGCCATCGCTTCAAGCCCCTGCTATTCTCATTCTGCTCCAAATCTGCGGTCGAAGACATCATCGCTGGACGTGGTGTATTTCAGCCCCGGAGATTCGCCTGATCTAAGCATGTACCTTTGAATCTATCCTCTCGTCTTGGTGTACTTATCGCGATCTCACGGTCTCACATCTCGACAGGTACAATCTCATCAGTCCCCCCTGACGATCGAATGCTTGTCCTTTATCTGTGTAATCAAAGCTCTTTTGAATCTTGACTTTGGGTCGCTCTTTCGAGAAAGTGTCCGGCTAGGTTGAAACGCCCATTCCTTTGTCAGAACGACAGGAGAAGATGATCTTGGATTGAGGTGTTTCTACCGCTAGCAGAGTGACTTTGGGCCCCTTCGTGGGGCTGTGCTGGTCGAAGGATTCAGTATCATGCGACCAACTCAACCATATCTGTGGGTAACCATCAACCTGTTGCCATCACTAACTCCTTCTTCCTTTTCCGGCGAGCCGTTCATGGAACCCTGATGACTCAGAGAGATGTTCACCCTTCTCTTCCTGCTGGGTCTACTTCTCTCCCCCACGTCTCGTCCGACATCAGCGGCCACAACGTTGAAGCTGAGGAAAAGCTCCTCTAGGTCGCCTCGTATCTTGCATAGTCTTCGACGCAACTCGCCACGGTCGCCTCAACGTGGTGGTTGGCGGGGCGGAGGAGGAGCTGGAGGCGGAGGCAGAGGTGGCAGATACGCCAATGTCGTCGTTGTCACTCAATCAGCCATCGAAGGCGGGTCAGTCGTAGAGACGGTCTCAACGACTCAAGCCATCGGAGAAGGAGGATGGTATGGCAAAGGTCGGGGTGGCCTTGCAGGGGACCTCGTAACGACCAGCGCTGAGGTCGCCGCTTCGGACACTGAGATCGTTGATGACGCTGACTGGGGTGGAGGTCGAGGCCGATGGCGAATGAACAATGTCCAAACGGATGCCGACTCCCGGGACACATCGTCGTATGTGTATGCGAGCTCTACGGGTGACTTGACTGGTTCGACGACTCGGTGGATCGACGACGCCGATTCTTGGACAGATTCCATGGTATCCACTTCAACACTTGATATCATCACCTCCGTCTATATCAGTAGTACTTCACCCACAGCAATCTCATCGCCCCCGACTAGCTCTGCTGTCTCATCGTTACCGACTTCCTTGTCCTCATCAGCCGTCTCATCTGCGTCAGCTGCTCCAACTACGACATCATTTTCAGCTTTATCCTCTAGCTCAACATCTTCGTCAATATCGTCCAGTCCTACAGGACCTGCCACGGTAGGACTCGACTCTCAGAATTCTCAGGGGATCACTTACACTGTCGAAGTGGTAATAGACGGGAAAAAGATGGAAGTCATCGTGAGATAAACTTCACCAATCTCCCACTGATTTGCAGGCCGATACAGGATCGAGCATGCTCTGGGTCCCGACTACTGGCTGTCCGACATGCTCTTCTGCAGGGATGACCATTAGTAGTATCACTTTACCCGATGATTGCTCGGAGTACGAGCAGAAGTATGGTAAATCTGACACATGGAGCAGGCCAGCTGAAAATCAGGTATGGGCTCCGCAGTGGGTTGCAGAACCAACGTTACGGTTTCGCTGGGCGACCTCGAGCTGGAAGACTTATCGATTTTAGGTGTCAAGTCTGTGGACTCTATATTGGCACAACAGGGATCCTTCATGAGGTGAGACTAGCTGGGTCCAAGATTTCCAAGTGCTAAAGATATCATCAGCGGAATCATCGGCTTCGCGCTAGACGTGCGTTATCAGCCTCTGTCCGAGCTCACGAGCAGGCGGGGACAATAGGAGACTCGCCGACGTTTGTCAGCCAGCTTTACAATTCGGGCAAAATCGACTCACCAGAGGTCGGATTTTACTTGCCTCGCGGTGCCAATCAGGACGGTGTGTTTTGCTTAAAGTTCATTGCTGACGGGGGACAGGCAGCGTTACACTAGGCTCTGCAGCTAGGCAAGTCTTCGTTCTCACACTTGAGTTGACCAGCACAGCCCTCATGCGAATGCCAATTCAGGCGTCAACCTGACTCACGAGCCTAATGATTTGAACGTTTATCAGGTCAAGATGGACTCATTCATGTTAGGTGGGACTACAATAGCCACAGCTCAATCCGTTGTGGTGGATACCGGGCAAGTCGATGGAGTCCGTTTCGTCATGCTAACATATTCTCTAGAACGACAAATATCTATCTACCGTCTAATGTGGGTGACAGCCCAAGCTTAGCTAGAAGAGCTGACTGGAGAATTAGCTCATGGCTGACATTGTCTCCGAGCTACAATCGGCTGGCAGCAATGTCTCTATTTCGTCGAGCGACCTGATCGTTTCCTGTTCTCTGCAAGTATCTCTCACTATATCCTTTGGAGGCAAAGCGTTCAAAGTGGGATCACAGGACATCATGTGAGCCTCAAGTCTAAGGCACAGTGCTCAATTCGAAGTGGACCTCCGGAGTCAGCCGATGGCAGTATGTGTCTGGCACGGTTGTCAGATTCGGGATCAGGTAAATCTGTCTCGACCGGAGCTCACACTGATTCCGTAGATGGACTTTGGATCATGGGGGACGCTTTTTTGCATAATGTACGTCGCTGATCGCGCCTCTCTTGGCTGACTCGAACCAGGTTTATTCGGTGTTCAATGTACAGTCAGGCGCCGTCTCTTTTTACGACTTAGCCTGAAGCCAATCCCGAGGATCGAGATGGGTAATACATAGGGGAGATCACATACCTCGTTATAAATCCTTTCTACGGATCTGAAACTGCATTAATAGGTCCTTTCATGCAGGCTCCCTGAAATGTGCCGTTGAGATATGAAAGGACTCTGTGAATCCAAGATGTGGCGGGAGCCCGAGCTCTCGTCTCACCATAAGTGTTCTTGTGCTTGTACTGATAGCACACCCCAGGCGAGCTCGCATCCTCGGATTGCGTGCTGACTCTCTTGACGATATTTGACCCCATGTCTCCTCTATGGATCCTGCTATTCATGGCTAGCCTGGGCTATGCCGCGAAGGTCATGCCTATGACTCCTCACCGTCTGGATCACAGCCCAGTGCTCCGAAGAGAGTATGCGAAGAGAGGCAAGCTGCACCTCTTGGACAAATCTTCAAAAACAAGCCGATCAGCAAGCCGACCTCGTATCGTGGAGCGATTTCTCCCCGAGTATGTCAATGGTCCTGGAGCCAACCTGAGGAGAGGTGCCAGCCCATCGAACCTCGCGTACGAGAGCAGCCCTCAGGCGAGATCCGGTTCCCCCTCGAGTGTACGACGTCTGACTAAGCGACAAGGCGCATATTTGCCAGAGTCGCAGTCAAGCTCGCCTTCTCCGCAAGGACTGAACAGCTTTATGACCGCAGATGGCAGCTCTTCGAGGTTCTCGCCAGCAAACAGCGCAACCTCACAGATGGTATTTGCGAATCTGGTCGAAGGTTCTGCGTCATCCAGTGGTGCAGCATCTATCACCAGCTCGGGGTCCGCCAGTGTCGTTGGGTCTGTCAGTACCTCGAATTTCGCTAGTGCTGCTTCTATCCACGGTTCAGGATCCGCCAGCGTCCCCGCGTCTTCGACTGGCTCTGGAACTGGTCCTCGGCCCTCTGGACAGTACTTCGAATCTTTGCCTATCGATGCTGCCTACGGGATTGCATACACCATCGAAGTTGAGATCGGGCCCAATCGAGCTGTGGCTCCTCTAACGGTAAGTTGACGAGTCGTCAAACGATCGCTCAGACTTCAATCAGGTGGATACAGGTAGCACCGACCTTTGGGTCTGTTCAACTTCTTGCTCTACTTGCCATGATGCAGGGATGTCGCAAGTCATTGATACACCCGACGATGCTCAGGACGGAGGATCTATAGCATATGGTGAGACTATGCCGCTAGACCAACCTTGACGCTCAGGTAGCGGGAAGCTGCTCGCATCGAAATTGATTACCACGAGCGTCTACATTGATGATATCACCCTAGATCAATTCTCTGTGCAGGCAGCAACGAGTATCGACCCTGGCATGCAAATAACCGCTGTGATCTCAAACTCGTCGTGAGTCCATTGGAGGGAAGTTTGGCTCAGTCAACAGCGGGATTTGGGGTATGGGCTTGACGGTGAGTGGGAAGAGGTCCCATCTGAGGAGATATGCTGACCGCTTCGCAGCCCGGGGACCAACGCGATACTCTGATCGATGCTCTATACTCCCAAGGCGCGATCACATCCCCACTTATCGGAATTTACTTGGCTCGATACGGAGCAGACGATTCAAGTATGCCATCTCTCCAGGTGAACAGTACTCGCTTACAGCCATGGTAGGCCAAGTTGTCATCGGGGATCCTTTCAATCTGGAAGACAACAAGTTTGGGATCGATTTCGATCACAAAGCCAATCTCACTCAGGCTATCGCCGCTGATGTTCATTATAATGTCATGATGGATGATTTTAAGCTCTTCGACGTCTCGTTACAAGGCATGCAGAACCTTGTCGTCGTTCCAGATACTGGGTGAGCCGTCATCCGAAGCTTCACTGATCAAGCTGCCAGTTCCACCCCTCTATTCGTGCCCAACAAGGTGCGAGGGACAACTCACTGAACCCGCTGACATAGTTGCAGTTTTACGATGGCATCATGGCAACTCTTGGGAATGGCACAACTTGGACAGTAGACACAGGTGGAACCACAGAATACGTATTCCCCTGTGACCTGTATGCTCCAGACGCGTTGATAGCCAATCTTGTTTTTGGCGGTCGAGACTTCCACGTTCAGTGGCAGGATATAGTGTGAGTCTTTGGTGCTACAAACATCTCACGACAGGGATGGTCCATACCCATCGCTTTACGGCAACTGCGTGCCTCGGATTGTGCCAGTCCCGGAATGTGAGAGACCATGACGATGTCAATACTGAAAGATTTAGCCATTCCGGACATGTTCATCTTGGGCGATGCCTTTCTTGTGAACGTGGGTGCGGTGAGAGCAGATTGAAGCTAAGCTGTCAGGTGTTTCATACCATCAATACACAGACGGGGGAGCTCACCATGTACGGGCTGAAGCCCAAGGCATAGCAAGCACTAACACGTAACATGTATGACACCGGAAACTTAACAGAGCCGGACTGTATGCAGTACTTTGAAGATTTTACATTGTATCCTTTGTCTCAGAGCTCCCTTCATACCTTTCCGCCACGCTGATCGCTGCTCTCGTAGACATGTAATAAGATGGACTCAGTCTGCTGACGACCTGATTCTGCACAGAGTCGTACACATAGTGGGCGTCGTGACTAGCACCTAGCATCATGTCGTCAGCAAAGCCAGCCACCAACATGGCTTCCGAGGTCACGATCATGAAGACCAAGGCTGCCGCCAAACGGGGACTGAAAGCAATTCCAGAGGAGACGGAGACAGTCTGGCCGAAACCCGAATTCGTGAGCTGCTTCCGGTTCCTCTAACAGACGGGATTTCTTAACACAGTACAGGGACCCAGCACACTGATCGATAACATTTCTAAGGAAGGCAAGAAGGCTCAGGGCTTCATCATTCCTGCCGGATCCATGTTCCCACTAGGCTGTGCTATACCGAATAATACCGTGACTTTTCACCACGAGATCATGACTGATGGTGACTAGGTTCTGCAATATGGCGCCTACTTCCCACCTGGGACCATGGTGAGCATTGTGCCACCAATAGGCACTGAATCTGTGCAGTTTCCAGATGGCGTCTTAGTCCCCATACACGCTCGAATGGTCTCTGTGCAACCTATCAAGACGCCTCAACCATTGGGCGATCCTTCGGAGCCAGTCTGTGTCATCATGTAGTCTATGTTCATGAGAAAAAGTCAAAGCGGAAGTCGACAAACAACAACGAAAGCAGAAGAGCTATCATTTCTTGAGGTCCACTTTTTTGTCGATAGGAGGAAGAGTTTTCAGCAGAAGCTCCTCCATCATGCCTCCAATATCCCGCTGCATTTGATCAATGCTGTAAAAGGCTAGAGCGAATCGTTAGAAGCTCCTCTCTAGGATGAGACTCACTGAAGGGGGGTTCCACCTTGCCCAACATCCGAGGCAACACCTCGTTTCGAGTGATGATGATCCACTGGAGTAGTCTAATAAGCACTCGACCATCGAATCACTGCTTACCTTCCTCAGCTCCTCCCTGTTCTTCGGCGTATCTTTCTCGTCCATCTTGTCATAGATGACGGCCATGACCCAGAGTGTAGCGCCGATCACGTTGAGTTCCTCCTCTGTATCGAGAAACACATCGGGATCAAGATCAATCAAGCGACAGGCGCCGGCAGGGGGAGGCGTCTTCTTAAAGTGATTCTGAAGGATTTGATTTGAAAATGTGTGCTTCAGAGTCTCGGGCTGGCGGACTGCAGCCTGGTACGTCAGCCACGAGTCATAGATACAAAGTGGGACTTCACTTGCCCATGATGTCTTGGTAGAGTTGCTGCTCAGTCTGGGTCTAAGTCTGTCATGGCCACAACTTTGCTTTGGTCGTCGCTATTACCCTCCTTTCATGGATTAGGACAAAGGAGGGCTGGTGTGGGGCCCGTTTTAAGGAGGGCCGATGACGATCTTGAACGCTTGGAAAGCTTTCTGCCCCCTAACTACGCTTTCCTTAGCTCCATGGGTGAGTAGTGACAGGTAATGTAGAGCTGATGAGGACAGTCGGCGTGTACTATTCTGTGAGCTGTTGAGGGTTCCGTAGCACTGACTCCGTAGCATAGCCAATACCCAAGCAGCAATGTCTGCCCACTATGCAGAGCTGGTGAGCATGGGAAACAATCCATAGGCTGAGAGTCGAGCGCCATTCGAAGCCATCAAGACCCATCGGACCTTCCATATATGTGGCATCCCTCTCTTGCCATTAATGTCAGACCGTCAGTTTGTCTGCCGAGGCTGTGGGTACAATCAAGTGTTATGCGAGTTTGTGTCTGGTGAAAGAAGCTCATACGCCCGTTGCAGCCTATCGTGGATACAGGCCAGGACGAAACAGATGGTATCCGTAAGTCTTGCGGACGGCGAGCGACCTCTAATTGCGATCTAGAGGCAGGCGTAATCCTCACTCTTGGATGACCGGCAACTGGAGTACCGGTAGAAGTGGTGATTATGATCGTCGAGAGGGCTATACTTATCGCTTATGGGGTCCTAGGCCGTTCAGGTGGCGATACAGGTACTACTAAGCCATATTCTCTGCATGAAAGATCATTAATAGCGTCAACATTGCTTGGAGTAATAATCGGCCAGGCGTTGATAGACGTCCTCATATTGCTTGAGATTTTCAGAGTCTTTGAGGTTGGCTCTTGCGGCAGCCCAGCCGTGGTGACTGGACCATCTCAGTACAGGCATAGTGGACGAAGAGATGACTCACACTGTATCATAAAGATGGTAATCGCATTTCTTGACGAACTCTTTAATCTCCATGGCCGCCTCTATCTTCTCCACCGCCTCTTTTGGCTCATCGTGACTAGGATAGAAGCCGAGCGGAGCAGCCAAATTGTCTCCATCTTCAGGTGCGATGAGAGCCGGATGTACGACAGCACCGCAGCAGAATGGTGTCTGTGAAGGAAGAGTCGAAGATAGAGCCATCAGGGTTACCTTCCCGCCTGAGCCAACCGCGTAAGCTGTGTATCGGCCTGCGAAGAGCTCAACTCACCCCAGCAATAACCTTGGATGGCGACCGACTCATACTCCTTGTTGAGATACTCTCCAAAGGCTATGACCTCCGGTAAGCGATCTGATAGCTTGGCCCTATCGCATGTCAGTCGCGTCTCAGCGTTGAACTCACGTTCCAGCGAAGAACTTCTGCAATTCATCCTTGTCACCATCTTTCTCGAATGGGAACGGCTTGCCACGATACACATCCGGCATGAAGATCTTTGTAGGTCGAGTGAGAAGGAGGTGCGATACGAGTAAATCTGCCCCTCGGAGAGTAGTCTCCCTGGCGGGTTTTAGCGTCGAGGTCTGATGACGGGCTCACCAGAAGCCGAAGATATCGTATATCACAACTAGGGCATGTTTGGCATCATCAGGTCCTGTCTGTCCATTTCAGCCGATGACTTCTCGCGTCGTCTCACCACATAGACCTTCTCGAATCCACCTAGCTTCTCGTATGTACCCTTGAGCTCGTATCCGCTTGACTCAGATACGGGGTGCGGATGGGAGGACTTGACGACTCCAGACAGGTCTTTCTGAGGAGGGCAACAGGTATCTGGATCTGAGGCAGCCGTGAGATGTGATGTCAAGGATGCTGTAGTGATCCATGTGCTACTTACCTGACATCTCTGGGTCGCTTTGTTGTACGAATCTCAACACTCAGATAGTCTGGTCAGTTGTGTCCGCTCAACGGCTTTCGTCATGTCAGGTACGTCAGCCAAAGTGGCACTCGGACTGAAATGTGGCACCTCGTCTTGCATGCAAAAAATACCACAGACACACCTTACAAATGCCCAGTCAGCCTCAGGAGAGGAGGAAGTAGTACAAGGATCAAAAGAACTAGGGACTGTTCCACCCAATACGTACGAAATCCTGAGCTGGCGGACTGTGAAATCGATGGCTGATTACTCGGAACTGCCTGAGCATACGGGATGGTGGAGGTGCTGCGAGGTCGTTAGGGGGATACTGCCGTTAGGGAAGCACTCACATCGTGATGATCGGCCCCTCCTCTGTGGCTTTTGAGAACATAGAAGCAGAGGATGCGGGTATTGATGATAGCGTCGAAGAGTCAGAGGCGTTTGCTACTGTCTTGGACAGACCAGCCCCTTCCGTCGAACTTGAAACGGGAGATAGCGTTGGCAACCGGTCATCGCTCGAGTTCACTGACGAGTCCAAGCTTGTCCAATCTTAGCGGTGGTTACGGTACATAACTCACGGGATCCCATGAATGTCGATGAAATCAATGTCGAGCCCTTCCGCGTCAGTTAGAGCACCAGACCAGACAGCTTACAAATTCGGTTCTCAGTCAATCCCGCAGTGCTGTTCATATCGTTCTCGTTGATTATGAGAATTGAATGAACCTCTTCGGGCAGATTCTGACTAGTGAAAAGGGGAGATTGGAATACTTCAGGATTTGGCGCATATCCATTCTGGTACAAAACGGGCATCTCATCTAGTGCAATGGCGTACAGACCATGACTGTGAGGTATCAGCTTCTGTGAGCAGCACTACGCACTTGTTTCGCCTCGCTCCGTACACTGTTATGTCACCTCCTTTCCACGTGAATTGCATGTATGCTGAAGCGGTAGTTGTACCGTGGAAAGTGTCATTGAGGTACAGTTTGGCTAGAGGATCCTCTAAGATGCTCAGTGTGTCACATTGGTGAGGAGCTCACCTGTATGATCCGTAATCCACTGACCACCTCCAAAGACCAAGTACGGGGAAGAATCATCCAGCCTAGTCCACCCCGCAGGTAAAACTGATGAAGCGTCATCCGATACAGCTTTCGTTTGTCTATTGTTTTCGCTTGAACCACTAGCTTCATGTGGACTCAATTCAGGTTTGTCGTTCTTCTGACTCTCATGAAGGCTTTCCCATCTGGAATCGCTCTGTAACCGCTCGTTAAGAGCATCCAGCCCCTTGGACATGACCACGGGCCTCGTAGTGTGATACAGTATTATCGCATGAGGACGGGAGACGAATGCAAATTTAAGTGCAATCACGGAATGCTGGTACATTCCGCTTCCCTAGATGCTCCCTTTGTCTCAATGTCAAGGGGCAATATCGATCGAAGGATGAGCTATTGTACATGCAAAAGGATACCTGCCATGATACCTTAAAGGTAGACTGCGAATGTCTTGAGCACTCATCGCCTTAGAAATGGCCCAGAGCTCCGCTTCATTTAGCTTCTTTCTCAAATTTGGGACCTCGACTTGAAACTTTCCTTCATTGAAGGGTCTTCTGCGATGTTGGTCAAGTCCAACTTGTTTGGAGAGACACAGGAAGAGGAATGACAGGTGGCTTTGAGCTCACTCGATGATCCTCATCAGGTGGATGCGCGCTGATTTCTGCTTTCAGCATCTTAGCCAGGCGGGAGGTCGAGGGTTCTTGTACGAATCTGTCTGCGGCAGGCACAATGAGAGAATTGTTCTTGTATTCCTCTGCCAGCTCTGACAGGTAAGTCAATTTGGCTTTTGATTTCGGCATGGATCCGCCTGTTTCGGTGCAGGAGGACATGGCTGAAGGGACAGGCGCTGCATGCTGCAAGGATAGAGGTCGAGGTTGGAGCTGCTGGGGTGTGGCTCGTGGGTCGGCAGCCGAGTGACGTCTCTTGACAATGTCGACGGGATGAAGCGCCTCGCAGCTCGGTTTGTTGTCCTTGTGAGGATGCTCAGTCTCTGATGAGTCCTGCGTGTCAGCCACAGGAGATCTAGACTGGGTGGGCGAGCGAATGTCTTCGATGGCTACATTATCTCCAGTCTCCGCTTGAGCGGCTGGAAATCCCCGCCAAGCTTGAAAGATGACTCCGGCGGAAGCATCCATAGTAGATGCTGACCATGGAGACTTGCTTGAATCTCCTGCTGCTGTTTGGTGACCATTTGAGCCAGTGTCAATCGCAGACTTGATCGCTCGTAAGGAAGCAGCAGACTTTAGACCAGGCTTCGTCTTGAGTGTGATTGTGATGCTATCCGGTCGACGGTGTTTCCTTGCGGCAGACGGAGGGGGATCCACCAGAGGTACAGGCGGTTGAACTTGTTCTGAGGTCACCGGTGTGAAAGAAAGCTGCTCCTCTGGCCCAAGCGCCATATTCTGTATGAAAGCCGGCTGGATGTTGACAATATCTTCCACGCCACCTGCGCTGACCCGCCTGACGCTGTATGAGGTACAGAAGATAGATGATCGAGATACGTCCGAAGCGATAGATGACTTGCGACCCCCGAGCGGTAAGATATCGGACGTTGTATCAGACTGGATATGGAGGTTATTTGTGATCGAATTGACTCGTTGAATCTCATCCGGTTTGGAGGGCTCTGCAGAAAGTCGACGGAAAGTGATTGTGGTCTCTTGGAACTGTGGAGGGCCGAAGCTCGCTTTGCGACTTGCAAGTCCAGGAGATTCCGGTGGATTGGGCAGAGGTCTAGAGTCGATCAAGGGAGGAGCATGATAGGCAGTGACGAATTGTAGAAGCCCCTGCTGTCTCCTCCGGCGAAACCACATAGCAAACGCGAACAGTGCTGTGAAGAAGCTTGCCGGGATGCAGACCGCCACTTGTGAGTGAGCTGCCGCCCTGAAGATCTCGCACTCACGAGCTATTTTGCAAACATCTGAGACCATGTCTAATGTTCGTATTTCACTTCAGGATCAGGTCATTTGGCTCGTAGGATCACTCCTAGTTGAGTCTGGACGAAAGGAGGAGGCTGATCACCGGAGAGAAGGAATCAAAGGATGCATTCTCGCACATATAACTTGAGACGCCGAGTCCTGGTACCGATCAAGGTCTTTACATGAACGAGAAACCACTATTTTCGCCTAGCAACGTGTAGTCGTCGAAGAAGGCCTCGAAGTTGAAGCTGGTCCCATCGGACCCAAAATCGAATAAGGAATCTGCCACAGGTGGAACGGGGTTCTCTGCCTTTATCTCCTTGGTAGGGGGAATCGTGGACATCAGGGTGACCATCGGGTTGGCGGAGGACTCTTGAGGTGTTTCTATCGGGCTCTACGAGGAGCAAGAGGTCAGCCCCAAGAGGCGACGCCTAAAATAATAAACATGACTCACCTCTGGCTCGTCGAATTGTTTCGCCAATATTCGTAGCTTGTTGCCGTATCGTGTGGCAGGGTGGTCACCTGTAGGGCAACAAGTAAAAAGTGCTGAGCACATTCTCTCTATAGTCCGCCTGGTCCTATCTGTAAGCTTCTCTGACCCGGTAGGAGGGCTCACTCTGCCAACCCTTTGGGGTCCATGGCTCCACTGTGTGCAGCTTTGAGTGCAAAGACGCCAGCATAGACGAAATTGATGAGGAATCGATTGGGGAGATACTGCAAGACTCCAAGATTACCTAGTTCGAGACAAATCTTCAAGATTTTATCCGCAGCTTCGATCGACTCAAAGATATGTACTGCGTCTGGTGAAGCCGCGGCGCCTGGTAGATTAGTCATTGCACGATAAATGCTACGTACCAGTGGGGAAGAGCTGCAGAATGCCTGGTTTCTCCACAGCAGCGCGATTATGTGCTCGTTGGCAGTGAGCTTGAAAGCAAAAGCTCGTCACGTAGAGTCGGGCAAAATGATATAAGCACCCTCTCATAGCCTGTAGCCGGGGATCCTTGAACTTGACTTGACTCCACGTCTGTGGTAGGTGAGCCGGGATCTTCCACGATATACTGACTTTCCTGAATAGATCCAGAGAGTGGATGAACTGATCTACAAACTGACCTCATGTTCAGTACTATAAATGCCCATACGATAAACCCACCTTGATATATGTGCCTTGCCTCATAAGCCTTGATGTTCTCCCTTTTGTCGGATACAGCATATCATGCGCGGCCGTCATGATTTCCGTCAACTCCATGTGACTCTGCACGAAGCAAGCATCGTCATTGGTACCGTCTACGCTGGTCATCGTTGGGAAGTTGAATCGAGCGGCAGTCTCGCCAGTCTGTGAGCTGTGAGAAAACCCGATGAAGGAGATTTGAGGAGCCCGGGCCCAGAATGCCAGGCCAGTACGAAGGCTTGAGCGGGGGTTCAGCACCGGCCCAGAGATCTGCAAGCAGAAGGACTCATCTATCGTCCTATCAAAGAGATAGCACCATGTCCAAACTCCGCGAGCCCGTTCCTTCCACGCGGAGCGATCCTTAGGGATGTCCATCGCGATCGTATCCACTGCTTGTCAGACTCGATCTGACGGCGAGTTGCTCACATCCTAAAGCATACGCAGCCCGGAGGGCGAGACCAACCAGAGCCCAGAAGCGTCGGCTTTCATCTCCATCAAGCAGACTGGGACTTTTCGCGGCCTTCCCAAGGATCAAAGCGCTTTGTTCGCTGGGAGCAGTCTGTCGGGGTAGGAACTCAGCCAAAATCAATATGCCTTCCACCAGTCCGATTGAGGCAGATAGCCCGTAGAGCGTATAGTCCGCGAGACTCTGTCGCGCGACGGGCCACACTTTGTCATGAATTGTGCGGAGCTGTGGATGATGTCGTGAAGCTACCAGGACAAGCGCAGAGACAAGGAATGGTTCTTCAGCTGACAACTGAGCGATGTCGGCGTCAGACTTTGGTATGCGACGGGTCTGAACGATGGGCTGGGGATCAGCATCAGGAAGGCTTGGAAATATCTTACTAAACACCAATGGTACTGTTGAAAGTAGGTCTGTACGAGCTGGACGAGTTCATCCGATGATAGCAGGCCTTGCTTCACCAATATGTAGTCATCTAAGGAGACTGATCGACCAGATCGACCTTCTTCACTACCATTCTTCGAATCTTTCGATACAGCCGTAACTAGCAATTCGAGAGCATCTGTCTCATTGGCGAGGTCCGAAGCGAGGATGCGATCAGCTTGATTCTGAACCTTTTCTTGACAAACCAGAGCCGGCGAAAGGGTGGACAGAGGGATAGGGATGGCCCCTTGTTCTTGCTGTTGAGCATACACGTTGTTGTTGTCCTTGGGGAAATGGTTGAGCTGACGGTGAATTGGACTCTTGCAGTCTGCACCGCATGCCCCGAACATGTCATGGTACGCCATGACCGGGAACATCCTAGAATGTGGAGGGACAGATTTCGCTCGGTCCTCATATTCGAACGCTGATGCGTGTGTGACGGAAATGTTGACATGATTGAAAGACCCAGGCGATGTGCTGTCGATTCTCTCGTTGTCAGATATGGGTGCTCGGAAAGCAGTTTCGCTGTGAGCAGGATAGATCTGGACATAGTCGTCTTCTGACCCGCTTCGATGTTTCCGACGCTTCTGGATGGAACTTGAGCGGAAAGACTCGACATGTGAAGGCGTTTCAACTTACGGTCGGGAGGAAGACGCAGTTTCTCATTTCACGCTTGCATCTTGAGCACGGAGGTTTCGAAGGAGCATCCGTATCGCCGAGGTCGCATTTGGCTTTTCTCATGCGGCAATGAACCTTGACCCCTCGGTAAGGGGAACGAAGACAGACAGACAGACTCACACATGCTCTGTAACCTCTCTTGGTCCCAGTAGCAGCCTTGCGTTTCTGGCCGGGAGTGTCCTGAGTTCCGTCTCCTTCCTGACTTGAATTTTGATGAAAGCTCGGATTGTGAGTGGGCAAAGACCATGCGTTAGCACTTTCATGGAATTCCGGCGAGGATCTGACGGCTGACGGCCGATTGATCCGAAATTCATCGAAAGGCGATGAAGTCGCAAGGAAAGATTGATAGTTCATGTTGAGGAGACGGAGACTGGAATTAGATCATCAGTTGTCTCACGGAATCAGACGGGGCGGCGAGGATTTGATTGAACAGAGGGGGGCACAATTGTTCAATCTCTCCTTGTGCCCGATATGACCAGTGCACACTAGCATGAGCAATCAGTCGAGAGGAGGAGGGTCACCAAAAGAAAGGATGGTACTGTACTCAGTGTGAGAAGCGGCATCCATTGTGAAAGAGGGGGGCGGCATGCAAGTATTCACACAGCTGACGTATAGGCGGCAGGTGCAAGGTGACTGCACACATCGCACTTGAATATTTCCCCATCCCTTGTACATGGTGCATCGACTGCCAGTACATGCTTGAGAAGCTGTCATCCTGCGTAAAAACACTTGGGATCCTTTATCGTCGATGTGTTATGTTACGTGGGCATTGAAGTAGGAGTAGAATTGGACCATCAGCTCGGGTCGACCTGGAACGTCTTTCCATGTATAGAGTGTGTCCGACCTGTGCCAAGTATCTTCGCAGTAAAGCCATGCCGTGCCCTGTACTGCACACGGTACAATGTCATTCCAGCTTTTATTATCAAAACAAAATCTGTCGAGACATTCCGGATCAGCCGGAGACTTCGGAAGTGTGTCCGTCCTCAGCCGGCAAAGCGGAAGCAAAAAAAAAGATATCTGCAAGCCAGCGGATAACCGGCCCGGACGGAAGAAAGTCCAACGAGGAACCTGTGAGAAGGAAGGCAGCTGCTGCTTGTATTCGCCTTCTCTCACTCTTGTCTCTTCCTCTACTCTCGAGTAACCTTCATACAAGTGACCATAGCACCACAAGCTCATTTATCAACATGACTCAAAGCAACGGATCCTCTCACGCTCAACCCAAGTGGCCCAATGGTCCCGGGGTTCCTCTGACCACGCCATTCAAACCTGGCAATGATGAGATCGACCACGAGGCTCTCGCGTCTCAAGTCGTGAGGTGTGCCAAAGCTGGACTATCCATCGTCCTCATGGGCACCACTGGAGAGGGTGAGCGCTCGACCTTGTCACGACGAGAGTCGCATGAAGCTCACTGTCGGTCATAGCTTCCATGATGTCCAATGCTGAGCGAAAGGCCGCCGCTGCGACTGGACGCAAGGCTCTCGATGAGGCTGGTCTCAAAGATGCTCCTTTGTGTGTTGGTACAGGTGGAGGATCTGCTCAGACCACTATCGAGCTCTGTAAAGAAGCCGCCGAAGCTGGAGCCTCGCACGCTTTGGTTATCTGCCCTGGTGAGTGGCCCTCCGCCAAGCGAGAGAGCCAAGGGAATGGTGTAAAGGTCTCATCTGTCTCCTACAGGATACTTTGCTTTCGCCATGGGTCAACAGCGACAGGCCATCTTGGGCTTCTTCAAGGCTGTCTTTGACAAGTCACCTATTCCCGTGATGATCTACAACTTCCCGTGAGTCCCGGCCTTCTCGAACGGGGCGACTTCTTTTTTCCAAAGCTGACGACGGAAATAGCGGAGCTGCTTCCGGTATCGACTTGACCGCTGAGGAGATTTGCGAGCTGGCTGAACACCCCAACTGTTTCGGAGTCAAGGTGAGTTGACCAAATGCTCTCGCTCGTCTTCTTAAGGGAGGCTAAAACTTTTGCCTTCCACCAGTTGACCTGCGGAAACATTGGCAAAGGTACCCGAGTGGCACTATACACTTCCAGCCCGGAATTCCTCAAGCGAAGAGGCGAGGTGCTGAAGAAGCACACTGAGACTGGTCAATTCCAGGTAAGCCGTGTGAAGCCAAGGTATCCTCTACGATCAATTCCCTAATGGCTGCGCGCTTTCCCCAGATCGGACCAGGTTTCGTCGATACTCTTCTCCCTGCTCTCACTGCTCGACACACCATGTGCATCACCTCAACTGGTTGCTTGTTCCCCAAGACCATCCGAAAGCTTTACTTGACCGCTGTCAAGGGTCTTGAAGGCGACATGAAGTCATTCCAGGAAGCCCGTGTCCTTCAAGACAGACGTGAGTAGTCTCCATTGAGCACCCGAGAGCTCTCCATTGACAGTCCTGATTAGTCGCTCGAGCTGACGGAATTTCCGTCGCCACGAGCTTTGTTGGTAACGTGAGTCTGACGTGACGGAACGCTTTTTCTTTGGGTCGGTGCTCATCGCCCACTCAGAAATTCTTCCTGGACCACTACATCAGCAAAGGCCTCGGAGGAGAATGCCGACTGCCTCTGGCTCCCATCACTGACGCTACAAAGAAGCGAGTCATTGAGGAGTTCGCCGAAGACTGGGAGTTTGAGCAATCTCTGCCTTGATTGGATACGTCGAATTTACTACTTTGGAGGGATCTGGAGCATCCATGCATGCGTGACTGACCTCCATGTCATACTTTGAGACCTTGATTATACTGACTGGACCCTTTTGTCCGCCACATCCTCTTTCCTCTGACGACGCTTATGGTTTTTTGACGTTCCTGCCTAGAGCCTGGGCCACATAATAACCTGCAAGATCAGCTCAGATCGACCGTTTCTAGACTCACCAACGGCTTCCCTGGCCAGATTCGTATTCGACCAGAATCGACTAGGATGGACTCGGTTAGTCAATTGGATAGCAAAGGTTCCACTTGGTCGATCGATGAAGAGCGTCTGAAATCTTAGCAGAGACCAAAAGGCACAAAACTCACGGTGCCCGTGAAACCTGTGTGTCCCGCTGTCTCAAGCGATGCCATCGGACCAGACCAGTAGGTCTGGTTCAGCTCGAACCCAGCACCATGCGCGTTATTAGGGACTGTGAGAGGTCAGCAGAATCTCCCAAACGGACCCTTACATTTGGTATTATAATTCGTAAAGATGTAATCGACAGTCCAAGGCTCCAATATCTTGACGCCATGGTATCTTTACGGTCAGCCATCTACGAGTTCGACCGTAACTCACGTTCCATTATTCAAGATCATCTGACAAAAGATGGCAAGATCATAAGCCGTCGAGAATATCCCTGCGTGACCTGAGACTCCGTTCAAAGCCCAGGCATTCTCATCATGGACTGTTCCTCGAACAGGTTGCGGCCGAGGCGGTTCATATGTCGATCCTAGCGCTGCGATCTGAAACTCCTCTGCGACTACGCGAGAGTAGACTGGACACTCTGATTCTGGTTTGTTGCCCTCGTTGAAGAACCTGGGCGATCGATGATTGAGCCAAACATTTCACAAAGTTTGAAGCTCACGTATCCTTCATTCTAAGTGGCTGAGCGATTGATCAGCGAAAACGTATCACGGCATCTTGAGCAGAGACCCTTCGCCCACCTCGATCACGCGGGTCTTCATCAACTCGTTCAGAGACTGGCCACTGGTGACTGACATCAATTACGTGAGTTGAGATGCCATGAGAGTGTCATGAGATTCACCTACTCTCGCACAGAAAGCCAATGGTCATTAAGCTGATGTCGCTGTAGACGAACGCCTCGCCAGGGGGATTGACAGTGTACATGTCGAGAACGTGCTGTCTCCGAGCTTCGTACGTTGTAAAGCTATCAACCAAACAGTTTCAGCTCTCATCTCACTCCCAGAAGAAGCTACAGTAGCCCCCTACTTTGGAAATAGAGGAGGTACAGGATCAGGAGGGAATCCAGCAGTGTGAGTCAGGAGTTGGAGAACGGTAATTTCCGACTTGTTATCCTAGGAGGAGAAGAGCGTTCAGCGTATGCCCGCCCAGGACCAAGATGTATACGACTGACAGTACGGTACTCTGGTATGTACGTTGACACCTTGTCCTCGAGCGAAAAGTGACCCTGACCAATCTGGTCCAAAGCGACAATCGTAGTGAACAATTTAGTCAAGGACGCCTTGGCATGTTCAGTCGAGTAACTAGGGACTGGGATACTAAGCCGACATACCAAGTCATAGATCGTATCGTTTTTCGCGTCGACTTGCTGATCTTCAGGTAAATACGTGCCATTGACATCGGCGTATAAGACCGCTTTACCCGATGCGAAATGAGATACAATGGTATTTCGATGCCCGACGAGGCATGTGACGGCGGGGTACAGTGGGTGGACTTGATCGTGCGTATAGTAGCCGTCTGACAGAGTGGTGGTCAGCTCATGTACTTCTGAGAGGACCACCTCACGTACAGTTCTCTGCGGTCTCGTAGCTTGTCTGATTGACTACTAACTCATCAAGGGGAGCTGATACCAGTCCAACGGACTCTGGTGTGCCGTATTTTAGCGGGGCATTGACTGAGAGCTCAACAAGGTCAGTGCTGATTCATTCTGAATGCTTGACGACCAATCAGTTGCACGCCTCACCGTCCCACCAAGCCATATTTGGAGTAGCGAGAAGAGGCAGAAACGCAGCCTGTTTCATACTTTTGCGAATGGACAATGTCAATCAGTCAAATGAATCATGAAATTACGGCGAAAGAACACACCCATAGACCTCCATGTGACCGCCTTTTGGACACCCTCGAGATCCCTTCAGCCTCTTGGACTTGGAAGGCTCTAACGCTCCCTTGGAGTTTCTGCTGTGGACCCGGATAGCTCGAGAATGAATCTTGTGACCTAAGTGGGGGAGACACGCTAAAGAAGACAGACACATGGGGGAACTGGTTTCGGCTAACATGCCGTTCGGGCAAATTTTATCATGAGCCCGACAAGTCTGTGTCGATTTCGGATCTCATGCAAGGTGGGTGTGTTGCGCGGTCGGGATTCCCAGGCGGCAGTACTTTGTCAGCATACCCGGTCGATACCTCATGATGTCGTCTCGCTGTTGAGTCCCTTTCGACTGCGCGGACGAGATACTTGATATCTTCAGCACAGTCAAGACTCACCCCCGTTAATCCCGAGATCAAGCCTAATTCAGGCGAATACAGTACATGGCATGACAGTATAGAACCCCATGCATAGACCCAGTAGTCTACTCGTCGTCCTCCTCTGCCTCTTCCTCGTCGTCGTCGTCCTCGGCGCCCTTGCCAGCTTTGTAAGCGGCAATCTTGGCCTCGATCCTCTCGCGTCTCTGCTCCTTGTTGAGTGGCTTCGCTCTGTATTTGGAAGACTCGGATTTCCACTTTCCAACATCCTTCTCGGAAGCCTTGAATTCGGGCTTTTCACGGATGGCAGCGTAGGCGGAAGTGTACATCTCCTCAATGTCCTCAGAGTTGATCTCGTCAGCGAGGTAAGAGGCGAATTGCTTCTTGAATCTGTACGAGGAGCGGGCGGGCGAGAATCAGCATCATCATCTTGGGGGGTTTTGGAAACAAAAGCATGTACGCACCGCTCGTCATCTTCCTCCTCCAAAGACTCCATGTACTCTGCAACGTGTCCTCCGACAATGTACTTTTGCAAGACTTCGGCATCGAGTTGCTTGGTTTCAGGGTCGTATCCTGGGAATCGCTTCTCGTTGTGAGGGATGAAAATTCCACCGTCCGAAGCTCCCTTCATAGCTCCAAAAACTCGGTTACCGGTGGATGTTCGTCGAAGACCGACATCAAGGTAACATTTGAAAGGTCGGGGCTCGTCATCTCCGACTATACGCACGCAACCAGTCTTAGTCAGCCATCTATGCCATCTTTCATCCCTCGTAAAGCATCTCCCATCAACTCACGCTCCTCAGTGAGCTGAAGCTCTCCAGTAGGCTCAGTCACTCCCTCGTACTTGTCGGCAAGGCCCAACTTTGTCAAAGCTCGTCGAGCAACCAACAATCCAGTAGCGTAAGCAGCGGTCCAGTTCGTCAGACCGTGCTTGATACCGTACTCTGGAAGCTCCTTGGAACTGGCATGAGCAAGGATAACATCGCCTTGGAGCTTGGCGTAGGCGATTTGGCAGATGACCTGCTTGTTGGTGATTCGGACGACCAATCGGTATTTAGGGCTGGCATACTGTTCAAGCCTGTTAGCTGGAATTCTCTGCCGGGATGGAGCTCGCTCGCTCGCTCGCCCGCCCGCCCTCTCTCACCTTGTTCTTAGCCTGAGCGATCAGTCGCTTTCGGGCATAGTAGTCAGTCTTGCCCTCTCTTCTCCTTCGAGGCTTGACCTGGTACCTCTATTGGAGAAAAGTCAGCGAAATGGATCACTAGTGACTCGACAGAGTCAAAAACGAACCGAGAAGTAGGCGTCGTTCCTAAGTTGACGATCAGCCCTGTACCAACGAGATGCAGCTTATATCAACTCACTTTTGGGTCTTGACAAAAGGCATCTTGAGGGTCTGGAAGATGGATGAGTGGATTCGAAACTGGACCACCTAGAGCTTCCGGACTGAAATCTCGTCCAAATTGTCCAAGATGGTTATCGGCATTTTCGTCCGCCACGGCGTTTTATCAAAAGTGGCACAAGCCGTTCCATGCTGACTTCGGCGACCACCGCTTCCGGGTAGAGGCTGCCACGTCCGACCGTCTTCAGTGGTCCCTTTGAAAGGCTGTGGTAGTTGGTTTGCCTGCTCAACGAGTTTATCTACGGCCTGCGGAGCTCACTCACCGGTCAGAATGGTCTCATCATGGCTTTATGTCCTCTCATTGGTCGCTCCGACAGTCCTAGCTGGAATGTACGGCCAACCAGTGGTCAATCTCGATGCAAAGACTTTCAAGACAGTCATGGCCACAGAACACGCAGCGGTAGGCGACTCCGTACAATCTCTGACAGACTTAGACTGACACACTCAATCAAACAAAGATGGTGGCATTCGTCGCGCCGTGGTGTGGACACTGTAAAGCTCTCGGACCAGAATACACCGCAGCCGCCCAATCCCTTTCTCCCCTGATTCCCTTTTACGCTGTGGATTGTGATGACGATGTCAACAAACGTCTTTGTGCGGAACATCAGATCCAAGGTTTCCCAACGATCAAAGCGTTTCCTCGAGCTGGAAAAGGCTCTTCGAGAGATTATCAAGGCGAGAGGAAAAAGGCTCCACTGGTAGATTATGCGAAAGGCTTGGTCCCGGACAGAGTCAAGAAGCTTAGAGTGGATGATGGTGTTGAGAAGAGCTTGGACAAGTTCTTGGCCGAGGTGAGGCGCGCAAGATGAGAGGTGATTTGGGGATATGGTAGCTGATGCGAATCATGACAGAAACCCACTTTACCTCATGTGCTGCTGGTCCACCCTTCCTCTCCTTCTATTCCATTCTTGTGGAAAGTCTTAGGCCATAGATTATCAAGCAAGGTGGGAGGTTCAAGGGAGGGACCTCGAGTTGACCCTCAGATACACTTTGGATTCATTCGAGATTCTTCATCTCATCAGGTTCTGTCCACATTGGGCGTCTATGATCCAAAGGACAAGACGAGGGATGCCACTCGCGCTGTCATTTGGGCGCCAGGAGAGACTTCGAGGACAGCAGTCACCGAGTACGATGGTGAGCCATCAATCGTCAGACCAGACCTCACGGAGACCATGCTGATGGGAGAACAGATGTGCTCAAGTTCAATGCCCTTCTCGCGTGGATGCAGGATTATCTGAGCGGATCTACTGGAGAGAACAGAAATAAAGCGCGGGATGAACCACACGTCGAGAGCAACAACAACAACAAGAAGAAGAAAAAGGCTTCCAAAGCTAGTAAAGCTGGAGCTCCGGATCCTGCCCCGGAGCCTCAGGTCGATGATGCGGGTTCGAGCTCCAATTCAGCGGGGTCAAGTGAACAGGGTGTCCCTGCTCCAGAGCCGGAGGCAGTCAATGAGCCAGTTGACGGATCGGTGGATGAACAAGAAACCATCAAAGCCACACCGATACATGAGGAATTATAAGGGATTGCAAGGGGACATGATGCATGGATGATTATCTGGGTCGCGCAGACAGCTCGCATCACTCAAGATTTGAGTCATGAAACTCAGAACAAGATGCAAAAGAAGAGACGTCGGGCCTCTTAACCTGAACCCGCATGGGAGTGCCTTTCAGTCCGGGCAGCCCTCGATGTCGGTTCGTCCAGACTAACTTTCTACCGATGATGTTTTGAGTCTATCTGATGTAGAGATTTGCTTGAGACGTCCAGACCGCAAGGAGTGAACCTCGATATGGCTTTGTTATTTACCAGAAGCGGACAACGGCTTGTATTGGTATGCTGTGCCGGCCATCCCGGGTATACCGCATGCCGCGCATTGGGTTTTTTACCCGTGGAACGGGCATTTCGAACATTGACTCGACAACAGAGGTGTCTGTCTTCTGGAACCATTGAGTCATAGTCTATTGGACACTCTGGCGGAAACGACGAAATGCGGACACTTCATGCTGAGACGCTCGAATTTCGACTCCTCAATGCCCTAGTGATACCTGACAAACCGAATTCAGGCAACTTTGCGCCTATCGTTTTGGTCCCGAAATCAGATCCCAGGTCAAATGACACGGCGTGGATGCGCAAGATAGCAGATGATTTCGCGTACCCTATGGTCGCTTTCCTCGTCCCATCCACGGATGATTTGACTGAGGAAGATGATGGGGAGAAGTTGGAGTATGGGTTGAGATTCTTCGCCCCGGCTTCGGTGGGTCTATCCCGTCAAGCCAAAGACGAGAAGATATAGGAACGCTAAAACTTTCGGCTTCCATCTTAGGAAGTCCCCGAATGCGGTCACGCAACATTCGCCGCTGCGGATGTCCTCTTCAAAAGCCACCCTAAAGCTCGTTTCGTCAGATTGAACACGTTGGGCGGATCCCTCTATGTCGAATCGACGCCCGATGGACCCTTGATGTCTCTTCCTGTCATCAACATTGAGAAACTATCTGACCCGGAGCGTAACAAACTCCGCTTCGCCGTTGTGGACTTCCTTCAGAAATGCTCTTCTATCACATTGAGAGACGTCACGGAAGTGTCCACGTTTGAGTTTGCAGGCCGGTCCTGTTACCTTATCGAGCTGGATCCGGGTGTCGACGTGGGAGCGGTGAGGATTGACCCAAAGGCTCTGGTGAGTTGGGATCCCGGAAGAAATATCTCTGTGCTGCAAGATGTGGCTGAAACCCTGGTCTTCTGGCCTAGACATCATTGTCGACCGGATTGATCATCCTGACTCATATCGTCATCCCGGAGTGCACAGACGACATCCTTCGTATCGATTCAAGAGTATTCGCTCCGGGTCTAGGTGTAGATGAGGACGTCGTGGTGAGTTGGGGTGGGGGGGGGGGGGGCATCTCGTCGTCGTCGTGACCGATCGGACCCCGCTAACAGTAGTTTGTTCCCAAGAGCGGCGTGCCTCATGCCCTTATGACTGGCTATTATACGCGATACCCTGTCCTCTTACGTCTACCGGGAGCATTGAAAGACAAGATTCCCAACGACATCATCGTCAGTGCGAAACAATTGAGTGCTCGTGGAGGTGCAATGATCTGTCGTTTATGGTTTGGAGAAAGGGCTGTGATCCAGGGGAAGAATGTGGAATGGGCCAGGGGGATGTTGTTGTAGGGCAATAATAGCTTTGTGCCGGGGTTATCTATTTTGGGGCAGAGGGGTCTATGATGGAACCATTTCTGTATCTACAGCCGCCCCGAGCTCAGCAGCGGACTTCAGAGCGTGTTTTAGTCCGAAGGAGAGCATCCAATCCCTACATGTGTCCGGCCCGATCACCGGCAATTGATTAGTAGATTTGATCAGCAAGCTGATACACACCAAAGAGAAAAAAAAAGGATAATTCACATTCAGTGCGTCACCGGTGACGTCGATCACCCATAGGGGATCTTTGTGGCTCCAAATCGGAGTTCATAAGCTGTCGAGTGGCGGCATAGGTAGAAGCAGCGGCAGCACTAAAGCAGTGGCAATCCTCATAGTAGCAGAGGGGAGGAAGGAATGAGCAAAGGGGATGTAATGCTTTTTGGAGTATGAAAGCCTATTTTCAGTGACGCAACCGGCATCGAGAGAGAGAGAGACACGTGTAGAGTGCCTCGTCCCTTTCAACGTCTGGAACAAAAGATTCAGCAAAACTTGGCATCATCGCATCTCATCCCATTTGACACTCTTTAACCAAACAGCCCAGGACACTCAAACATTAGAGTGTGACATTCGATCCAACATGGCTAGAAAACCACTCTACCTCAATTCAAAGACGTTGACTTCGCACCTGTGTGAGTTTGGCATGGTCCAGCTACACGGCACCTGACATAACGCTTTCTGACTCGATCCCAGTCTTCGGCCCCTATATCTTCTTCCCTATCCTCGCTGGACTCACATGGCTCGGTGGTATCCTCGCCCTGTTGGGTCTCTGGGTGCATGCCGGAAAACCACGTTACGAAGCGGAAGAAGCGAGTGTAGTGTTCATTTCAGACGTCGGCGCTGCGCACCATGTGAGTAAGAGGGGGTCGCACAGCCGTGTGTCAGCTAGGCTGACGATCGGCATGTGTGAAGAAACTGTTCATTGGCATATGCTGCACTACCGCTGGGTGAGTCATTCTCGCCCTGCTTCTAGACTCCTGAGCTCATTTTACCCGCCAAATATCAGTCTCTACGTCATGTCGATCATTGCTGAACGATGGCTTCGACACGTCGACCGTCTTCCGGCAGACAAGCGAAAGCGAGAGAGGGTCTTTGGTGAGCCAGACAGAAGAAGAAGAAGAAGAATGTGTTCTTATGATTTCAGACTGGATGGCTATCGTTTTTGGCGCCATCGGAGCTCTGGGTCTGGTCTTCTTATCGATTGTAAGTCTTATACGAACAGCTTCGAATCGACTGACATCAATCCAGTTTGACGCTTTTGATTACCCCAAGGTCCACTGGAGTATGACCGTTGTCTTTGTCGTCTTTGTCGCTTTGTCTGCCATCTTCCAATCGGCCGAGGTGGTGAGTGTGGCATACGTTCTCTCACTCGCACAAAAGCTGACTTGGCATCGTCTTCAGTGGTCACTCTACAAGGATCACCCTGATCGACCTCACTTGCTTCGGAACTCTATCCTCAAGCTGATCATTGTCACCTTGGCCATTTGCACGGCTATCGCTTTCGCTGTCACTTATGGCTACGTGAGTGTGCATGCTGTTTGACGTACCAACGAATGCTGGTTATTGACACCCTGGACCCCCTCACCAGTGCGATGGAAACTCGGTCGCTGTCAAAGGACACTCTGCTGCTAAGTGCAATCGCGTCACTTCTGCCGCTGCTGCTCTCGAATGGACAGTCGCATTCATCCTTGTATTCTACTTTTTCACCCTCGCCGCAGATCTTTGGCCCGCTGGTAAATCCTCACCGCGATACATGCGACGATTGGCCAAATGGCAAGAGAAACATGGCGAAGGAGATGACTTTACAGGTCGTCGAGCCTTCTCAGAGTACCCTGAACGATGGCAAGGTGCTGCTGCCAATGAGGAGGTCGGTGGTGGCGGTGGATGGAGAGCTAGAGCCGAGAGAATGAAGATCGCCTCAAAGGAGAAGAATCAAGGGATCGCCCCTGGAAGAGATAGCATGGCTAGTGGAGCTCCACTTCGAACTGCAAATGGTGGCGATACAAGAGAGCCATCTGCCGAGACGACCAGGTAGAGAGAGAGAGAGAGAGAGAGCCACGATGACTGTCGATCATCCACATATACACGCTGTAGCCACTAGTATTTTTCTTCTCCTTTTGATCACTCTGAAAGCAGACATTCCCCTATCGTCCAAATGCTCCGACGTGTATGGTATAATGATATGTATTGCCACATTCGTACGGCCATATCATCTGAGCCCCCTATTCCCCCCCTTTGATTCTTACCTGATGCGGAGTTCGGTTTAAAAAAAAGCTACGTCACAATCCTAGATACATTTGCCGCTTTTGGTAAAAAACTCCAAAGAGAGAGATCACATCCCAAGTGATTGAACGCCTCCCGGGTAAGTCTATAGTTCCCTCAAGTTGAGGCAACTTGACTACCCCATTTCCCGCTGGGTCTCACCTCTCTTTCTCTCTCTCTCTCTCTTCCCACTTTCACCACTTGACTTCTCTCCAACCATCTCATCAACCAACTACTACTGCTCACACAGCACACACCTCGACCATGTCACGATTCGATCAGCTCTCGCGGACAGAGTCGAGAGCCTCTACCATCTCGAGGAACCAGAGCTTGGTGAGTGTGTAGTGGTGCTGCTGCGGTGCAAAATGGGCCGGTGGTTGGGCAATAGCGGGAAGCACCGAGTAGTGGTAGAGAGTAGATGATCGAAGTGATCATTTCTCTCCCTCCCTGCTCAGCTCGACTTTGCGACCCTCCTCTCTGCCCCTACTCCCACTCCTCCTCCCTCTCCCCACCTAATCTTCTGCTGACACGCTCTTTCCCACCCCCATTCCACACAGATCAAGAAGAACACTGCCCCTCATGAGCTTAAACCTTCCGACATTCTCATCGAGCGATTCACCGCTTGGAAGCAGATTGTCAAGATGCTCATCTGTGAGTCGGGTCGCCGAGTCGGTGACGTGAAAAGGCTCACATCGTCCCATAGCCTACTTTGAGGGAGTCGCAGACATTGAGGCCAACACGTCCAAGGAATTGACCAAGCTTGGCGCCGTTATCCAAGTCCCTTTCCGACCCGGAAATCAATTCTTGGGCGAGGGTGGAATGCAGGTGAGTTCTTGATCCTGACACCCACCTACATGAGCTCATCCTCCCGTTCCAGGACGTGTTCTACACCATCAGAGACAAGACTCGAGTCATCGCCGACTCTCACTCGTCTCTTGCTAGAACCATTGAATCCTCCATCGTTCAGCACCTCCAGAAGCTCCGACAGGAGATCAAGGCTCACCTCAAGAATGTTCAGAACGACACTGGTAAGCTCGCCGCTTCCGTCGCCAAGGAGCGAGAGCTCTCCACCAAGGCCATCAGCGACCTCGCCCGAGCTATCAGTGCCGTCAACCACACGCCCATGTCGGTCACTGCCAAGGAAGACCCCTTCGCCGTCAACATGGCTGTGAACAAGCAGCTCCAGCGACAGGTGAGTCTTATCAACAAGAGCTCAGTCATCTAATGCAACCACAGGTCCAAGAGGAGAACGCTCTCCAAAAGTCCATCGTCATCATGCAGCAAAACTCTGCTCACTTCGAAGAGGGTATCGTCCGATCCATCCAATCGGCCTGGTCCACCTTTGACGAATGGCAATCCCGAATGTCGACCTCTGTCCAAGAGACTTGGCGACAGCTCGGAGTCAACATGGCTCAGCTCTTGCCCGACCGTGAATGGATCTCGTTCGCTGCCCGATCTGACCACCTGCTCGACCCCGAGACTCCTCTCCGAAACCCCGACATGATCGACTACCCTGGAAAGAACGACCCATCTGTTGTTCCCATTCACACTGGTCTCCTCGAGCGAAAGAAGCGATTCACCAAGTCTTACAAGGAAGGATTCTATGTCCTCACTCCTGCTGGTTACCTCCACGAGTATGCTTCGTCCGACGCTAGCACCGCTACTCACCCCATCTGGTCGCTCTTCTTGCCTGCTTGCACTCTTGGACCTCCTTCGTCAGCCACCACTGCCAAGTCTCACAAGTTCCACATCGAAGGCCGCAAGGATGGCACTTCGGCTTACGGCAAATCCCCCGGTGCCAAGAACTTCTTCAGCGGAAGCGACACTGCTTTCACTTTCCGCGCTCGTTCTCACGAGGAGATGATGGAACTCTGGAACGACCTCCGAATGCTCGTCGCTCGATACCTCGTTGCCTCGGAGCAGATGGAGCGAGACGGACCTGTCGCCCAGGCTGTCCGAAGCGTCGGGTAGGTCGTGCTATTATCTTGGGGAAACGCGATGCTGACTTGCCAGATACGTCACTGACGAGGAGGAAGAGGGTGAGGAGGAAGAGGAGGAGGGCAGCTCGGTCGAGGCGGAGGAGGAGGAAGAGGGCGAACACGAGGATGAGCACGAGCATGAAGGTGAGGCCGCCCACCACGACGGTCACGAGGACGTCCCTGCCTACTCTTCCGGTGATGCTGGCCCGATCGAGGTCGGACCCAACGGATACGCCGTGAGCAAATTCTCCAACGACACTGTCCCCAGCTCACCTTTTTCCTTTCTTCAGATCGACAAGAAGGAGGGAAAGCCTGAACTTGAACCCGAGGCCGCAGGATCCGATGCGGGTGCCGGTGGTTTGTCCCGACGAGAAGAAAAGGCGCCTGCGAGGGAAGAGCCTACAACTGGTGAGGACAATTCTCCTCCCACCCTTGCTCCAGTAGTCAGCACCAAAGAAGGAAGCGTCAGCGGTGGAGACCATGACGACCATCAAGCGGCTGGCGCGGACAGTGGTACCACTGCGGTCCAATCCCCTTCCAGATCAGCCGGCACCGTCCCGACTTCTCTCGGCGAGGTTCCTCGTGCTCCTCCCCCCGTCACTTCCCCAGATTCCAAGCACTTGCACCCGGGTCAAGTCGCCAAAGCGCCTCCGAGTGTCCTTGATTCGTCAGCACCTGGACCTGCACCAGAGCCAGAGACACCGACCCAGGAGGAATCGTCAAAAGAACAGGCTAAAGGGCTGTTTGGGCGGTACACTGCTGGCTTTGGTCGGGGCAAGTGATTGGGAGCCAGAGCGACGGGCGGCGACGCGAGACACTTTGATGCTGGCTGCTGGGGCTGGGAAATTTGCTGGACTCATTTTCTTGGAACGTCGCGCTGACACTTTTACCCTTTTCTTTTCTTTATCATTGTCAGCCGACGACTAGGCAGCCTTCTTGTTCTAGGTTCACCATTCTTCCCCGCGGTCTTTGTTGATAATCATGGACGGTCAAGTGTCGTACTACGCGTCTCTTCTGGTCTGGATTGTTTAATATATCTTCTTTTGTCTTCATCATCATCGTCTGTCATGTCGTCCCTCAGACTGTCCTTCCTACACGTAAGGAGCAGTGGATTGACCAAGGCATTCTTTCCTCCCTCTTCTCTTTCGTTACTGCTTTGCTCTTCTGCTTCTATATATACATATACAAGAATTGGCCTGAATAATCGTCGACTAGATCTGCGGTATGCGTTGTGATGCAAAAAGTTTTGAATCAAAAAGAAGCAGGGTTTTGTTCGGCAACTGGATTGATACCATAGCCGGAATGACCAGCGGAATGCGATTGATACGTTGTGTCTGTCGCGACTGTGATCGCACATCATGTCGTCTAAAGGGTCAAAGATGAACCAGAAACAGGTGCAAAAGCTACGAGAGCAGGTCCTCCACATGCTCACTCAAACACCTCTCCCGCGAGTGAGAACACGACTTCGAGCCTTGCTTCATGTCTACTTGGCACATCGTCCAATTGTCGAGAGAGCCCTGACGGCTGGTTTCGTGCTTTACTGCCTGGGAACAACGTATCTCGGCATAACGGGCAAAGGGGGAGTCAAGGGAGGTGAGGGAGGACGCGGTGATCGGAAGAGCGGCAAGAAGGGTGAGAGGTTAAGATTGTCCTCCTTCTCCACCATGCTGAGCTGACCGCCGCGCGCTTGGTTACCTTAGGTAAAGGCTCTTCATCGACCTCTGCATCAGTCAATGATCCAGTTTTCCATACTCGTCTACGGAAACTCTTACGGATCGTCGTACCTTCGCTCAAGTCACGAGAAGCGGCTATGCTGGTCCTTCATTCAGCTTTCCTCATTGCGAGGACCGGTCTCAGTCTATACGTTGCAGATCTAGATGGTAGGTGAGTTGGGCGCACAGGGCAATAGTCCTCCCCTCCCGACCTTTCTTCTTCGTCGCCTTTGAGTAACATTCTTGCTTGGAAGGGATAGACGCTAAATGTGTTGAAACCAGAATCGTATCAAGCTTGGTGACTGCTCGACCTGACCTCTTCGTCAAGAATATCATCCGGTGGCTTTTGGTCGCCGTACCCGCTACATACACAAACTCGATGCTGGAGTATCTACAATCGGCACTTGGCCTGGCATACAGGACCAGGCGAGTGGATAGTAGCACCTGGTCTAGGCATTGGCTGACTGACGGCTGATGCAAGGCTGACGGAATACGCGCTCAAGAACTATCTCGATCCACCGACTCAAGGCCCTGTGGACCCCTCTTCGTCCCGCGAAGCGAGAGTCGATGCTGCTCTGACACAGTCATTACGGTCTGATCAGAGCGACAAGCTATTCTACAAGCTCGCAAATTTAGATGACAGAATTAAGAATGCGGACCAGGTGGGTTACCCGCCTGGCGAGGGTTTTGGAGATGGAAACGACCCGCTGAACTCCTATCAGTACCTCACAGTCGACATTCAGCAATTTAGTAACAAGCTCGCAGAGATTTATTCAAATATCGCAAAGCCGACATTGGATGTCATGTGAGCCTTAGCTCGAAACATGGTCAGTCCGGAGCTGATGGCTGTCCTGGACAGTCTGTACAATTACCAGCTCTCTCGCAACGTCGGGGCAGAGAGTTTGGTCGTACTCACTGTGCTTGTCCAATCGAGCGCGGGACTATGTGAGCGTCAAGGCCAAAGAAACCCAGCTGACGACCACAGTACGGGCGGTCACACCGCCGTTCGGCAAGTATGCGGCCCATGAAGGTGAGTTCGAACTAGCAAGAATTAGTTTCTAAAAGCCTTGCAGCAACGCTCGAAGGCGAGCTCCGTTTCACGCATTCTCGACTGCTCGAAAACTCCGAAGAGGTCGCTCTATATCATGGCGAAGAATACGAGAAAAACGTTATCGAACGAGGTTACTTTGCCCTCGTCAAGCACATCAACCGAGTTCTGGGTATCAGAATATGGCATGGCATGGCGGAAGAGGGAGTCATCAAGTGGCTCTGGGGAAGCTTGGGTCTGTGCATCTGTGCCATCCCCGTGTTTGGAGGCGAGTTGCTAGGCATGAAGAGCGGCGATCTAGGTACACGGACAGAAGGCAAGTGTAACGTTCCGAGACTTGCGCTAAGGTTCTCTAGGCTTCGTGACGAATCGCCGCTTACTCCTCTCTGCCAGCGATGCCTTTGGCCGAGTCATGTACAGCTACAAGGTGGGCGCCTGTGATATCACGGAGAGCTCACTCCTAGGAACTCGCCGAGCTTGCAGGCTATACATCCCGAGTATCCGATCTATTTGACGCCATGGACGATGTCAAAGCCGGCAAATATCAGAAGAAGCTGGTCAGCAGTGGCGGAGTTGAGAATAACGAGAAGAGTGTGTACAGGGTTCATAATCGTACGCTGAGCTGGCAGTGCTTCAGGGTCGAGGGAAAATCATTGAGGCGGAGGAGATTCGTTTCGAGGGCGTACCTCTGATCAGCCCAAATGGCGATGTCTTGGTGAAGTCCATGACGTTCCATGTGGATTCAGGGGTGAGAGAGATTCTCATGAGGGATGCCTGACAAAGTTGCAGAAACACTTGCTCGTGGTCGGACCAAATGGCTGTGAGTACACAGATTTTGCCCTGAATACACGTGTTCTGACTATCTTTAAGGCGGCAAGAGCAGCCTCTTCCGTATCCTCGGTGGACTCTGGCCAGTTTATGGCGGGACAGTGTACAAGCCTCCAAATCACCAGTTCACGTATATCCCACAGAGACCTTACCTGTGCACTGGGACTTTGCGCGACCAGATCATCTATCCTCACACGCACGACGAGATGATGGCACGTGGCGTCACGGATAGAGACCTCGAAGAAATGCTCAACGTGGTGGATATGGGTCACATGGTTGAACGAGAGGGAGGCTGGGACAGTAACAGGGAATGGCGAGATGCGCTCAGCGGAGGCGACAAGCAGCGAGTGGCTATGGCGAGGTTGTTTTATCATCGACCAAAGGTGAGTGTGCAAGTGTCTCTCGGAAGGGGCTGACTTGGACAGTACGCTATCCTGGACGAATGCACCAGTGCTGTGACACTGGAGATCGAAAAGGCAATGTACGATCACGCGACGGGTGAGTGGATATAGCTTGTCCTAAGCTGATCGTCAAAGCCCTCGGCATCACTCTCATGACTGTCAGCCATAGACCGTCCTTATGGAAGTATCACTCGATGGTTCTTCAGTACGACGGTATGGGAGGATATGTCTTGTGAGCTCTCTCCGCATTTCAAACCCTTGAGGGACGCTGATGAGGTCACAGCACCGAGCTTGATCCTGAGAAACGGCTCGCCCTTCAGGAAGAAAAGCAAGACCTGGAACACAAGCTGCTCGAGGTGCCAAAGCTTAGAGCCAGATTAGAAGAGCTGAAGGCTGTCAAGCAGGAGCGAGAGCGAGCCAACAAGTAGAGTGAAGGCCGACTCTGTTCCTTACAGGTCCTGCACGCTGCAAAGATTGTATCATATAGTTGTCATCAATTGTCTGTCAGTACTACGGTTCTATACCCCGAGCCCCAATCGGAATCTGGGTTCACCGGGCAGTCCGAATGATACCAGTCTATGCCTACCAGGCGTGCCGTAGGATTATCAGAGGTGTTGAACCCTCTTCCCCAGCGAGACCCGGAGAGCCATGCTCTACTGCACTTTGACGATTGACATTTTCCATTCTTCCAGACATGATAGGCGAGATTTGGACGGTAACTGTACCCTTCTTCTCCTCCCCGGTTACTGTTGGACGGTGCTTTGAACACCAGGAACGAGTGAGATCTGACGATTGCGTGAAAGTCTCCTCTTCTATAAAGCGTCCATCCGTGGCGCATCTCGGAAGTAAGAGCGTCAGCTGTCCTTGCGTCGAAGGTAGAGCCATATCAGGGATGTATACCTCGAGATTTCGTGGTGGAGGGAACGGCAGGAGAAAGTAGAGAGGGCGTTATCGGGAGATTCTGGAATGCATATCCGCGACTTTTATGTACTGTATATGTATGATGTATACCGCGCTCTGCGTGTCGGGCGGGCGGAGCTTTGTCCGCTTCCCACTCTGGCAAGACCCCTTGACGGGCGATCCTTTCTTACTGCCTCCTTGACGCAGAACTCTGACCCGTTGCAGTTGGCAGGACCAGCGACAGTGTGTCCAGTGCAAGATGAAAGGAAGGCAGTGCCACACCCAGCCCCCGTCGTACTGTATGTACTGCTTGCTGGACAGGTGGATTTTTAGAGAAGATACTGAAAGGGGTAGAGGGTCGCGTGTCAGTGGGAGGTCAGTCTTTCAAGCTTTTGTGCTCATTATTTCGTATAGATCAGTCTGCATGCTGTCGTCATGTCCGTTATGGGGGTTTACCGCCTCACAATCGAGACTTGTCCATCGTGCCTGTATCAGTAGTATCCCTCATTCTCGCCTCCGCCCCTTGGAAAGTGTCATACCAAGGATGAACAGGATCCTCATTGACCACGCAGTCTGGATGGTAGTATTCTACCCCGACCATATACACTTGCCTGTCCCTGAAGTATTGAGAGGTCGCCCGCAATTCTCAGATTGACATGTCCCATTCTGCCACACTTTCAGGCCAATGTTTGTCTCCGTGGTCGTTCCGGACGTCGTGGGTGCGTGGGATTGACACCACTTCCTACCGTCTGAAGACTTCGTGTACTCTGAGTCGAGAATCAACTGTGAGTCCTCAGAGCACTGCGGAACCAAGGTAGTTTCGGAGGCAGCGGTTGATGTCATGATGGTTGCTTAGGGATGTACTGTGTGATAGGTCTGATATGTCTTTCAAGGGCAGTGAGTTTGTTTGACTTATGGAAAATGGGAATGCTCAGCTTTTTATAAGCACCCATTTTCTTACATGCTAGGGAGCTCATAGCAGTAGGAGCCAGAGCCGCGAATCTTCCTCCTTTTACAGAAGATGATGAAGGGATATAGACTGTTTTCGAACAGCGGTGCTGATACGCGTGGCAAGCTGGCGCGAGGTCTTCGCTCCTCACGCCGTCCTTTCACTCTTCTAATAGACCCCGTCAGCCCGAGTCGAGGTTGATTTCGTCATCCAGCATCAAGCAGTGAGTGGCGGCTCGCCCACTACCCTCTTGGAACTGCCGAGACTACAACAGCTATCACCTCGTCGTCGAGGTACCGGAAGGTGAGATCGCATATCCCCATGCATGCCATGATGTGGAAATCCGCCATTTAATCACATCTCGCCTCACGCCGAGCGTCTATAGGAAAGGCTCAACGTCGATCTCCATTGCTGAGCATGGTCGGACTAGCTCAAAGTTTTGCAGGACAGTCGGGTGCAAGATGCCAATAGAGCCAATGACGATATCTCTCGAGCCATCTTTCAAGAGAGGCAGAGCGGCTTTGAGATTTGATGCCAGCGTCTCAAGGGCTGATTGGGGTTTTGGAGTCGCTTGATGTTCTGGAGTCTGTTTGGGTCGATAAACAATCTTGGCGCCTCGACCTGGAAGATACGTGGGATCTGCAAGTTGTCAGGTCGAGAAGGCACTGATCGAGCTCACCGTCCGCCTTGGCGATGTAGTAGCCGTACGTTGCCTGACTCTCTTCGCTCTGGATGAAGGGGACTCCAAGAATCTGCATGACGCGGTCCAACAAGCCCTGAGTCACTTCGAAACCTCCTTTCTTGTCCATGTACACTGCGCATAAGCGTCGGTAATTCCTCGTCTGTCTTTCAGCCTCGCGGTCCTGCACAGAGATGTCTGAGCATTCAAAGATTTTCAAAGGGAGAGGCAGTGACTTGTTCTCGCGTATAGTCTTGAGCATTCCTGGGAGTAGAGACGTCCTGACTATCTGGTATTCGAGAGATTTCGGGTTTGCCAACGAGACGGCATAGTGGCCTGGGTCTTTGCGATTCAACCAGGCAAAGTTCTCGTCATGTGAGCACTGCACAGGTCAGCCGAGCAATCGCGGGATCTCGTGAAGCTCACCAGAATCAGCGGTAGCGCCTCAGTCCATCCAGCCATCGCACATTCCTTCCGCAGGATATCCCCAAGTTTGTTGATCGCAAAAGGCTTGGCGATGGTGTTGACACCCGGAACTCGCCGTGTGAGATTGTTGAAACCGTATGCAATGGCAGCATCTTCCATAACATCACATTCGTGGAGAATGTCAGGTCGAGTGCAAGGGACTTCGATCTCGAGGGCGTCGGAGTCACCCGTTGAAGGCTTGGCAGCCAGAGTCATCCGGGTGAGGAGGGTACATTGCTCGTCACGAGATAGACTCAGACCAGTAGCTGCGTTGATATAGGATGAAGAAGCCTGGGTGGAACGAGGAGCGATGGGTGGAAATATGTGTGAGGAGCCGTCTGGCATGTGCACCTTGACGGGCTCAATGCTGTAATCTGGTTAGCTATTCACGGCTCGAGTGTCACTGCTGGCAACGTACGAGAATGGAACGGCACAGTATTCGGCGAACATGGTCGCCATCATGTTGATGACAATGTCCCTGAGATGACAGTCAGCGACGTTCCAGTATGCCGAACTACACCACTTACAACTTCGTCTTATCCGTGGCTGTTGACTCGATGAAGATGTTAGTCGTCTTTCCAGCGACGATTTTGGAGTCTGGATCATGTAATTAACAAGAAGTACGATTACCTCCCGCTCCGGACTCACGCTCAGAGTTGATGATGGGAGGCATGGAGAGAACCCGATCTTTGCTGTCATAGATTATGGGATAGACTGGGGAATCTCGGATGATGGGCAGGAACTTGCTCAAGTGTCTTTCTCCCTGCGTTGAGAGTCAGCTTGATGATCCCACCAAAGTGACCTGAGCACACCTCGTAGATCGTCATAAGCTCTTCTGCTGTGCTCTCCTTGTCCTTGCCCAACGGTGCGAATTTGATAAGTTTAGGGTCCTTGTGGAGGTATCTGTAAGCCCGTCAGCTCGACCTTGATCCGGGACAATACGTCACGCTCACTTGAAAGGTCCCTGGATCGTATCCAGATCGTGCGTACCAATAGCGACAAACTTTCTCATTCGGCACAAATTCTGATGTAGCTTGTCTTGTAGGTCAATAAAGGATTCATATTCCAAAGTGTTCATCGGTCTTGCTAGACGAAGGACACAGGCACCGAGGTACGGCCGAAGCGGGCTGGTCTTGAGAGACTATGAGCCATTGACCATGGACTTGAACTCGCTATACTCACCGACGACTCCACATAGACTTCTTGCATTTCAGCCGGGACAGACAAAGTGTAAGTTGGGGGCTCCTGCTTTTGCAAGAAGACACGAAGCGCTCGAGCGATGCCTTCAAGGCAAAGCAAATCGTATCTTGAAAGGCATCAATATGATTTCAAGGCCAAGGAAGAAGTACTGTCCCACCTATTCGCTGGAATCTCAATCTTGAGCTGAGGTGGAGGAGTCGGTAGACCCTTTTTCCGTGCAGCTTCGACATCTTCGGTAGTCTGCCCAAAGCTCATCAGCCAGCCTCCTCGCGCAAGCAAGAGTCATCTCACATCCTCATCTAGCTCAACACCAAAATCAAAGCATAACTCGTCGAATTCATGCGTCGCTAGAGGATCCACCTCGTTCAGTTCATTGTCTGAGATCTCGAAAGGCTCAACGTACTGTATTCCTTGCCTAGGCGACGATACAGCTCCGCTTTATCAACGGTGATAGTAGGCTATAGCGGTAAGCCTCAGCGTGGGTCATTGAAGAGGCTGATCTCGGCTCACCATGTTGACTCTTCAGATTCGGATGCTCAAGAGGTGCTCAGAAGGCGTGCAATCTAGAGGTACATCTGGGAATCATGTTCAACCCTCTCGACGTTTTCGAGTCAGAAATTTTGATTCCGCTCATCTGTCCCTCAGTGGCACGCTATATGATATTGCATGGAATGGGCCCAACTTCTAAACTGCTTTCTACGCAAGACGCAAGGGAGAGACGGATGAACAAGTCAAGTTATACAAATTTCATGGTGTCCTTGCAGCCGTATTCGTTAAACGCGTAAACTTGTGCACATCCTATTTGTCTCCAATCTGTATTGCCTCGAATTGGCCAGTACCGATCCGACGACAACGCTGTCCAAGGGTCGGTCGATTTGGGCAAATAGAGCTACCGATTCTATGCCTTCGTCCTCTTCTTCCTGGCCTTGGATGACTCGTTCTCGTCGTTGCTCTCTGGTTCAGCCTTGGTCTTGACCTTTGACTTCGCCTTTTTGGCGCTCGAGGACTGAGAATGTATGAGCCCGGATGGAAGCAAGGATGAAAGGCTCACTTTCACGGCCTGTCCGGCGGTCTCGTCATCTTGGTCGACGTCCACAGCTTTTGACGTTCGTTTTTTAGCAGCAGACTGATGAGGAATTATCAGATTTGGGGAACTGAGATCTGGCCACTCACCTTGGCGGGCTTGACATCTTCCTCTTCGCTCAATTCATCCTCACTGACAGGTTCTGCCTTGGCAGCCTGTGACCGTCAGTCTTTCATCTGACCGGGCGCAAGGAAGGACATACTTTGCCCTTCTTTGCCCTTGGTTTGGGCTTAACCTCTTCCTCTTCCTCCTCTTCTTCAGATTCAGCCTTTACCTTCTTTACTTTGGGCTTTTTCTGCAAGAGTCATCAGCATGGATCGGTCCCTCCTGCGAGCCAGACTCACCGGCTTGTCCTCCTCTTCAGCATCGTCCTCCTCCTCCTTCTTTGCTCTAGGTGCTTTGCTCTTGGCCTTCTTTGGTGTGAGCTTGGCCTCACTCTCCTCTCCCTCTTCATCACCCTCTGCAGGTGGTTTCCGGGCTGTCTCTGGAATATCCTCGTCTGCGACTATGAAAGAGGGTCAAAGGCGAATCAAACATGGGCGGTCGCAACTCACCATGTCCTTCCTGCCATGCGGTGCGGACCTTTTACTAGTCAGCATGATCTCTCTCGCTGTTATCAACGGGCGCCACCTTTTCTTGGTAAGGTTCACTGAATTCGTCATGCTTTTAGTCCGACTTCCGAAGCATCGTGTATGCACTCACGGAAGCTCCTCAACTGTGAGACTCTGATCAGCACATCATCGTCGTTCACTAAGACGTTCAGACGCAACTCCTCACTCACATCCATCAACGTCATCGGGGTTCGGGAAATCTTTTTGTAGGTTCTGAATCTGTGCCTCGGTGACACCTGAGGGTGAGGGTGTCACCAAAAGCCCCCGCCGTATGCAGAAGACCTACATCCCCAGTGCCTCCACTTGAAAGATCCATTGTCTCGAATCTGGACCCAGGTTCCTAAACGAAGTTCTCCCTTCATGATCTTGTTGCCTTTGCACGGAAGTTTGCCTGCGCAACATCCCATGTCAGCTGGGTGATACCGGCTACGAAACAAAGTGCACGACACACCATTGCACGCGGCTCTGTTGCTGGAAGAAACCTCCAGACGATATGCTGGCATGATGCTAGAATCTTGCCGTGAATATCTCACGCAAGAAGTCTACCTGTCGTAGTCGACAACATTTGAACTTTGACGTCAACCTTCATTTCCCGATTGATCGAGTATGCCACGTGGTATCAGAAATGGCGGATCACAATAATCATAATAATAATATTGATGATGCATTTTATTGAAATCAACTTTCTCTTCTTCTTTCTCGCCTCTTTCCTCTCTATTGCGAGACATCCACTTGGAACTCTTTTCGGTCCTCTCGCTTGACATCACCATGGCGAAGAAGTCTCAACCTCCTCCTGGTAAAGCCTCTGCGCCTTCGTCAAAGAAGGCGAAATCCTCCTCTTCCTCTTCTAAGTCAGCTGCCACCGAAGCGAAATCATCCAACGCGTCTGTTGCAAAGACTGAGAAAGGTAAAGCGGCACCTCGACCAAGCACAACCCTGGAGAACATCCAAGAAACAATCTCGAGCGTCGTGGATGTCGTAAAAGATGCTGTCGAAGTGGCCGGAGATCTCGTGCTCGACGATCCAACCCATACACCCGTAGCGGCTGATCAAGTCTTGGCCGACCATGTGGATGTTCCGAAACTAAAGAAGAAAGCTGCAAAGGCTGCCGAAGTCGGGAAAGAGGAAGCTCAAAAGGTCGGCAAGGCAGCTGGGAAGAAAGCTAAAGAGGTCGGAGCGGCAGCGGAGGAAAAGGCTGCAGAACTCGAAACTGCTGTGGAGGAGAAATTGGAAGAGAAAGGAGTAGACGTCAAGGGAGCCAAGAAGAAGGCTGGAAAGGTCGTCAAGGGCGCAGAGGAGGCTGTACAAGCTGTCGCAGAGGCCACGGAGCCAGCTGTGAAGAAGGGCAAAAAGGCGGCGAAAGCAGCTGTGAAAGAGACGGAGGAAGTTGTGGAGGAACTCAAGGATCCCGAAAGCAAGAAACGGAAACGCGCTGAAGACTTTATGGCGACTGCTGAAGGCACGGCTCGAGCTGTGGCCGACAAGGTCGGAGAAGTCATCTCGACTGTTGTGGAATCTTTTGGAGCAGCGAGTGGATTGGCCAAGGACCTTGGAGCCGAGACCAGTGCCAAAGGCAAAAAGGCAAAGGGAGATGTCGAGCCTGCGTCCAAAAGGGCCAAAGGAGCTGTCAAGGAGGCCGTCGAAGACATAAAGGAAGCTGCAGAGCCTGCCGTGAAGAAGGGCAAGAAGACCGTCGCCGAGGCTGCTGAATCGACCGCTAAGAAGGGCAAAAAGGCAGTAGAGGACGCCGCCGAAGCCGTCGAACCCACCATCAAGAAAGGCAAACAGGCAGTCGCCGAAGCTGCTGAGACAGCTACGAAGAAGGGCAAAAAAGCAGCTGCCGATGCTAAGGACGCTGTCGAGCCCGCCGTCAAGAAAGCCAAAAAGGCAGCTGCCGAAGCTACTGAGAAGGCCGAACCGACAGTCAAGAAGAGCAAGAAGGCCGCTGCGGATGCCGCTGAGACTGTCGAGACCACTGTGAAGAAGGGCAAACGTGCTGCCGCAGAGGCACTTGAGGACGCGGAACCGGTCGCCAAAAAGGGGAAAAAGGCAGCCGAGGATGCTGTGGAGTCGGCCAAATCGACGGTTTCCAAAGGCAAGAAGTCAGCTGCTAAAGCTGTTGAGGAAGCCAAACCTGTCGCTGCGAAGGGCAAGAAGGCAGCCAAGGATGTCGCATCCGCTACGGAGGAGAAGGGCAAGAAGGCCGTGAAAGGTGCCAAATCCAAAGCCAAGGAAGTTGCAGAGGAGCTTGGCGATGAGGAGATGGTGGACGGCTTCGCGTCGAGCGATGAAGAGGATAGCTCGGACGATGAGAGTGAAGTTGGAGGAGAGAAGGAAGAGGTCGACCTGAAGAGTTTGCCAATGGTCGCTAGGGATGACAAGAGCGTCGCGGCGAGGTTGAAGAAAGCACAGAAAAAGAAGGCAAGTGGAATCGCAAGCTTGCTGGACGTGCACACCTGACGTTCTTCTACAGGACACACAAAAGGGTACATTGTATCTTGGTCGAGTGCCCCATGGATTCTATGAAGAACAGATGAAGGAGTATTTCTCGCAGTTTGGAGACGTCACTCGAGTTCGACTGGCAAGAAATAAAAAGGTACGTCGAGCCTTGCATGGTGCTTAATACTGATGATATGCAGACTGGCGCATCCAAACACTTTGCTTACATCGAGATGTCATCCCAGAGTGTGGCAGAGATCGTTGCGGAGACTATGAACAACTACTTGTTGATGGGTCACTTGCTCAAGTGTCAGGTAGGTCGGCCTGGAGCGTGTCAACGGAGGTTTCATCACTCATACCTTCGCCTCTCAGGTCATTCCGCCAGAAGATGTTCATCCCAAACTTTGGGTCGGAGCGAACCGCAAATTCAAGAAGATTCCCCGCGCCCGAGTGGAGAAAATGAGGACCGAAAAGGTATGTACAGTGGTCCTTGGCGAAAAGATCTTGGAACGCTTGCTTACGCTCGCTTCAGTCTCGATCCAAGGAGGAGCAAGATCAAGCGAATGCTGGATTATTAGCCAAGCAGGACAAACGAAAGTCAAAGATCAAGGCCAAGGGTATCGATTACGAGTACGAGGGACATGTGAGTGGCTGGCGTCTATACCTCGTGACTGTGTGCTGATTGGTCTCTCAGGCTTAGGGTCATGATCAAGGGAGACATGAATCGACCTGGATAGACGGTCAAGGGGAAATAGATCAGAGACTCATGCCTTGGCCATATGAAGGCTTTTGGGAGACCATGAACGACCTGTTGGGATTCTATACTATGTCTATAGCTCTGAGCCTGTTGGAATGCGACGTAATGATATGTCAATGATCCATGTCTTTTGTGATCAGACACCGTAGCCTCGAGGCTCTAGCATATCATTTACGAGACGTAGGGAAGGAGACGGAACAAAGATACAGGAAAAGAGGAAAAGAAGGTAATAGAAATGAAAAGCAGGCACAAATCGCTTCGTCCTCTAGCAACGAGTGTTCAGCAAAGGGGAGAGAAGAGTTCCACATCGTCCCGTGGAGTATTAAGAGAGAGAGAGAAAGAGGAAAGCGGAATTTAGGAACGGGCAAGAAGAATGAGGAAAGAAGAAGAAAAGAGAAGAAACAGAAAAGGAAAAAGGTCTAGACGAGATGATTCTTCCAAGATACCCGTGTCACCGTGTCACCGTCCACCGATTTTCACAAAACCCCCAAACTCTACCCGCAGCACGATCAAGCTTCTACTTCTTTTCCTTGTCTTTGGGAGAAGAAAATGCTTCCTTCATCTGCGAACGCTCTGCATTAGCAATTTGACAGGTTGTGAAAGGAATCGACTTGCCTTCTTGAAGAAGCTGGTCTTCCTCTTTCGGCCGTCGGCATCTTTGCCAGGTGTACTTGTAGTACTCTTGGCAGGTGTACTAGCAGCAGTGACGGGCGCCTTCTTTGCGGGCGTAGCAGGTGGGGCGACACCAGCGTTAGAGTCGGTAGTCGCGGTGGTAGCGGTGCTGGTCTCCTTGGCATGAGCCAAGGTCGTTCCAGTAGCGCCGTGAGCTTGAGAGACGGCAGCTCCAGCTTCGACGACTTCAGAGTTGAGCCCACCCTCAGTCGCGGTAGATTGACTCGGGGTGACGGCGTCGGTGATTTTACCCTGAGCGGCAGCGGGTGTAGAGCCGGTCAATGCAGGGTGCTGCTCGGCATCACGTTTGGCTTCGACGGCACTGACATCAGGGGCACTGTCGATAGGTTTGGTTCCGACGGAATCCGTGGTGGTACCGGGAGCGGCTCCGTTCAAAGATCGGTCCTTGATGGCGTCCGGAGGGCCAACGGCCACGATGATAGGTGCAGGAACAGTCTTGTGGCTGTCTGTCGTTTCGTCCTGAGCGGGGATGTCGTGCTTGACGATCTCAACGTCATCGGCTGAGCAACAAACGTTTGGCAGTCAGTGTACTGCATTCGACTGCGGACATGGTGCTGACTCACACTTGAGAGCCTCGCTCAAAGATACAGCGGCGGCAGAGGAGCCAGTGGTAGGCTCGTGCGAGTCCAACTTGAGCTCCTTAGCCTTCTCTTCCAAGGCGGCGATCCCATCTGCGGAGGGTTTGGTTCCAACGGGAGAAACGGCATCGGTGGGGGCTTCTTTCTCTTCCAGAGCGTTGACATCGATCCCCTGGGCTTTGGCCTCGTCGAGTGACATCTTTTCAGACTAATCAGCTCGCTATCAAATTCGTCGTCGGTGTTACATTCGATCACTTACAGGTTGAGAGTGAGTGACATCGACGCCGATAGCCTTCTCAGCAGCGACGACGGCTCCTCCGACGGCGGCTCCCAGAGCAGCAAGGGCTCCAGCTCCGATCTCAGCAGCCTTTTCGAGAACTTCTTTGGCTTCTTCGCTCATGAAGCGGTCCTCATGAGGAGCAGTAGAGGAAGCGCCAATATCGGTGTTCGCAGCGGTCTTTTCGATCTGAGCAGGTGTAGTCTCAGCGGCGACGGGGGCAGCGGTGCTAGCTTCTGATGAGCCAGCAGCGGCGGGAGCACTGGAGGCCAGAAGAGTTTCGGGAGCGTGTTGAGCGGTCGTAGAGTCGGAAGTGGAGGTAGTGGTGGCCGCAGCGGGGGCAGGTGCGGTAGCTGTCTCAGCGGCCTCTGGTTTGTGTGGAGCAGTGTAGACCTAGGGACAAGATTAGCCAATACGCTTATTCTTCTCATTGAATTGGACTTGCGTTGTTCATGTTTCCAGCGGCATCTGGAAAACGCAATCAGTATACCGTTTACAAGACTCATGGGCAACGCATCACTCACCCCACTCCTTCGCCTCGTCTTCCCGGACTTTCCACTCTACGAGCGCCGCATGATCAGCAAAAGACATCTCCCGCTTGGACTAGTGGGACACTTACCTCCATCAACGACATATTTGAACGCCTGCTTCTCTCCCCACGGAACCTCGAATTCACCGGCAAAAGTTCCATCGGCCTGCTTCTCCAGTGGTGACGCATCGCCCGACCAGTTGTTGAAACCTCCAGCGACGAAGACCTAGTGAAGCGTGCACAGACACCACGCACAGATCCGGGAACAATGGAGAGACATGCAGGGTGGGCATCGTGACATGGACACGTGTAATTGAGCGGCGGGCGGGGGAAGGGCGTGAAAACGCGATCGAGAGAATGCACGGGTCAAATCCGAAGACGACGTGTTGAGGAATGGAGAACGAGAAGGCAGGTACAGATCAGCCAGTGCGCTTCTTGACAGACACCCTTTACATACCTTTTCTGGTCCTACACCCCAGGTGAATCTCGCTTTATGTTGTGACATTGTGTGAATGACAGTACAATGTATTGTTTTGTTGAAAGCTGCTCCAAAAGAATGGGTTGAAAATTGATTTTCCTTGTTGGCTTCAAAAGGTCTAGAATTCCCGTAATGTTACTCGCCGACGAGTCAATTTGTCGGGAATGTACTGGTCACACAGACTCGAGGTATGTGTTGTATATATATCTGTCGAATCGAGCTCTCTATGGCTATTGTCCTTCGATTGAGCAAAGCACGAGTATGCTCCTGAGGTCAACGAGGGGGGGATGATGACGACTGGAGAGTGGATGAGAAATGTGGGCGTTCGGAAATTGTCCGCAAGAAGGCAAAAAAAAGCACCTCCATTGGGAGCGGAAGCAAAATGTATTTTTGTTGGGGCATGCATAGAGACTATCCATCATTCTGCTGCTATTCGTTCCATGCAATGACAGCCTGGGAGGAATGATGAGTGAACAGTCACCTGGCATGTAGATACAGCAGCTTACCATGCAAAAGACGCCAAACGCCATGGCAGAATACTGGTTCATATCATGAGCTTGGGTCCAAACATGGCTCCCGCCTTTTCAACCCACCTCCTTCAGGGCTTGAGTAGCGCTTCTCGATTCCGCCAATAATTCAGGGACAACGCTGACACTGGCAATGTACAGAAAGCCTGGAGCCACCCGGGTCAGAAATGCAGGAGAGACTTCGGCAGTGACTCTCACCCCCTGCTGTCATTGGGATGACCAGTTCACTCGCTCCAACACTTGTACCGAAGAACCCTTGACCGATTGGTAATTTGGTATGGTGTGCCGCTCCTGACGTTTCGGCGATCCAGATGCCTAGGAAGGTACCTAGGAATGCGCCGAGGGCAGTGAAAAATTGAGAGCCGAGAGCTTGGGATTTTGTGAAACCAGATTTGATCAAGATCGAGTAATCGGCGATCTACATGTGAGAAATCAGGAATTAAGAATGGAGATGAGAGGACTCACCTCGTGAGGAATCTCGTGGCAGAATGTCGCGATGGTCGTGACTGCCCCCAGAGCTGGCGAAGAATAGAACGAAGCGGCCATAGCCAGGCCATCAGTGATATTATGCGTAAAGTCCCCGAAAAGATTGAGCCAAGCAGAGAGTTTCAATGAAGGGTTGACTTTGGGTTGGTCCTGTGGAGCAGAGACAACGGAACTTGATACCTCCTTCGTTGACTTCCGTTGACGGAGGTCGTTGTCTCCTTTCACAGCGCTCGAAGATCCGCTGCTTGTGGCATGAGAGTGCGAATGCGAATGGGAATGTGAATGGCTGTGACCATGACCGTGACCATGACCCGGGGTCTCGTCTCCTGAGGATGCACTCAGTACCCTCATTGTCTTGTCCAGCATGAAAAACGCCATGAACCCCAGGAAGATGGACGCTCTATAGAAAAGTCATATGAGAACTCTCTCTTCCAGGGGCAAGTTTTCACGCCTACTCACCCGACAACGATGTTCCTCTTCTCCTCAACAACTATGGCCCTGTGATGCTCATGCCCCTCGTCATGGCATTCTCCGAAGAATGCATGGGGGACCAAGTGTAAGAAGACGTCGCCAAGCAGACCACCCGTCGCGAAGGCGATCATCGTATTTAATGAGCTTGGATCCAGATCGGAGGGTACAGCCAGGAGGATGAGATTGGGTGCGCTAGGGATGGGACATTAACAATGGAATAGACGAGGCCAAAACGGGACGGACTCACGAGGAGATGTAGAACGTAGCGAGGACTGAGGGGGACATGAGCTTCAAGAATCTCGTCATCAAGCTCTCACCCGAATTATACGCCGGACTCTTGAACGGGAACAGGACTCCAAAGACCTCTTTCATTGACATGCCATGTTGATGGGTCGATAATGTCTTGGGTACCGAGAAGACAGCTTGGCCCTGACAAGAGATGAGCAGAGAACGAAACCTGAGCCCTCACCTGCTGTTTGGCCAAAGCTAGAGCCCCTGCGATTCCGAGGATTAGACATAGCTTGACGCTGGATCTCATGATTTTCATAGGCTGCAGCGACTCGCTCTGTACTTGGAATATATTTCGTCCGGTATGATCGCTGAAACGCGTCTTCACGACGCTGCCACGTGTTGAGATCACGTAGCGGAATCAAATTTGCACAAGGGTGACTGACTGACGTCATTAGTAATATGTCATTACGTGATGTGGAAGTTGAATTAGAAAATGACGCATGACATTTGAAGATCATTTCCTAATCAAGGTCCATCTTCGGGTGGTGTGGTGCGGGTGGCGTCGCCGATTGAAAATGTCGATCATCTCACCGCCTCCTCAAGAAGCGTTTTATTATATATAAAGAGATCGTCGAAAGTAGGGACAGATCCTCAATACCCGACCACTTGACCCATTCCAATTGAGATCATCTACCTGTCAGACACCACTCACTCTACCTCATCTCTTTAGACAACACTCGCAAGCATGCTCTCTTCAGCCAGACGAACCTTCACATTCTTCCTTCAGACACCTCTCATCCCACCGCCCGCTCCACAACCCACATTCGAGCTATCCAACATGTCATCTTCCACCAGCGCAGGACCATCTAGGCCCGTTCAAGCGTCCAGGACTTTCTCTTCATTCTCCGCTGTGTCGTTGCGAGAACAAGGATATGCCAGCCAGGCATACGGACAGAAGCGAGGGTACGCCAGCGATAAGGGAAAGAAGGAGCTGTACTCGGATGAAGGAGGCGCAGTGGGCGCAGGAGTGAGTCGGATATTCGTACCCTCTGAATACCCAAGCTCACCTATGCTACCTCAGACCGACGATGTAGCGCATACCGAAGCTGCATTCGACTCCAACGCGGATCCTTCTCAAAGTGCCAAGAAAATCCAAAAAGAGGTAAGCAATGTCAAGAGCCCCGCAAACGATACAGTGTTGACACTCTTGCAGACCGGCAAGGACTACACAAAACACTCGCCTGCTCAGTCTGACTACTCCCAACCTCCTGGCAAGCAAGGCAAATCAGGTTCTGAGAACCCTCCGTTGAACACTTCAAACAGTCAGGCCAAAAAGTAGGAACGCGGTCGGCGGAGCGAACGAAGTCTCACATGTCGTACAATATAATTTCATCCATCCAGTCGAGCGAAGCAACAGCATGATGTATACTGAGGTATCATGAGCTTGTCAACGATTACCGAGCCAAACTCTGCAGCGCACTGACTCTCAACGCACTGACTCCTCTAGGCCGTGCATGGTATCTCACCAAACCTACCATCAAGGAGGAAATGAACTGACTCCCCATTGTTCCTTTGTCCTATCGCCACCTGGTCCGAGAGCGAGAACACTGAAGTGACTCTCTCGAATGATTCAACGTCTTCTTTCCGGCTCAACGACGATCAAGAGGGGGCGCATTCCACCATTACGAGGATACCTACAACTCATAGCGCGTTCTGTACCATGTCACGAGCCGAATTGCCTCATACTGTATCGCATCATCATCTGATCGATTTGGACTTGGGCATCGACACGACGGAAGGTTCTGATGCGGTTATTGTGGGGGACGAATTACAAGGTGCCCTACACTTGACTTGCAAATCCGCCAATCTTCTCTTGGGAAACATGGAAGTGGAACTCGTGGTCCAGGCTGGTGGGTTATTCTTTCGCTGCCCCGGCGCTGAAATGCCGTTTAACAGAAGCCAAGACAACATCCGATAGCTTGCATGAGGTGCTATACGACCGCTCGATAGCTTTCCAAGGTGAGCCAGAGGGAGCAAGGGTTTGACCTTTGACCATGACAGGTGCTGGTCTCCCGGCGTCCAGTGCTGTCTATCCAGATACAGACGACGAGCATCCTGGTTATTACCGAGCAAGACGGGGGTGAGAGTTGAGAGGAGATGACAATTTCCACTGCTGATAGGTGCAGAACGACGCGTTTTCGCTTATCCATCCCGATACCTGGGTACCTCCCCTCCAGCCACACCTCACCGTTCGCATCCATCTCTTACACGCTCCATGCTACCGTCGAATTCCAGTATGAAGGCATGACGCAAATCTTGCACACCTTCAGGACGTTTGACGTGGTCCAATCGTCTAGCGCGTTCGACATGGACTTGACTGGCAGTGTGAAGGCTGAAGATGGGGCTCGACTCCCTCAGATAGAGGGCGGAGGCAGTTTGATCTTAAGTGCTGAGCATGGTCGAGCGAGAGGATGGGTATCGAGTGCGGATCCGAATATGGTCGTCATTATAGACATCAGAAATTCGACAGCCTTTTGGGTGGGTGGCAGATCGTCCGTCGGTAAGCGGTTGTCCCGTGTAGCTGACCCAACTCGGGGACGGACAGACACTCGCACCAGTCCTACGTCTGATGAAGCGCACAACTATCCATTTTCCACATGAGCCTTTCGAGGTATCAGAGATCGTCTGTCAAGAGCAATATGACGGTGAGTGCTTTGGTTACATTTACGCTCTCTCGATGATTACGATTTGATCTCTTTCAGATCGCTATGCCGTCCCTGCACGAGCAGCATCGTCTTTCACCCTCAACCTGTCTTTGCCTCCGGGGTCGAGATCGACCCACTCGACAGTCTTCGACGTCCAGTACAGTCTTTCCATACTGGTCCACCTCGTAGGCACACCGTGAGCATCCTGGACCCAACCCTCGATCGACACTCGTATATCTCAGTCAGCTGACGCTCGTCCTTCACAGGTCAGGCAAGCAAAGAGTCGTTTCGAACCTGCCACTGGAGATTCTCGACCCTGCTTCCGTTCCACCTCAAATCTGGCTCGATGCGGAATCGCTATCGACGGAGCGTGGTCAATCCTCTCAACGCGAAGGTACCCGTCGTGAACCTCGAGCGTTCGGTAGAAGATGGTCTATGCCTGCTGGGACGTTCGAATCTCTTTCAGCTCTCCTCTCGCCGTTGTCACTCGGGCAGTCGAGCAAGACGGCGTCCCCGAAGCATGGTCAATCAATAATGGGTACACACGATTTCGATCCGGTTGCGAATGGTCTCACATCCTCTGGTGTAGATGGCTATCCTCAACCGGAGTTCGTGGTCCATCAGCAGCCCGAGCTTAAGACATTGCCGCGGTCACGGCAGCAACCACTCCCGCCGATTCTGGAAGATTTGCCAGAAACCAAGGCCAAGCAAACTTCAAGACATTTGCGAGAGACACCAGGAAACAGAGGGAGGAGCGTCAGTCCGCCATTGATGCCATCGTCCCGCAGCGGGACAGTTCTCCCTGATGCTGTGTCCGCTGTTTCTGAACCGAGCTACCGAGTGGATGAGCGATTCGCTCATATCCATCGACCCAAGCTGCACGATCAACGTCATAGTTTCCCATTCTTTCCAAGCGCAGTATTCCCCACTTCACCGAGAGGCCCTCGACCTGTTCCAAGACGGGTCAGTACTTCTGGCATGCAGCTTCGATCAGTATCGAGTAGCTCCAGTACCACTCAATCGTCCGTCCCTTCGACGACCTGTACCATTACGGAATCATACACAGAAGACACATCGGTCCCATGCACGTCGTATTCCAGGTCGACGATTGCGTCCCCGAGGCCTGTCAAGATAGGAGGTGATCTATCGCCAGTCGTAAAGGACATGCCGGCGTCCCTCGAGCTGCAATCTGTTAGTCCGGCTGCCAATTCAAAGGATGTTATAAATTCTCCTTTGCATGCTGTTCCGTCATCCGTACAGCATTCACGACGATCCGTGTTCGATCTGTTCGAATCCATTTCATCTGTCCCCTCGCCTATATCCAATCTCTCTCGATTTGTCAATATCGGTCCGAATGGCTCTGCAAGAGGAGGTCGAGGAGGTCAAGTGACAACCCTTAGAGAACTGTTCACCGGGTCCACTGGAAGTCAGGGGCTGCAAGGAGTCGGATCGCCCGATAGGCCGAGCGGTGAGATCCGACCTATCGTTTCAAAGAGATACAGCCTTCCTGCTGGTCTGGAAGGTTTTCAAGGAGATGCTGCTTTGTATGTTGGCACAGGGCATCACCGGTCGGTCGCGAGTGTTGTCGATGGATTCCGGGGTGATCAAAGAATGAGGACCTCTCAAGACAGATCGATCAGTCGCCAGTGAGGATGTGTGGCCACAGTGATGAAGATGAGGGGGGGAGGGGGCCGCACAGCAAGCCGGGGTTTTTGATAGCTTCCTTTGCCGAGTGCTATTGTAGCGACTATCACTTTTGATGGTCAGTAACGAAATGTAACGAACATCAGTATCGCTCATAGCTCGTCTGACCACCAAGCTGCCCGTACGCGAATAGCCCCGCCTCAGCAGTTAGTAAACGACACCTCTACTCTTTGTGAATATGCACGGGAAATGTCATGACCGAGAGAGAACATCGAATGGGAGAAAAAAATGGAAATCATGGATGGATCGATGGGGTTTCCCAACCATTGCCCAAGGATTCCTCTTTTGATTCAACGAATCATCCCAATCTACTCGTCGTCGGCCTCTTCCTCAGCCTCGTCCTCATCCTCATCCTCATCCTCGTCCTCCTCTTCCTCGTCCTCCTCAGCACGCTCTTGCTCAAGAACAGCAGTGGCAATTCGGTCGAGATCACGCCTGGGGGCGAGAGTGTCAGCGTGGTTTCTACGGGGGAGCAGACGACGAATAAAGAGGATATAGTGTGATTGAGAGATGTGCAACGCTCGACGGCTGATCATCACGGCCCCAGCAGACTCGATGATCCACTCACATTCCATCCTGAGAGATTCTCCTTCCACCGTCCTGAGCCAACTCGAGCACTCCGATCTTCTCCAAACCTTGGACGACACTCCTCTGAACACCGGTAGAAGAGTCTTGGTGTCTGTTAGGTCGGGTTCCACGTCGTTTCTTGGTTCCGTGAAGTTTGGCGAGGGCACCGACTCCAACGGATTTGCGGAGGTAGATGTGACGGGCGACGGCAGCTGGTGACAGGAGAAAAGGACGAGAACGTCAGCGCGAGTCCTCTGAAGCATCACGCAGGTGTAATAGAGCGGAGGGAGATGGGTGGGGTCCAGCAGAAACAGGTTGCTCTGTGCTCTAACTCTGCCTGCTTCTGCCTCTCCATGTTTCCTATCCGGCTCGCTTGTTCTCCATCGCTTCCACTCCCGCTCCGCTCATGCATGCTCTCGGTCTTGTACACTCACCAGCTCGAACATAGTACCAATCCGGGTCATATGGCGCGAGCTCCTTCTGGCATCCTGTCTTGACAGTGTCGACCCATGTAGGGATGTCGAGCTTTCCAGATCTCTTCAAGTGAGAAGAGTAGGCTTTGATGAACGCTTCGGCGCTAGAAGGGACAGTCGTATCAGCTACTGCACCCATCGGTATGCCTCCAATCATCCTCATCCCGATCCTCATTCACGCCATATCACCAAAGACATCGCAGACATCATGGCAGGTCGCTTTCAAAGCGACTTTCTATCCGCGTTCTCTTCTCTTCTCCATCACCTGCCCAGGCAGCAAGAATACCTTCCTTCCTAGCCCCCTGACCTAATCTGAGCCTTGATCCCCTGGACTCACCTAACGTCTCGAACTCCAGGCATCTTTGAATGGTGTATACGGACAAGACAATTCACACCCAAATGCCAGTCTTTTACCTTGAATCCCGTTGAAAAGTGTACCAGTGGCAGCGAAGCCAGCGAGACCAGAGCGGAGAATTGTAAAACGCCGAGGATAGAAGCCAGTGGCGGAGATCTGGCAGGGTGTGACTTCGGCGTTAAGCGCTAAGCGAAAACTTAGCCGATATCATCGATTCTCAACGCCGCAATCCACCGTGGGAGACCTCCGGCAAAGATTACAGATTTTTCAGCGGCAACACGGGTCTCCTTGCATCTGTGTGGAGGTTCACCCAATTCGAGCTGCTTGCTGTAGAGAGTACACATTATCAGCTCAAGGCATCATGTACGTATCAACCTCAATCAGCAATATGAGCTGATGTCTGAATACCAGGTCTCGACTCATTTTTCTGAATCTGCCGCCGAGCATCACCACCTCGTCCTTCAAATCCCACCTCACGTCTCCTGCTCAACTTGAACAAGCTCAAATCACAGATATCAAGGTCAACAGCAAGCGAAGATTCGCTTTTGTTGGGTACAAGTCTGAGCATGATGCGAGTAAGGCTCAAGCTTGGTTCGACGGGACGTTTGGATTCGGCGGTGGTAAGGTCAAGGTGGACATTGTCAGGGATGATGTAAGTCAGGGGTTTCTGGATCGACTGGCATGAAGGAGAGCTGACCGGACGGTTCAGCCCTTAGGACCAAAACCATCTAAGAGGATGAAGACTGCTGAGAAAGTTCCATCCGCTGCCAGCATCCCCCAGGCTGGACCTTCCAAGCAGCTTCAGGAGTTTATGAACGTGATGAAGGGGAACGACCAACAGGTTCTACCAGGCGGCACAGATGCACTCGTGCCTGGAGATCCTGGCTGGAAGGCAGATGGGTCCAAGAAGGACAAGAGCAAGTCGAAAAGTGCGAAAGGGAAGGAAAGACAGGTGGAAGAAGAAGCAGGGGATGAAGACGACGATGATGCAGCTTGGTTAAGGAAACGGCAGACTGCTGCCTTGGAAGGTGACCAAGACGACGGGACAGAAGTGGCTCAGGTGTGTAGATCCGCTGCTTGCACTCATCTTCAACTAATGGGGTTCTCCAGAAGCTCGATTCAGAGTCTTCGCTTGTCCTTTCCACTGGCAGGCTGTTCGTGCGGAACCTTGCCTTCTCTGTGACTTCAGATGACCTATCTTCCCTTTTCACCCCTTTTGGTCATGTCGAATCCGTCCATCTACCTGTCTCGCATTCCGGCGAGCCGCTCGGAACAGCGTTCATTCTCTTTCGGGACCCTCAACACGCCCTCGTAGCGTATCGCAAGTTGGACAAGACGACCTTTCAAGGCCGTCTCTTGCACGTCTTACCAGGTCGTGTGAGACCAGGTCAAGAACCATCGATCACCCACCAAACTCTTGGAGGAGAAGGTCAGGTATTGGGCAAGATCAAGGAAAGAAGGCAGGATGTTTTGAACAAGGCGGATCAGAAACGTAAAGAGGCGAGCTCAAAGGGAGTAAATTGGGCGACCTTATACATGAACGTAGGTCGCGATCCTCGCAACTGCGCAGCAATGCTGATCCTTTCTTCCCCCCAGAGCGATGCCGTTGCCGGTTCCGTCGCAGACCGAATGGGCATCACCAAGGCTGAATTGTTGAACGCTGATCCTGAAGACCCATCCGCTTCAACATCTGCGGCTGTCAAGCTTGCTCTGGCGGAAACACACGTGATCGCAGAGACAAAAGCCTACTTTGAAGAGGCCGGTCTCAATGTCGAGTCTCTGCAGCCTCGGACTCCTCGATCGCAGACTATAATCTTGGTCAAGAACATTCCGTATGGAACGACCATTCAAGCCCTCACGGATATGTTTACACCCCACGGAGAGATCACTCGCATGCTCTTACCTCCCAGCGGGACACTCGGTGTGGTGGAATACAAATCTTCCGCAGACGCTGGGAGAGCATTCAAAGCATTGGCTTACACGCGCATGGGTAACGCCGTCTTATACCTTGAGAAAGGTCCGCAAGGCATGTTCATCGACTCGAGCAAGATGGCGGACAAGGTCGCTCAAGAGCAAGAGGATCAAGCTCGTATCCTCGCAGAGAAAGTCGCCTCGGCTGAATCTCGTCAGGTTGCAGACGAGTCAGACGAAGCTGGCTCGACCTTGTTCTTGAAGAATCTCGCATTTAGTACTTCCACACCTCGCCTACAATCCATCCTCTCGTCATTACCTGGTTATTCCTTTGCTCGGGTGCAGACTAAACCTGATCCCAGGCGACCTGGCGAAAGACTATCCATGGGGTACGGATTTGTCGGATTTAAAACACAACAGGAGGCTCAAAAGGCCATGGCGGGGCTTGAAGGCTTTGAAATTGATGGGAAGGCTCTGGAAGTCAAGTTTGCTCAACGAGGAGGTGCTGATCAAGGTGACACGGGCGAGAAAAAGGCAGATGGAGAGATGGGCAAATTCAAAGGAACAAAGGTCATGGTCAAGAATCTGCCATTCGAAGCGAGCAAGAAGGACATTAGAGATCTGTTTAGGTGCGTGCAGGTTTTGAAGAGTCTTCAACCTTAGGAGCCTTCTTTGCTCACCCTCCTTTCTTTTTTTAGCGCGTATGGGTCTATCAAAGCCCTGCGGATCCCCAAGAAATCACTCCCTACTGCTGCTGGATCTAAATCGACTCGAGGGTTCGGGTTCATCGAATTCACGACGCATACTGAAGCTGTCCGTGCAATGGAGGCTCTCAAGCACACGCATTTGCTCGGTCGTCATTTAGTATTGTCCTGGGCCAAAGAAGACGGTTCGGTGGATGTAGATGAATTGAGGCGTAAAGTCGGAATAGATTATAAGAGTGGTAGTGGAGATGGAAAGGACGATAGACTGGGCAAGAAGCGAAAGTTGGATCTGATGGGAACGAGAGGGGAGCAAGACGATGGGCTGGAGATAGACCAGGGGCTCTGAAAAGCGTTGTTGTATACTTGTTTTGCATATGTGTTGTACGCCACTCATTGCCATTGGACATGGTTGGTGTTACTGCCACAGGTGGAGGTCAATTCAAAAATTCAAAAAGGGTTTGGTAAAAATGTCGTCACCTCCACCGCGACATCTGCTCCAAAGATCTCCCCTTGTATCTTCGACATATCTCAACGCTGGTTCGCTCGATCGGGTTGGTCTAGAGGTACTTGAGGACATTGAGCGTTGGTTGCACTCGCTTGGATCACTCTGGAATTGGATCAAAACGGGTGGAAAAACCATCGGACAAGTGAACAAGGGCTCGTCGGACTCAGGCGACGGTCCACATCAGTCAGCTTTTTTGATTCTTTCTGTTAGATCGTGAATTGGGAATCGAGTTCGAGAACCGATATCGCCATGGCCTCTCAAGCCATTTTCTCTTCCCTCTGGAGCTCTGAAGCCTCATCTTCCAATATATCTGGCATGTGGTCGACGTCCTCGACGACGACGTCGTGCGGTTGGCCGCTTGAGATCATATCCGATCACCGAGATCTCGATTTGACGACGTGTTTCGAACATGCCGTATTGATGCCTGTTCCGTTGGCCATTACCATCCTGGGAGCCATCGCTCAAATCATCTCGAAGCGGCGTAGGCTCAAGCGACCTAATGCGAAAGACGGATTACGATGGATCGACAGGAATGAAAGTAGTCGGAAGGTCTGCACGGCAAAAGTGGTGAGTTTCTCATCTTCCTTCCCCTCCGTGCTGGACATTCAGTCATGCGACTCGTTTGTGAGAGCCCCGTTGACACTGATAACATCCTCAGTGGCTACTTGGTATCTCTGCGCTATTGGCTACAGCTGCCCTGGGGCTCTCCTTACCCTCACTCACCACCAATCCTCTGAGCTCTGTCCATTATTTGCTCTACCTCATCACGCTTCTCTTCTTGATTCATCTCACACCCCTGAACTTTTATACAGCTCGTCAATCGTCTACACTGGTTCTCCTCTTTTGGCCAGTCTACCTCCTCGTCTCCATCGTCAGACTACGAACAATGATCATCACTGGGTACCTCTCTCTTGAGCTCACCAAAACCACCGATGGCAGGTTGATCCTCGCTAGAGAATCACTCTGGATCGCCAGTATCATTATCGGAATGTTCGACTTTGTCCTCGAACTAAGTGGTCCAGAGACCAAATGGAACAAATCAAAATGGTCACGTCCCTTCTCAAAGTCAAAGGGCAAGATTCATCTTGACGATTCAGACGAAGAGGCCGATACGGTTGGTCAATTGAACGGTGGGAGATCCTCAAATGGAAGAGACGAGTATGGCGATATCGAAAGTCCAGTCCTCACTGCCAACTTTTACGAGAAACTCACCTTTTCATGGCTCACGCCCATGCTCTCCTTGGGTACCAAAAAGTTCTTGGGAGAAGAAGACATGTGGTCCTTGCCTCCATCTGATTCCGCCGAAGCTCTTTCGGAACGTTTGTCAACAGCTTGGGAGAAACAACTGGAATACGTCAAAAAGGGATCCAAATCTAAACCTTCGCTCAAAATTGCCATCCTCAGAGCATACGGTGGACCTTATATCACTGCTGGAATACTCAAGCTCGCGTATGACAGCTTGAGCTTTGTCCAACCTCAGCTTCTGAGATTGTTGTTGCGATTCGTCACGAGCTACGGGACAGATTCGCCAATGCCTCCCATCGCCGGATATGCAGTCACTATCCTCATGTTTGTGACTTCCAACATCGCCACGGCAACTTTGCACCAATACTTTGACAGGTGCTTTGCGACGAGTAAGTCTACAGCCGCAATGCGTGGCAAGGGGAGAATGCTGACTTGAGAAACCCTTTTCAGCCATGCGTGTCAAGGGCGGTCTCGTGACCTTGATCTACAAAAAGTCGCTCCGCTTGAGTAACGGAGAAAAAGCCGGCAGGACTACCGGAGACATCGTCAATCTCCAAAGTGTGGACGCCGTCAGGATCGCAGATCTCGCTCAGTATGGTCAGATTGGATGGTCAGGACCTTTCCAGGTAGGACAAAGGTCCCACGCGCGTGTTTTGAGACTCATTCTCAACTTAGATTGTTCTCGCTTTCATCTCTCTGTACAACCTTGTCGGATGGCAAGCATTCATGGGTGTGGCCATCATGGTCGTCTCGGTGAGTTGCAATGCAATGCTCTCAATCAAGTCTGATCCTCTCAGCTTCCCATCAACACCTTCCTAGCCAAGGTCAACAAGAAGAACCAGAACAAAATGATGAAAATCAAGGATACTCGAACGCGTCTCATGACGGAGATCCTCAACAACATCAAGTCGATCAAATTGTACGGGTGGGAAAAGTCGTTTGCGGAGAAAGTCCTCGACTCTCGAAACAATAAAGAATTGGTCCTCTTGCGACGTATCGGTCTCATTGGCGCTGCCTCCAACTTTTTCTGGTCGTCGACACCTTTCCTTGTCGCTTTTGCTACCTTTGCGACCTTTGTGGCCACGAGTGACAGACCACTGACCAGTGAAATTATCTTCCCGGCCATCTCCTTGTTCCAGCTTCTCAGTTTCCCTATGGCTGTCTTCTCCAACATCATCAACAGTATCATCGAAGCCATCGTCTCCGTCAAGCGAATCGAAGATTTCTTGGGGGGAGACGAGCTTGACCCCAAGGCTCGGCAAGTCATCATCAATCCGCCTGGTCAAGGTCCAAAAATTGGCGAACCTCTCGTCACAATCCGTGATGGAGAATTCAAGTGGATCAACGATTCTCCTCAGCCCATTCTACAGGACATCGATCTCAAAGTCAACAAGGGTGAATTATTGGCCGTCATTGGTCGAGTTGGAGACGGCAAATCGTCTCTACTCGGAGCCATGTTGGGCGAAATGACTCGAGTCGATGGTTCCGTCAAGATCCAAGGTGACATTGCCTACTTTTCTCAAAACTCTTGGATTCTCTCTGCCACTGTCAAGGACAACATCGTATTCGGTCACCGATTCGACCCAGAATTCTATGACCAAGTCATCGAAGCATGTGCTCTCAAACCTGACTTTGAAGTCCTCCCCCAGGGAGACATGACGGAAGTCGGTGAAAAGGGAGTTTCGCTATCCGGTGGTCAGAAGGCTCGAATCGCGTTGGCTCGAGCATGTTACGCTCGTGCCGATATTTACCTCCTCGATGATCCTCTGAGTGCCGTCGATGCGCATGTCGGACGTCACATCTTTGACCAGGTCATTGGACCCAACGGTATGCTCAGGTCCAAGGCCCGAGTGCTCTGCACCAACTCGGTCAGCTTCCTTCCTCAGGCAGATCAAGTCATCATGCTTCGAAGAGGTATCATTCTGGAACGAGGAACATATCAAGACGCCATGGCGAACAATCAGTCCGAATTGTACAAGCTCATCACGGGTCTCGGAAAGCAGACTGAAAAGGGAGAGTCCAGTGGATCTGCCACGCCAACTGTCGTCGGAAACGGATCAGACGATGAAGTGGAAGATGACGAAGGGGATGAGTCTGACGAGAACGAAAAGATGCCCGATAGTCCTCAAAAGGAACGAATGGTCAGACGAGGAACAGTATCAAAGATGCGCCGAGCTTCCTCCATTTCCATCAAGCAGGCCAAACGGGACGCACTTCGAGATTTGAGAGAAAGCAGCAAACCGAAAGAACACTCTGAAAAGGGTGTCGTCAAACGCAAAGTTTACGCGGAATACATTTCAGCGGCTTCAAAGGTTGGCGTCTCGTTCTTCCTCCTGTTCATGATTGCCGGTCAGACTGCATCCATCCTGTCGAATTACGTTCTCCGATTCTGGGCCCAAAAGAATACAAGCGCGGGCGACAACACGCAAGTCACAAAGTACCTTCTAGCGTATGGTCTCATGGGCATCTCATCTTCCCTCTTGTCCGTCCTCAGTACGATTGTGCTCAAGCTATATTGCGCCCTTCGATCTAGTCGTAAACTACACGATGCCGGGTTCCGAGCGTTGATGAGAAGCCCGCTGGCTTTCTTTGAAATCACACCGACTGGTCGAATTCTCAACTTGTTCTCGAGAGACATTTACGTCATTGACGAGGTGTTGGTCAATGCTTTAAGCGGGTTCATGCGAACGGTGAGTGCGAGTCAAATTGAGGAGCATTTGCTGACTTATCCCTTTAGTGTATCAATGTCCTCGGTGTCATTGTGGTTATTGCCTCCGGTGCACCGTTCGTCCTCATCGTCCTCCTTCCGCTTGGATACATTTACCGAGTCGTCATGAAGTACTATCTAGCCACTTCGCGAGAATTGAAACGACTCGATGCGATCTCCCGATCACCCATCTTTTCATTCTTTGGTGAGACGCTCTCTGGTCTCACTGTTATCCGTGGATTCTCGCAGACTAGACGATTTATTGCCAACAATGAGGCCCGGATCGATAGGAACCAAGCGTGTTACATGCCCGCCATGACTGTTAATCGATGGCTTGCCGTCAGACTCGAGTTCCTCGGATCGTGTCTCATGTTCTCCACTGCGCTCGTGGCTGTGTCCGCGTTGTTGATCAGCAACAGTGTGGATGCGGGACTCGTCGGACTGTTGATGACGTACACCATGTCCATCACACAAGCCTTGGTGAGTCTTTCGAAGGGTACTATCGCTGATAATTGTAGAACTGGCTAGTGAGAACTGCTTCAGAGGTCGAGCAGAATATTGTCTCTGTTGAACGAGTGTTGGGATACGCCTCACTGCCATCGGAGGCTGCGGACGACGTCCCTGATCACAGACCGCCCAAGACTTGGCCTCAGAAGGGTGGTATCGAGTTCAAGTGAGCTCTCAAAACAGCTGCACGAGTGATTGCAGTGCCTGACGTTGGATTTCCCCATCAGTGACTATTCCCTCAAATATCGTCCCGAGCTCGAACCCGCCCTCCGCCAAGTGTCATTCAGCATCAAGGGCGGTGAACGGATCGGCGTCGTGGGACGAACAGGAGCCGGTAAATCCTCACTTACGCTTGCGCTTTTCAGAATTTTGGAGGCGGCCGGTGGGAAAATTAGCATCGACGGAGTGGACATTTCGAAAATTGGACTACACGATCTCCGAAGTGTCGTCAGTATCATCCCGCAAGATCCTCAATTGTTCGAGGGCACTCTAAGGTGAGTCCGACAAGAAGCCATGTTGGGGGGGAATGATCCGTGCTGAACTGATTGGTGCCAGGCACAACATTGATCCTACGAATTCGCACAAAGACGCCAATATCTGGCAGGCTCTGGAGCAGGCTTATCTGAAAGATCACATTATGGACAACATGGGAGGAACGCTGGACGCTGAGATCTCGGAAGGCGGTCAGAGTGAGTGGACGGACGCAGTCACCCGATTTGACGAGGGCTGACGCAAGTGGGCAGACTTGAGTTCTGGTCAGAGGCAATTGGTCTGCTTTGCTCGAGCTCTACTGCGCAAGACCAAGATCTTGGTCCTGGATGAAGTGAGACAGCAATCCCGGAAGCGCGGGTGGTTTCGCTGACCTCTAATCCCGCAGGCTACCAGCTCGATCGATCTTGAGACTGATGAAGCTGTCCAGCAAATTATCCGTGGATCCGATTTCGAAGGCGTCACGACGTTGACTGTGAGTCGATCCTTCTCTACAAGGAGCATGTCCATTGACCACCTTCTTCTTTTCCCTTTTCCCTATCTCCTACCAGATTGCCCACCGAATCAACACCATCATGGATAGTGATCGAGTTCTCGTCATGTCCAATGGCAAAGTGGCAGAATATGATTCTCCCGATGTGCTCTTACAGAATCCTGATTCCATATTCCAGAGTATGGTCCAGGAAGCTGGGTTGGGACAAAGTAGCAGTAGTGCCAGTCGTAAGAACAGTGTCTAGACATCAGTATGTAGTATCTCATTCCTTGTCACTTGAGCAATGGCTCTGAAAAATGATCCGATTTAACCGGTATAGCCCATGTGGTCAACGCCACACAAAAAAACTCTAAATTACAAATTAAGCTGTAGTTCGCTCGCTCGTATACCAGGGATGGTGGTGATGGAGGTGGTGAGAGGTGGTCGATGATGGCGGTGGTGCTGCTGGATGGTGCTGCTGCCTGAATAGGAAAAATCTTTTTATAATATTATTACTATATTCCAACGTAGGTGGAGTGAGAGCGAGCGAGGCGTCACAGAGGCAGAACAGGCGGAAAGAGGGGGGGGGGGGGGGGGGGGCGGGGAGGAGGGGTGGGCCAGAATAGATAGACAGACAGATTGGAAGGATAAAAAATGAAGCTAAAAAACCTCTCTCAGATTGGCCCCGGCTCCCCCTGCCCCTCCCCCCTTCTCTCCACCCCGCCCACCCACTCGTGCTGCTGCTGCTGCTACATCGTGTCAAAGAGTAAGGAATCTGATCTGGAACCAAGCTACCAACCCATCCAACCGACCATTCAACTCTTGTACATCTGAATCATCTCATTCCATCTCACATCCACAAAGTATAGACCCACACACCCACAGACACAGTGTGCAGCCAGCACCCGCTTAATAAAATTCACACGATCTACCAATTTGTCTTGGCGTCATTTCAAAGGCAAAAGCTGCTGCTGCTGTGGGACGCCTCCTTCGTCTTCAATATCATTTTCTGATCTCACACTGCACACACACCACACACACCCGCACACTCTGCTGACAACTTCGTGGACTGGCGAGGCTACCGACGTCAAGGCCTTGCTAGTTGGAGTTCGTCAATAGATCCAGAGACACACAGAGATCCCCGCGTCTGCCCTGGCCCCCGCGAATTCAACTCAAAAGTCGGGGGATCGACAAACGCCGGTTTCTCAGGACAACCGGGACTCGTCAGAAAGGCAGTGCTGGACGGAGGGGCGAGTGTCGGAAATCACATTGAACGATCTCCACCATTCTCGCTCGTAAGACACAACCGAGTTCTTGTCTGCTGGGCACCAGGCGATTAATAGACTATCCAAGTCCATATACCAGCCTCGTCATCACTTGATCCTCTCATCTCCTTGGCATCCCAGGGAAGTTTTTTCCCCTTCCTCCATTCTCCTCACTCACGGACGAGATCTATTGGGACTCACAGCTCAGTGATCGCTATTCAAGCACACACACACACGCACACACACATAGCGAGATAGATTCCACACAGGACACAGCCAGAGAAGCACGTTTCATATCATTCCGACATAGTTACTCCCGGTATCCCGACTACCACACCCACCATCCGATCCCCCTTGACACGTAACCATGTCCCTCAGCATGTCCTACGGGACATCTCCTGGCACTGGATTCTCCCTACTCAACCCACCTAATCCATCCTTTGCCCCTATCGATTCGGTTCCCCGAGGTGGCATCCTGCTCAACTCGAGACGGCTATCGGATTCACCCAAAGTGCGACCGGTCGACCTGGCATTCACCACCATTGGCAGTTCATCCCTGTCAAGCCGCAACATGACCTCGTTTGAATCCGATAACAATCCTCAAACTCCAGAAACTCCAGTCGTAGATCTCCCATCAGGCGCCAACCACTTATCTCCCGTCGGTTCATCTCCCATGTTGTCACCTTCGGAATCTGGTCATTCTCATTCCGCGAGGATAAGATTCGCACCCCTGCCTGATCCTCGTAGGCCGAGATCACTATCGACCGGTCGGAATATCGCTTGGGTAGCTGGCGAAGGTCCAACGGGTGAAACCACCCGCACGGTAGAACTTCGTGGTGTGAAACCGGATCAGGGCTACAATGAGGAGTATGTCGATGACGAGTCGGAGGACGATTTCTTACGACGACGGAGCGAAGGCGAGTCGGATGATGAGGAAAAGAGAGGTCGGAGGTGGAGTCGAACGATGGGCAGTTGGGGAAAGGGTACCAAAAAGCTTTTTGGTCTGAAAGACGCAGAGGATGCCTACTCGGACGGTGCACCGTTGAAAAAATCAGTCAGCACGGGTGGATTCATCGGATCGTGAGTGTGGTGGCCGCTGCGGCTCCTCTGGACTAGCTACTAACTCGGCGCTCAGATCCCCGTTCAGATGGTCGTCTGAGACTGAGCGAAAGAATACCATGCAAGGTCTTTCCCCCAACTCGTCCCTCAACAATCGTCCGGATCATCGTCGGAATTCGTCCATGGAATCACCATCACTAGGCTCCTCCTTATCCTCCTCGCCTCAACCCGTGCGTATGCTGAATGGCAGAGTGTACGGCAGTCGTCGTGCGATCGAAGCGGCTGAGAAGGAGAAACAATGGAGAGAACAGAATGAGCCTGCCTTTATCGAATGGGGTCACGGGAAGCAAGGTGCAGGATTGGGTTCAAATTCAGCTCCGTCAAGAACGAGTGGTGGTGGTGGATTCTTGGGCGATGCGGAAGAAGGCAGCGGGATGGAATGGGTGAAGAAACGACGTGAAGAGAGGCAGAAACGAGCTGCAGAGGAGAAACGAATGGCTCTAGAAGGATTCAGGTTGAGATCCAATAGCGACGGACCGAACCCGTCCGATGATGCTCAGTCCGGGTCCGGGGGAACAGTGACAGAGCCAAGCACGTTCCCATCCATCGCGTCTCAAAAGTCGAACCTGTCAAATATGTCAACTCAACCGACACCCATCATCCAGGTCTCAGAACATCTCTCGCCCGCCGGAAGGAGCCCATCTGGAAGTGGTGGGCATCCAGAACAAGACCATACGACGAGAGGCGCCGCGCAGCCGCCTGCCACTCAGTCAAAAGACGACCACGTCACTCGAGCTATTCAGGTACCGATACATCCAGATCACGACAAGGATAGAGTCGTTCGTGGTGTGGATATTTTCGGAGATGGGCGTGAGAGCGATAGTGACAGATCATCCGATGAGAGCAGCAGGAAAGAGAGGATCAGCGACGAACAGGTCATTGAAGATGACGACGATGAGGACGAGGATGATCAGGATGATGAGTATACGGATGATGAGGAGGATGAAGATGAGGATGCTACGAGGTGAGTAGTCAAACAAGCTCAAGCCGCTCCTCCAGCCGGGTACAGTGCTGACTTTGCTGTCATAGGACGACGAGCTCTGCTGCCGGAGTCGAAAAAGTCAGTCGACACAAGGACTAGGTCCGTTCCTAGATCAATCAGTTGTACCTGGGTCACATATACACCCTTTCTTTGTCAGCTCTACCATCCGTTCCCGTCACAGTACTTACATACCACTTTTACTTTTTTTGGCTCTTATAACGCCCCACCCGTTGTCACACTAGATGTTCTCAAGATTCTGTACATGAGTCCAGTAGGATGCATATCTCATCACGATCGACAAAGGATACAGGGAAGGGTTTAGGGCTGGTGGGAACAAACATGATGCGAACGTGATAGTCGGTACAAAAACGCAATCCTCAGATCCACAAGGCAGAGAAACGAGTGCTCAAGTTGGTCGTTACCTGGGCCTCATGACCAAAGACTACGTCAGGATCCACATCCACGTCGCCTTGAGACCGAAGCGGGGCATAGTAAAAGCCCATGATGAGAACAACGTAGCTGGAATCGCGTCAGACATGGTACGGAAAGAAAGCACTCACGCTAGGACTAAGATGGACCCTCGATGATAGTTACTCCTCGCTTCAATGTAAGTGTAAGTCAACAAGAAGATGGATAAGATGATGGCGATGACATCCCAACGAGGAAAGATGAGTCTATCGAGTCAGCACAATCCTATAAGTGGCGGACCCACGTAAATGTATCCACAACATCTCCCAACTTGGCTGGATCATAAAATGCGCTGAAAGCTACCATGGCGGGAATCTGAAGCAGACAGACTTGAAGAGCGTAGGCGGATCCAATTTCCATACTGAGGCGTCAGTGTCGTCATCAACACCACCCACCTCAAGGCAATGTTGCCATTTATAGCGAAAGACATGGCGTTCATGAACTCGGTCGTGTTGGGGACGAGGGCGAACAATGTGAGTCCCAGGAACTTTTCATCGATTCCAGATCCATGAAGGACGACATCCACCACGTCGACAAGGATTTCTGGCACGCATCAGCCGTTGCCTGACTCGGTACACTCACCAGCAATGATCGCATACAGCAGCGTGCATCCCAATAGAACGCCCGCACTGACTCCTCTCGTCCAACTTGGCGCCTCATGCCCTCCATGTTCTTCCTCCTCATTATGAGCGGGGCCCTGAGTGGATCTCTCCCGTCTTGAATGGCCATTGATGATGCTTCCCTGATGACGAAGAGCAGAGACGGTAGCGACCGCGACAGCTCGAGTGAAGTCTTCAGTCGTGAGCGTAGAAGGCAAGCTCATCGGTGCCAAATGATGCTGCTTCATATCTCTGTCTACAGTGTCCAGGAATGGTGAGTATCCTTGAGGCAGATTGTATGCCCCGCTAGCGAGACGGGATTGAGGCTGAGAATCGTCGTGCATTGGCATCCTTTCCGCTGACAGTGGCGCGCTCTTGACACGTTGAGATTGTGGTGTGCCACCAATGGCAGGGTGATTCGACTTGCCGAGTCGCAATGTTGGCTGCTGCGATGTGGAGAGGATGGGACTATTGAGCTGACTCGCATTGAGGCTGTTTGCGCCCTTATGGAGCGGAAGAATGTGCTGCATCAGTGCTTGTGGAGACACGCGTTGGTTCAGTGTTGAGCGGATGGCAGGGTGGAGAGCGGCACTCTCCTCGGCCTTCATGAGCTGTTGAGGGTTCTGATAGATTTGCGCTGCGTGGGTACGAAGGGAGAACCACAGTCCGATGAGGTATGACTGGGTGTGAGCCATCGTCTTTGTCAATATACGTACGAAGAGGAGTATACCCGCACACATGTACATCAACGTCTTGACTTGATCCTGGTAGAATGGATCGCTGGCAGGATCGGGATGCTCGTATACGCAGCTAGTACATTTCCAAGCTTCTTCAGCGTGGATTTGACCATGTTTTGCCGGGCATCCACTGCAGTGGAGCTCGAACTAGATGTGAGCGAGGCCCTGAAGTCTCGACTTACTGATCCATAGGTCTGATAAAACATTGTAGGCGTCAACGTCCCAATGATGGCCATGATCAACATTGTACTTGTCACCCCTGCGCTCTTTGCGTTGAATTTCTGCTCCTTCTTCTTCAGAGCACCCGAACACATACTCGCTCCGGGCATCAACAACACACCAGCAAGGATACTGCCAATGATGGATCCTTCAACCAATCGCCCCTTGCCTTGAGTCAAAGCAATACCATAGAGTATAATTTCGATGATTGATCCAAAGGTGGCGTTGATGACTGCACCCATCCCGATGGACGACTGTGCCGAGATAGAAGCCACAGCCATACCGATAAAGTACGAGAGGGGAATGACGGAGGCGAGAGAAAGCACAAAGATGAGCGCTTGAGAAGTGATGAATGCGAAGAATGGATCAGGCGTGTGGCCGCGGTGTTCCGAACGCTGAGCGGCCGGCAAGAGGACAAAGGCGTCAAAGATCGTAAAGAATACCAAAGGCAAGAGGTTGATGAACATGATGTTCACACCGCCGACGGTATACTTGTAGTACTGGAGACCGACTGCACGGTACGTACACAGTAGCACCGTGGATTGGTATCCCGGCGTCGGTGCACTCTGACCGGCGGTTAAACGGGCTGCCTTGAATTTGTATGCTCGGCCGTCGGGAGAGGAGCCAGATCCACTTCCAGCCATGGTCGTGCTGCCGGACTCGTTGCCTGGATCAGATGAGTCCTCGGGATCTGACACTGGAATCTTGGGCGCCGAGTTGAAGTTGATTTCCAATGGGCGAGAGTAGAGCAGCTTTAGCAGGGCCCAATTGAGCTTGGCCATGGGAATGGTGATGACCAAGCCCCAGCAAATGAGGCAGACAGTCAGCATGACAGGAGCCACGATGAGAAAGAATCCAGGCCAATAGATCAATCGACCGAGAAACTTGGCTCTGCTGTTGCGTGGTCGTCGAAAAGCGGGATACGTTGGATCTCGCAAGAGTAGCGGTGCCCTTTCGTCCATGGCTTCTTGGTCGAGGTCTCGGAGTGCGTCACGGTTTGTAGGTTTGACTGGAGCAAATGAGACAGAGGTTGAGGCTGGCTTGACAGTCGCTGCGGTGTCAGGCGCTTCTTCATCTTGGGGACGGTTGTCTCGAATGGTCACGGCAGAACCGGACGATGGATGTCGCTGTGAGGATGGCTTGGCCGTGCCATAACCGCTACTCTCGCTGCTGGAATCGTCTGGACCTCCTTCGCCCTCGACATACTTGCCGAACGGCCAACCAATATACCACGCCAGTCCACGGAGCGTCTTGCCGTATCCTCCCCGTCCCCCTCCGAGGACCTCGGCGCCAGAAACCAAAACAGCAACGAAGAAACAGGCGATAGCCATCCACCACCCAAACATGACGGTCCATAGAAGGTTACCCGGTAGAAGATGCCGTTCAGCTGCTGCAGAGGGAATGGAGTGTAGAGCGGATTCGGCATTGCGCGTGACAGTACGCGATTTGCGATACAGCGCAGGTTTCCAGATGGGTAGACCAAAGGGGTGTTCAATATTGAGAGCCTATGTGTGAGCAAGCATCTGGTAGACCGCTACCCACGTCTTGCCTGTCCTTGAGCGTGACGCCCTCATCGCCCTCCCCGCTACCATCGCCATCCTGGTCGGAGCCTTCTTCTTCTGCAGCCTGTTCGACAATTTCTTGAACGACTTCATTGACGACACTGGCATTGTCCTGTGCCGTCTCATCGTCCTCATCTGCAGTGCTCGAGTAGATTGAGGGAGGTCTGAGCTCATCGTATGGACTCGATCGACCATCGGTTTGCGACATGGTCCCGAAGTAACCTTCCCTACGAAGCTCAACACCCGCACTGGGAGTCCGAGCGCGAGATGCGGAGCGACGACCTTGTTGCGCGCCGAATCCCTCTCCATTCCAGCTTGTCGGGGGTGCCGACGAATCTGTCACATCCCCCTCGGCCAACTTGCGTCCCTTTTCTTTCGCCTTGCGGAGTTGTTTACGCTCTTTCTGACGTTGTCGGATGAGAGCCGCACCTCGATCTTCTTCTTCATCCTCATCGTCTGCAGCGGCGAGCTTTGCAATACCTCCAGATGAATTGTTCGTGGGCAATGGAGGGCGTGCGCGAGAAGCGGACCGTGATCCTGCAGTCGTGTTGAATCTCGAATTCCTCGGCCTGAGTGATCCACCTCGTTGTTGAGGCGGTGAACCGAATCCACTGCCCACGGCTGTTTGAGGAACTCCTCGCTGAGAGCCTGAAGGCCCTACACGAGGCGTGTCTTCCCCAGTCGACATGTTGAGGCCTGCAGGAAAGGCTGTCCTTGAGCGGTAAGAACGTGATTCGAGGTAGTCGTCCTCGGTTATGGACGAGGAGGTGCGATCGGGTGATGCGGTATTTGACTTTGCGGTGCGAAGATCAGATGGACGCTATACGCAGTGGGTAAGTCACGGATACAGCCTCCTTGTTCAATCTTGGCAGATCACTCCTCGTCTTCACGGAGATAGAGGGCCTTTTTTTCCCCTCTATCTCTCGTGTTTTGCCATCGTTTCAGAGACAACCAAAAGTGTCCGCCACGCCGCCGTGGTGATCAATGCACGCTAGACTCACATGGCTAGAGACGTCTCTTCCTCGATGTACATCCTCACTCGGTCGTCCAATGCCGAGTCCTTGTTGATCCGAGGGTCCTGCTGAGGGTCCTGCCATCGGAGTGGACGTTGAATCATAAGTGGGGCTCATTCCGATCCCTACGCGTCAAGACCACGAGGAACAGGCAGGGAAATCGCAAGCTGACTGATGCTTGGCACGGGCTGGACAGACAGCACCCTGTATCCAGCGGCCTTGAACCCCTGCGGGATGATGATACAACAAACAGAGCGAACTTTGTACAGAAGAACGAGAAAGGAATGGACGATACCCTCCACGGGCTAGCTCGACGCCAACGCAGGTGCAATCGGGGGATCATCAAAACGTTTACGGTAATCTACATCAACCTGTATATATAATATTTTGCTTCCGGGCTCCTCTTAAATCTTGCCATTCTTGAAGGCTTCAGCGGAAGCAGCATCGCTCTCTCGAAGCTTGGCATTGTCAAGAGGTTGACGATAGGGCACATAGTCGACCAATCCAGCTCCGACCAATGCAGCGTGTTGCTGATAGCCAAAGACATGAGGGTCGAGACCGAACTGTTTGCCTCGTAAGCGTGGCGCCACAAACAGAAACTTGACATACCTCGGCCATGGGTTGACCATAATCAAATGGAAGAGCATTATCGATTTCCTTGATCTGTTCCCGGGTCAAGGAAAAGTCAAGGGCAGTCATGTTGCTCTTGAGGTGTCTGATAGTTGGCGTGGACTCGTCACGCAGCACTCACTCGACCTTTCGCCCGCCAATGATGGGGTAGACGTAAGGGTATTTGCCCATGACGTAGGCGAGGGCGACAGCGGTGATGCTTTCCACCTTGATTTCGTCGGCAACCTTTTCGAGCGCGGTCGAGACCTCAATACTCAGCGTCGTTCTCCATATCAGGGCACTTACCTTGAGCTCCTTCTCGTTGAGCGCGATGGAACTCCGTCCGTCCTTGGACTGGCCTTGATCCTTTTTGCGCTGGAATCGGCCTTGTCCGATAGCACCCCAGGGTGCGATGCCCATGCCTATGATAAGCAGTGCACCGGTAGACGCACACACCTTCCGAGATACACATCGGGAGGATATCCCTTTCGATGTCTCTGGCAGCGGCCGACCATCGCCCTTGGTAGAGCACAAACGGCGCGAGGCCATGGTCTCGTGCATATTGATTGGCCTTGGAGACGACCCATGCGGGCGTGTCAGAGATACCGAGGTACAATACCTTGCCCATTTTGATCAGATTGTTGAGCCCCTGCATGACCTCGGGGATGGGTGTCGTCCCTGAAGATTCAGGGCGAGTCGGCCAGAATCACTCACAGTCCCACCAGTGCAGGTCTGTCCGTCAGCTGTACCCCACCGAGTCAACCTACAAAGCACATCGACGTAGTCGGTACCGAGCTTCTTGAGCGACGCATCGATCGACTGGAACATGGATCGGTAGCTGTTACCAGAGCTGTAATACGTCAGCAATGTCAGCAAAAAGAGCAAGCGCACCGGTTGATTGCAATAGGGTGCTTGTCCACTTTGCCTCGCTTGTAGTTGGAAGTAAATTTGGTAGCGAGGACCAACTCCTCTCTATTTCCACGCTTCTTCATCCACTCTCCGATCCAATTTTCCGAATCTTCAGCTTGGTATGAATTGGCAGTATCAATGTAGTTTCCTCCCAAATCGTAGTAGGCATCCAGGAGTTCGAAAGCTTTCTCCTTGGTCATGCTTCCGAGAGTGGCCGCATCGGATTCGCCGATGGACATGGCCCCCAATTGCAGCGGTGATACTCTCAGGCCACAATTAGGCCCGAGAAGACGGTACCGTCCGAGTCTTGATGGGGGAGGCAGAGCCATAGTGATTCAAGGAAGACGCTACGCGAAGGACAGATGAGCTTTGATGTGAAAAGGCTCAGCAACGCCTCGAAAGAGTGATGGCTTGCTCACAAGGATATGGAAATGCGCGGCAAGTGCTGTTCACGCTTGTGCTGACGAAGTAAAGACTCAACAAGCACGGCGAGTGGAGGTGAGTGGAGGACAATGGACTGGCCGTTCGGATATCCGGAAATACCTCGGTCCGGCGCACCGGCCCGCGAAACCACATCATTTGTCACGTGAGCTGGCGTCCGCTTGATCATGAGGAGAGCTGTCGAACACGATGGTGTAGAGCAAGCTAGCTCATATACAGCAGAAATACATGCCCAAGATGATGCCTAATTCCACATGATCGACCTCTGTAGTCGCAGAGAGGAGCAGAGAAGGCCCTTCCCTGGCAATATACAGTATTTATACAGCCACAGCTGGGGCTAAGGCAGGTCCTACTGAAAGAGCCAGACCCAGAGGCATGGCCAAGTCTGCTCCTTGCCGATGTCTGGACACAAAATGGTGTAGAGCTTTGATCATCTCTGACCATTGCTCAGTCTTGGCCATATCCGCGAGCTTCCCATGCAAAGCTTGATGATCATCAACCAAGAGTCCCGTAGGTGTCGCAGCGATGTTATACAGCTTCTCAACAAATCCACGTCCATGTGTCTCCATACTGGCAAATGAGAGCGCACGACAGAGCTCGACTGTTGTCAGCGCCACATCGACTGGGTAGTCGGTACTGAGCTCCGGTGCCGAGAGCATGAGCTCGAGGTCATTCGCACGATGTGTCAAGCGATGGGCATGCGCAAGTGTCCAAACTCGATTCCGCAACCATTGCCATGTGACTACTACATCTGCCCTCTCTGACTCTGATAAGAGGTCAATCTCCTCTGTCAGGACGATATGTGGTGGCTGAGAAAGATCCCGCAGGAGTGTCAGAACTCTGGCTCGATCGAGGCGGTGGCACATTTTTCGCTCATGCGTTGGACACTGCTGCGTCCAACAGTAGAATATGCTGTCGTCCAGATTAGAAAACAGGGAAGCGAGGCATTGCAAATGTCGAGACAGGCGACAATCGTACAACGCCAGAACACCCGGTGAAAGGCATCGTAGATTGATTGCGTTGATCTTGACCGGGTTGAATATGGCGGAGACGCTGCAAAAGGGTTCAGATTGGCATGAGTCGAATCGACTTACATCTCGGTCAAAGCTAGGACATGGTGCATCGTCTGATACCTTCTGGTGCTTTCCTCATCGCCCATCCGATCGAAAGAGTCCAGATGTAGGCTTGTCGCCAGCTCCAGTGTTTCGGACAGTTTAGCTGAAGATAGATCGCCCCGTTGGAGCTCGCCCCAGGTCGCAAAACCGAGATACTTTGTGAGAATCAGCTCAAGCGTCGGAATTTTTTGATGCTGGAGTCGTTCTGCCTCTTCCAACAAGCCGATTGCCTGACGGACTCTATCCGGTTTAGCGGCCATCTCGTGCTGCTGAAGGGGATGGATGGAAGCTAGGGCCGCCATGGAGAGGATGAGGGCGATGAAGCATGGATCACGCGTTCTATCTGAGATGAAATGGTACTCGTGTGATGCAGACGGGATACTGCCGAAAATGTGAATGGCCGGAAAGATGGGCATCATCCGGTAGATGCGCTCGTAGAACGTGTGAAGCAGCGGTATGATCGTCGTCTCCAGCATCGTCATGGCTAATGGCGATGGGTGGGAAGGACCAGTATCAGGCCAAGATAGTGATGTGGGGTAGCCCGCATATGGCACACCGTATTGGGACGGCGTTGGAACGGTGAACGAGGGATCCACAATGGCATCTTGCTTGAACCAGTCATATGGATCTTCTGTGCCGGGAGGGATTTGATCGCCCTCGTTCGTCTTTTTCCTCTTTGGTCCCTTCTTGCGCGGGACATTGGCATAGGTGCATAGGTCAGGACCCCTCAAGCAAGTCCGACAGGGCAATTGACCATCACACTGACAAAGGTCAGAACCGGTAAAGCTGTGAGACCAACCTTCACTTTACGCTCATGACATAGATCACAAGCACGAGTCACAACACGCTTCGATGGCCCTGCTTCGGAACCCTGCTCAGTAGGGCTCGTGTTCATGTCGCAGATCATAGGTGCTCGCGAGATGCAGGAACGGAAAGATCGATAAATATGGTGCAATCGGTCCGGCGTAACAGATGAGCCGAAACACGGGCACGGGAATTGCCCTTATACGAGTGGCAATTGATATGTATTTGATACCGCCCATTCAGGGAGCATGGACACAGCCTCAGACAAGCTCCTCCCGAGAGGGCAGACCCCCAGAAACTCTCAAGCTGTCGAACATGACCATGTCAGCCCTACATGCATTTACAATCTCGACTGTTGGTTTTCTATAAAACTCGATTTAGCTCAACTTTTCAAGGCTCATACACCGACGCCTCCAATATTGTTCATCATTCGCATACTCTTCTCGTTGTGCTCCATCTCCATAGTCTTCTCTATCGCGGCCTCTGAATGAGCGAATTGATCTGCCACAGTGCTCTTGAATTTTCTCGCTGGGACCTTGTTTTCGAACAGAATGTCAATTTCACCGAAAGATCGATCCTTGGTCTCAGGCAGTCGAAAGTAGCACCAAACCAAGCACAGTAGATTGGTGCCTGCGTAAAACAGAGCGCTTTTTGCTCCCCAGTTCCATGAAGTCGGAGAAAGCATCCTGGGTGTCACCGAATTTGAGAAAATGCCTGTGAGATTGTAGACGAAACGACCAATGACGATGGTCTTGTACCTGAGACGTCCACTTGGTGTCTCCGCGACGATAGGGTAGCAGGCCGGTCCTGTCGTGATCATGTTGATGAGAGTCGAGATGACAAGCAGGATACCTATGGCTAATTTGGCGTGTACAGAGTCCGAGAAACCAAGACCTCCGATGACAATTAAGCAGACAAACATGCCAATCAAGCCGCCGATATAGATTGTGGCCCGTCCAATTCGAGCCATAACTGATTGTCAGCAATTTCCTCTGATCGTGTACTCACGGAACCAGCAGATGATGCCGCCCACAATGTAGCAGCAACTGAGAGAGATGTTGAGATCGAAAGCTTGCAATTCGGAGAAACCAGCCTGTTCAAGGAACTCTACGGAGTAGCCAAGTATGGCGTTCCCACAAAGGATTTGTGCTGCCCAAACAACACAGTTCTTCAAGTCAGTCGTGTCGGACGTGGAAAACCCACAATTTCAGTTCTCCTGAGGTTTGTTCCCCTGAAACATTCAAGATACGTGGCCCCGGCGGTCTCTGCTTCTTCGAGAGCAGTCGTGTGTTCTATCAAGGCAATAGTAGCCTCAATCTCCTCATCTCGCGTTGGCGTGTCCTTCTTGAGCTGACGCAGAGCTTGACGGGCGAGTTCAGGTTTGCGTCTTCGGATGGCATTCCACGGCGATTCGGGGGCAAAATATGCGCAGATGAACAAAGGGATTGGCCACACCCATCTATTTCACAGACGATGTCAGTGGGGATGACTGCTTCTTGGATATTGACGGGTTTGTAACTCACTGGACCGCGAAAGGTAGCCTCCAGCCCCATTCGCCCTGAAGTCCAGCCACAGCGCGGACGACACCGGACGAGAGTAGGATTCCAGCACCCCAGCACATGCAGACGTAAGCCGTCACGTAGGGCCGGAGAACGGTGGGTACAACTTCAGCAGCGTAGGCCGTGGACACTGGACGTCAGAAGCGCTCAGTGCAAATGCACTCACAAGTCTGGAATACTCCCCAGCTGATTCCGCACATGGCCTCGCCAAACGCGAGAACGGGCAGGGATCGAGAGAAGCTGTGGCACTGTCAGAAGGGGCATCTGCATCTGCCACGCCACATACAAAGGGATGAAAATGGCGGCGGCCATCCACGCCATGAAAATCATTAGGGTTTTTCTACATCCGAAACGGTCTTGGAAGAAGCCATTGATGATGAGTCCAAACAGCTGGCCCACCAAGGATGAATTAGAAAGCCCAGATTGCCAAGCAGCTGTGGGTGAGCGTCATCATGGAGTGGCTGGACCTACCTGTTATCAGCTTCTGACCCGTAGTGGGATCGATGCCTGTCCCGAATTGGTTCTTGAACTGTGTCTGTCCGTAGAAGGATGTGATGATGACTACATCGTAGCCCTGATCGATCAGACAGGCCCACAATCAAACCTCACCTCCATGACTAGACTCGTCGAGAGGCTATGAGTGACACTGTTAGCCTAGTGGCAGAGAATCAACTGATCCAACACCCACATCATTGCCCAGAAGACTGCCTTCTTGTATTTGTGCAAAGCTTGACGAATAGTGAGCGCATGATCAGCGGCGTCACTCTCTTGTGCTCGTGCCACCAATGCCAATGTCTCCGGCGCGTTGAGGGCAGGCCTGGGAGGGGGCACTGCATTATCGAACATGTTGGATGAGGTACTGTTTGGACTTGAGGACAAGCTATCTAGGCGATTGCGGGGCTACAAAAGAAGAGAACAAGTCTTGATCTTGGACTTGACAGTTCCAACTTTATGTACTGGTTCGGGCTAAATTGAGTTTCCGGATGGGCCCCCCCACTGTGGGATGGCGTAATCCAGTAGAATAGAGCCGAAGGGCACAAGAGCAGAGGGTCAGTTAGACCGAGATGCGGCCGGTGGAGGCGTGCTTCGCCGAGATGTCGGAGTAAGTTGAACGGTGACTTGCTTGCTTGGATGTTTCAATATCGCCTGGTTGCCAATGGTTTACGATTCCCGCAAAGAACAAGCAATGAGAATCGACGACGGAGAGAACGTTCCTAAGGGGCACAGGAGCAAGCACGCTGCCGCTGTCTCTGGTCCACGACCACACCCTCAAGTCAGCTACGACCAGACGGGTGAGCAAGACATACCTGGACGATTTCCTGACAAGCTTATTAGCTATTGCCCCTTCGTCATTCTTCGGCAAGCTCCAGTCGATCTACGGGAATAGCGTTCTCAAGACACAGCTGGAGCAGCTCAAGAAGCAGGGAAGCTACGATGCTTTCGATCTAAAATGGCACGAGGTGTACAATGTCCGTCGCTTCCACGGTGCTCGCACTTTGGTGAGTTGTCGTACTATGCGTTTGTTAATCCCTCAGCGTGAGAGTGTGCCCCCGTCTCTGTTCTGGGAGTCTGATGTTGGGAAATGGTAGGTGAATGGAAAAGGGCTTACAGCTGAGACCTAGGATCGAAGCTGTGTCTTACTTCATGTCTTCGGGATCCATCGTGGACCCCCAACTCGCAAAGACATTCGAGCGCGCAGTCGGCGAGCTCGTGGAAAAGATCGAAAAGGCGCAAGCTGAGGATGGCTATCTTGATATCTACTTCCAGGTGGTCGATAAAGAAGGCAAGTTCAGAAACCTGAGAGATGCACACGAGATGTGTGAGTGAAGCGCTACGGAGTGAAACTGAAACTTCAGACAACTGTGGTCATCTGCTCGAAGGAGCTCTGGCGCACTATCACTGGACAGGGTCCAAGAGATTCCTGAATTGTATGATCCGCTATGTCGACTTGTTGATCAGGACATTCGGTCCTGAGCCTTCGCAACTCCACGGATATCCAGGTCACCCAGAGCTCGAACTGGCCGTGTCGCGGCTTTACCATGTGACTGGGGATCCTAAGCATCTTGCCTTTGCGACATATCTCTTGGAAGCCCGAGGATCCAAACCCGCCGACATGGACGGAGAGAGCTATTTTGTCTGGGAGGCCAAGCATCGTCGAGGCGGAGATACTGGTGTCCCACAAACAATGGACAAATTGACTGATCTAACGTGAGAAATTTGAGGATGGTAAAATGTTGACCGCTCAGGTATTCTCAAGCTCATGATACCCTACACAATCAAACCGAAATCCTTGGTCACTCAGTCAGAGCTTTCTACCTGACCACCGGGGCAGCCGATGTAGGCGGGGAGTTTCTAAAAGATGCCAAGCGTCTTCTGCACGACGCAACGACCCGCAAGATGTACGTCACTGGAGGATTCGGTACTGAGCCTCGATGGGAGGGCTTTTCGAGAATCCCGTATCGCATGCCCCAGTCGACCGCTGAAGGCGGCTGCTATCAAGAAACTTGCGCCAGTATTGCCTGTATGATGACCTGCGAGCGAATCTTGAGTCATGAGATTGATGGTGCCACTCGAGACGTCATGGAGTTGTGTCTGTTGAATGCTGTACTAGGAGGTGGATCTTTGGATGGAACAAAATTCGCGTACGAGAACAAGCTTGCTACGTGTGGGAATGAGACCGCCGAAAGAAGTGATTGGTTCGAAGGTGAGTGACCAGCTGCTTCTCACTTGCTGATCGATAAGTTTGTTGCTGTCCGCCGAACCTTTCTAGAACGATCGGAATGCTCGGAGGATATACTTGGTCAGCAATCGTGGATGAGGCATCCAAGACAATCAACCTGAACGTCTGGCTGTTTGTCTCAGCTACACGTCGCATTCCTCTGGGCAACGGTCAGGAAGCCTCTGTCACCATGAAAACCGACATGCCATGGTATGGAAGGACGTCATGGCAATTCGACGCGCCAGAGGGCTGGACATGGGCTGTGCGGATCCCGCGCCCAAGTTACGCCGAGAACGTCAAGGTAAGCATCCCTACGCTTCCAGAGCTGACGACAGACCTCCGCAACGGTGGAACAGGAGGATGGCTTTTCAAGCTTCGCATTCAGAGCAGACGGTCAATTCGAGCAAATCTTCGATCTTCCCGTTCGCCTGCTGTCTTCTCATCCGCGCAGTGGACAGGATCTGATCACCGTTTCTCGTGGGCCAATCACCTACACCGCCGAGTCGATCGACAATGCTGGTCTGGACAACAGCTACCATCATTTCGAGGGCCTAGGTATCTCCGATAAAGAGGTGTTTGAGGAGAGTCTCGTCAATATCCTAGGAGTTAACGTGATTACATTGACTACGAAAGGCTCCGCGTATGTTCTGTCAGACTTTGATCGAGCGTCACTCTACGAGCCAGTCAGCGATCGGCTTTGGTCCAGTCTCGGCCAATCTATAACATTTGTGCCATGGTTTGCGAGAGCCAATAGAGGAGGGGCTGGGAGAGTGAGGACGTCATTTCCTAGAGTACCTAGTTCCCAGTTGCCATAAATCAAGTGTCACTGGTAGTTTACAATGTGTTTGGCTGCCAAGGCTCGCACAGGTCCGAAAATCAGTCCGAACATTCGGGATGGAACTCGGGACGGAACCGGACCGCTGATCCGGCAAGAAGAAGCGTGTCTTTGAGCTCCTGAGTGCTGCATATACCTTGTCAAACGCAGCTACAGCGCACTATCATTGAAATGTCTGCGAACGAACCCCAGCCTTTAGGAGCTAGCACGGCGGCAGCCGATATCTCAGCTCGCGAAGCGGCTTACCTTCCACCTTCCGAACTTGCTGTAAAGTTCGCGAAGGGTATCCATCAACATCAGCCCGCCAAACCGCACGCCAGCGCAACTCATGAGGGAAAGAACCCTCACTTGATCAAGAAGATCGAGGACTTCTACGTCCGACCCCGATGGCTGTTTGTCCGAGTGAGGTACCTGTACGACCACTGCTTACGGATAGATTGAGACAGAAGGTGGGGTTGTCGGGTGGGGCGAAGGCACCCTAGAGGGTCATACCGAGTCCGTCCAGGGTAGCTTGAGAGACATCGCCAGAAGGTAGGGCAGTCCGCCGAGAGGCGCTTACGCTCTAGACTGGAGGGATGGGACGCCATGAACATTGAAGACGTGGGCTTGCAGTGTTCGAACAGGGCTAATGTCAGATCTACTCTTTCATGCACCGGTTGCGATTCTATCGAGGCGGAGCTGTGAGTTTGCGGAATCGGCCGACGCTGAGCTCCTAGACTCTCATGTCCGCACTTAGCGGGTGAGCCTGAGCGATTGCTCAAAGCTGATGCCGAGAATCGATATTGCCCTTTGGGACATCAAAGGCAAGGTGCTTGGCGTCCCTGTATGGGAGCTCTTAGGAGGCAAAGTCAGAGAGACCGCGCCTGTCTATGGCTGGTGAGCGTAGCTCAGGGTAACGATGCTTATTTGTCCAGGATTGGCGGAGATCGCCCCAGTGATGTGTTGGAGCAGGCCAAGGTGCGAAAAGCTCAAGGCTTTACGAGAGTCAAGATGAACGCTACGGAATCCGTGGGTCCTGACTGCAAAAAGCAAGGCTGATCATCTTCAGGTCGGATGGTTAGACTCCCCTCATGCTCTTGACGAGACGGTTCAACGACTTGCTGAAGTCAAGTCCATAGGAATGGACGCGGGACTGTGAGTCATCTGATGGGATTCGACCTGATGAGCCAAGCGACTTTCATGGCCGCCTTCATAAGCCCATGGCTAAGCAATTAGCAAAATTGCTGGAACCTCATCGCCCACTTTTTATCGAGGAGCCTCTACTGCCTGGATATCCAAACGAGACGAAAGATCTGTACAATCAAATTTCAATCCCCATAGCCGTGAGCGAGGGCTCCTGCGCGTAGCTAATCTGCAAGCTTGGAGAGCGACTTTTCACCCGAGAAGACTTCAGACCATACTTTGTGAGACATACATTCAGCTAGAGCTTATCCGTTAAGGAACTCGGCTGCATCGATATTGCACAACCAGACATCGCTCACGCTGGTGGCATCTCCGAGACGAGGAAGATCTCGACCATGGCAGAGTGAGCGCGACTGAGTATGTGTGTGCGCCTTGCTGAACATGCTCAGAGCTTATGACATCGGAATCGCCCCGCACTGTCCTTTGGGTGGGACCCCGAGTCACGGTAGTATTGCTGACATATCAGGACCTCTCGCTTTCGCTGCGTGTCTCCAGATAGCTTTCTGCACGACCAATTTCGTGGTCTGTGAAATGTCATGGAAGGTGAGAAGCGTCCACAGCAGGAATCGACCTGACCGTCAAAGATGCACTATAATACTGGCGGCTTTGACTTGTTCACCTACATGCTCAATCCTGAGGTCTTTGCAGTGAAGAATGGTTCGGTATCCCTTTTGGCTGGGCCTGGACTCGGAATAGAGATGAACGAAGAGTTGATCCGAAAAGAAGCGGCCGAGGCTGCTACACTTGCCCCATGGACTAATCCCATCTTCAGAGGTCCAGACGGAAGTGTGAGAGAGTGGTGATCGGGGACTTGGCCGGCGAATTTTCGGATATATACCCCGCATGAATGTGTCCGCAAAAAAGGCCCGAAGCATCCTCCTTCAACCAAAAGATCATTGCATTGTATTGTGCTCTGAACACCCACTGTACTCTTCTGAACCTGCCCCGCTCCACCGCCATGCCCCTTCGCAAAGACTTCTTGTACGGCTTTGCTACTGCTGCCGCCCAGATAGAAGGAGGAGGCAAGGAGTCTGAAGAGGAGAGCGGTCGTGGCCCATCCGTGAGTGACTGCCTCGAAACCACCGACTGAGTTGCCAAGATTTGGGACAAGTTCTGTGAGGATGGGCGCACCTTGGATGGATCACACGTCAACAGGACATGTAATCACTATGGAATGTTCAAGGAGGACGTAGCGAGTGAGGCACCGAGCTGGCGCATGGGTTAACGCATCTTAAAGTGATGAAATCGCTCGGCGCCAATTCGTACAGATTCTCCATTTCTTGGCCTCGTTTGATACCTCGCGGCGGACGAGACGACCCGGTCAATGAAAAGGGGATAAAATTCTACAATGACTTGATAGATGAGCTTCTGGCTCAAGGTCTGACCCCATTCGCTACCATTTACCAGTGAGTCGAGGTCCGTTGGTGTCGCTCATCCTCTCAGTTGGGATCTCCCTCTCGCTCTGCAAGAAAAATATGATGGTTGGAACAGTCCTGAGGTGGTCAAGGACTACGTCCGCTATGCCAAACTCTGCTTTGATAGCTTTGGAGATAGGGTCAAGAACTGGCTCACGTTCAACGAGCCATACGTCACCTCCATCCTGGGTCACGGGTATGGAGAATTCGCACCGTGAGTCTGTAATATCGTCTATGAGGCTGATCGACCAGGGCGCACAAGTCTAACACTGAGCCTTGGATCACTGCTCATCACCAGATCCTCGCCCATGCTTATACAGTCGACCTTTATCGAAAGCAGTACAAACCGAAATATCATGGTCAGATTGGAATTACTCTGAATGGGGATTGGTCAGAGCCATGGGACGAAACACCGGAGAGTGAGCCTCAACAAAGACTGTCAATTGATCATACAGATATCCAAGCCCAAGAAGACAGGCTTTTGGGATTCATCGGTTGGTTCGCCGACCCGATCTACCTTGGGTCTTATCCCAAGGTCTTGAAGACCATGCTGGGGAACAGGTTGCCAGATTTCACAGAGGAAGAAATCAGACTGGTCAAGGGCAGTTCAGATGTGAGTCCGCAACGGCTGATTGAGGCTGACGATCACAGTTCTACGGGATGAATGTAGGTTGCGGGTACCGTGACCCCTCTGACGGCTGTAGACATATACCACCACCATTACCCAAGCGGGGGGTGATGATGAGCTGGCAACGAAGACTATTAACGGACACCAGCGAAAGGATGGCACCTGGATTGGCACCGAATGTACGTGTCTGACATGATTCTCGCTGACTCTTAGCCTCACTCAAATGGCTGAGATCAGTACCATGGGGTGTGCGCAAACTTCTCAACTGGATCTACAAGCGATATCAAATGCCCATCTATATGACCGAAAACGTGAGCCTCATTCTTGATGGCTCTGATCACCCAGGGTTTCGCCATCAAGGGCGAGTCAGACATGTCAAAGGAGGAAGCGTGAGTTGAATTGTAACGCGCTTCGCTAATGCCATGCCAGCTTGCGTGAGACATACTCCACGTTGCACTGTTGATCTTTCAGATGATAAGGACCGTGTCGATTACTACCAGGGATATCTTGAGAACATCCTTCAAGCAGTCGAGGAAGACGGTGTGGATGTGCGATCATACTTTGGCTGGTCGTGAGTGATTGGACTTTGTGTATGCTTAAATTCCAGTTTCCTGGACAACTTTGAATGGGCTTCTGGTCTTGGCCCTCGATTCGGGTGCGTGTACACCGACTACAATACTTTTGAGCGGACGCCAAAGGATTCGGCCAAGACGTTGATGCAGGTGAGTCAGGTCTTTTCCTCCCATGCTGACCTGACCCCGCCAGTTCTTCGAGGAACATGTATCCAAGTAGACCCGGTCAGTGTTCATCGACTGCTTCATCTGTATGCATTTTCAGTGATGTCTGAAGTAATCGCCCTTGAGTCCCTTGATGACGGTCTCGGCATTCTGACCATCAATTTGACTATAGCTGTTCACGATGAGCATGTCTCGCATATTCGTCGCTCACTCTGGCACAGGCATCAACGATTGATCCTCCCAGTCAAGGCCCCGATCCTTCAGTCCGCCTTGCTTGATAGCCTTGACGACGCCATCCCAGACGACATCGTACCCAGCCTTGGTGAGATGTACACCGTCACTGAGTCTAAGTACGGTTCTTCCTTCGCGCCACTCACGTGAGGTACCTCGTCAAGGGCTGTCCTTCTCCAACATTTTCGACCATGTCCGCCCAAGTATCGACCACTTCGACCGCCCATGCTCTACCACTTTTGGCTTTCCACTCTTCACCAACCTTTCTAGCAGCCTCTGCATACTGTTTGGTGATCTTTGTGTCCCGCTCAGTACTGGGCGGTGTTGATGCCCCGGGGTAACAAGGAGGAGGTGTGATGAGGATGATGTTGGGGACGATAGGATATCTCTCGCCAGAAGTTAGATGATCGAGGATTTTGTGCAGGTTGGCAGCATATTCCTCCAGAGGGACGTGTTGGCCGGTTGGAGCTTCAGATACGACAGCGTCGTTGGTACCTGTGCTCAGTCAGTCTCGGCTCATCGTTCGAGCCCTACCTAGCCAGACTGTCGCCAGCCTGATTCGGCTCTGACCTGCGGCTTCCTCTTTTCGACACAAGAATTCGTCTAACAACGGAAGAAGTCTATAGTCAGGACTTCGACTCGGAGAAAAAGCTCACAATCGAGTAGTGTAGCCTCCATATCCTCTGTTCAGAACATCGAAGTCTCGCCTGTAGACCGCTGTGGAGGACTGTGAGTAGGGGAACAAACGTGAGGATCTCGGCGCACTTACCTGCAAAGCGGGCCTGAAGTGAATCAGGAACCTCTTGACGAGAAGTGATACTGTCTCCCTGATGTATGAGTAGAGCCCATCAAGTCAAACCTCACAATGAGAACCACAGAGTCCTGGATAGGTCTTGCCATGATGGTGGATAATGTGTCACAATCAACGCATGCTCCAGCTTCGGTGAAAGATATCCTCCGCCCACCGGAAGAATCGAGGACGATTTACGGAAAGACACGGTCCGGCGGGTGTCGGGTCAAGAGCCCGGGTTTAGTAGATGAAATTGCAAGGCTTTGATCTCCTATAGGCGACAGCGGCTAGGTGGACTTGTGCGTCCAAGACAGAATGGCGGCGCCCATGCAAGACTGCATCTTGCTGATGGTGAGCTGATTGCTATTTTGCGAACGCTCACGCTAGGGCGATTCGCTCACTCAACGGACAGATTCCCCGGGGAATCTGCAACAGAGGATGAACGGTGGGTCCATCTACGGAGCTCTCCTGATCCTGGAGAGGCATACCAGCGAAAGCTTGATATCCTAAATAGAGGCTATGGCGGCTTCAACTCTGAGTGGTACGTTCAGATAGCGACAAACGCTCACTTCAGGTTCGTCCCGTTGCTGCCCAAAATACTGGCAAGGAAGGAGGATGCCGACAAGGTCCCGGTCATACGGCTCGTTACAATATGGTTGGGTAAGAGACAATAAGCGAAAGCCTCTGCTGACAAGTAGGAACCAACGACTCGGTGATTGGACGCGATCAAAGTCAATCTACAAGCAGACTCGTTTCAAACCTCGAGATCATCCTCGATGCTCTCACATCTCCAGAGTCCCCTTATGCGGTCGCGTCGACTCCTGTGTCGATCATCTTGATGACTCCTGGACCATGTGTTGTCTCTGATATGCCGAAAGAGAACCAAAAATACAGAACTGCTGAGAAGCACAGGGAGTACAGGGATGCCGTGATCGAGGTCGGTGAGAAGTACAAGGCACTTGAGGAAGAGAACAATGCTCGATTAGGCGACCGATACGGCTGGAAGATCGCCACAGCAGATGTTTGGCAGGAGCTCATGTCTGCAGCAGCAGGAGATAACGAGCAAGAATTGAGTTCACTATTCATGTGGGTGCTGTGCATATACACACGCTCAGATTTCAGCGACGGCGTACATTTATCTACCAAGGGATACACCGTCGTCTGGGACCTTCTCGCCAGAATCATCAAGACTGAATTCAAGGGTCGAGGGCTGGATTGGGAAGACTTTGACGATCTGCCACGAAGGGTACCGCCGTAGGCCATGCCCTCCCCTCCAGCTATGTAAAATCTGACATGCGCAGATTCACGGACATCGACTTCTCAAATCCGCCAAGCGTGGTGGATCTAATGGCATTGCCGAAGATAAGGCAGTAGCGTTCGAAAAACAAGAGCTGGGGCATGATATCGCAGATGGTTAGCCCCAGTGCATCATTCGCACTGCCCATGTCGATGTGGCAGACCTTACCGGTCAAGCTCCTTCGTGGACTCGATGACGACAGACTCCACATAGGCCAGATGTCAGGAGTGAGGCACTGCCAGAATTGTACAGCGATCTCAGCCCTATCCTGTGATGTGCACCAATGCATACATGCAGGGTAAATGTCTTCTCAGCCTGGCTCAAACCCACTTGCCCGAAAGCGATCTTCGGGGGGAGGACGCAGTGAAGACACCTTGATGCTTCCATACGCTGCGCGTTCAGAAACATCACTGGAGATCGTGATTCTACACTAGATTGATTATGATGAGCTTGCCCTTCTCGCAGGCGTCATTGTCCTTTGTAGTTGTGCTCTGCAGCCTCAAGCGTGCCACAGACGATCCAGGAGTACCACCCCCCCTTTGATTTGCTGGAATATCCCGATCTCCGATCTGCGGACTCTGGCCGGACATCGCGTACATACCTTGATTGTATGCTTCCTATATTTTTTGGTTGACATGCTCATTCGCTCGCTCTTCAGCTACTCGTCGATCACCCCGAACAGTTCTATACTTGCTTGTTATATGCACACGACAGGTCTGGACGCTCTCAGACTCACCTTCGATGCCATCAGGGGTCATCACATGCGAACAGCTTAGAGCTTCAGAGATCGGCAGAGGTATTCTAGCAGCCGGAGGCAATGCTGTCGACGCGATCATTGCCACCACCCTGGCAGTGCATACTCTTTCGCCATACCATTCAGACCTTGGAGGCGGGGGGTTTGCGTTGATCAGAAAGCCTGATGGGACTTACGATGGACTAGACTTTAGACAGAGTGCACCGGTGGGTTCCGCCTGTAGTGTGTAATGTGTGCATGCTGACGTCAACGAAAGCTCGCGGCGAACGCCAACAAGTTGAAAGATTTCAAGCAGAGCGATGCAGTCGCTGTGTTGGTCCCTGGAGTAGTGAAAGGCCTCGAAGACTTACATAAAAAGTATGGCAAGCTGCCTTGGAAGCGGTTGTTCAAAGAATGTATAGCTTTGGCGGAGGACGGCTTTGAAATGAAGCAGGATTTGTATCGCGTGAGTAGCTTAGAGATGTAACGATACTGATGATGAGTATACCGCAAACCTATGTGGAGATCCCAATAACCAGGACACTCCCGATCGGACGAACCGTAGAGGCTCAGATATCGAGCATGATCGGTCATACGATTGGCTGTTTGATCGAACGGACGAGATCCTCCCCCCAACCTCAATCGTCCGACGTACCGAATACGCCAAGACTCTGAGAGAGATTGCCGATCATGGCTCAGCAGCTTTTTACGAAGGGCCGATGGCAGAGGCTACTGTTAAAGTAGTTCAGGATCGAGGCGGAATCCTCACGATGGATGATATGGCCCGTGAGTCGCGGATCCCGGCCTGTGCTCATAAGCATAGGCTACAAGACCAGCTGGGTGAAACCTATGAAAGGTGACTACCAGGGAAAAGCCTTATGGTCCCTGCCGGCTCCTGCAGGCGGTTCGATATGGATATACGCCCTGCAGATCCTGAGTCACATGGAGATCAGCGGACACCGGAGTTTGAACGACTATCATCGCTTGATAGAGGCTCTCAAGGTTGGCCACGCCTGTACGGTTTTTAAACTGACATATCAGCTCGCATACCCTGGTCGAGATGGACTTGGAGATCCCGATTTTATCGAGGGTCTGGATGAAATGCAGCAAAAGTTTATCCAAGCGGCATACAGCAAAGAGCGGTCTTCGCTACTGGATGAGAGCAAAACGTCAGAGGCGGAATACTATCAGACCAGCACAATGTTAGGCCAAGTCGAATGAATCGAACTCGCTGATGTGTAGACATCGGAAACGCAACGGGGAAGATCACGGGACGTCGCCGCTTTGCGCTGCAGACGGTTCAGGACTCATCGTTTGTCTCACTTCTACTGTTGGGCAATGCTATGGCTCTCACATTATCGTGCCTGGCTATGGCTTTGTGATGAACGATACATTGAGTGACTTTGCCATAAAGGGTGACTGTGACTGTGGAGAGGATGGGCCATGCTCGGCTAATTACAGTGGGTCCAGGATGCAAGGAGGATGCTGACGAATTCAGTCGGTGGTGGACGAAGACCACTGAGCTCTTGCTGTCCATATATTGTTGAAGATAACAACGGGCGAGTCCTGCTAGCAGGAGCCGGAGCCGGAGGAAGCACTATCATCTCCGGCAACGTTCAGGTGGTCAAAAACGTCTTGGTGAGCAGCTCGGAGCGCCCACAGGAACTAAATCCTTTCAGAATTATGGTCTCTCCGCATTTGAAGCTGTACGCTCCAGTCGTCTTCACAACCAGGCTTCCCCAGAGTCGACCAAGCTAGAGAAAGCCTCAAACCACCAAGGAGTCAAGATTGACGGATTCGCGAACGACATCGTGCAAGCGTTGAGAAGTAGAGGGCACAAGATTGAGATGGTCCCTCGTGAGTCGTCATCCAAGCGGGACAAAGACTCACAGCGGTGCAGAGTCAGAGAGCACGGTCGTTGCAATCAAGTTTACCTACGACACTGGGTCTGTCAATTGGGAGCCTGCGGCGGACACTAGGAAGGAGAATTCGGGATCTGTGGTATTTTACCACTTCAGCGATGGGAATGAAGCGGAGGAGACCCATCCCCTGGGTCAAGCGGAGGGTTAGCATGGCTTAGACAGCATTCACCGGTCTTCATGACAGTCACACCGGCGAGAAGCGATGCTTTCACCGCCCACCTGGCCCAGTCAGCGTCAGCGGTTTATGTAGCCCTTTGAGTGCCACAATTGGTTAGTGCAAGTAGAAAGAAAGTCAGCTGCTTCTCCCTTTCACTCGTCCCTCACAATGGGTCATGGGACCTGCACATCTGAAAGAGCGTTGGCGTTGAGCGTCAATCAGGAGATAGAAGCACTTTGGATCCGATCCCCTTGCTTCATCTTGACATCCAACACGGCCGTTATCGATTTCACCTAAAATTCTCGCCTGGAGCCATTCTGCCAAGCAATCCTCATCGACTATGGCCAGCTCAGTATGTTCTGATCATCCCCGCCTTAAGGCTGGCTTGCCACCCACACCTCGAGGGTGGAACAATCTCTGTCTCAACTACGTGCCCAGCGCTCTGCCTCCTTTGCCCCAATTATCACCTATCGCGAGGACCTTCGTCACGCTGGATAGACCCGATATGATCAAGCGGCTCTCGTGGGTCGGAGATGCAGTCTTGGAAGGCGCAGCGACGAGTAACTTGATTGCTCAGGTTTTTGAGCTGGCAGGTATTGAGAAGTGGCTCTATGTGAGTCCAAGCTGGATCCATCCAGCTGACGATCCCGACCATAGTTGTTCCGCTCAGACGTCCTCTCGAACAATGTCTTTTCCTACCTTGCTCTTTCGTATGGCCTCATCGACCCTCTGATCGCCAGCATGAGACCGCAGAAGGCCTCTGCTGATCTCTTTGAAGCTTACCTTGGTGCATGCGAATTGGAGCGAGAATCAATTGAGACCATGTACGAATTCAAGTGGTTCTTCAAAGCTTTATTCAGTGAGATGGTCTGGCCAACGATTCGGTTCATCACTCAGGTCCCTACCTTTTGCTCTTTGCCCTCTAAAGAATTCAAGCGGGTGATCTCACAAATGACCGCGACTTGGCCCGGGATGTTGTTGGAGGCCTCTGATGGAGATCGAACCAGGTCACGCCGAGTGGTCGTGACGCCAACAAGGACAAGGCTTGGCAAGAGGGCAAAAGCCGCCTATAAACCTACGGTCGTTCTTGAAGCCAGACAGGACGGATGCAAGCGCAAAATAGACTCGAGCACATCATCCGATCAGCCTCAGACAAAGAAGAAGACCGTTCGCGAACAGGGCAAAGGAAAAGGTCGCGAGAGCCCTGACGAGGTAATCATCGACCTCGTTAGCAGTGATTCTGATCAAGACTTGAACGACAACGAAGATTCGGATAGGTCCGAGGTGTATGAGGCTCTGCATGATGATCGAACGGTCGAGCGTCTAGTCATCGATCTGACGATGGAGTCGTCGGATGACGAGGAAGAGCTCATGGAGAGGTCGATTCATAGTATGTAGTTGCCGTGTTCGGTAGATACAGTACTATAGCTTGCAGTCCCCGGTTGTTGTACTCTGACTGTAGTTCAGACGATTGATATATATATACACATGTAGACGCTGTTGTACCAAGTAGCAATGATAGACTGGCGGTCAAAGCGTTTTGGACACTTAAGAGGCCACTCAACTCGTCGACAGGGTCATCGCTTCCTTCTTTGGATATTCAACCCTCAGTATTCTGTTCTGTTTATGGACTGTTCACGCTCTGCACATGGAAACACCTTCGGGCTGGACACCACTTGTCCTGCGCTTCAATGACAGCGCGCTGCCTACTTTACCATGGCTAGCGGAGACCGCAAAATACAGTCTCCATCCATGCGGAGGGGAGACTCTCAAACACCTTGCATGGAACGGGGATTCAGTCTTGAAAGGTGCAGCAACACGAGCCTTGGTGAGATATCCGATCAACCGGAACCGCTCTGGCGTAGACAAAAACTGGATAAGTGTAAGCAATCTAAACAAAGATTGGGCGATCGCTAAAGCGATAATTTTATGTACAGATGTTTCGAGGCAGGGTCCTGTCGAACAACGTTTTCTCATATCTCGCCCTATCCTACGACTTGGTGAACGAAGAAACGGCAGCGACGATAGCTCAGAAACGTGCAGCCGATCTCTTCGGGGCCTATGTTGGAGCTAGCGATCTGAAGCGGGAATCTCACCAATCTCATGGGATGACAGAGTTTCTCCGCGAGCTCTTTAGCGAGGCCGTTTGGCCGGATCTGCAGCTACGATTCCCGGAGCAGGACGATGGCTCCCAGTGCTCGCCGGCCACTTCAGACGGAGAGATAGAGGAGCCAAAGAGGAAAGGCGTCAAATCCAGAGAGAAATGGAAGCGACTCCGCAAGCTTGTGGCTGAGCGATTCCCTGGTAGGGGTCCCCTCGGACAGAGCAGGCACGCCCTGAGGAGAGCAGGGCGAAGATTACGCGAGGCAGGCTACTGGAAGCATTAAGTTGGGGAGAAAGCTCCCGCTGGAGCACAGCTTGACGAATCATGCATTCCAACTTAGGGTGCCAGCCCCTCTGTCACTCTTGGCCACAGCAGACCTGTAGCACGGGAAGCTGACTAGTTCCAAGGGGAAGCCACACGACACAGTTTCGCAACTGGTTGGGAGGTACGCGACTGATTTTGGGTCAAATTTCCTTTTTGACTTTCGATCGTCCGCTGGTCTGAGTCTATCGTTTGACGTCATGAAGCCAGAGGACGCATCTTCGACCCCAAATCCTCATATCTTTTCAGGTCTGATCCAGCCTGCAGTGTTTGCATCTCAGCCATGGTCGCTACCCGAAGCAAAGGAAAGGCTGAGAAGCCTGCAGAGACAGGAGACAAGCGAAAGCATGACGAGGTGGAGGGTGCGAAGGACAATGTCAAGGACGAAAAAGGTGATGTTCTCGGAGGTGCTCGTTCAACGAATGCTGATCTCGATCAGCAAATGAGCAGCAAGATGAAAGAGAGCCTCCGTCCAAGACCACGAAAACGGAACCGTCTTCTGAGTCCAAGTCATCCCCTTTGGATTGGCTCTTATCCCAAGAAGCTTTCGACATGGCCAATCCCGAAATTCCCGAAGGTCACGGAGAGATCGACTGGGATCCATCGTCCCAGCGTAAGACCCCGCCCGATGCCGACGCCGGCAAACACTCAAGCTCTGATGATAAGATCCTACGCTACCCTCAATCCGCTCTGACTCCCTTTCAAAACTTGGTTTGCGCTTCGATCCTCTCCAAGCCATTGTCCCACAAGCTCGGGTTGAGGACAATTCAGACACTGCTCAACCCTCCATTCTCTCTCCGCACATGGAAGGACTTGGACGAAGCAGGGTTTGAGGGACGTAGAAAGGTCATGTGGGAGGCTCGTACACAGCACAAGGAGAAGACTGCTTCTCTGCTTGGTGATCTCTGTCAAGGCGTCAAGGATCTCTGTGGTGAAGACGAAAAGGATCTCTCTGAACTCTCGGGCGTGAGGGACCAAGTGAAAGACTTGAAAGATCCTAAGGAGGCTCAGGACAAAGTCGTCGATACTTTGACGGACATCAAGGGTATCGGACCCGGCGGAGCTGCCATCTTCTTGCGCCGGGCTCAAATCGACTGGCAGGAGGTTTTCCCGTTCGCCGATGACAGGAGCTTGAAGGCTGCAATGCAGTTCAAATTGATCAAGGAAGGAGAAGGAGCCAAAGAGCTCGCGGACACTGTTCAGGGGGATCGGAAGAAATACGTACGACTGGTCGACACCCTCGTAGGATTGGAGCTCGAGAAAAAGGTCGACGAGGCGCTCAAGGCGGCCGGTGTATAATTACCCCGTTCTCTCAGCAAAGTCCCATACATGTTTAGATGTATTCGATCTCTTATCTTGCTTGCTTAACGCTTCACGACCAGCTGCTTGCCCCCATGACTGCTATACGATGATCAGTCCAAGTCACCATAACCGCCCCTCCGACTCTGCCCGAATGCCTTGCGTCATAGCCACCAATCTTTCTTTTTGAACCAGCCGGAATACCCGGATGCGAAGCTAGATTAAGGTATATGTCCCAGTCAGCGCGGGAACCTCGTACATCTGCAGAATAACAACTCGACTTCTCTGGCTCTGAATGCTCAGTCGTATCAGAGTACGTCTGAGTGCCCTTGAGAGTATCGGCGCTCGGGCAGCATCAACTGCGAGCAGTTCCGGAAAGCAGCGGCTAGTGGTGCTCGGAAGCGGTTGGGCCGGCTTCAACGTCGCCCGGTGAGCCCTGTGCCTCTCTGAAACCCCAATGAAGCTGAGCTGTGTGTTGCTCAGTCAGGTGAATAAGAGCTTGTACGATGGTAAGTATGACTACGCAAGCAGTGACTGAGCTGTCACTTCAGTCACCGTCGTTTCACCCAATTCCTACTTTTCTTTTACGCCCTTTCTCGCCTCGACCGTGACTGGAACATTGGAGTACAGATGTGCCACTGAGCCCGTCAGAGGAATCAAGCACGTCAATTATGCTCAGGGGTGGGCGAACAACATAAGTCAGTGCATGATATATCCTGCGTCAGCCGCTCAGGCTGATATGGCTTTCTTGAACAGACTTTTCAAAGCGGACAGTGGAGATTGAACCGGCTCTGTCACCCACCAGGGATGCGACCTCGGACGATTTGAAAGCATCAAAGCAGTCCGTCCCCGTGGATAAACAGCATCCGTATGATCTGCCTTATGACAAGTTGGTCATTGCTGTAGGATGTTGGTCAGCTTCCTTCGGCATCAAAGGAGTGAGCTTGCTCATCTCCGAGCGCGATTCTGCTGACACTCTTCATACAGGTTACAGAATACGCCCACTTCCTGAAGGATGTCCGAGATGCCAGGGCGATCCGTAATAAGATCTTGTGAGTGAAAAGCTCCTCGAGGCGCATCTTCAAGGTCTGATCTTCCTCAGGGAGCGACTCGAACAGGCCCTCGTCCCAGGACGAACAGAAGCGGAACAACGAAACCTACTACAATTTTCGCTCGTTGGAGGAGGAGCTACGGGCGTAGAAGTCGCTGCCGAGCTACATGACTTTGTCCGTCAAGATGTGTATCGACTATATCCTCAGTTGAAAGACCTTGTCAATATTAGAGTCTACGACGTCGCACCTGGAATTTTGATGAACTTCGATGAGTAAGTCACGACCTTGATTCCCCAGTTGAATGGATCAGCACTCTTCGACGTTACGCCGAGAAGCGCTTTGCAAGAGAGGGCGTCGAAGTCCGACCGAACTCTACCATCAAGGAGGTGGGTCCTGACTGGCTAGAGCTCGAGGGGGGCAAGCGAGGTAAGCACAAGAGTCAGCTGACATGTGGTGGCTTACCATGCAACAGAACCCTTTGGACTGCTGGTTTGGTCCACAGGTCTAGCCTCCAATGCGTTTATAAAGTCGCTCAAGGGACTGAAGAAAGACGAGAAAACGGATTCGTACGTGCATGCCCTATGTACGGCGCCGACTCATACTTGCCCACAGCCTCATAGTCAATGGGCAACTGAATGTCTTCGATGAGCATGGACAGTCTATCCCCGATGTATCTGCTATAGGAGATAATGCTATGCCTCAGGGAGGTCGTTTGCCCGCCACAGCTCAAGGTCAGTCATTGCATCTTTCCCCTCCAGATACTGATCTTCTCAGTTGCCTCCCAAATGGCTAAATATATGGCTAAAACACTGGATGCCAGCGCGAAGGGTACCGAGATTGCAGCGATCAAGGAGTTCAAGTGGAAGAATAGAGGGAGTATGGTTCTCATCGGCGAGAATAGGGTAGGCTGAAGCGTCTCATGTTCCGTCTCAAAGCTGATCTCCCTGAAGGGCTTGCTTGATAGGTCGTCTCAGAGCATATCCGGTCCACGAAGTAGGCTAGCAGGGTGAGCAGCTTGTTCTTCCCATCTGCGCGAAGTCTTAATACAGCTTATACGGTGGCTAGATTCTCAGCATGGCTAGTGTGGAGATCATACTACATGACACTCGCTATGGGGTGGAGGAACAAGATCCTCATACCTATCTACTGGACACTGGCTATGTTCTTCGGGCGAGACGTCACGAGGTTTTGAATTGTGACCTGACACGACCTGGCTCGTGATCTTGATCACCTCTGTCAAGTGTAAATCCAAGGACCTCTGCATGTATTGCTAGATACTTTGTGCTCTCTGCTACACAACCCTGCTGTCTCTTCGTGCCTCCTTTAGGGATCGCCCCGGAGCCCGACTTCCCTGAGGACTGCTCATAAGGGATCTGATGGCTTGGACTCTAGTCGAATCCCCCACAGCAAGTAACCGATCAGTCGGTACAAGCAGCTTCTCATAAGGCGCTCCCTCCTGATACCAGCTGTTGTGCCCCTTGTCCTGCCCATGACCCGAATCGGTACGACCCCTTCGAATGCAACAACTGCGTCAATAGATGGAATGACAAAGAACAGTCATTCCGCGAGCATTGGCCTGCAATGCAGTCCTTATGAATCGCCTTGCTACCAGTGCCGACAGGCCAAGTACTCTACTGATTCTCATGGCGCTACAGCAAATCGTCTCACAGGGAGGAGACGTGGAGGACATCGAAGCGGCATCTGCACTGGAGCAGGGATCTCGCCGGTTTCACCTCACACCGCCAGAGCCGCTCTCGAAAACCTTACCTAGACCGAGACTTATCCCCGGCAATATGGCTACGCGAAATGGCAATTGGAGGATGTGGTGACTATGCATTATGTACGAACAGCCGTAACCCAAGCGATCCTTTGAGGCCAGTCGAGTCTTTGTCCGTGAACATCCTTTCTGCTGAAAGCTTTGACCAATAGCAGCATCAGCAAAGACCAGGCTGTTACAAATCCATCCACCCTCTCATCTCAGACGGGACAAATATCGCGTCCTCGTGAGTTCTGAGATTGACTGTGCACAAGTATCGAGGTTTGATGATCTCCAGGTGTCCCCATTTGCGCCACCTTCTTTCGAATTCGATAAGGATGACGGAGCTGTCATCCTTACACATGACGTTTGAACCGACTCTCGCTCTCGATATCGCTATCATGGGAGCGGTGGCGTACATACTATCGGGTGTACTGGGCAGAGGATTCACCATCACGAGACGAAAATAGCAGGAGGCGAGTCGATGAAGGTCCAATATTTCTCCAGACAAGTCATGGAAGGTCGAGGTCCATCGGATCATGTAGCTGGTTTAAGCACTCTGCGAGATGATGCCATGATATCTTTAATCCTGCCATTCTGGACCCTTTCGTACTCTGATAGGTCCCTTGAGGTTGTCCTTATCCTCCAAGTCTCGCACCTTTCCTCCTTGAGTCACTTGGACCTGGTCGATTTCCACGGCTTTCCAAACTTCGTCTCGGACAGAATCCATCAGGACCCGCCAGTCAGGGTATCGGGAGACATCGTCATTATGTAGCTTTCTAGCGATCTCAGAGGGGCATACGGTCGAATCCTTCGCTCGCGGACTCAGCAGAGCGTGCATGGCTTGCAAGATGTCGGTGGATTGACGTAGAGCTTGTCCCTCGTGATGATCACGTTCTGCTCCAGCGGTGTGCTTGACCTCGACAATTCTCTCGCGGTGCGGTTTTGCTTCAGAACATGACTCGCTCTCGTCCCTCTTCTTGCTACTCGACCTCGTTGTCACCATGTTGAAGGGTTTCCAAAGTACAACCTACCGGAGTTCAAGACGTCACAGGTAATAAAAACTCCGTTCTAGCGGATTTTCGGAAACTCGCTGGAATCCTTAGTTTACCATCCATTGAGATGTGTCAGAGTTGTACAGTAGATCCATATGCGATCAAGCTAGCGCATCTTGGAACATGGGGAGGACGGACGCGCCGCAATGTTGGCCCAACTTGCTAGTGCCGGAGGCTGATCAAAGTTCATGACGAGCATGCTCGAGGAGTCTGCGGGCGACTGACTTCTCTTCCATCACCTTTCTCACCTCAGGGGAACAAAACACACACACACACACACACTCACAGCTCTTCTTCTGCAGTGCCGAGACTCCCGTCAAGCGTCCACATACTCCCTCACTGAATCTTCTAGAGTCCGAAGAGCAGCAGTATTGTCTTCTTTCTCGACGTAGCGCCTGAAATCGCCCTTACTTGTGCTGAGTACCCCGGTGCCCGCTTACTCGTGTTTTGCAGGCAGCTTTGCGTGACATTTAGGCATCATGCGAGCTCTAGCGATCTCCTGTTACCTCTCTACGGCCATCTTGGGGGGAGCTCAGCTGATCACAACCACCTGGGTGAGCATCGCCGGTTTGCCTAGCTTGAAGGTTGACTTTAATCCCCAAGGCCGATCAATCGATCATAGGATTAGTGACGAGCGACGGCGCAGGGTATACCTGGACGGCGGTGATGTAGATCGAGTCTCTCTTCGCCACAATGATATCAGTCTGATACATTTAAGATCCACATTGGGACCAGCAGTACCTGAAACACTGGCAGCTGCTGCAGCTACGACTCCCGTGCAAGCAGCGGCGGCTGAGCCTCCGGCACCTACGTCCACTACGACGGCTTGGAATTCAGCGTACTACTATCAAAGTATGCCTTCGCCTCCGTGAGTCAGAGCCGTGCGGGCTCAACTTGGAGACTCACAGGTGATGACTCAGACCCGCTGGAACGCCCACTGTCACTGTCGTTCCTACCTCCGGACAGTGAGTCAATTCGACCAGCACGAGGCTGACGGGATCAGTGTGGCTGGCTTTGGCGAATACGAATCGTCCTTGCTTCACGCTCTGGGGAATCTCGGGACTGAAGCCGTCAAGGGCTTCACCTCTGCAGTCGGAGCTGAAGGCATCCCTGTACCGCATTTCCACTTCGGGGCAGCCCGTCACAGTGCGCCAATATCCATGACCGGGCTTCTCTCAGCCCTGGTTGTCTTGGGCTTGATTCCGATCTGGATTTCGTCCATCAGTTTGTGAACAGTTTAGATGCGGACAGAAAGATCGTGCAGACTCATTAGCGAGTTGTATAAATACAGAAAGAAAGACAGTACATGTATTCTACGGACACTGTATGTTATATCTAGATGCTCGGCCGCCATCCTATTCTAGCTTAATCCATCCAGCCGCCTCCGCCCTCTTCGTCATCTGTGAAGCTGCCATCATCACCCATAACGTACCGACTCCCAGCTTTGCCATTCTCCATGGTATTGGGTCCACCATTCATATGAGACGACACCAGGCCTTCCGCCAATTCAGGCGCATGTAAACTCTGAGCGGTATTCTCTACTGGCACGATAGCATCAGCAGGTAGAGCTCGACGAGGGAAAGACCATCCATTTGACGCCGGTGGGATGACAAGGGGCAACAGTAGGGTCCAACGGGAACTGAGAATCTCAGCAGGATTATACCACAGTTGAGAGGCCACTCACTACCCATTCACTCCTACGTTGAAGAACAGCTCGAGGTTTCGACGTCGACCGAGATCATAAGGATTTAAGTAGATCTGTATACAAGATCAGCTTGAAATCGATTATTGACAGAAGCGAACTCGCCATTCCCTCGCTTTTGGCTTTGCCTTCGAGCCATGAATTGTCATGAGATTCTATAGACGTTTCGTTTCGTGATACCATGAAAACATGCCATGTGCCGAGAACAGGGACAGCCACACCTGCGCCTTACGTCAGATCACGCCTGGCATTTGGGACTGGGAAGCTCACCCATCGCGATACAAAGTATGTATACAAGCGTGTAAGCCAATCTAGGGGTATAGTAGGTCCACTGCGTGTCCTTAAATCAGCGTGTACAAGGTTGAATACCTGACTAGCCCTCACGTTCGATTTGAACGAGAATGACTCCCACAGATTTGACAGACCTAGCGATGCGAAAACCCAACAACCCAAGGATAGCCAAAACCTACAAAGGATGGGTGAAACTTTCTTCAACTCGGACCCCTAAAGGTTGATCTCCGCTTACATGAAGAGAACGAAATGTCTTTGGTTGTACAGACCGACCTGCCAAGTCATCAGCGAGGAGAAGAAGTTTGACTAATCACTCACACAGCCATTGATCCCTTGAAAATTATTGTTAGCCCTGTTGAGCGTAGCAGCATGTCGCACTCACAAGGACAATGATGATCCATGAGAAGGACGCACCGTCGGCAGACAGAGCAATGGTGCGTCCGCTGAGAATTCGAGAATGAGCGCCGTGCCTAGCAGCCACTACCCTAAAGTTTTGCTGACCTCTGGCTTTGGCCCATCACATTTTCGACACCGTCTCACTCTCCTCCCTCGAGTGTCCATCCTCGCGTCATTCTCCTCCGCATGATGCCCCAATCGTCTGAAACCCCAAGTCTCGGCGCGGAAAAGGCTCCCTTCCTCCAACGTGAGCCACCGTTCCCTGGAGCTTTTTATGGGGTTCGGGGAGAGAGCAATGGCGCGAGGTGAGGGGAAGCCAGGGGGGACATGCGTCACGAGGTAGTACTGGACATAGAGATTGAGAGGGACCAAGACCAATATCGGACTCAGGAGGAATATGATTGACCACTGCAGACCCCGTCCGATGACATCGACTGAATCCCAAATAAGTTCAATTCGCCTAGGCAGAGCTCGACGCTGCGGCTTTGGACTCACAGAATGCGAAACCCCCCAAGCTGATTAGGACCCAGCATAGGAATATAAACACAGGTCCTGCAGCTCCAGTGAGCCAATCAGCAGCGTGCTCGACCCTCTTGAAGCATCTTATGACCAAGGCTGAACAGCCACGAAGGACTGGCATGTTGAAGCGTTGGCCTGGCGGACCGTCGCAGCTTGTGGCTGATGCAATAGAACACCCGCGAGTCCAATAGCTTTCTCGTCCCTCAGCTCATCATCTCTGATCGGCTGCTGATCCCTTGGTCGGACAGTAGAAAGGATGCGTGTCAAGAGTGTCAAGAGTCACAGATCAAGGAGCGCGAGTACTGCGTTCGGGGTCATTTTTGGCGCGCTGCGGTGATTCCGAGATTTTCAGAGGGAGAAGGGGGGCGTGGAATGATATAGTCTCTGTTCATTTCATATTTTGCCTGCCTTGATTCGCAATCTTGAAGCCAACTGGACGACTTCATCAGCTGCTAAAGGCTACGAATAGGTAGAGCTGGCTTGTCTTGTGATCCATGCGATATCGCAGGCACCATGGCAAACCCGACACCAGCCAGTGAAAACGCCAATGGGAATCACGTCGACCATGACGAGAATCATCGGCCTGATTCTCCATCAGCTCCAGCAGGTCCGTCCAGACTGACACCACCAGCATCACCCAACGCTCTCTCCTCCGCCCTTCAGTCTCCGCTGAGTCCTAGACCGGGAGATGGGATACCGGGATCAGCTAGAAATGTTAGATTGGAGCTGGCCAATGATGAAATGACTTCTCCGAGATCGTCCATGGATGTACAAGAACGGATGATTCAGCTAGAGACAGAGCTGGAGAACACCAAAGCGGAGAAAGAGACGCTGGGAGCTCAGTACAGGAGCCTCTTGAGCAAGCTCACAGGCATGAGGCAGAGTTTGGGCGAAAAGTTACGCGAAGACGCAGTGAGTCGCTCAATGTCTACTTGGACTTGGCTGATCTCATCCTCTCGCTTGTAGGAAGAGCTGGACCGGAGAGAAAACACTATCAATACATTGCATGCCGAAATCTCAGAGCTGCAGCAACACATTGAAACTTTGAAATCGGAGCTCGTCAATGTCAACCAGGAGTCTACGTCACTCCAAAACCAGCTGGCACAACTGAGATCTCAATCCGATTCATCCTCCTCGGATGTCCTCTCGCTCACGCGTGAGATGAGGGAGCTACGTGGAGAAATGGAGAGACTGCGTATAGAGAGGGAAGAATGGGAGGCAGAGGCTAGTCGAGAGAGAGAGAAGAGAGAACGGATGGAAGATGAAGTGAGGGCAATGGAGAAACGTGAAAGGGATGGACTACGAGAATTGGAGCGGGCCCGACAGGAATCAACGCAGGAAAAGGAAAGGGCTAGTAATCTACAGGACGTGCTCAGTGAATTTCAAGCTAGTGAGTGGGAACTGATCAAGAAAGCTGGGAGATTCCGCTAAACCTTATCTCACAGACAAAGATGGAGAGCTTCGACAAGCTACGGCGGAGCTGGAGGCACAGCTCAAATTAGCTGCAGCCTCTTTGTCCGAGTACAAGCTGCGAGCTGCCAATGCGGAGACTCGTTTGACGGAAGTAGGCAGCGACAAAACCAGATCTTCGGCGCTGGAGAAAGAGCTCAAGGAGAAGACGCAAATTATTGGCAAACTTCGGCACGATGGTGAGCTCAGATCTCAATGAGTGATGAGAGAAGCTGAAGTGCCTGTCTTTCTTAGCTGTGGTTAACAACGAGCATTTGACTGAAGCGTTGCGGAGACTGAGGAAAAACACTTCAGATACAAACGTCGACCGGTGAGTAGATCAGACATCGGTCTCGCGCTCACACGACCAGACGTCTTGTCACCAATATACTTCTCTCCTTCCTGACTGCCCCTCGATCCGACTCGAAGCGGTTTGAAATGCTTTCCATTCTTGCCACGATTCTCTCCTGGGACGACACAGAGCGGGAGAAGGCCGGACTGCAGAGAATAGATAAAGGCGCGCCAAGAGCAAAGGTGGAGAAAGGCAAAGCACGTCAAGGAGAGAAGAGTGCCGAGGACGCAGCTGCGCTCAACGAGGTACGTCGCGGACTACTCACTCGTCATTACCCAGTGTTCCTGACTTGTCTTGCAGTCTTTCAGCAACCTGTTCGTCGAATTCCTCCTCAAAGAAGCTTCACAGGGTCAACGTCATTCACCAACTTTGCCGGGTGGACCAGAGACACCGGGATCGCCTAACGAGCGCCTCTCCAGTCCGCCATGGTCCCCAGCGATTGCAGGTACACCTCCCCGTGCCGTGCGTCGATCTTCTTCTGCCTCCAACACATCCGTCCCGCCGTCAATCCTTGGGGAATTGTCCAACACATCGGGCTCAACCTACGAGACCTTGATGAGTAGTAATACGACACCGACCGAGAGGGGACCGGGTATGTTGCCTGCTCCTCTCAGTCGTAAAGCAAGCTACGGGAGATGATCGTGTATATCTCGGGAGAAGCATGCGCGGCGCACATGACGATGACGAAAAGCAATGAGCGCATGTCAAATTACACTTGAACGAATCATTATTGGATGCATAAGGGGGTTGGGTTTAAAGAGGGTGCACAGAAAATCGTTATCTCTTGACGCAATCTATGGCTCGTGATATGACCCTCGGATGACCGGAATGTGTGTCCGTAATCACCGTGTGAAGGGAGAGCTCTATTCGGATTTGTTGCCAGCCTTCTCCGCGGCCTTGATAGTCGCAGCGTCGGTTTGCGGACCAGCAGCGGCACCAGTGAGACTCTCCATGATTCCGGGGGCGGTCTTGAATGGTCGAGAGAGGGCTCCTTCGGGTTTAGATCCCCAGATGTGAAGTTTGGCAGGGTTGGACTCGAGGACACCCTTGATGGTCATCAGGCCCTGGATGAAGAGAGGCTGGGTGTATTTCATGTATCCGTGCTGTGTGAGGTCTAAGGTTAGTCGAGAGAGGAATTTTCCCTGTCAACACTGATGGATGTACTCACAAGGAATCCCATGAAAGCGATACCGAAGAAGAGACTTTTCATGGCTTTTCCAGTCTCTGCGAGATCATAATCTCTTACGGTGGTAGTCACCAATTCAGGCTTTGAGTCGGGGTTCTGAGCGATATCAGCACAGTCATTCGATACGTAGCTCGAAGCTGTTTCCACTGACCATGGGCGTTGCTGGGTTGACATATTTCAGCACTGTCAAATCATTCTTTTTCCGAATCTGCCATGACGGAGAGATGAGCTCATGTGCACACGACCCGTCAAGTTATGTCGCTGCAACTCACGATCAAGGTGATGGCAAAGTAGATGAGGAACGAGACAACCTGGGCGGTGACATAACCTCCTCTCAGATATGTCAAGTATTGAGGATCATCCAGTGGAAGCTTTCGGGCCACTGGGCAGATGGTGGAGTCAGTCAAAGATGCCGAGGACGTCATTGGGTCACTGAAAGTTGTTGAGACTCACCTTGCATGGCTCCGATGGAGATGACGAGGTTAGAAACAGCGGGGTTCATGTTGACTGAAGCTGTAGGACGGGATCTGAGGTGGTCCAAAAGTGGATGCAAGAGAGTGATGTATATGAGATGAGATTGTTCTAGCATCCCAACCAAGGATCAGCCGGGAGTGGCATTAAAACCCCGGCTCACGGTCAATGAAACAAGGTGTGCCACACTGATGATAACGCCGGATAACGCCGACCCTCGCTCATATCGGCACCTTCCGGACTTTTCACAGCAGAAGCTCATGATCAAGTAGTAATAGGGCAAGCAACGACTTCAAAGGTCGCTGGATCATCTCTGCTCATCATGCGTCACGCTCTCAAGCCATTGAGGCAGGTCAGACTAGCTGGAAGACGCTTCAACTCCTCCACTCCCTCTTCGTCGTCCTCCTCCTCCGCGTCCTCCAGCTCGTCTGCGGCCTCTTCATCTGCTAGCGCTGCTTCCTCAAATGCTCAAGTCCAAAAGGCTGTAGACTCGGCTCAAAAGGTTCTCAACCAAGGCACTGCGACTCTTCAGAGAATCGCTGGACCCATTGGTGACCGTGTAGGAGGTGCCTTAGGAGGTGAGTGAACCGTGTGCTTGTAGGATGGTGCTGATTGATTGTCAACTTTTCCCTTGCAACTCGTCATGACTTGGTCGTTGCCTAAACTCTGCGTCTTTCGTCTTACAAAATCCCAATTTTGGACCTCTCGTGACCATTTCCTCGCTCGAACACCCTTTGATCTGCCAGCCTACCGCGAGCCCATCGTTTTCAACTTCAAAGTCTTCACCTCTATTCTACGACAGGTCTACCAGGTCGAAAAACTTGCTTTCCCTACTGAGCTCAGCGCTTGGACTCGAGCATATGCTCAGATCTGGTCAAAAGCAATCAGCGCAGACTTTTGGCTCAGTCTGTTTACAAAGGGTGGATTGGCTGGTGTAGCTGTCGCTGTGAGTCGTCTTTTAAAAACAGATCTAGCGTTCTATATTGACACCTTCTTTGCAGGTTCTTGAAGCGTATGGGATCTTCAGCATTGGCGAGATCATTGGACGGCGTCATTTGATAGGATACAAGCTCAAGGAGTAGATCCTCGAGATGATGAGTTGCGTTCGAGGAGGTACAATGCGCTCAAAAATGGTGGAAGCTCCTCTGCTTCCGGGAACTCCTTTTAGATGCTTTGGAGCCGGCACTACATGCATTGAAGGCATTATCGGTATGAACGTTACTGCTGTCGAGCTACGGTACTGCTGCGAGTGACCTGAAATGTACGCCCTACCACAGTCGACGACTGTCATATGTTGCGCGTGTCTCGAAGAAACTAGACACCTGTTCCTCGGCTTCTGGAGCCCTCTTGATTTTCAGCTTTGATTGGCCCGTCCATAGCTCTTCGAGATCCCAGTGTTCTCTTCCCTCTGCAGTGAAGAGATTGATACAGAGTTTCCGATTGGGCAGACATATAAGAGACCAATCTGAGTCTTCAGGAATTCTAGGAAATTTGCCAGACGATCGTCGATCATTCGAGTTGGAAAATGTCTCGACCTTTCCGATTGAGGGATTGTCTCGGAGCTAAAGAAAGTATCGCAGGCTCAGCGGGATGACTAGTCGACCACTATCACGTCAACTAACCCATCGACGGACCGCTCGGTCTGCTCTACCGACCACTCCTTTACCTGTTCCCTTGACCACACCAGCGACGACCCAATCCCATAGAGGTCCAGGCGATCCTTCCCCTCTGATCTCCTCGTCTGGCCGCACCGAGGGGGATCGGATAGTAGGCATGAACACCACCGTATGACTTTCCAAGACTTCTGCCGCTTGTTCGGAAGTCATGAAGTCGTGTAAGGGCCTCAACCAGTCTGGGGCCGAGGGATCGAGAGGTTGAATAGGTTGAACTTCTGAATCGGATGTAGTGCGAGATGGATCGAATGTTGTGAAAACAGGTTGTCGACGAGACGATGATTCTGGAGCACTGGATCGAGACGGTGATGGCTCGTCTTCAAGATACCATGCTTGTGATCTGGCCTCTTCTACCGATCGGGGAGGCCTGGTCGATTCTGAGCTCGATGCGCTCGACTTAGGTCTCGTCACCCATAAGGAGCTGGACGAACTCAAGGGTCTGGCCCAGTAGATTTGGGACGCCCGACTTTCGAAAGAAGTCTTATTGATGGCTCGCAGCGCCGTCTTGAGCATGATTGTCGATTCGAATGAGATTATGATGTTCAGTGAGAGGTCCGGCAGCGAAGAACTGGAGCAACGAACCTGCAAATTTACGCAAACAGGATTCTCCGTTGTAACGGATATCCGACTAGTTGGGCGTATCATTTGGATGTCATGACTCGGGATTCGTGATGAACAGTGAGGTGATTTCGGTACGGTATCTGACAGAATATGTACTCCTTTCCGGCGCTCTTTCGCATCCTCACATTCCTCTTCTCATCACGGTCGCGCCTTTCTTCGGCTTGACGCGGTAGCGGAGCGCTTCGCACTGAGTCTGCCTCACTGGCTGGCACCAGCTCCATTCGTTGATTCTCTCATCGCGACGTCGCCATCCGTCACGCCTCCGTTCGCAGCGGCGGTATTTGTGGTTGCCACGGCTGGATTGACCAATCGCATGTAGAACTTCCTCATCTGATTCTCGGCAAGCTTGTTGGACTGGGTGACAATGGTGAAGAGATCCTCTGTGGAGGACGTCAACAAAGTTTCAAATTCAGGGTTAGATATTACTCACCCTTCCACCTTTCAGACTTGCTCTCAACTGTCGATCCAGGTTTGAGTCCGGCCAAGGCTTGTGCGACATCACCCGGGGGCGTTCGAGTTCTGTTGGACTCATTCGACAAGGATGTAGAGGTAAACCATTTCTGTGTCGTAGGTTCTAGCAAATCGTGATATATACGCCCAGCGACGTCTTCCACCATGTCAATGCGTGATACGTGTGCCAAGGACCCCACTTACCCATGATATCCACAGTGACCTCTGAGCCAGCGTCATTCAATTGATGATAGGAGTAGCCTTTCGCAGCGGGATGCGTCAAGGTCAGAGATTCCTCTGTGCCATTCTGGGCAATGACCCATGTGGCTGGCTTGTCACTCTGATAGTTGACAACCTCAAAGACATCTCCATACAGCAAGCACCGCCATGAGTGCTGTTCCGGAGTTGAATCTGGCGATATCTCCAAAGTGATCATCCTGGATCGTTGTGAGACCTTCGTGTTAAGCGATGAACTCACCTGATCTTGAACATGACCGCTCTGCCCAAAGCTCCTGCTTCAGAAGGTTCTCCCAGATCTTCCGAGGGCAAGTCGCCACGCTTCCGCTTCAACCTGACCATATCCTCCAGCCACAATCTCTCTCCGCCCCACCAGAGACCCTGATACAATGTCTTCCGCTGAGCAGTAATCGCTTGCAGATCCTCTGGATTGATGTCCGCTCCAGGTATCAGGTCAATCTTGTCCGTCTGAGTCCAGCAGTTGGTGATGTTCTGATCGTATTTCAGCTTCTTCTCAGTATCAAAACAAGCTCCGACTGACCACTGCAATCTTCAGACCCAAAGACAAGCGGAATGCAGCCAAATCCCATGCCAGCGGTTTCTCCTTGAATCCCCACCTCTGTGCCCAATTGTTCCTCCATCGCTCGTCCCAGCCTTGCTCATCAGTCGGCATGCTGACACCATTCAGCTTGTCCTGCTCCAATTCCTTAGCTACACCTTCTTGCAGAATCCTCGTCCCTTCCTTCCCCAGCATATCCCAGCCTTTCGGTCCGCCCAGCAGCTCTTTCCCCATAGCCCACGGTAATAGGTTGTCACTGGTCTCCACGACCTCACTAGCTGGGTTGAACAGACCAAGCGGTCTCACATGATATTCGTATGTGTAAGTGGTTCGAGCTGTTTGCAAAGCCTCAGGGACTTTGCCGCCTACGATTGACCACGCTGTTGACAAAGACGCACCCGCAACATTCGCTGCGGATGGATCCGATCTCGCCTTGGTGACAATGTTGGCTACGAGACCCGGCCAGTGAGTGATAGGTGGAAGGGAAGTTTTGGAGGAGGAGGTGGACGAAGCGGAGGCGGGCGGATTGATGGTCTGTACTCTGAACCAAACGAGCTCTCCTTTGCGGAATCGTCGATGAGTCTTCATGTCTAATGCTCGCTCAGGTATGATTCCGCTTTTGCCGTCAAATTCATCGTCTACTGGGTCCGTGGCCGCCTTTTTCTGCCTCTTGGTCGGTGACGCTCCTCCCGCAGGTCGCTTGACACCAGCAGTGGGTGTGCCTGTGCCATGACCCGCTTTCTTCGCCTTGGCTGCTTCCGATGAATTGTTATAGATACATGCGCACTTTTGTGATTTCAGCATCCCTTGTAGTCAGTTCGCCTACTCACCGTAGTATGATCCCCAAGTGGTTTAGAGGTGTCCATCAGCCAAAGCACATGAGGCTGGAATTCGTTCGTACTTCGGAACTGTCTCTGAAATACAAGTCAGTAGCGCTTCGCGACGATGACACGCTCCGACCAACCCTGCCAATGTGCGGGCATCCCTGGGTGATGAATTTAGCAACCAGCTTGGCGACTGACAGGTATTGCTCACTCTCAGGTAAGTGTCTACACGCTCTCCTCCACCCGGCTGCGGCTTGTGATGCTCAAATAAGGCGTATCCAGGCGGTAATGGCATGCGGTACGAAGCGGCTGCCAAAGCCGTCAGCAAGGACCAAATGCAGGGACGGAAGCCGTCGGTGAATGTGCCACCAAGAATGCTTGACGAATGCCGACCGGACTCTGAATCACTCACCCTTGATTCCAAGCTTATCGGCAACGAGCTTGCCAATCTTCGCCTCGTACAACTCGATCTTGTCATGAGGGGCCTCACACTTCTTCCACCAATTGCTACTGGTCGACGGTTTAAGCTCGTCTCCTGATGGCCAGGTGGTTTGGTCCCCATCAGACCGCGGCCATTCGAGTCCAGGCGTATAGCTCGGCATATTGAGCTGGCAGGACAAGTGATCTCCTCTGAGCTCTAGCTGCAGATGCTCGCCTACGCTACGGGCAGAGTTGTCAATGACTATTAGGGATAGATGAGTGTCAGATCGCGTCCAGAGGTGTTGCCAGGCACAAGGATCTTTGGGATAAAATCCGAGGAAAATAGGGTCAACCCAATATTCAAGATCTCGGTTGGACTTTTTGAGAGATGATGAGCCTCACGGCGTATTGACAACCACGAACGGCTCACAGGTCACCGACACCACGAAATCATGCTGGGACTCAAGTCGGTCCTGAATGTGAGGAGGCACATGCACGACAGTCTCTGCATATCACTGACCTGATCACCAGGTGATCGACAACACCGGCGTCACCCGAGCCGAATTGATCAATGTGTATAAAGTGAAGACCAAGGCGAAGAAGTCGGTAGGAACGGGCACAGTGGGTGAGTCAGAATTGAAAGCATATCGCTGTGTACCTTGCTGATACATAACCTAGGGGACATGATCAAAGTGGTAGTCAAGAAATCCCGGACGGTGACTACAGGCGACAACAAACCCAATACGAACAGGTTACGGAAAGGAGATATGGCTAAAGCTGTCATCGTGAGGTGCAAGAAGTCAGAGATGAGACCGGATGGAACACAGATACGGTGAGCTCACCCAGCTTGGCTCCTGTACAGTCATTGAGATTTTCTCTGTTGCAGGTTCGACGATTCCGCGTGCGTGCTTTTAAACAATAAGGGTGAAATGATGGGCAGTCGAGTATCTGGACCCGTTTCTCAGGCTCTGAAAGATGTAGCGGATGCTGGTGTGCCTGGAGGTCGATGGGCGAAAATCCTTAGTATAGCGCCAAAGGTGAGCTTCAATTCTCGATTTGACAAGGGAGGCCTAACCCATCGCAGGTCTTGTAATGTCATTGTATAACACCCCATTGCATAGCATACGATCATTCCCATTATCAGTGAAAATGTCCACAACTCGTTCAGATCGGAGCGTGCTTCAGCTCGACTTTCTCAACATGGCATACAGGATGTTCGCATTTCCCGGCGCTTCTGGCTCGCTGGACTATCTCCATCTGGGACCGATCTCTCCCGCATCCCTCGCCATGCGGAATCGCATTTAACGCACCCTCGATAGATCTCTCGATGATGAAAACCTCTCGTCCATCTGAGGAATCTACGAGAGTCGCACGCTTCATGCTGAGGCCTAAGACGCCGCCAAGCCAAGAAGATCGCATCGCACGCTGAGCTTGAGTCGATCCATGATTCCGTCGATGACTAATTAGGGGTAGACTGATGCCTCGCAGATGGGATCCCGGCTGTAAGACACTCCCACGCCGCGTCCCGTTCCCTTGCCTCCTTCTTTCAGATTCTCGACTCATACTCTGGGTAGAGAGCAACGAGGCCATCATTTCCGAACGGGCAACGTCACCGTCCAACACAACAGGATTTTTCGGGATCGAAGATCGTCACCCGAGTCGTCGCCGCGAACTCCAGTTGAGCCGACGCTTCCCGCGAGTCCACGTCAGACTCCTCTGAAGAAGTCGAGCTAGAGGTGAGCGAAGGAGGCGAGCTGGATCCGCGGAGTCAATGTTTGGATTATCATCCGACGCTGACTCGACGTTGTTGTCCACTGACAGGCCTCGTATACCATTCCTCAACATAGGAGCGGATCTGCTGATGGAGTGCTCTCAGACATGATAGGGAACACTACTTTGCCAGGTGAAAGGCTTGATCGTCGTTTTCGTAGGAGCGATGTCAGGATTGGAGCTCTTCGAAACAGTACGACTGGGCCCGAGCAGAGTGATCGTAATTTCTGCGTCATTCATATCTGTCGTCACATCAGCAAAGCGATACACAAACGCCGATTCTGAACGAATCATTAAGTGGATAGCATGGGCTACGCGATGCACGTCATTCAAGCTATCTCGTCCAATTGTGCCCCTTCACGTCGTCTACGGAACAAGTGAACTTTCAGACCGTGCACAAGGCCATGGCACTGACTCATTCCTCCGGATGCTCGGCATCGCTAGACTCTTTAGACGAATCAGGAGTCTGAACAGATGATCTGATATCTCGCTGGTGGTTCATCGTGGAGGAGTCGTCTTCTTGGTCACCGTCTGTTCCAGGTTCATGCTCCTCAGAAAGGTCCTCTTGAACTGGAGAAGTTGTTCGGTTGTCAGTGAGCCAAATCGCGTCGGCTTCTCGCAGACTCATTTCCAGCGATGAAGTACTGGATCTATTGTGACCACGTCTTGTGGAGGTACGCCGGTGTGCGTGTGATCTGGGCAAGTGTGACTTTTTCGTGACTCGACCTCGACCTTGGAGGGGCTGCAATGATCTCAACCTTGCGTTTGACAGCCTTCGTACGCTCAAAGCATCGTTCCGAGATTGCAGCTGGGACGTTTGGTTGCCAGAGATCGCGGTATGACCAAGACATGGATCTGCCTCTGCCCAAGGATCCCACCTTTCTGGTGTCGGTGGATGTTGGGATGCTTCGATGTCTTCGTTCGTTGTCTCAACGGGTACATTGAGGGGATCTCCATCTTCTACATCCATGTTAATGTCCACTAGTCGGCCTTCGGTCGGACTCTGTACCTCTGACTGTTCAGAACGTTCTTCATCGGTGAATGAACGATGAGACTCCTCTTGGCTGGTTTGGTCACTCAGCCTCAGGCCACGCATGTGCAGCTCGAGTTTGCTTGATGCATTCGCATCCCCGAGCTCGTCCGACATACTGCAAGGCGTCGAATGATGAGAAGGTAGTAGAGACGTTCCCTGGTAGCTCTCGTTCGCCTCATCCTGGCCATATATGTAGGTAGAAACCAGCGGCGAATCTGACAGACTACCTGCTTTCGTGTGATGAAAGGATCGAATCTGCCTCCTTTGCTGGCACGCTGGCTGAAAAGAGACGCATGGCAAGACACAGCCTTACCAGCTCAGAGGTGCTTAGAGGCGCGACCCCAATCTTACTTCTCACCGGGCGATCGTCCATTTGGCCAGCCAGAGCTGGGCAGACAAGATGGCGCAGGACTCAGTCAGTCCCAAGAGCTGATGCGAAATGATCTGACGAGTGTGGCAATGCCACTCAGAAGCTTTCGGGTCTCAGCAGGATACATTAATACAGTTATACATTGTTACGAGGGACGGATAAGAAGCTCTGTCCCGGCCGAGGATGGTCTTGGCAAGGTCTAGAGAACAATAAGCACCAATGTCCATAAGCATGGACCTTCGACCAAGCCAGGATCGTATATAGAGGTACTGCAGGTCTAGCGAGATCGATGCATTTCTTTCCTGTAACTGTAACATACATACTGTACATAGATCTCTGTGGAGAGGCCACCATGATGGGATATTTCAGCTTCGCAGAGCATGTGGCATGATGCATGAGCTACGCACGCGTCTGACTATCATCTAAGGCTCGCTTCACAGACATCATTCACTGCACGGTCTCCACATTTGATAGACGGCTGGGCCTGTATCCCGGCCTGCTGGACCCAGATCGACGAGATTCCCCTTGCTCGCTATTAGCACTGGAGTCCGAGCCAAACCATGTTGACTCAGGCTCCTGAGGAGAACGTCTGATTCTCAAGGGCTTTCTGAGACCCATGCTTGCTAGCTCCTCCCAGGCCCTGACTCGTAGTTCAGCCTCCGAATCGCGACTATCCGCGATTTTCTCGAGATCACTAATATCCATCAGGTCTTCATCGGGCCCCTCGCAGCTCCTCCAATGCATGTCCTTTTGCTTTCCCTTCGACATCGATTCGGATAGCTCCCTGCCATTCGAGATATCCATAGCCTGAAGATCATCCTCAAGAGAGCCTCCGCTTTTCTGTCCCCACTCAAAGTCACGATCCAGGTCGCTTTCCCAATCCCTGTTCGTATCGCCCACATAGCCTTCTCTGTGTTCAGGATGACGGACAGTCTCTGATGTAGCATACTTCCGATCCTTTCGAGAATCAGACCCTTCCCAAGGATGCCACTTTGTAAAGAATGGTTCGTTATCGTGCGATCCTGAAGAAGGTAAAGGTGGTTCAGGGGCATGCGGTAGACCTTCGGTCTGAGAATAGAGGAGCAACCTCCGTACTCTCTCATCTCGGCTCTCATTGCGAGCCTTAACTTTACCACTTCGGCGATCTGATTGCCACGCCTTGAAATCCTCCTCCCAGCTATCGGCTGACGCTTGAGAATTCGCCATGGTGATTGCCTGTACGAGTGAGAAATATGACTCGAGATGTTGCGGTTTGATCACGGGTGAGATAGGAGCACGTAGAGAAGTGAAGAGCGGCATGAATGGTTCACATCATCATAACTGAGCTCACATTTGAGGAATTGGAGGCACTTCATGGCAGACGGGGCAGCATGTCAAAGGAGATGCGAACCAATGGATCACAAAGCATTTCAACGTGAGCATTGGGAAGAAATTATGACCATTGGACGTGGGCCAGAACAACCCTCCATTGAAGGACAATGGTCTACCTTCGAATGATGACGTACTGCACGCGGCCTGGCTCAAACAAGAGAAGCTCGTGATCAGAGTCTGGCTGGTTGATGATCGCCTTCTCGGTCTCGCTCATCGTCAATATGAACTTACTCATCCGCTTCGTGGTAGCTCACCAACGTCGCGTAAAGAGCTGCCTCGGCTGCGCTGGTATCAAGAAATCCCTCGATTACCACATCGCAGTGCAGTGCAAGTAGTCGTGCAGCTGTATAAGTTGGCGGATCTTTGATGAGATTGGCCTCTTTTAGCTTCTTCAGCGCTGCTTCCCAATCTGATGGCTGCTGCTCTCCTTGACCAAGCAGATCAGAAAATCCACCTCACTCTAGGTAAGCATTGTTGTGGCCGGCTACCATCCGTCCTTAGTGTGTCCCTCTTGAGACTGGCGGTCCGTGTCGTCTGCGGATCCCTTTCTCACTTCTTATGGTGAGTCTGCCTTCTGTCTTCTTGACATCGCTGTGCCTGGGGAATCGTAGTACCTCAGCGCACAATCGAACACTTCTGCTCACTCACAGCAGCGGGGTTGTCGTACAACAAAAAGTATCTCGCTCTCTGAGTCCAGCTTGTTACAGTTAAAGGGAAAGAAATGAATCGATATCGCTTGACATGGAGTGCGTCTATTGGACTGTTCCACAGCGTCCCGCACTGATGGTCCTTATTGTTCTGTCGACCTTGCTACGACCTTGCCAAGACCATCCACGGCCGGGAAAGAGATCTCATACGTTCGTCGTGAAAAGACTCACCGAGGTTCGGCCAGGGTTGATCCCCTCACGCCGTCCTTCTCTGGCTGTGGGGAAAGTCTACCCTTTCAATTGACATTCCTGGTGTCTGAAGCGTGGGAACAGCATTGTATACGTACTTAGGGTCACAGACTGACAGTATTGTGGCGCGTCGTAGCAGGACCATCGATGCGGTGTCCACTGATGCCCAAAGTAAAACAGAGTCTTCGATGGGGGAGCAGGATCGTTGCACTTTCTCTATAAAGTAATTCTGTGTGAAGGTAGCTCTTCGAATTCTCCTTTGAGTTTCCCATGCCACCAAGAGTGCCGACTATCATTCCGTTGAGCTCACTTTTGACAGACCGCTTGGTATGTATGTCGCCGATCGTTCAGATGTCCCTCCACTCTTGCTGCGTCTCCCGCTCCTCACGGAGCTCGGCGATCCCACCTTCTCTAGCGGCTTACAGAGACCCATCCGTACCAGTCTCTGGCGCGCTTTACGTCTCTCGTCATCGTTGGCTGTATCCTCCCTGCCTGTAGAGATATCCATGGCTTGCATGCCAGCCGAAAGTAAATCACTAGAGGCAGACATGTCCCCTTGCTCAGGAGAAACCCAACTTGAAGATTGAATAGTTTCCGTTTCTTCCGATAAGGCTCTTGGCGGAGCTTCCGGGACCTCAGGTGGAAGATCATACCCGAGGTATCGCTCCAAATGCTCAAAATTTGCGCCTCTGCCAGAGCCAGTTACCACGGTGGGCTTTGAAATGCGATCGAGGGACCTTCTGGCTTTGTGAGCCTTCATCATATGAGATGCCTGAGCAGCATAGTCTCTCCTAGATGTGTTTCGCCGACTCGAAGACCCCTCAGCCCTTGGGACGGACGTTGGGAGGGACCAGTCGCCGAAGGAGTGGGGAGGCTCTTGATTTTCCAGAATACGTAGGCTAGACGACGCTTCTTCTCCGTGATGCATCCCGTAATATGCGGGCCTCCCACTTGGATACCCTGACATGATGGCTGAGATGTCGTTCGGTTACCGTGATGATCAGGTCGAGCGAATGTCAACTTTCTGACTCCGTTAGTGCGTGCAAGAGAGCCACATGCGTTACACATATATGCTTCAGAGACGGGTAGCGGGGAGAACTGCATGCTCCGACCAGGCGTGAACCTTGAAAGGAAAGGTGGGACTGAAAGCGCATAGGAGCGGAATGCGATTCTAGGCATCATCCTTGACATCCAGCCTATGCTCACCAGAAGAGGACAAGGGGCCGGCCAAGGGGAGCAAACATCAAAGGTGCTTCAACTGCCCGATCATGCGAAACTCTGAACACCCCCGCCACGTCTGTACATGGACCCCGCCACGCTCGCTCGAACGCTCTCCATGCACGTGGTTCGCTTATCTTTTGGTCATAATGACGCCGAGAAATCGGCATAATTCCGGAATTTGCCGACCTCGTTGGAACCAGTCAGTTTTGCGGTTGTGGAGCATTTCTGACATTCCATCCATCTCTTTGTGATCTACTCCACACATCGACAAAATCACTTCAAAGGCCTGATATACATATAGACAAGTACTCGTGAAGTGTCTCTTGCCTCCTTGACTCCTATCACCTACTGCTTCACGCTCCACTCTGCGTGTGCACACACCTCCCACGTTTCCAACACTTCAACATGTCAGCTCTTCGCACCATTCTGTCTCGTTCTGCCCTTCCGTCCACTCGTCGACTGGCGGCTCCATCCCCTGCTGCGTCTCAGCTCGTTCGAAATTTCCTCAAGCCTTCCAGCCCTGTTCTTAAAGCTGAGGACGAGGAGAAGGCGAGGCTGGAGTACGAAAAACACAGGCAGAATGTCGACCCCAAGATGGCTTCTGTGGATGAGTCATTGACGTTTGAACACCCAAAAACAAGTGTACGTGACTCCTTCCTCTCCATCATCCCACCCAAGCTAGTGCTGTAGGAGGGCAGTGGTGATGCAGTGACTGACGCCTGCGTTAGGAATGGAAAGCTGGTGATCCAGGACACGATGTCGTTGGAGCCGGCCATGGAAGACACAACAAGCGAACGCTGTCCAGCCTGTCAATGGACGGCAAGGTCTGCGTCGTGACTGGAGCTGCTAGAGGTCTAGGGAACATGATGGCCCGAACGTTCGTCGAAAGGTGAGTTTGCACGCTGTCATGACTTGGCAACACAGCTGACAGCATCCCTCTTGCCCTTGATTATCCGTTGATTTTCTTTCGGCTTCTATGGTGCATCATGTCATCTCATAGTGGCGCATCTTCCATTGCCATCGTCGATCTGAATGAGGCCGATGCCAGGGCGGCTGCAAAAGACCTGGAAGAGTGGTTCGGTAGGCTCGAGACATGTGTTGACTTCTCGACAAGCTGACAAAATCACCAGTCACCCACGGTGAGGCTGAACCTGGCGAGATCAAGGCCAAAGGATACGGATGCGATGTCGCGAACGAGCAATCAGTCACAAAGACTTTCGACGCCATCGAGAAGGATTACGGGAGTAAGATTGATGTGAGTCCCCGTGACGTGTCAGCTCAACAGTTGCTGACCCGAGCTCGTAGTGGTGAGGCACCGTGGACTTCTATGCGCCCCTCGTCGTACTAACCTATCTCATAGCTTGGTCACGGCCGCCGGAATTGTGGAGAACTTCATCGCGACAGAATACCCGACTGAAAAAGTTCGAAAGTTGCTCGACATCAACGTCATGGGTAGGCGAATTCTCAGCACTCTGGTGAACCTCTGCTGACTGGTCTCTTTAGGATCGTGGTTCTGCGCCCTCCAGGCTAAGAAGAGAATGCCGGAAGGTGGCTCTATCATTCTCATTGGATCCATGTCCGGTAACGTGAGTGACCCTCGAGGCCATGTTGGCTAATCCCTCTTCCAGATTGTCAATGCTCCTCAACCGCAGACCCCGTACAACTTTTCGAGTGAGCACTGAGCTCTGTCTTTAGTCCCCTATGCTGACGCACTGCACAGAGGCCGCAGTGAGGCACATGGCCTCGTCATTGGCCGTAGAATGGGCCAAGGACAACATTCGAGTCAACTGTGTCGCGTGAGTGGAACTGAATGACTCTCGCAGCCGAGTCTAACTCTCACATCCTAGCCCTGGATATACCCTGACCAATTTGACCAAGGTCATTTTGGATGCTAACCCTGTCCTGCGTGACGAATGGCTGCATCGAATTCCAATGGTAAGTTGTCACGCTGTGCCTAGGCCATGTGCTCAACCCGTGTCCCAAGGGTCGACTCGCCGATCCGTCCGACCTCAAGGGAGCGATTGTTCTGCTCGCATCCGACAGCTCCAAGTACATCACAGGCTCTCAGATCACCATCGATGGAGGTTACACTTGTCTCTAGACACAGTCACGAGTCACTGTCAGACAAGACGTCATATGCATATTATTAGCTTGGTTCAACCTGTGTACAGATTCCTAATGCCATTATGAATTGTCTTCCTAATCGAGCCACTCGATTTCCTAATCCCATGTCAGCCCCCAAAAATAGTACCACCCTTTGTTTATTTCCAGATTGGGAGATTTTTGAATGTATTTGGGTCCTAAAGGGTGCGACGTTTGTTTTTCCACCCCCCCTTTTCTAATTCAGGTTTTCGCCTCTCTCTCTCTGTCTCTCTCTCTCACTCTGCATCCTCATTCATCATCTCCATCTGTCACTTTCTGCTGGCAAGGAAGGGAAAGTCCACATCGCCGCCTGGATACTGGTAGAGAAGCCTGAGAAGCTGCTCAAACTACTCGGAGGACTTTTGACGCCCCGCTTGGTGGACACTTTGAACCAACGTTGCAATCCTGGGTCCCGCCTCTCAATTCAATATTAGCCCAGTCGTCCCATAAGTCATCAGACCCCCGCCCCCTCTCTCCTCCTCCTGCATCCAAACTCTTTCTACCTCATTCGACGCTCATCGCCCTCGATCCGTCACTTCGCGAGTAGGACGACTCGCCTCTAGCGCCTCGATAGGATTCTTCGAACTCTTGGACTCGCAGCACAGGTCTCTGCCAAGTTTAATAGGGGGAAGGAGGAAGAAAAAAAGGACAAGCGGCAATTCAGACTTGGCATCTCGCGACTGCTTGTCAACAGTCAATTACATCCTCCTAATCGCTGGTACTCTACATCATCAGCTCGCCCTTCACATCCAGAGAACATAGAATCTAAAATGAGAACGTTCGTCATTGGAATATTAGCATTGGCGTCGACCGCTTTGGCCCAGATTGAAACGATCACTTTACCTGTGAGTTTTAGAAGACCATCACAACATCCCTTTCTCCACCGCATTTCCTCTCTTCCATGCTCGGCGATGCACGCCGGGAATGCTGCAAGCTCTTCTATCTCATTCATGATCGTCTTGGAACTGTTGCTGACTCGCCTTCTTTCTTTCAGTGGGCCGTGAGTTTTGATTTCTCCTTATTCACATCCCGATCTCCATCGACTTTCTCCCGGCCTAACCTATAGCGTTTACTGACCTGCCGCCGCCTGTAGAACGGTAACACAGTCGTCATTTCAGTCGGCACCAACGCACTGGGTGATGAGTTCACAACTACTTTAAAGTGAGTACCGGGTTGCATTTTCTGCCTCGACCATCCCTGTTGTGAGAGGAGGCCTACGTCAACATCATCTTCGAACTGCCCACATGGCCTCACGTCGTTCATTGCTGACCATTACCAGCTCCGCTCTCGTCGTAGGTGGTGCAGCCGCGGAAACAAACACCAAGACGAACACGAAGACGACAACGACGGTGAATAACGCAGTAGAGGGCGGTGCCCCCACCACCACCACGTGAGTCCTATCTCTGACCCGGGAATTCTCCAAGCATCTTGATCTCTGTTCGATGAGATGCTGACCGCGCGTCATCAGTGGTCCCCGAGTTGTCGGCGTCGAGACTACAGCACCACCAATGAGGACGACAACTTGTGAGTCTCGTTGAGATATTCCGAACATGTTGTCTTATTATCCAACACAGACTGGTACGACCCTGGTGATGGTGTATGGATCTCTCAGATCTGGACTGCATCGATTACAGCGTGAGTCAACTAGCCCCAGAACAACAAGGCACATACACTGACTCTGTAATCAGGGCCCCCACCGTAGCCACCGCCATCGTTCCCGCAGGAACTATCCAAAACTACAACTCGTATCAGACTCAGATCAACTCAGTTGTCTTGAAATCAGCAGAAGCTGCCGAGGCTGCTTCATCAGGCCAGGTCTCTGGGAATATTGGCGCAGCTAGACGCGGAGTCCAGGAGCAAGCAGCAGGACTGGTCGCCGCAGTCGTTGGCTTCGTCGGATTGGGCGTCGGCCTCGTCGGTCTGTGAGATAGGAATTGAGGTCGGATCTGGCATGGCCGTTGGCATCTATAGACATTGGAGTGGCGGAAGGTAAACATGGAGCATTGGGTCCCATCTCGCGCGGTGGAATCATCGGACACCGGATACATGCGGACGGAGAGGGGCGCAGGGAGGTCTCATGGAGAGCGAAGAACCCCTATAACATCACGACATATCACCTGTTCTTCTGCCTGCTCACTTGACAGGCAGCAAGACATGGTGCACGAGTATTCTTTCTGTTCTACCACCCCTTTTTTTATCGTCTCCCTTACCTTATACACTGTATAGCATCAATCTAGTATACCTCTTCCCTTTATTTCCTTCATTGTGCGGTCTCTGTGATATGCTATGCAAACTTGTGGACATTCGAAGGGAGGATATGTACGTGTCAGCTGATGGTATACTAAGTGCGAGGTTTATCAGCTCCGGGATCACAATTCGAGAATCCGACCGGAATGCGAACCTTCTTCTGCTTCTCATCTGTACAAACCCTTACATCTTGTGCTTGACCATCCCTCATCCTCCGCACCTGTTCATAAATCTCATCCTCCTCTCGAGCTTTGCATTCGGTCCTCTCAGGACGCAGCTTCCCCTTCCAGGCCACGATACCACGTAAGCTAGTCTCAACCGAGTCCTGTAGACCTGCCCTGATCTAGAGAGTCTGTCTTTTCAGGCCCGGGTCGTAAGCTTCGAGCTGGAACTCGTTGGTTCTGTGAACCTCTGTAGTCTCAAGAAAGTCGTTTACGAGTAGACCGCTCGTGTGGTCAGTCGCAAGGTCCAGGGCTCTCCTTTGTGTATATCTCTCCTTCGTCATATCTACTTTGGTCGTTCCAGACGCGATTGTGTGATTAGAGTCCTACTCTTGCAGTACGACATTCCTCGTCACGTATCCCTTCCAGCACCTCGACACAAGACTACCAGCTTGATAATAATCTGCAAGAAGCCTCGCACTATGGCCCTGATTCAAGCCAAACCATTCCGCCTGGCATTGCTCCAGCTTGGCCCGTTGGGCAGGGTGAAATCCGCCAATATTGACCTGGCGAGAAAGGCGGTCGAGCAAGCTTCGAAGAGCGAGCCAAAGCCTCACTTGATCGTTTTGCCAGAGATCTGGAACAGGTGAGTGCGTTATCAGGGCAAGTATCAGTGTGGCATCCCCTGACGCCATTGCCTTACAGCCCTTACGCCGTTTCAGACTTTAGGGAGTACTCGGAACCTGTTCCCGAACCTGGCTCCTCTTCTTCTTCATCATCATCTTTAGATGAAGGCGAAACTATTAGAGCTCTTCGGGAAATGGCTCGAGGTGCCGGCTGTTGGTTGATTGGCGGATCTATACCTGAACGAGAAATATCCACAGACAAGATATACAACTGTGCCACGGTCTACGATCCGGAGGGTCGACTCGTCGCTAAACATCGTAAAGTTCACTTGTTCGATATCGATATCCCTGGTCGACAGACGTTTAAAGAGTCCGAGACGTTGAGTCCAGGAGACTCGTTGACGACATTTGAAGCTCCATTTGGAAAGATCGGTCTTGGTATATGCTACGATATTCGATTCCCTGAAATGGCTATGATTGCAGCTAGGCAAGGTTGTATCGCCATGATCTACCCCTCCGCCTTCAACACGACCACGGGGCCTATGCATTGGAAATTGTTACAGCAGGCAAGGGCCATGGACAATCAAATCTACGTGGCCATGTGTAGTCCGGCCAGGAACAAAGAAGCTTCATATCAGGCGTATGGTCATACCATGGTCGTCAATCCTCTGTGAGTGGCAGGAACGTAGCATGGGGCCGAAGCTGGTCTGACCACTTGATCCCAGCGCCGAAGTGATGGCCGAGGCGGACGAGCATCCAACAATCATTTACGCGGACATCGGTGAGTATTGTGTCCGAGAGCCTAGAGGACCAGTATCCCTGACACGAATAACCCTTTAGACCCAGAGATGCTTGCTACGACTCGACGAAATCTCCCCGTCACCATCCAGAGACGATTTCAAGTGTACCCCAATGTCGCTGAATAGGCTATCTCCACCGTGTCTCATCGAATCAGTGCACATCTGGGCCTGTTATAACACATCTTCATAATGACATTGTCTGCTTGTCCAACGTATCATGCATTGTTGTGTGCCTGCTTATCTTCATGGGCATAGAAGCTGCTCCGTAGGCAACGGTCTAGAGTGTTCGCGGAACCCGCACCATATCGCGAAGGGGCGACAGGGGCCGAATAGATACATATAGGCATCATGCAATCCATTGACAGAAAAGCTCACGTCTAACTCGGACAATGAGCGGACGCCTGCGCGAAAAGGCAGTTGCAAATTGTGTCAATCATGCCGCCATATCCCATACGGCCCTTTCAGGGCCCCATTTGGCCCGGTAGAACGTAGTCGGCAATTCGCCCTCTTCCAGATCTGCCATGTCGACACTGCCGACAAAGTCGTAACCTCTCGAAGAGTGAGTAATGAGTTTCATGATGACCAGCTGGATACATCTCGCCGAGATGAGTGCGGAGGTGGAGTGAGCGGTCCCTATATGACGGGTCAGCATCATGTGACAATCGACCCCTTGCGACGTCAAATCATGCGATTGCCGTCTGCGCCGTCTGCCAACTCACATGGATTCCCCCTTAGCCGAATCTCTCGACAATGCCTCTCTCGTGTCCTGGCTGCTTGGACGCCATCTAACCAGCTCTGCTTGATACCTTCTTCGATGACCTGACCCACGTCGGCTGGTGAATCGATAATCCAGACTCTATCGCTAGAATGAAAAGCTACGCTGAAGAAGACTGGATCCTGAATTGAATAAGTGGCTGCTGAGTCCACACAAAGATAGCTTACGGGATCTGGCTCGCCTCGGAGAAACATGAGCGTGTCTTTGCCAGAATCTGGGCAGAGTGTCAGTGAATATATAAATATGGTCTGCCCTTTGAAGCTCTCCTCACCTTTCTTGGACGTTCGGAAAGAAGACGTTAGGCTGTAGCCCTCTCGAGCAAATTCTGTCATAAGATTGACAAGGATTCGTTTGGATCTGGGGAATCAATCAGCCGCTCGTCCGGATCAGGCAGCTTTTCCTCCACTCACTGGACTTTCTCCTGACTTGTCGGCATCCAACATGAGCCCTTCAGCGTAACTTCCCACACTCCACCTTCACAACCCTTATCCTTGTGTTTCTTCATCAATTCCGGGGCATAATCTACGTTTCCACTCCTTTGAATGCCCTTTTTCCAGGCCCGCTGTACCGCATCAAGGACGATTGGCCTCATAGCCAGTGGCAGAGCTATGAAACTGAGAGTGGAAGTCGAGGATAATGTCAAGACAAAGAATGGGAATTTCTGACTTGCTGAAGATGCAGGTAGCGGACATTGCGCGGCGAAGCTCGACACAGAGGTAGCTGGAGTTGAAGCTCCGCCATCATCCTCTTCATCGGATTCAATCGTCGATGAGATGGTATCTGTCCTGTCGAACGCTAGACTGTTCATCTTTTTCGTCACATATGCCGAACCTGAAGTTGAGGATGACGATCCAGCACCACTCGTATCAATGCTGCTAGTTGTCAAGATGGAAGACTGGGTAGTGGGACCTTTGCGAAGGATGGAAGAAGGCTGCTGGGATTGGTCAGAAGACGAATTTGTATTGGTCGATACGGTGGACGCGGTCGTTGCCGTTCGATGCGGGGTGAGAGGTCCATCTCGAGGTTGAAGACGGGGAGATGTCGCTCTTTGAGGTATGAACGATTCAGGAGCGGACTTTTCAGCATTTGAGTGTGAATTTGAGCGGTGATGGCCCAGATGTGGGAGATGAAGAGGCATGATTGATGGATCGTGTATGCGGTATCAAGTGAGATGCAAATGGCCCTGGTGACGAGTTGAGATGACTCATTCGTGCGTGCTAATAAGCTGCTGGGATCTCGGTGGCCACGTGCCGGACCATGAGGGACGGAAGCAAATTTTCTAGACAGACAACCTGCTTGTCAGCAGAGGAGGATGTCAGAGAAAGAGCATGCATTGCCGCAGGGAAGACAGCTGCATCAAGCACTCTATAGCTCTCTGGGTTTAGGAGCCTGGTTCTTCGTATAACGTCCGTAGTGGAGTGTTATTCAGTCACTCCCCTGGTGATGAGACCAAGCGAAACCCGTTTCTCAGATCCCGTTTTGCTTCGCATATCGATGCCATTGTCCGATGAGGCACCCCGCGTGAATGAAGCATATCTAGAAAGTATCAGGTCAAGATCTGCTCGATGACGACAATAACACTCGTGATGATGATGACTTGCAGAGCACTGCCAGAAGATCTAATTTCAGACATCTTAGCCGCTCAGGGCCGCTGTCCGCGCGTGACTTTGCGCCTCTGGCGATCCAAGTCTCATATTGCGATGCGCATCCGAGATCTATCTTCATACGTCGTCTTGGAGATATGAGATGAGACAATAGTCTTCGAGCAGAGTATCTCCCCCACCAATCTCCGTGACAGTTGCCACTGTCGTCCAACCCGTTGAATCAATCGTCGCCATGTCGTTCGCCATTCCGCCGGTAAACCCCCCGCTGGGTATCTTCCAAAACTACTATGCTCAACAGCCGACGACACTGCTGCTCAAGGAGCGCATCAGATCGTTCACGGGGGTCAGTCATGTCCAACTTGGTGTCGATTGGAAAGCTAACCACAGCTCTCAGAATGACTTTGGAATCAAAGATGTCAACGGGAATGTGGTCTGTATCTGTAAAGGCAAAGTCATGAGCATGCGAGATCGCATGGGTGAGTGTACTCTTTTCCAGCCCTTTGAGCCTCTTGATGCTGAGCTGAGCCCATGCCGATAGTTATCACAGATCCCATGGGGAATGTCCTCTTCCACCTACGACTAAAGCTCGCCGCTATGTTACCCCTCTGGAAAGGGGAGGATGCAAGCGGGAACGAGTTGTTCGAGGTTTCGCGCACCTGGAGCTGTGAGGCTAATGTACAAGGTCAGTCAACTTTGCTGACATAATTTCAGTTCGACCCAAGGTCAAAGCGAGATTCATCAATGCAGCTACTGGCGCACCTACGGTCATCTCTGTTCGAGGTGGATACCTAGCGATGAATGCTGATCTTGCCATCGGAGAAGAAGGTGAAGGACCGATGGTCGGTCATATCGATAGAGTGTTGTTCGCAAAAAGTCAATGGGGAGGGGCACAAACCGTAAGTTCCATGTAAAGACTCTTCTTTCTGGCAAATGCTGACACCTCTCCCTGTACTTTATAGTACGCAGTGAGCGTCGCGCAGGGTGTCGATCTATCTTTGATGGCTGCGATCTGTATATGCTTCGATGAGATCACCCAGAAGGGCCGGTAGTTGGAAGCTGTGACTTTGTCCCGTTTTGCATCTCATTTCATCTCCTTTCGGGTATACGGCAAACCGAGAGCGAGAGGCCAAAGCCAAGCACGAGCAAAAGCCCCATAATGACCGCTAGCGGTGCATCCCACATGTCGCTTCTTTCCTTCATCTATCTCCCTCTGTGATCTCAGTCCAACGCATTGGGTGGATCATCCTAGACCATTGGCCTCGTCATCCCCAGATCAATTAAGAATTGAAAGCGTCAATCCTCCACTATGGCTTTGGCTCCTGTGAATCCTCCTTTGGGAGTGTTCCAGCACTACTATGCAGGAAGGCCGACCACCCTCGTACTCAAGGAGAAGATCATGTCGTGGACAGGTGTAAGATCCTGGTACCGAGATGACTTGGCTGATGACACTAGGACGATTTCAGCGTCAAAGACACCGACGGCAATGTTGTATGCAGATGCTCAGGACAAGCATTTAGTCTTCGCGAACGAAAGAGTGGGTCGGTAGCGTCGATGGATGTCCTCATTCCCTTGCTGATCATAGCCTCAGTCATCACCGATCCTAATGGAAACGAGCTCTTCCACTTGAGAAAGAAGCAGCTTGCTATTCATTCCACTTGGATCGGTGAAGACGCTGGAGGAAGCGAGATCTTCGCCATCACAAAGCATTTCAGCCGTGAGACCACTTGGGATGTCCAACCGATCGGCTGCTAACACAATGTCCTGCCATGTCTTTTCGCTATTCGAAACGCCGCACATCTTCTCCATCTCTCTGCTTCACGATACCTCCTTGCAGTTGGTACAAAGATGCGAGCCAAATTCACCAACGTTTCTACGGGCGCCCGCGAGACCATCTCGATCCGTGGTGGCATCCTGTCTCAAAGCGCAGACATTACAATCGGCGAAGACGGTAGTGGACCTGCCGTAGCACGCATCGAGAGAAAGCTATTCTCCCTCGGTGAATGGGCGGGACAGCAGACCGTGAGTCCTCCCGGCTCTGATTGTGACTTCACTGATGCTCCTCCGCATCTAGTATACAGTCACTGTGGCCCAAGGAGTCGATCTCGCTCTCATTGCTGCTATTTGTATCTGCTTTGACGAGGCTAAACACGAAGCCAGTGCAGCTGCTGCTTGACAGGTTGTGGAACGCGTATGACGCCATGGTGTATGAGTTGCGGATTTTTATGCATGTTCTTGGCAATGTGACTTCGGTTCATCGGCCCGGTGCGCGGGCGCTATCCCGAATGAACGAAAAGCATGTCGGACGTAACATCATCAATGTTCAACGTTGTGTCGCTCTCACTAGCCACCTTTCAACTCACACAATGAGATCCTGGCTACTATCTGGAGTGGCTCTCCTCGGCCTCAGATCCTTTGTGGCTGCACTGGGTGAACCTCAAGTTCTTCGCTTTCCATCAGAACCGTCGTCACTCAGTACTGATCACTCCGCTCAACAACCATTCAAGCCGCAGGACGACTTTGTCATCGCTTCGAGCCACCTTGGACAAGCTGTACCTCTGCTCCTGGACTCTGAGGATAATGTGGCCATCCACATCGCGGCGAGAACGTTCGCGAACGACGTCTACAGGGTCACTGGATTACGACCTGAAATCTACAATAATACCCTACCCGAGGGTATCTCATCAGCATTCATCATTGGATCATCTTCTTCAGACCTCGTGAGGAATGTCAACGGTGCTGCCAAACCTCCAGGTAGCTGGGAAAGTTACGACGTGCGGGTAGTCTCCAAGCCACTGAAAGGTCTTAATCGCGCTCTCGTCGCTGTCGGGAGTGACCGACGAGGAACCATTTACGCCGTCTACACCTTGTCCGAACAAATGGGTGTCTCTCCGTTCCACTTTTGGTCAGACGTGCCCGTCAAGAAGCATGATACTGTCACCTTTCAATCTGATCAGGTCCTGGCTCATGGCGAACCGACTGTGAAATATCGAGGCCTTTTCATCAACGATGAGCATCCAGCTCTTTGGGGATGGGCGCAAAAGTACTACAACAGGGAGATCTGGGAGGCTGCTTTCCAGACCGACTTCTATGAGCCTTGGTTCGAAATGATGTTGCGATTGAAAGCCAATTACTTTTGGCCAGCCAGTGAGTGAAGCGCGGTCCTGCTTGATTTAGATTTAATGGATCCAACAGTGTATCTGAGCATGTTTGGAGTCGACGGGTTCCCAGAGATTCCTAAGGAGCCTATTCCCGGTCCTAATGCCGTTTTGGCAAACGATATGGGTATTGTCATGGGCACATCCCATCACGAGCCAATGGACAGGAACAAACCCGAATGGGATCGAGTCAAAGTCGGGCCGTGGGATTGGACGAACAAGGAAGTCTTGACAAATCATTGGACCTACGGAGCTCAACGTGCAAAAGGGAGAGAAGTGCTCTTCACCATGGGAATGAGGGGTGATGGTGATGCTCCTTTAACAGGTGCGAGTATAGGACTAGTCGAGAGTGAGTCGTACGTCCTCAGGCCTGACCTAACTTCGCTTGCCAAGATATCACGGCTGTCCAACAAGGTATCCTCAAGGATGTCTATGGGGATCAAGACGTCCCCAAGATGTGGGCAATGTACAAGGAGGTGGCAGACTATTATGCTGAAGGGGTGAGTCACGGCGTGGTTGTCACGATTTTCAAGCTGAATCGTGAACAAGCTGAACGTCCCGGAAGATAGTAAGCTACCGAGCGAGCAGACTTTGATATGATCTGACCCCCCACAGTCTCTATTCTCTTTTCTGACGACAATTGGGGTAACATCATGTCGGTCATGGATCCTGCAAAGCCCCATCCTGGGGGCGCCGGGATCTACTATCATGTTGACTGTAAGTCTGGACAATTATACTCGTATTGATCAACTTAGACGTCGGACATCCCAGGGCGTATAAGTGGATCAATGTGAGTGCGGGTATGAGTCACTCAAGGGGCTTCAGTTGGCTGACTGATAGGGCAGACTATCAACCTCGCTAAGAGTAATTCTCCGTCTCAGACTGCAGAGACTCAGCTGACGGGTTCCACAGCTTGGGAGCAGATGAATATTGCCAGAGCCTTCAATACGACTCAGATCTGGATTCTGAACGTTGGATCACTCAAACCGCTTGAAATGCCATCGGAGCATTTCCTCAACCTCGCTTGGGATTTCGATGCCTGGCCAAGAGACTCGACAAGAAGGTTCCATGAGCTCTGGGCAGCAAGGGAGTTTGGTGAGGAGGTGAAAGACGAAGTAGCAGATATCATGATGCTATACGGAGTGAGCGGGGCCACACAATCGTTTATTGCGGCTGACTCTTCTCACCAGCGATATGCGTCCAGAGCTAAACCTGAGCTTGTCAACTCCTCCATGTGGTCCTTGATCAATTACAACGAGTGAGTGGGCACGGCCAAACGTCCACTGATGTTTAGAGCGGAGAGAGTACAAGCTGAATGGGATCGACTCGAAGCTAGGGCAACTAAGGTGTACCACAAGCTCCCGGAAGAGACCCGACCGTCATTCTTTGAGTTGGTTCTGATGCTTTGCTCTATGCAAGCCAATCTCCAGCGTCTTTATATTGAAGGTGAGGTGCATGCGGTCGTGGAGATACTAAGATTGTAATAGCTGGGCGATCCAATTTGTACGCTGAGCAAGGACGCAATGCGGCCAACAAGCACGCTCATGCCGCTATCGATGCGCTGTATCGCGATGCCAATCTGACCAATACTTTCCATTCTCTCCTTGACTCTAAATGGGAGCACGCATTGGATCAATCTCATATTAATTGGCAACGTGGAGATCGACTCGAAGCAGATCGTGACTCGTTGCCGCCGGTATCGTTCGTCAATCCTGCTCTACCCATCCGACCTGGGATCCCAATGGTAGAGCTCAGTATCCCTCACACATTCTACACGCGGCTCACTGTCGAGAATTCTTTCGGCGCTTGGCCAGGAAAGAACTACTGGAATTGCGCTACTGGCCCAACTTGCCCTGATCCAAGATTATACACGATGGACCCGTACGGGGCGAAAAGTAGATGGGTTGAAATTGGTGCTGCTGGACCCAAAGATATACAATGGATCGCCTTACCCGAGCAAGAGTGGCTGCACATCTCCCCTGATCACGGCACGGTGACGCACGATGCTTCGACCGATCAGAGAATGATCATCTCTGTCGATTGGTCAAAGGTCTCTGAATCGATGGATGGACAAATCAATCTCAAAACGAGCGACGGAGGCAATGTGACCATCACCGTGCCTGTGATTCTTCCGCCTCAGCCATCGAAGGAATTCACAGGGCACATCCAGGGTGATGGCTACGTTGTGATTGAAGCTGCTCACCATGTCACTGCCAAAGCTGCTCAAGGTCATTCATGGGAAGAGATTCCAGGATATGGACGAACATTGAGCGGGATCGAAATGTTCCCTACAGACGCCAGCAACTTTTCAGTCGGCACAGGTCCAAGCGTCCGATATGATATCTGGACGCATTCAGCAGGAGATGCCGAGCTGAAAATTCAGATTGGACCCACTCTCAACTTTCTGAGTCGTAAACAGATCGCTTTTGGTGTGACGATCGACGACCAGGAACCAATCTCTATCCACCCCGTATCTCTCGAGAGACTCGGAGGGATATACAATCGCCCAGGTGAACCGCCCGTCTTTGCTGGGGCGGTACCAAAAGATTGGGAGAACATTGTCAAGTCGGATATTCGGAACGTCACCATGCCCATCCATTTCGACTCACCCGGAAAGCACTCTATCACATTGTGGGGTCAAACTGTCGGCGTGGTCGTTGAGAGGCTGTTGATCGACTTTGGGGAGATGTCCAAAAGGGGTTACAGCTATCTTGGTCCTCCCGAGAGTATGAGAATGTAGATGAGAGAATACAAATATCTGTGCATTGCAACCTGCATGTATACTGAACAGACAGTGTACCGGGCAGCTACCCTATGCGAAGCTGACATCGGATTGAAGAGTTCTCGCGACTGTCGGGTTTAAGAAATATGCTGTCGGCGTTAAAATCGGCTTTTCATCTGATGTGGCACTTTTGGATTTCCCGGGTTCATTTTGTGCCCCCTTTGCTGCCTTTTTTGCATAGAATTCGACAGGTGGAGAAGAGAGTCTTTCATCCATCAAAACACTTCTTGTGAGTCGAGCAGTCTATGTTTCGCGCTACCTCTGCTGACCTTCCTCGAAGAGATACGATGGCCACTCAGAAGCAAGCTGGCGGCAAGAAGGGTGAGTTGGCGGGCTGTGATGTGTAGTCGGATGGCGCAGGCGTGTGCATTGGCTGGGGTAGTATCTGGGCTGTTGCTGGAGAGAATGTCGTTGTCACATCTGGATGATGTCTGGATGAACACATGACGGATGGAGGAATTGGATGGATGGGAAATATCATCAATGCTGGTATCCCGTCAAGCTTGTCTGTCATGGTGATCACAACACGCATTTGAGTGTTCAAAAGATGTCTGCGGGATTTGCTAGGAAATCGGGGCGACGTCTTGTTGAGTAGGGATGCTAACACTTGACTCCAGCCGCGGCCAAACCCCAGGATGCCAAAGCCAAGGCTGCCAAGAAGGCTGCTTTGAAGGGCACTCAATCCCACTCTGTCCGCAAGGTCCGAACTTCCGTGTCTTTCCACCGACCAAAGACCCTTCGACTTGCCCGTGATCCCAAATACCCACGAAAGAGTGTCCCCCACCTCCCTCGAATGGACCAATTCAGGACCATTCAACACCCCCTCAACACCGAATCAGCGATGAAGAAGATTGAGGACAACAACACTTTGGTATTCATTGTCGACTTGAAAGCCAACAAGAGACATATCAAGGATGCCGTGAAGAAGCTTTATGATGTCGAGGCCGCCAAGATCAGGACTTTGATCAGGTGAGAAAAATTGACCTCGAGTAGCTGGCTGGGATCTGTGTTTATGTTTAATGCCTAGACCCGATGGAACAAAGAAGGCCTACGTTCGTCTGACTGCGGACCACGATGCCCTCGAGGTTGCCAACAAGGTGAGCTTCACTCGCAGATAGTCCTTCTCCGCCTGCTCAAGCTTACCCTCTGCAGATTGGCTTCATCTAGGTTACGATATGATGGCATAGCGCTGTACCCTCTGTATGCAGTTGGTGGCATTTGCACGACTTCAAGCTACTTGCTACATGACGCTCCACCTGAATACCCTCTCATCTTTACCCTCTACTGCATCACCGTTCTCATCCTGGTAAAAGATGCTCTTCTCCACGAATGTGACTTCGCCGGTATTCTTTACCAGGATAACGGTACTGACTCTAGTCCCATACCACCTGCCATCCAGTCCCGTATCCAGTGGCTCATCGGGATTGGTACCAAGCTTGACGGGGTGGAGACATGTGCATTCCTTGACATTGGCCAGGGATGTCAGAGGCACACTGCGGCTGCGAGGACGTCAGCAAGGACTTGCACCATCAGGACTTGCGAAAGGAGATCCTGCATTCGCTTGATCAATTCTTCTTCCCCTTCCTTCCTTTCACTCCATTCTCTCAATGTCTGACTCATCTCCGCTTCGCCCCTGGAAACCTTTGGCCAAGGTTGCGAGATGCTCGAGTTGCTCAAACCAAAGCACATGCCTACTTTTGTGCCTTTAAGCTTGAGAGGTGTTGAGAGCGTCTCTGAGCGATCTCTAGCAACGGGCGTAGGAACCCGAGTGGGCGACATGATATCCATGAGGGTCTGTGAAGGATGATTACTGAGATATCCCACTTCAGGTCGACCCCACGATGCTTGACTTTTGGCGGAAGCTGAGGATGGTTGTTCGCTGGCCTCATTTTGAGGATCAGGGTCCAAGGCATCGATACTCGGAGGATGAAGCCGGAACAGCAAGAGGTTGAATCCGTCATAATCTTCTACTGTACCTCGTAAGGATGCCAAGTGGTCATGGACACTTGTAGAATAGTCTTTGCGCTTTAGGAAATCTTTGACTAGGGCACCACGTGAGGGAGGATTGAACAGACGTCGCTTGAAACCTTGTCGAATGCTCGTTCTGCGGATAGGTTAAACGCCGTCAGCGCGAATTCAGACAGTCGTCTGAGTTGTGATTCCCGCTGCGTTCCGGCATCGAGCGACCAATCTGCCTCTAGTGGAGAACTCACAAGACCCCAATCCTCAAGTCCTTAGTCATTCCTAGCCAAGTTCCCGCTTCTGGCGATCCCATATCTCGTCCGCACATGATCCATGGCTCATCCGCATGCTGGTCTCCTGATCCTTTGCCACCAGTCGACGCCTTTGAGCTTTCAGCGCGAATAGCCTCTTGATCCTCTTCGATGGGTCCGAAAGTGTGCCAGTGGGCCGGAAGAGCCGGTCGTGCAAGGTATTCATCACGGTTGGATGCGAGGATCCTGATCACTTTAGTTCAGATAAGCAATCAGTGACTCACAGCTTGTATCCTGGATGCGAGAGAGTCCAGAAGACGATGCACATGATGAAGGGCTGTCTGACGTGTCGAGATGCCGATAAGCTATTTGAGCTGTTGCAATCGCAGAGATCCCACTGCGAGATCCGTTACAGAGGGGACTACGGTCAGAGATATATAGTCAAATCAGTGACACAGAATCCCCGAGAATGTCTTGACGGCTGTCATCGTCTCGTGTCTCTCTAGTCTGACATGAAGGCCACTAAAACTCCCCTTGTTCCCCCGGTTCGTCGGCTATAATCTGACGCGGCAAGTAGATGTGGCTTTAGCTCAATTGGGGGAGCAAGGGCCGTTGTGCATAAAGACTACGACTGCCATGCATGCATCGGACGAAACAGACTGGTGACTATTACTCGGTCAATCAGAGTCTACTCTTGAGCTCTTCAAAGATCTTGGAGATTTCGTCTTTGGACAACTAGAAGAAAGCGTAGACCGGTCAATGACATCGCTCAAGCGGTGTTTGGACGGATGTACGTACATCCTTTTGAGCTAGAGAGTACGAGTCAGTACAATCCTCATTCGACACCTCCTGAGGCAACTCACTCGGCCAACCGATGACTAGACCCTCCTTGTCACCGGCATCTGAGGGTTTCGGAATGATGTGGAAATGGACGTGATCAACGACCTATATATAGCAGATTAGAAGGATCCAAGATCACAGCTAGCGGGAGGGAGCACTCACTTGGTGAGCGGCTCGTCCATTGTTCTGTCACACACGAAGTCAGTACAGGTAGAAGATACGCGAAGACCTCAGTTGCCCTTACTTGAAGCAAGTTGAAGTTATCGGCTCGCTTCGGTAGGAGATCAGCTTTGCCAGTCAACCCGCACTGAGCTCACCGTAGCGGTCGCGATCTTCTTACAGGCGGGTAAGATGTCTTTCATCTGATCCTCGGGAAGGTCAGTGAGCTTTTCGGCGTGATCTGAACGGAATGCGTCAGGCTCAGATCCCAGCGGTTGCGAGATTCAATTGACATTTCGGGATGATCAGGCAGTGCCCCTTTGCGATTGGGCCAATATCCATGAAGGCCAACACAGATTCAGTCTCAAGAAGCTTCATACTGGTTTTGCATCTCGTCAGTGCTTCAGGTCAAGATCTGAGCCTCCTCGCAGTCACCATGGTATCTCCCCTGTATGGCAAGATCAGTACTATATCCACAGGTCAGGCGAGCTATAGATACGCGCCTTTAACAATCTTGCAGAAGATGCAGCTAATTTAGAGGTCAGCAAGAATACAACGTCCCATCACGTCTCACACACCTAGCAAGGGAGTTCATGATAGTCAGTGGTGTTCGAGTTCGGCTAATGGTAGATGCCTGCCTTACTGGTCGACCGGTTACTAGAAGGGACTCTCGCCGCGTCATGGTGTAACTAATGCCACGTCATGGTACTCTTGTGCCAACTTCGGCCGACAGCTTTGTCGGGTCTACTCACCCGAAAAACGATGAATGCATCAGTGTGACAGGCGCTCGCGATGCCCTGCGCATGTAGTGCTGAATGCTCTAGGAATCGAGCACCGGACCCATAGATTCTCGCAGCCAGCCATTGACTGATACCCTTCGCCTACATCTGTGCCGTGTTGGAGCTAAAGTCGGTCTCCGGATCCCCGAGGGTACATGACGCTGAGCCCGAATTAGATCTGTATTTGTACCCAGCTTCGTCTCAGTCGTTCACCCACCCCACTTTCCCGCCTCTTCCTCGTCTTCATCCTGCAAAGAGACACAATTGAGGTTGCCCAGCAGACATGTCCGGCTCAAATTACTCTTCCAGCCTTTCGAATCACGCAGCGAAGCAGTACACCTCTCAAGCTTCGTTCGTCTACTCCAAGAACTATACCGCGGCAATATGGGACTTGCTCAACCCTAAAGAGGGTGAGAAGATCATAGATTTGGGATGTGGGACTGGGGAGAATACAAAGAGGATCAAGGATGCAGTAGGCGAACGAGGTGAAGTCTATGGAATAGATTCAAGTCAAGACATGGTACGTGATTCGAGACTGCATCCTCTCGGTCATGAGTGGACTTGAAGCTGATCGCTTGATTAGCTGGACAAGGCTGGGAAAGACTCCTCCGACGTCAAATGGGTACAATGTGATATTCAAAAGATTTCAGAGACTCTAGATCCATCGCTTGAAGGGACTTTTGACGCCGTCTTCACGTCGGCCGTCCTGCACTGGTGCAAGGATGATCCGGAGAGTGTCATCCGAGGTATCAGTTGGCTGCTCAAGCCAGGAGGAAGGATAGCTTTTGAATTTGGAGGTTTCGGTAATGGGTGGGTCAGGAGATCGCCTAGCGCTCTCGGTGCCTCCCATGAGGATGCGTTGACTGATCTGTGCCGGTCGTTGTTAGTGCCGAAGTCAGGACAGCTCTGCACGCTGTATTGAAACAGCGGAATGTGGATCCTGAGCCGCTCGACCCATGGTGGTTTCCGACAGACACGCAGTACGATCAGGCAAGTGTGCCGTCTATCACGCATCCGGGACAATGTGACTGATGACCCTTCTCCTGTGACAGATGCTCGCTCAACATGGTTTCAAGACGTCCAGCATTGGCTTGTTTCCTCGTCCCACTCCACTCGCCTCGGATCTCATAGGTTGGCTTGAGACTTTCTGCCGGAACACCTGGTTCGCCTCTTTCTCCAAGACCGAGGCAGATGAGCTGTTAGAACAAGTCCAAGATATCTGTCGGCCGTCGTGTTACTGGAAACTGGATTCCCCGGGGCAAGGTCGAGCAAAGGATGAGCAAGCTGCTATTTCAGCCGGCGCCGGCGAGAGAGGCTGGGGTAAGACGGAGGGATGGAGTTTGATGTATATTCGACTCAGAGGCCTAGCGACCAAAACCTAAGTCCCACTCGAGGAGAACACAAGACTGGGTGCAAATCGGGATTTGTAATAAGGACAGAGATGCATGCTCAGGCATCAATTATGATGAAGCAGAAGTAGCAGCAGCTTTAGCCGCCTTTTCCTCTGCTGCCTTTTTTCTCGCCCAAATGGCTCGACCGACACGACTCTCGTTCCTCACGCCGAGTGTCTCTGAAAGCCAATTACCTGCTTCCACTAACTTGTCGAGATCGATACCAGTCTCGTATCCAAGTTTGTGAAGGGCGTAGACCACGTCTTCTGTGGGTACGTTGCCCGTGGCTCCGGGAGAATAAGGGCATCCTCCAAGTCCAGCCAGGGACGAATCAATCGTCGGCACGCCGAGGGGTAGGAGCGAGATAATGGATGACAAGGCCATGGAAAAGGTATCGTGGCACTGATAAGGTGTCAGTTATACACGTCTCTCTCTCTCGTGTAGCTTAGACGCTCACATGAGCCTGATCGACAAGTCAGCAAAGATCGCCAAGATTGAAACGAGCGACTTACCGCCACTTTGCTCATATCTACCCCCCGATTGAGGAGTTCAGTCCACAATAGTCTCCAAGCCTCCGGATTCCCTTCCCCGGTCGTGTCCCCTAATGATACTTCGTAACAGCCCATCTCGAGCAGCTTCTCGACGACATCGACGACTTGGCCCGGCGCGGTCGGACCAGAGTACGGACAAGTCATGACACATGAGACGTATCCTCGGGTCCTGTATCCGTGGGATTGGGCTTTAGAAATGACGTCGGGAAGTGACCCCAGAACTTTGGCTATCGGTGCGTGGTTGTTCGCTTGTGAGAAACCCTGAGCAGGTGTGCCGCCGCGTCAGACCTTCGAGCCCAGCTTGTAAGACGGAGAAGCTGACTCACCTCAGTGGCGGAAACAAAGACTGCAATCTCATCTGTCAACCGCTCTCGCCCTTCTTTCCCTTTCCACTCTTGTTCCAGCTTGAGCAAGTTATCAAGACCTCTCATGTTGGGGACGAGTACTGGATAGTGCACGTCACTCGCGTCTTCGGGGAGAGGAGCAGGGGATGATGTGGTTGGAACACCTGAGAATGGCGAGGTGGACCTCGTTGGACGGGACGGTGGAGGAGGAACGGAGGATGTGGGCGGTAAGAGGGGTAAGAGTCGGGATGTATCAGCCATCTGAAGAGTCCATGTAAGCGTAATTTCATCCATCAATTATCGTTCGTAAACCCAAACTCACTTGAGGAACCCAATCGCCTCGCACAAAACTGCCAACTTCAACGTTCCTCACCCCAGCGGCCAGGAGTCGTTCCACGAGCTCTCGTTTGACTTCAGTGGGAACGGCAGGCGGTGGAAGATTTTGAAGACCATCTCTTGGAGAGACCTCTACGATTCTGGACGACGTAGTGGGCTTCAGCTCCAGTCCTGTATAAGATCACTCGTCGCGTCCTCACCTGACATATCGTCCGTTCCCTTGTAATTGACTGGTCTGAGTATCACTAAGGACGTTGGCGTATCCCCTTTTCCCTCCCTGCTGGCCCAGTACAGATGAAGAAGGTCTAGCAGATAACGATGTAGAAGGTCTCTTCGAGGAACTCCTGCCCACGTTTGCATTTGACCATGATGACGACCTGCCGCTAAAGCAATCCGGAGACCGAGCGGTCAAGGGTGCAGCCAAGCTGATCATCGTTCTGATCGACGAAGGTGGACTAGTCAAGATCCTCGTTGACCGGCTCAAGAGCGATCGGTGAAGGAATTGTGGACGAGGCATGATTGATCGTCTGCCAGTGTCTCCAAAGATTTATTCGAATCCGTAGGGAAAGCTGGTTGACCTTCGTGTCCCGGTGTCACTGTTTCCGAATTCGCAATGTCACTTGAGTTCCGGTCTGCCTACTCCATAGATAACGCAGATCACTGTGTTCAACTCCAAACTTGTCAGTCCTTGTCTCAGAGACTGTTGACAGTGACACGAAGAAGAAGAAGAAGAATAATGAATGGGACAACCAAGGCCGGTAATAACACTGAAACCCGAGTCCGGCGTAGTGGACAAGATCCGAAAAGGCAATAATAAATCAATGAGGGATAGACATCACTGCTTACTTGTCCTGCATGGTGGATGAGACACATAGATACAGAAAGCAGCAAATGAAACCGTCTCTACACCAGGCGCTTGCATGCATCAATTACACTTTATCGAGTATTCGGCGGATCCGTCAATGCTGTCATCGAGACTTTGCTGGCCGCACTAGGCGATAAAGATCCGCCGGGTCCGCTCGAGACGCTAGGAGCACCATTCTGTTGATGCCCGTTGGGATAGGAAGTAGGCTGCTGAACAGTCGGCAGTTGCTGAGCCTTTTGTGTCCCACTCGGCTGGGGAGTACTTGATCCATTCTGTGCCGCCTCTGCTGTTCCGGACGGTCCGGGAAACGAGCCTTGTCTCGATACCTGTTCCATGGCATCGACCGGGCGACCCTGATGTGGATCGCCAGCCTGATGATGTGCTGGACCCGATGAGAAAGGTTGACCAGGACCATGCGCCTGACTTGGAGAAGCCTGCGGTCGGCTCTGCTGAGGCTTGGGGACGTGCGGCTGGGGTGGGAACATCGACCCGGGAGGCGGGCCTCCGGACGCAGCCTGCCTCTGCTGTTGTTGCTGGCTTAGCATATGATCTGCCGAAGGGTGTGCTTGAGAAGCTGCAGACGGCTGTGGCCCTTGAGCATGGCCAGGAGCTGGAGGTCGCCAGCCAGGTGGGGCTTGAGATGTCATCGGGCCGCTGTATGGCAGTGATGCTGGGGGCTGATGCGGATGCGTTATGGGCTGCGCACTAGGCCCATTAGATCTGCCTTGTTGAGGAGCGAACGGGTGCTGAGCAGCATGAGGAACAGTACCATGGATTACCATTGGTCGAGCCAGTGGTGAAGGAGAGTTGATAGCGTTCGTTTGACCCGGCGGGGATGGGTGGTGGACTTGCTGCTGCAAGGGGTGCTGAGCTTGATGCCCGCGGGATTGGTGAGGGATTGCAAGACCATGAGGAGAGCCATTTGCTGCATGCTGAGAATGGGGTAGAATTCCCTGACGCAGCGGCACGGCATGAGGTGGATGTCCATTATGCATCGTGGGTGGGCGAGACTGAGGAGAAACGCTTGTTTGACCTATAGTGTGAGGTTGTTGAACATGCTGAGTTTGAGGAGTACCAGAAGGCCCTGGTCTATACTGAGGGTGTTGACCATGTGCCGCTGCGGGTCGACCATCCATCGTAGGTTGCGCTTTACCCGAGAGCTGGGGACGCGGTTGCAAATTCTGTTGAGACGGATGTGGTGGTCTAGCCTGATAAGGCATCATGGGTTGGGGAGCGGAAGATGGGCCATCAGGTCCATTGTAGTATACAGCATAGCCGACAGGAGGCACTGCGTGTTGGCCTTGAGGGGGATAAGGCAGATAGTATTGACCAGGTTGCAAGGGTGGAGGGGGAGGTCCGGGTGCTCCAGCACTTCCGCGAGTGGCTTCACGAGCTTCCTCTTCCATACGCTGACGTTTACGAGCAGCACGTCGACGACAGTCTTTACACTGCACGCATAATCGTCAACATTCTAGATCCAGAGTTTTGCCACAACTGACCTTAAAGTCCACCGAATCCCAGTTGCGGATCGGTCTGCCTTCTGCAATATCTAGCCTGTTGTGACATTCAACATGTTGCCACCGTCCACAATCATCACAGCAAACAATATCCTCATCCTCGTCCTGTACGGACTATGAGCACGGATCCGACCCATGTCTGGAAGGTGAATCACTCACAATGTTCCATCCCTGCTTGCGACACACCTCACAATTGAGCTCCCAGCTATCATCTGCCTTCTTCTGACCTGCATCTCCGTTCGACGCGATCTTATTCCGGGAAGGTGTCAGTGCTCGACTGCCTTCTCGACTACTGCCTTCTACTTCATCTAGACCAAGCTCCCGTCGTCTCTTTCGATTCTCTCGCTCTTGGATGGCTTGCTCCTTTGCCTCTTGATCCGCAACCACACGAGCCATAGCAGCTCCTTCACGTGCTGCCGCGCGCTCTTCACGCTCTCGAAGCCGCTCTTCCCTCGCTCGTTCTCTCGCCAGGAGATCGGCCTCCTCTTTGGCGATTCGATCCTCTTCCTTTCGCTGCTTCTCCATCCGTTCCTCCATTTCACGTTGAGCTTTTTCCCGCTTGGCGATCTCTTCCTTCTCAAGGTCACGCGCGAGAATCCGGGAAGACCGTTTCCGATTGTTGATGGCTTCTTGTTTCAGACGTTCTTGCTCTTTGGCCTGAAAGTGCCGCAGTCAGTCAAGAGCTGAGTATGAGCGACAGGACTCACAACAAGCGCTTCAATCACGGTAGGTCCAACATGGTCCGCGAGCATCACATACAAAGCCTTTTCGTCTGGATCCTTGGACTCTTTGAACTGCTCAGGATAGGTCTTCCAATCGTAGAGTGTGACACAGACGGTCTCCCACTCGACGAAACCGTCAGGAAGATTGTCCGCCTCTTTGGCCACGAGTTTGACCTCATCCGTCTCATCGTCGTCTTCGGCATCCTCGTTCTCTGCCTGTTCCTCAGACTTGGGTCTCATTTCGATATCACCATCTCCGCCTGTCTCGGTCTTGGTCTCATCACCACCCATGGTGACATCTTGCTCCTCTGCCGAGTCATGCTCAATCTTTGTGCCATCGCCATCAGGCTGATGTTGTTCCGGTTCGTCGGACATCGGCAGCTAAGATGGGTCAGACACCGCCAGATTCATAATACCCACCGGTGTCAGCTGTTCACTCTCTTCACCATTAGCCTTCAGTCCCTGCTCGACGGGACTGCTCCGATGGCCTTGACTCGCTTCCAATCTCGCCTGATGCTCATCCTCATCGGTCAACTCGCTCAATTCACTCTCTTCGTCATCTGCCTTCGTCTTTCCCTTCCCTGTCCCTTTTCCTTTTCCTTTGTTGTTGCGATTGACCTTGATGGAGGCTTGTGAGGACTCTGCACCCTCCTGTAACCACTCATCTGGGACCTGTTGCCACTCATCGTCGACATTTCGAAGTCGCCGGCTGACGCGAGTACCTCGAGGAAGGGGAGTCTCGACTTTTTCCACCTTGACAGGTGTCGATTTTCCGCGAGTCTTGGATGGAGTCGAGATCGGCGCGGTCGAAGGTCCAGCTTCCGGCTCTCCATTCAATATGTGGCTGCTCCTCGTACCCCGTGTTGACGGCGGCGTCTCCTTTACACCGCCGCGCTTGAGAGCCTGGACAGTGGGAGTTACATTGCCAAAGAATTGGACTTGAGTACGTTTTCGAGGTCCAGAGACTGGCTCTTCAATCTTGGCCGGCGGTGGTGTAGGGGGATCGGATTCGACCCGCTTCTTGCGAGACTGCTTAGACTTGTCGGAAGGACGCGAACGTTTCAGGGCCCGTTTGGCTTTCAGCGAGGACTTTTTTGGAGGGCGTGGGGGAGGTGGAGGAAGACGTTGAATCCATAAGCGGTTGTCTGAGGAGCAGATGAGCCTTAGATATCAAAGGGCATGATTTCCTCACCATCAAAAAGCCAGTAAGTGTTGCCGGCCTTGTCCCAGCCGAGGGGATCTATACGCTGGCACGACATCAGTTGAGAAGTCACACGGCGAGAGTGAAACTGACCCATGATGTCGCCTCATCCTCATTTGGCAGTAACGCTCGGAATTTTGCCGCATCATGGAGCTGCCATTCGCATAGTTCCCAGATAGTCTGGACCTGGCGAGGAAAAGCATCAGATTGGAGCCTTTTCAACAGATTGAAAACGCACCTTGCGGCCCAGGCCCAAAGTGGCCCATTCTACAGGCTCTTCCAGGCTACCGAAAGGTGAGTTCTCAGGGAACCTCTTGAGATACTGCTTATGGAGATGTTCGAACGCATTGCTTGAGCTGGAGCGAAGCGTCAGTCACGACCTCGAGGTGAAAGCCAAGGGTCACTCACTTGATTTGCCGGTTGTAGGTAAGAGCATAGAGGAGCTTTGCCAGTAGGTCCGGTATCAAAGCAGTCTCATCTCCGTCAAAATCCCTTTCCAGGTTCTGCAGACACAAGCGAGCAGTCAGCATACACGGTCTATTCGTCTCTATCGAGCAGGGACAGATCACAGATAGGACGACGTAGACTCGGACCCACCTCGATATCCCAATCGACCAAACCGAAAGCATCAGAAAAAGTCCAAAGGAATTGACTGATAGCCGCCCATCTCCAATCTGTCCGGAGTTTCTGGACGATGGGCGATGGCGGGGGTGGTGGGGCAGTAGGATTGAGAACCGCTGCCTCTTCAGGTGGAACAACACGTCTTGGCATCGATGCCAGGAAGCGGGTATTCGAGAGGGATCAGGACAGACCTAGAAGATAGCCTCAGCGCGTCGTGTTGTTATATGCCAGGTCCGATGAACGGAGACAGTCTATCAGAGGCCTCTGACATTGACTTTCATGGGGATGAAGAGGATGCTGACAATGCTCAGGCTGAGCTGGACGGGAGTCGCAGCAGAAGGTCAGTGATCGAGGGGGTCTATGACGGCACGCAGAGCTTGAAAGGTAGTCGATATTCGATGCTCAACTCACCGTAATGCTTGAGTTCACACCTGTGCCAAGTATGTCAATCGGTGGAGAGATGTAAAGACACGCGCGCCGGGGATGGGTATAGGTCTGAGCGTCTATACGTTGTCTGTTGTATGAATTGCCGTAGTATATCCCCAGATGAGCGTCCAGAAGCCACACCTCCTTGCCCAGCTATGTCGAGCTTTTGACCGATGCTCTGTCCCTCAATACCGTACCTTCTTCACTGGATGATAATAATAAAATGCTTGTCATTGACCGCATAGTAGAGGGGAGAGACGTGAATGTCCCATTGGCTGAAATTTATCAGGGTACACCGTTAACAGCGACGGAATCAAACATTGTTGACTCACCACGTGAAATATACTCCCCTGTGGCCGTCGAAGCTTTCATCCCGACCGCTGAGGATCTCGAGAGCTGTTGTCAACCACGAACACTCATATATTGCAAGCGCGAAGAGACTGGAATTAGACTTCTATAGACTTTCGTCCTCTTAATTCCTGACTCTCATCGATCACCCTGACAATGTCTGATAACGGATCTGCTCCCCCTGCAGACACCAAACCAAAGGCTGAAGGTGAGTATCACCAACACTTGTTTACAGGCAGGCCCTTGATGATCCTGGGGCATCGCACGAAGCACTGGCTGACACCATATGTGCTGTTCTTAAGGAGGCGACAACACCCTCAACATCAAAATCACCTCCTCAAATCACGATGAAGTTTTCTTCAAGATCAAGAAGACGACAAAGTTGACCAAACTGAAAGTGAGTGGAGGCTGATAACCACGGTGGCAATCGCACTCGTGAGCTGGAAGGTCTATCGTTGTCACGCCCCAGGAACCACGTTAGGACCCCAAAATTCCCGCGTCTTCTCCATCCTCCAATCCTTTCCCTTGATCTCACACGCTCCTCCACTCCAGCGAAGAATGTGTTGCTGACACCATCACAGTCTGCCTATGCCGATCGAGTGGGATCCGACATAAATGCCATCCGGTGGGTACTACGGCTTCGACTGTCAGCCCGCGCTTACTCCAGCGCAGATTGATGTTCGATGGGGAACGAATCCAAGACGGTGATACTGCTGAGAGTCTGGGTCTGGAAGAGGGTGACGCTATCGATGTGGTGCTGGAGCGTGAGTGGATTGTCATTTTCTCATCATCTGTTTTGGACAAGAATCATCGGTCCAAAGTGCTGCATCTGCTCTCTCTCTCCCCCCTTTTTTCTTTGTTTTGATCTCGAGATGATCGTGCTGATTCGCCGACACAGAGGTTGGAGGATGCTAAAATTCGTCAAATGCCCAATGCATTGGTGTCGGCCAGGCTGGCATTAATCGGAGACGGGAGAAATGAGGAGGAGATCGCTGCCCGAGTCAAGCCTGTATACCCCTCACTCGTATCCCGAAAAGCCATGTTCAGACTCTGATTCTAGCGAGTCTGTTGTCTCTCTTGGTATTTCGCACTTACCTTCTTCGCCTTTTCCAATCCCATTCTGTCCCCTTTGTATGAAACAATATTCATCATTACTATTTGGTCGACTCGCGGATCAGAGTTGATGTAAGGGAAGACGGAGTGATTCGGTCGACAAGCCGTGCAGGAAATAGCATGACTCGTTGCATTGTTCAACTGGACAATCTCATCTGCCCCACATTCAGAGGGGTTACGATTTCAAGCCCAGCTGATCGAGTATGCTGTCGTTCCATTTTGAACCCGAATTTTCTCTGATACAAGCCACCATGTCAGACGCTTTTCTTTCACTTCTCTCTCGCAATATGTCTGACAGTCTGCTTCTGAGACTAAGCTGTGCAAGCCGGATCGATGTTTGCTGCATCCATTCAAATTGCATCCCTCGAAAGTGGCGGGACGAAAGAAAGAAAGGTCTTAGACTTGCAGGCAGGTTTCTGACTAGCCTCGTCCGAAAATGACTACGAGCTAACATCCTGGTGCGCATGCCAAGAAAGATACATTACTGACGATCCTGGAAGAGGGGAGGCGTCTCATAGGCTTCCCAGGGTCTGACACTCGTGCTGAGCCTTTCTTTCCCAACCTTTTGAGATATCACTGCACCTAAACATCACGAAGAACTTCCCACCGCGAGGAATCAATCCAGTGGCAGTAGTCATTGCCCAGTACTCATTTTGAAGTGATTATACACTCTTGAACCTCATCCATCCTTTTCTCTGGAGCTATGCGATTTGGAGCCCCTCTGGTCATCCTGGCCTCACTCCTCGGACCACAATTCGTTCAGGGTGCGCCAGTCGAAACAAGGCAATGCAAAGGAGCAGTAAGTGACAACCTCTTCCTTCCCCTAGCTTCCTCAATCCCAGCACCTCGATTTTAACTCATCCTGCCCCTTCTTCTAGTCATGTAACGAAGCTCGAAGTCTTGTTCGGCAACTACTCGATAGTCCTATGGCTCGAAATGAGCCGTCCCCTGAATACTTTTCAAACGGGGAACAGCCGAGACCTTTTAAACGATCTTCTTCTGACCTTGTCGACAGAGCCACTTCTGCGCCTGTAGCTCTTGGCGCTGGGAGACCTGATGGATCACGCGATATGGTCGCTAGGCAAGATATGACGGAACCAGATGGTGCAGTCGAAGATGACGATACGGCTGGTGATCAGAGTGATGGTGGTGGGAACACTGCAGAACAGGGAGACGATGACGACGGCGATGATGGCAGTGATGACGGTAGCGATGATGGTGATGGAGAGGATGATATACCACCTACAAAGCGAGACGACAGTCCTGAAGATGGTGATGACGCGGACGATGATGATGATGATGATAATGATGATGTCAATAAGAACGGATCCAGCGCCAACGACGATGGAGACGACGGAGACGATGGGGATGATGGAGACGATGGGGACGACGGAGACGATTCTTATGTTCCACCTACCAAACGGGACGACACAGACGTCCAAAACTCCAGTGAAGGTCTACAAATGCCTGACATTGGCCAAGATGGTTTCGAAGACGGTTTCGGTGATCTCTCACAGGACGCTTCCCAGGAGGATGGGGACGATGCTGGTTTGGAGGGTGATGCTGATCAAACCGGGGGTGATGGTACCTGGAGCGAGGTAGTCCCAGAGGAATCCGTAGATCAATAAATGACACGCCGAGCCGCTGATGAAGCCATACTGCGCTTGAATGTGCGCATGAACACAACACGACCAGATGAAGGTCCTCTCTTCAGATCGATAGTCATTCTAAACCCACGCCCTGTCAAGTCACAAGTCTTTTGCATAAGTGTTTGAACCCTCTGATCGACAATGAAAGGGGTGATACATACGCCTCCCGGAAAGTCCTTGGAACGTATACTATGAAGTAAGTCTAGATACTCATAGTTTAATTGCAAAGCTCAGTGCGTCGCCAATGGCGATATCCCATTCGGCAGGTTGTCTTTGAGGTTGACCTTGCTCAGAGTTTCCTCCATCCCTTCCAAATCCTGATGCCCGTCCTCAACTTCACCATGTACCCTGACACCATTGATCGCCTGTTTCCTGCCCTTCGCGGGAGCAGTCACAGCCTCAGAAGCGGGAACGACCTTTGCACTTTCAGGATGAGGCGCAACGTATTCCTTTTCGTTAATGGCGAGTTGCTCGTCCAGCACGCTTCCGCCACATGCAGCCGCGACGAGTCCAAGGAAAGGTGGAGACGGGTTCAAAGGCCGAGAGCAGAATTCAGGATGAGCTTGCAAAGCCACGAAATATGGGTGATCTGGGAATTGCGAGTCAGCTCTGGGGATTCTCCAAAGTGGAGGAGAATTCACCGTCCAATTCGAGCATTTGCATACGCTCTCCTCGCTCGTCTCGACCAGTGAATCGCAGACTGCCCTTGGCCTCTAGCTCTTCCACGTACTTTGGCTCAACCTCGTAGCGGTGACGATGTCTCTCCCAAGCGACGTCCTTGGATCCGTACAGCCGACGAAGTTTTGTATGCTCAGTATTCGGCTCGAACAATGTCGGCCGTAATCCCAACCGCATCGTTCCGCCCATGTGTGTCTTTGAGATTTCAGGCATAAAGCAGATCACCTGATGAGGAGATGACGAGTCGAGCTCGGCAGAGTTCGCATCTAGGCCCTGTCAGCTTCATTCCTCTCGTGCGATTGACGTAGCTCACTCTCCAAGTTGCACACATTCCTCGCCCATTCCACCACAGCCATCTGGAAGCCGAGACAGATGCCAAGGAACGGCACTTTCTGTTCACGTGCCCATCGGACAGCGGCAACCATGCCCTCAGTACCTCTGTGACCAAAGCCTCCAGGTACAATGATTCCCCTGGTGGGCAGTCAGTTTGAGGCAACGGCAGCGAAGCAAACAAACAAACAACGCACTTAGCTGAACAGAGTGCTCTCCAAGCGTCGTGGTAACGAACAGGGTCTGAGGTTTCTGAAGCCGGCTCTAGATCGGACGAATCGACCCACTGGATCCCGCATCAGCCTCGCAAATCTCACCGGCGAAGCATCGAACGCACATGAAGGATCAATTTTCTGTCGCAACGCATGGAAGCGTGCTCCAACGCCTTGACGACGCTCATGTATGAATCCTGAAGCGAAGTGTATTTTCCGACCAAGACAATGGAAACAGAGTCAAAGAGTCGCTCTTGTCTAAATGCGACTGTCAGTGAGGGGTTCTCGAATCCGACGACGACTGCTCACCCAACAGTGAGCGACTTCCATCTACCCATCAAGTGATCTCCACTGGCCTTCATGGCGGGGGGGATGGCCACTTCGTCGAGATTCAATCGTCTTCTCAGAAAGTCGAGCAATCCTTGATCTTTAAGAAGCAAAGGGACGTGGTATGTCGATGAGACATTGTGCACGCCAATGACTTGTTTAGGCGAGACGTGGCAGAACATGGAGACTTTCTCCATCGTGGCGGTCAACAAAGGGTGTTCACAACGACATGCGATCTGGAAGGTGTCAGCTGGTAGAGACCATAGATTTCAGCAACTTACCAAATCCGGCAGCAATCCCAGTCCTCGCAGATCTCTTACACCCGCCTGGGTAGGCTTAGTCTTCTGTTCACCTCCAACGACCGGTATCAGAGAAACGTAGAGGAGCGCAAAATTGTCGTGTCCAACTCGGAACTGGAACTGTCGCATGGCCTCGATGAATGGTGCGGATTCAATGTCTCCAACAGTACCTCCGAGCTTCATTGTCAGTCATCAGCCCTGTAGCAGTCCGCACCTCAATGACGCAAACGTCTGGCTCTTCACCAGTCTCATCAACGGGGACCTTGGAAACTCGCTCGATCCAATCTTGCACAGCATTCGTGAGGTGGGGTACGATCTGCACGGTCTTGCCGAGATAGTCTCCTCGTCGCTGAGAACAACGCGTTATTTTTGCACGCCTGAGAGATGTCGCTCACTCACCTCCTTTTCAATGACGTGCTGATACACCTTTCCAGTCGTTACATTGTTATCTCTGTTCAGACTGATGTTCAAGTATCGTTCGTAGTTGCCCAGATCCAGATCCGTCTCTCCACCGTCGTTTAAAACATAGACTTCTCCGTGTTCAGTTGGCGCCATTGTGCCAGCATCAATATTCATGTACGGGTCAATCTTGATGGCGGTGACTTTGAGGCCGGCCGTCTTGAGGATCAGACCAGTACTTGAGGCTATTGAATGGCAATTGGTTGCAGGCGGTTGAGCGAGCAATGGATGAACGTATTCAGAGTCAGTGAGGAAAGACCAGATGGATGAGGAGGACATGGAGGTGGGTGAAGCGGGTTTGAGCATGACAGAATCAGTGTTCAGTAATTGAGTCAGTTTGGAGAACAAGGTATTGGGCGTTGACAAGCCATCGGAAGAATCGTATGCCGTCGAATCGTTGGTCAATGCAGGAGGGGAGGACGAGACAGTTGGAAAATTCGTGGATGAAACAGAAGAGAGTCGAGTACGTCGAGGTGATGTGACAGGCGATAGAGGAGCAGGCGTGTGAATAGTCGAATGAGGTCGGTGGGCCGAGCGTGGAGAAGGCAGTAAAGGTGAGCTTGGAACTGACGTTGACCCCCTCATATCGGGTTTGGACGATTGGGACGCACCGATTACGCCCTTGCCGATACCGCTGTGGTAGACAAGGTCGTCAGTGATACCCAAAGTCTGAAGAGACCAAAAAGGCTCACGAGATAACTCCTCCACAGACTAGAATGTATTTAACCATATTGAGAGATTGCGATGGGAGCCAAAGATTATGTTAATGAACGAGCGAGCGCTGGGTTTGAGGTCCAAATCGGATGATGCGCCGGAAGTGGTCTCCAACGTTACACGACTGATGGAGAGCAGGAAGACCGAGAGCGGTTTATATTTTTTCTTGTATATTCAATTTTGAGGAGGCGGTCTGCTCCATAGGGTCAGTGACGAGATCCGAAGGCTTTTGCCGGGTCACTGAGCAATGCACATCGTGGATTCAGAGCAGAGCGAACGACGTAAGCAAGCCCATGGAGCCCCTGATGTAAGGAAGCAAGAAAAGGGGAAATGGCCTTCTCAACAGAGCTGCTTGACAGCTTGCTCACCTCGGCTAGTCTGCAAGGAGCGCGATGGGTTCTCGCCGGGTACACCGATACGATGTCGCTTGCTTGCTTGCTGGAGCTCGATAGAGATCGTGTGAGATCTGCACGTATGTCCAGTGAGAGGAGAGCCTTTGTAAATGGATGGGAGGGTGTTGAAACGCGTCAGAGGGCGTTCAGGGAGGTCCAGCTTAGAAAGGAAGAGATCCCCCGGAATATGGCTTGTCGAGGTCGCTGACCGTTGATATGGCGGAAGAGATTGGCCAGAAGACGGGGGAGAAGCTGCAAAGCGTGTCGTCATCAGATCGTTGCGTTCTGTCCGCCCGGGGATGCAGGGGGAAGGCTCACGATACTGGTAAGGGAAGTCTCCTGTTGGTCTTGGGGGTCGATATGGGAAGTAGGGAGTGTTGAGATATGTGAGGTTCAATACAAGCTGTTCACTGTCATATATATCGTGAGCCTGCTTCCCCGAGAATTCCAGCTTGAAGACCTCCAAGAGCCCCTTCTTATCGACTACCAAAGATGAGATTATTTGATCAATGTTGAGTGGACGCGCGACTTTGAACCAAAATTTTTTTAGTAGCCGACGAGGATTTTGTGATCGCCCGAAAATCTTCTGACCTCGTATATATAAGATACATGACATGAATATGTGAGTGACGCAGAGGCTCTTACAACACATAGTTTCGTGAGTTTCGTGCCGAGAGTGATACTTTACAACGAGAACCATAACAACTCGACGGCGTTCTCAGCTCTGCCGACTCAATACGGCATCAGCCCATGCTCTCCCCTTCATCCTATCCTCGAATGGTAAACCGATCCCAGCCTTTTCCAATCTTTCTTCTCCCCAGCTCATCAGTCTCACCAATCCACCCAGCTTCGTCTCCATTCCTTGACCTTGAGATTCCAGAATGGCGGCATTGAGCTCCTGAGCAACTTTATCTCGTTGACTTTTCTTCATCAGGGCCATAATAGGCTGAAATGCAGGGTCGCTGAGTCTGTCCAGTGCGTCCACGTCTAGCGGTGGACGAGGAAGAGTAGGACGGGACGAGCTCGGGGGAGCATCATCGGCGAAACGGACAATCTCGGGGAATGTAAGGAGACCCATGGTCTTTTCGAGGTCGGCAAGAAATTCTGGGTTCTGGGCCCCGCGTGGGGCCAGCTCATCTCGGGCGAAATTGAGCGCTTGTTCAATTTCTTCGTGTCGGATGAGCTCGATCAGCCGTAAGAGGTGCAGGTGGAACAACAGCGGAGCGTTGGTATCGAGGATCTGTGACATGAGTGGCAGCATGAAAATGAGCCTAAGGCGGCGACGAGCCGTTACAGGAGGCAGAAGAGCCTAGTTGGACAGGAAAAGTTTGAGAAAGTGGAACCCCTCATAACAGGTCTGTGGATAATCAGGTATTTCCGCATGGCCTTCGTGGAATACACGGGCTAAGCGTGGTGCATGATATTTCGAATCTTTGGGGATGAATGGAATCGGTAGGGAAAGATGTGGCGATAGACAACAAGACGAAATATCTGCTCACCTCTGGATCCAATTCGTTGACTCGTCTGACGGCCTCTTCGACCCGTCCATCCTGGACGGCTTCACGGATCTCCATTCGCTCGCGAATCATTGCATGATCCACATCATGAGGAAGTCCAGTTTCTCGAGCGAACTCGACAGCAGCGTCTGAGAAGCCTTCAACGACGAGATAGTCGAACAGAAGAGCGTTGAGATCACTACAAGTGCACAGAGCACATGAGTCAGCAGGTGATATCTCGTCGTTGGTATCTGATGTGGAATATGCTCCGCAGTACAACGATGATCAGAGGTGCTAAGTATAAATGTGATCCTCAAGTGATATTAGGAGAGATTCCCACTTGCAAAATGATAGTCTCATCCGGAAAGAGTAAAAGACGGTGGTGGAGAGAGACCACAAGCTAGCTCTGTAGAGCTGCCACTCACCTCTTGGAGACGACTGCCCTATTTAATTCTTCTTCCCACTTGCTCGCCTCGACGCGGGGATCAGCAGGTTCTTGTCTGGCCGAGCTGATTCGGCCGATCTAAAGCGAGTCAGCTGAATGACCCAAAAAGAAGATCTGATCAGCTCACCCCTCCTGCAGCAGAAGCCATGCCTAGTCGTTGTGTCTGTGACATGCCCTGCCCGTGGGCATCGATGTCATGTAGAAAGAAAGAGAGACCGTCTGTTCGGTGGTCAATGTAGCCCTCTGTTGCGGCGTTTTTCGGCGATTTGATTTGGGTGGCAAACAGTTTTTGAATGGACGCGAATGACTTTTCTGTGTCAACAATCGACCTCCATTTTATCCATCTCATCGTCTGAGCATATCGCAGAGAAGCAGGTCACAAACAATGTCTAGCGCTGGCAATGGGGGCTATGACTTCTCACAATTATTCCATGCCTCTCATCTGTCTTACTCGCCCGGATCCACCTTTCTCGCGACGGTCCACCTGAACAAAATCATCATCAGATCCAGTTCAACATTATCCATCGTCAGGATCTTTCAATGCCTCCTCCCACCAGAGTCAAGTTCCAAAGTCCAACCTCTGGACATTGCCATCGATCAGCTGCTGTGGTCCTCTGATAGTCTGTACCTCATCGCATACTCTGGCAAGGTTCGGACCGGCTGGCTGTTTGGTCTCACGCAAGATGGGCGAGGAGAAGGCGGGGAAGTAGCTAGACTCGGTGGAGAGGGTGTGGATGGGTTGGTCAAGGTCGAATGGGGCAAAGGTGATCGAGAAATCCTTACTTGGTCGGATTACGGAGTCAGTCAACTCATTGGCCTCGCCCAGGCCCAATTCCCTCGTATGACTGACCATCATCCATAGCTGCACCTCACCATTCATGATCTGATGACCGGAGAGACTCGACAAATCCAGCATCCAAGATCGCCGAACAACTGTGGGTCACCCAGACTTCCGAGGAGCTGAAAACGTCCTCCAGGCCACACATACTCTCCAGATTCTAGGCATCTAGCCGTACTTGAGAGGCACTCGGGCAAAGACTTTGTGGGAATTTACGATACACAAGATTCTTACGCTCTCTTACGGGTGTGTGAACTCTACACGCGTCGAGTCCTGCATCACTGATGATAACAAGCACTTTCCTCTGGGCCTCAATAACGCTCAAGAGATCTCTTGGTCCCCCTGCGGACGGTACATCGCAGCAAGTGATGATTCCATTCACGTGCGTTCGGCCTCACCCTTGTGAGCGTTCCGGCTGACTCATCCACTCAGTACCTGCTACATCTTTACACTCCACTCGGGACACATTTGGTGTCATTTGACGCATCATCTCCATCTTTCAACCTAGAATCAGCGTCTCACGATCCCGCCCTGGGCATTCGATGCTTCTCGTGGGCTCCCGGTGGAAGGTGGATTTTGATTGCGGGATGGGATGGGAAAGTCAGAGTGGTAGAGAGCGAGGGCGGGAGATGTGTGGCTATCATGGCGTGGCCCAATAGGACCATCGAAGCCGAAACGGTCAGCCCTGGACCTGTGACTTCGAATTCCCGCTGATGCCCTCATTCAGGTCGTTTGGAGCGAGCCTAGAGATTGGCTGAGGGACTGCAAGGGGCATGGCATTGTACAATGTGAGCGTAGCGATTCAGGCATCGTCCTCGTAGCTTACGAGATGAAGTCGATCGGGTCAAGACCCCCGCCTCGCTACCTTTTGTCAAGTCTGACTTTTCACATTTCCCACCTCGATCTGGAGTTTCTCATATCTGCTTTGATACCAAAGGCACATACTTCTTCGTTCGTCAAGATACGCAGCCATCCCTCTTACATGTCCACTCTTTCCTCCCATCTGCTCAATCCTCGTCACCGGACATCAAGCATATCGCAGTCTTGCTGTTCTCTCAGCCGATCAGGAGTGCCACATGGTGTTTGACTAGACGCAAACTGGCCATCGCGACTCGTTCCGGCGCCGTCTTCTTCTGGGATGGAGATGGGGGCTGGGTTGATGATGATAGCATGAGGGACAGTACCGCGTCGGAGAGCAAAGCAGGAATGATGGAGGCTGTCGGGATTCCCACTCGTACGCGGCGTCCGCTGGTCTGAGGGATTTTTTCTCACGCAATTATCAGGAGTCAACTTTAAGACGTCTGACATCGTCTGGTCACCGGACGGTACATCTCTCGGGATACTCGACAAATCTTCCACCCAATTTTGCCTCCTCTACGAAGAATATACTGGTGATACGAGCTCAGCTCTGGGTGTCGAGACGACCTCTCAGAGGCGGTGGGACGGCATCGATCAATTGAGTCATGTTATGGAGGAAGACGAGGACGAAGCAGTGGATGCTAGTGTGCTGACCTCACTGGCCGAAACCGAGGCTCTGTGGACACAGAGGAGAAACGGGATCCTCGCTTAGGTCCTCCGGCTGCCTGGCGACTTAAGTCAAAGGACAGGCCCTCGCTTCGATGACAACTAGCGGAAACGAGCAGCACATGGATATAAGAGCGCATTGCTCGCCGACCGAAACAATACGGTCCAAGCCTACTGGCTCGACCAGATGAGGCATTTTCAGCAGTACCTTTGCATAACCCCGTCCGGGTCGTCATCCCCATCTCGTGGTCGCTCTGCATTCTGGAAGATACTCCGAGACCTCATGGAATAGCTAGCCTCCTTTCTCCACCCCGACGCCGAGCTGCTGGGGACATGCGGGAGATGCAAGATCCGTCAGATGGCACATCTTTCATCGTTGCTTCTCTGTTGATCTGTGGGTGTTTCTCGAGCGGCATTCTGGGATCTTCCCATTTCTCGACTGGCTGACGATTGCTGACCTGTGTTCGCTCCCGTTCTGATCAGTCTGATTCCCATTTATGCTCAACCTGAGAGACTGATGGCTAGATACTCGGACCCGAACGTCAAGCGAAGAACTGAGCATACGTCCAATCAAAGTCTCGACTGATCCAGTAACCACCAGTCCATAGTCTCGGAGAGACATCGTCCGCAGTCTTTGCCTGTCCTCGCCTGTATAGCTACGCGATTGCTTGATGGGAATTGACATGGTGTCTGGCTGATCGATCACTTTTTCCCTCCTTGCAGCGCTAGAAGATTCAAGGTGTCCCTTTGGAGTCTGGGCTTCTGGGATCCAGGAACGAAGAGCTATGACTGACTGGGACGTGATGACATGGAGCCGGGGCGAAACTACAACTTTGAGAGGTAGGTATAAAGGTCTGATCGTGGGAGGTCTCGCCTGAGTTGCGAGTCACAGATTCGTACCAAAAAGGGCATCGTTTAGCCCCTTATAACAGCTTAGACCCTGCTGGAAGGATACTCCCACCCAGCGCTCTGTCTCGACCTCTCCACCCCACGGTGATATAGGCTCTGATGACTTCGCCTCCAGCATTAATGCGCTCCTGCTCTGCCCTTGATCACGGGATCCTCATCCTCACGGTTCTCCTATTGCTCACCTTCGCTCCCCTCGCACACGGTATGAACCCCCTCTGGACAAGCTACTACTGTCGTCAACAGTGTCAAACGGCATTCACCATGTGCATAGCGATGGCTGGTGAGTGTTTGGCCTCACTGAGAAGGAACAGAGGGTGGAATCGTAGAAATCTTTGATTCACACGTCAAAGCTTTCCAGCTCAAAGCTAAAGCTATGATTCCGCTCCTTCGAGACGGGACCCCATATCGACGGAGGGCACTGGGACTATCATCACTGACACCTCTTCCAGTCTCCATCCCTCAGCGAGCACAATGTACGATGGTTCAACAAGTCTGCGTCATGCACTGTTAAGCCGGCAAGCAGTGTAACCATCACGAGGAATTTCCCACGCATCCAGCTCGACAGTCTCACCACGCGAAGTCCGCTGAAGCGGGTGCTACCTTCAATATTCACTGGCATAGCTAGTTTGCGATCCTTGTGACTATGTTTTCAAAAGGCAAAGCCCAACCATTGCCAAACCATTCGTTGTCCACCATTCACCCTCGTGGCACTCCTTAAGAACGGATAGATCCAGACCCTCTCGGGTATGGATATAGATACATGTGATTCTATGCACGTATGCACACTGAGACGACGCGATGCCAAGAAACGCGTCGAATGATCGAAGGGGAGTTACTTTCTGCGATTGGGAATACTTTGAATCGATTGACGGTTGGGATGAAGCGGCCGAAAATGCCACACGTCAAGTGGAACAATAACGCTGCCATTTGGTGGTCATCATGCTGATCTATTCCTTAAAGGCAGATCAATCTGCGGGCGAACAGGCCAGCCCTCACGCGGCACAGCACAGCTTTGACGTAAAAGCTCGCTTGCAGGGCTTCAAGATTTCTGAGGTATCGCAGCCCATCCCTCGACTACCTACCGCAAGTTGACCTGATGCAATCTGATCTTTAAGACCATGCATGGTTCACTTCTGGTCGTATCACAACGGCGTCTATCTGCCCTTTCACAGTATATGCTCGCCTCTCCATCTTAAATCCTCACCGGGACCTTGGAATGTAACGACTTTCATGTCAATGACGGTGGGAGAACATGTCATGCCTCGAGGCAAAAGGACGTCTCCGGACGCCATCAAACAATTCCCAGTTGCAAATCTCTGAATGTCTATACTCGCTAAAGATTGAAACGTGCGGGGCGCCAAGGGCTGTGTCATCATCCAACCCTCTCAAGCTTCTCATGACCAATCTCCATATGCGCCGATGTCTCTCCTCGCTTATGATCAAGAACACACTTACCCCGCGGGAGCCCGCATGGAGCAGAGATGAAGGATGTGTGGTATATTTCGGGGTTTTGAAGAGGGACAGATGTCCTGACTTGCTCCGGGTTGTATGGTAGTCGGTCGTCTTATGCCGAAAGAAAGAGAAGAGCATCGGCGCTTGGAAGGTATATAAAGCGCCGAGTGGACGGACAGTGGCAAGAACTTGGTCTCCTTTCTCTACCTGACCTGTCTCACAGACACGTACCAGTCATATCATCTCTGCCAACAGTGGTCGTCTCATCAACCCGTAGCCCGCCTCCATCACGCCTTTCCCCTACATTCTTCCCGGACTTGAGGAACCCCACTCAGCACGCGTGTAGCTCAACGATGAGCAACACCACCATCTCCACGGCCTCTCGCTCGTCGTCGTGGTCGTCCTCCTCCGCCTCCTCCCTAGCCTTCCTCTTCGCACTCGTCATGCTCTCATTCGGAGTACAAGGAGCACAAGGTTTCATGCCTTATATGGCCTGTCGAGCAGCTTGCAATTCCGCCTACCTGAGCTGTATGAGCGTCTACGGTGGGTCAAGCAGCCACTGTCGCTCTGCTGTGGTAATTGAACATGCTCAGCCTCGAGAGCAATCTCCGGTTGGGCTTCGACTGACTCCCTTGTCCTCGCCAGGTAACATTGCGATCTGCAATATGACTGTCGCTGCGTGTTTCGCGCGATGCGGATGATCGTCCCACGGAGAAACAACCCAATCCTTCCACCTCTTCCGTGACGAAAGCAGTCCGACGGTCCTCGACGACCGACAATCCTCGGAGACCGTCCACATCGATGCCGTGTCATAATCCCAACAACTCTCAACTCTCATGGAGAAATTCACTCGCAAGCTTGCCCATTCTCCGGTTGTTACACCTAGCACAGTATGCAATTTTCCCGGATGTACTCAATATCACTGCCATTCGCGATCACCATGCATTTTGTCCCGTTGTCCAATTACGCCTCGAGTCCATAGGATAAATTGCCAAAGTTTGAAGCGCGACTGGGCATACTCAAGACACGAGCAGAAATCTGTCGATCTATTACATCGTTGACCTCGAGAGAGGGGTTGAGACCTCTCTTGAGGCGAGAGACTGCCAAATTGTTTGATAAGATTGCCATCTTCAGCGTCGTCGTCGGATGTTGGTTGTCAGACTCGTCGTCAGAAAGCTCGAAAGATGGTGTGCAGCCAGCGGGAATTCGGTGATAGATACATTGTTAATGTGGCACATACATATATCACCCTTGTCACGTGGCGAGGAATTCCGCGTGTGTTCACGCTGCTGACGCGAGTGGAGGTCGTCTACTTTGGCTGTCGAGATTTCTAGAACCACACTGAACGATTTAGACACTGACTCGTCGCTGGGAAAGCGTGTCGACTTCGCCGCAGCATGAGACTCACCATCATCGCCCCAGATAGTCTGTACGAGCACGATGTGGATCCGTCGATGGAGGTCCAGGATATCCAAGCTCTCATCGAAGCAGAGGTGAGTAAGCGTCTCGCGGGTCGCCAAGTTCCTCCCAGCATGCTGAGCATGACGCGCGTCTTTGCAGACTGGTCTTGCGTCGCCCAACTTCATCTTGTCCACCGACAATGGTGTGACCATGAATGAGGTCAAGAGGTCTTTGGGCAGCTACGATCTAAAGGGGGAGAATGGGACCATTTTCCTTACTTTCAGGTGAGCCAAGCTCTGTGCCACTGTCATCGTCCTGTGGGACGTTGCTATCTCTTCATACATCCATTCACCAAATGTGGAACAACAGAGACCTCCCATCCGCGCCTTCCGGTCCTTCGGGCTCATCCTCCTCCTCGACACCGGGCTTTCCTACAAACGACGCAGAGCTCGAGCGAATGCGCCTTCAAGCGTTGGGTGACCCGAATTTGATGCGAGAGCTCAGGCTGGTGAGCTAGGACGCACAGTTCCTGTACCCGATCTCAACTGTTCAGCGCGATCCCGAGATGGCTTCCGCCATTCAATCTGGCCGTCGATTCAAAGAGGCCTTTGAAGGGCATCAAGAGAAAATCAGGAGGGCAGCTGAAGAAAAGGACCGGCAAATTGCAGTGAGCTACTGCAATACCTCTTCTGCCACAACCTGATCATGGTCATCAGGCGTTGAATGCGGATCCGTATGATATTGAGGTGAGTCATGGACCCCTCGCTTCCACGTGCACATGCTGACCAACGCTTTGCAGGCTCAGAAGAAGATCGAAGAGGCGATCAGGATGGAGGCAGTCAATGAGAATATGAGCCACGCTATGGAGTACTCAGTGAGCTATTCATTTCCCACATGTGTCGTCAGCTCACTTCGTGGGCAGCCGGAATCATTTGGCCACGTCACTATGCTGTACATCAACGTCGAAGTCAACGGTCATCCCGTCAAGGCGTTTGTGGATTCAGGCGCGCAATCTACCATCAGTGAGTGAGACATGAAGCATGGGACCTTCCTTGACTCGTAACAGTCTCTCCTGAATGCGCTGAGCGATGTGGAATCATGAGATTGCTGGATGATCGGTTCGCTGGACTGGCAATGGGAGTGGGAACTGCTCGAATTTTGGGCCGAGTGCACTCAGCTCAGATCAAGCTCGGGAATCTGTTCCTCCCTTGCTCATTCTCGGTGCTCGAAGGGAGATCGGTCGATCTCCTCTTTGGACTGGACATGCTGGTACGTGTATCGCTGCTAATGAGAAGCGGTTGACCCCGCACAGAAACGGCATCAAGCATGTATCGACCTAGCGAGTAATGTCCTTCGGATCGGCAATGTCAGTATTCCTTTCTTGGCCGAACATGAACTGCCAGATTCAGCCCGTCGGCAAGGCGAACAAGAGATGGCTGAAGAATTGGGCGAAGCTGCCAGCGTCAAGAATGCAGCAGCCGGATCGGCAGACCCGAAATCATCATCAGCAACATCGTCGTCGTCCTCTCGGTCATTCCCCGGTGCGGGCAAAGCACTCGGATCGACACCTGTGAATCGAAACGCTACTACGGGGCCCTCGCATGAGCTCTCGTCAATGGGCCAAGGCTCCGGCGCTGGTGCTCAAGCCAGCAAGTTTCCGGAAGAGAGCATCAGTACGGTGAGTCGAGACGTCCAGAACAACGAGAGGACGAATCACTGACCTGCTTGCTCGCTCCAGCTAATCAACCTTGGAGCACCACGCGAGCAAGCTTTGTCATTACTAGAGGCCTCCAATGGGGATGTCGATGTCGCTGCGTCCATGATGTTTGGTTGAGTCACAAGCCAGCTGTTTGAATGAGTTCGCTAGCATCCAAGGCCGTGATATGTATGCATGTAGAAAGCGATGCCAAGTAGCCAGCTTATGACTTATCACCTCAGATGAACGCATACGGTAGATGGCCTCAGATATCCGCTGGCCTGTTTCTGTCGGCTGCCACACTATGCAACCAAGGAATGATCATAATAATGACCGAGGTCGTGTGAGCGAAAAGGGCGATGATGAATTCCTCGTCGGTGATGGCCGATGACACAAAGCTGTTTGTAATGCGAAAATACTAATGAGCATTAGGATTTCTTTTGTCTCCCCTAATGGACCTTGTTACGTAACCGTCATGACATACCCCAGGGCTTGGCGCGCAGCTCTCGGACACATTACGAAGGGAAAAAATGAACAAAACCTCGCTCCTCTCTTTATCAATACGACTTGTACATATCTACAGAGATAACATCAACAGCATCGAGTGGGGGCCAGACACTCTGTGCAGACCCATTCATCTCTCTCTTCCTGCCCTCTTTATCCCACTGGACCATCCCGTATGGGCTCTCTACTCCCCCATAACACCCTGTTCACGCGGTCGTTCACTCGGACATCGTCACCTCCGCAGCTCAGTACTCGGTCCTCCCGTTCCTCTTATACATCATACCGTCGATACTTTATCCCATTCATCTGTCTATCCGTCCTGATCTTCTACGAGTGCTGGGTCAGACACCTCCAATCTCAGCTGCACACAGCTCGTTCATCCCAACAAGTCGTCTTTATCGGCAATGGAGCCCCTCTCGGAGAAATACAACATGGCTCAGCTTCCATCAAGAGATTGAGGAATGCCTATGCGTTTAAACGGAGACGCGAAGACCTCGTCAAGAGACTACCAGGTCCTCTCATTGGCCAGATAGTTCCGGATGATGTGTCCACTGGGTCGAACGAAGCAAGTGGGACTTGGCTCAATGTCCCTCATTCTCAAGTGGAGATAATCGGGTCTTGGCTCAATGGAGTTTTCCAGATCAACAAAAATGACAATCGTTTGGCTAGGACCGGTCTGAATTGGACCATGGACGATGAGGAAAGGTTGAACGCAGAGGTGGATAGTCATTGGCCAGCTTGGTGGGCCAATGCGGACAAAGTGGCCAGCCCATGGGATTACAAACCCAGAGATAGAGAGGAACAGGTCAGGATGTTGTTCTTGACTGGTGAGTCGTTCTCCTTAGCTTCCTGTGCCCTCGGCTCACAAAATGTGCAAGACTATAAAGACTATCTTGAGCGAATGAACTCCCACACTTATGAAATCGTCGATGGTATGTACCAAAACATTGCGCGACTTCACACCACTGACAATCTCCCCCCAGCTGCATTACGTATACCATACCTCAAAGTCGACGTCTGGGGTCCTGGATGGGCAGGATACAATCGGTCTTTATCCGTTGCGGCAAACGTCAGGAGGAGACAGTGCAGACTACAACAGCAGGCGCTGTCAAAGGCGAAGAGAATGGTCGATCAGGTGCCTCTCGCTGCTGGTCAAGCATTGAGTAGTCAGTCTGGCATTGAGCATAGGCGAACGATGGTCACTGCTGATGCCACGTATCAGGATATGCTCGGGAAGAGGAGAGAGACACAGATACTGCCATTGACGAGCTCATGTCGGAATCCGAAGACCTCGATTGCGGATGTACGGACAAGAGCTTTGATGTCGTTTGGACTATCTCGTAGGATATCACCATCAAGTCACTGAGTACCGTCCGCTGACCCAATCCATACCATAGCGATATTTTCTCTCGTCACGATCCATTGCTCGGTCCGTTGGATTGTGGATCCCTCCTTGTTCAGTGAGACAACTGCCAAATTCGTCGACCCACGCTCACACGCTCCCTTCCAGACAAATTGGTGACTGCCACAATTTGGTCTGCTTCAACGAATGGTACCCATATGCGAACAACATCACCCTTTCCAAGTACGCCTTTGAGATTGCGGAGATCTTTGATCATGTCAAGGTCAAGGAGAGATATCCAGGGTACGAGATGGGCATTTTTGGACACAGCCCAGACTCTGTGGGTTTAGCACTTCCTTTGGCTTGCCGGAACTTACACGTGTGCTCTAGGGCAATGAATGGGACTTCTATCCCATGCCTTGGTCTGAGAAACAGGCCAACGTCACTGTCTTTGGGTATCAGGGCTCTTGTGAGTGTCTGAGGGTGTTACCGCGACATTTCACACTGAAATAGTACTGCCAGTCTATCCGATCCGATTCACTGTCTCTTTCAGCTTGGACTACGATCCTGTGCCATGGATACGGAAGCACCCGCATCCAGGCTACACCATCGATCAACAGGATGAAGCCTTTAAATATCCATTGGAGACGTACACTCGGGAACATAAATATTACGCGGCTCAGGAAAGGATACGAAGGGAATTCGCCCAAAGCATGAGAGAGTCTCAGATCTGTCTCTTTGATGCGAGTCTGGAAAAGAAGATGATCCGCAAGGTGCGCTGGAACCGTCCTAGAACCTTTCTGACGACAAATCTGACTGATGCCTTCTTCAGTTTGCCCAAGCGCTACTCAGTGGCTGTGTGATCGCTGCAGACTTGCCCACCGAGCAGGAGCAAGCCCTTTCACGGTTCGTCATCCCTTTATCTGCCTCTTGGGATATGTCAAGGATACAACAAGAGCTCTTGTGGTACTTGGAGCGGCCAGAGAAACTGGAGCAAATGGCTCTTGACGGTTTCGTCTACGCTCGGCAACACTTGACCACGACGTAAGTCGAAGGATCTATCACTGCGTGAATTTTGACTTACCGCTCTGATCTCAGGCGCAAAGTCGACGATGTCGTTCGAATGTCTGAAGAGCATCGCGCTGGCGTTCGAGGCTATGACTGTGAGTTGGACATGCGCCGTGATCCTTGGAGGAGAGCTGACAGAGGTCCGATAGTTCCCTTCGGGTTCTCGTCAAAGTGCCGAAGGTACTGGAGTGATGACGATTCCTATCGACCGTGAGTTGGACCACTACCCCTGACATGGAGAAAGTCGCTGACTCTATATGCAGTCCGTGGTGTACATAGTGTATCGAACCTCGTTGGCGATAGTGTGCACGCTCAGCCTTTCGACAGGGTAGACGGTCGGTCCTCCAACATCGAGGTATCAATCTAGCTTCGTGCGACCCGGATTCTCGGACGCTGTCCGGAACCCGCAATCTCGTTTCCAGTATTGCACGGCCTTGTGGCTCGACGCACCGGTGTGTGATCATCTTTTGGTAAATTTACTTGTAGCTCTGTGTCCTGCCGTTGTAGTAGTATCAATCCAAAGATATGCAATGTATTCATAATCGATGCCAATGCATCAGGGCATAACGCTGACAGTCTTTGGTCCGCGCTCCATGCTTACCATCCCTCGTCAATCTTTGCGTCTTCATCTGGCGCAGGAAGCCAGAAGGACTGGTATGGGAGGAACAAGGTATTAGTTTGAACAACACCAAATGCTGCAACGGGCCCAAAAAAATGACACTCACCAACTCTTCGCCACCTACAATCATCACGGCGAATCTAGAATTGAACCTGACACATCTAGAAGCCGCCCTGGTCTCTTCATCGCCCGTTCCGCCGGGTCTCACGACACGGGAAGGTAGGAGCGTCTGAGCAGGTCGGTTCTTTCTTGAATCCACTGGATCATTATGCGCTCCTCCATCTTTGATTTTTTCTGTTCCAAGGTCCCAGATACACACACTTCCGTCCGCTGAACCACTCATGACGTATCTCGAGTCTGAAGAGAAGCATACCTCTTCTCCACTCGCGAATTTGCCTAACGGTTTGTGTCCTGTTAATCGACGGAGAATCACCACTTCGAACGCATCGAGAATGTAGTGAGCTTCATCGGATGTCCCGAGGAGAATGTAGTCTCCATTGTTGGAAAAGGCAATGGACGTAAAGGTCGGTCTCGGGGGAGGTGAAGAGATATGGTTGAGTGCTACGTCAATGATCGAGGCGGTCGCGAATGGTTTCTGAACAGCGCGGTGTCAGCCGCAGCTAAAGACGAGCTCGGTCGAACGTCGCACTCACTGAGTCCATCGTACTCTTATCGTATAACGCGACAGATTGTAAATCTGTACATGCCACTCCGAAGACCAGACCGGTATTGTCGAACGCAGCGATGACCGATCCCCCCATATCGTTCAGCACACCCTGGAGTGAACGTAAGAAGAAGCAAGGGGGGTTTTCCATAAGCAGCAGCAAAAATCTCACTCACCACTGCCTCTCCTGATGTCAATCTCAGGTCCCAGACTCTCACTGTTCCATCGTCTCCAGCGGAGATGAACTCGTCATTATGAGGATTCAAGTGCAGCGAGCGGACCCTGTGGAGGATGGTCAGTCGAACATCATCGATGTCTGGCCCTTTCTTCATCGATCCTCCACTCACTTGCCTGTATGTCCCCGGAAATACGTCAAATATTTGTTATCATGTGGTGATTGATACCGTATCGTGTGATCCAGCTTGGTAGACGCATGCAGGATATTGCCCTTGTGTGTAAAGCGAGCGAGAGCCACGCCATACTTTTTCGAGTAAAAGTTTTTGAGCTTCCTGGAAGGCAACACGAATCAGCTCATGATTTGATATTTTCTGAGAGCGGCGAGCTCATTGTGCCCTCCCCTACTCGCAACCATCGCTCACCTGCCCTTTTTCATGTCCCAAATGACAAAACCTTCATCTTCTCCTGATGTTAAGGCTTTTTCACCCGTATCGTCAAAGGCTATACTGATGATTTGAGGGACAGTACTGCTGGAGCTTGGGGACGAACTTCCCGCATTTGATGAAGATCGATCCAGAGCTTCAGGGAAGACTTTGGCAGGTTTCAACCGGCCCTGAAGAGAAAAGAGCAAGTTTCAGCTTGGCTCGAGCAGTCTTACATGATTCCAGGTCGTCCTTGTCACTCAGGATAGGGGTCTAGAAGTTGCATGCATCTTCACTCACCAGCAAGTCTATGGTCAGAGGAATCTTACCAGGAGGCGCCGCCTGCTTGGACGAGGAAGCGATAGGTTGAGGAGTGGTCGTCATGTCTAGCTCTTTATATGTACAGTACTGGTTCTTGCAGAGACGCAACTTCTGATAGCGTCGGACGATCTCTGACAGCCTTCGAGAGCACTTTCACCTAGCTCATCGAAGTTTCAAGTGTTGTAGCTGAGTGAAATGTTCTCGTTCAAGAACAATCGCACTCGTACAGAGTCTCGCGTTGACGAACCTGTTATCCGACGATTTTCCGAACACGTGGCGTCGGCAGCTTTCGTCCGTAAAAGTCATGCATGGGCTCTTAATATCGACATGCAATGAACCTCAACATGGCCTTATTGGGCCAGCACTACGTCGTGTGCAAGTTGACGGTTCCAAGTCGTATCTGGATAGCATCTGGCTCCGGTAGTGGCCAGTGGATACCCACTCCCTCGCATTCAATCCCACATTTGTTAAACTGGCATCAGCATATTCTCCTCGGCAGCATACAATCAGTATAGCGTCCCAATCCGCTGCAATGCCTTGATAAGGTGGTTCGGCTATCACAGCTGTAACTCTCTCCGCAGCATTGAACCTTTGATCTCGTTGCCGATCTCTAGATCTCATGGAGCCCACAATGGATACCACGACCCGATGTTACCATTCGTCTACAGCGGGAACGTCACGCAGTTGGGGGATTGCTCCTGCTCCACTGGCGATTCTGAGCTGTCAGTTACGATTATAGACAGACTCCGCAACGTGTCGCCGAGGTCAGATGCTCAATAGGCTCAAGCTGCTCACGCTCGTGCTCCAACGTACCTGATTCGATCATAACTGTTCGCCGAAAGCCGAATCCCCGAACTCGTCGAGCGGCTTTCTAAGACCATGTCGATCGATTTTGTAGATCCCTATCTCACTTATTATTAGCAGAAACTTGCTCCGACGACTCGGCCATGACTATGCCACTTGCTCAAATGGGGCAATTGGATGATCCCCCAGACCAATCGTTATCTTTACTCCAGCCGTGACGCTGAGATGCTCGTCGGGGACAGTACATCTCAACGCCGGATCCTTGAGTGAAGCTTATCGATCTTTGCGTGCTGATCAATTGGGCTCCTCAGGCTGGAGGTCCTGATAATCATGTATACACGTAGTAACTTCGGCCTCGTGTGCATATAGCTTTACCGACAGTCCCGATAAGGCCACAACCTTGGATTGACACACACTCACACTTCCACCCCCGTGGGATATATATAGGATCTTCCAAGGACATGATTGAATTCTGATTTACCAGATCTCACCTTCATCACATTTCAGAGAAGCTTCCACTCATTGCTCCTACCACCATGCTCAGCCTCATCTACGCTCTCATCGCCTCGAGCAGTCTTCTTGCCAATGCCTCACCAATCAACGCCAACCGAACGGTCAAGCTCCCGACCTATGACCGGCACCCTGCAGCGATCACCAAGCGAGAGGGGTGTGGAGATACCCGATCTTCCAACTACCCTATTGTATCGATGAGCGATCAAAACCCAGGCAATGGAGACCCACACCAGAATTATTGGCACGTCCAACTTTCCGAAAGCATTACCTGTTCGCAGGATGCCGGATGCCAGGTCGGCCAATCTCAGACGACCTCTATCACGGTCGACTGGTCCCTTGCTTCGGCAGCAGACATCACTGAATGGTTCACTGCTGGATTTGACGTATCGGAATCGTGGACCACTGGAAACTCTTATACTTGTGATGGCAATGCTGGCGAAACAGTCTGTATCTGGCAAAATGTGGCACATACCGCGGTACGTCGAAGACAGGTCTTTGGCCATGGGAGCACGCGCATGCTGACCCGAAGTCGCGCATAGTACTCTGTCATGGAGGAAGAAATCAACAACTGTGTCGGCGTCACCAGTTCCCATGCTGGAGTCATCCGTTCCCCCAACAGTAACAACCAAGGAGGTGGATTCTACTGCGTCGTCGGCACTTGCGGAGATCAAGGAGATGGATATTGGGAAGCTGGCTGCGCTGGCGGACCTCAGAAGAACTGTGGTAATGGAAATGTCATCTCATAAGACGGCTCGGTCCGCCGAGGCAGTTTGTATCGCTATAGCGGGCTTTCAAGCCCTTCAGACATTAGCGCTGAGCCTTTGTACTGTATTTGTTAGATAGCGAAAGGAGAATGAGAGACCGTTATCGTCTGCCACTCAGACAATTGGTAAAGATGCCTTTGCGACCCACTGAGCTGGACAAAAGTACTGCTGAATAGGTGCGAATTGGAGCAGGAAGCGTTGCAGTCACTGGAACGTAATATACGATCGTATTAGCTCATAGAGTCGTTGAGGGATGCGGGAAAAGCTACACTGGCCTGTACAGTGCGACGAATCAGCTAGATCTCCGGCTTGCCGGGTGAAGGCTCTAGCTCACCACAATTTGGCTTCTTGAAATCCATGAACGATCCGCTGTAGTTCGCCGACCTCAATGCGCGGATGAAGAGGTTTGAAGCCCAGTATGCGTCTAGATTTTGATCCGTCTAGACAAATGGCGTGTTCTAGCAGGTGTATGTGAGCATGTCGTGTTTCTCATTTTCGGAAGATGAAGGCACTGACTCCTGAAAGCGTGCTCATCAAGATAGGGTGTGATTGGAGACGATGCGATGGGGGTCGAAGACTTTGCGAGCATGTTTGACCAGGCCTCGACGTGCTGCAGTCCCCGTGAGCTCAAGGTGGACGATGAGGAAAGCTCGCTGACCTTTTCATTAACGTCCTCGACCATCTCCAGAAAATCTGTCTAATAGATGACATCAGTTCAAGGAAGAGCCTAAGACGCTGACTTCGCGCTTCTCACCTTTGCGAACTGCTGTACTAAGCTCGCCACGGTCGAATTGAGAAACCCATACTTTATGTCCCAGACTCCCGCCACGGCCTTTGCCAGAGCCTCCTGTGTTGTGTCACCATCATCGATGACATTGAAAAGCGGTAGCGTGACCGGTATCTGCTCCGGGATGACAGACTTGACCGTCTTCCAAATCTCTGATACGCTATTGCGCTTGTTGGCTCCGAGAGAGAATGTAGAGGTTGGTGGATTAGAGAATGAGAAGGGGATCTCGACACCGGATTGAAGAATGACTTTTTCTCTAGTTGTTGAAAGGAGATAGAGTGAGAGAAGGTACAGGGATTGAGCTACGTCGATAGCGTGGACGCAGTGTATTCGGAGATCAGAGCTGAGGCGAGCAATACTCAGCAACCTTGAAAATACTGGGTTCCGCACAGGGCCAGTCTTGAAGCTCACTTGTGTAAGAACTTCATCTCTTCGTTGAGGCTCTTGTAGACATGCCCCACAACGAGCCGTGGAACGACTGTCTCTTCCCATATCCCAGGTCCGTAAAAGGCTCCAGATCTGACAATGTGCCTTGTCAGTCTTGGTCACGGAAAGAAAGATTGGCCAGCTGACCGTATGACACCGGTGTTGAGCCCCTGAACCTTCCCAATCCCTCTAAGCGTTTCATGCCACCACCTCCCTCTGACCCCATCCGGCCTCAATTCTGCAGATTCTGCATGTCCAGCCGAAGACCCAGATAATGACTTCATCTCGTAGAAAGGGAACGTCAATCGAACGTAAGCTTTTGGTTTGTTCGCGAGACCAGCAGCTGACTGGGCGAGCGACAGAGCTAATTGGTAAGTATTGGAGATTTGCAGCTGAAGAAGGTTTCAGAATGGGACAAGCAGACGGACAAGAATGGGCTCACCAGCTCCGGTTTATCGAATGCCGTCTCACCAGTCAAATCGTACACCACGTCAAAGGCCTTGTGATTGATGGTTCTCCCTTTCCAATCTGTGGGCGGAGTGAAGACTTCTTGATGCCTTTCGGCGTTGACAAGGTTGACTTGCTTGTACTCCAGTGAGCCTTCAGGTGCAACCAATAGGTCCAGGAAGAATCGGTCAAGGTATCTGTTATCTATTGAGCGAGCCCACTACGCATTCAGTACTCGCTGGCATACGTCGACGGAGGGTGGACAGAAAATCTATCCGCTGTGGAATGTGAGCATCAGGGTGTCATTGGGATCGACAAAGCTGATCACCTATGCGCACAAACTGGTCTCAATCTTAGCTGAGGGGGACTTGCGAGAGCTTAGCTCACCGAAGCTTTTCTCTCGTCATTGTCCAGGAGATACCCCGCCAAAGTCCTCGCCACTGTCGTAGTTCCACCTATCAGGAGATTAGTCTCTGAAGAGGGAATGGCATCACCTAATATCAGTACGACCAAGGGTTTCTCGGGACGCTTGAGCTTATCAGACATGACCACTCTGTAGCTGTGGATGTGAATTGAGTGAACAATGTCAAAGTGAACAATCGGAATCTAAAAGGTATGTCTGGCACACCTTCAAGACACTCGGATCTCTGTAACGGGGTGCACAGACCCACGGACCTCCTCTGCTCATAGTCGACGTTCATAGGCATCTATGGTGCTCACATTCACGCGTGTATTAGCATGCACACATAGCTTAGATAGCTGGAAGACTTCCTTCTTTCCTCTGAGCTTCGGCAAGAGCTATCATCTCTCATCTAGACCGGTTGGCACATGACAAGGATGTTGAAAAAAGAGTTCAAGTGATACAAAGCCGGAAACTGGAGCGGGTAAATTGAGATTCGCTGGTCCTTTTCATGGCTTTGGATTTCAAGGCGCCGTGTGCAACGGACGACAAGTCGATGACTCAACAGCGGGACAACAATCAGAGATCAGTAGACCTGCCAATGAGGTCTTAATCCAGCTGACGCAATGGCAAGTTGAGATGCCAATCCAATGGAGATGTGCTCCTCTGATGCTGCTGTCCGACAACAACCACGGACTTCACACAGCACACCATGCGTGACGTTCACTTTCCAAATAGGTTCTCTTTCGGACACCGATGCATTTCAGACCAGAGAAGCATGTCTGCTGCTGTCTCCGTCTCGGTTCCTTCCGCTATCTCACACTCCCAATGCCCACAATTCCAGTGCCGTGCTCTCTCTAGTGGTGTCCAGTCTTGTGGTGACGCAGGTGGACTATAATGTCATGAGCGCAATTCGACTTCAATGCCAGATGAAGGCAGCTCACGGTAGTAGCTGATAGAGTATCCCATGACGAACATTCCGACAACGGTGTATCCTAAAGCGGTACTAGGTCGAGTCAGTATGGCTGATTCTGAAAACCTGTTTTGGAGAGACAAGCATGACGATCCGTTCTCGACCGAAGGAGAGAAGATTGCTAAAATCAACGACATGGCATTTGACTGACACGGAAGCCAAGACAAGCCGTATGTCAAGGGCCAGACAACGCCATCCTCCAATCGGGTCGTCATTCGTAACTCCAGACCACACACCTCCTCCACAGACCTTCGCTGACTCACCCTCTGGCCTGGTTGAAGTATTTGTTCTTGATACTGTTGTTGTAGCTAGCAGAAGCGCTTCCCTTGGGTAACCGAGAGTAGAATTCAACAACGTTGGCAGTTCGAGCAGAGGTGGATCCAGATGACTGAAAAGCGGGAGATCAGACTATTGGTCGGAGATCCTATACTCACGACGGCTCCAGGAGTCGCTATTTTAGGAGGGATGAGAGCTCCCAACGAGCGTCTAGCTACAGAGGCGTGCATCGTGGACGGAGTAGGATCAGTGAATGATGCACCTGCTATAGTAGCCTAGAAGCAGAGAGGCCTGACTTGGGGAGCGAAGCGCCAGTTGATATCGCCGGGAATTTCCGGAGAGTGGCACATGAATGAATTGGGGGAGGGACGGAATTCTGAACCTCCACACCTGAGCTTCCTGGAAATTTCAAAGATATCATCAATTCATTAGATAGATAGATAGCTGATCTCGGACCACACTTTGGAAGCTTCCTGCAAGAAGAACATTCGTCGCATCATGTCACCGCCTGCTGATATCAAGGGTAGAAAGAGAGAGTCTGGGGCCGCTCGAGTATTGGGTTCAGGAACTTCTGGTGAGGCGATAGCGCCGTGTGTGGCCGGTTGAGACAGATCAATGAATTGACGAGGTATGAACAGGTATCGCCGAGTTGCTGGTCTTCCACCCAGTCGTGAGTTTCACAGGGCCATGGCATCTTGACTGTGTCCATGATCCTATGACACAGGGCCAATATCAGGGTTCTCGCTGACGATCGCTTTGCTCGTCCGTAGGACACAGTCGCTAAACGACTCATGTCTAATCGAACCAACGTCTCATTCGGAAACCTTAACACGATCATCTTCAAATCCGCTGCTCAATCCCCAATCCACCAAAAGTTCTTGTCTCTCTTCCCCGGTCTAGGATATGCAGCGGGCTACAAGATCGCTCAGAGGGTGTACAAATTTGGTGGACAGCCGTATTTCAGAGATTTGATCGATAAGAACGGTGGAGATTACTTTAGAAATACATTTGGAAAGAAATGGGGCGGATTGATGATGCACGCCACGGCTGGAAGGTGAGCAGGCGCTGCTTCGTGAAATGCGGGGGTATCGTGCTGATGTCGTGGACCCAGTTTGACAGGAATGGGCGAAGTGGTCAGTCATTGGAGATACTTGTGATAAGCCTTGACCTGACTCCCTCCTAGGTCCTGTTACCGCTCGATGTGCTCAAGATTAAAATGCAAACTAATCCTGATGCTCTTCGTGGTCGTGGATTCTTCCGCCTACTCTCTGAAGAGGGTATTGGATCGCTGTACAAAGGTTGGGGATGGACCATTGCTCGAAACGTCCCGGGCAGTTTCGCCGTGAGTCGACCAGTGAAAAGCCTTGGACGTCGAGCTGAGCTCTTCATCTTAAGCTGTTCGGAGGATCAGCCGTAACGAAAGAGTACTTGTTCCACCTTGAAGACTACTCGAGCGCCACTTGGGGTCAGAGTGAGTTACCAGCAGGAGAATCTTGCCCCCCTGCAGTTGACTCACGCGCACGGCAGACTTTGTCGCTTCCATTACTGGTGCCGTCGCTTCCATCACTGTCGCCTCTCCTCTCGACGTCGTCAAGACACGTATACAGAATGCCAACTTTAACTCTAGCGAAGGTGGATTCGCCATCATCCGGGAAATGGTCAAGACGGAGGGTGTCTCAGCTTTCTTCAAGGGGTTGACACCAAAGGTGGGAACATGGAGCACCAAGCTACAGAACAGCACACTGACATTTCCTTGCCTTCAGATCCTCGTCGTCGGACCCAAGCTCGTGTTCTCGTACACTCTTGCCCAGAGTCTGATCCCCTTCTTTGGCAAATACGGTGAGTGAACGCGGTCTGACAGAAATGGACCTACGATTGACAAATATGTTGCAGTATAAGCACAAAAAGGCATCAAAAGCATCCACACCGCCCACGACAAGAGTACCGTATCATACGCTGCCTTCCGGTCCTTGGACCGATAGATTCGTCACACCTTAACGACCACCCAGTCTCCCTTCCGAACGGCCCCCCTCTTTTCAACTACGATATCCTGTGATATAATGGCAAAGCAAGAATGACTCTACCCGGGCATCATCGATTGTACCCCATTCACCGCTCTAGACCGGACCTGCAATATTTATGCATGCCCATTCCTGTAGATTGGTTTCAATTGCATGGATGGCGTCAGATGATCCATCTCTCTGTCCGCCGGATCTTGGCCAATAAGCGGTCGAAGACCAAATATATATTGACACTTTTCCTAATCGCTTATTTCCCCCCCCTCTCTCCCCCACTGGAAATTTACCAAATTATTATTATCACTGCTACTCGTCACCCTTTTGTCGTATCTGGTTGGCTCGCCTTTTGACATGCTCACAAGAGGTTTCCAGACTTTAGTCTCTTCATCGTCCAGCAGTATCAATCGCATAGCTCAGAGAAGCATGGTGAGCGTAGCTCTGCACAACCTAGAAACACTGTCCCGCTGACACTGGGTCCTTGCTTCTCCCTAGTCCACTCAATCCGTTTACATTGTTTCAGCCTCACGGACACCCGTCGGATCCATCAACGGGTCGTTATCGACTCTGAGTGCTCCTCAACTCGGAGTTGTGGCTGTCAAACATGCTCTCGAGAAGGCTGGTGTCAAACCGGATCAAGTCGAGGAGATTTACATGGGAAATGTGGTTCAAGCTGGTGTTGGGCAAAGTCCAGCGCGTCAAGTCGGCTTGGGAGCAGGGTGAGCCGTCAGAAAATGACATGCACTTTTGTCACTGATTGATCCTCCAACCTCAGCATTCCCGAATCTACCGACGCGACTACCATTAACAAGGTCTGTGCTTCTGGAATGAAGTCTATCACTTTGGCTTCTCAGGCTATTCAGCTTGGTCAGCGGGGAATCATGGTGGCTGGAGGTATGGAGAGCATGTCGAATGCACCGTGAGTGTTTTGGATTGCACACCTCAGTCACTGACGCCTTGCCCTCCAGCTTCCTTGTTCCCCGACGAAACCCTGCTTTTGGCAACATGGAAGCCAAAGATTCTCTCGTGTCCGATGGATTAAACGACGTCTATCACAAATTCCCAATGGGCAATTGCGCCGAAAACACTGCCGAAAAGCTTTCCATCACTCGGGAAGACCAGGACGATCATTGTCTATCATCTTACACTCGGGCAGAGGAAGCGTGGTCAAAAGGCTTGTTCAAGGATGAAATTGCTCCGGTCACCGTCAAGGGACGTAAAGGAGATACCGTGGTGGAAGAGGACGAGGACTACAAGAAGCTGTTAAAGGACAAGTTCAGGAACCTCAAAGGAGCCTTCAAGAAGGAAAATGGAACAGTCACCGCTGCCAATGCATCTACGTTGAACGATGGTGCCAGTGCAGTCGTTTTGGCTAGCGGAGATGTCGTCGAGAAGGAGGGATTGAAGCCAATCGCCAAGATTCTGGGTGAGCACTGATTGGTCTGTCAACGCACGGTGGGATTCCCCTAACGTCATCGACCACAGGCTATGCCGACGCCGCTTGCGCACCTATCGACTTCCCTACCGCTCCTACCCTTGCCGTCCCTATCGCTCTCAAGAACGCCGGGGTTTCCAAAGACGACATCGCCCTCTGGGAGTTCAATGAGGCTTTCTCAGTCGTCGCCGTCGCAGCTGAGAAAGTCCTCGAATTGCCGAGGGAAAAGGTCAATGTTAGAGGTGGTGCCGTTGCTCTGGGACACGTAAGCATCACAGCATACTCTCGCCTCGAGCTTTCGTACTGATTAGCCCCGTTCTCAGCCCATCGGATCCTCAGGTTGCCGTATCGTCGTCACACTCGCCCACGCGCTCAAGAAGGGCGAAAAGGGTGTCGCTGCTGTGTGCAACGGTGGTGGTGCCGCTACTGCCATTGTCATTGAGCGTGTGTAGATGGTGGGCAGCGCGTTCGCCTAGCCTCTTTAAAAATTTCTCATGACAGTTCATGACACTACACTTGTGATTAGACCATGCATCGAGTCTTTGTCATTTGTCGTGCGGTCGCGCTAGCGGCACCCCTTGTCATGTTGTGTCACGATACTTGTATCACACCACTCTTTGGCAACTTGAGATCACGGCAAAACGACTAGTCTCAGATTCACACCGCAGCATCAATACACGGATCCATAAATTGTTCTGATTGGGCTACATGGAGTATTTGTGATGTGACTACAACCAAGGTGCGTGGGGAACAACTCATAGAATCTATACAACATTTCCAGTGCTTGCTGTGAACGCTCCAATGATGAACCGGTAATACTTTTCCCCTAACTCTGTCTTCCAAACTCAGACCAGATCTCCATAGACTTGGCAGTACGACGGAGGTAAGTGCACCTCTTTCGGACGTCTGCTCTGCCTCCATCCGGCGATAGCAGCAGATCCATTACCGGTCTGCGAATCGGTATGCTGGATGAACGTGGTACCGCGGGACAGTGCGGTTGGACGACTGCTGGATTCGCTGTTCTCCTGAGACCAGCTGCGGTCGGTAGATTGTGAAATGATGGAATCGTGTCGGGAGGGCATGGTAGACGAAAAGGCAGTATGGGAAGAGTAAGTGGGCGCGGGTGAGTTTGTGACTGTAGAAGGGGAGGAAGTAGGCATTGAGGAGCCGTGTGTACTTGATACAGCTGCTCTCGTATCCAGAGTCAATAATGGTCTCGGCGTAGTAGGGGACATTGACGAGTCTGTGGTTGAGTCTGTGGTTGCAGTCGGACTAGTCGCTGAGAATCGACCATGAGAAATATTAGACCACCAAGTCTCTGCGGTCCCAAGCGTCAAGGGCGAAGCGACGGACAAAGTGGTCGTGGTCGAATTCACATTCGTCCGGATCCCAGGGATGTCGAAGCGTCGATTCGGCCTGTTGACGGTATAAGCAGGGTGATTGAAAGGATTTTCGGTCGAAGCAGTTCCAGACTCCATTCGCTCGGAGATAGTGTCCATTGATCGCGTAGACAACGTCCGAGTGATACTCGACCCATCCGTCGCTACCATGTCATATTCTGAATCATCAGATCCCCATTGTGTGGAAGGGGCTCGAGTATTGCGTACAACGGTCCTGGGTGGTATTCGGGGAGGATTGACAGTGCTTCCTGAGATGACCACGGCAGAAGCTACATCATCCGTTGTCAAATCTCCTCCGAATAATCTTCCGGGTGTCACCATGCCATTTCGGATTTGGGACATTTGACGAGATCCTCCATCGGTCATCGTGGTTGGGGAGGATGTCGTGGGTGATTCTCCTTCTCGGTTCTGACGCTTGTACTTGCTAGCCAATTTTTTGCGCCTGATACATCTGTAGAGAATGACAAGGATGGTAATGGCTACCAACATTCCCACGCCGAAAGAGACCCAGATGATGATGGCCTTTCTTGTCTCTCCGTGTGCTGGGACTGAAAAGTCTGAAGGATTGACCTGAGGATCTTCTGTGCTACTAGGTGGTGGCGTGGGCACCGAGGCCGAAGCGTCAGATAATGGAGAAGGCGAAGTCGTCAAGGAAGAGGTCGGAGTAGGTGTAGGTGTTGATGGTGAGGCTGAAATGAAGTATGAATCGATGGTAAACCCAGACGATGGGAAGGTACTATGGATCCATGTGCCAGAAGGTGTCGACGCTGAGGGCGATGATGAAGAAGACGAAGAAGAGGTTTTAAACGGGTCCATGGCTGAGGTGAAGTAACTTGGGTATGTCCAGGGACTAGTCGATGTCGTCGTTGGACTCACTGTCCATCCGCTGGCCAGAGTCGGCATGTGGATGTCCACTGCGCAGCGAAGAAAAAGTGGAGTCAAGAGATGGGGCCGGCCCAAAAAAGTTGTGAGTATTTACGTAATGTTCATGTGCTGCGAAAATGGTGCCTAGCTTAAGGGTGAAGGAGGATTCGATAGCATGCTGAAGCACCGCCGTGCCAGTAGGTGAATGAGCGCCGACAGGACGTCCATCAAGATGATTGCTCAATGACCTTCCTCCCGGATCTATTCGCTTCAGGCGCTAACACATACATAGTCCTATGATATCCGCAATCCTCCCTTACTCGGTCCAATCCTTGACTGGATCCACAGAGTTGACCCTCTTGACGACCAAGGGCGTCCCATCCGTCCCTTCCAGCTTATCGACCTCTTGCCTCGATATACCTAGCGTCGAAGCCATGGTCTCATGAGGGACACCCACAATGGTCGATTTAAACCCTATATCCTGAGGCATGGGCTGATCGAAAAAGATGCAGAAATGAATATGATCACCGCCTTCAGGCAGTACCTCGATCTGGTGAGGGTAAGCCGGGGGGATATAATACGTATCCCCAGGTTTAAGCGTGTATGTATCGGTCGAGCCATCCGGGTCGAGGATTGTCATTCGAGCCATGCCCTCGTGAACGTAACCCATTTCAGCGGTGATAGGGTGCCAGTGTGGCTCTCGCATTCCTTTATCTTCCACTCGAATGGAGTACATTGCCAATTGAGTCAAAGCTGGCCAGAAAGATTGCTTTGCTTGGTGAACTTCGACCACTTCACCTTTGAGATTCGGGGCTGTCCCTTCCGCGTCAAACTTGTGAGGATCCTTTTCGGAATGGAACTTGGGGTATTCGACAGGTCCATTTCGTGGGATAATGTGTCTGTCTTCGGTCGACAGGTTGACATGATCAAGAGCTTCCGTAGGAACGTTCCAGGTATTACCCAGTACAGCGTGTGTCATGGCTCCGAAAGAGGCTCCGAGCGAAAAGTCTTCAGGTTTCTCACTCCTGAAACAAATGATAAATTCTGCGGGCTCTGTATCCGACACGTTTTCGATATGGTGCAAGCTTCCAGAGTCGACGTAGAACATTTGACCTTCAGATACCGTGAAGCTGGAAAATTTGGAATGGGTATCGGTGATATTGACCAAAGCAGATCCTTTGAGACAGTACGTCAGTTCTGGGGTATTGGCGTGCCAGTGTGGTTCGCGAATCCCTTTGCCCTCTAGGATCAACCGCTTCATGGACATGTTCCGGCCTTTGAGGATTGGGAAACTATCCACAAAAGCTCGTTGCATCGACCCATAGTCGGATCTGAAGAAAGGTTCAGAATCCTTCAGGTGGAATACGTGCTTCGAGTTGGGTGCAGCTGCCATGGCGTGGGGTATGGCAATGGTGGTCAAAAGCTGGTCCAGGCTGATATGCTCGTCTTAGCAAGAGCGCAATGATATATGAACACAAGATTTATCTGGTCGATGACGCAAGAAGACCGACCAGATGTTCCCCACGAAGCTGCTCGCCTTCCCCTGTCCCTTGTCCGCCCTCTTCTCTGACCCAGTTCAGATAAGGATCTTGTCCGTGTTGTGTAGTGTATACGCACGACCTCGCTACCCAAAGCTCTAGGGTCCGAAAAGAGGCGCTGCTCCGCCTTGGGATCTACACAGTCCTCAAACTTGACCCGAAACGTCATTGGCTTATGGAAAGCCGTCCAGTGCACAAGTCGTCAGTCCCCGAGAGGCTAAAATACAGAGAGGTCGCCGGGTACCCGAGGTCTGAAGTCCGAGGGCAAGTCTGGATCTCATCTTTTTGCAATGATATGTAAGCTCAAGATATGGAAGCACATCACGGCGCGCAGATCGTCGAGGCGATCCACCAGGGCTGGACGATGCCACTGCGTCTGTTGCTGTACAGGGCGGGCCACGAAATGTACTGTACCGTCCCTTGTCGTTGTTCGGAAGCAGACCACCAAGGTCTAGCGTCATCACTGTCCCAAAGTCAGTTTTCTAGGGCTGAACGTCAGCGCCAAGGCTTTGGCATAAGAGACAATTAATTGCGTACTTCCTTCCAAGTAGATTCCGCCCAGGGAAATACAGCGATCTCGTACCCTAGATCTGGGATACAAAACTGATAAGCACCCGATCAATTGTCATCCAATGTGGCCGGTGGGAGAACTTTGCCTTCTTTGCTGCAGTAGCCCGTCATCCCCTGGAGCCATCTACTGAGCTCGGGCCTGATTCAAGCGGGAGACACATGCGACACGTTGCGCCTCCTAGGCTCATGAAGGGAGGACGGGAATTTGGCGATTTTTTATCGGGCTCTAAGTCCTACGAGCGGCAGCTAATCGCCAACTACATCTCTGCCTCCTGCAGCGTGCCATGGACAGAACGATATGACACATCTCCATGTATGACGTATAGGAGCTCCAACGAGATGTGATGGGAACAGGTATGAAGGCCTACTTGCGGGGTCGAACCGGAGATGATCCTTGGGTCTAGCGGGCTCTCGTGCGTTACATCGCGAGAGGGAAGGTATGGGCGTGCCATTATCTCCCTTCATCTGCCTCTCGTATCTGGATTCTTGGGGTCAATCATTCGAAGCATACATAAGACTGCTACATGAAAGTAGCCCCAAGCCAGACGTACGCTCAACTGAGAACCATATCAGAGTCAGCCAAAAGATCACAAAGTGGCGGACACTTGTGACCGAGCTACTGTATACTGTACATTCCCCACATTCCAAATGGCCTCCCTCTCACCCGTCAGCTCCACAGTCACATGGCGCGGACCAGCCAGCAGAGCAGACATCGACCTTGATGCTCTGTACCTGGACGGCGGGAAGAACGAAAGCAGAGATTTACCCTGGCGAGAACGCTTGAAACACTTCACTATCCCATGGTACCTCTTGACAATGTCTACTGGAGGTCTCGCTGGTCTGTTGGCTTCCCAACCGCATGCTTTCAGAGGTCTCTTTACCATTGGAAAAACCATTTTCATCTTTGATCTCGTCTTGTTCATCATCATTACTGCTCTGCAAATCCATCGATTCGCCCGTTGGCCACACATGTTCATGACGGCGTTGAAAAATCCTGCGGAAGCCTTATTCGTGCCGTCTCTCGTACTGAGTCTGGAAGGGATCATATCTGGTACTCAAGCCTTTGGCGGTCCGTCGACTGGAACATGGCTCTATGTGACGGTCTACGTTCTGTTCTGGATTTACGTTGCTCTAGCCATACTCTGCGCCCTTGCGGTCTACTCTTACCTCTTTACTGCGAGACGATTGACCGTTCATTCCATGACGCCCGCTTGGTTGCTACCCATCTTGGCCTGTAATCTCACCGGCGCGCTTGCGGGATCCCTCGCAGCGGGTCAAACGCCTTTCCATCGAGTACCTCTTCTTGTTGCTGGTTTGACCCTTCAAGGTCTTGGATTTTGGGTCTCCATCCCATTATTAGGAGTCTGGATCACACATCTCATGTCGGACGGTCTACCCAAAGCAGCTACTCGACCGGGCATGTTCGTTGCGGCTGCTCCGGCGGGGTATACAGCCTACGCGTTGCTACACATGGCAAATGCCATTCCTCTAAATGAATCCTATTTCGCCAGACATGACCACGCCAAGGAAATGATTAAGACGATGGCGCTCATCTTCTCAGTTTTCATCTGGTGCATGTCGTTCTTTCTCTTCCTTGTGGCTCTGGTGGCCATCGTCTCAGCTACGATCGACAGACAAATGTCCTTTCATCTCACTTGGTACTCGTTCGTCTTTCCGAATATCGGGTTCACCCAAGCTACCATCTCCATTGGACAGGCTCTCGACAGTCAGGCCGTCACTTGGGTCGCAACGGGAATGACCTTGATCTTGGTGACCGTATACATCTTTGTATTGCTAGCTCATATACGAGCGGTGTGGAAGAGACAGATCTTATGGCCAGGAAGGGATGAAGATGCGGAGTGACATGGGAGGAAGATGACCCGGATGGCCACGCAGGCTGTCATAGATGTCTAGTTCCATGTACAATGTGGCATGCAGTACAAAAGATGGTGGACAGAGGTTCGCCACAAAAACAAGGTTCCCTCGATTGGCCGGCCCGTCTCGGCGGATTTTGCTCAAATTGAGCCAGCGATAAGCATAATCTCCGAAAGCCAGTCCAAACTGGCATGCCCGCTTTGTACAAGGCTGAGCGTGGCTGGGCAAGTTTGGACCTCACAGTCTGATGATTCGACCAATGTCACGCAGAACCTGCACAGTGACATGCCCAATCTGTTTCAGACGCTCGAACCATCCTTTGGTCTCTAGTGCCTGTGACGTCAAACAAGCAATCAATCGCATACCTCGATTGCAAACCATTACAAAAAGGGTGTGTCGAGTGAGCGGCAAGTTCACATCTCTGCCCTTCATCTGCTTTTGCACCCCCATCTCAAGGATTCAATCCACTGTAGCCAGACGATTCCGTCGCCCGAATCATCCCTTCATCCGATGTTTGACAGTGTGTAATTCCATTGTCCGATCCCGGTCCAAGCTGATCTTCTACAAACCCTTAGAACTAAGGGCAAAGATCGATGGCCACTTTCATTCCTCGCCCCTGGCATCCCAGCGGAAGGATTTTCTCGCTGTCAACGCTTCCACACCTATCGAGAAGAAGGCTCACTTCACCGCTGAAGTCGTTGGAGCGGCGGCCGCTTATGAGGCGTTCAAGGTGAGTGATGGGCTGGCGACCTCTCTGGCTGACATTGAGGCATTCGAGAGGCACGAGGTACACAAGGGTGCCAAACCAACCCATGCTAGAGCCAAAGAGGTATTTATCACCATCAGATCAACTCAGCTGAGCCTTGATAGATCATCGTGGGATTGGCGACAGGCTTTGCATCAAAGATGATTGATGAAAAGGCACTCCCATTCAGTGAGTCGCTCTAGCGCTCTGAGGAGTCGAAGCGGTACCCTGACTCTGGCAGCCTCTGAAGCGCAAAAGATCAAGTTCAAGAAAGAAGCTCAACTGTACGCCGCTCGAGACGCCAAGCGGGCGGTCCGGGATTCAGGCCTGTACGAGGTCAATGAGCTCGAGCCTATTGATGGTGATAAAAAGCACGGATCGAAGATGCTGTAATTGGCGCAGACATGCGCCGGAAGGTGTTCACGAGTGACTCATAGTGCCGTTTGTAATGACAGACGTACATACCTTGGAACGCGAGTATGCAAAGTGACCTGTACTGCGACTCGCTTGTCTGAGTACCATCGCCACATTCAGCTTCATTGTCAGATATCCCACCATCGTGGGTCCCTTGTGTGTTTCACTTACACAATTATGACCTCATGTCGTGATGGTTGTCGAGTCAACCTGGCATTCCCTTTGACATCTATTGTTCAACCTTCCTCTTGTCTTGACGTCACCGCCTGACCAAGGCGTTCGCACAAGTGGGATATATAACGGCCAACAGCGACCTTCTTATCTTGTTCCCATTCAACGCAATTCATCCCCCTGGTCTTCTCTTCATCCAAAGCAAGCCGATCACATTCATCCAACAATGTTTGAGAGTAAGGCTGCGTCTCTCAAAGTGCCCGCGCTGACTTGATCTCCACCTAGAACTCAAGGAAAAGCTCGGTGCTCACAGCAAGACTCATCCCCTCGCCGCTCAGCGGGACGAGTTTCTCGCTGCAGACATGAACACACCTCTTGAACGCAAAGCCCATTTTTCCCATGAAGTCGTCGGCGCCGCTGCGGGGTACGAAGCCTTGAGAGCCTTTGAGAACCACGAGGCTCATTCAACAGGCACCAAGGTCACTCATGCGAGAGCCAAGGAGGTGAGAGACTGAGCGTTCGGCGGCCGTGCTTCCAGAGGTTCTTCATTGATATTCCCGCCTTCAGATCGTCGCAGGTCTCGCTAGCGGATTCGTGGTCAAGCTCGTCGAAGACAAGGGCCTTCCTTTCAGTGAGTCAACGCGAGTGTCTAAGAGGACATAAAGAAAGCTGACAGCTGTGTAGCATCCGAGGCCGACAAGCACAAGTTCATCGCTGAAGCTCAACACACTGCCAGCCGAGACTCGAAGCGAACTCTCCGAGAATCCGGAATCTTCGACCAAAATGAGCTCGATCCCATTGACAACGATGAGAAACACGCCGCTAAGATTGCATAGGATGGTCTTCGTATCGGCATGCTAGGCGTCGGACGCTCAAGTATGACTCTCGTGATAGCTTGTAGCCGTTGAAAGGATCTTACGAACATGCATGTCAATTGAGGCAAGGGTCAAGGCTTCGGATCCGAAATAGGCAATAGGCGTTGAGAATCGGCGCCTATACATATTGACCCGGTCACAATGACTTTTTGCACCATGTCCAGTTGATCTTCTCTATGGGCCACCATGTACCACAACCAACCTCGTAAGCTACTCCTCTCCCTGGCTCAGCTTACCTTCTTTCAGCTCCCTTTCAGCCCCCACCAGGCGGAGTCCCACCATTCCCTCCCAATTTCCAACCTGGTGTCCCTCCACCCGGTGGTTTCCCTCCATTCCGACCTCCCAACGCAGCCTTAGGTTTCGTGCCTCCACCTTTCCCTCCTACTCTTTCTCCAGCTGGCGGTGATGGGTCTCCTGGAGGATTCAGACCGCCGCCCAATGGGTTTGGCTTCGGTCCGAGACCTGGTCTAGGGGCTGTACCTGGCGCTTCATCCTCCAGCTCATCTGGGGCAACCCCTGGATTCGTACGAGAGGTCAAGACGACCAGTGTCTTTGTCGGAGGTATCGCACCGGGTATAACCGACCAGACTCTCAAGGATCTTCTCAACGTGGGTCAGCTCAGACGGCATGGCGGCTGATGTTACAGGCCTGCGGACCTCTACACGAATTGAAACGAGTCAGTGGTGCAAATGGAAAGCCTCAGGCATTTGGGTTTGCCCTGTTTGAGAACCCTGAAGTGGTCATGAGGGCCATCAGGTGTCTCAATGGAGTGGAGTTACCAGATATGACTCCAGAGGGGCGTCGGGATAGCAAACGAAAGCCTCTGGTGGTGAAAGTCGATGAGAAAACGAGAGAGTTCCTGGAGGAGTTTGAGTCGACTTTGGGCAGATCAGAGGTGCGTTCAGGCTAATACGCGGGGGGCATCGCTGAATTGTCACCAGGGAGACGAAGAAGCTGACAGTCATTGCCGCAAAGCGATTCAACACATTGTTGCTCTACTCACTGATCCCAATGCAACTCCTCTCGCCGGTTTCGGTCCGGGTCGTGGACCAGGAGGTCGATCACCGATCGCAGTCGATGTCCCTGCTCATTTGAGAGATCTACAGGAAGGAGATCTGCCGGAGGAACAACGAGTCGTGGTGTTGGATCAGATCGCCATCTTCAGAGAAACCGCAGCGAGGCGTGAAAGGGAAAAAAAGGCGCTAGAAGATGAAAAGGAAAGGTTCAAACGGGAGCAACAGCGACAAGGCCCCATCTCTCCCGCCAACGCAAGGAAAGAGCCATCGTCAAATTACGGGTATGGAAATCGAGTCATGGCGAAGGAGGCTCAGGCGGCTCAAGCTGAGAGGCAGAGACAGTGGGGACAGACACAGAATGATTCGCAGAAGGAGAATGGAAAAGATGGCAGACGAGAGTCGAGAGACCCACAGGGTTATGACAAGCCTGTCAACTTTGTTAAGCCGCGGCAGGTCGAAGGCAAAGGAGAGAGCGAGAGAACGGATGAGGAGGAGGAAGAGATGCGGAAGCAGCGAAGGGATCGAGAGCGGGACCACGCTTTTAGAGATGTAAGTGTGCAACCGGCGTGAGGTCTGGCTAATTGGGTGTAGCAAGAGCGAAAAGTCGAGAATAGAGAGAGACATCGGATAGAAAATCTCAATCGCGAGATGAGCCATCGGAAACAGCAAGCAGACTTTGAGGATCGAAACAGAAGACGACTCACCGAGATGCTAGAGAATTGGGATGATGAGGAGATCGCTGAGAAGGGGCGCGAGTCGTTCTACGCCGATCGGTGAGTTGTATTGTAGGCAATGATATCGCTGATTTGTCACAGCTCGCGCTGGCGTGCCCAAAGGCAGAAAGTCCGACAGAGGGAATTTCAAGATGACCTGCGTGATCGTCATAGAGAAGAAGAAGAGCGACGGACTCTTGAAGCTGAATCCGAGGAGTTCCTAAAGCGACAAATGGCAGAAATGGCAGAGCTGGAGGAAAAACAAAAAGCTGCGGGACTATTGACCGAAGATGCTGCCCCTATCCGATTAGCCATCAATGCTCTCCCGAAAGAGGTCAAGGAGGAGAAGAAACCTGACGTTGTGCCGCCTAAACCTGGCATCGCCTTTGGTGGAGATGACGATGATGAAGACGAAAAGGAGAAGAAGAAGAAGAGGACATTGGTAAAATTAGAGTATGAAGGGGACGGCTTGACCGAGGCGGAGAAGATTGCCCAGAGGAACGCCAAATTGCTCGAGATCAAACGTGATGTGCCGCGAGATAGGAGAGCCCTGTACGCTATGGCCATACAATGGGCGGCGATCCCAGAGGTGAGCACGGAACCCGGGACCTTTGACTCACCTTTTAAAGTCGATGATGTCGACAAAGATCATGTCCTTCATTCAGAGCAAAATGAAGGACCTTCTAGGCGAAGTAGATCAAGATCTCGCCGACTTTGTCCTAGAACATCTCAGGGAGAGGAAAAAGGCCGCCGACTTGATCGATGGGTTGGAGCCGGTAAGTCCAGCCACACTGGTCCACTGATGGCTTGCTCACACAATGACAGATCTTTGCAGACGAAGCGACAGAGTTCGTCACTGCTCTGTGGCGGCAACTGGCATTTGAAAGTCTTGCCTGGGCCTCGGGCCTCGAGACAGGGCCTATGCTTGTGTAGTCGTTTGTGAATGGAGTACAGGAGGTATGTCATTTCATGCATTGTCCGTTCACGACGACATCCTGTCGTTTCGGCCACAGTGACGAGGCTTCGAAAGGGACGAGGCGATAACTTCCACCATTGGGCACGCAGGTGGGCCTTTGTTTTTCCTTCTTCTTCGTGTCTCTCTTCACGATCTCTCGTGTACTAGCCAACGAACAGTGAAGCTACACCCAGACAATATGCTCCTGTCGTCGGAGTTCGTGAGTCGAGGCTCTTCAGACTGAACTTGTATCCAAATCTATCCTCACCATGCTCACGCGCTATGCTAATGATGTATGCATTGAGAGATCCTGACGGAATCAATTTTTTCCCATCCATCATGCTGAAACTTTGGAATTCATTCGCTTGCTATCGTTCTTCATTAATTTGCCTTGCATCAATTCATCAGACTTCAAGTGACGGACGCTTACACCATGGCATTCGGTTCCTCGTCTATCCTTTCTTTACGACTGACCAGAGACGGTCTTCTTGGAAAGGTCAAATCAATCCAAGGGCAGACCAGAGCTTTCTCGAAATCCGCATTTCATGGAGAATCGTCTTCCTCTGGCTCGTCCTCCAAAAGGAGCCGAACCGAACTGCTCCCCGACTTCAATCCATTCCATAAGACCATCATCAGACGTCCGAAATCTCCTCCGACGGACGGTCCTTCGAACCTTTTGACTCCTCTGCATAATCACCATGGCACTTCGACCTCTGCCAGAGGCTATCATATCGTTAGACCGCTCAGTGGGGATTATCCGGTCTATACCAAGATACGGAAAGGTGGTCACTGGACGACGATAATCAAGGGGGTCAGGGTGAGTGCTTGATCCCATTCGCGGTGAACAGGCGGCCGATATGCTGATATTTGGAATTCCCATCATAGGGCAATGTCGAGGTGAGATCACTGAAACCCCGCTCAAGACCACCCGCGGTTTACAGTCGTGAGGGGCAAGCTTCGCTGATGCTCTATATTCTCCTATAGGCCTTCCAGCAAGATCTCAACGCTTATTTCAAAGCGACACACATCGATCCTCTGAAAGTCCCATCCAGAGCGGTTTTGCGCCCAACAAATCTTCATCTGGTCATGAAGGGAAAAATGGCAGGACAGATCGTGCGATGGCTCAAGAGTGAGAAATTATAGCTGCACGGGACGACCGGAGACAGCTCTACGGAGCGGGGGACCTTGTATGCATATCTTCATGTTCAACGGTGTTTCATGCTCAACGGTGTTTTGTAATCATTCATGGTTCAAATGCTAGATTCATATCGAAGATCTGCCCACTAGAGAGCTACGGAGGCGCGGTTGCTCTCTGCCTCAGCTTGCCGATACCTTTGTCTTGCATGTTACCGTGCAGTGGTATCCACCCTGTTAAGCTGAGCTCGAATAGTTGAGATGAGACCTTCCGGCCGTAACGAAATGAGATCAGAATAATCTGTCCCCACTCAATGCCAGGACTAAGTTTCTTTCTTCTCTTGGCATTGACCTTTTAGCTATTCAACATGAAGCAACCGTGGATCGAGACGCCGCTGGTGTACTCTGTCGAGCTCTCCAAATTGGCTGGATGGTGAGCTGGCTCATAAATATCGCTCACCAGACCGAGCTCACCATCGATCCTAGCCAAATATGGTTGAAGTTGGACAATCTTCAACCTGCCGGTTCTTTCAAGTCTAGGTAGGTCAATCACCTTGGATTCCTCATCTATAGTCTCTTCTGACGCTCAAAGTTCAGAGGTATCGGTAATGTGGTCCGCACACACGCGCAAGCATCCTTGGATTCGGCTTCTTCCCCCAGACCTCACTTCTTCTCATCATCTGGCGGAAATGCTGGCCTTGCCTGTGTCACCGCCGCTACGACGCTTGGCTATCCGTCATCGGTCATCGTTCCTATGTCTACGAAACCCCATATGATTGAGCTTCTCAAGCTAGCCGGTGCATCTGAAGTCGTGCAAAAGGGAGCAACTTGGTTTGAAGCAGATACCTATCTTCGCGAGACGGTTTTACCAGCCCATCCGGAAGGTGTCTACATACATCCTTTTGACAACCCAATCGTGTGGACTGGAGCAGCGACAATAGTCCAAGAGATCGATCAACATCTGGGTCGACCGGCCGATGTCATCGTCTGCAGTGTTGGAGGTGGAGGATTGTTCTGCGGCATCATGCAGGGAGTACAGGATTCACCAACTCGAGTCATCGCCGTCGAGACGCTGGGTGCAGAATCTCTTCACCAGGCTGTCAAGGCTGGGGAATTGGTCACATTGCCCGGTATCACATCTCTAGCGACATCATTAGGCGCTACGAGGGTCTGCGCAAAGGCGTTCGAACATGCTCGGGACGATCCCCGTGTATCGAGCGTGGTCGTCACGGACGCTCAGGCCGTCAAGGCTTGCATGCGGTTTGCGGATGAGGAACGCATGCTGGTAGAGCCTGCTTGCGGGGCGACTTTGGCTATTGCATACGAAGGCAGACTCAAGGATCTGATACCGGATCTGAAGAGGGAGACCGTGGTGGTTCTGGAGGTATGTGGAGGGAAAAATGTCTCTTTGCAGCATTTGCAAGATTGGAAAGAGACTTTCGGAGGGCCATAGTGGAATCACGAACACGCTACTCGAAATGCATGCCTGAGTCCATCTCAGCATGCCCCATATGTCGATAAGTAGCACTGCACGCAAACATGCCGCACCCTTTCGGTCATAAGCGAAAGCCGGTAGCCGCTTCGGGCAGAGATCTATGTAATAGCATTGCAAGGATCGATGAGACACATGTTGCTACAGATGCATCACAGCATACACTCGTCAAAATGAGGGCAGTCGAATCGGTCTCCATAGCTCCCAAGAATCGTCAGACTATCCACACGTCTCTCTTGTTCGACTCCAAATCCAAATCATGGTCTCGAGACATTTCACTCGTCGTATCCCTAAAAACTGGTAATATCGTTTCAACATTTCATCGCGATGGACAGACAGAGATCGCACTGGATGATATCGATCTACGAGGTCTTACTGTTATCCCTGGCCTCGTTGACGCTCATACGCACATCTTTCTCCACTCTTATGACGAAACGCCATCCATCAATCAAGAACGGGATGAATCTGAAGTCGAGCGGATTCTCCGAGCCTCAAACCATCTCAAAGCGGCTCTGAAAGCAGGCTACACGACATACAGGGATCTTGGGACAGAAGGCATGAGAGATCTCGATACAGGGGTCCGGAACGCAGTGAATCGAGGCATCATTCCTGGACCAAGACTCTTCGTAGCTACCGAAGCTTTGGCCAGTCCAGGAGGTTACGAAGTCCGAATCGAATCAAAAGATCAGGGGACAACGACTGGACGCATATCTGATCCTTGTTCTGGAGTTGACGGGGTTCAAGCAGCTGTCAGGAGGCGACTTGGAGCAGGGGCGGATCTCATCAAGTTTTATTCTGCTTACAGACAAAGGTCGCTCCGATTCCCTCCTGCGGCTTGGCCAGGTGCGTTGCCAATACAACATCCTCCTGGTCAAGTCGAAGACGACGAAGATGAGGGCGGAGACGCACTCTTTGCCAATGAGGCTGACCCTCCAACTCCGTTGTTCACGTTGGAAGAGATGAAAGCCATTGTTGCGACTGCAAAGCGGTCGAAGTGTCCAGTCGCAGCTCACACGACTGGTCCAGAGATGGTCATTGAGGCTGCCAAAGCAGGAGTCACAACTGTCGAACATGGCTACAGACGGTCAAAAGAGTCTATCAAGGCTCTCAAGGAGAATGGGACGATCTACGTTCCCACCTTGGCCGTCGCGGAAGAGCTGTCGCCCAAGCTTTTGAACGAGGCGCTCGAACAGGTCTACGATGCCTGGAATAGCGGTGTAAGGATGGCTTGTGGTGGCGATACCGGAGCTTTCAATCACGGCGAAAATCTGAAAGAACTCCTGCTCTTTGAGAGGGCAGGTATACCGCTCGAAGCTGTCCTGGAAGCAGCCACTATGGGCGGATGGGAGGCCTGTGGAGGGGATTGGTGTGGAAGGCGATTCGGCTCGTTGGAGAAAGGTTGGGCAGCTGATCTGGTAGCGATCAAGGGGGATCCCCGAAACGGTGGGATAAAATGCTTGTGGAATCCCGAGTGGGTCATCAAGGATGGCAAGGTCGTAGTAGAGGAGGCAAAATTAGTAGTGTAACGCTTTAAATGCATCGACTTGTTGTAGACTGGACGACAGATTATGAGTCATGGCTGACTATTCTTCTGCTCTCTTGCGCTTCTCGTCAACCTGTATAATTAGTACCTCACCCACAAACCCCCGCTCACCCTGACTACTTGATCAGCAGGCGCACCCTTGAGCTCTTTGACCTGATTCCTCAGCATGTCCACCTAAACATCAGCTTTGTGAGGTATTCATGCGACTCACCACATCGTCTCCAACATCACCCTGGACCACGATTTCATCATCACCCGTTGCAGTCTTACTGACACTGGCCCCAGTTGCGAACTTTGAAGCCATCATTTTGGCTGCTTTCTTTAGATCGACACCGAACAGCTCGAGACCCTGAATATGCGTAGCGTGTTTCCGTTTCGTACGTTCCGATCGCTTGATGATGATCTGATACAAGTCAGAGGGTGAGCTAAAGCCTCTCGCCCACCTTTGCAGCCTATACTCGTCAGCATGGAACGGAGGACGCCCGGCCTACCTCCTTCTTCTTTGCCTCTGCTTCTGCCTTCTTTTCCGCCTTCTTCTCAGCTTTGAGAGCATCTGCCTCGATCTTCTCTTGCTTCTCGACAGACAGAGTACCCATTCTGGCGCTCAGAGACCCTCGTGGCTCAGTCGCCAGCTCTCAGTACATTCGACCTACCTTCACCCCATAACCTGTCGAATTCCGCCTTGTCTTTCTCCTCCAGCCAGGCCTTGCATTTCGATACTGAGACGCCAAATTCACAGTACTCTGTCGGTAAGCTACACACACCGCAGTAAAAAGGCTGAATGGGTCGAGTCGACGGTCCTGCAGTGGCCATGATAGTATTGCAGCGGATGTTGAGAGTATGATATCGAAAGCCAAAAACTTGAAACAAGCCGAGATTACGGTCGATGTCACTTCAACTTATACCACGCGAGAGTGAGGCTACACCTCTGTTCTTTCATCTTGACAGCCAACTATCCTCTGTAGCCCTCCGTTCACCATGTCGATCGACCAAAACCTCTTTGATCAGTTGACTGGAATGGGCATTGAGCCACCACTGGCTCGGGCTGCAGCAACGCGTTACAGCTCGGTGGAACCGGCCATTGAATGGTGCTTTGGTGCAGGTCTCGATGTGAGGGCAACGCCAAGTACAAATCGGCTAACGTACTCCAGTGGAAACCTGAGGATGAGCAGTTACCAGACTATGGTTCGAACGGTGAGCTACTATCTCACACGAGACGCAGTTCATTGGGATTTAGTATCCAACACGTCGCCATCCAAACCTGTCGGTGTCGCCGCAAGATCAATGCCTTTCCAGTCCAACAATCCGTTTCGTTCAACCCCACCGCCAGACTCAATTCCAGAAATCACCGATGACGATGTAGAGCTTCAGAAAGCCATCACTATGTCTCAGGAAGCACCTGAAGAAGACGATCGAGCAGTCAGGGAGCGAAGCGTGCGAGCCAGCGGTGTGCCCCCGCCTAGTCCTGAGCCAGAGGAAAGAATCGAGAATGTAGGATCGGTTTTTGGACCCAGTTACAAGGAGGACAAGGAGGGAAAGATGGCTCTGGTCCCAGCATCACAGGCCCAGGTGAGTCCCGGACTTCGTCGAGCCAAAGCATATGAATTGACCCTCTTAGAACCTTCCACCCAATGAAGATGACGATTTTCACCGTGCTGTCGCAGACTCATTGATGACTGCCAGCTTTCATTCTGCCTCAGCTCAACGCGATATGGAGAAACCAATCCCTCAGATAAGAACGAACGGAGCGTGAGTTGGTTTTCTGCGTCTTTACTGATATCCAGTCCACTCGTGTTGTACTCTCAGTCGGGCAATTCGACCTATGCTGCAAATCTATTCCAAGGTCTCTTCGCTATACCTCAACTACGAGAGGCGATCATGACCAAGCTCAATGAAGAGCTTGATCCGCACACTTACATGAGTGAGTGTGTCTTCCCGTACATTTGCTAACGACACAGAATTCGCCCTAATGCAGGAGCTATCTATGAGGATGGTCACCGAAGAAAGAAGCTTCATCGAGATCGATGAGGCTCTGAAAGAGATCAGAGGGGCGGAGCCATCTCAGCTTCCTCCGAGTGATCCTGCAATTGGTGAGACGGTACGCGACGTCGACCTGACACCATCAGAACTCCTTATCGAGGTGTCCCGCATCGTCGGCACAGCTTTAGAGGCTTCAAAGTCACAATCTGCTTTGTGTGCTAGGCCAGCTCTGTGGGTCTCGGTCAATCTACAAACGCTTATTGCTTGTGCTCCAGATTGTTCAATTCTTTGCTTGACGGTGACATTCCCTCTGCATCCGCGCACGTCAATTTTCGTCGTTCCACCGATGTCGGCCTCGACATTTACTCGGCCCTCGCCTCGATACTATGGAAGCCGGATCAGTCTAGCCAGACGATTCTTGAGCTAAGCGATATATTGACTGTCAAATTGGACTGGGGTTATGGTGCGCCTCGAGAACTCTGGCATCTGCAGGATAAAATCATTCTCGGTGCGTGGCAGTTGCGTCATTGAGCTCATGATTCTAGATCGTTTCTTGAAGGAGAATAGCGCCCGGACAGCCCAGATTCGAGCTCAGCAAGGGGTGGTTCAAGGTCAAATCAGGCGACTTAAGGAAAAGATTGATCGCTTGACCGTGTACAATGTGAGGCTCTCCTTCTGCTGGGTCAATCTGACAGGTCTCAGGACCAAAACTACCACGATAGTATCGCCCGGTGAGATTTCTGCGGCGACTGATCTCATATCTCTCCAGCCTCGTCAAGCACCTTGAGACGTCCCCTGTACCCAAAGATGATATAGCTGCACTGTCTCGTGAAGAGCTCACGGCGAAGGTCAGAAGTTCTTCAACACTGTAGCTAACGATCCCTCTAGCTATCACTGACCCTCGATGTTTTGAAACGAAAGACTGCCAATATGCAGGCTGAACTCGACGTTCTGTCTGCCCAAGCAGGCTCTGCGGTCTTTGAAACGGACGATCCTGCTTTCAATCGACACATGGTGAGCTGCCTGGGGTTAGGTGTCATCTGATACACCTGCAGTACAAACTTCGCGCCATCCTCATGCATGACGGAGCACTTGTGGCGGGCAGTCATTTGTACACCTACGTGAGATATGGAGATGACATTTGGTGGAAGATCAGAGATCACGAAGCCACTCGAGTACGTGAATCCTCGCCAACGGTGTGCTCACGCAATGCAAGGTCGAATGGGACGACATCGCCTCTGATCGGACCGGTCTGTTCATGGACGGCGGGCCATACATACTGTGAGTGTGACCAAGGCAAACGTGACTGACAGCACACAGTCTATACTCTCGGGACGGACCGCGACCAGCACCTCCGGAACAGGATCTTATCTCCTTTGACTCAGAGTCCGACGAGGCTGTCAATCAACAATCAAGCTCCCGGACAAGTCGGACCGAAGCTTCCGACGAGGAGGCGCTTCCGAGATCGGAGACGGATGCGACTACCGCGACCACGAACGCAGGGCCCGTCGTCGATCAGGGGGATGGCGACGTGAACATGGCGTAAATCAGCGTCAATTTCCCACTCTGGGTATGGTTGTATTGTACATGTGTAGTAGGCGCAAGCGAACTTTCGGAGGAGTCGCCGACGGGATATTTTGGCTCCGTCGGGATCTTTGTTACAGAGTGGGGAGAAGACCATTGGGAGCTCATCTTGTATGCAGTGTATAGTGCTATTAGTGTGACAAGATGACAGTCGAGATCTCTCAGTCGGCAGAGTCGGACATCAGGTCCATATACGACCTGTACCAAAGCACGGTTGGAGCTCTCCCCTTTTATGCGCTCCCGTTCGACAAATTCCAAGAGCTCGTCGTCGAACCTAGGTCGACCATCTTTGTCGCCAGGAACAAATCCGCCTCGATTATAGGCTTCGCACTCTGTGTCCTGATTCGGACTGGCTCGGCGACAGCCAAAGCGGCTCAGCATCTCAAGGGATGTCTGTCGTTGCTAATCGTGGACCCGTCTCATCGCTGTCAAGGCATCGGCAGCGCTCTGCATACAGAGGCTCTCTCTTTCCTAAATAGCAAAGTATTTGCTTCTTTATCCCTCTCGCACCCAATCCCAAATCACGGCACGTTGCAGCTAGGATCGACTTTCCCTCGCTTCTTCCCTGGAGTTCCTAATGGTCCTGAGTTTGACGACGCCGCAGCTTTCTTTAAGAAGCGAGGTTGGACGTACGGCAAAGAAGATTCGATAGACCTGTATCGAACGGTTGTGTCTGGCAAAGCGCTCGACTTTCACAATCTGACCAAGAGAGCAGAGGAGAATGGTTTGACATTCCGAAGTCCGAGGCAAGAGGATGAAGAGGCGCTGTACAAGCTGGAGAAGGAGAACTTTGACAATTCAACAGTGAGCTTTGTCAAACTGGTGACTCTGGTGATCTTTGCTGATCGTATCGCCATGTACTACTAGGGTTGGCCAGATGCGTTTCCTGATCTCATCGATTCAGGCCACCGAGATGACGTTTGGTGTGTCTTTACGAAAGAGGGACGTCTCATCGGAGCCACCGTTGCAGCTCTGGCTCCTGATCCAGAGTCAAATGATCGCGAGAACCCGTTCCATGCTTCGCTTGCCTGGCCAAGGACGTTAGGTGGGCAATAAATCTATCTATGATCAGATCATTTCGCTTAACTTATAAATTTCTAGGCAAACGCTGCGGAGTCATTGCCTGTGTGGGAATAGCAAGTGCAGAAAGAGGGAATGGAGCCGGTGTTGCACTGGTAGCGACGGCTCTGAACAACCTCGCACTTCGAGGTGCGGATGGCTGTTTCATCGACTGGGTCCACTTGGATGGTTTTTACGAGCTGGTCGGCTTCAAGCAGTGGGAGAGGAGTTACAGAGAGGCTTCGAGGTGAGTTCGATTCGTAGCTTCACTGTGTTGGCCAGGCTGATCCAGTACAGGGAGGTGCGGTAGATTGCACTGAGGCTGAAGGTGTATGTAGCATTACATTGTACAGCGTGATGTAAGCACATCTTGCGTCTGGCTCGTGATTTTGTCGGTCCTGGACACGCCTAGGCCATGCGCTCCTCATTGTGTTGCACAAGCTTCTCTGACCACAAATCAAGCTGATGAAGGCCTCGGCCCCCATCCCTCATTTCTTCCCGTCTACTTCAACCCTGGTACCAGATCGCCGGACCTGCTTCGGCACTCCATCCCCACGCAAGACTGCTTCACGTACGCCTGTATGCTAAACATCTCGTAAAGTGTCAAAGAACCGACCGACTAACAAGATACATGCTATTCTTCCGACGCTAATGTTTCAAGCCAGATACGATATGAGTCGCCTGCTCTTCCCTCACACCTTCTACAGACCCACGCTCCTCGATTGAGAATGCGATAGCCTGCGCACGACCCTTCTCCATGTCGACGAAGACGAAGATGACCAAGGCGGCAGCGGCAGAAAGGGCGAAGAGGAAAGCGAAAGCGTCCCATGAATTGTTCGTTCGGTCAATGATGGCCGCACAGACGTTGGGTCCGATGAGGGAAGAGACTCGGTTGGTGATGCCAAACAGACCGAAAAACACTGTGATAGCACCTTTGAGCGATCTCGAAGATTGCGCCAACCTGTATCACTCACTTCCTTCGAAGCCTGGAGGCGTCAACTCCGCCATCATTGTCTGGGCGTATGCATAGTAAGGAGCTTGACCAAGGCCGAACACGACGTTGTAGAACCAGAACTCCCATGTGTTGTGATACCTGTGGATCCAGTGTCAGTATGAACGTGGCAGGCGCGACTTGACGTCCGTAGACTTACCCAATCTTGTTGGTCCAGATTCCGAGCTGTTTGACTGGTCAGCAAGCGCACGCGTATCTGTTCTGAAGCACTTACCATTCCCCAGAAGGACAGGAAGACAGTGACGACCACACAGACCTCAAACATGACCTTTGTCTTGATCTTGAAATATCTCTGGAAGTACCAGTAGGCGTAACATGAGAAAGTGCTGGTGGCGGCTTGAGACAGACCGAGATAGGTGGATTGGAGGAAAGAGAATTGGATGTGCTGATTCTGAACAATTCCAACAACTGATCCGGTCGTGTTGAGCGAGTCCGCCAGCAGGAAGAAGGCAAAAAGGTAAATGAAGGTGTAACTATAGCCAAGCGGGTCAGCCAGACATTTTCGATCTGTGATTGATACTCACGGCAGACGCTTGTACTGTTTTAAGGCAAGGTAGACCTGCTTCCAGCCAATCTAGAACACGTCAGAACCAGCAGCGTCTTCGAGAGCCCGTAACTTACCGACCACCAGTGGCTGTCCTTGGGGAAGGCGGGTCCTCGTCTGTTCTTTTGGACAAAGAACCAGGGCAGACCAAGGACTATCCAGTAGCAGTTGGTGAAGGCAAGGGTGTACTGTTCTGTTTCAGCAGCGATACCTCATACTGTACAAGTGCATTACTCACTTGGTCAACCATAGGGTTGTTAGCCAGAGGTAAGAGGATCGCGAGATTGAGAGCCAAGGTGATGAGGTAACCCCCTGTGGACATAAAATCAGCCCTGGTGTCAAGTTCACATCACATCTCACTCACAGTCAGAGTGGGCAGTACTGATGTTACTGATTCTGTTTCTCTCGAGCATTTCAACCATTTCATACTCTTCAGGTGAGATCTCACTGTTGTCGAGCCTGAGTCGAGCGTCCTTTGCCTTTTGGGTGTTTCGAGCCAAGCGGGGGAAGACTGAAGCATAGAACACGAGGGTCACACCGTAGGCGATATACCCAACGATGTAGAGGGCGATACCAGTCTGCCAGTCATTGCCATCTTTGGTACCCAAGAAACCGAATTGAACTCCCCAACAGATGACTATCGAGCACATCAGCACTGGTCTCAGGGGAATATTGACTCACCAGTCGCGATGAGCAAGATGTACTTGTTCCAGTTCTCATAATCTGCGATGGATCCAATGGTGGTGAACAAAAAGGTCATGACTGCAAATGTGATACCGTTGGCAATGAGTGCCACGGAGGCCACACTGCGTTCCTGTCCAGCGAATTGGAGGACACAAAGATCGGCATTAGGGTTTGTGCATGGCTTTGCTCCCGTGATCTTGTCGTGTGTGGCCTGGGTCAGGTAATTCTATCAAGCTCTTATCAGCAGTGTCCCTGTACATATTTGCCTTGCCCGCACCTGACTGAGTGTCTGCGCATATGACCCTGGGCCGACACCAGAATCTCCATTGTAGTAGAGATAACTGGGAACCTCGTCAGTTTCGTTCACGGCAGCCAAAGACGAGATCAAACTCACTACGCCCATTCCTCCCATCTCGAGGTAGTAGGACCCTCTGGCATAGCTTCTTCATGCATGACTAGGTCACTGGGAATCTCATCTCCAGCCTCGACGTGTTTCTCAGACATGGCATCGGAGGCGTGATGGCCACCATGAGGCTCATGGGTCGGAGCGATGCCTTGATTTGGCAACTCGACCGCAGTGGCAATGGGCATATTTCTCGACATCGTGTCCAACACTATTGATTGTCGTGTTGATCTGTTCGGTATGTGTGCGAGATTGGACGGGCGATCTTTTTATCTGTGAGAGGAGGAGATCGTTCTATTATGGGAAATGCGAAGAAGGGGTAAGCGGGCAACCCGATGTCTCGCATGACCCTTAGAAAAATAGGCGATAAGCAGACGCACGCGCTTGCTCTATTACTCACCCCACCTTCACCCCACCTCCGCAAGAAGCAAGGGACGACGAGCCTTCCAAAACGTCGGCGCAGGATCCGATATCGGAGACTCCTGTCGCGATGCTATGAAGCGCGTTACTGAGTCTGTGCGGGTAGCAGAATGCACGCCACCACATGCGATGTGCCTGTCCAACATAGTTGTTTTTTCCGATTCGGGTAGTGCGCAAGGAACCGTCGTTTACCGGTTCACTGGTGAGTCACCGGACACAAAAAACTCACCTTGGCAAAGTGTACGCGAATAGATCAGTGGCGAAGCGAGATCTCCACCCTCCACAGCGCTTACGACCTCCGTCTTCGCCGACTGTACCGCTTACATGGGCCTAGATCTGAGGGATCGTGACGCAAATACAGTGGGGTGGGACATCAGGATCCCCCTCTATGTGAACCCAGGGAAACGGCGTGAGAGATAAGACGAGGCGTACTGCAAGCTCGTTGGACTTGAAGTGGGGGAGCACCCCCCACGGGCGAGCGAATGTCGACGGCGATTGGGCTGTTTTATCAACGAGGCGGAAGTGGGGTCACCACTCTGCGTATTCAGAGCCCCACAGACGCTTTGAGTTGCAAGCCGTACTGGGAGGATTAGAAGCTACAGATCGATTGAGTCAAAGGAGGCTAGACTCTACACTTCCCCGTAGACCTCCTTTATGCGCAAGTGATCCAACCTTCAAGTCTCTTTCTTTTGCCGCTGTGATGTTATCGCATTGCCGTTTGATCCGAACGATATCACTCCAAGCCATCAGAGCGCTCTCAATAGGCTCTGTAGCGGCCTCCAGTAAGAGCTCTTGTGGCATCCCCCCGCAATGCCACCCACGACGAGAGGCCGCTCATCTGACGGAGTAGTAGTTCTTACTTCTTTCAGCGATCCTGAACAGACGATTCGCTTCGCCCGTGCAGCCCGACGTCACTCGGGGCCTCGTTCCTGCCGATCGGCCAGTCCTGGCATCGACGTAGACGGCACTGTCAAGACGATGTCACTTTCTGCGGATGGAGACACAAGAATTACAGACCACACCGGGCTTCTCACACCTCTCAGTTTTACAGCAATCGGGCACCACGCCTATTATCAGAATCGAGCTCCTGATTCGACAGGTCATGACCGTCTAGAGCCTGATTGGTCAAACGACCCTTGTCCTGAGTTCCTTGAATTCACAACGATTGACAATTCATCTCCTCTCTCCTCGCTGGACACTCAGACGGGGGATCCAGTCTTTCAGGAGACATTCTCCAAACTGCTCGAGATGGAGGATTGCGGCCCAGCGTCGATGTCGGTTACTGATGGGGAGAGTGCAGCCCAAGAGGCAAGCTCGAAGGCAAGCCGAAACAGCCAGCCTCATATGGAGTTGATGAGAATGCTGGATACAATCTCGCAGAAGGTGTCCGAGGTAGCACACAAACAAGCAGCCCTGGAGCGCAAAGTTGACAACCTCTCAGCCTCTATACAGCATGCCCCTTGCTGCTGCTCGTTGTTGACCTCATTAGGCTTGGACCAGAATTTGGACTTCCCTTCTGAGCTGCAGACTGATGCGTATAGTGGCCCCATGGGAATAAAGTGACTGATAGGGGCCTAACTCCTGAACCTCTACACAACCCTCGTGCTCTACTCTGACCTCTTCATGCATTCTTTCACCCCTCCGAGGTCTCGAGTCGGTACCTCAGACAGGCCGGATACTACTCATCGTATATTGAATCCCTGGATCAGGTCTATCAAGTCCCCAGCCGAAGTCGGGGAGTTGGCTCAGAAACTCGAGATGCGAGAGTCAGCTGTCGCGCAGAGAGATATGAAGCAGATAGAGCGAGGTCTCTGAAGTGGAGTGCGAGATGACGAGTCGCACTAGGTCTTTCACGTCTTACGACACTGAAGCGGAGTAACTTCCTGACACGTTTGAGATCTGCAAATCGAGCATCCGCGGCATCCTGCAGCCACAATGACGATTATTGCTATTTTTATTCTCAGTGGGTTCCCCTGCATCCTTCAGCCGTCATTGTAGCTGAGCGGGTACGGTCGATCTCGCACGTTGCTGCAAATGAAGTCTTCAATCATCCTGTCATAGACCGGCTGTCACTCCAATGGTGCTGCATATATGAAGCAACTGCTGGTACAGCCCCTATACCATAAATGCCACGTCAGTGTTTACCGTAGATCTCGATTAAATATCCGCTCGGGATCTCAATAATAATAAAACCAAGGGATTCAAATCTGATAAAGTCCAGACCAAACCAAAAACGTCAATCTCAGCATTGAATCGATAACCCAATTTGCCCAGCAGCAAAGAGTATCTGGCAACCTCTATCTTCATACTAGTCAAGCCAGGATGCCTCTGAGCGATAATTCTGCTCCATTGACACCTGTAGCGGAGTATTCCCCATCGCTACCGGCAGAGGCAGAATCATCTCGCAAGAGTCAGTCACAGCAATTGAGCTTAGATCATCATGGGTATGAAGACAATGATGAAGACGATATAGAGGATGACATAGAAGGACTTTTATGGGACGGTCAGGTGAGTTCAAGCAGGATCACGCAGCGTGCCAGCATTCACCCAAGTCTCATTGCCGGCTGACATTCCTTTGCCTCTCAGGCTGCTCTTATCGCTCATCAATTCGAGCTTGCCATCACTCTTTACAGCAAAGCTGCACTCCCACCCTTTCGATCGCCACTTGCTTGTCTGGCACTTGGCAACCTGATCTCCCGAGGTAGTGGTCATCGGTCTGCTCCCACATCACCCGTGGACGGGACCAAGACATTTGATTTTAGCACCAATCCCAAGTCCGAGAATGCGCCGACGACCCCGATCGAAACACCGTCCATTCTTTCCAGGATCACCGATTATTTCGGTTGGTCGCCCCAATCACCCAGCATCTCATCATCACCTGAGGACGTCAAAGTACCGATACGTCGGACACTGGTCGCTGAAGGCTGGTCCATACCTAAAGATGGCAAGCGGGCCCATAGAGATGTCCAAGGCATGGGCATAGCTGCAGGGTGGCTGCTTTTAGGTCTCGCATGGGCTATCGAGCGGAACAAGCTGGATCAGAAGTCCGTCACCTCTGGCTCTCGCTCCGAGGTCTTACAGCCTGCAGCGAAGTGTAGCATCGAGTCGTCTGCTATCGTGTTCAACACCAATGGCAAAGGCAAGGAGGTTGATCGCGAGGTTTCGGGGGATGAGTCGCGCGCATCATCCTCGACTGGCAAAGGAGAAGCTAGAAATACCTCATCAAGCTCGAGTTCAGATGTCTCGTCCAAGTCGAGTAGACGTGGAAGCAGCACGGCGCCGACATCAGAATCCATCGGCTCAGATGCGAATGTGCTTTACAAGCCCAAAAAGGGGTCAGAAGCAGAAGTCGATCAGCTCATTGTAAGTGGATGTAATATCACGTCAATCTGATGCTGACGATGAGTCAGTATGACTTGCTTCGTCCCTTACTTCATTTGTATCGTCATGGACAAATTCAAGCACATGATCCTGTGTTCTTGCCACCTATACCGCAAGGCGAACTGCCGTCTTTGCTCAAGGCTTCTGGTGATGCCGACAAAAGACGGAATGCTTGGATTCTGGGCGGCGTGGTCGCCAAAATCATTCGAGATAGCCTGCCTGCCCCAGGCCCAGCTCTTGACAATGTCAGCAAGAAGCAAAGACGTCAGTTGAAGAAGGCAAATCTGATCATCACATCATACATTGTGAGCTTGTCAACTATGGAGGTGAGACTGACGGTCATAGTTAGGAATGACGGCGCCACACGGTCAAAAAGTCGACTACTTCAAAACCATCCTCGAGGCAGGTCACTCCAACTTGGCAGAAGCAGACGACCTCATTGCATCCGCCGGACAGAGACTGGACGCTCTCAATGGCAAGTCCTCTGGAGTGACTGCGTACCTTGCCAAGGCGAAAGCCGCAAGGCAAGGCCAAGCCGGCAGCGGGCATCAAAGAATGACTTCGGGTCGTTCTGAGCGGCCTGCGCGGCTTTCACGTAAGGGCTCTTATGCTTCCTTCACATCGAGTCTGGCCAACGGGATCCAACCATCGCCGATACGTAACGCGACTTCTTCCGCTAGTCTTGTCTTGGATGATCACCCCGAGATGGTGGAGAATCAATCAGGATCCGCTCTAGATACGCTTCGACGATTTGGCGCACTGAACATGTCTCACTCCCGAGGCGCACCATCTCGGGAGTCGCTCGAACAAGCCGATGCGCAAATCACCCCATCTGCCCAATCTCCCGTCGACCTACTTAGCCCCGAGGCACAGGCCCCCAACTCAAGCAAAGGCTACCCTCAACTTCACATTTCTAAATCCTCGCCCGTACTCTCGTCCTTCTACGCTTCGATGGAACCTACTTCAGGCGCACGCCGCACCACGTCATCGGCTTTTCTCACTCCGGACCAGGCGAACATTGCTCCTATAGACAAGTGTCTTGCAGATGCTGAACTCGCCTCAGCACTGACAAAGCAAGTCTCTTGCTCAGTCTGCGGAGCGCAAGGTGTCAATTTCCCTGAATGCCGAAAGTGTGGACTACACTTCTGCTCCAGGCAGTGCAGGATTGGTGAGCACGGTGCAGGAGATGGAAAGAAGTGAGTCCAAAAAGTTGTGTAGCCTGCTTCTCTTCGCTGATTCGGACTGTCAGGCATCATTGTGGTCTGTGGGAGAGCAGGAGTAAGGGCCAGGTGTTGCAGCCTGCCCAGCAACGAGCATCACCGTCCGTCGTAGTTCATTGACTGTAGCAATGCTTGTAACTATAGAGAGAGGGTCATTCTTGCACTGTTCACAGCATGCGCATCATGTATCGTATCCATATCAACGGTGAGGAGCCTGGCCCCTGGGATTGACGCTGCCTCTAAGTCTCTACCAATGAAGGAACTCAAATGAACCGAGCACGAAGTCCCAAAAATCTATGAGCATGATCGATCAAAGTCATGCAGTCTACAGGTACTGTTTCCAAAAGCCTATTGTCCCATTATGTGCTGGAATCTTGTCAGATAAGCCGACGAGCCCAAGAACCAGAGTGAAGATTTCGAGGTTGTTAAAACCTGTCCCCGTCAGCAGCGTCTCTTTTAATTCCTCGTCACCCACTATCTATGACGTGTGGGTCTTTGGACACCCAGCCCTCAGATCCGCTCTGCATCGCTCTGACTTTCATGTCGTCCACAAAGGGGCCTTGAGCGAAAAACATGGCTTGCATCTCCGCTTCTGTATTATCTGCATGAGATGGATGAGCGACGACTCGGCCCGAGTCACCGAACTGACCATATCCATGCAAGCCTTTTGGCGTAAATTGACCATGTAGTACATCTTCAAACTCATGCTGAGAGGTATCAGCTGCATTAATCTCCATTATGGAGATTCGGTCAGACTGACATGATCAACCAGTACCCAACCTAGCTTTGGGATGGCCCAGATTGGAGCTATGCGATCAGAAGCATTGTAACTCCACCTCTCTGGCATGGTCTCGCGAGTGTGCCTGAGGATCTCTTGGTCAGGAGACTCGGGAGGCAGCAGCAGAAGGCCTACACTGTGAATGAACCTTGAGACGCAATGGCCGCATTTTGAAGATTTTCCAGTAGAGGACCGGTATCTGTGCCCTCTTTAAAGCGCAGGCCGGCAGATGGCCAGCCTAGATTGATCAAGTCATCAGAACGGACCGAGATTCTTGGGGAGGTGAGGAACACACCATCACGCCATTGTATAGCCTCAAAGCCTTCTTTGCCAAGGACATCATCCAGAAAGATCATACGATCATTCGAAGTCTCGCTCATTCCTGTGGAATGTCAGTCCCTCGCAATGTCAAGTGATCGTGTAATACCGCTCACCATGATCAGATAATACTATGAGATTGACGATGTTCTCTAGGTTTCTCTCCTTGAGACCGTTGAGAAGTCTACCAATAGCTTGATCGACCATCTGAAGAGCTTTCTCCACGTCGACAGAGTTCGGTCCGCCCAGATGTCCAAATTGATCCACTTCCGGCATGTAGCCAAAGATAAGTCGGGGCCTTTTCTCAATGGGCATGTCGATCCAGGTCAACAGCTGATCAACCTTGGCAGATGGATCCATATCCTGCAGGTGAGTCAGCATCTCGCTGGACGTAAGAGATTGTGGACACACTCCAAATGGCACAGCATAAGTAGGTGCCACACCCTGACTCGTTGCTGGTGGTCCAGGCCTACGTGTAAGAGTCAGAAAGGATCGGTTGGGGTTACCAACTCGACGTACCACATCATATTTGCCGTGATCAGACCCGCCTTCTCAGCGACACTCCACATCGGCTCCCCTCTCCACCATTGACTCTCCCCAATCATTTCAGCCTCTTCTATTTTAAATTGTACGCCTTGTTCAGGGTCGTAAAAGTGATTCGCAACAATCCCATGCGTCTCAACATGAAGTCCCGTCATCATGCTCCAGTGGTTCGGGAATGTCAATGTTGGCCATTGGGGTTGCAACGTTTTGGCCCTAAGTCCATTTCCTGCATTTCCAATAGATAGAATGTTTGGCACCAGATTTGCGTGAGACGATAGATAGAGCTCCCTAAAGCCATCAAGGGATACGACCAGAGTTGTAGGATGGAAATCATGCGTCCCGTTGTTCAACAGGGCCAGCTCTGTTGGCGAGTGTCTCCGGTTGGACGGCAACAGAAATGACAGCAGAACAATCCCTGCCGGCAGGAGCAGCAGCCAAAGTAGAGCTTTGGGTATCTGAGAAGCTCTCAGCGTTTGGTGATATCTGGCCCCGGGAGCTCTCACCGATATTCCGAAGATCTCCACACGCTTGGAGGCATAGAAGGCATGGGGCTTGATCGAGGAAGTCAAGGCATCCTCTTCTCCGGCTGCGCGCAGATTCTCGGCTTCCACATAGCCTTCAATATCAAGAGCACCGGCCACAGATCTTTCGTTCTCCGGTAGCATTGGCTCGTTCGCTGCCAATTCCATCGCATGATTTCCAGCTCTGATCCGGCCAGAGACCAGACTCTTCAGCTTGGAAAGCGCCATGATGTGAATGTCTAGGTTCTCTACTACTGAAAGCCCTGTTTATTCTGTGAGATGTCGTCTCGTAGCTGCTCCATCTCCAAGCCTCACAGACGTTTTGCTGGAGAGTGTATCATCGCATGGGACATTATCATTATCCTTTGTGGTCTTGCTATATCCGGACCACGGAGAAGATCTCGCTGCAGTCAGATCGACGAAATTTTGCTTCCGTGTTCTTGGAATCCCCCAGCGCGTCGCTCGTGAAATAAAAAAGTCGAGCGAGGAACGAGATGGAGGTGGGAGATGCCAATGAAATTGTGGTCCGCTATGGACATGTTCTGAAGAGGGAGGACGCGATCGACGAGCCTTCAGAGTAGAATGATCTCGGCGGCATTGAAAAGACGGCGGACTGTCGTCCTACTTCTCATACTTCTGGCCTGCCTGGTGCCCTGCGAAGCCTCTTCCGGCGACAGAAATCCAACATTCCAGCACTGTCTGAAAGGCTGCGTGTCGAAAATCTGCGAATCGTCAAACGCGCCAGCCCTGCCACCGTATCTGTCACTGTTCAGATGGACCTGTGAGGACAATTGCAAGTACCATTGCGTCCACAGCTTCACAGATAATATTCCCATCGGTGGGCAATGGCATCAGTGTAGGTCCCGCCCTCCCTCTCCATCTGACCGAATGAGTAACTTACGTATCTAGTCTACGGGAAATGGCCATTCTATCGATTGGGGCCGATACAGGAGCCTCTGTCTGTGATGATGTCTCTTGGTAATTTATACATCAATTTGAGGGGAATCTTTGAGCTCAAACGACGAGTCAGAGAGGATAACAAATTGAGCAAGTGGTTGAAGTTGGCGGGATGGTGTCAGGTCAATACGTGGTTTTGGAGCACAGTCTTCCACACAAGAGGTGCGTGATGCCCTCTGGGCATAGCTCGGAGATAAGCCTGACCTCGGCGGCGCAGATACGCCTATCACCGAGCGATTGGACTACTTCTCAGCGACTATCACTGTCGCAGTATCCCTCCTCTACGCTATCCTCAGAGTATTCCACCTTCAAACCCCGGTTTCGACATCACGCCTTGCCTGCCCAATCTCTATCGGTCTGGCGGTTCTCATCATGTCCCATTTCACTTATCTTCTGTCATTCCCACTCGGTTCATTTCCATACGGTTATCACACAAAATTCGTCATTGCTCTCGCCATGGTCCATAATATCATTTGGATTTTATGGTCCTTATCCTTCCATATAACGTTACCGACTCTGACCGTCAGAGGCACAGAGATCCGCATACCAGCCCCATATCCACCCAATGATCCCCGCAAGGTCGTACCTCCCACTGCCAACACACCGGCTTTCCTCGTTCTTCTCACCACCCTTGCAATGTCGTTCGAAATCCTAGATTTCCCTCCTTTCCTCAGGATAGCCGATGCACACGCCATATGGCACGGTTGCACTATCCCCCTCGCCGTCGCTTGGTGGTCCTTTTTCTGTACGGATGCCATTGACTTTGAAGGCTCCTTGCTCGACATGCGAGGAGGCGGAGTTGGCGTCGGGATGGACGAAAAGATGCCATTGTCTGGTGGAGCTGGCGGTCATACTGGTCCAGTCACAAGGTCGATGGCTGCTGAGTCACCTCGGACACCACTCGACTCAACATCGCAGCTCGGCGCCATCGTCATGCCCTCAAGCTCCAAGTCGCCTGGGAAGGACAGATTAGAGTAGTGATTTCGCACTATGGGAAAGGGTTTATCAGGATTCGGATGTATCGTCTGAGTCGCGCTCCGCTTCCGAATCGACATGACATTATTCTGCATGGGACCAATCTTACTAAGAAAGCCTGTATTACTATTCCTCGAATCCCAGTGCGAGTTTCATGGACGACCATTCTGGGTATCGATTGATTGGGTATCTTATGCGCAGTATGTTTGTGGCTGTGTTCTCGCCATGTATAAGCCGCCTCCCGCCGACACCCCCTCCTCTCCGCGCTTCTGCAGCTCCTTCACGATCGACTGACAAGACCTCACCGCATAGGGGCTGATCACTGAGAACAAAGTCAGTCTCTGACTCCCTGGCCTGACTGCCGCTTACTCGTCGCTTGCTGGTACCGTTGGCACCCTGGATATCACTGGCTCCGCTTCCGTTGGCAATCTTCTGGGAAGCAGATTTAGCAGCTTTGCCAGAGCTTCTGAGGCAAGAGTCAGCGACAGTGCGACAGAGGGGAATGGTGACTGACCCGGTCTTCTTGTACGTGGAGCGGTAGAAGCTGAATACGGCGTCAATATAACCGGTCTACTGAAATCTAGAGGACTCACGCAATGAAAAGGAACAGATAGCTGGTCAATAGAGCACAGCCGAAAAGAGCAGCTCCCTCGCTACCTGCGCAGTCTGAGACATGAGGTAGAGAGGTGTACTTGTGTGCAAAGTGCTGGTAGCCTGGAGAGGAGGATTAGCTAAATCTTTGCTTGCGCGCGCCAGCCTAGCTCACTGGCAAAGTAGGTGATGAACAGGTCAATGACGAATTGTGTGATTTGCATCGTGGTGAGGTATTTCTTCCACTAAAACGGTGCGATGAGCATAGGAAACGTTGCAAGAACGCCGGGACATACCCAGATTTTGGCTCCACCAGCAGTCGCATAATAGTAGTAGTCTGACCATGCTCGTCAACGATAGGAAGGGATGCAGTCGCGCGCGCAACTCACACATAATGACATGGACAGTGAGGTTGAGGGTGATGACGACCCATTGCTAAGAACGCAGTTTAGACCCGGACGAGACGATCGTCTTAACATCCACTCACCACAGACGTCTCTCCTTCGAGCTGAGTGAAGCACAGGATCGCAGTCGCGGCGTGGTGGAAGACGTGCAGGAAAGCTGGGCAAAGACAGACCAAGTATCAGTAAAAGTACCCGTGCGTATTATTCCTGGGGACTAACCGAGAGGCTTCTTTTTCAGGACGAGGAAGACAGTGTCGATGAGTTCGATGTACTTGACGTAGTAGTTAAGCATGTAGTAGGTGATCAATCGCTGTCATTGGTTATCGAATCAGAGTCCGGTCGTTACTTATACCAGGGGGAACCCACCGGAGTGAAAGCTGTAGTGTTGCAGATGCTCCAGTAAAATCCATGTTTGAGGTAGAGGGGAATGCTGATTTGCAGTGTGAGCTTTGCAGCATATGAGATGCGAACGACCTACATCTCTTCAACCATCAAGCCAAGAATGAGGGCAGAGATAGCGGTGAGGAACAAGTTGTGAGCTTGGAAGAGAGGCGTGAGCTTGTAAGCTGATCTCGAGCGCATAATCTCTCTTCCTCCAAAGATGACCAAGAGATATGTGCCAATTGCCGCAACAACCGCCTTTTGCGTACTCAGTGGAGATGTACCGCTGACCCATGTTCTGTACTCGACAGGTGGTGAAGGTAGTCCGAAAGTCTCCCAAAGTCCGGTAATCGTAGAGTAAAGAGGTCCGGGACCTGGTTTCCACGCGCTAAGAGGATTCATCGTGAGGGGATGGGATGAGAATAAGGAGGGTGGTGCAGGGATTATGCTGTGTGTGTGTGTGTTTGAGGCGGGCGAGATGTGTGTCTGGAAGACGACTGTACACAGTGAGGAGTGAGGAGCGAGCGGTGAGCAAATGACAACAAAATGGCAGTCTGTAACCCGTTTCCTTGAGAGTGTTTATTCGACGAAAATGGGGGGGTTTCACTGAAAATTGTCACGGTCATTACGCGACTTGGGGATTATCAGTGACGTACGAGTGTGGCACAAACGGGCACCATTTGGGGAATGTGTTGCGATTATATGGAATGTAGGTCTCACGTTAGAGGCGCATCTCTGCTGCTGAACATTGATTGCAAAGAAGCAGAGGAGGAAGGACAAGATAATGAGTGCTCAAGAAATGCTGAGTTGCTCTGGATACCTGCACAGCTGAAAGTATTGAGACGCGAGCAAGGTAATTGCGGTCAAGGTGAAATGTGGCGGATGCAGAGATGGCCTTCGACGTGGATCTGGATCAAAGGATGTAGGAGCTATGTTTCGGAGGCCTTTCAGAGCCAAGAAGAAAGGCCCCATCGTCTTCGCGTCTTCATTCCTTCATCACTTCCAACAATGACAGATTACACCATGGAACCCCGGATTTGGCAGCAGATCGCTGTTCGGCGTTGTGCCGAGGTCAAGGGTATGCTCCCCAAGGGCATGCTGATGAGCTCCCCACCGCCATCTAGCATTTTGGACGTCTCTGACATTCCCCGCAAATTCCTGGACATCTCAGACATACTGTTGACAGAAAAACTAACGATAAGCGAGCTTCTCGGAAGGATCTCCGCTGGAAGTCTTACAGCCACGCAGGTGATCAACGCATTCTTCCACCGAGCCTGCATCGCACACCAACTGGTAAGTTGCCTGACGTCGGTTTGACACATGACTCTGATGAGTGGGGCAGACAAACTGTCTGACTGAGGTGTTCTTCGACCGGGCTCTTGAAAGAGCTGCGGAGCTTGACAGACATCTCAAGGCGACCGGACAGGTTCTTGGTCCGCTGCATGGCTGTAAGTATGCCAGAGCTGACAGATATGTACCGGTGCCGACTCAGCTTTCCAGTACCCATCAGTCTCAAGGACCAGATCGATGTCCAAGGTACCGAGCAGAATATGTGTTACGTCGGTCTAGTGGGTACAAAGGCCAGGGACAACGCTGTCATTGTGGATATACTACTCCGCCAAGGGGTGCGTCCTGTCGATCTGCATCTTTCTAAGTCTCAGGCTATCCTATATTGCAAGACAAACATGGCTCAAGGTATCATGGGGGCGGAAGGCTACAACAATGTCTACGGCAGGACTCTTAACCCCTTAAACAGGTCCCTTACCTGTGGAGGGTCCAGCGGCGGCGAGGGAGCCCTGATTGGCATGAGAGGTGCGCTCATGGGCGTTGGTTCAGATATCGGCGGGTCTATACGATTGCCCGTGAGAGACTCTTCAAGCTTCTTGAGAGTGGCTGACTACCTGCAGGCGGCATTTCAGGGGCTATATGCCCTCAAACCCTCCTATGGTAGAATCCCCTATGCGAATACTTCCAGCTCATTTGAAGGTTCGTTGCCGCTTCTCCAGGATGGGCATCATGTTGACTTTTCCGTCAAAAGGCCAAGAAACCATTCGATCGGTCCTTGGACCTATCACGGCGTCCGTTGACGGTCTCAAGGTCTTCACCAAAGCAGTCCTGGAGACTGCTCCGTGGGACTGCGATCCTTGGACACCTCGTATGCCATGGTCAGAAGAGAGGTATAATCTCATCGATCACGGCGGCCTCAAGGGTCCGCTGTGCTTTGCTATCCTCTGGGACGACAAGATTGTGAAGCCTTCTCCACCTTACTGGAGAGCGTTGAAGGAGCTGAAGTCCGCTCTACTTCACGCCGGACATTTTGTGACTGATTGGGAGCCCTTTAAGATGGAAGAAGCCGCCGCCTCATGGATGGACATTCTAAATGCTGATGGAGGCAAAGATCTGAAACAGCATCTCGCTCTATCCGGCGAGCCTCGATTGAATGACGTACTTGATCGAAGCGTGACTGAGCGATCAGTCTCTGAATACTGGAGGCTGTGCCATCGCCGCACGACCCTGATGAAAGAATCCCTTGACCATTGGATGTCTACAGCCACAACCACACCCACGCAACGCCCAGTCGATGCCATCGTCGCCCCTGTCGCCGGCTGCGTTCCAATGCGGCATGATGAGCCACTGTAAGCTTGACCTGGATCTGCTATTCGACCGAAGACGATCTGACATGATTGGCAGACTCGGCAACTATACAACTTTCTGCAACCTGATGGATTATACCACAGCTTTGATGCCAGTGACCAAGGTACTTCCGCATATTGATACTCGCCCACCATCTCACGAGTTCTATTCATCCGCTGACCAGGATAACTATACACGGTACGATCCTGAGCTCTACAGAGACGGTGGTGTCGGTATCCAGATCATCGGCAAAAGATACGAAGAAGAAGCAGTGATCAGGATGACTGAGATTGCTGACCAGGCTCTGAAGGTGCATCTGGCCGCGTCATAAGATGTACATACCGTAGCCATGCTCTGTGCCACACCAGGAGTGCGTGATGAAAATCCCTGTTGTTTGATATCGAAGCGTATATCGAAGCGCTTTCCCTACGATACAAGCAAGAGACCTCGGGCTTCGCTGAACCTTGCTGCGATACTCCGCTCACGGAGTAGTTCCGCGGCACACCTGCATCATGTCATCCTGTCGATACGCTCGGTCCGTCGGTCCGCCCGGGCGGAGGAGTTCTTTCTGCCTGATTTGCCCCACCTGATATATTGAACTCTAACGTTGTATCATCTCCAAGTGGTTAAACCCGATCAATATGGGGTACTAGGGAGAGTGCGGGGCACATGGGCTGATCTCGTGCGGGTCGGGGAAGAGCTGCTCATATGACTGACGATGTCGACGATGTCTTGCCCGCTGACTCTCTTTCTGACCCACCGACTGATTCGGACCGACTTGCTGAGTTCTGCTGGCGAACGAAAATGTCGACAGATCAGTCAGATAGCAAGGCTATCCCCGTAGAGCGCGTGACATCAGCTTTGGACAATGAAGCTTATAGCTCTGTGCGCGATGAGAAGGTCGGTTTCGCCGATCTAGAACAGAAACGGATCATTCCGTCTGCAGGCGTGAGGAAGCCATCGACTCGGGCAGAGTATTGGTCATACGCATGCTATTGTGAGCTATCCCACTATTGCTATGCCTGACTCATCTGTCCCTACCAGACACTGCCCTTTTCCCACCTGGTATCACGGCCTATGGTGGGGCTCTCATGCAGTTGTTGGTGAACAAAGCACACCCTTCTGGATCATTGTCTTGGGGCGGCAAAGTGATCGATGTCAACTCGTTCATCCTGGATCTGCAAGGCATTCTCTTTGCTGTACAGCTGGTCTTGCTTCTCCTCATCGGACCCTACGCAGATTACGGTAGCTGGGGACCTTGGCTCTTGATTGGTAGGTTCAATTGAATCTCGCCGAGCTGACCTTGTCAGGCAGCGAGACAGCCGTGTATATTATCACCTTTGCATTCACTGGGATCTACGAGCCTTCACAGTGGAACGCGGCCAGCGGTCTTTTTGTGATTGGCAATCTGGGTATGCCATCTGTGCCGTAGGCGGAGCCTGACGGAGTCATAGCCGTCAACATGTCCACCACTTTCTTATGGTCTCAATATCCGGCCATCATACGTGACATGCCAAAAATGATCGAATCCGAGCAGGCGGTCATGGAAGGATCAAAGAGGTGAGTTTGGTCGGTCAGCAGTCCGATCCGGTCGAACTGATCGGAATCAGTGCGGCACAACATCTGCACGAAGACTCGATGGAGAGATCCAAGGTAAGATTGACCCCTCCAAAGTGGCGTGGCGTTGGCTCATGCCTCCCAGCTGTACTGCTGGTGTACTTTTCTGGGCTCGTTCCTCCAGCTCTGTGCTTTAGCGGTGGCTGTAGGAATCGCAGCAGCGATTGGCAACGCCAACTTCGACGAGCAGATCAAGAACTACCGGGTTCTGATAGGCTTCTTTGGTGTCATCTGTGTCATCACCACGGTCCCGTTCTTCATCCTACAAAAGCGAAGATCGGGTCAGCAGCTACCTGCTGGCAAAGGCTGGATACTTGCTGGGCCGAGGTCAGTTGCTGACGCTCCGCTCCGACTGACCTCAGCAGACAAGTATTGCAAGGCGCCAAGCAGGCGCGGCACCTAAAGCAGGTCCTGATCTATCTCGCTGCATACTTCCTCCTCCAAGATGCGTACGGCACCAGCGGGTCAGTGAGAGGTATTCAACAGAACTCGTGAGTCCTGATCGCGACTAACGCTGCATGTCAAGCATCCTGAGACCTGCGCAGGGTCATTCAGTATAACACGGTCCAGCTATCTGGATTGTCTCTGGTCGGTTTCACAGGTGGCGGCTTTGGCGCCTTGTTTTGGATGGTTATTCAGCAACGATGGAAGATTTCCGTCCGAGTGAGCTGAGCCTTGATCGAGTATCATGTCGATCGTTGCTGACGAGCAGAAAATGGTCATTCTCGGAGGATTTGGCACTCTCATCCCCAATCTTTGGGGTGTCGTCGGAAACTACACCGACAAGATTGGGTTCCACCATCGTGAGTGACTGTGTGGCACAGCATACCATTGATTCCTCAAGCCTGGGAGTTTTGGCTCATGTCTGCCTATAATTTCATGGACGCGAGTTGGTGAGACACCCTTACACTTCAGCAGCGAGCCTCAGTACTGATGCAAGATACAAGGGGTGTCTTCTACGTCACCATGATCACTGAAGTAGCACCGGCACCTAAGATGTATCTCTTCATGTCGCTCTTCAACATGATGGGCAAAACCTCTGCATTTATCGGCCCATTCATCTCGTCAGCTATCATCACTCGCTCTGGAGGCAAGACGAATATGGCGTACTGGTTTTTGCTTGCGATGGGGGTTTTAGGCTTCATCATACTGTGTTTTGTCGACCCTGACAAGGCCAAAGTAGACAATGCGAAATGTGAGTGAATCTTTGGCAGTCCGTGTTCGAAGCTAATCTGCGTCCAATTCTCTTAGACCTGGAACGCGAAGCTGAGGAGTTGTATTCTGCAGAACAAAGGGCCGACGCCAAGAGCAGAGGAGATGTGCAACTGGAGTCTGTAGCGTAGTCTTACGGTTTGATGTGATCATCGTCTTCTCGGACATATGAAATGCAACATCAGAATACTGCGCTGGCTAGTGAAAAGATACAGTCTAGCGTTGACTATTGTTCACTGTCCCGACCGATTGCCCCTAGCTCATAGTCCCGGAGAAGCAGATGATGACGACCACTCGAATTTGTAAAGGGGCTGGGTGTAGTAATTTGTGTCGTTGAGTCTCACATAAGCGGTGTAAGAGAGCCATACATCTTGATCGTTTGTAGACATCTCGGGGTGAACGACTGACGAGTATCCAAAAGGATTGCCGTGGGGCAGTAGTGTAATGTTCTGGGCCGCCGTCCAGGGTCCATACGGGTTCGCTGAAGTTGAGACTCCAACCTGAACACCGGGCTCCCATTGCTCGAAATGCGTTTGACCTAGCCAGACATATCTGCCGACATAGTCAGAGTAGAAGAAAGTTCCCTGGCCATAGCCCTGAGCAGGGACACCAGGAGTAGCTGGCTGCACGAACTGTCCGTTCAGATTGGCATCGGCGTCATCAACGTGTGGCTGAACGTTGGACCAAGTGCCATTGTTGTAGTAGTATTGATACTCGTTGATGTTGAGGTACTCGTTGAGAGGTACTCTCGCAAGAGCTGTACTGGAACGGTTGTACGTCTGGCCATAGAGATAGAGATAATTGTCTACCTCATTGACGATACCCCCATATGAGCCATAGCAATAGGCGCCTTTTGGGAAGAAAGCCTCTTTCCACAAAGAGATGGTCGGGAGAGTCGTTAAGTTGCTCGAGTGATTGTACCCGAGGAAATAGAGCGAGCACTCGATGTTGTCGTTCGCGGTGTTCGTGGTGTTGATGATCGGCTCGTAAAGGGCCATGAAAGTGGACCCTGAGGGGCTGGCGACCGGATACGCAGGTGAGTTAGGGTAGATGATGACTTCGGTCGTTGGGGCGCAATCCGTACCGGGATCGCCAAATGTATTAGAACATTCGTCACCGCCCACCACATACGGGACATAGCCACCCTTCGTGTAGCCTGGGGGATATTGAAGCAGCTGAGATGTGTAGTTGTAGGTCAATTGTGTGTTGCCTTGCTGAGAAGCTGGAGGTATAGGTAGCAGCTCTGGCCCACTAGAGGTCATGTTGGACCAGGCGGCACTGCTGTGGACAATGAAGGGATTGATGGTGGTGATGTCCTCATTCGTGAGCTTGTCCGTATCACGACACAGCCAGAACGATCTTCCATTGACAAGCGTAGGGCTTGTCACGCACGAATCCCTTTGAACAGTGGGGTCGATAACGATCCCAACGGGTTCCGCATTGGGGTTGGAGAAGGATGGATTGATGTTGTCTCGTTTGAGTAGCGGGGGGTCGACCGGGCGTCTGGAAGGTGATGCAAATGTGATGGTGCCCGTGCTTAGGATAAACAAGAGTTTGAAAAGGCTCAGCATGGTGAGATGAGGTGTATGTCTGACTGGCTCGGTAAACCATCCTCGAGAAGTCAGGGTATTTATATGCCTCACAGACGGTACCTCACATCTGGTAATCATTCAATTTAGGCCTCACTAAGCTCTCTTTAGGCTGTACCGTATCCCTACGGCTGAATTAAAGAGATGTCAGGGTCGTCAAGCTGTTCGGCAGTTGGGGGTGGATCTGGCCGTCATCAGGAGGGATCGAAGCGAAACCCGCATGAGGCGTCAGAGCCCCAGGCTTCGTGGCTGCAGGCCTCCGCAGTGGCGTCCCCCGGCAGTCAGGCGGGGCTCAATCACTGAGATCTGCTAACCGATTTAACCGTTTGGCCAGAGAGGGAGGAAAAACGGCGTGCCCGAAATTACCCAGCATTGACCACCAGTGCCTGTTGTCGCAACCCTTTGCGGCCCGGATATTGCCAACAGATCTCTTTTGCGGACCTCGAACGCGTCCATCGACAATCGGGGCCTGATCTTTTCAGCCTTATTATTTCCTGACATTGCCACACCCGTCTGACGAAAGGCGCTCAAGTCCGATCCAACATAGATCATACCGGCGGCTGAGGCAGACGGTCAGGACGCCATCGTACTACACGTACGGCACTCGGATGTCACCGAATGAGCCGCAGTCATCACGTGGAAGTCGGGTGGACAATTAGCGAGGTGCCGCTCGTCTTCTTCTGTTAGGATTGAACATGCATTGGCCGTGAAGCAATGGCGTCAGACGATCCCTCCTGCTGCTTCTGATGTCGGTGGATAGCATCTATACGCGGGAGGCGAAATCCACGAGACTGTCCACCACTTGCTCAGGCGCGGCAACCCAGAGCATGTGGCCTGTGTCGAATCTGTAGACTTGAGTCCATTGATCCTTCCATCTGTTGACGTATTTCTCCTGTATGACTTTCGAGACGACACGATCTTGCTCAGTGACGAAGTAGGCGACGGGCACATGAAATGTACCTGGTTCCTCCATCGATTCGGGATCCTTCTTGACCACAGGTACATAGTTGAGAGGTTCATTCTGAGTAGCCAGGGACAGAGGTCGGATGGTAGGATCGAAGAGTTCGTGTGCCTTGGGGTAGATACCTTCGAGGGAAGCGTACATGCTCTTTGCGAATGGAGTGTCGGGGCCCAATTTCGGCGTCATGAGACCGTCTTGATACTCAAAGGTCTCATGGGGATCTGCACCATCGAACATCATCTTCGGGTCGTTGACCATCTGACTGTCTCGACTTGTCATTCCGACCTTCTCCATCAACGGACAGGAGGCGAACACCATGCCAACAATCCCATTCGACTTGCCAAACGACTCCCGCTCCTTCTTCCACAGTCCTTCAAAGGCCGGAGGAGCGAGCTTACCGCCAAGACTCCAGCACACCGGGATCACATCATGGCCGTTATCGATGAGTTTGAGCAGCTCGGCTCGAATGAATTCGGCGGTAGTGCTGGCCGTGACAGCTGGGTCACGATTGTGATGGGGCAGCTCCTGGCACCAGGTGGCATAGCCTTTCGACCATAGCAGATGGATGACAGGCGAGAAGACTTCGCTACCGATCCATGCGCCTTGAATGAGAAAGAAGACTGGTTTGGATGAAGCCATGGTAAGAAGCGATAGTCAAGGAGGAAGTAGTATATGTCGCAGAAGGCTTGTAGATCTTGTCTCCACAGGAATGGGCTAATTAATAAGGTATGTCCGACAAAATCCTATCGGACGAACCTCGTCGGGACCCACATGAAAGTTGGTCGGTCAATCGGGCAATGCGGCCATACGGCTGCAGAGTTTTGTCCGTCTGCCAAGGTTGTATGACGATAATGATCGGGGCATATGCGGACTTATGTGTATTGACGGTCTTGGCGTGACTTGAGCGATGCTTATGGTTGCCATGCTCCTCATCTCCACGAGCAGTTCTCAATGAACATCGACACGGTCTGATCGTCCGAGTGGACGAAGACGGTGAGTTGGCCGGCAGACGTCCCAACCGATATCATGGTTACCCGAGCAAGGTTCTGACAGATTTTGTGGGAGAGGAGCGGAGTCATGGAATAGAATCAAGAAGGACTTACCGCCATAGATCCGATGACATTGGAGACACTGTGATCATTGCGCAGCCTTCGCTGCAGTGCCCAGATCCACGGATGACGGAAACGAAGCTCCGCCTCTGAAGACCATTTCGTCAGTCCATAGCTGAAAATTGTCAAGCAGGTTACGACTGACTTGGATTATTCGCCGGACTTACTATTAACGTCCACTGATGCTGCGTAGACACGCCAAACAGATTAGGAATGCAGAGCGGAGTTCATGAGCGGATCACTGTCTATGAATGTCTCAAAGCCTAATGTCTCATTCAGGGACGGCATTGGCATCGGATCAGACGATGGACGAGGCAAGACTGTGCTCTGCACGTAGACAAGAAGTGCATGCGTGCGATGTTGTGAGAGGAGACTGTCTACGCGTTAGGAGGCAGCAAAGAGGAAGGGGAATCCATCCATGGAGCAGAGAAGACCTGTAGTGACTTCGATGGCCTCACCTTCCATAGAGTCCAGTAGACGTCACAGTCCCCGAGTCAGGATCACAATAGACTTGAAGTTGCGACCCCGGCTGTTGAGTCGCGATGGATTCTTTCCACTTCGATTTGATGACCTCAAGCTCGGACAAAAGATTTTGCCTGGTATAATACATGTCCGAGTAGGCACTTGCTATGATCTTCTCGAGATCCCCACATAAATCCGCCTGGAAAATGAGGCTGCCCCTTTCACGAGCATCCCAATGGTTTTCCACAAGGGACAACAGATCCGGGATCTTGGTCTTACAGGACCCACAGAAAGTGTGTAAGATCGGCGAAGCATGTTCAGGGATGTCGGCAGTCTTGAGTACCAACTCCGTCATTCCTCTGCCAGCGTCCGAACTCAAGCTCGCAGGGGAAGATCCGGTGACCCGATCTCCTAGGGACGACATTCCGGGATGGTGTAAAAGGCAAGTCCTATAGTGTAGAAACTCAGAGGGCTTTGAGGAAAGTACTGTAGAGCTGGGACGAACGCGAGCGATTGTATGGTGGAGACGACAGAAATGTTGAAAAGGTGGGGATGGTCGCTCGTCGTTGTTGCGACTCCAACTCAGCTCAAAGGACACTTGCCCCTTGGCGAAATCCTAAAACTCGTTAATCAGGAGGGAGCCAGAAAGGATTGAACACTTACAAGTCTCACATGAAACCGCTTCACCCATCCCCCTGCTTCGCGTCGCCTCTGTCTTCATCCTCTTTCCAGCTGACAAATCTGTCATGCTCGGTGTTCCAGATCCTCGGGGCCGTCTTTGGCCCTGCGCAAACCTCCTTGAGTGTGAGTCCCGCTTGAAGACAATCAGACGAGCGTGGTGACCGAACGACTCACTCTTCACACTGCGACCAAATTCCTCGCCTTCTTCACCGCCTGGACCCCATGGATATCCGTCTACGCCCTTTGGTAAACGGATGAACCAATTCTTCTTGACTCGGCCGTCACCTGAGTAAGTTGGTGCCCATGTGTTTCCACCAGACAGCACGAGAATATAATCTGCTCATATAGATGAGCTTCGCGAGCCTCGACCCTGCTCCGGACTGACGATGATTGGTCATCTACATTGGCGTGTCAATTGGTCTGGACCAGGTCGTCTGCTCGAACCTTACCTTGTATCCTCCTGACAGGGTGAAATGGATGCTTCTCGATTTCCCCATGCGAACTTTTCGACGCATTGCCTGTCTGAACTTGTCCTCCTCATGACGTCCATTCCTACGAAGGGAGAGCATTAAGTCTGCAAAGATCGTTGCCTGACTCCTGTGTCAGGAAATTCACTCACGGGTCATCAGAGTTGCTTTCATGTATTGCGCTCTCTATCCCGATCATCGACCTCCGCTTCTTCTTGCGTCTTTCTCGCTCATTATCACTATCGGATCCTTCACCAGTCCAAGGATAAGATATTGTATAGGTCCCAATGTCCCAGAGTACTGAGGAGTAAGCCTCGGGACAACGATCAACAAGTCGCTCACATGTACCGCCTCGTTCCCCCGACGGGAGCACTGCAGTCGTTGGGTCAGACGCTTCCTCTCATGCTCGGATTTCCAGCCTCACATCGTCCATCAGCACCTAGAGCCGTGGCGATCAGCAGATGCGATAGCCGGGATGTCCGACACACCTTCGTGCGTGGTGTAGCTGATAGGATGCAAGGTAGTCTCAACAGCTAGACGATTGACTTCGCCATCCTTGGACATGCCTATAAGGAGGTGCTCCGTCAGTGTCCGAGTGGTCCCGACCCGGAAGACGTTTATGCCCACCCAGCAGACCTCGAGGTATGGCCCAGCTATAGGTCGCTCCATCAAGCTGCATTCGTAGATCATAGTGTAGAGCTAATCTTATGAGTGACACTGAGCGAAATGGCAAAGACTAGTCTCACCCCTAGCCTGATGCCTTTGTATGCACCAGAAGTTCCGCTTTCTCAAAGCTGGAAACCGCTCGAGGTCCTCGGCGGTAAAGCCCCACTGCTCGTCGAATGTCGTCTGGAGATTCTGTAGAGCATCTTGACTGGAGGGCACATCAGGGTATCCTTCATTGGTTCGCTTTCCCTTAGCGTTCAGTTTATGGATAGACCACATGTCTATTCATCATCGTCCTGAGTCAAATGTGTCAGAAGTCGTGATGATGGAGAGATCCATAGGCATATTCAAAATAGAATCCCACTGATTTCATCTCGGTAAGATGGACGACTCCGGATGCTCAAGGCGCCGACGACCATCATTACAGATGCGCGTACTGCATACAGGGGTATTTCACGATATACAAAGAGGTCTCTAAGAGTGCTATGTCAAATCAAAGGTGATCTTGTCATGATCATCTCATTCATTCCCATCTACCTCTTTCCGCACCACAACCTTCATACTCTGCAACGCTCTCTCCCTGACCTCCTGGGGTGTCCCGTCGATGTCGACCCATGCGACACCAGGCTCGTTCCTGGGCAATTCCAGAGTAGCTAATTGTGATTTGAGCATCTGAGCTCCCATGAAATGATTTTTACGAGCAGCTATTCGTTGAGCTAGGAGCTCTGGAGTTCCATGACAGTAGAGGAACAGAGTTTGGAGGTTGTCCGTGGCTGGTTTATGCACTTCCATCTCTGGTCGAGCAGCGGGATGAGCGGGAGGCTGAAGACAATCAGCGTTTGAGCTGTAAGAGAAAAGTCGTCTGAAGCAACTCACCAAGTCATGTTTCGGCGGCGGCATGGCTTCTTCGACATCACCTCTCAGAATGTCTCGATACCATTTCTTCAATGCAGAACAAGCGATGACTATGCCAGCCCTTCCCAGCCCTCCATTGTCTTTCGACCTCACCTCTCCACGCTCCCACTGCTCCTTGCACACTCGTTCGGCTAGGCTCAAGATCAGATGATGTTACCACTTATGGGGTGACGCGGAGCTCGGGGCCAAACTCACCCGTTGACCTTATCAGAGCCAGCCATGGTAGTCGGTCGTCGTCAGTCAACGGTATCCCTTTGCTCATCTTGTCTATATTTGATTGAGGGTGCAAAGTATCGCCGTCGACGAAGGGTAGGTGTAGGTCTTCTGCTATACCACTTCCGATTGTGGATTTCCCGCTGCGAGGTCGTTCAGCTCGAATTGGGACATGTAATTATCGACCGTCGGGGAGACATACCATGAAGCAGGCCCCTGAGGAGCTCAAATAAGCCCTTGTACCATTCAGTCGCCCGCAGGACCACTCACCATGACGATAAGAAGCACGGGACGGGGCTCGTTCGGCGGGACTGTCAATTCTACGTCATCCTCTTTGAACAGCTCTTTAGCTCTTTCTGACACCATGATAAGAGGAATGTGGGCTCTGGAATATGGAGATCGTTCACTGTCAAGCGCTTCGCAATGATTGTCTCGTACAATTGTGATTGGACGGGTCAAAGTTTTTCAAACTGGATATGAGACCGTTGTCGAAGCATCAGGAGAGAAAAGATGATGATGTATTCCGGCCCGAGATCCGGTGACCAGGGAGGCAATGAGGATGGAGGATACAGCGGACGGATACTCGATCAAGGAAGGGCCATCAATGTCGATTCCTGTGCGCCAGTCCAGGGCGATAGATGCAAGAGGAAGTCGGCTCAGTCAAGCAGCAGCATGTCTGCTCGCCGTAGGACCGGAGAGCCTATCCAGAGTTCAGATTGAGGTTCTGCCGCTAAATTCAAGTGAGCCGTCCGTAGGCGACAATGACCATGGTCAAGGATCCTCATCATTATGAGTCGACGACAGTCCTCCCAATACATCAATGGCGCCGCAAGCTACCAGCGAGACGTGTCCTCCGACATCTCGCCGCGATGCCGCAGGCAAGCTCCTGATTGAAGACAGGAACTTATGTGCGGATGACAGCGCTCTGAACCCCTTTTGTCGGCGAACCTTTATGCTCGTCATGCCGTGCACCAATCGAGCAACACCTATGTCCACTCTACAGACCTCACAGCGTACTTGACTCAGTACGCCATGCATAAGGTATCAAAATTAGGTGTAATGATTCCAGCAAACCGAGATTCGCCGTTGACCGGATGCCGATCGATGGTTGAAAATGACGACACCCATCGAGTAAACAAAGCGAACCCACTTGCCGCTCTTTCACCTCTTCTCCCTTCCTCCTGCACTTCTTCATCGACAGCCTGCAACCTCTCAGCTCGTCATAGAATCTCTGAAGAGCCACAGGACGTCTAACCAGCAACATGCCATCCTCAAAAGGCAAGCCTACCGACCCCAAGCTCAGGGAAAACCTGAAAGACAGTGAGTGGCCTCACCCCGTCCAACGCGTATCGCTTGACATGAGGATTGCGCTAACGATCCTGTGCAGAGATCAAGAATGAAGGCAACAAGGATGGATCAGGTAAAGGTCAATGGTCCGCATGGAAGGTCAGTCGTGTGATGCCCTTCATCGAGCAGCACACTGTATGCTGACGTTGTCACTTCTGCCCTATCAGGCCGCCAAGTTAGGCAAAGAGTACGAAGCAAAGGGAGGAGATTACGAGAACGAGGCTGGATCGAAGAACGAGCCTAAGAAAGGGACTCCAGAGCCCAAGACAGAGTCCAAAAAGGCCAAAGAGACCAAATCGACAAAGAGCAAAGATGAACCAAAAGAGGAGGCCAAGGAGACCAAATCGACAAAAGCAAAGGAGACCAAGGCGAAATCTACCTCTACCAAGGAGACCAAATCGACAGCCAAGTCCGGATCCAAAGCTACTACAGACAGCAAGAGCAAGAGCTCTGCTTCCGCTACCAAGAAGGCTGCTCCCAAGGCTACCAAGTCGGCGGGCAAGAGGACTTCTGGAGCTACGGAGAAGAAGACTGCTGCGGCTGAAAAATCCAAGGACGCTGCCGCCAAAAAGTCGAGTGCAAAGTCAAAGAAGACGGCGTCAAAGTGATGGAGAGGATGGACGTACAGGCGAACTGAGAAGGATTGTTGTATATATGGAGGAAAGCAAACCTTCGTGGTTATCCGAATGGCATCGAGGTCTATGGGTCCACGATCGATGGGACAGGTGTGCGCAAACCGTCCATGAATCTAACGGTGTCGCTGGGATAGACTTCCTTTGATGAACTGGTCTCCCTTCACAACTGACCACCCTCCACCCCGGTAGCGATGGAGACTAACAGACCTCACAGCACGATGAATGAGTCCCTCAACCTCACGATTCCCTTCAGAACCCTCCTCAACACCATTATGGACTGATAACCTCCACCACAGTCAATCCCATTCACTCTCCCACACCTTCGCTGGTCCACCGCTCTTCAACTTCCAAAATGCCTTCGAAGACCCGTAGTGAACCCATCAAGCCACTTGATGACCTCGGCACACTCGCTCAGACCTACTTTACACCTCATCTGCGTCGCCCTCGACTAGTCCAAGAGCCTATACCGCCTTCTCTGGCGGCATCTCGCCTGCCTCCACCGTGCGCTGAAGTGGACGAGAGACCTCGGTGGAGGTATCGACGATTCAAGCGGTGGCAAGATGCCGTCGTGCCGCTGAGAAAGGCAGTAGTGGATCAGAATCGGAGGGGTGAGCTCCTTCACTAGCGGATTCGATGTCACGTTGACGCTTTTATCAGCACACCTGAGGAGGTATCAGACCTTTGCCATTCCTTCTAACCCCGTCGTGCGACGAGGTCTGTCAGCTATACAGTGGACTCCTGCGCAGACCCCTCATCCTAGCAGGCTGTCGGCTCCGGTCCAAGAAGCCGTTCTCGACCATCACCTGCTTAGCTCAGAGCACTCAAGTCCCTCACCTCTCGTGCAGCCATTCCCATATTCTCCGCCCCGGCCGCAATCTTACGATGGTTGGGGCAAGCTGCCAAAAGCTGAGCGTCGCGCCAGACGGCTCCGACTTCTCCAGTTCAAGTATGCTTTGGACCAAGAACATGAGCGCCGATTCAGATTAGCCATGGCGTCGGTCATTCCTGATCTGATTGCTTTCGAGAGCAAGTTTTTGTGAGCTACACGATCCCCTTGCATGAGACTCGGCCTCATTCCCTTTCCAGGCGGCTTGATTCCTCGACGGGAAATGCACCACAATGGGAAGACGACGCCGACTTGAGTTCTGCAATGACCAGGTGATTCTACTGCCGCTCCCAATTTCGGAAAGCTAAGTGACCCAACAGGACCCAATTCTTCCGTGACATCCGCAAAAAGTCTAGCAATATCTGGCATTGGGTCGATCCGACAAGACATCAACCAGTATCTCGGCGACAAGAGATCCATGCGGCAGTGAAGAAGACTGAAAATGAGCGGAAAGCGAGAAAAGAGAGGAGAAGTGCGATGCAACAGAACAAACTTCAAGCACAGAGCAGCGCAATTGCTCCCGCCCCTCCTCCTCGCCAGGCACCTGAATCCATTGCGAAGAATCTGACAGGGATCTCCGGGCAGCGTCGAACCAAGAGTCCAAAGACGCCGGCTGCTCGAAGCGATGAGGACGGTCTGAGCACGTCGCCCGACTTGACGGATGGTTCGACAGCTTCAGAGACTGGCATACGGACCCCGACCTCAAAGGCGGATCGACCAAGAAAGCTTGCAACCCTCAAGACTGCTCCGGTGAGCACCAGTAGTCCGCCTGATGCCGGTCCAGAAGCAATCGGCACAAAACCTTCGACCTTGCAAGAGAACGCGCCGAAAGCTAAGCGATCGAACCGCTCCTCGGAAGCTGTCAATTACGACCGTGATCAGTCTACACCTCGATCTGCCTCCGGACGACAGGCTCGATCATTGCCCCTGACGCCTTTCGAGCCTACCGAGCTCTGTCGAAAACAGGATCAGACCGTCCATGTGCAAGATCTCGAAAGGTTGTTGAGTCTGCTCAGGGTCGAGAATCAACATCTCAAAGCAGGAGGCGTGACGCACAACAGTCCGGCTGACATTTCAGGAGAGCGGAGACGGACCGCACCGAGGCATGCTTCACATCGCAGCGGGGCATCTGGGAAATCTCAAGCGTCACGGTCAGATGAGGACGAATCTGTATCGGTAGCGATAGAGACGACGAAGAACGCTGGATCGACATTGGAAACCCACACAGCTGAACCTGAGCCGTACCATCAGCAGGAGAGCGATATCCCGATCCAGATGGGGAACATGTCATCCGGGGGAACAGCTCGATTGGCTAATCTTGAGGACATGGTGCCACGAAGACCTGACATCGATTCGATTCAGTGCAAAATTCGAATCCCTGAGACTGCTGCAAACCTGCACTCGCCAGACGTGTCCGCCGCGACAACTTCCGCAGCTCATGCCTCGTCTTCTCCTCTGCCCCTCGGTGATCTCAATATAGATGTCGATACTGCTCTTCCCGTTTGCTCATCATCGACACGTCGTCCCGTCTCGCGATTGGAGTCTGAGCACAGTTTGAGAGTAGACTATGAGCTCGAAGAGGAGGAGGACAGCAGCGACGATTCCTCGAAGTTGAGTGGTGCTGAGGACGCTCAGTCTCACGATACTGCCGATTCGTTTGACGATGACTCAACTCTCGACACTGACTTGTCGGCATTGGCTAAGTCGGCTCATCATCGCTCGATCCATGCGATTTAATGATGATTTTTAGTGTCGAGTGAGACCAGGTTGTGTCTCTCGGACCGAGGTATACACAACACTGCCTATGCATACATATTCCTGTCTATTCTCCGGCAAACAATCTGACGACGAGATATGCCGTCGAGCCCAGGAACCGGAAAACTAGAGGTACAGTGAGCAAACTTTGTTGTCTTTTCATAGCTCGCCGAGCTCCACTTACATGCCAAACCAGCTACAGTGCTGCATTTAGATGTCAGCTCGGATCCCCCGCTACTAAGGCATGACTTACTACAACAGAATACCCATATATGTTGTCGCTAGAGAATTGCTCCCTCCGGAAGTCCGCCTTGACACGTGTCAGCTTTCGCAACTGGCGCCAGGTCTTTCGCAACTGACAGAATGGTCGCTGCAAGCGCTCCATTAGACATGACCCAAGCAATCAAGACCTGTATACGGCGTCAAAGTGGTTCCGATGCTCGTTGAAGAGAGCACTCACATTTGTCCTGAAGTTTTTGTAATAGTCCTCTTGAGCTTGATCCGCGGCGACAGTCTTGACTTCTTTCGGTGGTTTGCTGGCCAATACTCGAAGCTCTTCGGCGTAGACCGAGTTGATATCTTTTTGCTCCAGTGGGACTTCGACAGTCACTTCGTTCTTATTGTCGCCTTGCGATTTGACAGTTCCCAGATCATCGCTGACCTGTGCAAAGGGTCAGACACGCCCGGATTTTGAGTCTGTAAATGATATACCTTGTCGGATCCCTTGGTTCCCCATGACTGAAGGATCGTTTAGCCAAGTTTTGCGCATGTAATTGGCCATACTCACCACATCGTGCACATTACAGAAGGCGTAGACGCTGAAAATTGTCAGCTCATCTCCCACGAGGAAAGCGAAGTGGCCTACTTGAGAACGTTGATGTACGATGGTGCCAACTGCGAAGCATGAGCTACGATCATATCCTGTTTTGTAAGACTCACCAATAGGTATTGAATGAAGCTAGTGACTGCGAGGTGTCAGCTTTAGTCAGACGTCCCGTAGAGGAACCCAGCTCACTCATGTGCCAGGGCTCCAGAGCTAGAAGTGATGCGACGATGTACAGACCATAAGTCGCCGCGAGGGATAAAACAATGTTTCGGAAAATCTTGTTTCCGAAGACGTTGTCCACAGTCACTCCATCCTGCTCCACATTCTTGATACCGACGACAGCGAGGTAGACTGCGGCGGGGTCAGCGTGAAATGACGAAGGCAAGACTCGGCTTCTCTCACCAGCAGCGAAGAGCATATAGATCGTCAATAGGGCGAAGCCGACCATACTGATGGTATAGCCCCATTTGGATCTAACAAAAGTCAGTCGTGGCTCTCTATAGGTCCCGCCGACATACCCTGCTGGACGGTTTCCCAGAGACAGGATGAAGCAGAGTAGGAGCAGCGCAACGTAAATGTACTGCAGAGGAATGTTGACATAGTGCCAGGCGTTCCCAAGTGTGTCAAGGGAATTCTGTGATGATCAGACACGAGCAGGAAAAGGCAGAGCTAAAGACGTACAGTCAAGACGACCTATGAAGGCATGATCAGATGTATCGTGCTGGGGACTGATATCGACTCACGAAGGCGATGTAAAAATTGCCCAGGGCAAACCAGGCGAAGAGATTGTTGGCAGTTTCTGTATTTATCTTTCAGTCCGGCGCCATGTCTACCACGAGTGACACTCACGGTATATTAGCTCAATGTGAAGCCAGAACTTTCGCGCAAAGCCGTGACTGATGTACGTCAGCTGAGCTCCCGGTGAATGCAGCTCGACCCACGAGGATCTGTACAAGTAGCCAAAGTGGAAGATGGAGTGGATGGCTGCGAAGAAGGATCCGTTGAGCCAACGTCGACGCTGAGCAACGAGCTCCGGCACCTGAGAAGCGGTCAGAGGCGAAACTCGAGCTCATCTTTGATACGCACCGCATCTGGTACATCTGTGATGGCGTATGCAGACTTGACGTAGTGCAGTTTCCACTTGCAATTCCGCTTGCTGACCAGTTCCCAACATAAAATACGATCTGACAGAGATCAGCTACGTACTCATTAGCAGGATCAAGCTCACCTTCTGCAAGGTACATATTTGCGGCGCTGAGCTAACTCAGCAACTGGTCTGGGTAGAGCGCTACTCACAAGATACCCGCTCCAGATCCATGCATCGTTTCTCCGATGAAGTACTGCTTCAGCGGTCCATTTCCTTTCTCGTCGTTCAGTAGAGCGATGTAGCGGTACGCGGAGAACGCTCCGGGTCTGTGGTTGTTTAGCGTGGGGATATAGAAGATAATCAGCTTACAATACAGTAATATATCCAAAGATGGATTCGAGAGGTTTGTCCAAGATATTGCTCATCTTGTACTCGAAGTTTTGAGCAGCGACGAGGGGATTGAGCAAGTTCTTCCAGAACATGCCTTTGAGGGCAACAATCTCTCCACATGCTCCCCCTACTGATGAATTGATATCGAAAGCCTTCCACAAATGATAGATTGAGTCTGGACCTGGCTGTGTGCCGACATCCAGCAAGACGCAAACGCTGAGCGGAGTGTCAGTTGATGATTTGATTAGCGCGGGTCAAAGCTCACTTTGGACGAAGGCAGGCTCCAAACGCGCTAAGAACGTTGGTCAGCGGACAAAGTCATAACTTGGAAAACTAACTTGAAGAACCACCGGTGACTGTTGATCTGAGGGATGGTCATTATTGTGGTCCATGCTGCAGGCATATACACACCTTTTTCTGATTCTTTTCCTTCATACAGAAGATGATCTGGATGGGGACGAATCTGGCATCACCAGCTTTGATCTTGCCTTCGCTACCGATGGCCACTGGGTAGGGCGCGTCAGTGACGGCTTTGACGCATATGTGTTTCGCCATGCTCACGTTGCGTAGTGTACTCGTAGACGTGGGCAGTCTGCGTCGTTAGCGAAGCAAGGAGTTTGTCGCCGATCCACGCACCACAGGCTTCCCGTTGACCGCATTCTTCGCCACGCCCTCCTGATAGACACCCAATGCAGCGAGTACTGACCTGGTCCTTGGATTGATCTTGAGTCGTCCATCCGCCACGACGCAAACGACAACCTGTAGGCTGTTAGTCCAGGCGTTTTGGACACTGCAAGGCGCAAAGTCACCTTCTTCCAACCCTCCTTGCCCCATGTCTTGCTTCTGTCTCTGGTGCACAGATGGGCGATGTTTTGCATGACACCACGCATCGTTCGGCAGAACAAAATGTCATCTTCCTGCAAGGCAGATTGTCAGCCTCCGTATAGTGTGAATCCCAGTAATCCTACATTATACATCGTGATGACCTGAAGAAAATCAGCATGAAATCAAGGTGATTCACGACGGCACGTACGATGAAGAGCTCCGTTTGTCTGGGTGGGTCGTACAGCCGTTGCCGAAGAGTGTACTTGTCGTCCTGAGGCAAGTGATCAGCTGAGATCACGACCCAATGTCTTGTACACCACCTACCACAAAGTCGTTCGGGTCACAAGTGACGGCCGAGTATCGCATCTTTGTGAACTCGTTGCCATCACGGATAGGACACTGATCGAGCAGCATTGATGGGACATCGACGTCAAAGACGAGATGGCCTCGAAATAGTCTGAGGCGTAGATTGCGTTAGAGCTCCCTTCAATCTTCAAGATCCACCTCGACTCACGCGACCTTCTTCTGTGTCCTGTTCCGCCTGACGATCCTAGCGGGTACAGGACCATAATGAACATTATCCTCGTCGTCATATGCTGCTCCATTTCCATTCCAAGCTCCTGGGAAATTTCCCAGATCGCTTCCTTCGCCATTGAGACGACTTGGCGTGCCTACGTCTGAGAGCTGGTATCCTCCACCCATGGAGTAATTAGATTGACTATGAGAGATCCCGAATCTTGAATCGGGGGTGGCGTGCGCAAGGAGAGGAGCCGAGTCGTTGAGATCGTCATCTTGACGACTGTACGCTCCTGGTGTGAGGTTTTGCGTTGGAGGATAGACTTGACCGATACCGACGCCAGTGGAGGATGAATGTGTCATCTGAGGCATCGGCCTCGGCGCAGAGTAATCTCCTTGAGGTGCATTCCCGAACGGACTCCCGTTATTCAGATGGGATGGAGAGTTGAAATTTGAATTGGAATCGAATCGTGCTCTGGGACCCGCAGGTCCCGAAGTTGGTGTTCCGTAGTTCTGGGGCGGCGGAGGTTGTTGTTGCTGTTGTTGTTGTTGCTGTTGCTGAGTGGGAGGATAAGATTGACGAGGACTGGTCGGACCGCTGTGGAAAGGATTTACGCCTGATGGTCTGGTAGGTGAAGCCATATTGGGTTGAGATGGGTAAGGTCTGGTCCCACCGAAATCGCCGAGCGGTCCAGAAGGTGAGGAAGGGGGTAAAGGTTGAGGTCGTTGTTGAGGCGGTGTGTGTGGGTTGAAGGGATCACCGTACCCTTGAGGCACCGGAAAAGGTTGAGATTGCGAGTGATGAACTATACCTGGAGGAGCAGATGGGTGAGTTGGTAAAGTGTTATAACCGTAAGTCGGAGACTGTGACATGCCAGGAGGTGGAAGGGGTCTAGAGGTTGATGGTGAATAAGTGTTCGAAGTTGAGAAAGGGGGTCCACCAGGGGGATAAGGAGGTCCTCGCTGCGGAGAATTGGTATTGTTGTAAATATCACCTGGCTGCATGGTGGATTGATGGACCAAGCGTGTTCGCGCTTCACGTGCAAGCTGTGTAGCTGTTGAGGATACTTGAGGACTGCTTCTTCTTCCTCCCCGTGACCAGGTGCAGATCTCTATCGCCAGCAACAGCGGAATGTCGCCCCCTTCACTATGAAATCTGTGGATGCTCACCACTCACCACTGAACATCAGCGCGTTTCCGCCCGCGAATTTCCCCTCCTCGCCCCTTTGCCCATTAGACGTCATCGGCGTCCTAATCTTTTTAATTTCCTAATAGTCGCCTAATTTTGTATAATCACCATTAACTTGTTTCCGTCTCTGCACTGCCGTGGTTCACCGCCTCAAAATTGATCTGCAGATGGCGGCTGGCGGTTGGAAGGGCGAGCCAGACAATGAACAGAGAGGGAGAGAGACAGTGCGCGATCTTCTGCGGCTCAGCCCCGATGCATACAACACGAGTAAAATTGCCCCTCTTCCATCACGACAGCACAGGTTGTGAATACTACTTTTTCTTGAAGAATCCAGAGAGGGTGCTCTGACCACCTGCTCCAGCTTTCTTCGCAGTTGAACCACCACCCGCGGCCTTATTGGGGGGTGGTCTAGGCGCAGCCGCCCCTGAACTCTTTTTCGGAGCAGCACTACCAATGTCGCCGGATGTTGAAGATCCTCTTGACATGTTGCTGTTGCTGCCATTCTTGCCACTGGTACCTGAAGCGGCCGCAGTCTTCTTGCTGATCGCCGAAGCAGATTTACCAGACTCTTCATCGTCCTCATCATCAGGTCCAGATCCATCCGTCTCAGACCAATGATCCGTGGTGACTGTGGTCATGCGGATCAGCATTGCTCTTGCCCCTTCGAGTGTAAGGTACTCACTGATATACCCCTTTGCATCCGTAGTCTGTATAGACCTCTTGACCCGCCTCTTCCGCTTGACTCCTGATACCCTGCCCTTCTTCCCTTCCTTGTCTTCGCTCTCTTTGACCTTACTCGAGCTCGACTCGCCTTGAGCTTGCTCCACCTTTTCATCCTCTTCCATATCAAAGTCCATGTCCATACTCATCATGGCTTCCATGGCGGCCGCATCGGCAGCACGAGCTTGAGACGATGTAGTCTCCACTTTGACGGATTTAAAGCTACTACTCGCCGGCGGTGCGGCAGGCTCTTCAACAGGTTCTTCTTCCTCTTCATTGTCGGACGTGATTATACGTTTGTTCTTCTTTGCGCTTTTGAGCGATTGGCTCATAGTGGCGGGTGCAGGGGCGGGTTTCGCTTTAGTCGGCGGTTGAGCAGTAGGCTTCGGCTTGTCCTGCCATAGATCAGCCATTATTTAAACGAGCAGTCATAGTACTCGTCTCACCTCAGTCTTGACTTTGACGGTTTCCTTCTTATCCTCTTTGACCGGCTTGTTGTCCACTTTTGACTCCTTTTTCCCTCCTCCAAAGTCCATGGCACCGTCCTTCATTGGCTTGGCCGCGGGTTTCACATCCAACGATATCAAGGGCGGGCCTGAGATCGTCCCGTAGACCTCGGGTTTGAAGTAAGAAGCATGAGATCGAAGAGCGAGATTAGGGATGAGATACTGAGCTGGGTCCTGGATGGGGCGAAAAGTCAGTCGAGCCCTCAACCTAGGTTCGATCGAAATCTCAACTCGCCTTGACTAGACGAGGTGATAGAGCATAGATATGAATGTTGAGAGTTTCCGAATCGAACAGCTTCTTTTTCTCTAATCCGCACTGTCTGTCAGCCTCGATCCGTACACTGTCTTTCTTGCACTGTGCTTCCCGTCCTCACCATCCAGTTCATCCGCATGTACCAACACCACTCCCCACCGCTTGACTTCTTCCGAGACGATGGCCTCGTCGTCTCTCGCATCCTTGATCAAACCCGACTTGGTACCTGTTCCACTTATACCTCCCTCTTCATCCCCATGATCATTCCCCATCCTGTCATCCGTATCCATCTTGTCAGGATCATCCCCATCCGCATCCCCAACACCGTCTTCTGAATTCCGATCCGCATCGGACATTTCATCCATATCAACTATCCTCACTCGTTGAGTCGCTGTGACCTGTTCTCTATCTTCAGGAAGGGTGTTCGTTGCTAACTTCGAGGTCGATAATAGGTCTCCAGTCAAGAGGTAAGTGGGAGAAATAGAAGGATGAGATTCAAAGTAGTCCAGAAGGAGGCTGTGACAAGCGAGCCTTAGCACTCTGTGTTGAACCATCTGCACCGTAGCAGAACACGGCTCACTTCTTCGCCCCATTCACATGACATCCAACCTCCCTTGAAAGCTCTCGAAATGTCACCTAGACCTCATGTCAGTATAGCCATTTGCAAATGGTGGCGGCTCAACCCACGATCCTCTTCTCGCTCTCGAGCCAGTGAGTTAGCTTACGAGAGGCGAGCTTTTGCTGCTCGGCGGTCACCATAATTATAGGCGCTTGAGGGGCCCGAGCCCGTCACTATCCAAAGCTTTGAGGTATCCAGTGGATTTTGCAATGTATTTTAGTTCAACATGAATTCTCGAATTCTCATTTCTACGCGTCATGCTGCGCGCAGACAAAAACTCAACCTGACCCAGATCTTTCAATGACCATTCCCGTGATGCATGCAACAATCGCAATTTGAGCGGGTCCCTCTCGGTGGTGGACAGGCAGGTCTCTCTTTTTGTGTTCTCTATAGCTGAACAGATGTACGGTATACGGGTCACAGACTCTAAGCCTCGTGGAGCTCGGGAGCCTTGACTCCTCGGGACAATCCCTTGCCTCCTGCGTAGATGCACTTGTCTCCGAGTTCTTCCCTGAAGCAGTGTCAGCGAGGCACAGATACTATGAGAGATCCACTGACTCAATTCGGAGGAGCTGGTTGTACTCTATGAATCGTGTCAGCTGAGGATCTGTCCAGAAAGATTCGACTCACTGGCAACTCGCTCAGATCGGCAGGGAGCACCAGTCTTGATCTCACTGGAGGAGCAAACATCAGAACTGATGACAGGCGCCACCAGCCTCACTCACCCAGTCCTGAGGGCAACGGCAAGATCGGCGATGTAAGTCGACTCGGTCTCTCCAGATCGGTGAGAAGTCATGATACCCCATCCGGCGGATTGAGCGAGCTGGACGCTGAGCGAGGGTTAACACACAGTCTATCTCCTGCGCTAGTACAAGACTCACGCTTGGATGGACTCGGTGATCGTTCCAATCTGGTTAATCTGCAGCTTATGTTAACTCGTGTGTTTCTCTTTCGAACCGGTATGGACTCGCCTTGAGGAGCAATCCGTTGCAAGCCTTCTTCTCAATAGCAGTTTTGATTCTCAACGAGTTGGTGACGGTCAAGTCATCTCCGACAATCTGGATCTTGGTGTCCTTGGTCAAAGCAGACCAAGCCTCCCAGTCATCCTGGTCAAAGGGGTCTTCAATCGAGCAAATGTCGTACTTTTCACAAAACTTGTGGAACAAGTCGGCCAGCTCGACTCCGGTGAGCGTCTTGGACTTGTCCGAGTTGGGGTTCTGACCGATGTCAGCGGGTCCGCATGCATATACAGGACCCACCTTGAAGTCCAAGTCGTATTTTCCGTCCTTGTAGAACTCGGAAGCAGCGGCATCGATACCGATCTGGATCTTGCCAGTGTATCCGGCATCCTTGATGGCTTCGGTAAGGAGCTCAAGAGAGTCCTCGGCGCCAGCGACGTTGGGAGCGAATCCACCCTCGTCTCCGACGTTGGTAGCTATACCCAACATGAGCATCTACGCCGAGCTATAAGAAGCTTGCGCACTCACCATCCTTGCCATATTTCTTGGTGATGATCTTCTTCAGGGTGTGGTAAGTTTCAGTTCCCATCTTCATAGCCTCGGCAAAGGACGAAGCGCCGGTAGGCAAGAGCATGAATTCCTGGAAAGCAAGAGCGTTTCCGGCATGTTCACCTCCGTTGATGACGTTGAATGCGGGGCAAGGCATGACGAGGGGCTCAGAGACACCGGCGAGCGCAGCGAGGTAAGCGTAGAGGGGTTGACCCTGGATCAAGCTGTCAGCCGCTTCTTAGGCACGAGAACGAAGCTCGTTGGACGCACCTTCTCAGCGGCTCCAGCTTGGGAGACAGCCATGGAGACTCCAAGAATGGCATTGGCTCCGAGTTTGGTCTTGTTGTCGGTTCCGTCGAGCTTGATGAGGAAGTCGTCGATCTCCTTTTGGGAGGTGACGGGGATTTGAGACTCGATCAATTTAGGCGCGATGGTGTCGTTGACAGCCGCGACGGCCTTGAGGACACCTTGAGCGAGCAAGCGAGTCAGAAGACGCACTGCCAGACAGACCGAGCTCTGACTCACCCTTGCCCATGAAGTCCGAGCCTTTGTCTCGGAGCTCATGCGCCTCGTAGATACCAGTCGAGGCACCGGAGGGAACCTCGGCACGGAAGAGGCCTGAAAGATGTGAGCTGATGAGACGATGGCCACGAGGGTCCGATCAAGCTCACCCTTGGCGGTGTGGAGGTCGACCTCTACGGTAGGGTTGCGTATGGTCGTCAAGCGTCAATATCAAGTGGAGGTGCGCACAGCCAGATATATGAGGAAAAGGAAGAAAGGGAGCTCAATGTCAGCAATTGTACGGATTAAGGGGAGGATGATCCCCCCGAGACATTGACAGCACTCATCTCGGGAGTCAAAGATCTGTCATAACGAAGTATCAGCAATGCGAATATGACTTCTCACGAATTAAACGTCGAGTCGACGTAGTATGCGGTATACGATATGAAAAGGAGAGTCATCGACACTCACTTGACGAGCAAAGATCTTAGTGATAGACATTTTGTGAGATGTGTTGATTCTCTATCAATTGAGGAGCTATAGCACTAGTATCGGGTCGTTGTTGACGATGGAATGAAATGAGTGAGAAATGAACGAATCCAATCCCTTTGAATTTTGGGGACGAGGAGCGTAACGACCAGAGGGTCTCCTCCTGAAGAGCACGTGGCAGGTGGCACTTAACTTGTGGACGCGGATGGTTCCGCCACGCCCACATCAATTGACTCGTCGGGAATCATCGGCATGACCTTGGGCCCCGTTGTCATAAGTACAGGAGGGTTGGACGTTTCTCGAGTGGGAAACAAGAATCATGCTGCTGTTCTTTTTGGTTCGGGACTCCGACGGCTGGAAAAGTGGTAGCAAAGGCGGTTTTCTCTTCCTCCGAACGCTCCCAGTCAAATAACATCACGGGTACGTTCTGCCCTCGCGACCCCGAGTTGGATTGATCAAGCTGCGTGTCGCAACTAGAAGCAAGTGATGATCTCGGACGGCGCATGCACCGACGTCGTTCTGGTTGAATCACCCGGTCAAGGTTCATGGCACAATGACTGCGCCTCTCGGGGATCCGGAATGCGGCCATACCTGAACATGGTCGGGACGAATTTACTTAAGCGGAACTGACTCCCGTCGTGACTCTTTGAACATCATCCTGCATCCCGCTGTACATTGGTCTGTCTCCAGATTTTCGAGAATGAGATTTTCAATATCAACATTTACGGATAGCGGTGGAACGCCAAAGCAGCCAACAAGAACTCTATACCATCACTCCAGATCCTCAGTTTCTCTCCACACGTGAATGTGGAAGCGAAGAGCAGGAGTGACACATGAAGGGGTAAATCTTACCACATTTGAAGATCTAGTACGTGGCAATTCTTCTCTGAGCCATTTTCAGTACGCAACCCTCCAAACCGATGAGACCGGAAGGCTATGAGTCGAGGTGGGAAGATCTGGACTTTCGCATCACGCTCATATCCGGTATATCCCACGAGTCAGTAAGGAAAAACAAAAGATAACGTAATGGGAGCTTGCGACAATCTCTCTTTTCTTGCGTCGTCTCGTTCCATGAGTTGGACACCAAGGTCTTACGTTTGCGGGTCTTGAACAACAAGGCAGTATGGTCATGGTGAAGTGAGAGAAGCAAGCCAAACAAAAACAAAAAACAGAGAAAACCCGATGTATGTGCCTGGTCTGTTCCATCGAATGAGACATCTCATCATCAATGACCAGAGAGAGAGATATCTGGTAAGTGCCTCCCTGAGCATGAGCCGCGAGTCACAGTCGATCGTTGAGCGTGAAACGCCCGACACCACGCCTGTTCGGGGACGCCTTTTGTCTTTGCCTAATTATCGTCGTCTGCCACACTATTGATAGTGAGTGAGATAGATCAGGATCTATATCCAGTGTTGACATCAAGATCTCTCGACAGCTTTCTCCCTATAGAGCCCTCCCGATCGAATATGGCTACAGCGGTGACTGGCTCCTCCTTTCCCCAGATCATCTTTTACGTATGAGACCTTCCTCCTGAGAGATTTTCTGAGACATGTTATCGTTCATGGTCTATCTGGCATGAAATTTCCTTGCCTCCTTTTTCCTTGTTTGGCTTGAGGCATGAGCCCTCCTCCGCCACCAGGCGCCAGTCAATTGCCTTGCTCTGTCCTTGCGCCTGATAGATTCAGGCTCGAACTCCGACTCTGATACACTTCACTCTCCTTGACCCCCCCACCCTTGATGTCTATCGGATATGGCGCCATGCAAATAACAGATTATTTTAAAGATATACTGACTGAACAATGATCTTCTCCCTTTTCACTCTTTTATCCACTTTGTCAGGATCGACGACCAGATATTCGGGTCAAACAAAGCACGCACGGGATCCCCAGAATCCCTTAGATCAGCTGTCCACCTGTCCGACCGTCATCGCATCGGGTCACGCTCTGGGAACCCTTCCCGCCGCTCGTGTCAATTCTTCGAATTCTTCTTGTTCCGCGCTTCATAAATTGAAATCAAGGGAGTGAAGTCGAGCACGCCAGTGAGTCCATCGTCAGAGGTAGAGAGGGGGGAGAGAGAGACAGGAGACGCGCGCCCTTGTCCGCCTGTTGTTCCTTACGACCTTCTGCCCTCATCCTCCTCCTCCTTCTCGCCATCCCTGCCACAAGAGCAATTATCCTTTTTTTTCTCTTTCTCACTTCACCCGACACGGGAAATTTTTTCACTTTTTGGGCCAATCACACGCAACACTTCTCTGCTGCCACACTCACTCTCACTTGCTGCTGCTGCTCCTGCGCCTGTTGCCCCTCCTGCTCCTCCTGCACTCAGCCTTACCATCTCGCTCACCCTACCCAGTCAGCCTCGCCTCACATTCACTCACTCACTCAATCTCTGGTCTTGAATGGCGAACGACTCTCTATACTCAGCAACACTAGACTAGACCATTCTCAGCTTTCTCTTCGGCATCGGATGATCTGACCAAAACCTGGTCCACCTCAATAGTACACGACATATATACGCTCCGTCCAGTAGGATTAGGATCCAATTCTGGAAAAAATCTCTCTCGAGGTCCCTTGCTCTCTCGCGCCCGCCTGATCCTCTCTCGCTCTGTGTCACATCACGTTCGTCCATCATCAATCGTCAATCAATCAATCACTCTCTCTTCTCAATTGGTACCCCTTTGGAAGGAAGGAGAGGAAAGAAGTTCAAGGGCAAAGTTCAAGACACGGATCACTTGGACCTGTCCTTACCCATTCCGTGGTTTCCCCGTGTGTGACTGCCAAGAAGGGATTAGGAGACAGACAGACATTCCGTCGCCAAGTAGGAGTTTGCTCCCGGTATCGATTGGCGACTCCTACCTTCCAAAGTTGACGACAATCCCACCCCTTCTCGACCTATTATAGGTCTGGATCGGACTTGGGGAGGGGCCTCAGCGACACGTACGGTGAGTCGAGCTTCTGCTTCTGGTCAATTTGCTCAGCCTCACATCCAGATCATTTTCGACCATGTCTCGACCCAACACCGATAACCCTTCCTCCGGTTCCACACCTCCGCTTCACGTACAGATCGCCCGTCCCTCGACCACATCCACCTCGTCTCGCCCATCCACATCGGGTGGACAAACACAAACCTATCGCCGACCTCCATCATCTTCCCGTCGGGCTAGGCGGCCTCCAACAGCTAGACCGGGAACCGGTGAAACCACCATTGAATCTCTTGGACCATTACCAGATCAAGAGTTCTTCCCAGAAGGAGAGGACGATTTCGATGAAGATGAAGAGGATTACTACGAGGAGCCAGATAAGGACGTCTTCGCATTCGAGAGACCCGTGACCGGAGCCGTTCCTCCCGCTGGATTCAGCGCTTCGGAATACTCGGCTTCAGTCCCTGGTACTGGTCTGAGGAGTGTCACCACGGGCGTGTCATTCTCAGATTACAACAGTCGTCATGCCGCCCCAAGCACATCAGGCCACAGCCATGGTGGCATGCGCGATCACACACTGCAGACGTCACCGGAGGTCACATCGACTGGGCAGATGGATGCGACGGCAACTGTCCCTGAGTTGACCTATGATGTACATAATCCCCCGCCATTCAGTGGACGCGATAACATCAACAACTCCTCATTTGCTTTTATGAACAAGCTCCACAGGGAGAGCGTTTCAGGCAGATCGCGCCCGGGGACGGGAGAAACCATGATAAGCCGGTTTCATCGTCGAGAGGCCCATACCGCGAGCACCAGTCGCCATGATCTGACAGCTCAATCTGCCAGCATGTCTCGTCTTGGCTCGAACGATACCAGCGACATCAACTCCATTGATACAAGCTTTATGGAGGAGTCTGGACGAAGCACGCTTCGTAGCAAATCCTCCCTCCCGCTCATACCCTCCACCGCTGGAGGCAGAAGTGACTATACTTCTTCTTCCTTCCCTTCTACTGCTGGTGGTCCACGCAGCCTCATCAGTCGCGGTAGTTATGGAATGACAGAGTTGACGGGCGACATGACCGTGCCGGATGGGAAGACAACATGGGGAGACGGCATGGGCGGCATGCCAAAGGACGCCAGTGAAGGAGGCAGCATGCGGGGTATCGATGCGGACATGACGGAGGAGGATAGTCCCTACCCCGAAGTCAGGGCGTCTGTCTCCAATATTGATGATCCTGAAATGCCTGGTGAGTTTTCGCAGTATAATGGGTCGAACGAGGAGACTAAGTTGTCTCTTCAGTCTTGACCTTTCGGGTCTGGGTCATTGGTCTGTTCTTCACCATCGTCGGAGTGGCGGCCAATACGTTTTTCAACTTTCGAACCCCTTCACCGTATATCCCTCCGCCCGTCATCCAAATCGTTTCTTACCCATGTGGTAAATTCCTCGCTTATTTATTGCCTATTCGATCTTTCGAATTGCCTCTCTGGCTGGGCGGATCAACCGTCAGCTTCAACCCTGGTCCATTCAACATCAAAGAGCACACTTGCATCTGCATCATGGTGAATGTGGGCTTGGGGACCACATATGCCCTTAATGTCATCGTCAGCACTCAGTTGTGGTATGGCCGAGATCTCGGCGACGGCTTCAGCGTGATCTTCATTCTCATCACCCAGTTGACGGGATTCGCCTTTGCTGGTCTGTGCAGAAGATTCGTCATCTGGCCCGCATCCATGATATGGCCCACCAATCTGGCTATCGCCACCAATTTAAACGCTTTCCATGCAGAGGACGAGTCTTTCCAAGGTGGCATGCCCAGGCTCAGGTTCCTGCTCATTGCACTGGGTGGCGCTTTCGTATACTACTTCCTGCCCGGGTTTCTGTTCACCGCGTTGTCCTACTTCTCCTTCATCTGCTGGATCGCTCCGAAGAACAAAATTGTCAATGAACTATTCGGAGTTTCGACTGGCTTGGGCATGAGTGTTTTGACATTCGATTGGAGTCAGATCACTTGGATCGGCTCACCACTTGTCGTACCCTGGTGGGCTCAAGTAAACATTGGCATCGGGTTTGTGCTGTTGTACTGGGTGCTTGGCCCGGCACTGTATTACAGTAACGTGAGCTTCTCATTAGCTGCGATGATAGCCAGTGCTGACCCGGTGCAGACTTGGTTCTCTGCGTACATACCATTAAACGTCCTTTCTGTGGCGGATCGATATGGAGCACCATTCAATGTCTTCAACGTTCTCAATTCCGATCTCACCCTCAATGTGACGGCGTATTCAGAGTATTCGCCCCCTTATTTGTCCGCATCTTATAGTGTGACATTCACCGCCGCATTCGCGCTATCAACCGCAATCGTGGTGCACACCATACTATACCACGGACCTCGAATCTACCGGTCGGTTCTCAACGTCAGAACAGAAGTTGAGGACATCCACATGAAGCTTATGAGGCAATACCCAGAGGTACCAGATTGGTGGTATTTGGCCTTGTTCTTGGTCTGCTTTGCCCTCACCGTGACTGGTCTGGAGGTGTTCAATACTGGAATGCCAGTCTGGGGCTACATCCTCGCCCTATTGGTGCCTCTGTTCTACACCCTGCCAGCAGCATTCATCTACGCCATGACGAGTCAGACTATAGCCATTAATCTCGTCGCAGAGCTCATCCCTGGCTATCTCTTTGAAGGCAAACCATTGCCGACGATGGTGAGTCGTGATAACACATCGCAGGATGTTGACTATGGCTGCAGATTTTCAAGTGCCTCTCTGTTGGCACAGTTGGCGAAACGTTGAACTTCTTGACGGGTCTCAAACTCGGGCACTACATGAAGATTCCACCACGAGTCACCTTTTCGATACAGCTGGTCGCATGCGGAGTTTCTTGCCTGGTTCAAGCTGGCGTAAAGTCTTTGGTGATAGCCAAGGTCGGCGACCTTTGCGGTGAAAAGCCGACGAATTTGCTCTCTTGCGCATCCACCAAGGTATTCTTCACCTCGAGCGTGATCTGGGGCTTGATTGGACCGAGACGCCTCTTCGGCCCTGGAGCAATGTATCACGCGCAAACATATGCTGCGATCGTCGGTATCTTCTTACCAATTCCCGTATATCTGTGGGTTCGCAAACGCCCGCAGAGTTTCCTGCGGAATTTCAACGCGCCAGTGTTACTCAACGCCTGCACGTACATGCCCCCGGCCACCGGAATCAACTTTGCGAGCTTCTTGACGGTTGGATTCGTCTTTCAGTTCTGGCTCAGACGTCGTTTCTTCGCATGGTGGTCAAAGGTGCGTCGGCGACGAATAGACCTGCTCAGATGCTGATACCTTCAACAGTACAATTATGTCCTTGCCATCGCCTTTGACTCAGGCACAGCCCTCAGCGCCCTTTTCATTTTTATATGCCTTGACATTCCAAAGGCTCGGATCAACTGGTGGGGCAACACAGTCTACACTGAGACTCTGGACTGGCAAGGCAATGGGGCGAGTTATCTGACAGCTCCTGAGCAAGGCTTTGGCCCGACAAAATGGTAGTGTCACGGGCGACTGTTTCTTTTCCCCTCTTGGGTATCTTGGGTCTGCATTTTCCCCGTTGTAATAGTTCAAAGCCAAGAAAGCAGTGTATCATATGGACGGCACGCATTTGTGAAGATCCGTCGCTATATGTATAGGAGAATTTGATCTCGGTCTCATGCCGGATTGCGCATCCTCTACCATCTGATGCTAATCCATGAGCCGTGCGGGGCTGCATGACTCGAGAGGCTCCAGCGGTCTGAGGCTGGTCCCTCTGCCCGGTCAGCGGGTGATCTTGGGTCGAAGGGAATCCTAGCCTGCGAAACAGAGAAAACAAAAAACAAGCCTCTCACTGACTTCGAAACTCCCTCCGCATGACGGCGGCGATGGGGTGCAACTTTGGGCAGGCCATTTGACTGGACGATTAAGTCAATCGCTATCCACTTTCGGTGCTGGCCCAACAAGGCCTCGATGGACTGAAACTCAGCAGATACGAGACATGCTTACTATCCTTAATGCGGTTAGTATTCGTGTTGAGAGTTCACAGAGATGGTATCGAGAAATCTTCATTGGTCATTGCTTGCATGCAAATGATGGTTGCTGCAATCCTCGCGGACCGGACAGAGTTGGACACGATGATGGGCAGCGACTTGAACTGCCAGAAGGAATGCAGGATCCAGGTTTCACAGGAAGTCCAAGGGCTAGGACCTTTCTTCTCCACACAGGCGGACATCAAAGCGGACAATCAAACGGGGAGCTCCAAAAGAGCGCTAATCTCGAATCAGTACTCATGGCTGATGAACTAATTAGCGCGGATTTGGAATCCATCCAGTTACAAATTCGCGCAATGCGTGGCGAGGCGGAGTCTCAGATGCACCACCGAAGAGTGAAGCGGTGGCGTCAGTTTAACGGGCTCTCAGAGACATCATCCTTATCTCATGTCATTCTCATGCCAGCCATAAGTGACGCTGAGGTACGAGCGGAAGCTAAAGGTATGGAGATGGGCAAGTGAGGGCCTGCGATGAGGTCCTGGGCGCGGCGCAGTTCGAAAAAGATGACAACGTGCAACAAAGCTGATGTTATTTCCATGGGGAGGATCGGTGATTGGGAGGGCATGTGCACTCCTGCAGTATCCGTGGCTGCGGACTCGGCCGGATAAATCTCCCCATTCTCCCTGGTCCATCGATCATTCGGACGTATGACCGTTGCGACACATGGTGGCACACGTCAAAGATGGAATCTGCCGGCTCGAGATCTGCCTCATGGTACGTGTCCAAACCTTATGGGGTACTTGAAAAGTGAACGGCGGTGACGCCTCCTTGGCTGAATGGGGTTAGGCCACTGATTGAACCCTATTAAGCCTGTCATCGGCCCGAGGGCGTCAGTGGCACTTTTGATTGACTCAGTTATAGGCCTGGATGGCCAAAAGAAGACAACGCCATGCTCCAAGGGCTCTCCATATGTTGAGGCGATGGTCACCACCGCCGCCCACTTGCCCTGTCTTTTGAGATGCGAACAAGATGTGCTGCTCCATTATCCATCGTGCCGCAGAAATATTTTTGATCCCAGATCAAAAAGTATACATGCCGCCACAATTTCTGCCACGTAAAACTGTGCCATGGGTCGTAACTCGGCTTCAGGATCGAGAATGGGAATAAATCCGAGACAATGCGGGGGAGCAGAGCTCTAGAAAATGGGCGGGGGCGCCGCAAAGAGACACGCGAGGTCACGCTGTTTTAGCCTTACTACTTCAGGATAAAGCCCTCGACTCGTCGTCTTCGTTTTGCTTCCTCCTCCCCCCTACTGGGCCAAGTTGAGAATCAGCGAGGGAACTCAGCGCGGGTGATATGAGAGATCCCCTGTTAGATTTTTCTTCTCTAAATGACAACTATTTTGCTCCAAAAACAGAAAAATGGCCACAACAGGGCCGCGGGAGAAAAAAGAAAGAGACCCACCCACCTACAGGGTGGCGGCGGGAAAATGGCTTGAGTGGATTTACACTCTTGGGATCACACCATATGTACCGTCAGCGATAGCTTGTCACGCAGCAAGCAGCAGCAGCAAGCAGCATCTGCTCTCACTTCACCAGCAGAACTGCAACCCCTTTTGTCATCGTACCTTTTCATTTATTACCTGCAGAGTTTCGGCCGTCCTTCCCTTGTAGACACGGAGAAAGGGGGTCGAACGTTTCTCACAGGGTTCGCCAGGACCCGTTTTTAAGCTTTGCCAACACAATCCTAGACGGCCATTCACTCCCTCTTTCCCCTGCCCCTTCTCCCCGGGCGGATCGATTCTATAAACTCTCTCAGATACTCGTGCCGCTCGCTCCACCTCACCGTACGCCACTCAATCAGCAACCGACTTCTCACCGCTTGACTCTCGACTTTGTCTCTCTATTCTCTCTCCGAAGCTCCTCCCATTACGTCGACCATCCCCCTCGAATTACATCTGGGTCAGAAGGGAGGGGGAAAAAAACGCCCCCTTTGTCCTGTCCATTGCGACACATAACATATATCATCCGCTCCAATCTCGATCAAAAATAGAGAAAGAAGCAGACACGTACACAACCTCGCCCCCCTTTTCCCACCTTATTCTATTCGCTCTAAGCAGATCCCTTGTGATCCGCGCAGTATCTTCTCTTTGATCTTCCGTCAATCTCACCACTATCCTCTCTACTCGTCGTCATCATGAAGTTCACCACCGTCCTTGTCGCC